TTTAAACGGATAATACCTTAAATGTCGGCACGGAGAGGTTCCTCGCATAAGAAGATAAGGCCTTAGTAAATATAGGAATTAAAGCGAAGCCTTAAAAGATTCTAAAACTAGGAACGATTAAGGACTTTAACGGATTACGTATTATAATTTACGCTAAGGGATACGGAGTCTCCGTAACCTAAAAGGGATAGGTAGAGAAGCTAGAACCACTGGATCTAAAGGTACTAGACCTTACTAAAAAGTTCGTTAAGTAACGAGTAAGGGGAGCGTATATTGCCTCTATTTACTAGTCTAAGGCGGCCTTCGATTACTTTATAGTAGCCTAATATATTAACCTAGAGACTAAGGAGGCGAAACTCCTTAACACGAGAATTAAGTAGTAAATGGATAATAAGGATCGTAGGATTAGTTATGTAACCCTAAACCCTTAAGAACTCCGGGTATATATCTTCGTAGACGGGTCGTTTGCTAATAATACCGATATGAGTTCGTAAATCGGATATTTAGTCGTTCTAGGTAACGAAGAACCTACTACGGGGGATAATAAGCTTCGGATTACGGGTAATATTATATATTAGTCGTTTACTAAGTATAAAAGGATTACCCGTAACGTATTAGTAAGCGAGATCTATGGAATGGTATAAGGCTTTAACGTTAGATACGTTATCTACTATACGGTTAATACCGTCCTTAAACGTTTAGCGCTCCTAAAAGCGCTCCTAGTCCTATATACGGATTCGTTCTTACTATACCAGTACCTAGTATAGATAGGTAGTACTAACGAAAAGCGATTAATAATTAACCTAATGGCTTTGAGGTAGTTATATGAGAATAAGGAGATTAATGACATTCGATGGATCCACGGTAACTATAATCCCGCCGATATAATGACGAAAGTATTACTGAATAAAGCTATGAGGAGCTTAGTAGAGAATAATCGAATTAACCTTAGGCTAGAAGGTTAGGTAAAACGGGAATAAGTAGTTTATAATTAATTAATTGCGAAAAGAAAATAGAGTAAGTAATGGTTATTATATATCCATGTACCTAGCCGGCTATGGGTAGTACGTGTAATGGGCTGTGCCCATGGTAGGGCCCTGGCTAGTGCTAGGGCTTAGTACGTAACTAGTACCTACGGAGGATAAAGCCAGCTATTATAGGTGCGGCTTATACGGCGTACCTTTTCTTCCTTTTTCTCCTCGTTTAGCTTTAGTTTATTAACATACGGCTTTTACCTAGCAAATAGCTTTTAAAACCGTAATAAAAAGCTAGACTAACCTTCTTTTATCGTTTTACGGATTAGTATCTTAGCGAGCGGAATTAGCAATAAGAACGGCGATATAGTACTAAAGGAAGCGGTAGCTAGTAAAGTTAATAGTCGGAAAGGCGGTATTAGCTTTTGGATATACGCGCCGGTAGTACTTACGAAGAAGACCGACGAGATTAATATATCTTAGCACGAGGGATTAGTAGTAGGAAAGGCGATGTTAGCGTTTACGTCGGTTAAGTTAGTAATCGGAAAGGCGGTATTAGCTTTTAGATATACGCGCCGGTAGTAGTACCTACGGACGAGGACCGACATAAGATAACCCGAAGAAAACGACCGATATCCCCGAGAAAACGTAGATTTAAACGGTAATTTCGAGATAAGAACTACGAAAAATACGGCTAAAAACGGCGGAAAATTTTTTTCCGGAGAAAGATAGTAAAGCGCTAAAGCATAGCGCTCGTCGACGAATTAAGAATGCCCGAGGCGTAATATAAGGAAGGAACGGCGTTAGAATAGCGACGAAACGATAGGTTAAGCTAGGATAATAGTACTTCGATAAGGGCGCTAGCGGCGCTAGTAATAAACGGAAGGGCGCGCCTCCGCGCGCCCTTAGGCGGAGCCCTTTAGATTCCGCTAGCGGACGATAAACGATAGTCTTTAAACGAATAAAAACGGCGTACCTTAGCACGTCCTCCGGCGGAGCCTCGCGGCTCCGCTAGTAATACGGATAGGCCCCTAGCCTTTAAACGATAATAAACGAAAGGGCGCGTCTTAGTACGCCTTTAGGCGGAGCCCTAGTTCCGCTAGCGGACGATAAACGATAGTCTTTAAACGAATCGGACGGCGTATTCTAATACGTCCTTTAGCGGATCCGACGGAATCCGCTAACGGAAAATAAACGAGGGTCTTTAAACGGCGGTAAACGGACCGACGATCCCGTAGCTACGGGAGCTAGGCTAAACCTAGTAAGCGCTTATACGCGACTTCGTACGCGGGGCTTTAAAGCTTTACGGTTTAATAAGAGGATCGGGACTAACCCCGGGAAATAATAATACCCCGGGAAACGAAAATAATAGCCCGGAAAGCGGATAACGTAACCCGAAAGACGAAGACGGCGGCCTTAGGGGAATGGTATACCGGGGGGCTAGATAATACCCGGAACGCCGGTAGTACCCTAGGAGAAGAAGGAAGGGCTCTCGGGAGGGAGTAGTTACCGGGAAGGCGTACCCGGTAAGCGAAGAAACCCGGGAGACCTACGAAGGAAAAGAAAGAAGGAGAAAAAGGAGGAGATCCCGGGGAAGAGTAAGACCCGGGGAAAGAACGCCGGGGGGCTAAAGGCGCCCGGTATAGTACCCCGGGAAACGAAAGGCCCCGGGAAGAAAACGGCGAAGGAGGAGACCTCGGGGTATAATATAACCGCCGGAAAGGAAAGGAAGGAGGCTATACCCGGGGGATATTAATACCCCGGGAAACGTACGAACGAAAGAAGGCCTAGGGATATATTAATACCTTAAACGGCGGAAGTAGTAACCCGGGAAGCGAGTAGCGTATCCCGGGGAACGGAGGTAGTACCTAAGGATACGGTACGTATCCTAAGGCGCGAAGAAAACGGGTTAGGTTATTAGGGCTAAACGCCGAAGAAAAAGGGCGGCAGGGCGTACTTTTTTTTTTCCGGGAGGAGACCTTATATAATAAGCTATGCCTATAGTAAGGCCCTAGCTAGTACCAGGGCTTAATACGTAACCAGTACCTACGGAGGATAAGGCTAGCTATTATAGGTACGGCCTATACGGCGTACCTTTTCTTCCTTTTTCTCCTCGTTTAGCTTTAGTTCATTAACATACGGCTTTTACCTAGCGAATAGCTCTTAAAACCGTAATAGTACGTATAAGAGGCCTGCCCCCTAGGCCTTACGACTTAGGTAGAGACCTCGAAAGACAGACATTATAATATATATCGTCTTACTCCAAGCTTTTATATTATTTTGTTTACTTTGCTTTATATTATACGTACGTACCTACCAACAGGGGTAGTAGCGGTAACGGTATTAGATTAACTAATTAAAAACTGCCATGTAGGCACTGGTAAAAAACGAAGGCGAAACCGGGTAAAACGGGCATAGCTCCTTTAAAAGAAATAACTAAGAAACGAGAACAGGGATTCCTACTGATCGGCGAATGAGCTTTCAGGTAAGTTAATCAAAAGCTAATGGGAAGGCGTGGGTTATTAAGATAGTCGCCATGGTTGTCTACCCTCCCTATTGATCCAGCTACCTAAAAAGGCTTAATCCGAAAGCCACGAAAAACGGCTCTGGAGCTACGAAAACAGCTCCTGATCAATTGAAAAACAAGAAATCTCCTGATCGTTGTATCCTTAACCTATTAACTGCAAAACGGTCGATTAAAAGGTCGCTCCTAAGGCTGAGGTAAGGACGAGCTACTAAGTGGTCGCCACTAAACAGGAGCAGCGTAGGTACGCTAACGGAGGTACGAAACAAGGACTACCCAACTACTAATAACTGGCCCAGTGCCGATTAACCTAAGATTATAGCTATAAATAGCTGTAATCGGTTAATCGGCTAGCTAAAAACGGCAGCTGGGAAAGGAAAAAAAGAAAGAGAGAAAGAGAGACTAGAAACGGGTAACGAGGATAGCTAGAAAGGTATGGCAAGAAACGAGTAAATGGCTATAGGTCGTAATAGCTATAGGTCTAAGTCTAATTAATGAAAATATAAGTACGCGACTCATATAAATAGACATCGAAAAGGCTACGTAGCTTAGATCTACCGCACCACTATAATATACAATGTAAAGTTTTTTGAAACTATACTAACAGTTTCCCATATAATTTATTAGTAAATTTGTTAACTGTGCTCTATATCGGCCTCTTTACTTATTTTTTTTAAAGTAATGAAGTAGGTTCATTACCTAATTCTTTATATTATAAATAGAAGAATAGCTAGTATGAAGTAATTTTATTTTTATTTTCTGATTTCGTTTTTATTTAATTTATTATTTTATAAAAAACTACGTTTTTAAATAGGTTAAAACTTTTTAAAATCGTACCTATTTTCATAGTAAGAATTCTACTTTTCCGACAGCCTTATTTTTCTATACAAAAAGGTTTTAAAAAAGAAAATTAAAAATTAATATTTTTAAAACTTATTTAATTTAATAAAAATTAAAAAAAGAAAAAGACAAAAGATAACGTAATATTAACCATTCTTTTATTTATAATATAAAGAATTATTATATATAACTTCTTATATTATAGTGGTGCGGTGAGACTAGGCTACGTAGCCTTTTGGATATATATTTATATGAGTCTCGCATTCATATTTTCATCAGTTAAACTTAGACCTATAGACATCACGACCTTCAGTATTTACTCCTTTCTTGCCATGCCTTTCTAGCTTCATCTTATCCTTCTCTTCTAGTCTTTCCCAGCTGCCGTTTCAGCTGGCCGATCAACCGACTACAGCTGTTTACAGCTGTAACCTAGGTTGATCGGCACTGGGCTAGTTGTTGGCAGTTGGGCAGTCCTTTTCTCGTGCCTCCATCACAGCGTGCCCACGCTGCTCCTGTTCATTACGTAAGTAAATTTCAGATTTTTCCGATTTTTTCGTGGCTTTTTATGAGGATAAATCGTTTGTATGTAAACCTATATAAAATACTCGGCTCGCGAAGGGGTGGCTCGCAGAGTGGTACCCTAACTTAACCCACATCGCACTATGACAACTAATCCCCAGATCAGTAGGTTACTTAACGAAGGATAGGTTCAATTCCTAACAGCGCTACTCGGTAGTCTTCGCTACTTAGCTCATCTTCCCCCCCTCTCCGACATCATCCGCGAGCATCCCATCGGGAACGGCCTTGATGCCTTTCGCTCCTCGTTCGAGTCGAGATGCCGAGGCCTCGGGATCTCGCGCGCGGCAGACGCGCTTGATCACATTGACGAAAAAGGTACATAATAAATATTGACGTGACTGATGACCTTATCTCGTGCTGACGAACAATTGCACAGAACTCCAGAACCTAGCTCTCGGTCTTTTATCGGCGCTTCAGCTTACTCCTGCCTCTCATTTTCTCCCCTCTAGGCTAGGGGGAAAACCTATCTTCAGCGATCTGCTGAGCCTCAATTCCGCCATTTTGTCCAATGATTTCAACCTCACCCGCATTAAGCCTCTCCTAAGAGCCGCCCTCGCCGACGACGCAGATGATACCCTCATCTGGAATCACGTTCACAAAGCCGCTGCCGAATCTACCCCGCCTCCCCAGTCGATCGTATCTTCATTCCAGACGCCGTGGCTTCACAATACGGGCAGCTTCGCTAATTCGTCCGAATACCGTCGAGATATAGACAGGGTCCTCAAGTTGGAGCTCGGTCTTCTCTATGTCGGACGCCCCCAATTCCGCAAGACATTTTTCGGACGTGTCACGGATCTCGAGATTGCCTCGGAAGCCGGGCGGCAGCTCCGTGGAGTTCGAGGACGTACTCTTCTACATCTGCCTACCCGACTTGGACAACTTCAAGGAATATGTGCATAATGAAATGTGGAGGTTATTCCGATGGCTGAAGAGCCGAAATATCGGGTTTATCAAGAGCCTAGACATCCCAGATAGCACAACTAACCCCATGTGCGACGCCCTGCTGGAGGAAGCTGTCTTCGATAAGTTCGAGATGGGTAAGCTAAACTGGCGGAAGCTCGACATCAACCTCGACATCTTGACAAGATGTCAACACGCAGCGACGCTCATTGAGATCACTCTCTACTCTAGTGGCAATTGGAGTGTCTTATATAATTTGTCAAGTAGGGAGGATCAGCCTTTATAAGCCTGCATACTACAAGTCGTAGAATGTAGGCGTCTACGTTTTTCGCGGCATAGGGCCTAGCTAGGCTGTAAAATGTAAGTTCGCCTCCTGTTGCTCCTACTTTTCTTATGCGCAAACTAAGTCGCATTTGTCGTCTACCTTCGTGATGTGGCGCAGACGGATCTTCTAGTCGTCGCTGACGCGGATGGGAACAGCTCCAGAAAGTAACTATCGCCATCGTCTGGCTTCACCCCGCATACGTATGTACTCAATTAGTCTACAAGCCACCTTGCTATCAAAGCTTCCGCTGACGAGTCGCCGACTGGTGTGTTGCGTTGGTTGCCTGTAATTAGGATGAGAAATTGCAGCAGCGCCATAGGTCCCTCTCGGAGGCATACGCGGAGAGGTTATATAAGGCTTCCGAGAACCTTCCTGGATACGACTTCAAAGTAACTATAAGGCGGAGAATGGGCTTTCTCGATAGGTCTGTTTGAACCAAAGAACGGGCCTGTGGTCCCGAAGTGGGTTATCATCCCCCACAGGAGGCTTTGCCGTCCCCTAATATAGTACGCTCACCTCGATACAGTCTGAAGCTCTACGATCATCTTACCCATTGTCACAGCTTCCTTGAGAAGCTCAGGAACCCGGACACGGAGAAGAATAACACGCTCGAGCATGTTAAGAATAGGTTCATCGAACTCAGCTCGCACACGCTGAGCGGTACGCCCGACAAAAGGATCAAGGTTGCCGTAATTGATCACGGGGCGGATAGAATCAGATCATCGGTGAACAGTAAAATCGCTAAGGGCATCTCCTTTGTTACGGGCGGCGCCGAGAATGGTGATAGGATCCTGCCGTGGTGGATGGCTGCGGATCCGCACGGGACACAGATGGCGTCGCTGATCTCGAGGGCGAACCCTTTCTGTCGATTATACATAGCCCGCGTCGGGAAGGGTCGTAGAGGCATCTACCAGGGGACGGTGACCGTGGCTGCTACGGACCGGTACAGGCATCGCCGGCCTATGTCGGCGAGCGGTGTGAAGGTTCTCGTGCCCGGCGATAACGTGCTCGCCGATGGGCCTTTGTACATGGAGAAGTACGCCAGCGGGGCGGTGTCGGGCTCGTCGGTGGGGATAGCATTCACGGCGGGGATCGCCTCGATGGTACTCGCCTTTAACGTCAAGAACGAGAAAGACTTTCGAGACTCTTATACGCAGGGGGGGATCATGCGCGTCTTCGATAAGATATAGGGAGACAGCGAGCTGACAGGAACCCGGCTGGCCGGGCTCTTCCCAGGAAGTCCCGACACGGCCGACAGCAATAACGAATATGGGGAGACGTTGAAGGAGGCGTGGCAGCTCAGTCAATTTCCGAGGATCGTGAAAAAGGGGTGAACCCGAGTATACAGAAGACCAGCCCAGATAATCCCCTGTACTCTACCCCAAAGCGGGTTACTGTCAGAATAGGTATGTGGTAGTAGTAGTAGTAGTAGTAACTAGCATTCCAGGCCTCCCCACTTCGGGAGACCGTAGAGCTTAGAATACTAAGTAATCCTATCCTTCGGGGAAGCCGTGAGGTGAAACCTTACCAATTGATCACTAATTGATGATATACGCCGAAGCACTTCGCGCTTCTCGATTACATTTTTGCTGTATATAAGCAGAAACATAGGAACCTATCCGAAGGCCAGGTAAGTTGACACTTGAGCATATACCTACCCTACACTGCTGGCTGTGCCGTGCCGCGCTGCGCTATATTCGGACGTCACAGCTTGAAACAACGCGTCAACCAATCGGCCATTCTAAAGCCGATATCATCGTACGCAGCGGAGCGAAACAGATCGGAGTCAAGGCTAGAGACCGGATAGGCTGAGACGAAACGGATACCAATCTAATGTCTCTCCAATTTAAACTAGCCAGCGGAAAAAAAAACTCTCTATGACTTCACCAAAATACCTCCGCAGAGACGAACGGAAATCCTCTTGTTGACCGAGTATCCTCCCACTCCTCGACCCACAGGACGACAGCTCGGCGCGAGATCAGTACGGCTTCTGGCCGGTGAAGTTTCCGGGGGGCGAGTATCTGCCGACGATGTAGACGCCGCCCTTGGCGTCCTTGGCCGCGGCCATGCCGAGCTTGGTGGTCGACTTCCACAAGCATTGCGCTGGGAGGTAGGAGAAGGGGGCGGGACGCGTTAGCAGAGACTCCAGAGACGAGGACGCGATACCGCCGTGCTCGGCCGACTTACTGTAGTGCCCGTACGACCCGAAATCGCCCTGCCCGATCGGCTGGCCGCGGTAGTTCTTCTCCTCGTCGAGCCACATCTTGGTGCCCAGGAGCAGCGGGGTCTGGCTGGAGCCGGATGACCTGCAGACCACGCGGGTTAGTCAGACCCGTCGGCTCCTGCTCGGTGTGCGCGTTCTCTTACCATGCGAGGTTCTCGCCCTGGTTGGGCCGCTGGTCGCCGCGGGAGTGCTCGAGCCGCCCGATCCGCGCCAGGTGGTTCGCGTAGTCTTGCGCGTTCTTGGCCAGCTGCCCGTCCCAGGCCAGCGCCGGCACCCCCTTGCCCCGCCGCTTCGCGTTGTGCGCGTCCAGCGCCTTCTGCTGGTCCGGGCTCAGCGCCGCCGCGATGCCGAACACCTCCTCCTCGCCGCCGTTGGTGGCGGCCGAGGCGGACAGGAACGCCGTGTCGTCGGGGTCGTGTGCCACGGCGCTGCCAGTCTTGGACTCCACTGCCTCTTCCTCTTCGTCCTTCTTCTCCTCGTCCTTCTTCTCTTCGCCGTTTTTCTCTCCGTCCTTTTTCTCCTCGTCCTTCTTTTCTTCTTCCCTCTTCTCTTCCTCGAGGACCCCTGCGTCCAGAGAAATGAACACGTTCTCGAACGCGCCGGCCTGGCCGGGAAGCTTCAGGGGCTGCTGGTGGACGTACATCTTGCCCAGCTCCGTGAAGTTGCCGTTGCCGTCCATGAGCTGGGCCGCCGGGCTGACGAAGCTGTCGGCGACCTTGCGCTGGAAGTCGAACAGGCCGTACTCGAACACCCAGTCCTGGCTGTCGAGCCAGTTGCAGACCTTGACGGTGAAGGCCAGGACCGCCTTGTAGTCGCGGTCGATGCACGCGATCTCGGTCACCATCTTGGGAACGCATTAGCCACGCACCGCCTCTCGCGTTGAATGCATGTGTCTACTTACGACTTTATGCTTGGGCCACTTGTTGTGCATGTCCTGGATGTACTTGATCGCATCGTCGGCCCTCTTCGAGTAGTAGTGCAGACAGAGGTAGTCCGGGGGGTCGTTGGCCACAAGGGACATGAACCTCTCGATCCACTTTCGACCATTGTCATCCTAGCAGAGAGGTTAGCTTGCGAAGTCTCGATAGGGTATGCTGACTCGGGGGCATACAGAGGCAACGGCCGGGGACCCGAGCTTCTTCCCCTTATTCCTCCTCAGGGGCAGCAGCTGGTTGTACCAGATGTCCTTTGCCTGTTCCGGGCTGATGCCGGCGCGCTCAGGCTCGTTGAAGAAGAGGATGATAGGGTACTTGGTATTTTGGATGATGTTCCAATCCCCACCCCTTGTGTTCTCCAGAACGCGGACCATAGGCCGGAACGGCGCCCGGTCCTTGAGCTCAGGAGGAACCCACGCATTCCAGTTGACGACGGAGGCAACCGGGCTCTGGCCACCGAAGGGGACCTGGTTGATCTTGTCTGGAATGCCAGGATTTCCTCCTCCCCCGGTGTTGGTCCAGTCCCAGAGGATCTGCCGCTTCTTGATGACCATTTCGGGATAGTGATGCAAAGATCTGTCAAAAATCTTATAAGGGAAATGCTTCAGGGGGTTTCTTCTTAGTGTTTAAGTGCCTTGATCTTAGTGTTTGCAAAGACACATCAGCTAGCTATGAAGATACTCTTATATATTCGAGAGGTCATCACACTCATGTACGACTATGGGCGCACGTGGGCCGGGCTGAGGTGAGGCAAAGGCACACCCCAAGCTGACACCGAAGGGATGAACCCTTGGAATTTGGGCTAGACCATGTCGAGCGCATACGCCAGCAAGTGAATCGGATTGGCATGGCGCGATGCAGACTACCGAGTTAGCTAATATTATCGGTTGAACTGGCTGCCTCCGATCCCTCTAAAATCTCAGCTTGGTTTATTACCTCCTGTAGTTTGTAGGAGCACATGTCCCCGCGTAACCCGCCCTCCGCCGTTTCTTGCCGACTTCAGTAGTAAGCTATTAGATATGTAGCGGTTAAGGAGAGGCAATAACTGCTGACTTGAGTAACATATCTCGACCAGTGAGAGTATTTGAGATTTTGTTATATAACTTTCCATCGCTGGCTGGTTGTGTTGATCTGGTTCGTCATCTCACCATCCAATTGGGGAATATTGGAAAATTCGGGTAGTGTATTAGTTGACTCTTGTTGGTCGAGTTCACCTAAGGTGGCCCACTTGCTGACCATGGAGTTCTATACTTGGCACCGGGACGGTGAGAAGGTAAGAAATAAAATCCTAGCTTCGCAACCTCGGATGATCATGGGATATTGGATACTTGGGGTGACATAATCAATTGAGAATGACTTCGTTGCACAATTGTCTAATTCGGGGCTGGGGCCAGATACAATAATATCGTCGAGGAGGAGTGGCTTTGACCAGTCCTCGCGATCCAACATCCAACTTCTGCGAAGACGGCAAGGGAATGCAAGGCACTAGGCTATTGCAACAGGTGTGCAACCTCAATGTCCATGCCATATTCCAATTTCGGTTGGTCAATGGGTCCTTGTTGGTAAGCTTAGTTACCGCCTATATCAATCCTCCGCGGCGGAGCCTTGTTCTTCTGACCTCCATATCGTAATATCGGATCTCGTGCCTGTAAGAAAGATACCTATTAGAGTCTGAAGTTAAACGTAGGACTTGGCTTGAACGTACGTGACTCTTCGGGCACCACAACAGGGTCAAGTTAGGTGGCTCAGTCCGGCTGCTAGTTGCCTCCGTGGGATTTCTCCTAACACGAATTCGTTTGAAGTCTGGCAGTATTGCCTCGCCCGTTTTATGGACACTGTTATTAACACATGGTCACATTTAGAGGGAACGTAGAAGGCATATGGTTATCAAAGTATAAAAGGGCCCCCATCACCTTCTCATTTACCAGGGACATCTGTAGAGCATCAGAGCAAAACTTGTAAAGACAATTATAGCGAATATGCATTACCTTCATATCAAGAACAGATCCAACCACCCCCAGACCTTCCAGTGTCATGGCTTCAACAAGGACAAGGACTTGACCATTCAGGCCAATGGCGAAGCTAGGATCGAAGCCCCGGATGGTACCAGCGGAGCCATCATTGCTGTCCACGACAACCAAATCGGCGAGCAATGCGAAATTACCAAGTGCGGCTACATGGGTAACGACACCATTGACATCAGCAACATTGTCGGGGCGGGCGGCAACATGACCTGCCAACAGGTTGGGGACCCCCCTGGAAAATTCAAGGGCCACGAGACTTTTATGCAGGCATGCAACCAAGCCTATCACAAGCTCCCCCAAGACAAGAAGAACCAACTCAAGGGCCACGTCTTCCTCGACAGCAAGGGAAACGTCAAGCGCATTGGCCCCCCGAAGAACTTCAGGCCCCTGGAGGAGTTCGTGAGAACCTTTGCGAATGGCCGCACCTACATTGGCGTTGGTGCTTGGTGAGTGCAGCCGATTTCTAATCACTTGAACTGCGGCTAATGTCGACTCAGGGGACCGCATGCTGGTAATCCTGCCGACAACGAGCAGAGCAAAGCTGGCAAAGGCAGTAAGGACATTCTCATCGTCTACAGCGTAAGCTCTTACCCTCGCCCAAGTGCACATCTTCCATCTCTTACACACGGTTCGCAGGACGGCAATGCTGCCCCCGACCCTTCCAAGCCGTTCACCGGCCAGTCGGTCGACGCGAACGCATTCACCGTACTGAGCGTAGCCCCGCAAGACGTGCTCGCGCTCGGCACGCCCGAGGAGGAGGCGGCGGCGGCGGCGAACGGCAACGGGGACGCGGCCAACGCCTTCGGGGTATTGGCGGCTGCGCCGCCGCTGGGGCCGGGGATCCAGCTGACGAACAAGTCGCCGCGGAAGAACACGTACTTCTTCTACGACAACTACTGGAACGGCAACGGGGAGGCGGGGGCGAACTTCGACCGGCCGCTGAAGCACGTCGAGGTGGGGCCGAACCAGACGGTGCACGTGGCGCTGGACGTCAAGTTCAAGGGCCGGGTGCAGCGCGGCGACCAGCTGCCGGCGACGTGGGGCGAGTTCCAGGTCCGCGCCGCCGACGACGGCCGCGCCCACGGCGACATCTCGCTGCAGCAGGGCTGCGACGGCGCGGCCACCGTCGCCGCCACCGACGGCTCCCGCGTGTCCAACGGCTTCACCCAGGACATCGTCAAGGGCGCCCCCGCCGCCGCCGTCGAGAAGAAGCCGAACGGCGAGCGCGCCCTCGCCAGCACCGAGGGCAACTGGAAGGGCCCTGGCAACCAGGCCGCGACCGACTGGGAGTACAAGCAGCTCGGCAGCGAGAAGGCGTACATCAAGGGCGGCTCCGGCGTCCCCGACGTCGCTAGCAAGAACAATTGCCTCCACTTCACCTTCTATGTTCCCTAGAGGCAGGGCGCGGACGTGGTACTGGTCCTAATTGCGGGAGCGCTGTCGGTCTGGGCGAACAAGGGAGGAGGGTAGAATGGAAGTGGCCGGATCGGCCCGAACAGGCCCGTTGGCAGGCCTAAAATAGAGCGACGGAACTGAGACAGGGAGGTAGGTCGGATGGTTACTATGGCAGGATGCTCTTGTAGGATATTATCTATTAGACTCAACCCTGGCAATCGTTTACTCACGCTGTCTGTCTGCGCTTCGAGGCCGAAAGCCGCCAAGCCCGACATGGACACCTTTCTTGTCGTATGCCGTGTGCCTATATGACTCCGATTCTATCAGCTTCAAGGTCTTATTAGTAGGTAGTTGTTGTCGCAATGTTGAACCTTGCCTTCACTAAGCGTAAGTAGTAACATTATACCCCACACCCTCTCGCCCCCCCATCGCGCGTTTCCTTGAATAGGGGTAAGGGATAAGGGGTTAAGGCTTGGCAGGGTGCCTTCGCAGCTTAACGCATTACCAAGCCTTCGCGGTTACGAGTTCGGCATCGAATACCTACCTATCGCCCGTAACAAGACGGTTTGAAATCGCTAAGGGGTCAATGTGCACATCTGCGGCTATGTCTACGTCGATGGAGTGTGAAGGAAGGGTTATCGTGTTGACCAAGTACCCCTTAACTCTACACACACCGAGGCTGTGAGTAACCAGGCTCTTTAACCCACTTCGGCCTGAACGTCCCTAGCCTCCCCCTTTTTTTCCTCGACCGCGCTCGCCTCAATTGTGCACGACGGCGTGCAGCCCGGGCAGGATCTCGAGGTCCTTCTTCGCGTAGGTGTACTTGCCGTCGTCGGAGATCTGGGCGGAGACGCGGGGGCGCTGCTGCTGGGTCTGGCGGGCCTTGACCCACTGCTCGGTGGTGAGGTGCTGGCCGAGGTCGGTGAAGGCGTTGGTGGTGAGGCCGAGGCGGCGCAGCAGGGGGCTGTTGGCGATGGGGTCGAGGACGACGTGGTTGTTGGGGCGGGCGAAGTAGAGGACGCCGAGGCGGTCGACGTGGGCCTGGTCCGGCGGCGGCGCGTGCACGCGGTGCACGCTCGACCGCACCAGCCCGCCCGTCAGCGCCGTCAGCGCGTCGCACGTGTTGATCGTGATCGTGCCGTCCTGCGGCCGCACCCACTTCCACGCCCCCGTCGCCGCGTTCTGCACCTGCAGCGCCGCCACCGGCTGCCGGAACAGCAGCGTCACCGTCCCCAGGTCCGTGTGCCCCGGCCCGTACAGGTCCGCCACCTTGCGGTTCTCCTCCGCGCTGCGCGCCGCGTAGTGCATGTACCGCAGGTGGTCCTCGCCCTTGGCGTCGTACAGGTGGTCGCGCACCAGCTGGTCCTCGTCTGGCAGCTCCAGCAGGATGGCGAAGAGCCGCAGCAGCTTGACGACGACCTCCTGGTGGCATTTCTGCTCGCGTTTCTCCACGTCAGCCTTTTCTGTGCGCCAGTCGCCCGGGGGAGGGGGGAGGGGGGCGGCGCTAATATTCAGCTGCTCATGCTGACCCTTGAGAAGCTCTCGATCTCCTGTATGTGCTCCTCGAGAACGGCAGGCTGCTTGCGCGGGTGGAAGCCGTCGAACTTTGGTATGTTATACACTTGGATGTTGTCCTTGACGCCATTGCCGAGGCTTTAGCCAGGACCGAAGATGCTAATATGTCAGCTTGGCTTGTCCTTCCGAGATACTCAGGGCTCCTTGGCACGGGCGTATCCGCTCACATCCGGTGACCTGCCGGCCTGTACCCGTTGTACTCGCCGCTCTCCAGGTCCTTCTGGTTGTAGAACTTCAGCTTCTCCTCGAGAGGGAGGGCGTAGAATTCCCGTCCCAGCGCGAACTGCCGGTCGACCTCCTCCTGGGGGATGTTGAAGTTCTTGACGTAGAAGAATCCTGGGCACGTCGAGTTAGATGGCTTGGAGCAACGCATATTATCGTAACGTCAATCGGTATGCGCATGTCTCGGTCTACGCACCAACGTTGCGAACTGCATGATCGAGCTGTTTCACGAGCTCTTCCTTGCCGCCCGGCTGATCGTACAGACTAAGGTCGAGAGTGACGAGGTCGGCCCAGTCAACTGACGGTAGAGAACTCGGAAGATCTTGATTAGAAGGTCGGTGCTACACGTCTCACGTACGGCTGAAGCTTACGATCTGCCTTGGTTACGGGCACGTGCTCGTAGCGGTCGATATCAACGCGCCCCGGCATGTTGTTGGGTTATACTGTCTCCGAACTTCAGATACAGGCGATTCCTGTGGAGGTCTCTTACAGCCAATTCGGGACTGTGGAGTTATACGCGTGTCTTATAAGTGCTCGCGTTCCGAGTACGGAAGCTTGACACAACCAATTCTCTCTCCCGTTCTCTATCTTCTCCTCACATCCCCAATTTATCATCCCACCTCGATGGATTTGGTCGAATAGGCGCTTTGTGCCGTCCACGTAGATAGCAGGCTGTCGGGGACGAACTGGGCCGATAGGCTACATTCTCCCGACATCTACCAATCGAGACACCCCGGGGCTATGGCGCAACTTGGAGTCGGTATTATGTGTGCGGGGTTGATGGTATATCCACGCGTGATGATTGAGCATTCACGTAGACCGTCGCGGTATCTCTGGCAGCTCTCCACCGTCTGGAGCGTACGGAGCGTACGGAGAGCACGCCATGCCAGCTTCGCCGCACCTCATCCTACTCCCGACGGGGCCAATGCGACGTCGCGAGGGAGCACCGCAGATAATCTGATAAGATCCCTCTATTCGTGTTGCAATTTCCTGTCTTGGCACAATGATCCTGCCAGAAAGCTCCTCAATGTTGCCATGCCAGGTTGTGTTGCCGTCACATCGACAGGCATGATGGGAGGTATCGCTCAACGGCAGGGTAATATTCTCCGTGTAAACCCATGCGAATAGGGTCCAGGCCGCCAACCGCTTCCTGGCAAATATGAGATCTGGTTGCCCCCGTATCATTGTAATAAATGAAAAGCCACCCAGGCTGCCTCCCAGCTCGCTATGATTCGAAACTGAGACGGACCTCATTGGATATTCCGCGAAAATGGCTGCAACGAAGGAGGGCCAGAAGCGGCTTTCCCTATTCGGCCTCATAAAAGAGATCTTCAATTGGTATCCCTCCAGTTACCCTGCAGCCGAGAGAAAGTAAGCAACCGTCTCTATGTCGAAACTCGGGAGACAATTGGTTATACGAGCAGAGCCACTGACGACTGTAGGCTGTTATTCAAGTTGGATCTTTCTATCCTAATATTTGCCTGTCTATGCTGTAAGCCAAGCCGCACTCACTGTTCAAAGGACTTTGAAACTCGACGGCTGACATGCTATCTACCCTGATATAGTCTTCGTGAAATTTCTAGGTAACCAGCATCCCTCCTCCACAAGTCCAAACGCAGCATGAGGCTTATTCCCCCTCTTGAACCTCGCTCGAAGACCAGACCAACATCAGCAATGCCTATGTCAGTGGTCTCAAGGAAGAGTTTGCTCTATACGGAAACGAGCTCAACTTCTTTAACGTCTGGTACTATGTGGCCTACGTCATCTTCCAGATCCCGGGCATGCTCCTGATATCGCGGCCTCAGCTGTGAGTACTCGATCTTCTGAGCCAGGTCGGCCTTCAAAAGAGGAGGGGAAAGGGAGAAGGGGATGTAGCTAACGGAGAAATGTAGGTCGCGTTGGCTGCTACCCGCCCTCGAGGTCCTCTGGGGCATCGTCACGTTTGCCCAGAGCCGCGTCACCAACGTTGAGCAGATCTACGCGTGTCGCTTCCTCATAGGCATGCTGGAGGCTCCCGTATTCGCCGGGACGCACTTCATCCTAGGTATCCACCAAGCCCTCCCCCTTCTTAGTTGCCCGTGCCCTGGTACTGATAAGACATAGGCTCCTGGTACAGCGGTCCCGAGCTCTTCAAGCGAGCCGGAACCTGGTTCATATGCAACCCGCTGGGGACCATGGTCAGCGGGTATCTGCAGGCCGCGGCGTACACAAATCTCTCTGGCGTGGGCGGGCTGTCAGGTTGGAGGTAAGTTTGGGTTTCAGCTTTTTCGTCCCATGCCGCATCGCCGCCCGCGGCCCATCGCGTGTGTGTGACTGACTCGTATGCGCCCCCGACGAAGGTGGCTCTTCATCATCGACGGCATATTCACCCTCCCGGTCGCCTTCATTGGCTTCGTCGTCTTCCCTGGGATACCGGACTCGCCGAAGCCGTTCTACTTCACCGACGGCGACATTGCGCTCGCCAAGGAGAGGCTAGCAAAGGCCAAGGTCCGGAAGCCGGGCAAGCTGGGGCTGGACGTCTTCAAGCGCACGCTTCGGCGCTGGCACATATGGATCTTCGTATTCTGCTACATGTAAGTGTCGTCCGCCCCTAATTCTCACGCCGTGTATGCCATTGACGTTAATCACCTTCCTAATCATCCTTCGATCTAGATGTATGATCATCTCCGGGTATCCGAACGCATACATGAACCTCTGGCTCAAGGATGAGGGCTACTCGGTCGTCCAGATCAACCAGCTCCCCACCGTCACGCATGCTATTAATATCGTGACGTCTTGGCTTGGCACCACTCTCGCTGCCATCTACCCTTCGTGGACCGTCTACACAGGGGCTACCGCGGGGATTGTGTTCTCCAACATATGTATGATCGTTTGGAGAATCCCGAAACCACTGATGTATGCAAGCCGCCCCCCCTTTTTCGTCACATGGCGGCCCTCACTCGACCTTCTCCCATGGACTAACTCCTTGACCGCAGGTTTGTATCATGGTACCTCTTCGGTTTGTCGGGGTGCTTAAGCCCCATCCTGTACTCTACCGTTAATACGGTGGTGAAAGCTGACTCAGAGGAGAGAGCACTCATCATGGTGAGCTTGGCCGTATTCATAACCAGCACCTCAGGTTATGTGCAGTTCTAATGGAATGTAGGGAGCGATGATGACCTTTGGCTACTCGTTTTACATCTGGGTCCCTTTGCTGCTGTTCCCGACAGTCGGCCCCAACGGCGCGCCTAGGTGGCGGGTCGGTTGGCCCGTCGCGCTCGTCTTCCACGTACTACTATGGGCCGGGTTCGTCGCGGCCATTCTGCTTCATCGCCGAAAGTGAGACTTGGCCTGGGACCCTTTCTGAGACTTGAGTCATGTTACTAACACGCTTCAACAGGTCTACGGATAATGACGAAGCGGAAGAGGCAGAGAGTTCATCGGCGGAGGATCCGGTACTGGTTGAGACCAATCCGCAGATCAAAGACTAAAGCGGTTTCCTCTCACGTCCTAAGGCGTCCCAAAACCGCGGAGGCTTGCTCGCCGTCAAATCTTCATGAAATGAATTCTTCATAATGGTAAATAATCACCCCAGTGTTGGCTACACGTGTGGACTATCTTCAATGCAGGATAGTTCACGGACTAGATTGAAAAGGTCAACAATGCTTCAAGACGTTTCAATGTTAGTGGGATCGTGTAGATATGTGCTAAGACATATTCCGAACCTATCTCCGTTATATATTACATTGTAGGGTTTGAACGCACTGGCACATTTTATGCTGACATTGGCGATGCGCTCACCGAGACCCTACACGGGAACCCGTCGCGGGGGTGCGCCGAGCCACTCTCAATCAGGTAGGCCTTCTCATGGTCGACGTTGGTCAGGTCGACGTTCTGGCCGGCGAAGACCTCGTCGTAGCACTCCTGGAAGTCGAACTCGCGGCATACGATGGCGAGGAACGCCTTGAGCTCTTTTAGCACGAACGCCTGGCCGGTGCAGTTGCGCACGCCGTACTCGAACGGCCGCCACGCGCCCTTGGCTGGGTATAGCTCGTCGCCGGGCCCTGCGAGGAAACGCTCCGGCAGGAACTCGAGCGGTCGCGGCCAGTAGTCTGGATTCCGGTGCAGGGTGATGTGATTCATCTGCACCGAGATGCCCTCGGTTGGGTACTCCGTTCCATCGCGGCCCTTCAGCACGAGGTCCTTGGATCCCGTGCGGATACCATTCGCGGGCGGAAATAGCCGCATCGTCTCCTTGATGACGGCCAAGGTGTACGGGAGGGAATTGAGGATAGAGGGATTCTCGCAGATCAGGTCCGGGCACGCGGCGACGTTCTTCCCGAATACCTGGTCGTGCTCGGCGCGCAGCTTAGCCAGGACCTCAGGATGTCGCCAGATCAAGTAACAGCTGGAGGTCATGGTGCTCGAGGTGGAGTCGTAGCCGGCGAAGAAGAACAGACGCAGCTGCGCGCAGAGCGTCTCCAAGAATTTGGTGTCGAGCGGGTCAGAGAGCTTCCGGCCCGGCTCGGAGTAGTAGCTCTCAAGCGCTTGGTCGAGGACGGAGTTATAGGCTAGCTGCTCGCCCCGCGACCGGGCACCGCGGAAGGCTGACAATCTCTTCGCGATCTGCGCCCGAATCTGCCGGTCCAAGACACGGCTGTTGTTCCACATGCTGAAGACTCTAAACGGGTTGAGCTGGCCCAAGTTGTCCTTTACGTTTTGTACGCCGAACTTCAACGCGAGCTGGCGCAGCATCTTCTCTGAAAGCGGGTGAGTGCCCGCCGTCTGGTTGCCAAGCTCCTCATTAAAGATGACATTCCCGGTGATATCGTTCATGAGCGACAGTGTCAACGGCCCCATGCGAAGTAGTTCTCCGGTAGCGGCTCCCTTTCGAAGCAGATCGCGGAAGACGAGCATCTGGTCGACGACGACGGGCATGGTGGAGTCCAGGTTGCTATTGTTGAAAAAAGGCAAGAACAGATCATGGTCGCGTTTCCACTCCGGGCCGTTCTGGGTGAACAGGTTGACGCCCCGGTTCCCGGAGATGGGCGCGAACCACGAACTAAGGCTCTCGGGCTTCTCGGCGGACACGACGGCATGGTTAGTAACCTGGTTGGCGATGTAAGGGTCGGTGACGATGAGCATGGGGATGCTCATCGGGGAGCTATCAAAATAGTAAGCCGGTGCGCGGCCCAGCTTCCTGCATAGCCGGTCGAGGATGTAGACGCTGTGGGCACCTGGCGGAAGCTCCTCGCTGGCAGTCTTAGCTTCGAGGAGATGACCGAGGAGGGCGCTGTGCGGGAGCATGGGCTAGGGCGAGACGCGTTAGCAGAGGTAGGTAGATATGTGTTAGTATCCTTAGGGCATGTCAGAGAGCTCTGGAGGATTAACATGATAAACAGTGAGAACGTCGGTCCTTTTCACCTTTCCCATCTTCTCGTATTTTTTTATTATGCTCCGGTTCCGCCATAGGCTGGTGACGAAGGAGAGGAACCTCGCGAAAGCGAAAATCAGCAGAACAGCGCCAATGGCGTTAAGGATCCTTGACCACGGGGAGTCCATGGTGATTCGTGGCGGGCAGAATCCCGTCGACAGGTTTCGTTGTTGACGCTCGTGCTGACCACCGCTGAACTCGCGGTCGGCGACAGGCCTGGGTTGCGACCAACACTAAGCGGCCCCAGGTCCCCCTCTACGTAGCCCCTTATAAGACCCCCGCCCCGATCGATACTAAACGCTGCGCGCCTATCGCAATGTGTATCGCAGTGTCGCAGTGTGATTATGGATTAGCGAGGGCAATAGCCCAGACGATGGTGATGTGATGGGTGGCGACACCAGTTGTTCGATCGCATGCCTACCGCTCACAACTTCGACGTACACTCGAGGAGATGATACCTTCGCGTCCACGGGTGCGCAGTGACGGTCCGGTTGAAGAAGTCTACGGAGGAGATGTAGGTGATATGTCTCGGGTGGTTCGTCTTACCAATATATATACCTATATAACTAGGCTTATTGATGGGGTTATTACTAGGTTGGTTGGTTTTATTGCTTCTATTTTCAGCCGGCTAGAAAGGGCTAGACTCGTCGCATTCACGTCCAAACGTATTCATCCCATTACGGGCTCCCCTGGTTTCCTCGATCGACTTTACGCGGCCCGACCGTATGGGCGGCGATGCACAAGTCCGAATACGCAGAACCCAGGAGAGCATCGAGAGCAGCCAAGAGTGGGGAAAATAACGAAAGGGTAGCCTTTTTTTTCTCGCCTTTATTACCATTCTTTTTCTTCGCCTTTTACTTCCAGGTTCGTCTTTTTATGCTACGTCTATACTACACTTTCGACGGCCAACAGCTGCAGCTGTTCCTCCATCCAAGTGCTGGATTATCTAGTCCCCACGCAGGATTTCCTATGATAATAGTGAGCGGGTGCCTGAACAGCGGCACCTTTACAAGTAGGTAGGTATGTAGGTACATCCACACGGTGGCCCTGCCTACAAGGTACATAGCTGCTATCGCCTCTCCATCTACCAATCACAAATTGCCGTGCAAAAGCCTCAACTACGAGTTGAGTAATGGAGGAATCGGATCCGTATACTGCCTACTGTGTATATCAGTCCGTCGATAGGGAGTTCCATAGCTGTCTTGGTATGGTACCTGTTACATTGTACGTCTCCAGGATATGCCTTTAGGTATATTGTGGGGGCAGCTGAAGACGAGACCAAATACCGGGGGGATAGGGCTGATAAGATACAGCGCCGATAAGATAAACCGATAAGGTGGGTCGGATGAGAGTGACGAGTCCTGAATTTTTATTTTCGCGTGCAAACCCTCTCGACAATTCCCACCCACCTGCTACGGGACAGGTAGAAGATAGCGACATCACGATGCCGAAGCCACGGTCGAGGCGGCAAGCTCTCCGCGACGAGAGGAAGGCGAAGAAGCACGAAAAAGAATCGGCTGCCTACGACGGGAACGAAAAGACTACCAAGAAACGACGTTTGAACGAGGCGGGTGATGCGGCGGGCGACGAGGCCCTAGAGCGAGAAGCGCGATTCCAAGATGGATACGACGGCCAATACCAGCCGCGAAATGGCGGGCCTCAATCCACCGACCGCGAGTTTTTCGGCATGTTGTCGGATCAAGAACAAGAATACTTCCGCTCCGTCGACGAGCAGCTCGATATCGACGATTTCCCCTCCCACGAAGACCGCCAGCTCTATCTCGGCAGCGTGCTAGCCGAGGCCCAGGGCAAGGAGCTCAAGCTAGCCTGCAGCCAGTCCTGCTCGCGATTGATGGAGCGGCTGATACTAATGTCGAACACGCGCCAGAAGAAGCAGCTGTTCGGCCAGTTTGCCGGCCATTTCCTGACCCTCATCCAGCATCGCTTCGCGAGCCACTGCTGCGAGACCCTATTCCTCCAATCCGCCCCGATTGTCACGAGAGAGCTGGGAGGAGAGCGTGATGACATGCCGACCGACCAAGATGACCCCGGCGAGCAGCCTCTGTCCTCGATGGAAGAGTTGTATCTGCTCACGCTCGACGAGCTCGAAGGCAGCCTCGGCTATCTACTCACCGATAGGTTCGCCTCGCACACGCTCCGCGTATTGCTCATCATCCTATCCGGACGGCCTTTGGAACAGTCGCAGACCAAATCCCTCATACACAGCAAGAAGAAGGAACATATAACAGTCCCTTGGACATCTGACGGGTCGGCCAAGCTGAACTCGCAACCCCGGGCCGTACCCGCGTCCTTCACTCTGGCAGCCAAGAAAATCATCGCTGATTCCATTTCCGACTCGACTCCTACGGAGCTTCGAATCCTCGCCACGCATCCGACTGGAAACCCTGTTCTCCAGCTCATGTTGGAACTGGATATCAGCCTAAATGAGAAATCTAGGGACCAGTCAGACAAGGCGATATTGCTGCCGCGTCTCTTGCCCGGGGCGCCTGCTTCGCTAAAGGATAGCACGACTCCGGCATCCGACTTCGTTAATTCGATGCTCTACGATCCCATCGGCTCACGGCTTCTCGAGACCCTCATCACGCACTGTCCCGGGGGCATTTTCAAGGCTATGTACAAGCACATCTTCGCAAGCCGCATACATAGCCTCCTTCGCAACGACATTGCGTCCTACCCCGCGATCCGCGTCCTGAATAGACTCAGCAAGGAAGACCTAGCCCAAGTCGTCGAGAAGACCCTACCCGAGATAAGCAAGCTCGTCGCGCTGTCGAGGTTCAACGCGATCAAGGCCCTCTTCCAGCGATGCGAGGTCCGACACGCCCAGGACGAGATCGGGGCTCTCACCACGGCTCTGGTCGACGCCTTCGGGCCAGACCCGACGTCTCTCGTTCCGAAGCTGTGCCTGCCGCAAGCCCCGGAGGCCAGCAGCGAAACGGGCCACGGGCCGCCCGCGAAGAGCCACTCGGCCCTGGCCTCGCACGGCTCGCAGCTAGCCACGGCCCTCCTCGCCATCCCCGGGGCGCCGCGCGGCGCAGTCCAGACGTCGCTCGCGGCGCTGCCCGCGGAGGTCCTGGTGCAGCTCGCGACGTCCTCGCACGTGCTGGCGGCCGCGCTGTCGACGCCGTCGCGGAGCAAGATCCTGCACAAGACGCTCGTCGCGGCGCTGCGGCCGCACGCCTTCGCGCTCGCCGTGTCCGAGCCCGGCAGCCGGGTGCTCGCCGCCGTCGCCGCCATGCCCTGCGCCAAGCAGCCCCCCGCCGCCGCCGCCGCCGCCGTCTCGCTCCCCTTCCACCTCAAGGAGTCCGTCCTCGCGCTGCTCGCGCCGCGCGAGCGCGAGCTGCGCGACTCCGCCCCCGGCCGCCGCGTCTGGCGCGCCTGGAAGGGCGACCTGTGGACGGCCCGCCGCCGCGAGTGGATCGCCTGGGCCAAGGAGGTCGACGGCGCCCCCGCCGCAGCCGCGCCCGCGCCGGAGGGGCGGCGGCCGAGGGCCCCGAGGGAGGCCCAGAGGGAGCGCGATGCGGGGACGTGGAAGCGGAAGAGGGGCGCGGAGGGCGGGTAGAGGGGGACAGAGGGCTCGGTGGTCAACCCAATCTTGCTCGGCCGTGCGCCGTGTGTAGAAGACGATGTCAGACAGATAGACGGACGGATGTATATACCCAGATACCCCAGCGTTACCCAAATACTCGCCCAGGTTTTTCCGGACGAGCGTCGTGCCGTCAGACGGCCCTTCAAATTGACCGCATCATCAGCTTGTAATGCTCTACCGTCTGATCCAGGATCGACAACGTATAAGCTTTACGCATTTGCGCATAGTGTCGCAATTCACGGCGCAGCGCTCTCCCACATCTGTTTTCAAGTTCTTTATTTATTTCTTCCAATTTTTTTGTACAAGGTTTTCAATCTCACCTTTGCCAGCTCCCGTGTTTTCCCAGCCCCCTCTACATCCTCTCTCTGCCTTGTCTATCTCGGTCTTATATCCCGATGTCTACTCCCTCCGTCCCTCCCTTATCCGAGGGGCCTACCGAGAGCCCCATTGATTTAATTAGCGAACTCCCCTTCCCCCCACGACCACCACCTCATCTTTCCAATTGATGGATCGTGGTGTCGTGCTGCGCGACCTTTCACTCACGCCACGTCGCCGTCGTATAACTTTCTCTAGCTAGACCCCCGCCATTTTTCCGTTGGTGGGTTCCTCTCCTTTATGTGAGGTAGGTTGGTGACGCGAGATACGCACGAAACCCTGGTATCCTTCCCGCTGCGTGGTTTCACTCGACATCCGCAGAATTACGCCGCTTAAGAGCCTCCCTGGCTCGCACTCGACGAACCAATAATGACGGCAGTCGTATACGCGCGGGATACACATATACATGTGCCCGACGTCTTCAAATGAGAAGGGGATGGCGTTCAGCTGTAGCGCGTACACAACGCCGTAGGTATACGGCGGCTTCCCCGGCCCCTTCCGGAACCAGATCCGCCCTCCCTGACCCACCGGAAATCCCGCCAGCGGTCCCACGACCGCACAAACGAACCGAGCGCCGAGAATATAGACGATAAGTCATAGACGGAGCCAGGCTAGTGCTCCGCGCCGAAGTCGACAAAGCTCTCCCAGGCATCGCCCGTCATCCCGGCCCCCGGCGTGCCTAGGCCGCCGTAGTCGTCATCGGGTATGTCGAACGGCCCCAGGGAATCGGTCAGCGGGGAGATCATGTCGATGCTCTGGCCCGGAAGCCCGTAGGCGGAGAAGCGTTGATTGCCCGAGCTGGCCTGGTTCGCCATCGTATCTCCCTGCAGAGAGTAGTCGCCGGCAAGCAATCCAAATATCTGCAGGTTGACCGCGTTGTCGTCCATGATCTGCGTCGCCATCGGGTCACTCATGCCGATGTTGGTCATCATCTTCACCTCACGGGGTAGCTCCGAGGTGAAGGCGGACGACAGCGCCGACTGCGGCGCCATTTGCGGGTCGAGGGCGCCGGCCTGGAAAGAGGGTGTTCGATACGGATCGCGCTTGGGCTCGGGCACGTCGGCAGGTCCGGTGGAGCCAGGAGTCGGCGCCGATGGCGACGACATGGCGGTCGCGGGATTAGACACTGGACTCACTGTGGTAACCGAGTCTCTACCGCCAAAATGGGAGTGTTCTGATTGGGCTCGGCTATGCGGAGAGGTAGGACTCGAGTCTGACGCCGACAGCCTATGGGAGAATGCGCCGTTGTTGTTCGCAAGGGGAGCCATGTACAGCGAAGTTGCCGGCCGATGTCGGTACGCCGTTGCGCTCGGGAAGGACTCGCTGAATAGCCGGTTGACTTCGTTATACCGAGCGACGGCGGCCATAGCGGTTTGTGTGGTGACGAACGCGTTTACGCGATGGTTCATGTCGGACGAGCCCGTTTGCAGGTGGGCGGTGAGGTACTTATATTGGCGCGGCAGGTCATCCTCTTCCTCCTCGTACATTTCTTCCTTCAGCACGATCTCCTCACTCACTTTGAGACCTCGACCGGTCCGTCTGCGGTGGATCTCGGAGGCCTGCCGGGCAGACTGAACCCTCGCCTCCAGGCTGCGGTCCGCCCGCCTCGACGCGGCGATATAGGCTCTTTCTTGGTTTTCCTCGTGTGATCGTTCTGTCTGCAGCCCGAGGTTAGAAAAGACTGCTTGGGCTAATATGCGCCGTCGTAGAAAGGAAACGCGCTTACCTTTTGGACCTTCGCAGGCGGGATCTGATCAATAGCCAGCATGGCGGTGGATACGTCGGAGTGTCGTTTCGGCATAGGTGTGAAAAGCTTGGTCAAGCAATACCCCGTCCCGTCGGGTAGCTGGTGAACTAGCTAAGATGTAGAGAGGATGCGGTGTGACGTGGACTTATATGATCTTGCGGAACGCCGATACTGAAGGGGCTCGGCTGCTATCTCAGTCGTTGTTGGGAAACGCGTTGATCAATGAGAGACAGGGCCGGAGGGTCCTGGCAGGAGTGGCTAACTGCTCCCCAGAATTTGGTGCTGGTCGAGAGCCGAAAAGCAGTGGCGAGGAAACGGAGGGTACACTAGGGAGATGGAGAGTGCGACTCTTGACGAGACTCGGATCGCGTATGGCAGATATACTTAATGTCGGCTCTCTATCCCTCGCACGCGCTGTGTCCCGTTGTTTGCTTCCGATTTGTGCCCAGGTGTTTGTAGTGGCGTTGGTCTCTTTAATACCGGCTGCCAGGCTATCCGGAAGCGCCGTGACACGATCAGTAGGATCGTCTTGGACGGTCTATATAATCAGCCAGCCACCCCAGGTACTATCTGGAAACAGTTGGCGTGGGTGTAAGCAGGTTTTAGGGCTGGCAGGGGCCCTCCGACATAGGTGGGGATGTTGTCGACCGGCTAAGCAGCGGGGAGAAAGAAGCCAGCAAGGCCAAGTCGACGTGATAGCACCGACGGTAGCCCTGCAAGCGGCAGTAGAGGGAAGGGGTGGCGGTGGGTATGGGTATGGTAGCTCCAGTTGTTGCCAAAGACGAGAACACTGGGAATCCCGGGGAGGCGGGTATCGGTGGTTAAGGAGGTGGTGGTGGTGGCAGCAGTTGTTATGGTGATGGTCTCGGCGGCGGGAGTCATGCAGGGGAGATTACTTAGGGGGGGAGGGGGAGGGAGAGGAGGGGGAGGAGGGGGGGGACTGTTATGAAGACAGTAGGGAGCAGGCGAGATAGAAAGAGAGGGAGGAAGCCAGGCAGATGGCGGACAGGCTGGTAGTGGAGAGACGGAGAGTGCAACTCCTCGCGCAGCCGTTTCTTATCCACGGCAGGCGCATTATATACGAGAAAGTACGAATTCCCATATTCGGAATCGCGAGGTTACGGGGAGCCACGGCAGGGCTGGGTACCGTGTACGCGGCGTCGAGGGCGTGGGCGGCGGCGGCGGGGTGTACCGGGGACCTGACGGGTTCGATCAAGGATTCCTGAATGCGGGAGAGTGTCTAGATGGCGATCGATCTCGATGAGGCGCCCGCCGGGAACCAGTAGGAGCGTGCGATAGCGGGGAGATAGAGCTCCAGGTACTTCCCAGAGGGGTTCGGCGCCTCGAGTGGGCCGTACCCTGTAGGTGCCCACTCTTTTACATACGTACCTGTGTACGTTGCATCGAGCCGTCCGGGCCCGTTTCTGGCCTGCCGATACCTTACCGGCCTGGCTAGGTACGTGGGCCCGTCGGGGTACGTATCTCAGGTACCTCATGCGCCTACCCACCTACCTTACCTAGGAGGTACCCCGTAGGCGGGCATCTCTGCGACTCCCTTGCCTTTGAGATAGCTCTGCCTGACACCTCCATCCGGCAGCTAGGAGACAAGCACCCAAGGCATCCATCCACCAACAAGTAGGAGATAGGCGAGCGCGCCTAGGTCCCAATGCGCCTAGATCTTCCGAATCGTCTCCCACACACACGCACAGCCGGAGGAGGCATCGCAGTCCCTCCTCAGCTCCGTATCCCCAGAGCTTCCTTGCGGCGGGTCACACGGGGCGGGTAACAAGAGTATCAGGTAATCGTGTCCCTGTACGCCTGTGTTGTAGATGGCACCAAGATAGCACCTGACGGCGAGCGACCATGCCCGTAATCTACCTATACATAGCTATGGGAGAGTAGGTAGGTAGGTATGGTAGAGACTACGTGGGATGGGCGGGTTGCGGGGGTAAGCGAGTACCATGCAATCCGCCAACTCTGCCTTAGCCGTTAGACAGACGACGGCTACGTGGAAGCTGTCGTTATGTCTGGAGAATGGGTCTGACAGGTATATGCAGTCTGCACCTCCCCCACGCTCCACGCCGGGCAGCGTCGGCGGAGCTTGCCAGGCTCTCCACATCCAAGCACAATGGGACGGGGGGTGTTAACAGAAGTCGAGAGAAACTCGGCGAAAATACCTGTGCGATCACGAGCCGAGTTATTGCGGTCGACCGCGGTCGACCGGGAGGTAGGTAAGCAAAGCGGGAATCGAGGCCACGGGCTACGACGCGCGTAGGTGGATGACAAAAGAAGGAAGCAAATATGACCTCGTAACAACATCAGCGAACGAGGACACGCAATTGCGACTCAACGTCAACGTCAAACCCCGGCATATTCCAGTACATCGCTGATACATGCCCGCCCGGGAGGTGCTCAAAGCAGTTGCTAGGTACGTGGTGCGACGAGGTCCGTACGTTAGGAGGCAGGTTAGGAGGTAGGCACATGGATACCCCCCCTCCAGCGTCCCACTACACATAGGTAATTCTATAGGTACCTAGGTAGATAATAGGTATCTTCCGGGCAACGTACGCAGCTCCAGATACCTCTCGGCGAGCTGCCCGCTCACCGCACCAGCTTAGCTACACAGGTTGTAATGCAATTCCCTCCACATCGCCTCCGGAGCATAACCGCCCTCCTCTTCTCAACCCACGAAGCGGGACGACGCCGGTCCGTCTGCCACGTCGACACCTTACGACCGCGCAGAAACTCGGTCCTCACCCTCACCCTCACCCCACCCCCGTTTTCCCCCTCGCCGGTCTACGCGCGTCGTTCTGCGCTGCCCTCCCGACAGGGTTCCCGACGATTTCCAAAGCCAATGGGACCTCGAGGAGGCAAGTCCATCGTCCTACGTGGTAGCAGGAGCAGGCCTGCGTGTGCCTTTGAGACATGCATACGCCCGGAGGGAGCGAGGGAAGATGGGTCCAGAGCGCGCCCCCGACGATTGCCATCATATTTTCCGATGGGTGACATCAAGCCACCGAATCCGAGTGCGGAGCCCTATCGATGCGCCTCGAAACGGGCCGGAAACGGGGGGGGGGGGGGGGGGGAGGAGGAGGGAAGCGAAGGGAGACGGGTTCCTTTGGGTCGCTTACCAGATCTCTTTGCTTCGTTCCCATTGGGAGTTCCCTCGTAGCTCTTGTTTTTTTTACGCCTGCAACCTCTGAGCTCGTCCCCTATCGATGGCCCTCGCGGAGCAAAAGATCCGTTCCCCCTGGTTGCCGGATGGTCTTTCGCCGACGGTACTTGACGCCTTAACAATTTTTTTTCAGGCGTGGCGACGAGGAGAGTCTTGCTGGGGAGGCTTGCCAAGGCCGCCTCCACCCACACTGCCCGCAAGCCACATGCGGCGTTCAGGCTAACCTCGATTCGTTGAAGCAGGGATTTTGAGTAATCCCCATTACGTTCGCGTCCACACCCCATTCTCCATCCCTTCTCACCTCTCCTCCCTCTTCGTCCTCTACATTGCTCGCCTTTGACGTGGATTACCCCTCAATATGAGTTCATTTTCGCCGGCCGGAAACGAGACCGACGCCAAGGGCACATTTGTATCGTATCTGCTATGTAGCACTGGGCCGCGCCTCGGCCCCCTCTTCCCGCCCTCCATAGGACCGGGCTAGGCGGTGGTTCCCTCCCCTCCTCTCCCGGCTGTCGATCACATCCCAATATTACCAGCATTGTCTGACGCGGCACCTGACTGATGGGATTCTATCCTCGTCCTCCCAAAATGCCATCTTAGAAACCATGCGATTTTTCTTTCGTCCCATCTAGTGCCAAGAATTCCGACTAATTGGTGGCTGCATCCCCCTCGCCCCCCCCAGTAGGTAACAGACGCTTACCGCTATTGTGCGTGCCGTCCTTTCGACGAGCTCTCGTCGCGTATGAGCGCCCTCTGGGTCCGTCGACTCGCCAAAAGAACCCGCTCCCCATCGGTAGGCTCTTGTGTGTCTAATGACACCGTAGTCTCTCTTACCCGGTCCAAACCTGATAGGCCCCCGCAAGCAAAATCTCTTACGTGGCGAAATCGAACATGCCCTTCGTCTCAGCTGGGCTGATGTGCTTGGGAGTATTTCGGGCAAATCTACTACCCTAGACGTATAGCGGTAAGTAACGCTCTGTGTAGCCTTACCACTAGCAGATTCCGATTTCGCGTGCTCTGAGTAAATTCGCAAACTGTTCCCGCTCGCTCCAGTCGTGCGTACCTAACCACGCAGATTCATGACCTGCGCCGACGCGTTATTGAATCCACGTCTCTAATCGCGAGCTGGTCGGTGGACTCTGGCGTGGTCTCTGCCGATGGGTATTTTATATTTAGCCTTCCCAGATTCCCGGGCTCGGTAATTCTGGCCTATCACCTTTAGGTGCTTGTCGACGTCCAGGGCCGAGTTCTTTGCCGGGCCAGGCGAAGCCCGCAACTCCTCAACATTTCTTATTAGAAGTAATGGCCTATCGGGAAAAGCCCCTCTTCTCGTTGTTTTGTTACCGATTTATACGAATACTGATCACAAATCTATGTCTCGAGGCTATTGAGTTCCCCGGACAAAAGGACCGATGGAATTGTGGGGATCAAGGCAGCCACACGACTACGCCCACTATTCGCGAGACCTCCGGAGACTTTTGTTCAACCTCGCTCAAATGCTAGTACGCCAAATATATGCCGAGGGTGCCCGTGTTGGATAGTAATCACGTTACCAGTTTTATCGACATTCCCTCAGTCTACCAGTTAGTACCGGCTATAAACAATGATGAGTCTCTTGACCGCCTCTGTAGGTAAGTAACCGCGTCGGAACCCGTTGACAGACGAATAACGAACAGCGACCTATTCTCAGCTAGGGCGTATTATCGAGTGGCATATCTGGCTCACATGCTACACCCCATCACAGCCTCTGTTGGGTAGGGAATCCGAGCTACAGGTCGTAAGGTAACTCTAGATCGGACACCTTCTCACATAGCTCCTATTGCGCGACAGTGGAACTTCAGATTCGCGCCTAGAGCAGCAACACGACCACCCCAGGCCCATAGCCGTTCACGTACATGTCGACAGCAAGTCTCCGGCACGCCAATCATACCCGGGCATGGTAGACGAGAGCAGATACCGACAGGCCGACGTCCAGTGGTTGAAACCTGGCCTCCACTCCCGGTTCTACGGCACTACTGCTGGAATGCCTTTTAGGCTGGCTGGCGTGCTTAGACCACGCAAGAATCGATTCGATATCTACTGTTATGTTGCCCGGCCGCGAAGCATTGAAACGCTCCTAAGGGAGGCTACATACATGTCTGTCACACTACCTCTGCTGGAGCAACTGTGGGTAGCATGGGAGGGGTGTCTAGAACCCACCGATCAAGCATAGGCAGGTAACTACAGGAATCCCCCTCGTTGCTCGATCCCTACCTATTCCCTGGTTCCCGGTAGTAAGGAGGGTCAAAATAGGTGCGGCTATCGGAGGCTAGAAGTTCTAGACCTCTGCTCATGATCTCCTTCGGGGCAAGTGTATTAAAGAGTTTGCCAACTGACACGTAGGCTATTATTAGCTCCTAGTTTGATGGGGATCTGGGAAATCCGGGGGACACATGCCCCGAGATCTACCGGCACACCTTAGCTACAGCTCTCCCGTCCGAGTTCGAAGGTTGGGCTGCAAGCTTGACCTGCAGAGAGCACAAATTAGGACCCCGCACTACTGAGGCGATGCCCCCCCTGCTCTCCTCCTGCTCACCCCATGATAGCCACTTATACGAGCATTGTTCCTCATTGCCCGTCCAGAGTCGGCCTCGAAAGCCGTCAAGCACGCGTCCGCGCGTAGTATTTGCGACGCAATGACTCGAGGTGACGCCCTTGAAATCGTGTGATCTACGTGTCGACATGAGTCAGAGTCCGCATCTTCGTCGGCCAAATTATGAGCGATGAGAAAGGGGGGGGAGGGGGGGGGAAGATTCGGGATTTCGCAGTCTCTAGGTGCTGCCCAGTGCCCGTAGACAGGCTCGCTAACGGACTAGATGGGGAAATTATTGCTCGCCGCCCACCACGCCCGAGCTTCATCACGAAATGTCGTAGCCTAAGGCTTTTTGTCGAACTAATGAGCTCCGGGTAAGTCTTGCTCGGCAAGTTTAGAAATCTGACTACGTGTCGAGAACGCCTTCGGCCGTTTCTCGGCATCGAGAGAGCCGAGAAGGGAGACCGACCCCGTCAGGACGCCTCGCAACGATGTCGCTAGCACAAAATTCACCCTCCGTAAAACGTAAGCAACTGGATAAAGACTGGCCCTTTTTTAAAAAAAAAAAAAAAAAAAAAAGAGACGTGGAGGCGGCTTTTCCATGTTTATATCGAGATATGAAAGTGTCGGGGGCACACGATTGACCCTACTAGAATAAGCCGACAAAGGTCTTCAAGAAGTGGTGGCCTGGTGCTTGGTAGCGGCGGGTATCGCTAGCAAAGCTAAGCCGGGTGACAGGTGACTGCATGGCAGGCAGCACGCCTTGTAGGGCTGCGTTCAAAGGGGACGGAGGAAGAGGGCATCATCTGCCGCACATACCTAGGTAATTCCAGGCTCCGCACCGCAGCATCTATTGCTGCCGTCGCTACCTATTGCCTCCTTAAGCGGGAGGGGCGGGGAAAGGGAGGATTGGCGGGAAGTAGATGGTGAAATGATAAATAGAACAACAACAACAAAGGAGAGCCCAAAGAGAAAATATATGCCCGGCAGAAAAGAAAAAAAAAGGAAAAAAGAGGAGACTGTGACTCCCAGTTCACCGGGAGGCATCGGGAATTGAGCCTGATGCGAGTGTCGAACCTGGGCAGGCTATGTTAATGGATTGCGACGGCTCCGGCTCGAGGTGGGCACGCCCGACCTACCCGCAACCTTGAGACTAAGAGTCTCGCGCTCTACCGATTGAAGGGTCGTGGTATGCGGGTTCTGGTGACGACACCGAGGGCTCCTGGCGCTGTCCCGTGCTCTGCGTGCTGCGACCTTGCCGACGGAGGGACGCACGCGTCTCGCGATCGATTGCGGATAGGGGCCGCGTGCATCGCGTTTGCATTGCTGTCTTCTGGCTCGGTGGCGGGCCGCATAGCGAGTCGACGGCGACGGGCCCCGGGGGGACAGCCGACTCCCGTTCCGGTCCGGCGACACAATGGCGGGGGGGGGGGGGACTGGGTGTAGCTGCCTGATGCCTACGCCTGCGGGTCTGTCGGCGCAAACCAGATAGATAGGTAGGGAATCGCTGTGGTTTCAGGAGCGGTTTTCGCGTGGCGGGACGGTAGGCTTCCGGAGAGAACTACGGCCAGCGGTATCGCCGGAGCGCTGAGCCGAGCCGGGTTCGTAGGATGGGGGAGGGAGAGGCAGAAAAGCAAGAGAGGCGTAGCTGGGGGGCGAGTTCAGGAATAGGGGCTTGGTCTCTCGTAGTGATGTTGCTTCCCCTGGTGAGGTCGGCGTCACAATGCCAACAAGGTGCCTAAAGTACTTACATTAAAGATTTAGAGCGGGAGCGATATTCGAGGATATCACGACCAGTATATGTAGGTAGGTATTGTGCAGAAGAGGGATTCCTCCCTGCGGACTAGATAGGAAGCCTGGGAGTCTATAAATCGTGATGGTAGCAAGCACCATACTACCTCTCCGTGCCTAAGCGTAGTAGGTATATCGCAGGCGGGATTTGCGTGCGCGGGAGATAACAGACAGCTTTATGGTATAGGGGGTCTATGGAGAAGAGAGGGATACGCTCGTCGCTTCACGAAGCCGTGCTCTAAGTACAATGCTACACCAATGTAATATAACCAGCAGTAGACGTCGATGCTCCCTCGAACACCTCGCATCGGCAGATGTGCGAGAATGGACATTGGCGGCCAATGGGGAGGGAGAACGATCGGGTAAAGGGGACACACAACACAAGATAGACGAAGCATGCGCCTCGCCGGCATCGAGCGTCCCCCAGATGGGCCGTAGGCAATTAGTCCTTTCTCCTTCTCCAGGACCAGCAGGAGTTGATCGCATCCCGCCTAGGCCTACTCGAGGCACCCTAACATATCTTAACCCCCCCCCCCCCCCTCCCCTCTCCGCCTCTGCGGCTGCTCACTGGGGCACGACCTCGCGGCCGACCTCGCGGAGCGCGCGCAGGAGGCCGTCGACCGTCGAGCGGCGCGTCTCGCAGTTGACGACGACGCGGAACAGGCTGCCGCGGGGGGCGGGCGCGTAGTCGACCATGAAGCCGCGGGACACGAGGCGCGCCGCTATCTCGCGCGTGCGGCGCGTCGTCTCCGCCGCGTCCGCCGGCAGCGCCCCGCCCGGCGCGTAGTAGAAGCAGACCTGCAGGCAGGGCGGCGGGCGGGGCGACAGCAGCGCGAGGTCCTCGTCCGCGTCGACCTGCGCGGCCAGGTACGCGGCGGTCGCGAAGGCGCGCTCGACGCGGCGCGCCAGCCCCGCCGTGCCGTAGTACGCCCAGGCGAGCGCGAGGTTGAGGCTGTCGCCGCGGCGGCCGCACTGCAGCGTCAGGTCGGCGAGGTCCCAGACCTCCTCCTCCTCGCCGGCGTCGCTGTGGAACAAGTACCCGGCGCGCAGCGTGTTCGCGCGGTGCAGCACGGCGACGTCGGGCGCCAGCAGGAACGAGCAGGTCACGGGCACGTTGAGCATCTTGTGAGGGTTGACGGTGAGCGAGCGCGCGCGCTCGGCGCCGGCGAGCAGGCCACGCGCCCGCAGCGCCGGCGAGAACGCCGCCGGCCCGCCCCACGACGCGTCGACGTGCAGCCACAGCCCGTGCGCGTCGGCGACGTCCGCGATCGCCGCGATCGGGTCGTACGAGCCCCAGACCGTCGTGCCCGCCGTCGCGTTGACGTACAGCGGCGTGCGCCCGTCGGCGGCCGCGCGCGCCACCGCCGCCCGCAGCGCCGCCGGGTCCATGCGCCCCGCCGCGTCGACCGCCACCGCGACCACGCTGTCCGACCCCATGCCGCACGCGACCGCGGCCTTCTCGACCGAGTAGTGCCCGTGCTCGCTCGTGAAGAGCGCGAAGCGGAAGCTGCCGTTGCCGCCGGTCTTGGTTTCCGGGAACAGCGTGTTCCGCGCGACGACGAGCGAGGTCAGGTTCGAGGAGCTGCCACCCTGGCAGGTGATGCCGCCCGCGCGGGGACCGTTGAAGCCGAAGAGGTTGGCCAGTTTGCGGGCGGTCGTCTTCTCGATGACGGTAAGCGCCGGCGAGGTCTTGTAGACGTGCACCTGGGTTGTGTTAGCGGCTGAGGGAAGTAACCGACGGAGGCGGAGGTGCAAGGGGTGGTAACTTGCGTTGGTGTTGAGCACCGTGAGGACTAGGTTAGATACTACGCCAACCTACGGGTGCTATTAGCATAGGCCGTTGAGCTATTGGGCAAGTATTAGAACACAACCAACCGGAGTAACGCTTGAATACAGCTTGTCCAGGAAGCCCTGATCCCAAGTATTCACGCTGTATCGGAGGACCAACTGGACGATTTCGAGCAGTCCCTCCTTACCCGCTCCCTTCTCCGGTATCGAGAAGGCCAACTTTTCCACCAGCCCCTCCGGTTTATGAGAGTCGACGAGGACATTCCGGGTCGGGGCCCCTGGAGCGCCGGCAGCTATATAGCCGTGAGCCCGGTCTGATACTGCATTGTCCGCGTCGCGGATGTACGGCAATATGAGGGACTTCACCGCATCTAATAACTAGAGCCGCGTTAGGAACGAGTATATTGGCGGCGAGGTCGCGCCGGTCAAAGATTTTGTATCTGCAAGGCTACAAGTTAGACTATCGTGACTGGAGAACTTACATCGTCAACCTCCTCTGCTCTGTTTAACGAGGCCTCTTCCGCGGCATACTCCGCGTCGGTTTCGGCGCTACCAGGCATTCTGAGATTTCGTCGTAGCCACCGTAGGAAGCAATATACGAACGAGTGTGCCTCTACCCGACGTATTCGAAATTGCCTCTTCTGGCTGGGTTTATGGATGCTTGGTACATGAGCCAAGTCTGATTTTTAGCTTTCCTTGCGGAGGAGACGCTCAGCGGCCTGCTAGACAAATTGCCGAGACTCAGCCGACTTGCATTTTCCCTTAGCTGTTATTCGATCGAGACGATGGCGTGCTTCTCGAATGTCCAGCGCCCAGCTTAAATAGGTCGGTCATTTTTATGAGAGCCGCAGCTGGATCACCACCAAAGCGAGCAATGCGAGGGATCGCCTGGCGAACGCCTCGAGGAAACCCCAACGTCGGCAAAAGGCTGGAGACATGAAAGGATGGCAGATGGGATAACTCTTGTGATACTGTTGTCCTCTCGGGACACTACGCAAACCATGCGAGCCACGCATGAAGCACAACCTGTTAACAACCATTTCCGCCGACTCTCCGCGACGGCGTCCCCCCCGTTTCCCTGTTCGACACCTGCAATATCGCGAATGAATCCGATTTCAATGTGTAACTGTGCCATGAATCTCCGGAACCGCCCTACCATATAGCTCGCTCGTGCCCACATACTCTGTAACCTGCATTGCGCCTGGATAGAAGAAAATCTCAAGGTATCATTTGTCCGTCATCTTATATCGTATCCTCATACCGTTCCTAGTCGAGTCGCTTTTTGGTATCGGGCAGGTCGGTGGTTCCGTTGTGCTCGGGCGCCTTGCCATTGGTGCTCCCTATACTGCTGTCACCTTCGCCGTCGTCCCAGGCGTCTACCGCGTTCTCGTCCCAGTTGTCGACTTCGTCCTCGAGCGTGGCCGCGCGCTCATCCCCGGCCGCCGACACGACGCCTTCCTCTTGATGCTCGACACCCTCGCCTAGTTCCAGATCGTCCTCGTCGTCTCCGGGTACAGCGTTGTATCTGCGCTGCCGCTTCCTCTCGAGCATCCTCAGATGGTACCAGGAACACAAGCCCAACGCTATTAAGCTGCCGACCACATTGGCGACGATGTCGTAGGGATCAAAGTCTCGTCCGTTGGGGAGGAAGCCCTGGAGGAACTCGGACCCGACGCCCATACATATGGTGCATACGACAATGGTCAGGTTTAGGGTGCGACGGCGGTTCGTATCGATGATCCAGTAGAAGGCAACGGTGAGGAGGAAGAAGGTCAAGAGGTGCAAGACCTTATCGTTTACGATAGTGTCGAGCTGAAGGGAGGAGAGCCCTGCGTAGCCTGCGATGAGGCAAAGCAGGAAAAAGACGCCTGCAGGCTCGCGAGTTAATGTTAGAACCCTCTGCAACCGCGATCTCACGACATGTCGCTCAATATGCGCCGGGAAGCTACGGCAGGACAGGCCCGGGGTAGCTCTCGGACTTGTCCGAGGTGGGATGTTGGGGAGGGGACGAACCTGCGAAGGGCAAGCGGATGCGCATATTCGGGTTGATGGGTTGTCTAGGCAGCGATGGTTCGCATGGACATGGTTTCGGACGCCGTCGTTGGCCGAACGAGAGAGAGCGTAGGCCGGTAGGTCGGTAAGTAGGTAGGTAGGTAATCGGTTGCGATGCTGGACAAGGAAAAAGCGTTGCCGGAGCGGGAGAAGAAAAGAACAGGCCGGGGTGAGCTCGACTCGGATTTCCGCACACGCATACCAAAAACACACAGGCCTGACAAACCTGGGCGCTCCACCTTTCTCCTGCTCAGCGTTCAGCGTCGGGCAGACCCCAAGAGGCAGAGAGGGATGTACCCAGCCTACGTAAGGATGTACTGCCTGAAGTATACGTACCGAATTCGGCACCAGGACCGAGTACCGGATGTATGCATACGTCTCCTGACGGTACTGGTAGTCCGCGCCCCTCTCCCCATAGGTGGTCGGGACAGGTACCTACAGGACGGATCGGGTACGGGGGGGGGGCATCCAACCTTATATCGAGCGTGTCCCCAGCCAGCCGTGGGGCTGTGCACAGCAGAGAAACGCCCCGCTGCCGACCTGGCCGCCGTAGGGTAGGGTATCTACCTCTATAGGTTCTGGTCTGCAGCCTCAGCCCGCCAACCGCTTGGTCGTGTGCGGAGATATCTACAGGTAGGTTATCTGTATCTATGGGCGTCCCCGGCTCCACTAGCCACATTTCCCGCCTTTCCTCAGTCGGGTTAGGAACGCAGCGACGCCAACTGCAGGCCTGCCCGTCTCAAGTACGCGGCGTATGCCGTACCTACCTAGTTAGCCTCGATAGGGCTATCGTGCGGTATATTGTTCTCGACCTCTCTCGATCAGGCCGGATGCTGCCGTGGCCGGATGGTGAGTGTTCATAGAATGGGATGCTCTTCGTATTCTAGTCTTGTGGCTGTGACTATGATGGGACCACGCGGTGCATTGGGTTAGGGTAGGTACCTCTAACCTACCTTAGGTACCTGCTGGCGGGATCACGGGTAAAGGTATCTGTACCTGCCCTAAACCAGGCACACGTGGGAGATATAGGCCCGTACCGACCACGTACCTACATTTGGCAGGTACACTGTACGGGCATAGGTATATAGGTAGGTACCCTTCGGTTGGACCTGGGCGTGGGAGGTGAGGTCACGTGAGTATCAGCCGCCTGTCCACCTCCTCCTGGCCGACAATAATTCCATTATTCAGCGGTCGGTGTTTACGAATGGCACGGTCAGAGCGGCTAAGACCTGCCTCCTGCCTAGGGTAGGTAGCCTGGCCGGAGCCGAGAAGAACGCGGTACGATGTCCATGCCAATGTGTACAGATCTTAAGAAGGACGATACCGGCCGTCACGCAATTTTCAAGAGTACGTAAGCTGGGCGTGAGCTGGGTTGCGCAGCGGAAGGGAATAGAGCTGGTCGTGTTAGTTGCTGGCCTGATGAGGGGTATCGAGTGCAGGTGTGTCGATTGATCGCTAACAGGTACAGAGGATAGATGCTTAGATACAGGTAGTGGCTGAAAGTCAATATCGCGATTCATTAAGGGGCACTCAGGTACATCATCAGATAATGTAGGTACGTGACGGGATAGGATCATGACTTGCAAGTATCTGCCTACCTCCAGTAGGCTGGGTACCTACCTAGGCGCTCTTATGTAGGTACCTAACGTGCCTGACGACCAAGGTTGTCCGAATGAGGGCTGGATGTCTTCGGGCGTTTTTAAGGTAATGTACCTTGCTTAGGAGGTTAGGTACCTGACCGGGTACCTAAGCTTTACCGCATGCCTCCTGTGCCTGTGCCTGTTTCCGGTGCTGCATTAACCGAACTCCGCCCGCAACGGGATGAAGTCCTCAGGTACCTAACATATTTGCTGCGCGCGCATTTGACCTCTATTCTGGGCGACGCGAGGTATCCGAGGTTAGGTACCCAAGGTCAGGTGCTTCAGACATGCTGTAGATGTACACGTATCTGGACCTTGTTTCCGGCGTGCGCTGACGTACCCGGCCTTGCGGTAGGATGTTAGTAGACAATATGTGTAGGCATGTGTGTAGGCATGTGTGTGTACCCGGGCATGTGGGCAAAGGTAGCGCACCCAGGGGAGCATGTAGACGTCGCATTGACGGCAGGTCAGAGATGGGCGCGACATGTACATGTGGACGCAGGCCAGGTACATGCATGCACACCTACGTTATCTAATAATACAAGTACCTAACCTAACTTCCATGATTAGATTCGTGTACTCAGGTACCTGGTATTGATTCTGACATCGGGGGAACCTCTCAGGTACGATAGTACGTCCTCAGCCATAGTGCCAGGATCCGCTCCAAAACCTCACTCCGCCAGACCTCACCCTTTCCAAATACGCGAAATCGCCCTGAACACGGCCCATCAAACCAACGTCCAAATCTTCTCCTTCTATCTTCAAAACGCGCGTGCCATCTCGTTCGATGTCGCCCGTCGCCCCGGTGTCAACATAGGGATCTCCGACGCCCTATTCCCGCCTCGACGCGACCGCTATTTCCTCCCGCATGGCTACCGCCACCGGCCTATCACTCTAACACGCCCGCAAGGCTATCATGTCCATCATGAACGGCCAGCACTCTTGGCCGCCGCCGCCGCTACACCATGTCGTCGGCAAGCGGCCGTTCCGCCATTCTGATGATGGTCCTGCCAGATCCCACGATGTTATGGATAATTCCGCCGCCTCGGTGCCTGAGGCATCTGATATAGACGAAGACCGCGCACGGGCACACTTTGCCGAATTATATCGCCAGAGTGAAGCCCGCATTGCGCAAATGTTTGCCGATGATGGCTCCATTAACAGGGACGTTATAGAATCCTGGAGACGGCCCTTCGACGCCTCCGGCGCCCCACCCCCGACCACCGACCACTCCGCCATAGAGGAGCGTCCCGCGAAGAGGGTCAAGCGGGTCATCGACGAGGATGACTACGGCGATGACGACGATGACGAGGACGACGAAGAGGACGACGTGGCCGCGGACAGAAACGGTAGCATCCACGTGGCTTCCCTGAAATCCAAGGCCGCTGCCGTTGCCGCCTCCAAGGCCCTCCCGTCCCCCTCCAAGTCTGGAAGCTCGCCCATAGCGTCGGCCCCGTCACCCGACAAGCTCTTCGACAGAGCGAAGGAGGATGCGTCGCAGGGGTCCATGGGATCCCACGCGCATGCCAGCGACTCCGTCGACGCGCGCAAACAGCTCGAGGAGGCGCGGAAGGACATCGAAGAGGCCGCTAAACGCAGCTTTCACACTATATTTTACACCCTGGAGAATGACCGTACTGCGATGCTGGAGCAGCAGCAGCTCGAGGAGTCGGAAAAGCAATTGCAGGCCGAGATGGATAAGAATAATACCAGCAATCCGAGCGGGGGCCCTCCCGGCGAAAACCACGGATCTCTCAGCAGCGCAAATTTAGGCGCGTCGAGCTTAACCCTCAAGCATCTCATAGCGCGCATAGACTTGAAGCGCGACCAGGTGCGCGCGTCGGACGCCGAATTGCGCTCCCTGATGAACGAGGTCCGCAAGAATCGGAGCAAGTGGGCCAGCGAGGAGAACGTCAACCAGGAGGAGCTCTATGAGGCCCTGGAGAAGGTTTTGACCGAACTGAAGGCTCACACCGAATACTCAACACCTTTCCTCCAGAGGGTGAACAAGAAGGAAGCCCCCGACTATCATAACTGTAAGCTATAGACACGCGCCCCCTCCCCCGGGGAATCAGAATGGACGTGTCCACTAATGCCGCCCCCCAGTCATCAAACAACCTATGGATCTGGGCTCGATGACGAAAAAGCTGAAGTCGCTGACGTACAAGTCCAAGGTTGACTTCGTCACGGATCTTAATTTAATATGGGATAACTGCCTCCGGTACAACCAGGACATGAACCATCCGTTCAGGCGGATGGCCAATGGGATGCGCAAGGAAGCCGAGAAACTCATCCCCCTCATCCCGGACCTTGCTATCCGCCCACGTGCCGAGGTCGAAGCCGAGGAAAGGCGGAAGCAGAATGGTGGCGACGACGATGGCGGCGACGATTCGGATGACGAGCCGATAATGTCGTCTCGCGGCCGGATCGCCGGTGGGGCCAAGGGAACGAAGTCGAGGAAGGCCCATGCCGATCAGAAGGAAGGGACCCCGGGCGGGGACCATAAGCCGGTTCTGCAACTCAACGGCCTGCTCGCGAAAGCCCACCGAGAGGGTTCGGAGCTCGACGGGAGCAACGGGTTCGCAACCCCGCCGATCGCCGGCTCCATGACCCCGAGCGGGCTCAACGGCCACTCAGGCGTGGGTAGCAACGTAGACGCCATGGACATTGACGGTCCCGAGCTAAACGGGATGGCCCTGGGACAAGCCCTGAACGACGCCGCCCAACAAGCCTTCGAAGACGACGAGTACAAGATCTGGAAGCAAGTAACCAAGAAAGACCGTGCCCTCGTCGCCAAAGAACGGTTTCAGCTTTTTAGCGGCAAGAAGTTGAATATTGACGAGCCTGCCCTGCTAAGGACTAAAGCTGGTATGCGTCGGTACTTGCGTGCCCGCCAACAGGCAGAAGCCGCTGGCCTGGGCGGTCACACCCAAGACTCGTCGGAGCCTAACACTAAGCAGACCAAGGCAGTCGAGACGCTGGCCGAAGGCATGGAAGAAGACGTGGAGCGGGTAATACCCGATTACTACGAGCCTCAGACCATTATCCCGGACATCCCAACCAAGTTCCAGTGGATCGAGGATAGCGAAGGCCAAGTCATCAACCAGCACGAAGAGTACCTGCGCACCTTGCCACTGGGCTATTTCAACACGCCCAAGAGTAGCCTGACACAGAAGTTCGACGCCAATATCCGCCAGATGCAGGAGACGAGAAAGATCTGCTCGAAAATTAGCGTCATAAAGCAGATGCAACTCCAAACCCAGGTATGGTCCTGCAGCATCATAGGCGAGCAACCTTTTTTTTTTTTAAGCTAACAAGCCCAGGTGTACACGAATCAGTTTCCGAAGTATAATCCTGAGCCATTCCTCGAGGCCGACGTCGAACCGCATGTTACGTGCGGCGACAACATCGTGATGGCGCCGGAAGTTTGCAGGGCCGCCTTGCAGCGGTCCGTTGCGAAGATCTTTTACCATGCTGGCTTCGAAGAGCTACAGCCGTCGGCAATGGACACGATCACGGACGTCGCAGCCGATTATTTCGGGAAGTTCATCCAGACCTTCAATTCGTATAAAGAGATCGAGATGAAGGACCCTTCTCCGGAGTACCTTCGACGCGGAGCGACTGCCCAGCCTCGCTATAACGATGAGGAAGCCCTACTGCATACCCTCGCCGAGAACGGCTACTCGATCGACTCGCTCGAGGGCTACGCCAAAGACGAGGTTGAGAGACTCGGGCATAGGCTCGGCGGCATCCACGAGCGTATGAAGGCCCATCTGAGCGATCTTCTTCGCCCTGCCGTTAGTGACGTCGGCCAGGACGGGGCCGCCGCGTTCGATGACGGCAGCGAACAGTTTATCGGAGGCGATTTTGCCGAAGAGCTCGGCGAGGATTTCTTTGGCTTCAAGGAACTCGGTCTCGCGGGCGAAATGGGCGGCATGCTCTCTGTCCCTCTTCATCTCCTCCAGTCTAGGGTACGCAGCCAGTACCAGGTCCAGAACCCGACCCAGGGCCCCTCGGACACCGTCTTATTCGAAGATCTCCCGCCGACGGAGCCGGTCACGAAGGAGAACATCCAGGAACAGATCGGTCTGGTTAAGAACTTCTTCCTCGCGAAACTGCACGCTAACGGCGACTCACCATTGGTCGAGGACGAAGACCTGCCCGTCAAGCAGCGGCGCCCCAGGCCACGGCTAGGCGCTACCGGCAAGATCGTTTCCCCGCAGAAGCGACCCCCGAAGGAGCAGAATGCCATCAACAAGAAAAAGAAGAAGCTCGAGGCTCAAGCTGCCGAGGCCAGCAAGGCCGCGAATAATAATACCAGCCCCGAGAAAGGCGGCCCCAAGAAGGCCAAGGGCCCGCCTCTGCCCAACGGGACCGGCCCAACCAACGGTGCATCTCTGGCCGTCGCTCCGCCCATGGAACGCGTCGAGAGCATGCAGAGCCAAGGCAACAATAGCCAAACTGATAAAGACGACACCGGCATGATGAGCCCGGAGAGCATGGAGCGTTAGCGTAACAACATGACTATTCGAGGGTCATTTTCTCGACTCGCACGCTCTCGCGCCGAGAGGGCGTCTGCCTCGCTTCATTCTAGCCGACCTGCAACATACTCCTCAAGGCGGCCTTTCATTAATATTTTACCACCCCGTAGCTTATACCCCTCATTCAATGGTATATTGGTTTGTTTTGCGCACAATCTCTAGACGTGGGGTGGACCGGTGCAATGCGGAGAGAGCGGGTTGTATGAGGCACAGCAACATCACACAGTGCATACGGGCGTTTTTTTGTCGGGACGGGGGACGCCCACGAAACCACGCGCAACGCCGGGGCTAATCTCGGCGTCATCGGTGCTATTTATGCTTATGATGGCTCTCTCTCTACCTATCTCTTTCTCTTTCTCTCTCTCTTTTCTCTTTCTTTTCGGCACGACTTGCATATAGCAGCATGGATGGACGGGCGGACGATGACGAGAAGAGAAGAGGGCGTGCGACGGACGACGGAATGAGTGACGGAGACTCGACGCAGAGACGTCCGCCCCTTTTCACCCATATTGCCATGTGTACATAAAAAAGCTTTTTTTTTATCTCCCCCTCCCCATCCCACACGCTCACGCACTCCTCCTACTCCTCCTCGCCCTCCAGCACCCTCTTCTCTTCGTGCGCCTCCCCCCCCCCCCCCCCCCCCCCCTGGCGGACGACGGTATGAGGGATCGGACTCTGGCACTGTACCGGTTAAGGGGGGGAGGGAGGAGAAATCCCGGACGAAGCTTAGGACGTCCTCTTGAATTTTCGGGCATTGCTGTATGTATCTTGTACTTAACCCAAAAAACAATTCATTCCATCGATCAAAGGCTGCCCTTTTTCTCGTCCGCCCCTCCTCCTTTTTCCCCCCTGCCTGTCGCCCTCCCTGGTCCCGCATGTACAATGCCCAACCGACGTGACGACGCTTTCGCCACGCTAGAGAAACACAGAGAATATGCGTGTGTGTACGCGGTACATATATGGTACTACCTACCATCTTACCACTAGTATTTCCTCCTCCTTCCTTGCTCCCCGCGCTCCATCTCCTTCCACGCACACCCTCCGAGTCCCCGTCTTTCTAGGCAACACCCCCTCCCCCTTTTTGTATATACAGGCACAAGTCCGTACGCAGTCCCGTCCCGCCCGCCCCTCCTTTTTGTCGTTGCCCGCTTCCGCCCACTTCGGGAACTTGTCGGCGCAGTCTGGGCCGCTGGCGGCTGGTCTCCGATCGGAGGGGGCCGGGGGGGGGATTCGAGACTCGGGACGGGACAGGATGGGGCCAGAGGACGCGGCCGGGTACATGCGGCAATGTCGCGGGACGGATGTTGGAGGGCGCGGGGCTGCCGGCCGTGTGGCCCGCACACCTACAGCCGGCACGGCCCGAGACGCGCTTGTTTTCTCCCGGGCCGGATGCCTTCCGCGAGCCGGTCAGGAGGCGGCAGAGGGGACAGCAGAAGGAGCATACACGACTGGAAAGAGAATTGAAAATTACGATTACTGCTTTGTAAATGCCTGACACCCGTCGCAACGGATGCAGCGATGCAGATGCTTATCTCACAGATAAAACTGCCACCCCCCGTCTTTCTAGCATTACTCCGTGCTAGATCAGCTCGTCATTTATTATTCTATCCGCCAGCGACCCGAACATTAGCGACGGGACCCCGAGGAACGTATCTCTGGGTGGCTCGATTGCAACGAGGAATGGCTGGTTGGTGCTGGTACGCGCCCCAGGGACGAAGCGATCATCTTCCCTGATTCGTCTCAGCGCCCGCGATGGCGCATCGCATCGTCGGGGTCTTCTACGACGCTCGTACCCATCAACTCGGCGACCGCACCCGTATCGGCGAGCTCGCGGAGCGCCCCCGACCGCGGCGAGCAAGCGAAGCCGGCCCTCTCGTCGTCAACTGCCGGGCTGCAGGAGGCCGACCCACTGCCGGTACACGGCGTACTCGGAAGGCGACACGTCGTAGTGCCAGAGCGACACCAAGAGCTGCTCCGGCGGCATGTCGGCTGGGCGCGGCGCCGCCCCTCCGTCAGGGTTTGGACCCGCGATTTCTCCCCGCACCCGCCGGAACTCGTTCAGCCAGATCTCGAGGTCTGGCGGTAGCGCGCGGGGGGCTCGAGGGCACCGCGCTTTCGACCACCTCCTGCGACCGGAGAGGCCAGAGCAGCGCTCTAAAGGCCTCGCGGATCTCGTCTCTCCGCCGCCGCGGCCGTACTTTCGCGCTCGTCGGCGATCGTCGCGCAGGACTCTGAGTCGCATCTTCTACCGGCGCGGCTTCCTCCTTCCGTAGTAGGGGTGCAGGCTCGACGATACCGTAGCCTAGGGAGCCCTCCGGTTGAGCGACCCTTGCGGGTCCGGCGGCTTCCACTTATCGCTAACCTTTCTTCGGCGCCGGGATCCGTAAGTATACCGGTGCGAAGCCGAGCTTTCCAGGAGCGAATTGGTAGTTGGCAGACCAGAGCTTGGGATCTCGCCAGGCGAGACGTGCAACCGGGGAAACCCGCTTATCGGATGAGTCGACCTCTGCCTAAATCGGAGATGAATATATGATGGTAGTCGCTTGCTCTTGATCGAGAATTTAAGCCGGTTAAGCTTGAAAGTCCCGTCCCGTATCATGACATCTGCCGCCCGAGCCCAGACGTACTATATCGTCATTCATCAGCGACCTGCCCTGCATCCAAGGGGGGGCCCAAGCAGTACATGGGACTAGCTGTATCTATCCCCAGTGTCTGTGAGGCATTCGGGGAGAAGAAAATCCTCGAAATATCTCTAGAAACCACTGGATTCCGGCTCATTTTATGCGTGATAGATAGAAATCCGGCACATTTGGAGAGAGTTGAGAAGGGGGTTTGGTCGCTAAGATAGGCTGAGTCGTTGAAGGGCACCGAGGGCAAGCCGTATCCCAACCACGGCCGCAACAAGGTACATTGTATAGTTATACCAGAAAACCCTCCTAAACATAAATGGGAAGAGAGAAAATTAATGATTTTGTACCTGCCGGCCTGTCGTGTCATCCTGCGTAACTCCAGGCCGGGGACACAAACCAGGAACACACAGCCGCCGTATAAGCAACGGAAGGATTGTGTATTAACTACCAACCAGCACTACCTGCAGGCGACAGTTTATGGTCATCAGCGCGTTTCGCGGCTCTAATCAAGGGTGCGTAGAGAGATTGGAGAGGCAAAATCTCTTGATTGGCGATTAGGGGTTGCTGTTGCCAAAATAGAAGAGGAGTACTGAGATTTAATAATCTCTGCGTCATACCCAGTTACGTTGCCACCTATCCCATCTGACAGCGCCGGTCGTTAGGCCATGCATTCCTGTCTCCCTCTGTGCCACGATAGCCGAGATGGAGCATAGCTATGGTCCATGACCATTGCGGTTGGCAACCCGGCTGTGTACCCCAGTTTTCAGAAGCCGGGAGTATCGGGGGACGTAGGGAGCCTTGTGTTGGCAAAAAGTACTCGAATCCAAGGGAGGCATACCGGGCAGTCCGGGTCCAAGCACGCCTCTGAATATCTACACCCGCAAATAGGCCGTATACCACGGCTAACACGTTTCTCCAGAAAGAGCTTGTCGATCGAAAACGTAATTACGATGCTCTTATCGTGCTAGAAATCGTCGCGTGCTACTCCCATTCGTGTCTTGCGATGGACAGACATAGAATTTGCGGCTGAAGACGGTTAGTGTCTGTAGATCCTCATGTACCTAATGCCGACAACTAAACGGTGTATCTGAAGAGTCTCGCCGAAACCGCAGCATTGCGGCTGGAGAGTGTTCATGGTTAAGCGAGTTCCAAATATGTAAAAATAGAGCCGCAGTCTGTGCCACAGACATATTTTGCGTTACTTCTAGAACGGAGATGTAACCGACCCAGCATCCAGCATCTCCGCATAGAATTCTTGGTTCCCTGTGATTATTAATAGGCAGTCATGTTCGAATCCACCTACAGGACGGGGCAAATATAATCGACGAGTTGAACGCGGGGCGGTGCTAAAATCGTAGTCTTTTATTTCACCTAGCTGCAAACCCCCCGGACCGCGCCCCTATCGGCACGGCACTCATCGCTCGCCAGCTCGTAACTCATGGACGAGTGGAGCCGACATGCTGGCTGTTTGCTGGCAAATTCAATGCCGTATGCTGTCCTATCAGTAGACGTCTAAGCTTGAATCTCCCTGATCAATTCTCTTTTGCTTTGCCTTCCTCTTCGACTGCCACCAGCGCCTTGGCCGAGGGCTCATCTACATCCTTCATCAGAGGGAATGTCAACACTTCCTTGATACTACGCAAAACGTTAGCTTGTACCCTGCTCACGACCACCCAGTTACATACCTGTACTGGTCGGTCAGGAACATGACAACTCGGTCAATGCCCATCCCGAAACCGCCTGTCGGCGGTAGGCCATATTCGAGAGCCTCGCAGAATGTCCTGAAGAAACAATCAATCAATGTCTGGAGGGAAGTCACCACAAAAAAGGATAGCATACTCATCAATGAGTTGGGCTTCTAAATCACCCTTGGCCTTGTCCTTAGCCTGCTCAAGGAACCGACCCCTCTGATCTATGGGGTCGTTTAATTCCGTATAGGCGTTTGCGATCTCCTTGGTGCAGACGAAGACCTCAAATCGCTCGGAGAGACCGGGGATGGCACGATCAGCCTTTGCTAGCGGTGACATTCTGTCACGATGTTAGTTTCTGCGGACACGCTTGTTGCGAATGCCAAACATACACCATAGGGTGGCCCTTAATGAATGTCGGATTGATACATCGGGACTCGATGAACTCTCCCGTCAGTTTATCGATGATCCGAGCGGTAGTGTATGGAGGAGACATGGTAAGGTTGAGCTTTTCCAGCAAACCGCGGAAAAACTCGAGGCTCTCGTCAGTGTTAAACTGGTCTGCTGGGGGGAATTTGACCCCCGTCGCTTCTTCAAGCGCAGGTATCATCTCGATACGTGGCCAGGGCCGCTCCCAATTGATTGAATATTCCTTCCCGTCCTGGGTGTGGAATTTGGTGTGGTAGGATCCCGTGACAGCCTTGACAAGGCCGCTAACCATCTCTTCGGTGAAGTCCATGAGGTCGTTAACGTCAAAGAAAGCGCAATAGAACTCGAGAGTCGTGAATTCGGGGTTGTGGGTTAGATCGATGTCCTCGTTTCGGAACTGTCGGCCAATTTCGTACACACGTTCGAGACCGCCCACGACAAGCTGCTTAAGGTAGAGCTCAGGGGCAACTCGCATGAAGAGCTCCATCTGGAGATCGTTGTGAAAAGTCTTGAACGGGCGGGCGGCCGCTCCTCCGGCAATTTTGTTCATCATCGGTGTTTGGACCTCGAGGAAGCTCCGGTCGTTCAAGAATTGGCGCAGAAACCCGATAATCTGTGCTCTCTTGGTGAAGGTGTGGCGGGTGGTGTCGTTTAGGATGAGGTCAAGGTACCGTTGTCGGTATCGTTGCTCCTTGTCCTTGAGACCGAAGTGGCTAGACGGTAGTTGGTGGAGACAGGGGGTGAGGAGGATGACTTCGCGCGCGAAGATGCTCAGCTCGCCAACATCGCGAGACTTGGGGTTTGTACGCCCAGGAAAGCCGACAACACCTATCCAATCGCCTCGTCTCAAATGGCCGTGTTGCTCGGCGAAGGGCACGCCGTGGGAATTCTTGGCCTCGCACATGACCTGGATAGACACACCTTCTGCCTTACAGTCGTAGAATCTGAGGGAATTGCCGTAAGAACGCTGGGCCATGATTCGCAGGCCAACCCGGATTTCAACATCGCTCCGGCTGTCGCCCGACTTGATATCCTCGTAGTCATGGACAAAGTTCGCGACCTTGGTGTTCACGTGGAACTTGTGCGGATATCTAAAAGCCCGTCAGCGCCGTGCCGCCGTAGGGATTGGAGGCGGTGGGATCATCATACGGGTTGAGCTTCTTCTCGGTTCGGAGGTGGTCGATTTGCTTGCATCGCAATTCGAAGTATTGCTGGCAGCTTTGTCAGTAGAGAGGGGGCCTGGGCATCCAGGAGTATTCTCACTGACATTCGGGTTCAATTCCTCCTCGAGGTTGCCAGCCGGCTTCGCTTGAGCCTTGGGCTGTATGCTGACTTGATGTGCCTTGGCCTGGGCCTTCTCCTCAGCGACCTTGCGTTGCTTCTGGCGCCTCTTGAGCTCGCTCTTGGATATCTTCTCCCCAGTCACGGGGTCATCGTAAAGCTTCTGCGACTGGTCGGCCTCGGGAGCGGCCTGTGGGGGGACCTGATCCGAAGGCTGATCAGAGGCCATTGGGAAGGGCCGTCGAGGGTGGCCTCGTGTCGTTGGAAGCGTTGGGGCGGCGTTTGGCCGATATTTCGCGAGCGTGAGGTGCAAATTGTGGTTGTCGTGGTGTTGGAGAGACGGAGGGGTGGAGGGGTAAATAGTTTCTTGACCACAAAATTCTGACAGCGTCCCCTTGAAGGGGGATTAGTGAGTCATTGGGGTCTCCGGTTAAAGGAGAGGGCGATCTCGACTATGCATTGTATATGTCTATAAGGAGCGGATATCTATGTCTAAATGCATAGGTACGTGAGATATGCTAATAACCTTATAGAAGTTATCTTATCGGGCGCCTGGGTGTCCGTTATCTAACAGGTACTTGGGTACATCCATATACATGTACTCCACGGAGGAATTTACCCGATGGGTCGTCTCTTTTGCTTGTTTCTATTCCGTCCAGAAATGAGAACCAGAGCTCGCCACGTACGGACAAGTCGACTCTCTAATATATACCTCTACACCCGAACCGCTTCGCCCGTCTTCTACCTGTGCATATGAAGAATCTTCGAAGTCATCGAACCCGGCCGGCCGTCCTGCTTTATACCTACGTGTAGAAAACTCCCTCAATCGGCCCGGCAAGCGTTCACCCCCTACACCTGCTCCGCTTACCCATCGTACCCGTCCGAGTAAAGAGGGAAATCATACGTGAAGCCCTAGCGACCATACGCCGTCCGGGTAGCAGACGGGAGTTCGGGTCGCGCGTCGGCCACGGTACTATCGGGCTGCTGGCACGCTGGCCGTGTCGTGCCGCACGAGGGAGTCCAAGCTTGACACGTACACCTGCGTTTCCTGTTAGGTGGCTCGACGGTGTTCTCCGGCGGGATGCAATGCGAGATGCGTAAGACCCAAGAAGCCATCAACCTCGAAGACGAGGGACCTTGCAGCACGATTGTGAGAATGCCGTGTTTTTCTCCGTCCTCGGGAGTTTCTAGGAGCTTGACGGACTCTGATAGGAACCCCAGAGTCTGGCCCAATCGTAATAGGACCGCAGGGCCCCTGCGATGTGGCCGTCGAACCAGCGCATAGCCGAGCGCCCTGACCCGGTGCGATAGGCAGTAGCCAAGATTAGCCCTGAAAGTCACACAGGGGGCTAGCAGGGCTACCTCATCTTGCCGTTGTAGACTGCCACGAATCGCATTTACGGCTCACGTCTCTCAATCAAACCTCTGGGCCAAGTAGGTGCCTGAAATCCATCATATTGTCGGATATGCACATGCGAGAACGAAACCGAAACTAGGCAGTGAGAATTTAGACCATAACAAGGTAGGTAGAGAAACGGCGTACAGGCATCTTACATGCATTTATTTTTTGGCGCCGAGACCACCACCAGGATCCCGCGCGGGGGGTTTATTGAGCCTCGAGGGGACACGGTTATACCGCCTCCAGAAAGACACTCGACGGAATCATCTGATAGAGTATCTTAGCGAATCCAGAAAACAAGTAAGTGCTCAAGGCGACTAACTACTGTGGTCACTCTGCTATGGGTATAACCCGTTTTCACACCCATGTATTATTTAGGCTACAACATCTGGACCACCACTACCACCACTGTGCGTCTGGTCTAATCTGCCCATCTATCCGAGATGACGTGGTTTATGGCGATCTGGTGCTTGTTATCCAATGGCACATCAACTATTAGATATTCGGTAGTAGCTAGCTACAGGGGTCAAGGGCAGAAACGTCGTCTTCTTGCCCACCCTCCATCTTCCACCCCCGTCGGCTTCGTCTGCTAAAGCGCAGTGGCGGAACGGACCCCAGCTTGGGGCTGAAAACGAAGGGTTTCTTTCGGTGGGATTACTTAGGCCGGTGGAGCAAGTTACCCGAATGCGAGAACCATGAGGCCCCTCGTGGGATCGCCTTGAACACTAATGTATGACGGCAGACCGGGGGGTGTAGGGTGTAGGGGCCCCTGTATTGATGCGTTTGTTTAAGCCTCACGACAGCTTTGCTCTGTCTCCAACCCGCAGCCTGCATACGTACGCTACGTAACCCTCGAGCGCTCCCTTGACAAGAGTGCTCGGGAGTGGATTCAATCCCGTTACGAAATGTTCCATCGCGTCGGCTGACGGGCCCCGTCCTTGAGGCGTACGACTATCATTAGGGTGTATAAAGGGTTTGGCGATGGCCTCCTCTCCGGGGGTCCCGTTCTCATTACCCTAGACGCGATCTATAACAATAAGTACCCCGACGATATTATACATAGACAGACGCCCTGCTATCGTTCCATCGAGTCGGTATCGGTGTCGCTGTTTCTTTTAGACGCCCTCGCCATGCCTCCCAAGGCTAGCAGTGGTAGTTCGACCTCCTTCGGTCCGCTGACGAAGAGTATCCGACGGCTCTACCGACTGATCGGCTTCTCGAAGACGTACAACTTGTGGCTGTGGCTCGTTTTGGGCGGCGGGCTCTTCACATTCAGCGCGGCGAGGCTGCCCAACGTCCACTTCGGCAATCTCTGCGGCTCGGTGCGGGAGGGTGGCGTTGACGGCGTCGCGCCCGGCGAGTGCTTCTACTATCTGCAGCCGGGGCGCTACCAGATTGGTATCGTGCTGCACCTCGCCTGCATCCTGCCCGCAGGCCTGCTCGCCTGTCTGCAGTTCGTCCCAGGGCTGCGGCGACGCGCGCCGCGCTTCCACCGCATCAGCGGCTACGCCATCGCTGTGCTGTCAACCCTCGGCTCCGCTGGCTCCGCCATGATCGTCCGCCGCTCGATGGGCGGCACCCTCGACACTCAGGCGCTGCTCGGCGTGCTCACCACCGCCTTTCTCGTGTCGCTCTACTTCGGCTATGTTACGGGCATGCGCATGCAGATCGACGAGCACCGTACCTGGATGTTACGCGCCTGGGTCTACGTGAGTTCTCCTCCGGACGTCTAGCCGCCATCAGGATCCAGGTGGCTATGAAAGCTAACCGTACCTTGCCATCCCAGTCGGGCTCCATCCTCACTTTGAGGATCGTTTTGGTCTTCGCCGTGATATCCATATCGCTGACCGGGGGCTACTACTCGGCCTTGCCGTGCGGCAAGATCAACTTCATAAAGAAGAGCGAGAACGCGACCCTGGCGTCGTATCCGGAATGCGCCGCCTTCTTTTCTGGCGAGAAGCCCGAGCTGCATGCCGTGGTGGAGGCGACCGTCTTTAACCGCGACGCCGTCCAGATGGCCGCCGCGATCAACCAAAGCTTCGGCATGTCAGGATGGGTGGCTCTGGCTCTGCACGTCGTCTGTTTGGAGTTCTATGTAAGTCCAAATTCACACCAGGCTCTCCGATCGCGATGACTAACAGGCCATGTCATAGTTACGCTATACGTCAGACGAGGGGGAGCGTCTCCGAAAGATGTATTACCCACGGAGAGTCGCACTCGGCCTTGAGAAGCCGTTGAAGGCTAGCACGAGTGACGGTCTTGTGAACGAGAAAGCTATTGCTAATGGGGACAGCACGAAGAAATTGGAGTAATCTTGCCGAGTCTAGGAGTTTGGTTTTGCATGGAGACAGATTGGTACGGGGAACGAAAAGTTGTTCATCTACGATAAGGCCTTGGAACAGTATGATGGGTTCTCATAAGGACGGGCATTTTTACGGAGTATTGGGTATGGGATTATATATTGTACGAGCTATTTAGGGTATATGCGCATCGACAAGTCGTAAAATGACCCCTTACCACACACGAAGTGATGTACCGAGGAGTATTTCTCATCTCATAAAAATCCTTCGCTAAAAAAGGAGAAGAATCACCAAGCGCCCTCACGGTCGGGGGTTAGCGGTCGACTGGGAGCTCTGCTCGGCGTTGGAGAAGCTGCCCCCCTCGACATCTTGCTTGGCGCCCATGATGGCCTCCTCGCGGCGGATCTGGGTCTCGCCGACGAGGACGACCTTGTCGCCGAACGCCTGGGCGATCTCCTCGAGCGTCTTCTTGCGCGTCTCGGGGAAGTATAAGTACGCGGTCGTCAGGAAGACGAAGGTGCAGGCGACGAAGACGTAGTAGTAGTTCTCCTGGATGTTGGCGAAGGCGCTGGGGCCGGCCTCGGTGACGGCGACGTTGACGATGAAGTGGCCGGCGGCCGCCATGCCCATCAGCTTGCTGCGCAGCGCGATCGGCACCACCTCGGCGCCGTATAGCCACGTCGTGCTATTGATCATCGAGTAGTACATCGCCACGTACAGGTAGATGCCCAGAATGGCGAAGCCCTTGCCGACGCGGTTTTCGGTGTACTGGAAGAAGCGCTGCATCACAGCCGCGTAGATCATAATCAGGATGAGGCCGCTCAGCCCGGTCAGTATCATCTTGCGCCGGCCCCACTGGTCCGTCAGGAAGCGCGTCGTGATAGTGTTGGACGCGAAGGCGATGGTGCCATACACGGCCGCGAGGGCGAGGATGGTGTGCCGCTCGATGCCGAGGGACCGGTACAGGGTAGTCTGGTAGTATTGAATGACGTTGACACCGGTCAAGCTGGTCATGGTCTGGACGACGATGCATACCATGGCACGGCGGCCGAAAAGGGTGAAGACCTCGCGGTACGTCTTGACCTCACGCGCCAGCTCGAACTCGATCTGGGCCTTCATCAGGGCGAATTCCTGGTTTGCCTCATGCGACTGGAGGTCGTGGCGGACCTTGATGAACTCCCTGTACGCGGCGTTGGCCTTGCCATTGCGGAGTAGCTGTCGCGGCGAATCGGGCATGAAGGTCGCCAGGCCAACGAACATGATGACGCCCCAGGGGATCTGCATGCCGAGCGGGAGTCGCCACTGCGTGGCGCCGTATGGCGCGTACGAGCAAGCGAAGCCGACCCAATTGGACATCATGGTTCCGAAGGAAATGCCGCACCCGGAGATGCCGCCGATGAGGCCGCGCGATTCCGGGGCCGAGATCTCGCTCAGGTAGATGGGGACGGTGCCGACCATGCCGCCGACGGCGGCGCCGGCAATGGCGCGGCCGGCCAAGAACATGCCAATGTTGACGGATGCGGTCTGGATGATAGTGCCGACGGTGACGACAACACACATGAGCTGCATGAACCGGATACGACCGAGCTTGTCGCCGACCAAGGTCTGGACTATGGCACCGACGGCTTCGCCGGCAATGTACACGGCTACCACTGCACCGGTGAGCGCATTAGACGGACGTTGCATGTACTCGATCCAGCTTTCATGGGCGATGGCTGGCTCGCCGGGTTAGTTGAATTATTTCCAATACTTTCCCCCTTCCTTTCGTACCCTCCGGCACCTATCGAGGAGAACACTCACTTGTCGTCGCAATACCCGTGTCAAAGCCCTATTGCCGGAAGCGTAGTCAGCATCGGTTCTCGCTCCGCTTCAAAGCGACATTAGGTACCCAAGCCGTGCGCGCAGCGAGAGGGGAAGAGGAGGGTGACATACGAAGAGGAACGTGCCGATAGCGGCGAAAAAGGCGACTCCGAGGGAATACCAGGACACCATTTTGCCCGCCGGGGTTTCGCCGGTTCCTTGATTTTATTATTATTTCCTCTCCGCGAGCAACGACGCGGCTTTGAAGAAAAGATCGAGCTGTGAGGAGGGAGGGGAGGGAAGACAGAAGGGTTAGCGACTACAGCACGGAGAGAGGCGGCGATCTTTATCCTTCTTTGTTCTCTCCCTCGCATCCCTCAGTCCTCCAACTTCACCATAAGCGTCACCGCGCTACCCTGCACCACATCATGCAGGGCTGGGCTGAAAATGGCGTACGCAGGACGATTCTCCACACGGCGAAGAGGAAAGGGACAGAAAGGGAGGAAGAAGAGAGGGGAGACCGCTATTCGCCAGTCTGTTTCGCAAAGTGCACCTCGTACGCTTGCTATGCTGCTGCTCCTTGGTACATAGTAGGGAGCAGGAAAGATGGCCTTACAGACAGTTGGCTCCACCATCACCATGTCACGTCCGTGTGAGTCTGTGCCTGTGTATGCGAGCCCGGGTGCAAGTGAGGAAGTGTGTCGGCATGTCAGTACCCGCCCTGGCCCCTCCCCCCCCCTCTCGGCCGTCCATCGACTTCCTTGGCATTTCACCCAACAGCTTGCTGTGTCGTAGGTATAACGGCAACGATACCGGCATCGCACCGGATTGGCCATCTAGGCTACATTCGGTATTCCGGTTCGGAAGGACCCCGAGCAGCCTGGTCGGGTGGACTTATATTGGGCAAGTCTTCACTTATACCTACCTGCTTCCAGCCTGCCTGCGCACGCCGGATACCCTATCCCGGCCGTCAGTTGTCGTGGAGCGAGGGGAGACCGCGAGCGAACGACGGGCGGTGAAGATGGAATCACCGGTTGTCTCTAGCCTCACCGCCTGTGCGAGATATAATAGGCAGGCAAGCACAGCGATCATTGCGGCTCTCTGCTCTCGCTCGTTTGCAATTAGTGGTCTTGATCGGCGATAAGACGTCCAATCCAGCCCAGGCACTGTCTCAGCTCGGCGACGGATAAGGAAGTTTTATGCCGCTTACGTTGCGCCGCGTTGTTTTCGCCCATCTGCTATACAACAACAGTGAAATTTGCTCTCCGGTCGTGGTATTAATAGCAGGTATAGTTGCCCATGTGTCAGACGGCCACCCCGGATAGGAAGCACCGATCACCTCGGACGGCCCCCCCAGCGTGAGTTGGAAGCTATTCGCAACGACCCGAACCTGGGCGCCGGAAAGAGGAGTTTGTTGGGGAACAGCGACTTTCGGCGAGTGGTCAGTCGAGCCCATGTGGATTCCCTCCCCCAGGTTGTCCCCAGTTCCCCGCTTGCCCCCATATCGCTGCTAGCCATGGTGCCTAGAGTGAATTCCAGGCTTACCCCGGATTAAAATATTGGCCAAATCTCGCTCTTGGCCACTCTCAGAGACGCGATGTGGCCGTGTCTGGGTATCTTGCTCTGCTACCCTGATTGGAATTTCTGGGGAAGCTAAAATCGGGACCTGATTAGTAAGGATGCTCTTTAATGTAGACACAGCGTTTATAATCGGCTTTAACTGGTCCGAAATATCCCACGAGAATCTCCTGCGATCCTATAAGTGTGAGGGAATCTTTAGCAAATCTATGCGGGTCCTGGAGGAATGTCCTGGTCTCAACGGCCCCCATCGGGTTCTGCCAGCACGCAAGGCCCTAGTAGAATACACCGCAGGATGATGAGAACGTCGTAGGAAGCCTATACCATAGTATAGGATAGAAATCAATACCGTCTCTAATACGTGAGTATCATACCGTTAGTACGTAGAAAAATATGCTTCATTAACCGCGATGGTGCCAGCTACCAATGAGAGGGCGTAGTGATTACCTGGATATACATCTACGTTCCCTCCATCAAACGTCCGTCCCAAACTGAGGCGGGCGAAGTCACGATGCTAACCCTGTTATTGGATAAGTTGGCGCTGGTAATGTGTGCAAGCGCGCGCCTCCGTCCTGCCACCTGGCCTAACTGGCCTCGCCTGCTGGCGGAACTGGAAATAAAGCCAACTCTCAAAGCACCTAAGAACAACCCGCCATGTTCCCGACACCCAACCTCTCGACCATACGCTGCACCAATGTCTTCCATCACGAAACTCCCCTGCGAGGTTATAGTCTTGGTGTTGCGGGATCTAGGCAATATGCGCTCCTTGCTGCCCTGCCTCCTCACCTGCCGCTATTTCTACTCGTGCTTTAGGGAGAACCCGGGCGTCGCGGCCGATATCTTGCGGCAACAAGTCACGCCAGCTCTGATCCCTTACTCAATCGCCGCGTTGGAAGCCTCGCGGCTCAATCCACGAACCGGAGCCGCGGTCCAGGAGCTGCTCGAAACGCTGTATACGGAACCGTCCAAACTGGCCGACCGGTTGCGCACGATGTCGGTTCCGCTTTTGGCGAAAATGGGAAATATGCACGAAGCGACCCATAGCTTGGCCACTACCTTCGCCAACAGCTCATGGACTTGTCTTTCTAATGACCAAGGGTCGCGAATATCCGGCAGCCTCTCCTTGTCATCAGCAGAGTACTTTCGCTTTTGCCGAGCCTTCTACAGGGTCGAATTGTATTTCTGCCTCTTTCGCACCAGCACACCGTCGACTGCCGCAGAATTGCTCGATGGGAGTGATAAGGAGCGGTTCTTGTCGAAACATGCACCTTGGGAAAACGAGCAGCTCGGCTGCGCTCTGGAGTTTCTCGAGCGTCAGCTTTCCGAAGGTCAGTTGCGCCCGGTTCCCGAGCGAGCGACTCGGACGATAGGCACTCGAGCCCTCCGACGCCATTTCTGATTTCTATTCACAGCTTCTCACGACGTTCTCGCTCATGATGTCGAGCTCGGCGAGTTGGGAATCGACTATCTCACGGCTGGCGACGGAAATGGCTGGAGGCAACTCTGGGTAAGCCGCAATCCAGTTCTGCTCTACCCGTTGCTCTAATTGCTCATGCGCAAGGATCGTAGCTGTCGCAGGGCATTGGTTTCATCTATAGACTGATAAATGAGAATTCGTACGAAACCAAAAAGGCTCTATTAAAGTCTACATTCGGTGCTGGGAGCGCTGATCTTTACGAGGCGCTCTGCACTCCGTCCGAGGAAGGTCTGGATGATGTCATCCCACTCGCCGAATACACCGACGAGGCCCTGACGACCCTGTTTCCGGTGCTTGACAGCCAGGATACCGACAAGGGCCCATTTGAAGCATGGCGTGTAGCCTTCAACGTCTGGCCCCGCTGCGCGTGGGTCATGCTCGTAAACAGTTTTGGGTTGAGAAAGCGGGCTTATGTGTTCTGGGATTGGGATCGCCTCGAGAGATATGGCATGCTCGAGCTATCTGACAATGTCCCAGAGGGTTCTGAACTTCAATATACTGGCGAGGAATATGACGCCATGTACGAGTCGTTCAAAGAGCGTTCAAATATATGGCAAAAGGGTGGCTCGGGCTATTGGAGCAGAGGTGACGAAAGCAAAATTGTATGGCGACATAGATGAGGCGAAGCATGGCTGGGCAGGGCACATGTGTGTGGTTTATGCCTCGGAGGCATACCATACTACTTCACCACAGTAGCGTTTATTTACAAGGGACCCTAGTGGCTATACTACTCCAGAGTCTTTAAAACCTGCCTCCTAACCAGCCGAAGTAACCGTTGCCGAAAGACTCCGCACCGTCAATACATCCGCCGACATCATAGCCCTACGTCAGAGTTCGACTAGTTGTCATCCCAGATGGCATTTTTAGGGACTGCATATTAAATCGCACGAGAAACCAGCGTATCTAACGCTGCCGTGCTCGTGTCTCAAAAAATATCTTCTTAATTACCTTATGGCAGCCGGTACATGCCTTGCTCAGGTCTCGTTTAGCGCCCGTTCAAGTGGGCTGTAGGTACCTAGGTAGTAGAATGTTTGGGGCTTGAATACTCGGTTGAACCCCTGGTAGGCAATCCGGGGCTGTTGGCACTAGCCCTGGAGGAGCCAAACTAAGCGGGGGTCATGGGGGCCATGTTCGGTCACATCAACCACGGATTCTGTCTTCCGTCGGCTTGTGGGACTTCTCGTGGGGGATTGAGCGAGGTGGACGAGGATGGATCAACTTCGGGTCCTGGGCGCGTCTTCTGTTACCTACCTAGTTCTGTTAGGCGAAGCGCCTACATGCGTGAGCCACGCGAGTTGAGTGAGCCAAGTGAACCAAGTGAGCCAAGTGTGCGGTAGTCAACTCTTATACGAACCGGCACGGAGCAGTTCCCCACGTCTCCCCTGTCTCTCGGGCCAGCGTTCAACCGAACTACTCCATATCCGGGGCTTAGTATCGTCCAGGCAGGCTCCATTTGGGGCTTCCAGTCCCGTCGCCTTCTCTTTCTCCACAACCTTTCGACCCGATAAGTCGACACACCTGACCCAAGAATCCGGATCGCTTTTAAAGTAAGCGAGATGTCTCACTACATCTTAATCAACGACATCCCCGCTTAATCCCTCTTCAACGTTAACAGGAGGGAGGAAAGTAGTCCATATCATGGTTAAGTATGTCTTGTGCTCGCGCTAACGCTAGTTACATAGCGAAGACAAGGATATATTGCCTGTTTATCCACTTCGATTCGTGCTATGAACTTGTATTGATCTTCAACTCCAGAATTGGCGTTGAGGCCTGTCGGAAGCCGTGGTGAGTTAACTAGGTACCTAGCTAGAAAGGTTTCGCGTGCAAAGGGAGGATCCAGAAGGAAATCGGTAAATCACGAATACCACCCAACGCGTTTGCGGGCAAGGAACAACAAAAGGCCCACACATCGCCTCACCCTTGTCCTACCTTCGTATTCTCACACTGAAGATCACAATCTGCGATACGTTAGGACATGTACCGACGCATTGCAACTGCACAGCTCCTGGTACCTGGGACGGGACCCGATCTCGAGATGTGTCCGACTCTCCACGGTTGTACATACCCTTACGTAGTATCATCGGGTCCTAACCCGGTTAGGCTGCTGCTAGCGGTTGTATCATTCCTACATCCACGTGGGAAGGCGTTGGAGAGAATAGTGTGGAGCGTGTGTCCGGATCCGCCTATTGCTACCCGAGTCGACGAGGCTATTAATAGCCAGACGAACTACAAGCTTTGTGGCCCGTGATTCATGAAGACCAAATCTGTGGCTCCCTCGGAAATGTGCAGGGTGCGAATCAAGTCTCACAGTTCTCTAGTGCTATATACTAAACAAAAAGTTTCTTCTATTAAAAAGGCCTAGCAAGAACGGCGTCGCCGCCCCGGACGAGTCCCTATCTGAACGTAAAGTCACCTCCTAGCTAACATCCGTTCCCGGTAGCTAAGGCGAAAAAGCAATAATTACTTGTTACGTAGATCTAAGGAGCTATGTGTGGTGCGAGAGCGCGCGCGAGGAGCTATCTCACGAGCAACGGGAGGAGGAGCAAAAGGAGAAAAGGTCTTGTTCTATTTAAGCACTAACTAAAGGAATGGAAGTAATAAGAGCGTATATATAGGAGTTCCTGTTGCTGAGGTAAGTAACGAAGAGGTGTAAAGCTAAGGGGCAACCTCTACGTGACATTACCTAATAACTAGTTTAAAGCTAACAAAATACTACCGTAACCGAATAAAGATACCAAAGGGTTTCTCCGAGAATATAAGTCTATCCTTTATGCCGGATAAGCTGGTGTACCCCTCTGTAGGCTACCCCTTTATGGATTACCGCGTTAAGACCTGCGGACGTACCTTTTAACGCGACATCCTTCCTTAAATACCCTTTAATTTCTTAGCTAGTTTCAATCTTCGATAATTCCCTTCGCTATTAATCTCTTCCCTATTTCAGTACGGTAGTTGAAAAAACGTAATGCTCAATTTAGGTAGCTCGTGAAGGGGTATATTCCCTAGTTAATCTGGTATCAAAATAATCGGTATCAAGATCGGAAAAAATGAGAGAGAAGGATTGGAATAGGAAAGGGGTTAAAGCCGCACATGTAATAAGTTACTAGTTATCTCACTCCCTAATCTCGAAAGAAAAGGAATTACTTAGATACTACCTGCCTAGCACGAGTTAGGCACAATCCGAGTCCCTGAGCCGGCGATAGTTAGCGACACGCACGCGGAGATGCCTGAAGCTTTGTGGCACACTCCTATCATCACCAACTAATATCTAACCTCGAGAAGATCGCGATCCTGCGCCGGGTCTAGAGCCATACCGTCTCACACCCGCCACAGCAGGCCTAGGACGCAGAAGGCGGCAGCGGCTAGCGCGCTTAGGAGCCCGTAGCGAGAGGTCGCGCGGCTTAGCGCCAGGCTCTGGCCCGCCGTCCGGCCCTAGCACTGGCATTCGCCGGCGAAGAGTCCGTAGTAGCGTAGCGAGCTAAAACAGTCGTAGTCGAAGGTCGCGTCCGTCGAGTTGCTTTTGGTTTATTTATAGGTTGACATTTATCTCCATATAGGTATTCATTTCATCTTATACACCACGCTCCCAGCTATCCAGTCTTTAATCTATCCAATAATAACAATATTTGAGCTCAATACGAATACCCCGTCATTCTGGACTATTGGGGGGCCTCTGAACAACATGTCCGCTGCGAACTGGCAGGGTCTCCAGAAAGTCCCTTGTAGACCCTAAATGATCCTTGAAACTGGAGATCAGCCGCAACAGCTCACCCTTGACATCTTCTCCAGCCTCGGTCCCTTGCATTACTCCCGCTGTTGGCGGTTCCGGTAGGGGTGGTAACTGCACCGCTGCAGGCCTATCTTGTCTGACATTGATGCTCTCCCCTGAGATTTCGGATGGTTCATCACGCTCGCTGTCGATAGCCGGTAGATGGTGCTGGCTGGTTTGGCGAGTGCTGTAGATCATGGTCTGGCTTGGCTCCTCTGGCACATCGACAGCTGTGCTGACGCTAAAATCGCCATCGCCAATGTAAATAGACGGTTCTCTCACGGCTGATGGATACGGCTTAGGCGTATGCTTCTCGAGATCAAAGGGTGTACGCCATATGTCAGATGGAGTATCTGAGTCCGCCGTAGATGGCCGGGAGGTCTCTCGCAAATCATCAGGTAGACTAGCATCAAGATCGATAATGCTAAAAGCGGACGCACGGTTGTCCGATGCCATTTTGTCGGGGGGGAATTCGGCAACCAGACCTCTCTGAGCTTGAGTTAGGGTAGGTTCCCCGTCACTGTTGACAGGATCAGGGCTATGCTGGAATCCGGGGGTCGCTGAGACAGGCGCTTCCGTTGGAAAGGTCCAATCCAAGGTCCGGCGACGACCTGCATCTGTCAGGTCGCTTGAGAGGGACCTAGTCAAGGGTCTGACGGTTGACAGATCTGCAGATTGAGGTACGACGTCACCTAGAGCGGCGTCTAAGTCGATGAGGGATTCTCGAACATTTTGAGTGCCATCACGAAGTGGAAGCTCAGACGTCATCGGTCCCCTCGCGTAGAAATCACGAGCGTTATCCTGATAATTGGACGTGGTATTTGGGTCGAAAAGCCTTTGTAACGGGGCTACTGGCATTTTGATATTTGGCGGTGGCGGTTTTCGCCGACGGGGATAAGGATTTGAAGGCTTGGTCCGAACATCGACATTAGTGTCGTAGGCCTCGAGCACAGACTGAAGTGAATCCGGAATGGCAAGCTGACCCAGATCGTCTAGAGTGCTAAAATTCCACTCATCAGAAATAAGCGAAGGCAAATCGGAGGTGGGCTCCCTTTGCGCACCGCCTAGGGAAAAGAGGGATGTACGACTCCCTCCTTGAGCTTCCCAGAGCTTATAGGCGTGCACAAGCCTAGACAACGACTCAGTCGGGTAGTCCATCTCAGTGCCGTAGATATAAGGATGCTGCTGGAGCTGCTCAATAGGAGGGCGCTGAGAAGGATCCTCGACTATGCAGCAGGCGATCAGGTTCTTCAGTCCGGGAGAGTACTGGTCACCTTCAAGGCGAGGGCAGTGGTTCTTTAGATAGGCGCCAAACCGAGGGATATCCCTGAACGCGGCATTGGGGGGCAGCCCAGAGGCGACCTCATAGGCCATCGACCCAAAGGCCCAAATATCAACCTCAGTACCGTACCTCACGGCGGGATTGAAGAGTTCGGGTGCCATCCAATGTAAGGAACCTGTGATGGTACTCCTCTTGTCGAAGCTGTTCTGAATGATCCCGGCGACCCCGAAGTCGCAGAGCTGCACGCTGCCCACTTCGGTGACAAGAACATTTGCACACTTGATATCCCGATGGATGATGCCCTGCTTATGAACCCAGAAAATAGCTTCGGCAACTTCCCGTAGAATAGGAATAATCCACTGTTCTGGTAAACGTCCTCTTGGCTTCATCAAGGTTGAAACACTCCCGCCAGCGCAATACTCTGTGACCATCCACATAGTATGGCCAACGAGGAGGGCATCCACCACGGTATTTACGTTCTTCGCTCCACCACTATCAAGGAGCTTCAGAGTTTCAATTTCCTTGAGAATATCACTAAATGTGTCCGCGCTAGGGTCTAGCGCATCCCCGTTCTCGATGTTGATGATCTTGACAGCAACGAGTTGACCGGGTTTGGTGCCACGGGCCTTGTAGACGCGACCGAAGCTTCCCTTGCCGATAAGTTCCAAAAGAAGATAGGGAGGCGGCTCTTTTCCAGACTCGACGCAGTCCTGCGCAACGGATGCTTGCATTTCCTTCGCATCCTCGACGGCATTCTGCCGGGTCGCCATGTTGTTAGGTGAGAGGTTGACTATGCTAACTAGCATGCCAGAGCCCCGCTTCGGGGGGCCGTGAGAGTTTTAGTTTATTTAAAAGATAATTAGTATATTTATAATATCATTATCTTAAATTTTTCTCTTTCTTTTATTATCTTACTCTTATAATTATTTTATTTTATTTAAAATTTTTATTTTATCTTTTTAACTTTAAGTATTTTATTTTATTATTTAATATTATCTTTACATTACTTATTTATAATATAATAAGTGGTCTTTTTATTTTGTTACGTAGAGAGCCACTTATATATAACTCCTTGTTACGGTTTTAAGGGCTAGTCGCTACGTGAAAGCCGTGTATTGACGATTTAAAGCTGTACGAAGAGAAAAGGAAGAAAGTCCGCCCCTGCCAGGCCGCACCTGCAACAGTTAACCTAACCTCCACAAGTGCTGAGAGGTTGATCACGTGCTAAGCCTTGGTGCCAACCAGGGCTCTACTACACGCACAGTCTATCACACTCTCTACTTCTTCTTCGTCCGGGCATGTGAAGAAGAAGGGGGAAAGGTTCGGCTGCAGCCCAGTCTAGTCCGGGTCGCTTCGACGCCTACAGGGGGACGACAGGCCGGGTCCCAAGCCTCGTCCGTAGAGCGCACCGGATGCTTGGCTTCCCGTCCCACCCGTTAGCGTCCGCGCTGAAGATTGACAGAAACGCCAGCAGACCACGAGTCTGAGGACTCGTCCGGTCGGCGCGCTGCGAGGCTCGCGAGAGTCGACAGCGTGGCCACATGAGATTATATGACTCCTACCGCGTACCTAGGTAATCCATAGGGTGTAGCCGAGCTGGCGGCCACGCAGAGAAGGCCGTAGAGGATGCTTCCGGATGGAGAGCGTCGCACAATCCCGCTTTTCAACAGTTACCCCTGTCAGTAGGGTGGAAGTGGCTTGCACTTTGGCCCATTCACCGTCAAGCCGACTGCCCCCCTGAATCGAAGTCCTTTAGTGATTAGCTCTCATGTGTGTAGGCGGCTGAACCTCATCACGCGGTTCTTCCACCCTACTGCGTGGCTAGGTAGTATTCCACCCGACGGTGTAGAGTTGGGTATTCCTAAGTAGCCCTCATGTACTCGACCAGGGAGTGAGATGCGGGTAGGAGGCTGTTACCACCTTTGGTCATAACCACAGCCATCCCCCGGCTCTCCTCTGTCTTCTCTTTAGCTCTGTTTAGCCGATCCAATTGCCCTACCTCTATTTCTTTCAAAAGTTCAGAGACTCATCGTTATGGCCAGCTACAACGAGGTACTTCGGCTAGGCACCGACGTGTTTAGCAACGCTCTAGTCACCACTACTGCTGGCAATGCAGCCACTCTCCCTCAACCCACCCTAGCAGATGGGATGCCCGACGCCGTTATTGGCGTGGGGTAAGTTTTTTTTTTTTTCTTTTTCTGACTGAGTATAATCAGCTGTTTTAAGATCAAACTCGCCAATGACGGATACTCTCCTACCACACACAAGGCCAAGGATCTTCCTCCACAGCACGGCAAGCGTGAAGGTCATCGGTATGCATGTACCTGCGGCAAAACATTCTCTCGATCCGACTCCCTCAAGCGACACATCACGTCGAAGTCCGCCGACATCCCGAAGTATCCATGCGAACACTGTGACAAGCACCGGGGCGAGAGAGGGTTCCGCCGTCTCGACCACCTCTTCCAGCACCATAATCACTGCCCAGGGAAGACAGCTGTGGACGCATTTACACAACCCGGTACCGCGTCAGGCCAGGCTGCCGCGACTTCGACCGCGGTCGTTATCTCAGAAGTCCCTGCACCGGAGACTTCGGCTCTGTCGTATGGTTGCCCTGAGCCGGGTTGCCCAAAGGAGCACCCGGATGGCTTTGTTTACAAGGAAGACTTCGACAATCACCTTACTAGGGACCATGGCTATGTCATTAGATATACGCGGAGCGCGAGTTTGCAGCTGTATGCTGTCCTCGCACCATCAGGTCAGCCGGAGGCACGCTTCTGGTACGATACGGAGAAGCAGACATTTGTGCCCGCGGAAATCCGCTACTAGGCCTGCCAAGATTGTTGTTATATCCAGCTTAGTTGCATACTGTGGCTATGGCAGTTGTACTTGACGGGATGAAGCATGTTTTGGTGGATGGATTTTATCTTCTTCAACTTCGCTCTGCACCACCCCGTACGCACGATGGGCACGGACAAGTACCACCACTCAGAGTTATTTTATTATTCTTTACGTTTTAGGGAGGCTCGTGCTTCCTTAAATCCCCAAATTTGGGGCATTCGTAACTAGATAGTCATCTCATTGAGCCTCTTGTCGCCAAGCCGACTTAATTCTGCTACGTGATCACGACTCCGCTACTGGGAATATTACCTAGGAAGGAAGCATAGTAATAGCGTGTAGGAGCATGTAGGGACGATTCGATATTAGTGAAAACGACTTATGTAGGCATCCCAAAGCACCACCACATCTTGCCCCCGACACGAATCCCTCCCCGCGCGTAGACATTCGTCGCCGTGGAATCGCGGCGATGACTGCCAACTTTAGGGAGCTGATCATGAGCGAAGGCAACGTGCCTACCCGGCAAGAAATGCCCAGAGTTGTATATCCGAATAAGGGACAGCATCAACAAGTGATATTTGAGACCTGCTAGAAACCGAAGCAGCATGGTGCAACTCATAGCACTAGCCAAAACGCAATGTCCCCTTAAGTAATATTACCATTATGGGGGCAATTTCCGCAGCATGGCGTATTAATCCATTGCCATTACTTTTGCCAAATTTTCTCACATCTAGCTTAAGAGGTGGGAGATTCAAGTATCGTCTACGGTAAAACGACAAGGTTGCACTTTCTTTTAACCAAGCAGGTGAACTTCACAGTTATATTATTATGCCGCCGCCTTTCAGTCCATATATACATACCCGTATACAGATATGCGGGATAGATATCGGCGTATGATTTTCCATGTCCATGCTTCTAACTTAAGACAAGAGATAGACAGGAAGGTCAACCTGACTAAGAGGGTTACGAGTCTAAGGTTGGGGGTTAAATATACCTACTTGGAGAAGCCATAGCCTCTCGGCAAGCCCCTATTGAACTCAATGATAACACCCCTTGTTTGGTTTCCCCCTGGATTCGAATAGCGGCAATCATGTAGACGCTCGTATTCGTGGTACTCGGCCGCAACCCTATCTTACGTGCTTGGGTCGATACTATACTCAAGAGGAAAGATTTACTTCGACACTATAATAGAATCCCCAAAGCCCTGACTCCGCCATGGTAGTCACCACAACCGCTCTACTCTTCATACTTGGTATATTTACCTTAAACCACCTCTCTCCGCAGGAATACCTACCTACCAAATACCCGACTTCCACCGCAACACCAACACCTTCCCACACCGCACCGCACCCTCCTCCCTCGCCCCCCCCGGATTCCCCTCCGCACCGATCCACTCCCACCTACCCCCCTTCCCTGCCGCAACCCCGGGGGTCGTCAACCAGTCCCACACCCCTCCCCACCCCGGCCCGCCCCGTCGCGCCCCAGCCAGGGTAGGCAGTACTACGCCTGACCCACCCGTCGGCATGCTCCTCCCGCCTCCTTACCTGCTCTCCGCGCGTCCGACCCATACGTCGCCGAGCGCCCGGCCCCTCACGTTTGCCGTTGCGTCGCCCCCCTCCCCCCCTCCCCCCTCCCCGACCACGACAACGACTCGCGTGGTCGGGATCCTGCGACACAGCAGGTGCCGGCACGGCACGGGGAGGAGCTCGAAATATAGGTATTAGAGTGGGGTTTTGCTCCCCTGTCTGGTGGTTCGCAGCGTTTGCGTGGCGTGGCGTGAGACGGGACGTCCGCTCCGCCTCATCCCCCGTGTGATATAATACCTATTGTAGAACGTGATAGCTACAGTCGGGGAATGATACCCTCACAGCAGACAAGTACTTGGCCACAGACATCACATGTCTGAAGGCTTCTTTCTTGCTTCCCGGAAAAAAAAGGAACTATATTCGTAGCTCCTCTTCTCCCATTGGGAATCGCCCGCCTCAGGGTATTCTGCCATTCTCGGGCCCGCATTGGTTGGTATTTACACAGAACAGAAACAAGAACCAAAACAGATATCGGTGGCATGATACCAGTCCCCCCAACCGACCGCGTTGAAGCGGCATCCCCGATGACCCAGACCCCCCTAGGGAGCTACCGAACTCCAGAGCTCTCGTCATTTGCAACGCCTGATGAATGCATGCAATCGTCCACTTTTGTCATCCCGTTTTCCTTGAATTCCAAGTCCTACCCGTTTCCGCAAACCAGAGAAAAGTTGAGTTGCCCCTCTTTCGCCTTCAGATCTATGTTGAAAAAACGAACACCGCCAGACTTCCCTGTCTATTTGTCCGCACGTGTACTGGTTTAGATGCCTGCATCCAATCTCCATCCCTCCACCGGCAGGGGGAAAGTCTGGGACCAACCAGAGATCTCCTTCCTCAGCTCGCTAATCCTGGCATTGTCGCCGCCAGCCAACTTGGCCCTAAAGTCCTTCAGCTTGTTCGCTTCCTTAGGCAGACTAGCTTGGATCTCTTTCGCAATCTTGATACTCTCATCGATGTAGGCCGCGACACGCTCAAAATCCTTCTCGCCGAAACCACGCGAGGTCATGGCAGGAGTACCAATGCGGATACCGTAGGGCGTCAGGGCAGACTTGTCACCCGGGGTGGCGTTCTTGTTGCAGGCGATGTTGATCTGCTCGAGGACGGCTTCGATACGCGCGCCGTCGACGGCCTGGGGCCTCAGGTCGAGGAGCACCATGTGCGAATCGGTGCCGTCCGACACCAGCTTGTAGCCGAGCTCCTTGAACTTGATTTCTAGAGTCTTGGCGTTGGCAACAACCTGTTGTTGATAGGCCTTGAACTCGGGCGTCTGGGCCTGCTTCAGGGCAACGGTGAGAGCAGTAATCGTGTGGTTATGGGGGCCGCCCTGGTGGCCGGGGAAGACGGAGAAGTTGATGGCCGACTCAAGGTCGTAGAGGGTCTGCTTGCCGGTCTTGGGGTCGGTGCTGCGGACACCCTTGCGGAAGAAGATCATGGCGCCACGAGGGCCACGCAGCGACTTATGTGTCGTAGTAGTGACGATGTCGGCATGGGGAAAGGGGGACTTAATCACCTCTGCGGCGATCAGGCCGGAGATGTGAGCCATATCCACGACAAGGTAGGCTCCGACAGAGTCGGCAATCTTCCGCATGCGTGCATAATCGATCTCGCGGCAGTAGGCCGAGGTACCGGCAACGAGGACCTTGGGCCGGAATAGCTGGGCGTTCTCCTCGAGTCTGTCGTAGTCGATGATACCCGTGTCGAGGTTCACCCGGTAAGGCATGGTCTCGAAGTAAGTCGAGACGGCCGAAATCCTGGGAGCAGCACGTTTAGCTCCGAAAATGCAAAGCAATTGCGCGGGAAGAAGAGGAGAAACTCACTTCCTGGAGGGAGTCTGGTATCCGTGACTCAGATGGCCGCCGTGGGGGAGGTCAAGGCCCATCAGTCGGCCGCCGGGCGCCATGATGGCCTGGTAGACCTGCAAGTTGGCAGGACTGCCGCTCAGGCACTGGACGTTGACGCCCCACTGCTCCGGGTCGAGGTGGAAGGTCTGCAGAGCGCGCTTCTGACACAGAAGCTCGATCTCGTCGATGTGCTGGTTGCCACCGTAATAGCGGGCGCCGGGGTATCCTTCCGAGTATTTGTTGGACATGGGCGAGCCTAGGGCGTCGAACACGGCCCGAGAAGTGACGTTCTCCGAGGCAATTAGGATGATGGACTCCCGCTGACGCTGGATCTCTTTTCTCTGTGGTAAAGACGAACGCGGTCAGTCAACGAACGTGTTCTATCGATCTCGCAGAGGAAGGCCTACCATGATGTCGGCCACCTCCGGGTCGGAGTCGACCAAGGATCTCTCGAGTAGCTAGCAGCAAGTCAGCGGGGTGCCGTAGGCGTGAGCATTTTGAACAGCTGGTGGCGGGCGTTGCTAACATCCTTGTGCTCCTGGGAGAGGGCATAAGTGGCACCGTGGGCAGCCATTGTGCGTAATGGGAGAGGATAGAATGGAACCTGTTCGTCTTATTCGAGAGGCTATGGGTGGAAGGGCGGAATCTGGGGGTTTTACGTCTTCTTTTGCGGTCTGGAGGCGGTTCTGGGGGAAGTGAGACGGAAGAGGGAAAAATGGAGAGGGAAGAGGAAGGGTGAGAAAGTGATGGATTTTTTTTTTCTGGCTCGAGTCTGGTGGGGATTCTTGTAGCTGGCCTAGATATGTATAAGGCGGGAATATGACCAAAACAGACAGTACTTGTGGTAAGCACCTTGGACGGGTCTAGGCTAGGTAACTTTCTGCGGGTTAGAGGTACTTGTATAGGCAACCTTGTAATTGCCTCAGAACGAGAGGCGCCGCAGATAGGGTCGCAGGGTCGCCAACTACGAAGACAGCGTACTGTCAAGCTGGTCCGGTACCTAAGAAAGGAATCCAGGTCGCTTAGGCGGGGTGATGTCGGCGGGGCAGAAGGGGAGAAAAACGTCGATCGGATCCGACGGGGGATTTCTCTGCTTACTTCGAGGGCCGGAGTTATTGACGGAGAAGCTCCAGGGCTATGCGCCTCCACCAGCTGTATCCCATTGGATTCTCCCAACCGAAATCGGCGAATCAGCGCACTCATCATCGGACCATCAAGAAGAGTGCCTGTTATGGATGCACCGACTGCGTAGTCCACAAGGGTTGCCATCCTGACTATAGGCATTCTCTCCCGTTCTCTGAGTCGATTGAGGGGTTTTTGTGAGATTTTCTTTCCTCTAGGTATATATCGGCGGATAGATTCGCGCCTTCAAGTCGGTACACGATGGTGTGCTGCGCGCCAGCCAAGGTCGATTCTTCCGCCGATTCTACACTGCCATTTCTTGTCGTATTGCTGTGTGGTATACCTGGATCATCGACAACGCGTTTCCCTCTAGTGACAGCTAATGCCTTGAATTACACAGGTACCTTAGAGGTAGGTAGTTAGGTAGCGAGCCACCTCTACAATACCTTTCTCTTGCGCTTCCGTTCGTATGAATTGGGACATGTACATGTAGCTGAGGGCTACTGAAGAACCTGCTTGTGATCCGCCTCCCGGAGGAGGTATGGGCGTAGTTGACTAAGAAGTCTTGGCCCCAACACGATTGTCGATGCTGCTGGCGTCGGTGGCATTGGAGGCTAGAAACCCGCCAATGCCACCGGATCATGTTGAGAGTATGTGATACGAAAGAGAAGCATCAAATCTAGATACGTAGCTTTATTTCCACCATATCTTCACGGGTTCCGGTTCCTTGCCGATTGCTTTCTATCTGCCTTGGATGAACTACCAAAACGTTGGGTTCTGACCATGGATATATGTACCTACAGAGTCATAGTATAAACACCAAAAGTTGCCACTATCGGTTACGGATACATCCCCGTGAAGCTGTGTGTGTGAAAAGGAGTAGAAGAGCTAATCGTTTGGTCCCGCGGTAGAATCGCCCGGGGAAGATGGACGGTCGTGTATAGAGAGCCGTGTCGTTAGGTACCTACGTTATATTACTAGCGTCCCTCTTTGTTGATCCTTCCATTCTGACCGCCGCAGTTCCAGGTACAGAGGGATAAATGGATGGATCTATATACTATAGATGCGTCTAGATTCCGGATTGCCGGCGGCGTGACACTGAGCGCCACTCCGCCGCGCGAGACGAACTGGATGTTCAGTCCGTGGGAAACGGTTGCTTATCGTGCCCTTGATCTCTACTCATAGATATCTTCGCATGTGCCGTCTTCTCGTCCTAAGTAAGCACGGACAGCTACGATCTTACGAGGAACGGAAGTGGAAGCTCAGGGTGTAGCCGCATCGAGATTAGCGATAGGCACGCAGTACTCAGGTACCTACCTACAGTACGAATACGGGGCCGCGCACCTGAGGGCGAGTACAACAAGGCTCGGATGATCAGAGACATACCCTACGTAATAAGAGGGTGGTCGGACTGCCTTGCCCGTTACCGCAATCAATGGAATCCGGCATCTAGGTACATGGGTAGGGCTATCAGGTATCCAATGCGTCCGATCTGAGCCATGGAAGCACATCGCGCGTCACCTCTTCGAAAGCGGTGATGGATGTAGGTGAGGGTTGAAATGAGAGACCCAATAATTACCTAAGCGCTCGGCTCGTCTTACGCGTAGAGTCAGAGAGAGCGAGGTACAGTTACATGGACACCCGTGTTTTCGATGTACTCGCCAGAGTTTCGGATCGGATTAAGCTGGCGACGCGGACGCTCATTGGGCGGAGCCGCTCCCTCCGGGTGGAGTGGACCCTGTTCCTGCTTGTGTCATAAGCGGTTGTTGCCTCGAGGATTACGCTGGGTCGAGCTGGGCGGACCCATATGCACCCGCGAGAACCCGGTCCCATTGGCCGCACCCAGAATTCCGTGGTCGTCACGGGGAACAACTCAGCGCCGAGGTACTGGTACTGCCCAGCCTGTATCTACCTGCACGAGACCTACCTGTCCCCACCCCCCCAGAAGTTGTCGTCCAGCAACTGCCTAATGCATGAACTTCTCCCGACCACCCCCCAGCACCTAAACAGTCGCGGTGCTTGTTGGCACAGCGTAAGCTCCCGCCCGTTATCTCCCTCAACCACACCATAACATCATCGGCCACTCCTCTTTCCTCACTCTCCTCTTCCATCTATTTATCCCTCCCTTCCCATCGGCCTGTCTTCCGCCTTCACACCTCATCGCCGCTAGTTGGCAACCAGACTGTCTATTCGTTGTCGTACTCAGCCTCCTCCCTCGTTTTCCGTCCTTTGATCATCCCTCCGTCGGTTGTCGCCCGTCATGAAGGGAGCTCTCCTCACCGCAGCTGTGCTGCTGGGCGGAGCCCAGGCCGGCGTCCACAAGATGAAGCTCAAGAAGATCCCCCTGTCTGAGCAGCTGGTTAGTATCACATCTGTCCCGATGAGCGCGGCTTGGTATTGATGTTTTTTTTTCCCTTCCAACAGGACAGCATCCCGATGGACGCCCAGATGCGAGGGCTCGGCCAGAAGTACATGGGCCCTCGACCTGACACCCACCGCCAGGCCGTCTTCCAAGATACCTCGGTCCACGTAGACAGGGACCACCCGGTCCCCATTTCTAACTTCATGAATGCTCAGTGTACGTATATCGAGTCGTTCTGATGCCGAGTGGTGTTACTGACATGAATGGCTGGTAGACTTCTCCGATATCAGCATCGGCACGCCGCCCCAGAATTTCAAAGTCATCCTGGACACTGGTAGCTCAAACCTCTGGGTTCCCTCCTCGTCCTGCGGCAGCATAGCTTGCTATCTGCACTCTACGTACGACTCGTCCGCGTCCTCCACCTACAAGCAGAACGGCTCCGAGTTCGAGATCCGATACGGATCCGGCAGCTTGAGCGGTTTCGTGTCTCAGGATGCCGTCACCATCGGGGACCTCACCATCAATAACCAAGATTTTGCCGAGGCGACCAACGAGCCCGGCCTGGCTTTCGCCTTTGGTCGATTCGACGGCATTCTCGGATTGGGCTTCGATCGTATCTCCGTGAACGGCATTGTCCCCCCGTTCTACCAACTGGTGAACCAGAAGTTGATTGACGAGCCTGTCTTTGCTTTCTACTTAAGTGGCGAGAGCGGCAGTGACGACTCGGAAGTGGTTTTCGGTGGCGTGGACAAGGACCACTACACCGGCAAGATCACCGAGATCCCCCTGCGTCGCCAGGCCTACTGGGAAGTCGATTTCGACTCAATCTCCTTCGGCGAGGAGACGGCCGAGCTCGAGAACACCGGTGTCATCCTCGACACTGGTACTTCTCTGATCGCCCTGCCCACCGATCTGGCAGAGCTTCTCAACAAGGAGATTGGCGCGAAGAAGAGCTTTAATGGACAGTACACTGTCGACTGCTCCGTCCGCGACTCGCTCCCCGACATCTCCTTCAAGCTGGGCGGTTACGATTTTGCCATCAGCGCGTACGACTACATCCTCGAGGTTCAGGGCAGCTGCATCTCGACGTTTATGGGAATGGACTTCCCGGCTCCGGTTGGTCCTCTTGCCATTCTCGGTGACGCATTCCTCCGGAAGTGGTACTCGATCTACGACCTGGGCAAGGGCACGGTCGGGCTGGCACAGGCCAAATAGAGGAGACAGTTCCCCGCAGAGGAATCTGGCATGACTTTCTGAGACTTGTAAGACGAGAACGCGACACTATGGGTAATTGGACGGGTTTGATCATAATTTGACGGAAGGCTAGAGTGCGCCTTCAACTGCCTTCCCCCCCCTCGGCGTTTTCTCTTTGGGTATTCGTTTCGCAGCTTCATTTGTCGGGCCTCGCGCGACTCGGCCTCGACTGTACAGTATGACCCTACTGCAAGTATTCGGAACACGTTCGATCAGCTTAATACCTCCGTAGCAAGATTTGGTGCCAACACAAGTCCTACGTAGGCTTACATCGTGTTAGGGCGTCCTTCGCCAGCCTCCCCTAAATTGACTTTGTAGTCCTTGATATGCAGTTCAGTACTACAGAGCCCCTACGTCAGGTAGAATGTGTGTAGGGATGTATTTATCATCAGTTCCATGTGTGGGGAGGCGAGCCACGAGGGAACCGTATCTCCCATGTATCACCGAGATTTAGAATCCAATCCTTTCCGCGCTCACTCCCTGCGATGCTAATGAGGTATAATATGGCAAGTCCCAAGCAGCCCCCCAGGTACGGCCGATGTGGGTATGTGCGAGTTAGACAGGCGACTAGATTGATTGACACATCCCTTCTATTATACCTACCATATCGGCCAGGGGGTCGTTCATACTCAAATGCAGGTTCATCGAGAACTCGCTACTATGAATACCCCATGCACCTAGATCGGTCAAAGTAAGCGACGCTGTCACCCAATATGTGCCTGTAAATATGTAGATAAGATTGGGCATATCAGGTCAGCACTGAGCGGGATTACTTCCTATGAGTAGGCGAGCGTGAGCGAATTGCCTTTGATAAAATAATATCGTTATCGGCGCCTCGACATGGGTAAGATCACGTGCGTATTGGATAGACCGAGGGCGGTCCGTGAACGGCCCCAAGCGCTACATGGAAAATGCCTTGGAATGAGGGAGTGCAACCGTGTCGTCGCGTAGGGAGGGAGGAGGCATGCGTACTAACAGGTTGGTGAGTAAGTATGTTGTCGATAGGCATTTAAGCAGGAGACGTAAGGCACATTTATATTCCATTTTTAGGCGGCCAGATTTCGGTTCCCGTCGAATTCGCCATTCCTTTCCTCGTTGTATTGCCCACGGGGCTGTCGTTGTACGCAGCCAAGGTACCTGTCAGATACTGCTCTCCGGGGACCTGCGTCACAACCAGCCAGGTACCCATTATGTATACTACGCATAGGTAATAAAACCTCTCCAAGGTCTACTAAGGTATCATAAAATCGTGACGTTCTCCAGCAAGGATGTTTCGCAACTTAGGTTAAGTCAAGATGTCGGTACATGTTGGAGTCCCTAATGTAGGTACCTAAGGTAGGTATGAATATTTGGTGCCTTTCCTATTCCCATTCCCACCGCATATGATGGCGGCTTACCCATCGCTTTACCACTGCAGTTTTTTTTTCCCTGTCCCGCTAGGAAAATGTTGCGTGCGTTTGGCCTCGATACCAAGATTCATTTCTGGACGAATTTTTTTTTTTGCCATCCTCGAGGTCTCTCCCCATGTTTCTCACCCACAGGCAACTTAGCCTCTTACCTACATGAATACACGTATATCACGTACATGCCAAAGCTACCACCCTGGCGCATCCAACATACATCTATCGCTGCATGGGTGGAGGTACCTACGTACCCGGGAGGTAGGATGAGAGGTACCTAATGTACTTACATAGCTGCCGTACCTCCCACATTAGGTGCGGACGCTTCCACTAGCTTAGGAAGTACCTAAATTGGTCTATACCTACATATGTGTACATCCGCAGGGACCACACACACACACAGAATACACACAGATACACCACACCCTCCCTCACCCACGCACAGTCGGCCTCCCATCTGCACATACATGGCATGGCGATTCCCTATGGTGGGCTAAGAAGATTGATGCGTCTTCTCACTCTCTCTCTCGCTGCCACTATTTTCCCCTTTTCCTCATCTTCATTTTCCCGCAATTCCTTTTTTATTTATTTATATAATCCGCCTTCTCCTCTAGCCATCCCCGTCTCTCGGCCTTTTCCTCTCTCCAGGGTCTCGCATACGGGCCTCGATAACCGGCCGGGGGGTGGTTGACCCGGCCTCTTGATTCACTCTCACATTCATTGCACCCCATTACTGAATGCAACCTATCTCACGTACATGCCATACCATACCATACTACCTCCATCCTGCATCCTGGCAGCATTTAATATTTCCTCCTTCCCCTGTGTTACTTCACGTCCGTACCGCGGGCCCCTGAGCCGTTAGGAGCAACGAGAGCAGGACGGGCATACGGTGCGTACGGTACGCACGCAAGCACACACCTTCGGCGCGCACGTACAGACGAGAGACAGACGGGGAGACGAGGTACCTGGCGTACGGTGTTCCTGGGGAGTGGGTACTGTAGGGGGTCTGCACTGTACGGGCCAGACAGCCAATCCACTCTTTTTAGGTGCCACGACCAAGTGGGAATTTGCAAAGTAGAGGGAGGGAGGGAGAGAAGAGAGAGAGAGAGAAAAAATAGGTTGCTAGGTGCGGGCGACGGGTGGGTTTTATTACCATTGACAGGTAATAATATTTGTTCCCTTTGGTCGGCAGGCGGTCGGACACACACACACACACACACACACACACACCACACAAATAACACACACACGCCGGCGCTGGGCCAATTCTTTGTGGTGCGAGTCCCAGTTCCGCAGTGACAGGCAGCTGTCAGCCAGGTCCCTCCAAACAACCTCGCAGTTTGCCATCTGCCAGCCCAGCCCAGGCCCGAGTTCCCCCCGTCTGCTGGCCGAACCTGGTCACTGTCTGCCTCTTTGCTGGAACCAGCCTCTGCCACCCCCCAGCAACCTGCCTTACACCACCACATTCACTACCTACGCTCGCTGCGTATAACGTTCCCATACACTGCCTCCATAACCCGCCTCCATCTGCCTGTCTGCCTTGGCCTGGTCGCCTTCCCTGCCGCTGCTGGATCTTTTTTTTGGGGGGGAGGGCCAAGTCGCGGTCGCACCAACAAGCAACCGCAGAATCTCCAAAGTCCCGTCTCCCCTTCAATCGCGACCGACTGGCCGTGCAGCGCGACGGAGCCGCCAATTTCTTAGCAGCAACTCGCATCACCGTCCATGCCAGCGCGCCCCAGTGCACGACGAGGCCAAATCAAGACGCAATTCGGGCGAGAAGGGGGAGAATTAAAAAGGGCTCCCAGTGCAGCACCCCCCGGTACTACAAACCCAGAAAAAAAAAGAGACGAGTAAAATGGCCTCGCCGGCCATAGCACTCCCCAACGGCCACGGCCTCCCTCCAGTCGTGCAGCTGGCCGCCAACACGAATCCGAATGCTGCCATCTCCAGTCCCGACGCCGACGTCAATACCGCGCAATCTATCACCTCCTCCACCAAGCGCAAACGCGAATCCTCCGACGCAGCCGACAAGCAGCCAAATGGCCTCAATCCCCATCGCACGGCCACCCCGGCCGCCCCTGCCGACCCTGCCTCCGTCGACGCGATCAAGGTCGATCAGCCGACGATACGCAACTACTACGACGTCCTCCAGAGGTACGGTACAGAGACTATAGCTAGCATGCCGCATCTACACCTTCGTGCACTCCTACATCCGCATCCAACCCCCATACGCCCGTCCCTTCGTGCCCATATTTCCGCCTAGGTAACCTACGTTATATACGTATAACCCGCATCTATCCCAGTACATCTATCATCGATCATCCTCTTCTCTCCCCCTCTTCCTCCGCTTCCATCGCCGCCATCGCCCTCGTCGTCATCCTCGTCCCCGGAGGCCACCATCCCACACGTCACCCATTCCACCCGAGAACACATCCCCCCCCCCCCCCCCATCGTTACGTGCCGCGCATCGCCCTCCTTACCCGTCCCCTCGCGACCCACCCCTCTCCTCTTTCTAGCTGTAAACAATATGTGCTCGGAGCCGACACACGCATGCGACTGCTTCGCCCACGCTACGGCGTCGTGCTGATTATTGGTCACGCTCTAGGTACGATCCGACGCCTTCCGTCCTCAAACGTCCTCTTCCCAGCCCAGACGACTCCGCGGACGAGCCTCACGCGAAGCGTAAGCGGCCGGATGACATGCCGCCGCAGCCTTCTATCTCCGAAAAGGTCGCGAAGGAGCAATATGCCGACTTAGATAGTATTATTGTGGACATAAAATCGTCCATCGACGACCAGCTGGCGCGACTGAGGAATATGGAGTCCGCACGGGATATCGAGGCCAACGACATGGCCATCGCCAGGCTTATCGACTTCAAGCGGCAAGCCTATGGGCTCTTTAAGAGAGAGATAACCTATCCCAATCGCGTCAACGTCCCCGGCGTTCTCCAGACGCTGGATTCGACCAGCGACCTCCTCTCCAACGCAAGCGGGAACATGGTCTTGTCCGTAACCGGCGAGGCTATGAGGGGCAGGCAGTTGTATACCAGTCTCCAGCAGCCCGTCCCCAACCCCGATGGCAGCGGAGCCACTATCCGTCCGCTCCGGGAGAATGGGCTGCCGGACGGGATCAAGACGGCCAAGGCCATACCGTTTTCCTTCCCGGCCGCCATCGATAAGGACAAGAAGTCTAAGACGCTGGGCGAGCTCTTCCCGCCCCCGCGCAACCTGCCCTCCCTCCAGCCTCCCAAGGCGCCCAAGAGCACCACCAAGGGCGTTCAGGTCGGATGGCACCACCCCGAATTGACAGAAAAGTCCAAGTACCGAGCCGGCTCCTACTTCAGCCAAACCATCTCCGCCGGACGCTGGCTCGACTACAGCAACGCGGCGCCCCCGTCGCAGATCATGACGAAGCAGCGTGAGCGAGCCCTCAGCCTCGCCGGGAACAAGCCCTCGTCATCCGACCTAGAGATGTCCGAGATGGAATCTCTCTTCCGAGGAGCATTCTCTAGCTTTGCGCCCTCCAAGGACGACTCGGCGGCTATGATCTCGTCGGGTCTCATCAGCCACACCATGTGGTGGCAGAGGGTGGGAAAGCGCAACTTTGATCGCTTGGTCGAGAACGAAACACCGGAAGACGCCCCCCCCGAGGAAGCAACCAAGGAGAGCGCCGCCGTCGTCGAGGAAGTAGACGAAGATCTGATCAGAGAAGCTCTCGAAGACTGGGACGACAGCATTGTCGACCCTAGTCTCGAACAAGCCTGCTGTCCAAAGAAGTCCGACGAAGAGAAAGACGTCGACGACATACTCCAGGACGTGTCTGACATGATCCAGACGCTGATCTCCTACCAGAAGAATCGCAACCTTACTCTGCCGTCCCCGTCCAGTCAGAGTCGATACGCAGCGGACCCGGCTCATAGCGACATGCTTACCAACGGTTCGCCAGTGCAGCCGGGCGAGGAGGAGATGGCTACCTACCAGGCCCTCAAAGCCCAGCTGGTTGTGGTGATTCAGATGTTGCCGCCCTACGCAGTCGCGCGCCTCAACTCGGACAAGCTCGACGAGCTCAACATATCGACAAAGATCGAGGTTCGGACCGATGAGTACCAAGGCCTCATGGAGGAGGACGAGGCGGCCGCTCGTGCCCGGGCCGCGACAGCCACTCCGGTTGCTGCACGGCCGGCTTCACATCGAGCCTCGAGCTCGTCGAATGCTATACAGTATACCCCTCAGCCTTACCATCCGAATCGCGCCCCGATGCCGACCCCGCAACCGTACTTCGCCGCGCAGACGCCGATACGACCGCCGCAACAGGCTATACAGCGCGCGCCGCAAACGATGCCGCCTAACTACACCCAACGACCCCCGTCGAACGCGGCCTATCGGCCTACTCCTAACCACTATCCTAATGCGGGCTACCAGCAGCAGTTTCCGAAGCACCAGCAGTACGCACAGCCCGGTCCCTACGGGGGAACGCCGACGCAGCCACGTCCGCCAGCCTATCAGCCGATGCCAGGTTACCCTAACATGGGAAACGCGACCCCCCAGCCTCGTTTCCCTGCATACGCGCAGAACGCGCAGTCGCCGGTTTATCACCATCAGCCCTACCAACCGCCACATCAGCAACCGCCGCAGCACAACACCCCGGCTCATCCGCCTTACCCCCAGTACACCAATGGTGTCGGGCCGCAGAGGACGGCATCCCCGCACATACCCCACCAGACACCCCAGCATCAGCCTCTCACCCATCTGGGGTATAATCCGGCTACGCCCCCGAGGCAAACGTCCTATGGCAGCCAGCCGAATATGGGAAACGACCCGTCACGGCGCTACTACCCCCCCGCCGGGTCGCCTGGGATGCCGAACAACCAATTAATGCCTCACAGTCAGCCGGTCCAGAACCAGCCGCCTCCGGGAACCTCGTCGTTCCAGACTTCTCTCAACCCTCATCAAGTCCAGCAAGCAATGGATCAGGCCAAGGCGCGCTTCGATGCGACAAAAAGCGCACAGAGGACAAATGAAGGTATGAGAAATTCGATGGCTGCGCAAGGGCAGGGGCAAGTCGGCGCCCCGGTAGGTCTCGGTGGCATCGGTCTGGGGGGGGATCCGTCGAGGCTGGCAGCCACCCGGGGGAGCATCCCGGCCTATCCGGCAGCCAGCCAGGGTCCCAACCCCCAGATGAACTCGCCTAGGGTAACAAGCGCGCCCCCCATAGCCAACGGGGTCCCGACGATAGCGCCCACGCCGCCGCCAGCAACGAACGGTGTTCCGCCAGGACCCGCCAGAGAAGTTTAGTATTCTTTCGCGCACCGAGACGGCCGTCCCATCGTCCCCGGGCCACACATGTATATCACAATAGAAATACCTACGCCGCTACTACGCGATAGAGATAGCGAAGGCCAAGGTCTAAATCTCTCAATAGGGATTCTCGATTTCCGTGACTAAATCGGAAAATGGCGGTCCGCGGGTTTGCCCCGGATGTATCATCCACTGGGCGTACTCAGACACATTCGTCCAGCATGGGACTATCCGTATCCGGGTCGGAATGCAGGCCTAGACGCGGTAAATTCGGAACATCAGCAACGAAATTCTCACGATAATCACACAAGTAGTATATTCGGGTTGCGCCCCATGCGGCCAGGGGCCAGGGGGGTTTGGTGATAAGGGCAGCAAGAGAAGTCCCTAGTAATAGAGAACAGCGAGAGCACTCCCGTTCTCGCTTCTAACATTTTAGCTTTCTCTCTCTCTCTCTCTCTCTATATTTGTCCTCTTCCTTTTTTAGAGGCTTGCAAACTGGGTGCGAGGAATCGGAGTACGTGGAAACACGGCGGGGCCCCCCCCTACGAAACGGGGCGGCGACGGACTTTTAAAGGCAGGGGAGGGGAAGGGGGGGTTGTGGCGGCGCATCGCCGTTTGTTTTCTTATTCCTACCGCTCCCGTCTTGTTTCGTCTTCCGTCCTCCGGAGATAGAAAAACTTGGTTCACGTGTTTTCCTCATTGTCGTCATCATCATCATCTGCTTACCCGACTACCCCCTCGCCCACGATAAACAGCCCAACCAGGTTCTCCCTGTCTTAGCAGCACGGTGTCCCTCAGCCACGGCTTGGGCCCATTCGGTCTGGTTAACTCTCTCCCCATCGCCGCCGCCCCCTTGTCATAATCATCGTCATCATCATCACCACCATCATCGTTACGATCGCGCTACGCGCTCGCGTGGCTCGGTCTCCCCTGGGATTTCCGTGTATAAAAAGTTGCCGGCGTACGGCCAGGTTGTCTTCTCGCTAGCTGTTTGGAGGTGGGAATGCCGAGGATGCGCGGGATGCGCGGGTGTTTGTCTAGCGTATAGGGGTTTCGGGTAAGGCCGGTGGAATCGGCCCCTACCTGCTCGTCTACTCGCCCGTCCCCCTTCTTTGCCTACCTGAATCCGGCCCGCCCCGCTTCGCCTCGGGGGCGTCGGTCCCGGACAGACAAGGAACACCCCCCCCCCCCCCCCCTCCTCCTCCTCCTCTCTCCGGCCTCGCCGGCTCGACAACCGGGAAAGGCCAGCCCCATTTCCCTACCCACCCACGCTCCTGGCGAAGTAGCTAATTTGGCCTAATTGAGATGTTCTATTAACGTATTTCTTGTATCGCACGCGTGTATGTGTATGTGTATGTGTGTTCTCGGGGAGAGCAGAGCAGGGAAGAGAAGAGACGAGACGAGACGAGGAGAGGAGCTAGTCAGCTTCTGGTATGTGTTGACGAAAGATGGATGGATGGATGGACGGAGAGGGAGAAGGTGGGAAAAAGAAAAAGAAGAAAAAAAAGAAGCAGAGAGGAGGGTAGATTGTGCATAGCTTACTTTACTTTACTTACACTGCCGGCGCCCGTCCGGATAGGCAGACCAAAGTCGGGCGGGGGTCGGAGAGGGGGAAAAAGGGGAGACGGCGGACGGGTGTGTGTGTGTGTGTGCCAGTGCTGCCTATCTACTGCTGCTGCTGCTGCTGCTGCTGCTCTCTGTACCTCTACCGTTGTTAATAAAGCGCATACGAGAACCGGACCTGCAGTCGATGACCGGACATGTCTCTGCTCGTGCGTGCCCTATTAGTGATTGGCGTGGGCGTGGTCATCGCAGAGGAGCCGTGGTAACTACGATAACAACAGCGGCCGTAATGGTATAATATACCTGGACATAACTAGCCATATCTTGCAGAGGCAGACGAAGGCCGAAAGGAGAAACGGGCGCGGGAATCGCCGCCTAGGCTCTACCGCCCAACCCTCGCGTCTCGAGCACCACCACATCGTCTCACACGTCGCACATTTTTGGGGGGGGTTCTCTTGTTTATTTTCCGCTCATGTGTTTTTCTACTCCATTACCAAAAAAAAAATAAAGGCCGCGTCGTCGAACGGACCGGCCCCTCTCTAATACATACACATACGCACGCTATTACCTCTCCCACCCCGCTTCCCTCGCTATTTTCTCCGTCTTCCCCACACACCGCCTCCTTGCCCGTTCTTTTGCTCTCGCTATCACAATATCGTAATGGTACAGAGTAAGCGCCTAGGATAGTAGCTCGCGGCCGGTCCGCAAGCGAGGCCCCCGTCCGCGTGAGAACGCCGAGATAATAGGTATATCCACCCGTGCCGCGTCCGCTCATAAGGTGGGCCCCTTCCGCGTGTAGAGCGACAGGTTGCCGAACAGGCTGTTCCTCGGGAACAGGTGCCGGTCGTATCTGCGCATGAGCGCGTACACGCGCGGCGTCTCTGTGTCGGCGGGGTAGATGCTAACGTCGCCACGTCCTGCCGTCAGCCAGTGCCTTCCCGCCTCCCCTGGTTCGGGAAGTGGTTCTGCCGTCTTGACATCGTAGCGGGAGCGGCTCCGTCCTTAAGGAGCCGGAGATAGAGCTGACGCACGGAGTATATAGGGCTGCGATGAAAGGCAAAGCACAAGATGGGAAGCAGGGAAACGGAGCGGGGAATCTGGGATCTGGGGGGTGGGGGGTGGGGAAGTACATACTTGTGGTGCCCCGTGATCTGTTCGCCGAGGTTGAAGTTGCTGCGAGACTCAACCTGCTTTTCCTAATCCTCGGGACTGAGCACCGTGCTCCAGAACATGGCCGCCGGCATGGTCGCCGGTTCGGCGAGGTCGGCGACGATCTCCCGCACGCAGGTTTTGGGTTTCGGGGCGAACACGAGCGTGTGCTCATCGATCTCAGCGAAGGCGCCAGCCCCGTACCGACCCGTGACCACGAAGCCCATGCGCCCGAGCACGTCGACACACCCGCGCCGGTACCGCCAGTCCTGCACGTATATCGCGACCTCGTTGGGGAACCGGCTAGATAGGCGATCTCTCATCATGAGAGCCGCGGCGTGCAGGAACATCGAGTGCCACACTTCTTGCTCCTAGTCCTGTGCGCTCGATAGCAACGAACCCAACCCGATACATACGATCTTCCGGATGTCGGGCGGAAACGGGGTTCTCATGAACAGCGAGTACAGCTGGTGGCCTAGTGGATGCGATTCAAATTTCGTCACCGCCGCGCGGAAGTTTTCTAGCTCGGCTTCCGGATACCGGGAGTGCGGGTAGTCAAAATCAGGGGCCACCTTGATGGTCATGGCAGAGTATGGTTGCCCTGGGGCCCGATACCCTGCCGGAAATGCTAAAGCGTAGTAGCCGTGGAACTCGGCCGTGTATATGGTGCTATTTTCAGCCACTAGTTAGTTATCAATACCGAGCGTGGACGCAGAAATACACGTACTTAGCCCCCGTGTGAAATGTATAGTCTTCCATGCCAACGTAAGCGGGAATCCTGACGACCCCGCCGCTCCATGAACCCGCCATATGCCTCTCGAAGGCAAGAAGTCCTTCCTTGGTCCAGAGACGAGACCCGGCTTCGTACTGTTTTATGATCTCACGCTGAGTCTCGAGTTCGTCGTCTAAGAGCCGGTTTGTGGGTCGTGGGTTAAGAGGTGATTCGGGGTCGGGGTCGGGTACATTGATCTCGATTCCCTTCCCCTTCCCGCGGCCTTGGCTTTCGGGTTGAGGGGCTGAGGTTGCGGTCGGAGTTGGGCGCGTGTTGAAATACCTAGAAACTTCGGTGGGTGGAGGGTATGTTTCCGACGCAAGGGGAACCTGAGGGGGTGGGGCTTGGATATACGTGCTCGGCCCCGCTGAGGTACTAATCCCAGCGGCCGGACTCGGCGTCGATGATGCTCTCCGCCCAGGTTGTGGTCCTCCCGGCTGGATTCTGCGCCTAGGCAGTCCACCAGGAGAATGCATCGTTTCGTCCCGTAGCTGCCCGACGCGGGGATGCTGGAGCGGATTGCTTGGTGTCGTCTGCCCCTGGGTACCACCGAGCGCCGGACCCCCTAACCCCCCAGACACCATCGTTGGGTCGTCATAGTGCTCTACTCCCGGTTGGTGGTGTGGGATATCAGTACGTGGCGGACGATCGGATCCCTTGCCTGCTCTGCTTGACGACCCCGGTTCTCTCAACTGTTGTCTGCTTGACGGCTCTGCTCTGCTTGACGGCTCCGCTTTTCTCGACGGCTCTGCTCTGCTTGACGGCTCAGCTCTTCTCGACGGCTCTGCTCTGCTTGACGGCTCCGCTCTTCTCGACGGCTCCGCTCTTCTCGACGGCTCCGCTCTTCTCGACGGCTCCGCTCTTCTCGACGGCTCCGCTCTTCTCGACGGCTCCGCTCTTCTCGACGGCTCTGCTCTGCTTGACGGCTCCGCTTTTCTCGACGGCTCTGCTCTGCTTGACGGCTCAGCTCTTCTCGACGGCTCTGCTCTGCTTGACGGCTCCGCTCTTCTCGACGGCTCCGCTCTTCTCGACGGCTCCGCTCTTCTCGACGGCTCCGCTCTGCTTGACGACTCTGCTTGAGGCGGCGGCCCAGGCCCGCTTAGCTCGGGACGTGGTAATACCTCCTGTTGGGAAGGATCCTCAGAAGGATCCACGCTCCCTTGCTGCCCAGATTCGGGTTTGCGGGATAATTTCTTTTTTACGGCCTCGAACCTCTTGCGAAGACCCTCGGCCGAAAATCTAGGCATGGTGGAAGATTATCTACTCAGCTGGGATTAGGATTCGACTGAGGTTGCGCTTCTTTTCCTACCGGCGAAGCAAGCACGCGGAATCAGAAGAACATGGCCCATGCGACGATGGGAGCGTGGACCAAAGATGCACGTCCACAAGCGGCCCTAGGAGCGATAAAATAAAGAAATTCAATCGATACTAGGCGATCAAAACTGGGCGTACGAGAGATCGGCGATTGGGAGACGTGCCGCAATACGTGAGGTAGCAAGACGAACACAAAGTAGAGGGAGACAGTCGAATTACAGTCTACACGACAACTTCCTCTACTTGGGTAAACATACCGTGCCACGGGGCAAGATCTAGGTACCTACCTATAGCCTCAGGATTCGACCTTCTGAGCTCGCGTTAGCTGTCGTTAACATGCGTTGTTCCTGCGCTCGCCAGCAGCGGTAGCAGTAAGGTCAGCAGCCGCTTTGCTCAAGCCGCGATCGACGTCCGTCGTGATGTCGCCGGGAGTAAGGCAAGACTCGGAGAGCATTCAGAGGCGCCCTTGCCGGAGAACGGCGGTCGGTGCAGGAAGTTAACATCGATTCATTCCACCGCAGGGGATTCCTCGGGCCAGGGACGAGCGACGAGACGCGCGTCTCACGACCCCTAGTGGAATCGATCGGGGCATCCGCGAATGCGAAGAGCTCCCAACGACGATATGGGGAGTGGGAGCCGGCCGTGTTGGAGACGATCGGAATTGGGCAGAGGACGACGCTGAGGATGGCGAGAGGAGGAAGAAGGCTTGCTGGTAGGGGCCTGAAGCTGTTGTATGAGTACCTACCTTAGGTACCTAACTTAGGTAGGTATATGGTACCTACATACCTGGAGGTAGGTACCTAGGAGGTATCCTAGGTACCTATTACGGGAGTAGGCCAGGTGCATAACCAGGTTATTCAACGCCTCGCATCGCTGGACATAATAATAGTTGCATAAAGCCGACACGGCCTGGCATAACCTCGCCCCAGGAGAAGGAGCGCACTCGACGTATTTGCATAAAAGTCTAGGCGACGGGCAGCTTTGAGTAGGTACTCGGAAAGCTCGACTGAAATTAACAAGTACCTACCTATGATTATTTACTCCCGCTCTTTCGACCTCCCTTCTCTCGCCTTACTCTCACTTTTGGCGTCTTTTGTTTATTTCTTTATCAAATATTTCCCATGAGTCACCTCTTTTAATTCTACTTCGTCAGCTCATCGTTTCCCAGCACGGATTACGTCGTCAATCTCCCATGTGCAGCCGATCCGGGCGAGAATCCCGCCAGAAGCAGGGAAAAGGCCCTTTACCACCTCGGGCGGTGCTGTGGGGAAGCTGACGCGAGGGACGAAACGAGAGCGGGACAAAGGGCGCCTCGAAGCACGCGGGAAGTATGACATGCTGGCTGCCCCGAGCCGCCCCCTCCAATCGCGACCATGCGTCATCCTCTCTTCTTCTTCGTCGCAGTCTCCAGCCTGCTTCTCTTCATCGCCATGTCCGGACGACTCACCCAGAAGATCTTGGGCCATCTCGGCGTCGGCCTGCACCGTGACGGCAGCGATGCCGGCGGAAGCCATCAACCCTCGCATCCACACCAACCGCAGCCATACTCGGTTTCGGTCCCGCCATCCTCGCCCCCGTCGTCGTCAACCCACCCGCCGCCGCTACCACCAACAACCGCCCCCGACCGGCTGGAAATCCTGGCCGAGGAGACACTCCTTCACCCTGCAGGCGGGACCTACCCGCGGATGTGCCGCCTCTCGGACGGAAGTCTGTTGTGCGTGACTACCGGCTTCCTAGGTCACGGCGAGCGTGTGCTGCAAGTCTCTCGCAGCACCGACAACGGGCGCACCTTCGTGCCCCACGGCGAGATCGCCCGCGGGTCGGGCGACGTCGACAACGGCTTCCTGCTCGAAGTCCCCCCCTCGGCAGGATCCGACCAGCCGCCCGTCGTCCTGGCCGCCTTCCGCAACCACGACCGCGGGCCCGGTCCGAAGGGTCACCCCACGCACTTCCGCATCACCGTCTGCCGCAGCACCGACGGGGGCCGCACCTGGCGCTTCGCGTCGCAGGCCTTCGAGCAGAGCGCCGCCGCGAGCCGCGGCCTCGGCGTCTGGGAGCCCTTCTTGCGCCTCGGCCCCGACGCGGCCCCGACGGACTCCGGCGGCTACCCCGAGGTGCAGCTTACGTTCTCGCGCGAGCTCGCCCACAACGACCAGGAAACCTTCCGCGTGGAGTCGCGCGACGCGGGCGCCACCTGGTCCGCGCCGCCGCGGTGTCTGCAGTGCCACGGGCTCGGCGAGAACCTGCGGGACGGCATGCAGGGAATCGTGGCGGCGCGAGACGGCAGCGACGGGCGCGAGGCGCTGGTCGTCGTGTTCGAGACGACACGCCACGGCACCTTCAGCGTCGAGTACGCGGTGTCGTACGACGGGGGGCGGACCTGGCCCTCGCGCGACGAGGTATACCGGCCGCGGCCCGGGCGCAACGCGGGGGCGCCGCAGATCGAACGCGTGGGCGATAGGGACGGCAGCTCGCGCATGGTGGTCGTATTCATGACGGACGAGGACACGGACGCGCCGTCGTGGCCGCGGAAGGCGGCGGTCAAGGCGGCGTTCGCGGGGGGCCTGCGCGGCGGCCGGATCGCCTGGAGCGCGCCGAGGCTGGTGCACGAGGCGCCCGCGTCCTGGCCCGGCGTCGCGAGCACGGGGCCCGACGAAGTGATGGCCGTGTACGAGCACGGCGGCCGGCCGATGGGCAAACGCCTGCGGTGGGCGTTCCCCTAAAGAAGAGAAGGGGGGGCGGGCGTTAGCGTCGGCATCGCAGTCGGTGGATTAGCCGTCGCGCGCGCGCGGACAAGAGGGCGGGTATTGGTAGTAGAGAAACCCGTACATAATACGAAACGACGCGCACTCGAATAGAATTGAATAGCATAGATAGGATGGACACAGAGTCCCTACGGTGCTGTCACTGTTGCTCTCACTTGGTAGGACTACTAGTAGTAGTGGAATAATAACCAATTATCAGATACCCTCTCCCTCCCCATCGAAATATGCCTTGTTACTGTAGGTGCATCACAGGCTAGGCAGATAGATTTCCAGACGCAGCACACACGGGCGGGACGCCGTGGGAATTTATCTCTTACTCTCGACGTTCTTCTCCTCCCGCCCTCGCGTATTCCGTTCCTCGCGTTCTCCCCTTCTCCCATATCCACCCCCCCTTTTTCGCCTCTTTTCTTTCTTTTAGTTCTCAGACGGGGCGCAACGAACTACAACGCTTCCCCCCGCCCCTCCTCCCGTGCACCCCATCGCAGACCCCACACGCAGCGAATCGGACAGGAAGGGGGGCCCGCGTACGTGCGCAGGCGCCTCCATCTCCCCAGATCTGTGCGTTCGCCAGCCCTTTGGCCCCCGCCTTGCTCCACCGAGGGCCACATCCACCGAGCGGGGGGACCGGAAACGCAGCCCGCGCCCCCGCGACCCCGGCGGCGCGCCGACTCGACGCCGCCCGCGTGCATGCGTGCGTAGATGCTAGGCGGCCGGGTACGACGCGCAGCGGCGCCGGCGAAGGCGATCGGGCCGCGGCCCACGGGCGCCGGGGCGATTGGCGAGGGCGTAGTAGGGGTTGCGCGGGGATTGCTGCGCGAGGGCGTGGGTGGGGGCAGGGTGAGAAGGGGGGAAGAGGGTTTATAGACGGGTTCAGCTCGAGTGTGACTCCGGATTATAACTGCTGTTTTACTCACCTACTTACGTGGCCAGTCTTCAGGGGGAGAGAGGGAGGAGAGCCCAGGAACATAGGAGTATCCTCCGGTAAGGCCTGCTTCTAGCAAATTGGGAGAGGCTCGCATTTGCTTATAGGTAGATTGCCGGTCACCGCGGCGAGATATACCTACATAGATATATGTAACAAGAGGGCGATGCTGTGGCGGCCTATCTGGAAGCAAAGAAAAAGTTACTAGAGAGGGTGTAAAAGAGACGCCCCCTCCCACTCGAGAGGGAAACAGGACGGGGGGCGGGCGACATAAGGCATCGCAAAGGCATCGCAAGGGCATAGGTACATGCACAGCGCGCACAGCTCGAATGGCACGTGCTAGTCGGCGTCGAAGACGATGCTAGCTCGTGCGATAGGGGTAGCGGAACGGCCTGTGGTCGTTGTTAAATAAACGTACAATCTAAGGGGTATAGATGCGATGAAGGTCGGCATCCCTAAACCTGACTGCCTTGGCAGATATCGAGGGGATATAAGACGGTTGTAGGGCAAAAGGCATGACACTGCATGCGTGGAGGGAGTGGTGTTATATAGCCCCGTCGCGCGCCGGCGAACGCGCAAAGCCTCTTCCGGTCTATTCAGAGCTCCTCTCGCCGGAATCCTCGTGATAGACCCGTCTCAACTCAAATACGACCTCCACAGCGATGAGGAATATGATGATCCACTCCAACCGGTGGCCATACTTCTCGCTGACCATCTCTCGCAGAACGCTCACGTTCTCGTACCCGTAGTCGATCTTGCGGTTAAGGATCCCGATCCGCTGGCGTATGTCTAATACGGTGCTGATCTGGTTGTAATAGTTTTCGAGGTTGGATTCCGAGTCCCAGAACATGTCGGGGAGCTGGTCGGTGATGTCCGAGTAGTGATTCAGCTGCGACCTCAGGCTCAGCATCTGGCCCGTCATCTTCAGCACGGTGCTGCGCTTCAGCTTGTGCTCGAGGCCCCCCTCGACGAAGTTGAGGCTGTGCTTGGAGTGCTCGAAATATTCGATCGCCTGGTTCTCGAGCACCGCCAGCTTCGGGCTCCGGGCGAGGCCGCTCGAGAAGGCGATCTTGGCCAGCGTCGTGTCGAGACGGTGGTTCTCGCGGCCCTGCGTCCGCGTGCCGAGGACGACGACTTCGCCCCGCATGCAACTCGTTTCGCGGCTCTCGTCCACCAGAAACTCGAGCTCCTCCATCTCGAGACGGTTGAGGTGGGGGAGCTCGGCGGCGCGGATCAGCTGCTTGGTGGCTAGCGTCATGAGCGCGTCGTTGGGTACAGACCAGGTCACTACGGTCCCCGAGGGGAAGACAAAGATATCGCCATTGTTGATGCCCCGCGCGTGCACTACGCCCGTCGGGTCGAATTCGGTGCCGTCGGGGTCCAACTCGAAGGCGTGAAAGCGTAATATGTCCTGAACAGCATCCATATCAAAGGACTGGGCGACGCAGATGGAACTGATGGTCCGGCGGTAGTCGGTCTCGGTGGCAGTGTCTTTCTTCACGGCATTGGCGCGACTAGGCGGCTTCGCGGTGAGCCCGAGACGCAGGGTCTTGGCGGCCGAGGCTCGAGAGGGCTTGCGCTTGTTAGGTGAAGCTGGGGGTTTGCCCTGTTGCTGCTGCGGCTCGGGCAGGGCGATGACGTCCTCGGGACGCGTCGGCGCATTGTTCCTATCGCTGCTCCACCGCAACTGACCCGAAGCGCTGGTGCTGCGCTTCGACGGTAGAGGTGCCCGGGCAGGCTGATGGAGACATCGCGGCGACCCCGCGGTCGAGGGTGGAGACGACGTTATGCGCAACCGAAAGGCCGGGGCTACTACTTTTTGCAATGGGACTCGCATGATGAAATTAGTTGGGCCATTGAGTGCGAGGAAGTGTTTAGAGAGCGGCTGGACAGGGGGTGAGGAGACGACAGCGGGCGGCTTAGTGAATGGTTCCGGCTGAAAAGTCGAGTGCTACGACGACGTAGGCAGGTTGCTCAGATCGATCGCGAAGAAATGCGCAGAAATCTTTTAGCCGATATTATTCTCTTTTCATGTGTCGTATTACTGCGCATCACCTTATCGATTGGCGGCGGGCCGTCATATACCGTGTGGTTGCATAGCCCACCCCTACATTGACATGGATATGCACCTTGGCGATAGTATCTACACCTATTAGTCCACATGCAAGTATCGAATAGGTAAGTATCGGATCGGTGCCGGGCGGGAAACGAGGAACTTCTATCAACCGCTCCTTAGGAATCTTCATGAGAACCGGCGTCAGGCATTCGGCACACCCATATGGGGCTGTCGGTATCTACCTCCTTTCACCGGCTGCCTCCTTGTCGCGTGAATACTAACACGATAGCACACATACCTTACATCTACCTGGATCTTCCTTGCCCGAAACAAGCGCCCCATATCATGTCAAATTCTTCCACATCTACCCCCCCCCTCCTGCCCTTCGTCCCGATGCCTATATGATGCCTTTTCCAGGTTAGTTTCCTACAACAACCTATCATGATTATCCTCCCTTCTCGGTGGCCTGGATAACAACCGCTCGGACATGCCTTACCCCTCGTCCCGTCGCCTATTGGAAGTTTGTGTGAGCGGGAGAGAGCAGCTTCACTTACTCGAGTTACTCAGTAGGGGAGGACGGTAGAAGGTATAGCGCAATCATTCCCTCACCCCTTCGGCCCCCCTCCCGGCCGGAGCGCCGCTGCTAGCATGTCGGTCATCCGTCTGGGCGTGTCGGCCACCGGCGGCACCGGGCCCGGCACTCTCTTGCCTGCCCAGCCAGCAAGGAGCCAGACGCTTTCGCGCATGACCGTTCCCAGATCGCGTCGCTATCCTCTCTTTCGCATCTCGCCTAGCCGCATGGTCGCTCTCCGGCTTCGGGCCAAAACTGCTATCCTGAGGTATTCCTATTCCCATGCGTTTCTATACGCCGCCAACCAGCGTGCCGACCGGCTGCCCCTATTGATGCTTCAGACTTGGATGACACGCCAGAAAATCCGGGACGAGCCCCGCGTCTTTAAGGCCCTCCGCGCTGTCAGTTCGCAGGAATGGACCGACCGTTTCCATGGCTTAGCTGCCAGAGGCTGGTCCAGGGACGACATAGACCATTGGATATGGGTATTGTCCGGAGAGGATGGAGACGTCCGGGTTGCGCGTCTGATCTCGACAGACACCCCCAAACCCATCTTCCTCACCTTACTACTGGTCCGGAGCGATGAATGGTTCCGCAAGCCCGAATCCATCCTATCCTTGATGGAGTACGTGGCCAGACGGCACTTTCGTTACGGGTCAGGGCCGTCAGGCGATCGCATCGCTGATCTCACTTCGAAAACGGTCATGACGGCGTCCCAATTTCTTATACTACTCCGCCGTGTTGTTCATCACATCCTACGGAAGCTGCCCCGGTCAATTATTACCGTTGCCCGGCTTGTGGTAGATTTTATCCGGAGGCTACCGAATGACGAGCCCCGCAGCTATCATCGCCAGTGTATGGTGTTCAATACGGCACTGCTTCTCTTTAGTCGGCCGGCTGCGACTCGGCCGATCTTAAACAGGGAATTCAACTGGAGGGCGCAGAAGGTCTTGCTCGCGATGTCGGATAATTTCCCCAGACCTCTTATCATTAGCCAAGCAGGCTACCGTGCCGTCCGAGAGGTCATGATCGGGCTGAAAAAATCGAAAACGGAGAAGGCGGTAGCGGTGAGGTATGCGAAGTCGTGGCCGCCACATAGGCAAGACTTCGACGGGCTCGATGCGAGGAGAACGCCCGAGGACGATTACTCGCGAAGCGTGAAAGCGGGTCTTCTCATGAAGGCGGCTGGATATACTGAAACTCACTACGACGCAGCGCTGGGTGCCCTCGGTGGCATGGACGGGTCTTCGCCAACGATACAAACGCTCAGCCTCCCGCCTAAGAAATGGACAGGTAAAGGAGAAGGCTTAAATCTATACACTCGCTGGGCAATGATGGTCCGGGCCACCCGAAACGCCCAGGAGGCGTGGGCAGTTTTTAACCAGGTTGCGGCAGATGCGAAAGAAGCACCTAATACCCAAGTCTATGCCGAGATGTTTATCAAATTAGTAGCGCGCCCCCTCCCCTCGGACTCGGCCGCCTTGCCCGGCGATTCTCGCGAAGTTCTGCCCGTTCATGATGAGAATTATAGCGACTACGAGCTCGCTAGGCTATCGCCGCCCACGGTCGACGAGCTATACCAACAGATGCTTAGTCACGGTGTTAGGCCAAAACACCACTGCCTCCAGGTCCTTGTGGGCAGCGCCAGCTCCCTCGAAGAGGCGGCCCGCTATCTTGAAGATAGCGGCATGGATCCAGCCGTTATCTCTGCCTTGGCTACGTATAAGGAGTCGTCTTATGGGTTGCTACGACAGGTCACTCTCTTGACCTTCACGAGCTTTATTCGCCTGCTCTGCAGACTACATCCCAACCGGCAAGGTCGAGCACGAATTGACCCAGAAGGACTCCTCTTCATCCGACACGCCATAAGAATAACTAGTCTTCGGCTGAGGGCGGACACGACAGAGGGGTCGACATTCCAACCCCCATGGTGTATTATTATGAGGGCGCTTGCCCGGCCACACATCTGTGTCAAGAACGGTACGCCCTCGGAAAATAACGATGAGGCCCTAGATCTCTGCTTGGACGTTCTCGGATCTGTGCAAAGCAGAGTCGGGGTCGACCCCGAAATCTTTTTGTATTTCTGCCGCGTTGTCCAAAAAGCTGCGTACTCTCGGCTTTGCCATGTCCTAAGCTCGAAGAAACCAGAGGTGATAAACGCGGCCACTCCGCTCATGCATTCGGCTGAAGAGGTGTCGAAACACCTCACCAAAATATTTTCCCGGCTCACCACTTGTATTAAAACCTACGACACCGAGCTCGAGAGCGTCGACGCACCCCTTTTTATGCAAAACATCGGTCCCGCCCACTTGCACGCGTACATGCGCGCTCTCGCCTTCCTCGAGGATACGTCGGCGATGAAGAAACTGCTGGAATGGATGCTCGAGAATCAGGAGTATATCAACCAGGAAGCGGAGCGGATAGGACGCCGCGGCTTCGCATTGATCGCGAGGACCCTGTGTGCCTTTCACGCATTTGCCGGGCCGATCTTAGGGGAGGACGAGCTGGAGAAAATGATTCCCCTAAGGAAAGATCCGGCACAGACCGGCTCCTGGAGATGGCCGAGGCCAAGAGAGGTTGAAATATATATCAAAACCGACGGAAACCGTAGCTCAGTACGACTTCAGCTCAGGGTCCTAGCGAGGGCCCAGCATTCGTCATCTCCGCAAGAGAGTCAAGAGGTAATAGAGCGCGAATAACATCTCCCTATACTGCTCGCAAGCAGCCCTTCTGGTTGTCACAGATGGGTGTGATTACACCGGTCGGCCAGTACTGGCCACGCGGAGTAACCTAACTTGCCACACCGATTCCTAGTGGTGATTTGAAATCCTCTGCAAATATATCATTGTCCGTAGCGATTGATCTCACTCCTCAGATACACGGTGAAAAACCGGATTTGTTTAGAGACGAAGTAACGTTGCCATGAGGTCTATATCTGAGGGTACGGACTTTGCCTATCTTTGGGAACTTAGCCCACGTTGTTGCCTCTATGACGAGTTTATTTGACCATGAACTGGTCAAAGAAGTTCGAGAAGGGAGCACAGTCGCAACAAATGTTGGAAGAAGACATGAGGATATGCGACCGTCCGATCTTTGGCCGAGACCCGGGACGTCTAGGCTCTACATGACAGCTACTCCCCGTAACCTCCTGCAGAATGCCGCGCTTAGCAGAAGACGCCATTCGGACCCTCTGACTCAACCATATATAGGTATGTCTATGAAGAGTGTCATGTGCCGTGCTCTGGAAGTATACTGTCTGACTTGGCGCGAATTTTGTGGTCATGAACTGCCACTTACCGTCTAGCCATCTAAGTATAGAGAGGAGAACTCTGCTCACCGATGGCAAGGGATACGAAGCGGTCTAGCGGGGTAGACCCATCCGCCTGCACCCCCCTTTCTTCCAGGTCGCGATATATCTTGTCGATATAATCCCCGGCTGCTGACAGGTGGAGGATATGTGCAATAGCACGATGGATAGCCAGCAGTCGAGGTGAAGGGGGCTCGATTGTCCGCTCGGGAGTGAGATAAAGTTCACGTGTAATCGGAAATACTGCTCGGGGGACGAGGTACTCGGGATACAGTGTTTTGATCGTGTACGTGTGATACCTGCCAGAAACGGGTTCAAAGTACACCTGAAAATCGCCAAATAGCTGATGCTGATAATTCGTAAGCGTCATGGCGTTGCGTGGGCGGTCGATTTCGGGGCCTTGAATCAGTTCCGCAACGCCAACATCAAACATGTTAAGGATGGCGAGTGCGGATTGTCTAGAACCACCCTGAACAAGAGTTTAGTTAAGGATACCACCCGAAGGGATTATACGTACCAGTTTGCCATCCCGATTGACTTTTGTGAGAGAGTGCGGTAAGATGTGGGCTACTTCCAGGGGCTCCGGGTAGTCCGGCTCGTTTTCCAGCGGGTTCCCGTCGTCGTCTTGGGCGCTACCGCGACTGTTATGTCGTTTAAACGCTTCGGGAAGATCAAATTTTCGGGATATCACACAGCGATGACGATCGCGGATAAGACAGCCCTCCCGAAGAGCCGCTAATCGGGGGCCCGTTGCGACGTCCTGTTGCCCACCCCGACCTTGAGCTTCCTGGGTCGGGGAAGGCTGCGGCGTCTTCTTACTATAAGCTTTTACTAGGAAGTATTGGCAATTAAGTAATGTGGCAGCTAAGTATCAAGTCGCAACGGAGCGTTACCAGGCAAGAAAAAGTTATCGAAGAGATAGTCTCCAAAGTCGAAGAACTTCGAGCGGACATCCTCGAAGCGGATAGGCTCATTCTCATCCATGCGAAGACCGACGGCTCGGAAGAAAGCGCGCAGGAAGTAGTCACCAGCTTCGGGGGAAAGCGAGTATGTATAAGTAGAACGAATAAGTCGAGGACGGTTCAGCTCTCCCCGGCGGATCCCGGTGTCGAAGTGGTCGCAAATGCTGTACAGTCTACGGCTCGCATGGTCGCGCAGCTCCGTTTCCAGCGGAGGTTCGGGAGAGAAGTCGACGATGTTCTCAAGCGATGATTGGCGGCGGCGAAGGGGTGATGCCATTTTACGTTATCGGGTCTGGAAAGAATAGCGCGGGGCAGAGAGAAGCACGGAGGTGAAAAGTGAACGGCTAGGTGCGTGAAAAGGCGAGAAGCCGACGAGGACAGCCACGGTACGTCGTCAGGATAAAATAGAATGACTGTGGGTTGGCACGACGTTGTCTCATTATTCTCTAGGTTGTAGATGGCAGATGCTGGCGCTAGTAGCGGTAGGGGACGCTGCTGATATACCTACTAGGTACCTGTCAGCCACGTGTCTGCCACATGGTTGCATAACGACTCTGCGATTACCTAATTCCGGCACCCAACCTCATACTACAGTTATCTCTAGCGGCAGAAAGTATTTCCGGGCTCGGGTCCGTCCGCTGGACCGGGGAGAATGTTCCGGGAATCGATCCCACTTACACGAAACTGTCGCCCTCGGATTGGTTCTTCAGCAGGAATATGTAACGGTGTTTTCCGCTGTTTCTTCCCCTTTCCCCTAAGTCGACCTCACTCGTAGTGGGATTTTCCGGATGGCCTCATTTTCGCCTACCTTTCTACCTTAAACCTGCGCATGGCGATCGATTGGGGGACCGTCACGTTGTCATTTTGCCCCCCCCCTGCACCGCCCCCATGTACTCTCGCTATCGTACCCCTAATCGTGGTGAAGACGTCCCGCTTGACAGGCTCCTGACGCGACGCGACTTTCCTTGGCGGCCGCATAATTTTCCATCCAGACTTGTTTATGAACAAGACAATATATATATATACACACTCATATACTCCGCTCGAACTGTCTTAGACACTCCCGCTTTCGCTAAATAATCTATCAAACTGGCATTGTTTTTTTTTTTTGCTCTCTAGTACCACATTTCATGAGCCCTCTCTCCTGTCGCAGACCGACATTAGGTCTAGCATACCCATCTGTATTCGATCCGATCCCTCGCCGGGGTGTTATGAATGCTGGACGCCACCTGTCTCACTTGTCTGCGGAATTCTTAGGACCACCGTTCGGCCCTCTCCCTCGTGAGGGTGTGGCGCTGGTCGGGAAGGGGGTGGTAGGGTCGAGCCATGATGGACATCAGTCTTGGGGACCTAGACAGTTTATGGGCCCCTTCAAATAACCCTTCGGCCGTCGAAGCATGCATAGCCCCCGATGTAGACCATCAGCCGGCACTCGAGCCGCCAATCTCGTACTTGGACGACTGCCCCATTTCTAGTATCGAAGAGGCTACGTCGGTCGGCGCTCCGCATGAGCCGTCGGCTTTTCGTGAAGAGCCATTCGACTTGGAGGCCATCACGCATGCTTGCGATCACGCGGCACCCTTCGATGGCGTGGAATTGCAGATTCGCTCGGCAAACGGGGAGCGGTTGACTTCCAAGGACGAAGACTTCACACCTGATCTGCACACGGCGAACACGGCCCAAGGGAAGCCAGTGGTAGTAGAGATCCCTGTTTCAACCCTTATTCAGCCGAGGTCACTCTACCAAGGGTTCGTTCCGCCTGCCACCCAAGTTCGGGAACGGGAGGCTATAGCCGCGCTTCTCGAAGCCGCAGAGTCGCGGCAGCCCGCGCAGGAGGACCACATCGAATTCGACCTCGAAGACTTTTCCATTTACGTCAATTCGGAATATTATCCTTACGAACTTCGGCCCTTGCATCACCTGGCGGTTCGCCAGGCTTCTGACCGGTTTTATTTCGACGGTGTAGTTGTCCACGGCGACGACAGATTCTACCTCAACAGAATCCCCTTTCGCCAGATCCCCATAGGCAATTATGGAAGCGAGGAGCACACGGTTGGCGAACATATCTGGATACGTTCCGAACTCAACGAACGTGAAGGGACTGAACTCTACTACAAGCTCAGATCCCCGTCGACAGAGTATTCTCGGTTCTACGAACCGTTTCTCTGGATTGCAGATCTAGCCAAGCACGTCATCGACTTCTGTGATCACTTGAAGGACAGGGGCCATCGTGCCGTCTTACACGACTTCCGGTCGCATTTCGGCGTCTGGCTCCTGCAGACCCATTCGCAATCCGCCGCCTTTCAACGATGGTATGCAGCGAACCGCAGCGACGACTTTCGAGGCGCTCTCGTTGCCAATATTGAATTCATCTGGAAGGAAGCGAACGGCTTAGATCCGGGAAATGCCAGATACCATACGATCTGGAAAGAAGCTAAGAGTTTAGACATGTACCAGCCGAATCTAACATCAAGTCCTAAGGCACTTGTCCGGGATGACGAGCTCGCCCATGCTAAGCTCTCAAGGTATCAAAACAGAGGCGAGGTGTCGCCGACGATCGTGACTCCGTATGCTTACGGTCTGTTCTCGCATATGGTCTTTGGGAACGTCCTCAAACGGGTCAAACCGTCTGCCGCAATTCATAAGAAGCAAGCTGCTTTTATGCAAGGCAAGCGGCCTATCCAGCAGAGTAGCCCACCTGCGGTGAAGCGGGACAGCCACGATCGCGATGCGCTCATCGCCTCGATACGAGCGGGGGATGTGATCTCGACGAAACCGGACGACAAGGAAACGGGCACGGAATGGACACAGGGGAAATCGAAACATCATCAAGGCCACTACGTATGGTTCGGCTTAGTGCAGGAGGTTCATAAGTCGCCAAGAGGATCCCTGTCCTTTGACGTGATATGGCTGTACCAGTCAGTCGACACTCCTTGTGGCATGATGAAATATCCCTGGAAGAATGAACTCTTCTTATCCGACAATTGCACATGCCACCATGATACGGGAAGGGTGCATGCGGAGCAAATTCTCAAGACGCATAGCGTAGAATGGTTCGGGAGTCCATCGACTAAGGCCGAATTTTTCGTCCGTCAGACCTATCTTGCCGACGACTGCCGGTGGACGTCTCTAAAGAAAGAGCACCTGACGTGTACAGGGCAGAAATTTGGTGAAGAGCAAGCCTACCGCGTCGGCGATGCCGTCCTTGTCGAAACCAAGCCGCGGGCTCTTCTGTTGGAGAACTTCATCATAGAAGCCTTCTTTGACGAAGACGAGAAACGCTACGTTAGGTTACGGAGACTCTTGCGACGGAAAGCGGTGGACAAGAGCGCACCCAACTCCCCCTCAAATGAGCTCGTTTACACGGATCAGTTCGTCGAGATTTCTGCTAGGCGGATCTTCCGGCGCTGCTTGGTTAGAGCGTTCCAACCGGGAGAGAAGATTACAACTGCCTATGACTGCGACGGAACCGGCAACGCTTTCTTCATGACACATCAGGAGGTTATAAACGAGGACGGTGAAGTAATCTACGCCCCTCTCGACATCAGCCGCCTCCATCAGCTGCGACAAGGATTTGATCCCTCTCGAGCGGAGCACCTGCAGAAACTGCAGGGGCTCGATCTGTTCTGTGGGGGTGGGAACTTCGGGCGCGGCCTGGAAGACGGCGGTGCGATCGAAATGCGGTGGGCCAACGATATATGGAGCAAGGCTATACATACGTACATGGCGAATTGCGAGCCAGGTGCCTGCACGCCATTTCTAGGCTCGGTCGACGATCTCCTCCTTCATGCGATGAAGGGCGACCACTCTAAGGTGCCGCAGCCGGGTGACGTGGACTTCATTTCGGCCGGGTCGCCGTGCCCTGGATTCTCTCTGCTCACGGTCGATAAAACGACGGATAAGCAACGAAAGAACCAGTCCCTCGTCGCGTCCTTCGCGTCCTTCGTCGATTTATACCGCCCGTCGTACGGGTTGCTGGAGAATGTGCCGCAAATGGTCAACACGAAGAAGGCCCGCGACGCGTGCGTGTTCTCCCAGCTGGTCTGCGCGCTGGTCGGCTTGGGCTACCAAACCCAAGTCATGTTCCTCGACGCGTGGTCATTTGGTGCGCCACAGTCCCGGAGTCGAGTGTTTCTCTGTTTCACCGCGCCAGGCTTCCGCATGCCGAGAGTTCCAGCGCCTTCACACTCGCACCCGCCCGGCGTACGGTTTAATAAGCTAGGCGAGATGTCTTGCGGTCGGCCGTTTGATAGCAGGGAACTCGTATCCACCCCCTTCCAATACGTCAGCAGCAGCGAAGCTACGGCGGACTTACCAAATATCCAGGACGGAAAGCCGGACTATTGCGTCGGCTTTCCCGACCACCGAGTGTGTGTCGGTTTCACATCCCTCCTACGGAACCAGATATGGCACATCCCGACGCTTCCGTGGGGATTGGGTTTTAGCAAAGCCTGGTACGGTCGGCCGGCTTTGCCCCGGTCATTGAGCGAGAGCGACCGGCTTCTGTATCCTCCGGAGCCCTCCAGTAGGGTGAAGAGACCGTCCAAGGGATGGAGCCGCGTTCGCCCAGATGGTCTGTTCAGCACCGTTTCCACGACATGTGTACCGACGGACTCTCGCATGGGCACCGTCAACCACTGGAGCCAGCATCGGCCAATCTCAGTCCTGGAAGCTAGGCGTGCGCAGGGCTTTCGCGACCACGAAGTGCTCGTCGGCGCGCCGCCTGTCCAGTGGCACATCGTCGGCAACAGCGTGGCGAGGCAGGTTTCGATCGCCCTCGGCCTGGCGATCCGAGAGGCCTGGTTCGGGACTCTCCTGGACGAGCCGGCGGCCGCGCCGGAGACGAGGTCGGCGACCGAGGCCTTCTCGACGTCCGGCAGCGCCGTCGCCGCCGCAGATGCCACGGCCGCGATCCGCGTCGACTCGTCCAGCCCCGACACGTCGTCCGAGGACCGCGTCTTCGCCGCCACCGCCTACCCGTCCACCTCGCTGACGCCAGCGACGAGCGAGTCGGTCGGAGCCTCGGACTGCGAAGGCAGCCGGAAGCGACTGTTGGAGATTTACGTCGAGGTCGCTGCCAAGAGGTCGCGGCCTAGCCCTGGACCCAACCTGGGGCTAGAAGGCGGCCGCTGAGGGAAACAGACCTTGGTCACGCTAGTCTCGCGAGCGCTGTCTTGTGATAGCATACCGCCCCCTGCGCCTCCTTGTGCCTCTCTGTCCACCCCCCTGTGCCTCCTGTCTGCCTCCCTCCGCCTCCCTTCGCCTCTCTACCTACCCCCTCTATTTCTCAATATGTATATTTTCTTGGGAGCGATGTCGTGTTTCTTGGTGACGTTATCAGCCAGCATCCTCTAGCGAACGTCGGAGAAGTGATGAAGGGGTGGTAGCGGCGGGTAGTATTATGTGATTACCGTGAAGTGGAAGTCGGTAAGCAGGCCGTGAGGTGTGGTCATGGGCATACCGTATATGCGAATAATTCGCCTGGGGGTGACGATTTGCGTGGGGTGGTGAGAGCATCTTTCCTATGTTAGGCATTAGCATCTATCGAGGACCCCAGGCGCCGTGGAGCGATCAACATAGAACGCCTGCGCCGGTTTGGGATGTCCCCCACAGGCGCAGTAGCGGCTTGGAAGTAACTGTAGATGGTTGTAGGCATGGATGTATTCTAGTACCGTATAAAAGATATATACATATTGAAGTGGTCCGGAACATGTCATCGGCATAGACGTATGCACAATCATGGAGACTGCAGAAGCTTGCGGCGATCTCTTTTGCTGGATCTTGCCCTGCACGCGATATTTGCCCGCTTAGCCATATACTCATTATACCTATGCCTCTCTGCCCACCGTCGGCCATGTTAGAGCAGAGGAGTCGCCCTTGACGGGGATTTGATGGGAACTTTACAGAGCTGTGTGCTGTAAGCTTGTAGGTATTCCGAGCCTCGATGTCGATATCCCTTAAGTCAAGCAGCAAGATACCCACGCAAAGCCTGTGTTTCCCCTATAATATTTCGAGGCAGAGGGATGCGGTTTTCTAGCCATGTATTATTATAGACAGCTGTTCATGCAAATGGCATCAACTCGCCCCCCCCCCCCCCCCCCTTTCTCATTTAGGAGGCGCAAAATCCGACCCTTCCCCGAGTCTTGTCTAGAAAATTACAATCTTTCGGTAAGCAATCTCATCGGCTCACCGTACACCGCTGCTGGTGTGACCTAGTGGTAGTTAGATAGGCGTTCGCCAGTCATGTTCCCATTCGCGAAGAGTGTGACCCCGTAAGTTGATTTTCCTGGCCATGGTCTGGTCCGGCGGGCCTGCCCGGCCAACGAATGTGTAATTACCACTTGTTCTGGTTAGCGATCCGAGGCATAGTAAACTACTGCCTAAACCAGCGCCATGAAGCATGTTGGGTGTTGGGGCTACCGGTCCAAATCTGTTGTCAGCTTAAGGCCTCGAGGCATCTTACCACAGTACCCAGGATTTTGCGTATATATACGCGACTCTTTCCCTCATGTATGGCAAGCTTAATTACACCCAAAGACGAACACTCAGCAGCACTAGCTTCTTTACTCAGCAACATCAGCTTCTTATAACCAGCGGTATGACTGCCCTGAGTATTGTCTGCCAGCGTGCGAACTTGTTTCTAACCAACTCTCTAGTAATTTCCCTCGTCAACTCGAGCGTACCAACATGACCGACAGCGGCGGTTTCATTAAAATCCCTACGGATGATGAGGAAGAGCTTCTGAGAAAGGCGGCCCAGGAATCTCAGCAAAAGCGTGAGGAGGCTCGAAAGAAGCGAGAGATGGAAGAGGCGATGAAAAAGGCAGCGGTGGAATCTCAGAATCGCAGGCGCCGTGGCGGCGACGGAGGCACTGCCGTCTAAGAACACATTCAGAAATACGTCCTATCCCTACGAAAGACTAGCTAGGCGGCAAGAATCTCGTGCGGGAAGTAATCGCATCACTAGTACCTATGCGGTAACGAACACAAGCACGTATTACCTAGGTACCTAACAGTTTTCTCTGAGAATATCTTACCTAGGTATATCACACCCAACAGGCAGCATAAACAATGCCATGAGTAACCGAAGTTGGCCTATTTATCTTCTCTGAATGTTGTTGTATTTATCAGCTGTGATGTGATGAGGTTCTCCTGAGGATCCGCTGATCCTAATTCGTCCTAGGTACAGCTTGGAGAAGCCTTCTTCATTCAATGGCACGGAGTTGTTCATTGCAAATGGCTGTTTTCGCGTAAAGAAGACTACCCGGATTATAACTACAGCAGAAGAGAAATAGCCGCAGTTAATAATACAACTGAGGAACTACAGTGAAGCTTTGGCCTTAATATTTAGTATGATGCCGTGAAGGAGCTTTGGCCTAAAATACACCAGGGCAGTAGGGCGATAGGTAACTTATGCAGAGTGACTGGCAGACTGGGAAGACGGGAGAGAAGCAGAGACAGGCCAGGTAGGGAGAGAGGCGGCCAACTGCCCCTTCATCGAGTCTGTAGTCCCGACTTGCCGCCTACCTCGCAGTCACGTGAGGGGTACGACCAAATTGCCTACCTACATAAATGAAGACCGGTCAGGACGGCAGAGGCTTTGGTCACGTGCGTCTAACCGGCTCCGCGTTGCTCCCTCCTTGATTGGCCGGTGTGAAGACGCGGCTGGGGGTTAATCTGCGCCGCTTTATTTTTCCCTATAACACTTCTCTCACTCCCTTGCATTGATTATAACTTTCTCCTCACCACAACTATATAACTGCGGGCTGTTATCAAAAAACATTAAGCGTCACTCTTTTTTGTTTTTCAAGCTGCACCCCTATTACCATGTGGAAGATATCCTCGCTCAAAACCTGTTTCGACGAGATAGAAGAGACAAAGGGCGATGACGAGTGCAGGGCCTGGTTAAGTAGGATTTTGGACGCCAAAGTTGAACTAGCAACGTTTGTTGCTACGCGCCGGGGAGGAGGTAGAGCTACAGAGTACGCTGGTTTTCTCAAGGGTTCCTTCAACTTCAGCTTCCGTTTCAAGTTCAGGGATGGAGGGCCGGACGCCATTATCCGATTCCCGAAGCCAGGGCACACCGCGACGGCTCTAAGGGACGAGAAGGTCGCGAACGAGGTTGAGGTGATGGAATATCTCAGGCAAAATACCACGATCCCGGTCCCTCGTGTTCACAGTTGGGGCTTCACTTCTGAGAGTCCGCAGCAGCTCGGCCCGTTTATCATTATGGATTACATCCAGGGGACGCCGTTGTCGACGGTGCTAAGGCAGCCGCCGAAGGACGACCAGGTAGACGTAGTATTAGACCCGGGCATCGATAACTCAACGTTGGATAAGATCTACGGTCAAATCGCCGATTACCTCTTTCAGCTTTCCCAACTTACCTTTACCCGCATTGGAGCCATCTCGAGAGACGGTGACACGTGGTCCGTCACCAAAAGACCACTTACTTACAATATGAATGAGTTAGTAACTGTCGCGGGCTACCCAGACAACCTCTTCCCAACCTCGGCCTTCGATCGTGCTAGCGACTACCTCAGGTCCGTCGCGGATGAGCATCTAGCCCACCTTCGGACGCAGCGCAACCTTGCAGACGACCGGCAAATCGCGCAGGCGCGGTTTATTGCCCGGCACCGCTTTGCCCAGCTCATCCCAAAGTACTGCACCGACGACGCCGGGCCGTTCATACCGTTCTGCGACGACCTACGGCCTTCCAACATGCTTGTCGACCCGGAGACGCTTCAGATCACAGCAGTGCTCGATTTTGAATTTACAAACGCCATGCCGGCACAGTTCACGTACGACCCGCCCTGGTGGCTACTGCTGTCCGGCCCAGAACTGTGGCTTGATCGCGGTTCGATGAGCGAGTTCCGAGACCTTTATCAGCCCAGAATGGAGCAGTTCCTGCGGGCGTTAGAACTACGGGAAGGCATGTCGGCCCCGGAGGGGCAGAAACTCGCTGAACCACGCCTCTCTACCCGGATGCGTGACTCGTGGAGGTCTGGCCGCTTCTGGTTCGATTATGCAGCCAGAAAAAGTTTCGAGCTCGATGCGGTCTACTGGGCGGCACTGCACGACGGTGGCATAGGTATCGAGTTGCTGGACGACGAGGCGCGCGCAGAGATGGGGCTGTTCGTAGAAAAAAAGATGGGACAGCTGAGGACGTACAAGGACGAGTGTACTGCTCGTTTCTCCTGAGCAGGCGGATAAATGAGGCGAACTGCTAGGACAGAGACTAACTATACAGCAAACCTGGTACCAACCTGTTGCGGCGCTGTTTTGGAAGAAAGCTAAGAAAGCAGTCAGCAATAGCAGAATGCTCGCGTTGTCAGTGGCCTTGGCTAGAAGCTCAGTTCTATCTATAGTAATAGCCGCTGGGTTCGCACGAGCTTCTCTGTCGTTCCACACGGATATAGATCAGCATAAAGCTCTGCATATATCTCTGCATAAAGTGGAGGTTTTACTTAATCCGGTTAGAGGTTCCGCGAGATTGATTTCGGCATGAATCCTACGTGGTAGAAGCGGTGAACATCATCCCAGTGCGACGGCCGATAATCGTATTAGCAGATCAGCCCAACTAGTCCCCTGAACCTCACCCAAAGCGGGTCACGGCTTCCTGAAGATTCTATTGGCTCTTTGAGACCTCGGCTAATACCCTTCATAATCCTGGGGGTGAACCGACCTGCTGAACCAATCACGGCCATAAATCTTGATTGAGTGAGGCTGAAAAGGCCTTGGGTTGAGAGATGCCTATCGCGAGACGCAGGACACTGCGGCGACAGCAGCACAGCCCGAAGAGTGGAAAAAGGCCTGCTACGGGGCAAGTCATAGAAGTTCGCGGGGTATATATATATATCTTCTATTGCTTCTCTGAACTCCCTCACGGACTGTTTTCGCGGTGCCCAGCTAGCAACCAAGTTCTCTTATCATTTCCGCGTGCTGCGACGTCAAGAAATCACCTACGCTCGTGTGTGTGTTGTCACTTGTCCTTGAAGCAACCTGCCCGCCACACCGGAACCCAGGTCCGTTCTTCAATTATATGGACTTTGTCCATATTCCCATCTTCAATTATATGGACTTTGTCCATATTCCCATCTTCAATTATATGGACTTTGTCCATATTCCCATCTTCAATTATATGGACTTTGTCCATATTCCCATCTTTAATTATATGGACTTTGTCCATATTCCCATCTTTAATTATATGGACTTTGTCCATATTCCCATCTTCAATTATATGGACTTTGTCCATATTCCCATCTGGTATGGTTGGGATGGCAGCCACTCCGTCAAACGTCCCGGTCGAGGGTGCTGTTGGGTAAGTAGCGTCTCTCGAATTCTCCCTTGCGAGCTTGATGTTAGACCTTGGTCGTAGCCACTCCCGGGCTTCAAGTCATACGCGTCTCTGTTCTTGGCCTGATATTTCTGTTTCTAAGCACCGGGTCCAACTCTGAGCTGCCGGGCCCTGCTAGCGCCAGGGACGACGCCCCACCCCGTGTTAGTTACCCCAATCGCTCGGGCGATACTCCAGCCTCTGAAGTGGTACTGCGTGACCACCGAGTTCATGTGCGCGATCACTCCAAAATTCTGAATGAAATCGACCGGGTCTTTCCGCAAAAGAACGGCGAGCTCGTAGACGCCGAATCGAGAGTTGGCCGTAACAATGCTGCGGACAAAAACCGCCCGGCTGTGGCTGAGGGCACACTTCGTGGTGTCGGAACACAGTTCGGCCAGAGCGAGGAGCGCACTCTCGACGACTTTTTCCGCGAGTTTGACCAGCAAGATAACGACGGCGGAATTCTACTCGGGAAATGCTCGGTAACTTAAACCCTCCACGTCGCAACCCCCTCTTCATGGTTATTTTATGATCGTGGCTTACATCTGTCCCCGTGCGCTATACAGAACCGGTAGTGGTATCGAGTTCACATGCGACAACAATAAAGGCCTTGTAAATTCCTGCTGACGTCATCCAGTTCAGTTATCGATAAAGTCCGGCCGGGGTTAGGTACTATGATACCTGTTCATTGGCACGAGAGTGTTTGCGACCGGGGTATATAATGATTTGAGACGTCAGATGAGAATCTTGGAGGAATGTTGAGATAATGTCGACATAGGAGTTGTCGATGGATACGTTTATAGGCCGAAGCCAGTTCAAATATATTCGCCTGCTTGAAGTGTTAACATCAGTGAAGCGTGAGAGAAGTTTGTGTGTCCACTCCAGCATGAGGACCAAGTCAGTGAATGAATCCGGATACATTAACAATACACTGGTTGAATCTGTATTTATTTCTGCTACGGTGCCTGAATAAAGCTATAATGAGATGAAGCGATAAACCGATGGCTAAGGATGCGCAAGGCGTGCGAAAGAGTAGAAGATTCATATGACGTCGCGGGGTAGAAAAGAGGAATGAAGGTGATGAAAATAAGTGAGGGAATTTCTGTCGTCCTGTTGGGTTTATTTCTATGGATGACGTACATACCTGCCTAGCGTCAGGACCCAATCACGGACTTCGTCGTAGTAAGCATTTGTGGCTGTCTGTGGCTATCACACAATGAACCCTCAAATATACCTCCTTGTGGGCGTGTCGGCATGGTCACGTGTGGAAGCAGGGATAAGCCCCGCCACAGGATCCCTTAGGTAACTCATAGGTAGATAAATAGGTGGGGGCCACATCCACAGGGATCCCGTAATAGCTTCAATTCGAGCCACCTGAACCTCCTCAGTTTTCGACCTACCCGATTATTAGTTTGTGTTGTTTTGAAACCGAACCGCATGTCATCTCCACGCATCGCCCATGGAGCTAGACAACATTGAACCGAGGTAGTCGAGTAGATATTATCTACCTACGAACTTGATATTACCTACCTACCTATCTGCTGGATTGTCGGGATGGGAGTTGGGGTTGGAATGGTAATAACAGCGAGTCGCGGGCCAGCTCGTCCATTTTCCTCGCCCACTAATTTTTCCGCCTCGGTCGATTTGGGGAACCGGAGGAGACGATTGGTCCAGCAATTCTCTTCGCCCTGTCACCTCCGCAATTCTCAAATTACCTTCCCCTCTCGCCGCAAGGTACAATCCGACGTCGCGGTTCCTCAAGCGCCGCTAAGAAGACTGGGATGCTGCTAATCCCTAGAGTTAACCCTCTTACCCCGACCCTGACCCCAATCGCGGAGTAGCTCGAATTTGCGGTGAAAGCCTCTCGTTTGGAGTGTGGTGGGGTGAGGATGGAGTCGCGTCCCCAGATCTCGCACGCGACTACGCCGAAACCACCCCATTGACGCGAATACCGCACCACCGGCGACGGCGAAGATCAGCTAGCCTAGCTTTCCGCATTTTAGCCTAAATGCCGGTTCTTGTCTCTTGACCTAGCTCTTGGCCTTCGACCTGGCTCTTGGGAGACTGGGAACCGCACATCTACCTAGCTGACGTGCCATCACCCCTGCGGAAACCATAGAGTAGTAGCCGGCCGGCCATGTATAAACAGAGAGCTTCGTCGGCCCTACCTTCTCGATGGGAGATCGTCAGGCTCGGAGCCCTCTCTGCTCTCACCTAGGTACATACCCATCTTGTGTAGTAACGCGGCCTCACCACCTACCCCGGAAGAATGCGCGGGTTCTGGCTTTTGACTGCCGTCGGCCTCGCCGCCGCCGAAGATGGGCTGAACGGCTGGCTGCGTTATGCTAGGCTGCCCTGCGATGTGGCCAAGCATGCCAGAGTTCCCTCCACCATCGTTGCGCTCAACACTACAGAGACGAGCCCCGTCTACACAGCCGGCCAGGAATTGCAGAAAGGCATCAAGGGCATCCTCGGCAGACGGCTGAATATCACCCGCGACGCCACCGAAAGCTCTCTCTTGATTATTGGCACTCTCGACGACTTCAATACCGCCGGCGTCGACACCGAGATCCCCGAGCTTGTCGAGGACGGCTTCTGGCTGAGTGTGAAGGGCGATGCGGTCGAGATCGTCGGTCAGAACGAACGCGGTGCTCTCTACGGCGCGTTCCAATATCTGTCCATGTTGGCCCAGGCGAACTTCACCGAGGTCGCCTACGCTTCCAATCCCAGCGCCTCGATTCGTTGGGTGAACCAATGGGACAATATGGACGGCACCATCGAGCGCGGCTACGCTGGCCTATCCATATTTTTCAACAACTACACCATCGTGTCCAACATGACGCGCGTAAGCCAATACGCCCGCCTTCTCGCCTCGATCCGCGTCAACGCCATCGTCATCAACAACGTCAACGCGAACCCCACCATCCTCAGCGAAACGAATATAGAGGGCCTGGCTCGCGTCGCCGATGCCATGCGCCCCTGGGGCGTTCGAATCGGAATTTCGCTCAACTTCGCCGCGCCCCAGACGTTTGGCGGACTGTCGACCTTCGACCCGCTCGACGAGTCCGTCATTGCGTGGTGGAGCGGCATTACGGATAAGCTGTACGCCCGCGTGCCCGATCTTGCTGGCTTTCTCGTCAAGGCCAACTCGGAGGGCCAGCCCGGCCCGCTGACGTACAACCGCACGCTCGCCGACGGCGCCAACCTATTCGGGCGCGAGGCCAAGCGCCACGGCGGTATCGTCATGTTCCGCGCCTTTGTGTACGACCACCTGACGCTCGACGAGAATAACTGGAAGGATGACCGGGCGAACGCGGCGGTCGACTACTTCCGCGACCTCGACGGCCAATTCGAGGACAACGTTGTCGTGCAGATCAAGTACGGACCGATTGACTTCCAGGCGCGCGAGCCGCCGTCACCGCTTTTCGCACACCTGCCCAACACCGCGTCCGCCATCGAGCTACAGGTCACACAGGAGTACCTTGGACAGCAGTGCCACCTCGTGTACCTGCCGCCGCTGTGGCGCACGATCCTCAACTTCGACCTGCGCGTCGGCGGCAAGCGTTCCGTTATCGGCACAGACATCCTGACGGGCCGACGCTTCAACAAGACGCTGGCCGGCTACGCAGCGGTCGTTAACGTCGGGCTCAACGCGACGTGGCTCGGCACGCACCTATCAATGTCGAACCTGTACGCGTACGGGCGGTTGGCGTGGGAGCCGACGGCGGACTCGGCTGAAATCCTCGACGACTGGACGCGGCTCACGTTCGGGCTCGACGCACGCGTGCGCGAGACCATCGCGCGCATGTCGCTCATATCGTGGGAGGCCTACGAGAACTACACGGGCAACCTTGGCGTGCAGACGCTCACCGACATCACGGGACCCCACTACGGCCCGAACCCGCAGTCGATGGACAACAACCCCTGGGGCCAGTGGACACGCGCCGACGCCAACGGTATCGGCATGGACCGCACCGTCTGGAATGGCACCGGTTTCGCCGGCCAGTACCCCGCCGAGGTTGCTGCTGCGTTCGAGAGCATTGACACGACGCCTGATGATCTCCTCCTGTGGTTCCACCATGTGCCGTACACGCACGTGCTGAAGAGCGGGAACACGGTTATTCAACACTTTTATGATGCGCGTGTGTGGTTTTTCTCTCCTTTTCAGCCCTTTTGTATCTCGCCTATTTCCCTCCGCGGGTGACCGTAATCACCGCTAACCCGAGTATAGACTACAACGGTGCAGAGACTGTGGCGGCATTCCCGCGGCAGTGGGAGTCGTTGCGAGGGCTCGTAGACCAGCAGCGTTTCGAGGAGATGCTGTTCCGGCTGACGTACCAGGCCGGCCATGCGATCGTGTGGCGGGATTCGATCAATCAGTTCTACGCGAATATCTCGGGGATCACAGACGCGCACGGGCGGGTCAACCACCACCCGTGGCGGGTCGAGGCGGAGCACATGCAGCTCGATGGGTACCGGGTGACGGAGGTGACGCCATTCGAGGTTGCGTCAGGCCTGCACATCGTGCAGACGGTAGACAACTCGACGGCCGCGCGCGTGTCGACGGCGCCGCTCACGTTCCCGGCGGGGACGTACGACGTGGCGGTGGCATACTACGACCTGTACGAGGGGCGGGCGCAGTACGAGCTCTTCCACAACGACAAGAGCCTCGGGGCGTGGGAGGGCAACAACGAGGAGCGCCTCGGGTTCACACTGACGCGCGGTATCGACGGGCACTCGGCGACGAGGATCACGTTCCCCGGCATCGAGATCGTGGAGGGCGACGTGCTGCGTGTGGAGACGACACCGCAGGGCCGCGAGACGGCGCCACTGGATTACATCGCTGTGTTGCCGGCGGGCGTGGTCGACTAAGGAGGAGGGGCGAAGCGAAGTGTACCTAATGTGATGATACGCATATCTATCCGTCCTATCACATTGAAAGCATAAGTTCTTGGCGCGTAACCGCCCCGATCCCATGGGCATCACGATCTGAGCTTACTCGTCCACATGCCATCTGCCTGGCGTGGCTGCCTAGGAGGTAGGTATGCGTTGCGAAGAGGAGATGGGGTCGTGCTACATACGTGGCAGGTATGTATGCCTGGGGCGAGCTCGGGTATACTAGGCATGGGTGGATTTTTCGGTGAATAGAGGCAGCGCGACAGGCCGGGATGCAGTAGAGCTGAGCTGAGTCGGGAAGCAGAAGACGGGAAGGGGGGGGGAGGTAGGTATACCGAAGCGAGGCGGCTCAAATACCTAGGTACCTGAGGGGGCAGGGGGTTCCGTCGCCAGACACAAGTATGCACAGTGTACACTGCATAAGTACTACATAAGCACTGCATAAGTAGTATACCTGGGTGGGTTAGGTAAGGCGGGTGCGGTACCTCCACTCAACTGATCTCGGCTCCATATCGATCGTAGGCCACGTGGTACCCCATTGGCTACCTATATATAGGTACCTAGGGAGAACAGACAGAGAAAAGAGACGGCGACGACTGGGAAGCTAGCTCGTATCTATTGGGCTGGGTTGTATATACTAGGTAGGCATAGGTAGATGTCTACCTACTTACCTACCTCTAATAGCTTTGAAGGTTAGGTGTCGGTATCTAGGTATGTTCCGATGGCCGCTAGCATAGCCATCAACCGCCTGCGTTGCTCGGCCCGCGCCCCAGGTCTCGCCGCACCCTCCACACCTTCGCCCCGGCGCGGCTCTGGTTGCCGCGGAGCGTTTCGATCCATGGGACCTCAGCCCTGGCGTCTTGCCGGCCCTCGTTGTTGTTCTCGTCGTCGTCGTCCGCCTCGTCCGGCTCCTCCCCCTCGCCCCAGGCCAGGCGGTACAGCTCCTCGGTGTACGCCCAGGTGGGCGGGTCGAGCTTCCCGCTGACCAGCACCACGACGCGGTCACCGTCCGCGAGTGGCGGCGGCGGCAGCGGCCCCAGCAGTTGCAGCACCCCGCGCGCCGTGTCGATCCCGCGCACCAGCACGAGGCCCAGCGACTGCGAGAACCGCGGGTCCAGGGCCGTCGCGCCGTCGACGCAGGGGATGCCCTCGGGCGTCGCGACGGTGAGCGTCTCGGCCAGGGCGGAGAAGGTCTGCGACGGCGGTTCTTGGATGTCGTCGCCGTCGCCGTCGAGATCCATCGCGTCGGCCTCGCCGTCTCGATCTCGGACCGGGAGCGGCCCCGCGGGCCGCCTGAATGCCCGCGGGCTGTCGACGGCGACGGCGGCGAGGACGGTGCCGTTGATGGCCTCGGCGAGCAGGTCCAGCGGCACCTGGTAGTCGTAGCACAGGATCCCGAATATCCCGCGGTCGGCGCCGCGGTAGCTGACTTGCCACGGCGGCATCGCCGTCAACGGCCGCGCGTCCCACCGGACCGGGCTGCCCTTAGGATCGGTGCCGGTGGGCTCGGCGTGGAAATACGACATGGTCTGCATGGCGCGGAGATTTACCGCCGTCCGCGCCGTAAGCTGGGAGCCCTGGGACGGGAGCATGGAGAAGCTCGAGACCTTGCAGGCGGCGCGCAGCGCCTCGACCGCCTCGGCCGGGCCGTATTCCGACATGTACACCACCTCGGCGGGGCGCAGCTTCGCGATCAGGGAGGTCAGCAGGTCGAGCCCGGTGCCCTGTATCCACCCCGGTGTGTTGATGACCAGCGGGTGGTGGCCCAGCGCGTTCCGGTAGTGCGTCACGAGGTCCAGCGCGGCGTCGGCGTACAGCTCGGGGTCCGAGGCGGGGGTTATCGACGCCAGCGCGTGGGACCGGATCACGCGAAACGCGGCGCCGGCCCCGGGGTGGCAGAACGAGGGCCCCAGAACGGGCGCGGTCACAAGCACGAGCGCAATCTGCCCCGCCGCGCAGTACTCAGGCTGCCCGGGGTCGAGGTCGAGCACGGCGACGCCGACGCCGGGGGCCCTGCGCTCCCTGTGTCTGGCGTCGCCCGACCGGCCTGTGACGAGCCGGTTCGCAAGTATCTTGCCGAAGGTAGACTTCCCCGAGGACTTGGGCCCCGTGATCATGACGGAGCAAGGCCGAGCACTGGACGCGTCCAGGAGCCGCGCGATTTCACGGTTCCACTCCGGCGGCGAGATGAGGTCCTGCAGCGTACCCCGCTTCGGGCCGTCCGCAGACGTGTACAACTGCGGGCACTATTAGCAACCCGGAGCCGTCTTTCCGCCCCTCGACGGATACTCACTATTTGAAACGTGGCGCCCGGCACCGCATCGGCGCCGTCCGCAGCGTCGGCGTCCTCGTTCCACAGCCTCCGGAACTGGGGCGATAGCCGCCCCAAAGCCCTCAGGCTGACAGCGCTGGGGTGCGGGAGCAGCTCCAGCGTCGCCGCGTCCGCGCACCGCAGGACGGGGAGCGCGTGGCACAGCGGCGCGTCCACCCAGTGCACCTCGTCCTCGGCCCGCAGCGTCGCGCCGTATATGGTGGTTTCGCCGGACGTCACGCGGATGCCGTAGCTGCCGAGAATCACCAGACGCTGTCGCAACAGGTTAGGCCGGGGCCACCAGCGGGAGCGGTAAGTACGTAGCGGGTGAGGCTGGTCGGACGCACCTCTCCTCCGGACAGCGTGAGCAGCGCAGCGCCGTCCTCGCGCGCGCGGTAGTTGCTCGCGGACGGCACGAAGCTGGAGAGTCGCACGGGCGGAACTTCGGCCGCGGGGAGCGCGTCGTCCTCGGCCGCCGACGACAGGGCGCTGCTCCCCGACGGGCCGGGGGCCTCGGTAGGGGTGGAAGGCTCGGACGAGGCGTTGTCAGAGGGCTCCTCGCGCCTGCGACGGGGCACCAGTTGCGCATCGAGGCCCTTCCTCAGCTTTCTCGCGCGCCCTCCACCAGTGCCGGCTTCAGTGGGGTTCTGGGCGGCTGCGACGACATCCGGCGCCTTGGCTTCGATGGGTTGCGGCTCGATGCTTGCGGCTGACTGCTGGCTAAGAAGTCTCTTGCGGAGGGCGAACGCGCTCATGGCTGACGGGGTACGTTTGCGACGGTGTAATATCCGCGTTAGGTCGGCGCAGCTCCTGTCCCGCTCAGCGCCCGAACTTGCTCGTTTTGGAGGCTCAGCTAACTCATGGTGTTATTGGTATGACTGGATTGTATTCCTTGTGAAGGAGGGCGCCGTAAGTGGCTAATATGGTGTTTATAACTTGGTGGTTGATTCTGCACAATAATAGGTCGATGGTAAGTGTGAAGTTTCGTTAAACAAATTATTCCCTCCTTTTATATGGGTTATGCAGTTAACATTACACTAATTTCCACGTGGGGTGTGGATATTTTTTGTGCAGGCCTCTGATTGGACGATCTTGTGGTAACGTCCCTTTGCAGCACAGAAGCTTACATATAGTGTCCAAGACCCTGCCCAGATACCTGTCTCACTTTCATCCTGAGGTACCAATCGGGTTAATTGAAATACAGTATATACGGATATCTAACGTCAAAGGTCCGTACTAAGATAATCTAAACATTCTGCCCATTCACATATATTCACGAACGGGATCGATAACTCAAGCTTTCTTCATGGAATAGGATGGTGTACTTGACTAAGTACCTAGGAGGTAGGTAGTTACAAGTCTACTTTCTGCCCCTCCTTCTGATATCCTAGTGGGACATACCGTCGGACTATCCTCGGCCCGTCCCCCCTTTCCATACGGACACGGGCTGACATAAGCGCCCGTACCGTGCCAACCCCGCGGCAGCGCATCCTTGTCAATCTCAATTATTCCACACGCGCCGCGTTACTTACCTAACTACCTGGACATCTTCAAGCTCTAAAATTTTTTCAGTTCATTTCCACTCCTCCTCCGCATCTTCTGAACCTACGCCGTTCTTCCCGTCCCTCTCCCTTAACTTCCTATTGCATTTTGATCTGGGCATCTCCGAGGGCCGATTTGGACCCTTGTTCCCATTCCACTACCTGAGTTTCACCGGATCTCCTCGCCCTGTTTTGTTGTTGCACGCAGCTTGTGGCAACGCCCTTGTGATCGCGCTCGCAATGGCTAAGTCTCGCAGTTCGGCGCCGCTCGGCTCGCTCGAGATCATGCGGATGAAAGTAGCTAATAAAAAAGCTGCCGACTCCAAGAGCTCTACCATTCGCTCCAGCCAGGCCAAGAAATCCCAGGCGGCCATCCAGGACAGCAACACCAGTAGCGAGGGCAGTGATAGCGAAGGCAGTGGCAGTGATAGTGATAGCGACGTCGACATCGACCATGCTCGTCTCGAATATGAGAAGAAGCAGGCGGAAAAGCTCAAGAAAGCTATCGCAAAGCCGGGTTTGAATTCTGCCGAGACCAAGTCGCCGCACAAGACCGAGACACCACCGCGAACCGCAGAGTCAACTACGCCTAAGACTAAGATCACCGACACTGCCAAGTCTAAACCCGAATCTACTTCCGACTCGGAATCCTCCCCCGAAATCTCCGATTCCAATGACGAGGATGACGCTCACCCGGGTACCAAGCCGAAGAAGAGCAAGAGAGAGGCGGCTAAAGGCAAAGACTCAGATCCAGCCCGTGAGGCCTCAAATGAGGGCGAGAGCGAGGGCGAGAGCGAGGATGGGGATGCCAAGGAGACCCAGGAGAAGAAAGCTAGCGCAGAGACCAAGAAGAAGAAGGCTGGTGCGGAGACCAAGAAGGCCGGCGTGGAAGAGCCCACCCGGACAGACACATCCAGCGAAGGCCAGAGTGAGGAGGAGAGTGAAGAGGAGAGTGAAGAGGGGAGTGAGGAGGAGAGTGAGGAGGAGAGCGAGGGGGAGGATGAAGGTGTTGGGGACAAAGCTCCTATTAAGGATGCTAAGGGTAAGCCTCCTGGCGATGCCGATAGCGGGAACCAATCTTTGGAGAGCAGCGACGAGTCCGATGGGGATGAGGTACAAGGCGAGGATGCTGCCAAGGCCAAAACGGCCCTTGCGCAGGCCAGCGGCGACGGCGCTGCTGCTGCCACAAGCTCGGCTTTGGAAGTGTAAGCTTCCTTTCATTCCTCTTAAAGTCCCGTCTGTGCCACTCGGACCTAACCCCGGCCATCTCAGTTCTCGACCGGCATGGCTAAATGGCTCCGACTTCACGCTTCGTAAAGCTTCGTCCGATAACCCCGCCAAGGAGGTTACGGACTTTTTCAGCAAGGCCAACCTAGAGGGCAAGCAGGTCTGGTACTTCACAGCACCGGCATCGCTGCCCATTACGGTCATAAAGGACATGGAGATCGACCTATCTAAGGCCACAACCGGCGGCTCTATACTCAACTATAAAGGGGACAACTACGGTCTGGATATTGAATCTCAAGCTACGAGCACACAGATCCAGCTATTCATTCCCTCCCGCGGCGGAGATAGTTACACTGCTCGTAAGTTGTGTGCTCTGCGGCCTCGTAGCTATAACTAGCTAACACGTAAGAGTGAACCGTGGCATCGATTCCACGGTACACCTCCGACGTATCGCTAAGTTCGGACCAGGCGGTGCCGTCAGTGCAACCGCTGCTGACGACTACGTGCCAACGCCGAAACCTGTTCGCGAGCAGCCTCAGGGACTGAAGCCTCGTTTTACCCCCATCGGCGTTCCCCATTCCAATCCTACACTGCCAGCTGCTCCCCTCCAATCTCGCTCCACGGGAGCAGCACAACAGGCTGCCCCAGTCGGATCAGAGAGCGAGCGGGAGAGCGAGTCGGAGAGCCAAACGACCAGTGACTCTGAGGAAGTAACGATAACGCTATCCAAACCCCCCACCTCGTCTTCCCCTTCGAAGAAGAAAGCTACGTCCTCGGGCACTGTCAGCAAACAGCTCAAGCGAAAGCAGCCGGCAGACGAGGCCGAGTCAACCCCGGCCAACCACTCGCAGCCTGCTGGGAAGACCACCAAGAGACCCAGGACAACCGCCACCAAGGCAGCAGCGCCCGTGCCGCCTTCGGCCCCGTCGCGCGCAGCCTTGACGCCTAACGGCGCGCCGCCGAAAACGTCCAAGGCGTCCAAGGCGTCCAAGGTGTCCAAGGTGTCCAAGGCGCCGGGCTCGAGTGCGAGGACAAAAACGCCCCAATCGAGGCCCGAACACGTACTGCTCAGATACACGCCCGTCCCGACCCCCACGATTCCAAACTTGGAGACGAAGTAATCATTACGAGGGGCTTCCTGCTGCTCGGATTCATGGCGGCCGAGTTCTCGAATTCAACATCCTATCTATTCGTCAAGTGCCTAGCAGGCATGGGGCGATTGGCGAGGCGTGGCTAAGACCAAATCGAGGCCTTGGTGACAGATAGGGATGTGTATAGATAGTTGTTACGAAACAAAGGAAAAGCAAGGCGTCGGCGGTATGGCGAACAAATCTTGCTGGCGTAGTCACACTCGCATATGTTTTAAGAGATACCATGGGCGACTACCTGCTCTCGGCTTATTCCCGATACCCAGAGAGCAGGTGAATCGGACAGGTTAATGCTGAAGCACGGGAAAGGAATTGGTTACTATGAGGTTAGGCTCTGCTAATAACAACCTCGCGACTCGAAATACAGGGGCGTCTTGTACCATATAAGATCGCGTCCATAATCAATAAGACCTAGTCCGTTAGCCTTTTGCCAATTGTCCTCAACAGAGATATGAGTAGATATTATGCACAACCATCCTCCCTTAACCCCCCTTACCCCCCTACCTTGGATTCCTATGTTCCTAAAGGCCGTACCCAAGAAGCTGGAAACCCCGCGTAAAGACTCGCTGTCTTCCCAAAACGCCGGCCTAAGATCTTCGTCGATACACCCCTAGCCGAATATCTAGGACAAGGCACGGGGATAAGGCCGGACACGGAGTCGAGGCGAAAATAAAGTATCCGGACTCGGACACCTAGTCTCGGCCCATGTATTAGCTTTCAGCTGAGCGTATACTTATCCCCAGAATCAGCTAGTCTGACGGGCCGGTTGTATCGAGATGAAACGTAGCTGGTGACGAAGGCTCCGTATGTTCTACAAGAGTGCTATCGTGTAGTTCTCGAGGAGGGGAGAGACTTGCTTGCCTCGCTCCTTCGCCAACGCGGCCCTCCCCCATACGGAAAGGCGCGGAAGCTGGGAGAACACAGTGGCGCGTAGCCAAACAGGTCTCTCCCCCTCCTCCTTTCCTCCTCCTTCTCCTCGGGCAAGCACGCCGCGAGCCGTCTCCGGAGCGACCACTACGCATCCCCCCCGCCCTTCCCCGTTGGCCGAGGGAGCTCGGGTGAATACCGGAAAGGGGGTGAATGGGGGGGAGGGAGACCCCTTATAAGGCCAAATTGACACTTGTTCCCCCAGCCGGATCTGGAAGTCCTCACGGAGGTAATCGGGGAAGTGAGTGCCAACCAGTAACTAGACGGTCAGAAAATCCCAAAGGGGGTTTTCGCAGGGTGGGTTAAGAAGTCACTCCGCCCCAGCTTTTTTTACTTCTCCGGAGGACTGCCGTTCGAGTCTACCTCTTCACACGCAGCCTTTCTCTTTTTTTTTTTACCTCTCTCTCTCTCTGCTCTCTGCCTCTCCGTATCAGGTACTGAGCTGCTTGCTCCAGTCACCCCTTGCCCATCTGGGACGAGATAACCGCCCCCAACCTCGGTGGCGGATGAAGCTTTTCACGATCCTCACGCCCGCCTCTCTCCTATCTCCCTGCCCCCTTCTTTCAAGTCTCCGCGTGCCGTCTGTTGCAAACGTCAAGATATGAGGCAGCCAGGGATAGCAATACGGACGACACTAAAGGAGGGAGTATTGTTTATTGATACAAGCAAGCCTATTATTATCGTTCATTGTCCCAGTTGTCGCCGCCACAACATCCTCTCCTATATATACCGACACGATGCTACTGCTACCCTAGCTATTATCTCCACAACTGCCAGAAACTACACCTCTATAGAAGAAAATCCGCATTATGCACAGAGAACTCGCTGTCTATATTATGGTAATTCCGCGTACTTTCCGGGCGCGGAGCCAGCAGTTCCCCTGTCGTCTTCTCCGGCACACTCCAGTCCAGCATATTATCAAACCGCCGCTCTGCGCGGGTGAAGACGTGGAGGGTTAGGCAATGACTGAACACGAATCTAGCATCAACCTGGCCCGGGCCGATGATGAGAGAGGCCGCCCCGGCTATATACCTACCTACCTACCGACCACACACCGCGGCCGATTCTGCGCACCACCCCTTCGCCGACCATCTTTCTAAACAGCATCGACCTATATGCCCGGCGACCTCGACGGACCGACGCGCCTACGCTCCGGGCAGAAACCCTCCTTACATATACCTACATACGCCCCCCGTGGCCCCGGCGTCTCTTCTCGCCCCCCCCCCCGCGCAGCCGCGGCCTCTGCTTCGTCGACGCAACATTTACTCCGCGCCGCGCTCCGCGCTGGAGGTGGCCCTATGATCGGCAGGCCGGTCGAACGCCTCCGCTGGCCGGTTTCTCTTGTTGCGTTCGTTCGACCCCGTAGAGGACATGCCTCGCCGCACCACTAGGTACAGCTTCCCCAGTTCAACCGCTCCGACAGAAGCGACTGAACTCTAACGCGGCTGGTGCGGAAACTCTGACCGCTAGTAGTCCTCTTCTGCATCCCGCCGCAAAAGAGCGTATGTAGCTACCTACTATCAAGCGCGCTCTCTAGGCCGTTCGAGTCTACTATCGTAAGAGGCCCCTTATCTGTTAGCCTGACTACGCCGGGCCCGCGAGGCCTGCCGTCTGAGTGCGCAGGCCGAGTCCCCCCTTAAGAGCGTTGGGCTTTTATAGGTCTCAACCTCTGAAGGGTATTGAGAAGGAACGGTGCGTACGCGCTGTTGGGAAACCCGGAGACTGAATCAGAAGTGCTTTCTATTTGCAACCTCAACTGAGGCGAAACTTGTGCGTAGTCAAAGAGGAATCCTATCGATCTGAAAGTAATAAATCCGATAATGCAACCGTACCCCAAGTCTAGCCCATGGCTATCGAGATATGGTGGTCTCTATTAGCTCAAGGGGCAAAAAGGCTTAAGTAGGAAAAGGGCTGAAGACAGATAGGTAAAGTTTACTCGTTCGGCCATAGCGGCACGAATAAGAGACTTAAGCCTTCGCGATGGGGACAGATGTATTGACAGTAAAGAAGGCAATTTAACAGTATAAAGAAATCTTTAAGTCAGCTCAAGATAAAGGCAGTGGCAGGTGGTGACAGCGAAGTCCGTGTATAAGCATGCTGTGTTCCCTTCTCTTAAACTGCGCGCTTACGCGGTGGTTCCTTGAAATAGGCGGGTGGCTCGGCTTGGCACGGTCACGTAAGCCTCCAAGAGGACGTGTCTCTCCGTACCACTACAACATTATATATATATCACGTAGAAGATTATAAGCTTCGGCGTGATGGACGGATTTGTTGTACGTGAAGCGAATGAACGGCGGTTATAGGTGTTATCAGTTGGTTGTTCAACCAGAAGGCAAGACGGATGGGTGAAGCCCTAGCTCGTCTGTGTATGCAGCTGGACTGCGTATACCTACAAGCTGGTCTATCGCTCCAAATCGGCGTGTCGCACTGCCCACTGCACCAAAAATGTAAGTAACAATTACGAGACAGAGGCCGATACCAATAATGAAGAGAGGGGAGATCACGACGATACCATCAAAAGACTCTCTCGAAAACGCGAGTAGAGAAGGCAACGAGGGTAGGAAGCCTAGCAGCTAGATTGAAGTTGTAATATATTAGAAGCTAACCGGCGCGGCTGGATCACTCGCGCGAAGTCTTCGTCACCAAAGTCGACCTCCGCCTCGGAACTGTTCAGGCAATAATACGCATTACCCTCGTTTCCATTTGTAACGCGGTTAGCCACACAAGGCAATTGACGATGGTTATTGACGATGGTTACGATAGCGCGGTGCCGGGGGCTTATCCTGAGGCCTGCTCATCGAAAACCAATAAGAGGAAAGCAAATATAGATCTAGATTTACGGAGAAAGTGGAGGTGACTTACGGGGATTAGGTGCGGTAATCGACGGGGAGAAAGGCGGTCAAGTGAGATATCAGTTGGGTGCTTCAACAGGTCTATGTTTTACGCCAAAGTTGCCTTCGGTGATTTTGGTGATTTCCATGTCTGTGTGTGTGTCCCTGAGCTGCCCTGCTCCAGGGTGAGCCATAGGTGAGCCTGGCCTGCACTGTCCTGGGACAGCCCAAACTCGGGCACCATTCCGGTGCGTCCGCCGATCGTCGGATTTATGTTTGCAATACTGACTTCAGAAAATTTTGGTATTTGTTGCACTGTGCTGAGCATTCACAGGGGAAAATGGGAACACATTACGGTTATTCAGAGCCGTTTCGCATCTTAAAGATATTACCAGTTTGAGTCTAAGCCCCGAAGGAAGGACACGGGAGTTACAATGGAAGTTGTCTGCTCTGGCCGGGGGTTGAAGTTGATGAGGCAAAGTATGGAGGGGAACGGAGACGGGAAGGAATACTCCTGATTCCAGCCGGCTTAAAGGCAGGGCAGTAAATCTATCCGTTATATAGAACGAAAGAGGAGTAGCCGAAGAAATTCCCCTTGAGAAGAATCGAGTCTCGTGGTTCCCCGACACGCGCCATGCCGTGGCCTACTGTAGCCAGAGTTACCTACGGACACGCCCACTGTAAGGGGACAATCCTTCTCGACTTCATTCTGCCTCGTATGAGCGGCCCATTGTTGGCCGCTATATGGTGGCTGGTGGAGGGGTAGGTTGATTGCCAAAGGCTAGTACTGTGTGGCTGCCTTTCCTACGTTGGTATTTATGGTGAATATAAGTAACTACTACGTATTGTTTTCGCCTCAGCTGCACAACCTCCACATGCTCCCCTCTCTGCTCCCCTTCCGATCTGCCAGATGGGCTAAATAGCGAAGACTACCAAATGGCGCTGTTAGGAATCGAACCTATCCTTCGTTAAGTAGCCCACTGATCTCTGCCTACAGTACCCCTCGCTGCCTCTCCTCCCTGCTCCTACTTTTCCGCTCCCTCTTTTTCTGCTCCGCCCCTTTTGCTCTTGAACTCCAACAAATTCACTGCAGGCTGAAAGCCACACATCCATCGCTCTGCGCGCTTTGGGGCCCGACGTCCAGCCTCAGGTTGTAGTGGTAGTTATTGAGTAGATCGACCATGCGGGCAGACCTGGGTGAGCAACCTCATGCGAGACCCCGGGCGCCTTCCTGAACTTACCGTGCAAACTCAAAACGTTGTTTGTCTTGCGCGTTCCCAACACATTCGGAAACCTTCCTTCCCCGAGAATTCGAATGTACTCGCGCCTCTGCGTACTTCTCGTCAGCCTCGAGCCGACGGCCGATCTGCTTACGGATGGTCTCTAGCGCTGCGGCTTGCGTCAACTTCTCGCGTGTGTTTGGGTCCGCTTTGGCGGCGTCGTGGATCCGATTGAGCAAGAATTGGGTCGTATCCTTCGTCGCCGGGCTCATAACCCGTCGTCCGTCCGACTGCTTCTTTCTCAGAAGGTCGTCCAGCCACTGCGTTGTCATTTGGAGGGCGTCCGGTGCGTCATCGTCACCGCGGCGCTTACCGGAGGGGGACTCTCTGGTGCTTTCACTGTCCATCGTGAGTCTAGTGCTGTCAGGTCGAAAGATGGGCGCCGACGAGATGGGTACGGGTCCGAAGCCTTTGGGCGACGGGGACTGTTGGTGCTTGGTCAAGGGAAACGTAGGCTGCTTGGTCGAGGGCAACATGGGCTGCTCTTTATACTTGTACATTGGAATTCTGGGTCGGGGGGAACGTGGGCTGCTCCTTATACTTGTGAAGCTCGAGAAGCTGGAGAAGGACGCCTGGTACCTCACGGGGGGTTCTTGCGCACTGCCTCCCTTGGCCTCCTTCTTCCCATGTCTCTTGGCCTCCTTGTTGGCGGCGGCGGCGGCGGCGGCTTTGCCTGCTGCCTTCACTTTGTCGGCGATATTCCGGGCCTCGTTTCGTAGGGGGGCCAGGCTCGCCGCATGGTAGTCTCCGTATCTAACAGCCAATACGCCCGAGGAGATAGCCCTCTGGACGTTCATGTCTAAGAGGTGGGTCGGAATCGACGAGATCCTGAATGCCGAGGAGGAGGAGATCAAGAATGACCGCGGACCAACACCCATGTCGGATCTAGTCCGCAAGCTCATCGCCCTGGTGCCCGGCACCACGTACTCGGCCACACGTAGATGCATGAAGCTGTACGCAACACGAAACGACACGGCCCACGGTCATATCGGGGAACTCGCGCGGACTCGGAAATTTTTGGCCCTTGCGGTCAAACTTAAAGAGGACCTCGCCGCGCTCCAGTGCGAGAGAAACATCACCGAGGAGGAGAGGGCCGCGACAAAGGCGGCGATCTGGTACAACGTGGACCTGTACTTTGAAGAGCTCGAGTACGACGAGCTCACCTGCCAGATCACGCTATATGTCCCCTGGCCGCAGGAGTCGGCTGGAAAGTTCATCAGGACGGCAAAAAGACTTTCGTCACGTGCCGTTGTGGAAGAGAATGGAAGTAGTGAGGAGGATGAAGAGAGCGAGGAGAGCGAGGATGAGGACATAGTCATAGTGCACAGTGTTTCTCCAGATAAATGAGAGCCTGAGGGTCCTCCTAAGGACGAGCCTAGGGCAGAGTGATACAGGAAGGCGGCGAGGGAAAAAAAGCGAATAGACATCGCTAAACAACGACTAATGAATAGGAACAACTGATGTAAGGTCAGCGTAGGGCGCCTTCATTTCTTGGTTTGGGTATGCGGGCTTAAGCTGGCGCTATTTGATGTGCTTTTGATAGGGCTGGAGTGAAGACAGAAACTTACAGGTCGAGATAGGACATAGCCGGCTATTCCCTAGCGAATTGGTTTTCCAGCAGCAGGCTCTAATTTCCGCATTGTGTAAGCCAGGATAGCGTTGGCGAGTTGATGCTCCATGCAGAACTACATTGTTCCGAGGCTAGCACCAACGACTGAATACTCAAGAGGGCTTCCTAGGTTCTGCCTTCACGTTGCCGTGCCTAAGTCTTGTCGAGACTCCGCCATACTGTGCCGGGGATTCCTTGGGACAGCAAGGAATCCTTGCCCTTGGTGTTGGGAAAGTCGTCAATGTCGACGTAGATCGCCTATAGGAGATTGGGATCGTGACCGAGAGGCTGTATTTTATATTTCCCATGTCCCTGAGACTTTCTATCATAGCGCGTGGTCAGTATTACTCATTCTACACTGCGGTGAATGTTGTGGACTGGTAGTTGCAATACTTCTGGCTCCCTAGAACACACCAGCTTACCCCTCTTGGTGCGAACGATCCCGTGGAAGGCCGTAGCATCTGGTTGAGCTCGGTTGCCGATAGAGGAGCGCCCTTACAGAAGGAATGTTAATGACGAGCTCCATTCCGAAAGGCATACAGGCTATTTCTCGGCGCCGGCATTTGCTTCAACTCGTAAGAGATGAGAGTATTGTATTGAATGAAAACAGGCTGCTCCAAACGTGAGCCGTCAACCGGGTTGGTAAAAGTGTTGGAAGGGAAGAGAGATCCCGGGATGAGGGGCGCCCAGAGCTGAAAGAAGCGAGATTTGTGAGCTTGAAAAGGAAATGATGAAAAGTGCGAGAGAGGAAGGAAAGAAGACGACAGGGAAGAAGATGGAGGGATGGGCAGGTTTTAGATAAAATGCCCCGGGCGATGGGGCCAGTTTAGGGTTCTCTTGTATGTAGGCATCAAGTTGCGTAACCGAATGGTATAATCAGATTAAGACAAATTCTGGGCTACGACCCGCTGGAAGGAGCGTGGTATGTATGTATACACATATTTGTAGACCCCCGATGATCCTGCGAATTCATCCTGTAAATGGGATAAAAGCATCTACTAACGGGAAAGGGGGGGCAGATTGAAGGATAGCTAATGCTGCGGGCAACGGCGGTTCAGGCTGGATAATTCTAACGTTGTCAACAGCTTCGACAAGTTGGCCTTGGGCATCCTCACCAGGCTTGTTAGCTAGGACCCGTTTCTCTGTTTGATATAAAAGTTATTGTCAAGTACTAGATCGACGTTAAGAGGCTTAACTTCAAGTCGATAGTTTAATAATACTACCCTCCAAACTCGTGGTCCATCAAACAGCGGCATGGCTATATAATGACACTATACGGGAAGCCGACAATTAGAAAAGCTATTATCCAATATCAATCCCGTCGAACACCGTGCCTTGCTCTCGGCCGAGTGCAGCTTTTCTCGCATCCCACTTGCATTTTCAATTCGATCTCATCCGCTAATGGAAACAGCTCTTTAGGCAAGTACGGTGCACCATTAGTGCGTATCCGACAAAACGATTTTCGCGAATTGAAAATCGACCGAAATGTAAGAATGGGGCCACCTTATTGAGCTACTATAAAAGTCATCAACTTTAATTATATATTATTAAATCATTTAAAGAGATATAATTAAACGGATTTCATATTTGAATAGTTCAGTAATTTATGTATATATGAATATAAATTATATATTACGTAATATAATATTTAAAGAATTGAAAGTAGTTTAAGATAGTTAATATTATAAAAGTTATTAACTTTTATTATATATAATGGCGTTAATTTAAAAGATATAATGAAAATTATATAATATATAGATGGATAAATGCTTAATTTATAAGTGAATATAAATTATTTCTTATATAGAATAAGCCTTTAAAAGAAAAACGTAACTAAAGTACATTATTATAATAAAAGTCATTAACTTTAACCTCATCTTTATAGATTAGTTTAAGTAATATAATTATATATATTTAATTTTTTAATATAAGAATGCTTAATATATAAATAAATATAGAGTATCATATTGTAGTGGTGCGGTGGATCTAGGCCACGTAGCCTTTTCGATGTGTATTTATATGGGTCGCGCACTCATATTTTCATCAGCCAGACTTAGACCTGTAGATATCACAGCCTACAGCTATTCACTCGTTTCTTGCCATGCCTTTCTAGCCATCCTCGTCTTTGCCTTTCCAGTCCCCCTTCCCAGCTGCCGTTTTCAGCTGGCCGATCAACCGATTACAGCTGTTTGCAGCTGTGATCTTGGTTAATCGGCACTGGGCCAGTTGTTGGCAGTTGGGTAGCCCTTTTCGTGCCTCCGTCAGCGTGCCCACGCTGCTCCTGTTCAATATATATAATATACCGTTTCAAAGTAAAAACGTAAATAAAAAAGCTATTTTAATAAAGGTTAAGGATTTTAACATTATATTAAAAGGTTAATTTTAATAATAAAATTAAATATATTAAATTTTTATATTTAAATAATCTATATATAAATATGTATATTATTCATATATTATATAATTATATATATACGAATATATATATATACATATTTAAAAATACGATAATACTATTATTATTTTGAATAATATAGTATGATATAATATTAATAAAAAGAAATTTATAAAACTTATTAATATTTATTAAAGCTATCTTTAAGATAGATATTATATAATATATTAATTTTAATTAAAGGGCTTTAGTAAAAATAGCAAAAGTAAAAGTTATATTAATAATTATATATTATATAATAAATATTAAATTAGAAATATAAAATTTTTAATTAAATAAATACTAAGATCTATATATATATATATATTATTTCTTTATTTTTTAGATGAAATATAAAATTTTTTTAATTATATCTCTTTAAATAACTTTATAATATATAATTAAAGTTAGTAGCTTTCATTAAAGCATTCATCTTTAATAATACTTTTATTTATAAATAATGAATTATATAAATAATAACTTATATTCAGCTATTAACAAAGCAATCCCTTATGTAAATATTAAAAAAGGTTTATTATATCTCTTAAGTTAACTTAGAAATGTAAGGTTAAAGTTGATAACTTTTATTATAATAATCTACTTTAATTACGTTTTTCTTTATAAACCTTATATTACATAAATAATGACTTATATCTATTTACAGATTAAGTACGTTTTTATCTAAATATAAAATAATCTTTATTATATCTCCTAAATTAATCTATAAATATAAGGTTAAAGTTAGTAACTTTCATTATAATAATCTACTTTAGTTACGTTTTTCTTCATAAACCCTATTTTATATAAGGAATAATTTATATTTACTTATAGATTAAGCATTCATTTATTTGAATATTAAAAAATTATAATTATATCTTCTTTGTTAACGTTATTATATATTATAAAAGTTAATAACTTTTGTAATATTAACTATTTTAACTGCTTATAATTCTTCAGATATTATATTATATAATATATAACTTATACATACTTATAGATAAATCGTTCGTTTATTTAAATATAAAATTCGTTTAATTATATCTCTTTAATTGATTTAATAATATGTAATTAAAGTTAATGACTTTTATAGTAGTTCAATAAGTCAGTCCCACTTTTACTTTTCGGTCGATTTTCAATTCGCGAAAACCGATTTTCGATTTCCGAAAATCGGTTTGTCGGATACGCACTAATGGTGCACCGTAGGCAAGAGCATATCTAACTGCTCTTCCGGCTCGGTATTCCTATCTAGGCATAGGGCCGTGGCGGAAGCAACAGCTGCAGATGCCTGAGTACCGTACTTGCCTCTAGTAACGATAGGATTGAAAGGCAGTCAAGGAAGTCAGAATCAGAAGTGTAGATAAGCCGTTGTACCGCCGTGACGACATGGAGGTTAGCAGATACCATCGTGCTTCATATTCGATATTGTGCGGCTTCAAACGTCTTTTTCGTTTCGTGGTAATCCTACATGATTATAATACGATATTCATCATTTGGTTTGTCCTCGTTTCACATAACCCTAGTATCACGTCTTCTCTATGGGGTATACCGCCTAAGACAATTATCTGCGTACGTGAATGTCATGAACCGTGTCTATAAAGAGGTTATGTCAGTACGAATCAGAAGCCGTTGCAGGAGAGTAAGGGCGGCCGTGTGGGAAGAAGCTGCATCAGATAGGGTATTTATCCATCATTGAAGATCTCAGTCCCGTCTTGAAACATATTTAGGACTTAGGTATCATCATGACAGCCGAGGTAAAGAAGAACGATGACAATGAAAGTCTGTGACATACCTCGTACCGCCCGTGCGGCTACTCAGGAGACAACGGCTGCACTCAGGGATTCCCATCCACTACTCCTCCAGGGCGCGATTAAGATTGCCGTTTGAGCATCCGCAACCCTGCCAGTGCCTGCATACGCATCCGCGAGGTCTACAGCTCCAAGCTGTCCTCTTGGTGGGGTGGCCTTGAGTGCGACGTGCAGGGCCATGTCCGCTGGATATTCTTCGCCGCTGAGTTCAGCTAGCCGAGACCATCCGTGCGGGAGATGAGGGTACAACATAACATCATTCTGGGCCTGGGTAAGTGCATCGCTCCCCGTGCTACCCCCAGACAGAGTAGCAACCGCACGGAATACTTCGCCGATCAAGGAATGCTCAGTATCGGTAACTGCGTCGCTGGTACGTAGCGTCTGAAGCTCGGAAACAACGGCGTCTAATGACTCTTCATCCTCGTCAAGCAATGCTATGACCCCTAGAAGGAGCACAGACTGTACATGGCCGGCGTCCTTCTCGATTACCTCAAACAGAACGGTGCGTGCTCTTTCTCGAGCTTCTTCGGTGCCAGTAGCCCATAGCACCTGAGCTAGGATGCAGACAGCATCGGGGTTTCCGTTGGACTCACCAAGCGCCGCTTCAAAACACGATAGCGCGGCCTCGACATTTTTAGAGAAATATTGCGCCAGGCCGACGGTTAAATGTGCGGATAGCCGGGCTTTCTTGCGTTGCTCGCCTGTGAGCTCTTTGGCAGAGTCGTCGCTACTGAGATTCAGAGCCATCTCTCCGCAATCGATGGCAGCAGGATACTTCCCAGCGGAGAGATACCACCGAGCAAGATCAGTTGTGGCCAAGGTAAATAGCGCGAGTGTCTCGGCGGACTCGGTCGATTCGTAGCTTGCCTCCAAATTTTCGCACACGTCCTCAAGAGTATCGGTTGCACTGAGAGCATTATTGGTTCGTTCTTGATACAGTGTCGAAAGATGGTGGTAAGTAATGCTCTGTGGATCGAGACGTCGTAATTGGGTGAGACCGAAGAGCGGATGAATGAGGGAAGTGATGTGTAGGTTGGGAGGACTTGACAGAATGTGGTCGAACAGGGATGTGGAGTATTGTCGCCTAGTGAGTAGTGACGATGACTCTGAGATATCCATCGCATGAGTGAAGAGACCACGGGCTTCCTTAGGATCGCCGTACCAAAGAGCAACGAAGCCCTGGCCTAACCAGGCATGGGCATAGTCGGGGTCGTTAGATTGGGCTCGCGTAAAGGCCTCGTTTGCAATTTGAATATCGTTCTGTAGAAGGGCCAAGGCACCTAAATTCGTCCAGGCATGAGCACTTCTCTCGTTGAGAAACAGGCTCCGGACGAACGCATGCTGGGATACGGATGGATTTATTTCACTAGTGACAACGCCTAGAGAGTTCCAGAATTCCGCATTGCCCGCCTCGAGTTCTATGGAGCGCTTGAAACACCGCACGGCGGCTTTCTGGTATCGACTAGACTGGAGTCGGAGCTCGGGGGGGAGGCAGAGGTGGGCTTTGTTCTCAGCCCAGCCCAGGTTGTAGTAGGCGACGGCTTGCGCATGAACGTCACTGGCTGATACGTGGATCGCGCGTTTGTGGGCGAGGATTGCTGCATGCAAGGCGCGGGTTAGATCCACACCGAGTCGTTCATTGCTGGGGAAGATGCCTTCCGCCAAAATGACATCTTTGCCTACGCCATCAACATTTTCGAAGACCGCATACACGGACTCGCCCTCCGCGTCCAGGCCAAGTAGAGACTTGATGCAGTCAGTCGGGAAGTCGTGTATGCGGCTCTGAATGGAGGAGAATATAGAGCACGAGTCGCCAATGGCTTTCCAAAAGTTAAAGGTCTTGGCAACACTTTTCGGGACCGTGATGGCGAAGGATAGGGCGCGGGAAGCCAGCTCGACCGATTTTCCAAACAAGCCCTTGTCCATACAGTCTAACCCATTCTCAACCATGGTTTGCATTAAGGCTATTGCGACACCCTCTTCTTCCGGTCGGGCCGATATCACCTGATCGTAAAGAGAAATAGCCTCGTCAAATTCGCCAAGCTCGCGTTTAACATTGGCGAGCATATAGTTAGTAAACCAAGTATCGCCGATCATCTTGCTGTCCAGACCTTCCTCTAGCCTTTGGGCATTTTGGATCGCCTTTGTGGCAGCAATGTATCGTCCAGAATTATGATAGCTTTCGCCCAGGCCAACCCAAGAGTGGTAGTCGTCTGGAGCGATCCGTAGCGCCTGCTGAAACGACACAATAGCTTTGGCGAAAGCCTGCTTATTCAGCTCGGCAACGCCCAACGCAGACAGCGGCCAGCTGATACCCTTCCTCTTGGACCCTGGGGGTGGTCTGACCCTGCCGGAGTCCACTACGCGCTGAGCCACAAGCTCGACGCGATCCCAGTCGCCGTCATCAGCAAATGATCGTGCAAGCCTCTCCGCCGACTCTATCTCAGAGGGGGATAGCTCCACGGCCTTGAGAAAGCACCTCCGAGCCCTCTTCTTATCCTTGGCGTAGTCGGCATAGTATACACCGAGGCTACTATACGCCGGTGCATAGTTGAGGTTGCTCTTGAGCGCATCCAAGAAGTATGCGTATGCACCGCTTCGGCTTCTTCGAGCGGAATTCGAAGGATCCAGGTTCCAAATACAGGAGCCCAGCCGGTATTGGGTCTGTGCTAGCAGGTCCTTGGAGACCGCAGCACGCGTCATGAGGGGCAAGAGGGTCTCGAGTTCTGCTTTGCCGCGTGTATAGTCGCCCTTGAGAGCATACAGCCAACCAACCTCGGCGCGTACACGGAGATTACCAGAGTCGCCCTGCAATGCACGTTCAAGAAAGTTGATCGCTTGATCGAATTCTTCCTCTTCTTCGTATATGAGGCCAACACCAATCATGGCGGAGGTGGAAGCAGGATCTGCCGCTAGCACCTTGTCGAAGAGGGACTTGGCTTCAACGTGGTTTCTCGGGGATTGATAGAAGACGAGCGCTGTTCCCAAGTAGAGTAAGAAAGATTGACTCGCATTCGGGAACGTCTTGCCCGTCCTTTCCGTTTCCGCATCGATGATTTTCAGAGCCTTCCTCATAAGCTCGACATTGCTCTCGTACTCTTCCAGATGCTGATAGTACTCTCCCATTAGCCTGTGAGCGAGCAGGGAATTAGTAGCAGCTATGCCTTCCGTCATCATCAGGAGCCTATCCTCGTCGGTATACGGCACTACAGAAGTCGGAGCACCGCCATCGTCGTCGTCTTCACTCTCGTCACCTCCGTCGGGAGTGTGCGTAGGCGCTGACGCCTCTGCTGCTTGTTTGGGGAAAGGCGATATGTCACTCGTCATGAAGCCAACCGCGACCCGGTAAAGGTCACTCTCCGGGAAGAAGGAACAATACTCGTTGAGCACGTTGAAATCCCAGTCTTTGATATCCTTATGGTCTTGCCACTCAATCGCGATGTCCCAAGCAAGCCTGAAGGGATGCTTGATGATGACCATGTCATTCGCCAGCTTCTGGACGACTTCAAGCTCAGCGGGCTTATCTTCGGGAAGGGTGACAAGGAGGTGGTCGTATCGGAATTGCAGCAACTTCTCCTCGTACTGGCGCCTAACGTCGTCGTCCTGGGTCCACAATATGAGCTGCTCGTAGATGCTGCCGAGCTTGCTCTGACAGAGCACCTCTCGGTTGACCTCGAGAGTGACTTCATTGATTCTGGCACCTATCCTGGTGCGCCGCTCGCCGATGAGCGTATTGACCCGCTTCTTCTCTTCGACCTCCAGGATCTGGGCTATCGTCTCGTACGTCTTGGCAGGGTGAGGAACCCGACCCTCGAGGGCGGGGTATATGGGGCTGTCCGGGAGTATAAGTTGGAGGGCCTGGACATATTGAGCGCGGTCGCCACGGCCGCGAGCAAAGTCTATGAACTTATCCACGACATCTTGGCACTTGTACATCTCATCCGCATCCCTGAAGATCTCGGCAAGCTTGAGTGCGGCATGTTGATACTTGCGGAGGGCCTTGGGGCCCTGCTTCTGGTACAGCTTGACGAGACCCAGCCACGCCTGGTCGTCAGGGCGAAGTTCGGTTGCTCTCAGGTATGCGGCCTCGGCCTGGTCTAGCTGGTTCTTTTGGTCCAAGGCGAACGCCTTGAACAAGTGGCTGGGCAGGGGAGTTAGACAGGATGCTCGAAGGCAGGAAGGCAGGGAAGTAAGCACGCCACTGCTAGACTAGACAAGGCTACGTACGAGTGGTAGATCTTGGGATCTTTGCTGATAAGAACCTCGGCCTGGGCTAAAGCATCGTCCCATTTTTGCTGGTCAATGGCATCCTTGATGGCCTTCAATGAGGCCTTGGTGCTCGCCATCTCAAAGGGGGTACACCGGTGGCGCCGATGACCAGGTCTTGAGGTGGTCCAGATGATAGAAGTTGCATGAGTGTGGGTGTCGGTAGCTTAGCATCTCACCACCGGGCTCTGGGTGTACGTGTGTAGGTACTTGGACCGGTCCCCCTCCATGGAGATGGAATGTTTTTCAAGTTGTCATTTGCTGTGGTTTGCTGTGGTTGCCCCGGCCTGATCGTGTTGAAAAGATACAGCAACGGCAAAATATCGGACATACTCTAGAGGTGGGTAGGTACCTAGGTACCTAAGGTGGAGTTGGCCTGCCTACACGTATTTTGAGCCGGCAAATCCTCGGTCTTGGTGAGGCAGCTGAGTTATGAAATGTTATGCACTGGGTTATGCCCAAGGACTGATAACAGTGGACACCGCGTATTCGGGTTTCTGGATAAACATCGGGCTATCTAGGGAGTAGGTTCCCGGCGGACTTGCCATTGTGGATCCTCGCCATCACGGCCCAGGAGGGAAGTTCGTATATAAGAATTTACGCATCTCCCTGCTCACAGACCAGAATGCGGTGTCTTTAAACTAGACGATAACTCCCATTCTCCCCTTCCCCTCCTCCTTCTCTCCTCTCTCCTCTTCCCGAGCTTGGGAGGACGTGTCCCTTATCCGGAGGTTCTTCTTTCGTTGCTTCGACCGCATGGGCTCACGCACATTACCAGCACCTAAACATTACCGCACCTTGTCCGTAGTTACGTAGCTTCTACCGCACATCATCCCCAGAGGTTCCCATTCGCTGGATGCCGGATCCCCTTGCACCAACGTCATCGTCTCTAGCTAAGAGCCTCGTTGCGTCGTCCAGGTCCTGCGGTTATGCCCATGCTCCCCAATAAAAGATAGACACTCCATCGATACGACGCCACGCCCCCTGGCCCGTCCCCTGGTAGCAGCATCCTGTCGGTGCTGGCCCCAACTGTCTCGTTACCGCATCTCTTCGAGATTGAGCGGACTGACGTTCCAGCTGCATCTGGACACAGCAATCGATATAGCATCTTTCCCTTTCGCTTGCCGCCCTTCAAATCTGCCTTCTCATGGCTTCTCTTCGTCTTATTATCGAGGATGGCCAGTTTCAAGACGCGCATGGCCGACACGTCTTGCTACGCGGCATCAATGTAGCGGGCGATGCCAAACTTCCTAGCCAACCCAACGTGCCCTCCCACGTCGCCCACGACTTCTTTGACGGCGACAATGTCAAATTTCACAGCCGGCCTTTCCCCAAGGAAGACGCGCATGTGCACTTCTCCCGCTTAAAACGCTTTGGCTACAACACTATCCGCTACGTATTCACCTGGGAGGCGATCGAGGCTGCCGGACCCGGGAGGTACGACGAGGTCTGGATCCAGCACACGATCGACGTCTTAAGGGTAGCCAAAGAATATGGCTTCTATGTATTCATGGACCCTCATCAGGATGTGGTGCGTAGCCTAGCCGGTCTGCTTCCTGTATGTCTCCGCGAGCACATACTGACTTATCGGGAATAACTAGTGGTCGAGATATTGTGGCGGATCTGGCGCTCCCATGTGGACCATTTACGCCTGCGGGTTGAATCCCCAGAGCTTCGCGGCTACTGAGGCTGCTATAGTGCACAATACGTATCCCGATCCCGAGAACTTCCCGAAGATGATTTGGTCCACCAACTATCTGCGGTTAGCCGCAGCAACCATATTCACGCTCTTCTTCGCCGGTCGAGATTTTGCCCCGAAGTGCATAATAGACGGAGTCAATATACAGGACTATCTGCAAGGACACTTCGTGCGTGCCTGTCAGCACCTCGCGAAACGCATACACGAGGCGGGCGGTATCGAGAATGACGTCGTCTTTGGGTGGGAGAGCCTGAACGAACCAAATAGGGGCATGATCGGGCACGTGGATCTGAGCGTGATCCCGAGCGAACAACAGCTCAAGAAGGGCACCTGCCCTACGCTGTGGCAAACTATGCTGACGGGCTCTGGACGAGCATGCGAAGTCGACACCTGGGATATGGGAGGTATGGGCCCGTACAAGGTCGGACGCACGCTGATCGACCCCCAAGGCGAGGTTGCGTGGCTGCCGGCACACTACGACGACACCCGATACGGATGGAAGCGGGATCCGGGTTGGAGGTTGGGAGAGTGTCTCTGGGCACAGCATGGGGTGTGGGACCCTGCTCGGGATGTACTCCTGCAGAAAAATTACTTCGAGAAGCATCCGGCCACGGGTGATAAGCTGGACTACCACAAGTTTACGAATACCTACTTCATGGCATTCTATCGTAAGTACCGGGATGCCATCCGGTCCATACATAAGGATGCCATTATGCTCTGCCAGCCGCCCACCTTGGAGCTGCCCCCGAGTATCAAAGGGACCGACGACGACGACCCGAAAATGGTCTACGCGCCGCACTACTATGACGGAATCACCCTCATGACTAAAAAATGGAATAGGACTTGGAACGTCGACATATTCGGGGTTCTGCGAGGTCGGTACTGGCACCCGGCATTCGCTATCAAGATCGGCGAGACGGCCATCCGAAACAGCTTCAAGGAGCAGCTAGCGGCTATAAGGAAAGAGGGCCAGGACTACATGGGGAACCACCCCTGTATACTGACCGAGTTCGGCATTCCGTACGACATGGACGACAAAAACGCGTACAAGACGGGCGATTATTCGAGCCAATCCGCGGCCATGGATGCCAATCATTTCGCCGTCGAGGGCTCACTCATGGAAGGTTATACGCTGTGGTTATACGCTGCGACGGTAAGACTTGCTACGAATGGTGGAAACCGACTGCTGGCTAACCCAGCCGCTAACTGTGTGCGCTTAGAACGATCACGAGCGAGGCGACCAGTGGAACGGCGAAGATTTATCTATCTTCTCGACGGACGACCCGACATTGCCTGTCTCAGCCATCCCGCGAACCTCAGACTCGACATCAAGCCTCACCAAGACGGCGACCGTGCGTAGTAGTGTTAGGAGAGAGGTAGATGACGAGATCTCGGTCACGCCTGGAAACTTGAAGCGGACCCTCACTAACCCTTCGATCTCGCTGCAGTCGACTAGCACCAACCCCGAACTTACTAACGCGCCCGGCTACCGGGCAGCGGAGGCGTACGTGCGCCCCGCGCCGATAGTGACCAACGGGCGTATCGCGGACTATGTCTTCAACCTCAAGAACTGCGAGTTCACGCTGAACATCGAGGAAGCTAGGGGCGACAGCGACCACCCGACGACGGTGTTCCTGCCCGAGTACCACTTCCCCGCGGACCAATGCGCAGTGGCAGTCAGCTCGGGCAAGTGGGAGATCAGCACGGACGATGAGGAGCGCGCCTGGATCCAGAAGCTCCGGTGGTGGCACGGCGACGGGAAGCAGAGCCTCAAGATCACAGGCCTGATACGACTGCACAACACCCTGAACGGCACGGTGGAGGAGCTCGGTTACCTCGACCAGTGTCAGTACTCATACGGCTTCGACGCCAAGAACTGCACCGTGATGTGACGTGTTGCCACGGCTCAGGGGGGAGGGGAGTGTGATACACATCGAGACGATGCTCGGTTATGCCGCAGCTCTTTGATCGCCGATGTTTCTTCCTTTTTGTTCTTGGGTCTCACCAACAACGGGTCACCAGATCACCTACCATACCTAACTCCTCGGGTCACTTGCTTAATCAATCTTAGGGCATCATGATGAACGGCGTCAGAGACGGCCTTTTTTTTCGTCTTTCCTTTCCTCCCGGGGGCAAGGCTTGCACGACTTGACTTTTAAGATTACACCGTATAATACACAAGAGAATGCGAGGGAGCCATTACGGTTCTGATTATGAATTACGATCAGGGGACGCACGAATCTGGAACTTGGGCAGGCTTGCCCGTCTCCGCGAACGGTCTAACCGACGCACACTGCAAAGCATACTCCCACGGTCCCTAGCCAATTTTGGTAGGGCGCCACCAATTTGCGAGTTTCGACGCATTGTTTCCGGTTCCCAGCACGGGACGGGGACTCATACGACAGCCCAATAGCGGTGACTTTTTTTTTTTATGGTAGTAGGGATACAACATATATACGCAAGCGGCAGTCTATGCAATGTGCGGTTGTAGCAGCGCCTTACATACATCGGCCACGGCCACCGGCCACGGCCACGGCCGAGACGCGACGCAGGAGTGAGGATGGAGGGAGAGGCAGGCTGCGCCCGTTCCTGTTCCTGTTCCTGTGCCTGTGCCTGTGCCTGAGTAAGCTTCCCCCCTCAGCTCGGGCCGTCGAATGGGGTCGTGTCTGTTGGCGCCGGAAATGGGAATGCCACGAGACGTATCTAATTGGCGGGCCACTAAGCAATTCGTGGAGGGTCTTCTTCCATCTGGTCTCTTCCTCGTGGGCTGTTTGAGTAGGAATATTTCTCATTGTGCTGAGAACAAGGTCCGCTTTGTGCAGATAAGTGGTTAGTTTTACGAGCCTTTGCGCCTTTTCCCCCCAAGGTTATTCTCTTTTTCTTAGTTTCTCGATCGCCTTGGAGCTACCCGTATACTATGTGTATAGCATACGACGCGACCGCTTCCTGAGTGTGGTCATTGGCCAATAGGTGGGATGGGCAATTTGCGGTCGTATCGACAGTTGCGTGAGTAAGAATTCTAACCCCAGCCGGGTGCCACACGCTAGTCAAATGAGGCCGATCTGGTCAGCATTTCTCATTAGAAAGCGTAGCTGGTTTGGCGAATGGCGCGCCAAGACAGGCGTCACTGTTCTTCTTTCGGCTTCGGTAACGCTTACATCGGAATGTGACTGTACGAATACACGATATTGGGCATACATAGGTTACCTGGTATACATAGGCCATCCCTTCAATGACGTTGCTAATGCCGGTGCAAGTTCCCCCTGTTAAGCATCTTTGGTGAGAACCCGATGAAGGACCGCGTGCGAGTGGCTTCAATCAGTCCCGTCTATAGATGGTAATTAGTTGCTTGCTACCTTCTGCATAGGTATGTAGGCAGGTATCCAGGTCAGCAAAAATACTGCTGTGTCGCTCGTCGCGTTGGCCGAGGTCTCGGCCAACATTGTCGTCAAATATGGTATGTGTAGATGGATTCTTGCCTCCCACGCAGCTATCTTTTGCTCCACGGCATGCATCCCACACACACCCACCCACCTAATCGAACCGCATCGGAGGTCCCTAAAGCCGCGATGTTCGTGCATAGACATGTATACACATGCACGCACACCCACCCAGGGGTGTCACTGCAGCGCGCTGCAACCCAGAGATACCTATTACTCGCGATGCAGCTAAGCTGGCTGCGGGTGCTGGTCTGGCACGGTGGGTAGCAGTGGACGGGAAAAGAATGCAGCCTGCAGCGCGTCGAATCAATTCGATCAAGGGGAACGGGAGGGCGACCCTATCAACCCCCCTCTTACGTGTTGCGTGAGAGCCCCGGCAGCGTCGTCTTCGCCAGTCCCGTAGCCTTCCCGCCTGGGTACTCATCTATCGGCCTGCCTCCCTACTAGCCTGCGTATAGGTACCTAATGTAGCTATGTGTAGCTCCCGTGCTGCACCTCGCTGCTCGCTGCACTGACGCCGTAGGTCGGGAATCCTCTGGGCAGCTTCCGGTTGGCGGGCAGGTTATGTGCGGTTTGGCTCCATCACCGGCCCGTGGAGGGGTGTCCGTCATGTGTGTGCGCGTCGATGTGCGTTCGATAGGTTTCGATTCGAGCGCCGGTAGTGTGGCGGATACGCTTGCCCGAGAGGGAGACCGACACGAGTCCCGCTTTACAGCCCGCAGGGTTCCCTTCTCTCTCGCCTCCGCCGTCTTCCGCTGCCGAATGGGAAAGCTTGCGAGGGCTGTCTGGAATGCCGACGGGCGACGTCGACGCCGTCGCATCGGAACGACGCTGTCCGTCCGCGCTCCATGGCCTCCCGAGCCACGAAGCCTTCTTACCTCATACGGGCAAAGCGAAGCAACGGGATGGAGCCCAACCCGGCAATAGACAGGTACCTGATCTGATGTTACGTATGCATAGAGTCTCTAAACCTTGCGGTACGGGATCTAGACTCAGTATGGGTTTGCCGGTAAGGATCAGGTATCCAAGGTAAACACCAGGGGGCTAAACAAGTGTCACAATTGCTACAGGTACTCGAGGCTGTTTTTCTGCTGCAGAGAGATCGACGGGCAAGGGGAGTAGCCAACAGGAAACGAATGGGCGGGCAGTGATCCGAGGCCCCTATTCTCACACAATTGATTTCACTTGCACGAGCATTGCAGGCATTGCACGTGCAGATCACAGCGTGTTTAGAGGTAGGTACCTCCCTAAAGCACAGGTAGGTAGGTCTAGGTAGGTACAGCACTCACGGGAGATGTACATACCTACAATACATCAGGTGGTTCGCCGACCCTCGACCCATACTCATACACGCACCGTTATTCCACCATCTGCTCGCTCGCCTGATGTACCTCAGGCATACGTGACGTACCGACGACGCTCTGATGGTACCTGGGCAATATCATGCGTCTCCTGGCCCGGGTATGGAATAGGCTACTGATCAGTCTATAGTAAGTGATTGGTTTGACGAGAAGCACCAGACGCCCGGCGCGAATACGTAAAAGGCGCCTAGGGTTGGGCAGGCAAAAAGCATTTCGGTGGTGCACAGATATGTGCCTAGGTACCTCTATGCTCGGGTACGGATGCCGTGAACCGCTGGTGTTGGGTGCCGAGCCATGTCTGCGTCTCTCCACTGCGGTTGGGTACCGTAGGCGTGGCCTCTCCCACCAGGTTTCCAGCCTCTGGCCAGCGCCGTCATGTACCTACCCTAAGGTGCCTACACGGGCGGGTCTGGGTGAAGAGACGGGAGAAGCGCGTGCCCCAGCATGGGGGCCTACCTAGGTACCTACCTCTAAGGTACCTCCTAGGAATCTCAGGTAAGCGGATGTCCCCACGTACCCTCCAAGGTAATGAAGGTACCTGCCTCTTCGCTTGACGGAGGTACTAAACCCTACGGGAACACCAACCCAAGGTACCCACCTTGGTACCTAAAGTACACTTCTGTATGTGCCCGCCCAGGTACCTGTACATATACGTAGGAGGTAGAGGTATGCGCCGGCGATGGGGAAGCACTGGGTAACAGATGGGTAGGCAGTTCCTCCGTCTTAACTTGACTTGCTGTGGTCCTCGACGGAGAAAGGGCGAAGCGAAGGAGGGAGGGCAAAGTGGTACCAGAGAGAAAGAGAGAAAAAAAGAGAGAGAGAAGCCCGACCCCGACCAGGCACAGACAGGCCGTTGGAGGGACCTTGGTTGGCCCAACTGACCCGGACCTGGCTGACCCCAAAAGCACCAAGACCTGGGTCGCTTTCAACGCCGACGCTAATCTCACCCTCTGACAACGATATCCCATCGCGAGCCTCAGCCAGGCCATATACCAACTGGCCATCCTGCCTATCCTCAGCGACCCTCCCGCCTCCGCCTTGCCGCACAATTGCAATCGATTGGATATTTTCCCGCTCTCAAGTTAGCCATGATTCTCCCCGCTGTCGCTTCCATCGCCCTCTCGCTCGACTCGTGACGGGGCCCTGTTCCTCGCAGAGGCTTAGCCGGCTCGACTGGCGTAAAGGCGGGTAAAGCCAGAGGAGCTGGCCCACCAATTGCCACTTTCCTCGGCCCATCCCTCGCCTCCGCAACGAACCCCTCGAAGACTCGTAAGCTCGCTCCGCCGCGACCGCGTCTACCGCTGAGGTCACCATTTAACGATCTGCTCGTAGCCGTAGCCAGAGAAAATCTCGCCGTCGTCTTCTTTCCCGCCATCGCTCGAACCCCCCGTCCCACGCCCGCCGATCCCAACCTCGATCGTTACCTCTCCCTCGAGCCTGCCGCGACATCTCACCCTTGCTTTGTGGCGGCATCTCTCCGTCGAGCTTGACCCGCACCGTGCCGTGCCGTGCCGTGCCGTCTCGTCTCGTCCTTCTCTGCCTACCATGTATCAGAACACCCAACGAGATCCGGCGCGGCCGTTCCAGGTGCCCCCGCCCCCGCCTATGTCGCCTCCCGTTTCCGGCCAGCAGCCCGGACAGTTGAACGCGATGATGGGCCTCCCTCCGCCGCCGCCAAGGTATCCCGGTGCTCCCTCTGCGACCGCCGGCGTCGTGCTGCCTCCGCCTCCTGGTCCCCCGCCGAATAGCGCTCTGGGGCCGCAGCCTTCGTGGCAAGCCAGCTGGGGTCGCTCCTATAGCGGGCAGCCTGGATTCGCCATCCCCCCTCCACCGGCAGGTGGTCCTATACCCTCATATAACCCGAAACTCCACTCGCAGGCTTCTAACGGGACCCTATCAATACCACCTCCCCCGCCACCGACAAACGATCTCATGTCGGCTACATATAGACCTTCGGGTGACCCGAACGAGGCCATGGTGTCCGCCACCTATATACCGGGAGGTGATACGTACGGAGAGGGTGTCGGTATCCCGGGCTTCTTCCCGGAGGACAAGCCCTCGCATTCGAACACGGCCCAGAGCGCGTGGCCCACAGCTAACCAGACCATGAGTAGTATCAATACTCTGAGCACGACGCCCGCCGACGAGACCAATCGGGGGCTGCTCTACGCCAACGCGTTCAACAATCGGATGATGTCCACCACGTCGAATTCGACCATCAGCCATTCCGACATCGCCCCCGAGCTAGCAGCCAAGTGGCCCCTCGATCAGGTCCTGTTGTGGCTGGCCGCGAACCATTTCTCCAAGGAATGGCAGGAGACGTTTAAGGGGCTCAATATCCACGGCACCCAATTCCTTGAGTTGGGGAGCCAGCGGGGCGGTCGCGGCAACTTTGGTATGATGCACCAGCTCGTGTACCCACGTCTGGCACAGGAGTGCGTCAACAATAACACCGCCTGGGATCAGCCCCGGGAAAGAGAGGAGGGCAAACGGATGCGGCGTCTGATACGGAGTATAGTAACTGGGAAGCCGGTCGATAGCTCGAAGTCGCTGCCCGCTCACGCCAGCAGAGAGTCTCTTAGCAGTGCCCATGCGCAGGGGGCTGGTACCGATGTGGATTCCCCCAACACTCCCATCAAACAGGGCACCACCCGGGGTTTCTCGCAGACGCGGTCTACGACTATGCCGACCCTCAGCAGCACCATGAGCTCCGATTCCAACCACCGTGCTATCTTGAAGAATATTGACATCGAGAGCGGCCGCAAGATGAGCCCGGGTGCGAGCGAGCAGGGAGACGGCACGCACCGATCTGCCTTTCGCGGCGACAGTCCCGGCTCGAGTCCGAAACTTTCGACCTCCTTCCTACCTCCGCCCTCGTCGGGTAACCTATCCCCCTCGAGCCGTTTCCATCATAAATCCCGAAACAGTGCCGACTCCGTTTCTTCGAGCGCCGCGATATATGGCTCCGGCGTGCCACCCGAGGCTGGTCAACTTCTGCGGAACGGCATGAGCGGAATTGGCGATATGATTCACGGTAGCCGCGGCGACCGGCGGTACGGCACCGACGGAAATGGCGAACGACCAACCTCGGCCGAGCCGTCGATGGCAAGGGACAACAAGAGCTTCCTCGGGTTCTTGAAGCGGAAGAACAAGCAGAAGGAGGACGGTTCTTTCCCCTCTCCCAACGAAGAGGACTCGCCAACCAGTCCTAATTTAGTGAAACCTCACTTTTTCGGGAGCCGGTTCGGGACCCCCCCGCCGGAAGCGGTTCAAGACTCGGCCCCCAAGTTTAGGCGCAATAAGAATTTCCCCAAAGTATTCGTCCTCGTCACGATGGACGGGTGGAATTACCGGATGTGCGACGTCACGGATTGTGACACAGCTGCCGACCTGCGCACCACGATCTGTATGAACCTATGTCTTCCAGATCCGAAGGGGTTCGATATCTTTTTAACCGAGCTAGGACGGGCGCCACACGACGAAGCGCTAGAAGACCAGAGTCTATGGATCCATAAACGCAATAAGGGCGACGCGCAGGGCTCTCTCAAATTCCATATCAAACTTAGCGGATCTAGCAGCAACGGCAACCGCAGCATTCCCGCCTTGCTGTCTCCGGGATATACGGGCCCGGGCTCTAACGTGGACGAGGACACATATGCCCGCCTTAACGGCCAGCGTACCAGGTCAAGCTCCTCGCCGCCTACCTCGAGAACTAATACGCTTTCCACAGGTTCGCAGCCGAACGAAGCCGAGTTAGCTGCGAGAGCCAGCGAGTACCGAGCCGAAGTCGAGAAGCAACAGGCAGCGTATTTGAGCAAACGAAGGCAGGCCATCAAGGAGTCTTCGCCGCAGGAAATCTCCCCCGGAATCGTGGGCAGGAATGTAGATTTTGATCACCCCCGCCTTTCGCCCTTTGAAGATAAGAAACCCGACAACCTCTTCCCCCATAGGAAAGCACCCGCGCCACCAGTTGTAGAGACCGCGACCCTCATCAAGGCCAACTCATTAAGCAAAAAGACAGGACACGGTATGCGGCCATCTCAGGGTAGCATCGACGAGTTTACCAGCCCGAAGCGGCCAGCCACTTCGACAGGCGAGTCGAACCAGGATGCCTCTCAGAGACGGCCCCTCGGGCCTCCTTCCCCGCCAGCCGGCTCAGCTCTCGGGGCTTTGGTGAATATGGGTAGTGCCTGGGGCCGACTAGGTCGACCGTCGGCCATAGCACCACGACAACGCTCGGTATCGCCCCCCCGGAGCGCCCCAGGCCCCATGGCCGGGGCGGACCACACGGAACAAAGAGGTAAGGGAGCAATGGCAAGCGTTGATTTTGGCATAGCTGCCTCAGGTCGTAGTAGCCCTCGGTCGAGGTCTGGCTCGCCCGGTTCCCTAACGTGGGGTCGCGGTGATATCCCGTTCCTCGTACCAGACTACTCGCCTAGTGGCAGCCAGACCCTTGGAAACCGAGGAAAACCCGCGCTTGAACCGATTACTAAAATGCATCAAGTAGCGCAACGAGCACCGTCCCCCGGCGATCTTAGCCCGAGTACCGCACACCCCCCTGGAGGGACCGCCGCCGGATCAGGAAATACTACGGCCAACCGCCGCAAGTCTCACGGGCCCGATGTGGATTTCACCGAGACGGACGTCCAGTTCTCCCAGCCGACGGAGTCTGCTAGGCCAATGAATGACGATTCTGGTGACGACTCGGACGACGGGCTGTTCGCTATACCGATGAGGGGAAGACAGCCATCGAAGAAGTCCATACGCAAGCAGCCGAGCCGTAACGAAACGAGCGTCCTTGATAGCGACTCCGAGTCGAGCGAGGGCAGGAGGCCAAATCTAAGAGTCAAGACCTCGAGATCTAGGAAGGGTCTCTCTGTATCGTTTGATTCGCCTGGCAATGGTAACACTCCCGAACTGGAAGATGATGACGGAAGTGTCAGGAGCGGTCGCGACTCTCACCGCCGCACGCCGGCGACGCCAGGATCGGATCAATGGCAGTCGGACGACAGCGGAATCAATCGCCGGAAATCATTCATCGAGCGCGACGTTTGGGCCAACCGTCCGCCCCCGGAGGCTTTGCTCAGCAACCTCGACGCCTTCTTCCCCGAGCTCGATCTCGACCAACCCGTGCTTGACCTCGACGAAAGCCAAGTACAGGAACGATCGGTATCGCCGATAAACGAACACGAGGAGGTTCCGGGAGAGGATAATAAATCCAACCTTCCATCGCCCGCATTAGATGTGCAACTCCCCGCCCCGACCGCCGAAACTGGCACTACGAGGTCATCGATCTACAACGAAAGTGATACGCTCGGTTCCGATGAGTCTACTCTAAAGGCTCTAGAGCGCCCGCCTTCGATTGCCTCGGTTGCGACACGTAGTGTAGCAAGGTCTGGCGGACTCGGCCGGATGAAGTCCATTCGAGAGGTGGCACGCGGCGCTCACGAAGCGAACAAACGTTTCACCACATCTTCAACGAGCGGCGGTGGTGGAGCGTCGACGACGATTCAGCGACGGAAAAGCACCAAGATGTTTGGTGCCAACGTCGTGCAGATACGCCCGGAGCGCGGCTCTATGATAGTGCCGCAGATACCCCAAGATGTCATCCCCAAGCGACAGACTACCTTCCGGTGGTTCAAGGGCGAGCTGATCGGGAAGGGAACCTACGGACGCGTATACCTGGGTATGAACGCAACCACGGGCGAATTCTTGGCCGTGAAGGAAGTCGAGGTCAATCCAAAAGCCGCGGGCGGTGATAAGAACAAGATGAAGGAGCTCCTTAAGGCTCTCGATCAGGAAATCGACACGATGCAGAATCTCGACCACGTCAACATCGTGCAGTACTTGGGCTGCGAGAGGAAAGAGACGAGCATCAGCATCTTCCTCGAGTACATCTCTGGTGGCAGTATCGGGTCCTGCCTGCGCAAGCACGGCAAGTTCGAAGAGCCCGTCGTGAGCTCTCTGACGCGGCAAACCCTCTCGGGCCTCGCGTACCTCCACCGCGAAGGCATTCTGCATCGCGACCTGAAAGCCGACAACATCCTGCTAGATGTAGACGGCACCTGTAAGATTTCGGATTTCGGTATCAGCAAGAAGACGGACAACATCTACGGCAACGACAAGACCAACTCGATGCAGGGCTCCGTATTCTGGATGGCCCCCGAGGTGATCCGATCCCAGGGCGAGGGATACAGCGCCAAGGTTGACATTTGGAGTTTGGGGTGCGTCGTGCTGGAAATGTTCGCCGGACGGCGTCCCTGGAGCAGGGAGGAAGCAGTGGGCGCTATTTACAAAATCGCTAATGGCGAGATACCCCCAATCGCAGACGACGTGCGCGAGGCGATTAGTCCATACGCGTTAGGTTTTATGTTGGATTGCTTTACTGTGTATGTTGTCTTATCTCTCTTCCCCCGCCTCTTCGTCGACTGCTAACGGGATCTGCAGAGACCCTAGGGATCGGCCCACGGCAGAGCGCTTACTTATGCAGCACGAATTCTGCGAGCTCGACACGGAATACAATTTCTTCGATACGGAGCTCTTTGCCAAGATTAGGGGTACCTTCCAATAGACACACACACACATATATATATACATATACCCACGACAGGCTACCCATAGCAAGGGAGAGGTTAGGGGATGTGACGGGTGAAGAATAAGAATACCGGGGGGGGGGGGGGGGAGTGTTGATTGTAATGGGGATCCACTCAGAGAGATGAAAGAGGATTATGAGGAAGAGCAGGAGGAGGATTACGATAATGACGGCGATGACGATGCCGCGACGCAACATATATATCCACGCATACAGTATATATGAACATCACTTAGAAGCCGACTTTGGACCCGGGACACTTTTTAGAGAGCGACTTGACATATCGTGGATGACATAGGTGCAAGGATGAATGCGTTATGTTCGGGGCAGGGAGAGGGGGCTGTACGACACGATACTACACGATACGGCCGCGAGCACACGGACACCGAATAACGAAGGGGGAGGCCTCAAGCGCTTGAACAAGGGTATATCGTCGCTGGTGGTAGTGGTGGTGTAGCTACCGCCGTCGCTACTATTGTTACTGTCGCCAATGCAGATGCTACTGTAGTATTATATTTGTCGCTTACGGCGTTGGCACACATGCATATATATAGAGAGGCACGATGGGGTCGGGGTCATTCTGCAGGGCGGACGAGGGCCTTTTTTACGTTTCGGCTCGATTGCTTTTTCCCAAGCTGAGAGATGCTACACGGTCATATACAGGCTTAACGCTTGGGGCATCCGTCGGCTAGGGAATGGGGCCTAGCCCACCTCGATATCAGGGAAAGGGGGAATCCCAGTTCTGGACTGCTTATACAGGTATGTGCTAGTTATCCTATCCCAAAGACAACTATAAGATGTGAGACATTAGCAAATTCTTGAGTTCGTCATATCTGGTATACCTATATGTCACGTAGCAATTGAACCAGCCCTTATATGCCTGCATACCGCAAAGCGTAAATGTAGGCGTCTACGTTTTACGCGACACTATATACGTGTCGCATGAAAACGTAGACGCCTACACCTCTCTCGTCGGCTATGCAGCCTTATATAGGTAGGTACAGGTAGGGTTTCCTCGTGACAATAAGTATACGAGTGTTGAAATACTAAAGTTATCGGGCCTCTTGAGAAGGCGTCTGTTCGGTATTAGACGCATACACGCCACCACATTCTCGCCGTGAGTCGCAGTGAGCTTTCTTGTGTAGGTATAGTGCCCGACGCCCTCCGACCCTGCTCTGGGTTCAAAGCTCTCTCCACAGCCATGCCTAGTCTCCTCGATCTCCTCCTCGATCTCCTCGATCTCGCCAAACCTCCCCCTCCAACCCCCAACCACATGCCCATCCACCTAGTCTCCACCAGCAGCATCCCACTCCCCCCTCGAGGCGAGGTCCCGCGTGCGGCGCGGGTGTTCTCACGGAAATGAACGCAGACTTATTGCCGCAGAGACACCAAGTCTCGACACGAGCCCCGCCCGGCCCCCGCTGACGGCGCTGTAGGTAATGCGAGGGCGACCGACAGTACGCTGTGTTGCGTCCTTGGGCGGACGGGGCGGGTAGGGGAGGGGCTGGCGCGAGGGCGCCCCACGCCCCATGGTTTGCCGGCCCGCCCTACCCCTCCCCCTACCACGCCTCCCCCCGGCCGGCGCCCAAGCGTACGAGACGCTGAACATCCTGCCGGGCGCCGGCCGGGCCCCAAGGCGGAGGCAGTGTTGTGTAGCTATTTTGCCGCCCTGTTCCCCCACGCGGGGGGGGCGGGGGCAGTGGTCGCCAGACATTGCCATGTGTTCTTCGGCCCTACCTCCTTCTGCGCGATCCTGTGGTAGGATCGCCGGGGGGCAGGGCGGGGGGAGTCCGATTGTCGGGTGGTAACTTTCGCACGCGGCTCCTCTGAGAGGGACCTCTGGTGATGGCGTTTTGGGGGGGGATATGGGTTGAATCTCCCCAAGTCTTGCCCCCCCCCTTCGGGGTGTCTGGTTGGCGACAACCCAGCGTGTCTCCAGGGTGTTTGGGAGGGAGTGGTTCCCTCCCCCGGCATGAGCGCGGGACATTTGTGTGTCGGCGGGGTCCCCCTTGGTTAAGGCTGGCCACCAGTAAGCGCCGGCCATAGGGAGTAAGGGCAGCGAGTATGCTGAGGCGACAGTTATCCGCCGCAAGGCTTGCCCGCCCTTGGCCTCTTGTCCTGCTCGGCCACGGGACGCATCATGAGACTCCGGCTTTTCGTCCCATGGCCCCTCCGGTGAGTGTTTTGTCTGATTAACGGTGGTGTTGCGTAGGCAGAAGATGGGAGGGAGTGGTTCCCTCCCCTGCCCAGAGCCGCCGAGTCATCCTCTTCCTCTGTAACCCGTCGGTAGCGGCTGGTTCTGTCCGAGGCTCTAGGCCATGCTGAGAGTTTCCAAACCCCGTTGGATTTGGGGTATTGACTGCGTGGCAGAGCAGAGCAGAGCGGTAACAGGTGTTACTAGTGGGCCCCGCAGCACCACCAGATGTGTACATGCTCAAGCCCTCGGGAGCAGCACCGTGAAGCTCCCGAGGGCCTAGGGGCAGACATATCTGCTGGTAGTGGTGGACTCACCAACCATATTGGGGCTCGGGTCCCGTATGGTTAAGGCTCGTCCCTCTAGCAGACTGCCTACCCCCCCCGCCTATCTTTGCAACGACCGCTTCCGCCTGGGAGAGGAGGGAGAAGGGTCGAGTCCTTCTTTCCTCTTCTCCCGGCCCGCGTACTTAATTGGCAGTACGACCCCGCTGCCAGCGTGCGGGAGGGAGTGGTTCCCTCCCTAGTCGGGGGGCCATGGGAGTTGGTGGGAATGTAGGCGGATTATAACGCTTACGTCCTTCTGCTGTTCCAGTTCAACGTAAGATCGGGCGTTACTCGTTGCACGCAGGGAGCGTATGGCACGTCGAGGGGAGGCAGGCCGGTAGGATGGGTCAAAGACCTCCAGATCTTCTGCCAGCCTGCACCCCCTCCCTCGTGTGTGGAAGATACGAGATGCTGGTATCGCCAACCAGCTCCGATGTGTGGACTGGTGTGTAGTGGCTTTCTGGATTTTCGCTTCTTCTCCGTACCCATTTAGTGGGAGGCCACCACACCGACCGCCCACCGTAGGGTGACCACGGAGCGTTGACAACCACACCACGCCGGTTCGTAAGGCGTTGTGTTGCTGTAAAATGGTATAAGGTCGAGGAGTCGACCTTTGATGGCGACAGTCGAAGTAGGTAAAGGGATGCTATCCGCTTCTAGGGCCCTGTTGTCACCATTAGTATTTGAATAACTCTCCTATGAGATTTGTTCAACGTACCTCATGCTCTAGCATTAGTTTCTAGCTCTCCAGGTCGGTGCCTCCGGTGAGGGAGGGAGCAGGCCCAGGACATAGTTGGTGGTGATAGCTGTTTTCAGGGCCTCGCTATCGCGAGTCGCCCGGGGGTAATGTCTGCCGCTGCAGCACGGACAAATTATGGTCGGGGTTCTTCAGGCCCCCAAACCCCAGTGTCCATATCCAGTACATGCCTCAGTTGTTGGTAATTACCGGTAGGTTATACAATGTTCCCATATCGGGAGCAGGAGAGGAACTCGATAAAGCCAAGTTCCTGTCCCATTCCGCCCCTGTGAGGAGGAAGCAAAGGGAAATGAGTGGGGAGGTTGAGTTCAATGCCAGAGTATGAGGCAATTGTTATATCGTGCCATGGCCCAAGTATAACAGGGCTCCCACGAAAGTAGAAATCTCGTGTAGATGACTCATAAGCACGTTAGCTCGTTGATTCAACACGGAACGCCTATTACTCAAGGCATTCCTCGAGGGATCGTTCGTGTGGTTATTCAAGGCAGGGTTCAAGTTGGGGTTTATACTGGGGGACTGCCCCATCCCACTAGGGTATACGGATGGAGGAGAGGGAGGGGAGGGTGACAGGGTAATGATGCCTTGAGACGGATACATGTGAGGACTTACGTTTGATGCTTTTGAGGTCCGATCGACACTCTTGTTGTCAATACCTTTCTGACGACACTTCTCTGCACTCCTTCTCCCCCTCCACCGGGACCATGCCGGTGGCAGGCGGTAAGGTCAGGAATGCAACAGTAGCCAATGATGGTGATGGAAATACGCCCAGCCAGCGGCTGTAGATGAGAAGTGAAGGTGGTTTCTAAGGAAGAGCAGGTGATGATGGGTATGAGCTGTGGTGGTTTGGGGATACTGGTGATGGCTGGCCATGATGGTGGCCATGTGTTGAAGTGTGTGTTGGTCTTGATGATGGAGGAGGGAGGGAGAGTGAAAAACAAGGGAGGAGGGGAGGGAGGGGCCCTTTATATATTGTGAAAGAGGCGCCCCAGACCTCACAATCACCCAGATTGTGATCTAGTTGATCTATTTTAAGCCTATTATTTATTTTACTGTGTGCTCCATTTTCTGGTCAGATGTCTCCCCATCGTCGGAGGCAACCACCTCCAAAAGAGCCAATGTTTCTCTATCGCCGGAGGCAACCATCTCCAAAAAGGCTACATATGTCTCTACTAACCCAAGATCAGCACCCACGTTTGCCTATCGCTAGGTGAACCATCATCAGGTCCATTTGGAGAGTCAAAAATCCTGAATAGGCGTATACCTAGCACCTATGTACTCGAGGCACTGTGATGGTACCCCTGAGTCTATGGTTCCAGTTACTGGGTATTTACCTGAAGAGAGAAGAGAGAAGGATACTTCTCTTCGCCCATGGGACCTACAGCTGGCCTGGGTAGACTTGGAATGAGGTCCTCCCCATGTCACCTCTACCACAATCTTCATGTACAGTGTATTTATGAGAAACGAAATAGCCAATAGCTTCTCTTCGTCCTCATTTTCAATAAGTATTTTCTCTCATTGGTTAATCAATGGCACAGATATGTATATGTGTAATCATGCTAGCAGTCTACTAGCCTTATTTGGAGGTTGGCAATGTGATGAGATCGATCTGATCCTCCCGCCGATTGTGTACTGAGCTGGGGGGTTATGGTGGTGAAGAGGGGGTTACATATGATAGGTCTGGTGGATAATAATGACACGTACAACAATAAAATACGATTCCCGTGGTATGGGATCATCCTCCAGTCGCTTGAGAAGATAATCACGAGTCGGGCGAACGCCTAGTTATGACTAGGAGCCGGGTTGGTGTCAAACGGGTAATTGTCAGTCTATGTCATCGTGTCCAGACTCAGGCATACTTATATGCTCCGTTCTTCAGACGTGCAGGCTAACATAGTTCGGATTTTCCACAGGACTTGCTCCCCATCCGCCCAGCCTGTAGCTGAAACCCGAAGTTCTACACGTAATGACACCGAATCCAGCAAAATACCCAACCTAGATGAGTTCACAATAGTTGCGAGAGAATATGGCGCCAATGGGCTACTACGAAACCTACAGCGCGGTTGGGCGTGGGTTGAAAACAAGAAATATAACGGCATTGAACGATTCCTGATATTACAATCCGATTAAGGGAGAACGGTCCCCTCCAGTATCCCTTTGCGGATACAAGTAATCGATGATCGTCCTGGGAGGGCAGGGTCTTGCACCAAAACGCTTGAGAAAGGGGGAACAAGCTGTACTACTATGTCGACAAAGCATGGGGTTTTACCGCACAAAAAAGGTGCTCGTAGGTTTGGTTCAGGCTCCCCTAGTTTCATCGCGCATCACCTTTGATATCAACGCTTACGAAATTGAACTCGCAGCTAGTTTCGTTCAACGTTACTGTTTCCGAGTGATTCTCGTTCTGATATTAAGCTCGTCTTGCGCGCAGCACGCCACACGGCTAAGCTAAACCATAAGCTGAGCGAGCTCTTCGTGATAATATTAGCAAAATAACTAATACTTGGTAAAGTTGACCAAGCCAAGAGTGGCGAAAATCAAAGATAAACGAATCTCAACAAAATGGAACCAGAGAAGATCTCCGAGAAGTATCATTTCCAGGGAGATAGTCAACGAGACATACCACCTATCCTGAGGCTCAAAGGTAGGGAAAGGCTGGAAGTGCGGAATGAACTCTTCATAAAGATCACATTCGATGAATATCACACCAACATATGCGGATCCCTCGAACCCATCGCTGCGAAGGACTATGTCGCGGGCGTCTATGCAATCCTAAGCGAACCCCTACTGGATTTTGCTGACCTGCACCAGTGGGCAAGGGACCCCCCGACAAAGGAGCCGTGGGCAGAGGCCCTCTTCGTCCATCAAGTAAAGCAGTACCTCTGCGATTTGTCCGTATCCGACTGGAAGCCGGCCACACTTAACGATCTGGACGTCACCGACGAGGAGCGACGGAACAGCCGCGTTGTTGACCTGATGTGGTGCGAGTTCGTTCTTGAAATCCTCGAGCGAATGCAACGGGACCGCTACATCGACATGCTTGCTGAAGTCGCCCTAGACATCCGTTGTGCATAGGTAGGAGTAGAAATTACCTGCACGTCGTGTACTAGCTATTAGTAGCGAAACGATATTGTTATCATCCAAATGTAGTGAGAAATCAGAATTAGTGCTTTGCAAAATAACATACTATCGTGAGAGCGTCAGTGCATTTCAGGAAAGTGGTATTAAGACTCCTCGCCCAACTATAGGTACAGGGGATTATTCAGTGATATTAGAATTCGTAAACAGGCGCATGTTCATAATATCTTTCTTTACGGACCTGGAAGGGGCGTAGAGAGTCAAAATCGGATTTGTTCTCTACATATTAATTGGAAAGAGAGAAGACGGGAATTTGGCTAAGAGGCGAGAGAGCCCTGTAACCTGATCTAATCATTCCGGCGGGCATCGGAGCAATTTATGACTGACAAGCGTCACTTATGAGCCACGATACTATTCCGAACCACTGGGTGAGCTCTAGAAAAGAGGCCGGACTCGGTGAATACTAAATAGGGGATACCGCCGGAGAATCGGAGAATAGCCTGGCGATGTTCCAAATCGAGTCTGCCTATATCCGATAAGGCCGACACAGTGGGTTGCAGGACAGACACATTCATGGGGCACCCGGCAATTCTTTACATTTTGCGATATCCGATCTTGGGAATCAGATGATATTCTCGAGGTTCCTTCATGGGGGTTCGGCAAAATCTTTGCTCCGTCGTCGTGGGTAGTCTTTTGGGGGGACGATTAAGAGGAGGCATTCCAGCTCCCGAACACTGTGCTGGGCACGGATCGACACTGGGCTAGGCTACCTATGGCCGAGTATGTCAGTCGCCCTGAGGGCACGGTTCTGGGGTGTCAAGACGAGGTTTATCTGGGGCTCGGATCTCATGGACAAGGTCGGCGAGCTGATCTACCGCCGCTTCCTCCCGCTCGCGCGCTGGTGAGCGGGGCGTACAAGGCGAAGCCGGACCCATAGGTAGCTAGCAAGGGGTTAAAACACATACAGAAAGCATATAGATATTTCTACAAATAGTATTTCGGTAGCAAAGATCGTTGTTAACTTCTAAGGGCACGGCGATTTGCCAATATGGAAAGACGAAATACAAATTACAGATGGGATCCGGGGTGGATAAGATGGGTTTCACACTCGGAATTCACAAGCAGCGCCTTCTATTACATGCTTCAAACTCGTCGACACGATGCGCTTGCGTGATCTGCGTAATGAATAGAACCGCTGCCGCTAAACCGTTATCTCATTGTATTCGACATCTGTTCGCCATGTTAGGTATGTCTACTCTACCTAGCGTTCGACATACCTGCTCAATGCCCAGAATAACGATGGCGATCGATGCCTATAAGGAGCGGTGGTTACCCCGCGCTGCCAAGCGCCTGGGATAGTCTGGGGTAGGTACCTATAACAAATGATCGTGGGTTACATCGTGGGTACGCAGCAGAAAAAGGATCTTACGCGCATGAGCGGCCCGTGCCTATACAACGTTAGTCTAACGACGAACCGGCGGGGGATGGCGTGGGCAATGGCCCTTAGATCGTTATCTCCCTTTGCCTTCTGATCCCTCCTCCTGATCGATCATCGGGTCGGGGGGGCCACCATGACGATGTTCCCCTGGTGCCGGCTGACGGTGGCGCCGGCCCCACAGAAAAGGAAGATATACTAAGAATCATCCCAACGATGCTGACGTATTTCGTACTGAATAGCGCAGACATTCTGGTTGCAACAGCGGTGAGAGACAAGAAGCCGGGGATGCTGAAGTCCTTGACGCCGTGTCGGGGACCTCCCTTCAAGGCTGGCTTCATAACGACACGATGGCCCTTGCGAACCATAGTGGTCAAATAATCGTAGATTACATAGTACCTAAGTAATTCCGCCGATCGACCTACTCGCACAGAAATCCAATTCCATGTGATAAATTGGACCCGGCTCATCCCAGATTGAGAGGGGTTACACCATTCAGATGTCACACTAGGGCGTGTGATCACGGCTTATATAGGGCGGTGAGATTCCGTGGCGTTCAACCCCAAACATACGAGCATATGATGATGGCCTGGGTGAGTAATTTTACCCATCCCACCTCGTGTCGTCAACATCGACCGGCTCTGTAAGGGTAGAAGGCTCGACTGCACATGTCTCCCCGGTGAGGCTCATTCTCGTGCATTCCGGTGTGCGGTATGTCGTAGTACAGACTGTGACCAATCTGCCCGAGCATATAGGCGCCGGCGACGAGACTCGCCATAATCGGCGAACACGATATCGAACACGGCCATATGTCCTCTAAGGGTTCTGTATTCCTCAGCAATGGCATCTTAGATACGACTTAGGTACGTTAGCATTGCCCTCAACTATCTGGCCGGCTTCTCCACCGGGGGGGAGGGAGGGGGGGGTTGAACTACGTTCCTCAGTTCGACTAGTCTGCAGAGATCCTCAAAACGGAACATCGGAATCATCGGAAATATTAAGCTAGGAAATATTGAGTGTGTCCCTCCTTTCGTCAAGAGGGGCCTGTCAAGACTCGCAGCTCTTAGAAGTTCTTACATCTAGCAAGTCATGCAGCTCTTTGGTGACGGACGTTTCCATCTCGGCTATCAACCTCGCCACCATCTAATTACGCTGCTATTGAATTCGGTAACTCACTCCGGTCGCTCAACAAACGAACGTGACCGCCCTTTCACTGCCTCCCGACGACCCAGTCCCTGCAAGAAATATATGAATTTGTGCCACCTGAAATTCAAGACGGCTAACGTTCGTTTGTCTAGACCCTTCTCCCTTATGTCTGTCTATACCCACTAGCCTTATTCTCTTAGGCATGTGCCGTTATCGGCAGCCGATGATGTGAATAACACCAGTCATGAATGTGTTTTCCCTGTAACAAAGTGTTATGGCCCGAGCTAACACAGCATCTGTATACTCAGCCTGCCGAGATGTCTGGCGAGTATTACGAGATAATAGCAAAGGGCCCCCCTCATTAGAGGAGCCGTACAAATGGTGATGCCTCTCCAGGTAACTCATTGTCTCCATTTCGGGCACCATCCTATCTGTCCTCGCTGCTATCCTGGGCCGAGCTATTTGAGGTGGTAACTCCGTCGGAGAGGGGCCCTTTACAACGTTCTAACTCAATATCGAAGATCACAGAGCCTTCCGACGATCTTGGTCAATCTTAGCTTTGGATACTCAATAAAACAAAGAAAGCTTTGGTGAGGACGAGAAAAGCTTGATGTAAGTCTCTGAGTCAAGATGGGACATCCAAAGTCATCGAATGCCCGATAGCGTCGCCACGATGCAAGCAGATGAATGTTCGGGCTCGACGGAGCAAGTATATTGTCTCCATGACTCTGCTGTGGGCTTCAGCCATGATTGAAACTATGCAGAGTATGAATTCGCGACCCATGCGAGGGTTGCTCGTATGGGATGTCCGCAAAGACGGCCCTTGCCAGCACCCGGGCTCGGGGACGCGGCAGACGCCGTAGCTTAGGGTGTTTTAGCAGGCTCACAGACATCTTCAATCCGTCAGAGATTCCCCGAGTAGGTATGGGCACCCGGACTGCTCTCCACCTCGGCAACTTGCCAGCGGTGTGGACGGGGCCGAGGGTTTTGATTTTTAACCTCTCGCTATATTATCCTCCCGTCTTGGCGTCAGGGTCTGGAGCGGTTACGAAGGATAGTTGGTTTCGTCCCATTCTCCCCTTACCTCGAAACCAAGGCGATGAGACTCAGGCAATCGCCAAACGGTAATTTATTTAGATCGAACCCTGACCACGGTACCATTAGATGGGCGAAACGAGAAAGAAATAGGGTGCACCGAGCCTGTCAACTGAGATAGGAGCCGATGGACATGGGGTTCACTAGGATAAGATCTTCGGGCCAGAATAGCCGCACACCTGCGTGATACGTCTACAGATAGACCAATCCTCAGCAGACGGCTCAGTTCTCAGCGAGTCGTGACCCTTGCTCCATATTAAGAGCTCGATCTGTGGCGTCCTAAGCTCCTATCCATCCGAGACATCGTCCACGGGCAATATCGGCCTTGACCAAGGGTCCCCCCTCCTCTCCCCCCACCCATCCCAGCGGAGCCGAAGACTTGGGGGAGCTCGGGGTTAGGAGGAAGAGATGGGGGTGAAGAGCACGCTAGCGAAAACACCCTCGCTGGAGATCATAGATACATATATGGTATATTTTCAGTTGGGAGTGCAATCCCCCGCAGAGTTAACAAGGAGTCCGCGATTGTCATCTCTTGTCTGGGTCTGCTCGGCTTCTTGTATTCGTCCGAAGCTGCGATCACCCTGTTTCTCAAAATAAGGCAACGCCTGCCCCAGTCTCGCTGCAATGTGTTCTAGCCTCGAGATCTGAGACTGTTAGCGTCAAGGTAAACGTCGCATTCAAAGGTCATCGGGTTTGCTGCTTCAATATGAAAACGCACTGCGCAGGATTGGCTTTGAGGCTAGTATAGGGCTAACATCCCATCCATCTGGTGGGATGCATTTCGACGTTCCATTGCCTCACTGTCAGAGCCAAATTACCATTTCGTGAGGCAGAGAGAAGGAGGAGGTATTGGGGAAACCCCCTTCATGTAATTACCTCATCAGTGTCTTGTCTGTATCAACCTCCTCAGGTACCGTCGTAACAGAATATGGATATGCTGCACGACCGCCGCCATAAGCTTGGCTCTTCAGGCCGTCTAGAGAGCGAGCCATAACAAAGACCTCCGAAGAGTGTGTCAATGATTTAGAGGCTGGTTGAGCAATTAATAAAGCGCAAGATGACTTTCCCTCCTTGCCGTCAACTCCTACGCCATCTTGCGTATGCTCATATGGCTTATGGCTGGTACCTAGCTGACGGCATGGTGCAATCGGAAGCTGTACCACCGGCATGGCGAAGACTTGGTAAATAGTCTCTCGATACACGCCTCGTGTCGGTAATCGAACTGCAGATGCGCCTAGACTGTGTAGATGCAGCTGCAGCTAAAATTGGGGCTGGTTCTTATAGAGAGCGCGAGAGCGAGAGCAGCAGAACTGTGGTCTAGAGAGCGGCCTCAGATCCGAAGTCCCCACGAGCGCAGGATAGCCATCCAAGAAGAGACCAGAAACCTGCAAGGCGTAGCTAAATGGGACTATTACAGGGGGGGCGTCATGCCGTTTACCGTCCCCAAGATCTACGCGAAAGGGGATTGGACTGATCTGCCATAGCGCCTGGACTATTCGGGTGTGCAGCGGGATGTGAGGGTTGCTGGCCAGGGCCTGTCGAGGTAAGGTGGTTGCGGGCTTGAACCGCTTGGGATGTCGAGGTGGTGTATAGAAGAAAGACGGCCTGGTTAAACAGTCGATAAGCCATGTATGATTCGGACCTCTGTGTCCAACTCGAGGGTCGGATGTAAAACACAACTGTATCTATCTTCTTTCTCCTTCTCTTGTTCGTAGATCTCCACCCGAACCGAGTGCCGCTAGAAATTCCCTACGCAGTTAGCGAAGTATCGAGATCGAATGGGCGTTGTACGGTATGTTAATACACCACACTCTATTTCTATGGGCGCTGCTAACATCCGCCATATTATCTTATGTACTTCATTGAGTGGCGTATATAAGCGTCGCCTTCTACCTTGGCGCGTGGCTACTTATTCCCGTCCTCTTCTCCCCATGATACGGAGCGGTCGGCCAATTTTCTAGTCCATCGTTCATGGCGTTCCTAGTAGAGTTATCTGATGATCACTTTTCGACAGAGGATATAAGAGAAGCGCCCCAACTCCTATACACAACAATTGCCTCCGGATTGTTTGCGTCTTTGACACTCTCAGCTCCAGTACACCTATCCGTCTTCCAGCCATCGCCATGTATGGACGAACCGAGCCACGTCAGCAACCAGGCTACGCCTGCGAAGGTACGTCTTTACGTCTCAGCCCAAGGCAACACGAGTGACGAGCTCGCGCTTTGAACCCCGGGATCCTGAGGAGGGGGGGGGGGGGGGGATTTGAAAGGATCAGAAGCCTGAGACCAAGGCATCCTGAGTGCCTCCTCACCGCTGGATCTAGTGCTAATTCGGCTAAACCGAGAAGAATGTCGTAAGAAGAAGCTTCGATGCGATAGACAGCGCCCGCAATGCGGTGCCTGCGCAAACGCCCAGGTTCAATGCGAAGTCAACGACCGACGCGTGCCTCGTGGCCCAAAGAAAGGTAGCATCGGCGCTCTTCGTAGCCGTATAGGTCGGTCATCGTCGGCGTTGGTGCCGTCATTGTCGCGGGTACTAAATGCCGAGATAGTCGCCCTCGAGCGTCGCCTCTCCTCTGCCCAGTCTGAGGATGCATTGGCCTCGGATTCTCACGAACTCGGCTTGCTAGACGAGGCCGAACCCAAGGGGCAATCTACAGAGCAGTTTCCTTGTATGTATCGAGAAACTTTGCCCCCTCCATCCCTACCATTAGGCTTTGCCTGTTCCAGAGCTCCGACTTATCTGAGACATCCTCAACATACCTAGCTCCCACTATTATAGGACGGGGAAATGCTAACTCGCGTCATGCCAGTGCCAGACTGGGATCTATCGCAACATGAACAGCAGCCGCCGAATACAGCGATACCTTTGGTTTGGGCGGCCCCGGAGACGGCTCCTCAGTCCCCCATTCTCTATCCCGACATCCAGGTCTTGCCGACCATGTCAACCTCATACCCCTCGCCAAAGCAAAGTCCTACTTCGGTGGGTGATATCTTCATACCGGATCTAACAAGAGCGGATTTGTTGGTCCCCCTTTTTTCAAGCCCCCCTCAAAACCCAACGGGGGGTTCCAGATCGCTTACTTCTGCTTACAGGACGCAACTCTACTTCGATCGTGTTCATCCCGTCGTCCCGATCCTCAACCAGACCAAGACATTCAAATGGATAAACGACCCAGGCGCGGTGAGCGAGTCCCGCCAATGTTTACAGTATGCCATGTGGACGTCCGCCACAGCTTTCTCCAGCCAATTCGGCGGCTTTCAAGACTCCATGTACGCCAAGACGCGGTTTATGCTCGACCAGATGGACCTGAGCGGCAGTGACTCTCTAATATGCCACATAGAACATGTCCAATCATGGATTCTCATTACCTTCTACGAGTTTGCTAGGGCCAACTACCGGCGCGGGTGGCTGAGTGCTGGGCGCGTCTTCCGCCTGGTACAGTTCCTGAAGCTCTACGACCTCGACGGCCCCAAGCCGCCGGGGTTGGAGGGCGATGACGACCCGGTTTCATTGGAGGAGAAGAGGCGCACGTTCTGGGTGGCCTACTGCCTGGACAGGCTCATCGGCGTCAGCGAGGGGGCGCCCATGACCTTGAATGAGGAAGTGGTAAGTTCCAGGGTTACCCAACATAAGCCACGTACGGGGTAGGGGTTGTAGGCACCACCTCGCGGAGGTCAAGGCTGATTACTTTCCGTTTGAATAGGTGTTCACGCGTCTCCCGTGCCGGGACGAGGATTTTCAGAGAGGGCTCGTGCCACAGGAGTCGTTCCTAGTCGAAGCCATGTCTTCTGCAGAAATACGCCTCTATTCACCGCTCGCGGAATGCGTCATCCTGGTCACCATCTGCAGCCGAGCGTTGTCTCACAAGCAGATCTACACAATAGAGTCTCTGTACAGCAACGCGCCCCTCGATTTTTCGTCGAGGCACGATTGGCTGGACGGCATGCTGACGCACCGCCTAAACAACCTACAGGTCAACCACCCCTCGTTAACGGTCGCGGAGGATCCGATGATCATCTTCTCGTACATGGTTGCACACTCGGCGGTCATATATCTAGGCCGTATCACGGAGACCTTTGCGAGAACCGATCAGAATCAATCCCTGGTGTGGGAGTTCCAGGAGAGGGGCTACTGGGCGGCTCAAGAGATCACCCGCCTCGCTAAGGAACACGAACACCTCGGCTATTTTAAAGCCCATACGTTTATGCCCCTTACGATCTACCTAGGTGCATCAAGGCTTGCGAAGCACCTAGATACTCGAAAGGGGGAAATGAACCCGAAGGAGGCCGAGGACGCAGAAAGGTCCCTCCGCGCCTCCGTCGAGACGTTGCAGAAGCTCCAGTCGGTGAATAATCTCGCCAACTACTATTTGCAGCTATTATAGCAACGTCTTCTGGTTCCCAATTACGTTTAGAAGTCAGATATGTTGTCTTGCGGCGAGCGAAGTTTGCACGTCCCTTCCCTCATCAACTCCGGGTAGCAGGCAACTCGAGTTTTGGTATACTGTACGGCGCATTCAACAATGCTTGTAGAGTTAGGCCGCATTATATGTCTGTATAACGAGCGTTTAGACTCACTGGCGTCCTCTGAGATAGAAGTTAACTACGTAGTCATCTCAAGATGAGGCTGTTCATTTCTGGCTAATCGCCGTTCCCCTTGCTTGCAACCAGCCCTGCCTACCCATTCGTGGCATTGTGAGAGTTAAGCGACAATGCTCATTCCACAATATGTGTGTCTCAGGTCCCCTCCATATTAATGAACAACCAACAATCAGCGCCCCTAACATTCGGCAGTTCGATTTCTATTCCTTCGCCGCAGAGAAACAGTCATGCAACCTTATCCCATTTCGCTCAGGGTAATGATGTGACTGATAAGCGACCCCGGAATGGCGCTGGTGGAAGTAGCTGATTCAGAAGACGATCGTCATCTGTTTACTCGAGCCTCAGCTGCGATGAAATCCGGAGTCCTCATCCGGGCAGTTGACGCAAAATACAGTAATTCTAGAAGAATGGTTATCGAGCTCTTAGGCATTCCGAGGATAGTAGGTAAAATCATCACGTAGTGTTCAACACCTTTGTGGACAGGGCGTTTCCAGAAACTATGTCCGAACTCCACGCCATATTATCCCTAGCATTTTACGGACTATCGCCACAGGCGGTTCGGTGTCCCGGATGATATGAATACAATAAAATCGTCTATGTGCGTTTCTCTCGATTCGGAAACAGTGGACCCCCTGTATCTCTCCTGTCCAGCTTCAGAAGCTCGGCATATATCCCCCTCGTCAGTTTGAATGCTGTTTAAAACTACATCAAGCGCCGGCATCACAGCCATTCGACGTGTAATGAGGCTTTGTGAGAATACTTAGAATATTCCATGCCTGTTGCCATAACAACCATATCATCAACCTCCTGATCTTCAAGGCTCGAAACCCGCCCAGCCGCGCATCCGCCGGACTCGATAACAAATTCCTGACAGAATCGTGTAGCAAGCTGAAGAGAGCCATAACCAGTGGCAAATTTGTGATATATACGCGTTACGACTAATGCTAGCCGGGTGGAGACTTCAGCCAATATTGGATGCGAAAAGAACATCGACAGAGAGATGCGCTGACGACATCCGATGCCTTTCATGTACGCCGGAGAGACTGTCGCAAAGTCAACCAGAGCCAATGTAGCCTCGTCGGAGGTTCCTGGGGAGTTGCAACATCTGTGTTAATGTTGGGAATTTTTCAGAAGATCACCCGTGTATTTAGCTACCGAGTGAGTCCATATAATTAACGTGATAACCGTCTTTCCTAGACTATACGCGCCTACGACACTTGGGTGACATCGATAATATAAGGAGAACACCATCGATCTCAAGACTCCCAAGTCTTCACAAGATTGGAGCGAGGACATCTCTCATCCAATGCCGAGGCTGTCGGCGGGTACGTGCGTCGGGCCACTAGGAGGAAACCTAGAAGATGTTGTCGCCTTTAGCTGGAAGGCTGAGAAAATGGGAGTATAGTCGTAGCCGACAGTCTACAACATGGATACGTGGAGCCTCTTTTCGACCGAGCGATTCTTAAGCCTGGACATATTACGACCGGTGGTTTTAGCTTGAGTGTGGACAACGGCACAACGCTGGAAACATGAGCTGGGAATTAAAAAATTCGTGTTTGACAAAACGTAAGTATGTATCTCCATCCCCTCCATTCTGAAAGAACGAGTATCCCTAATGGAGACGTGCAAGGCTCGAGTAACTAGCTAGGAAGTGCGAGATTCAATAGGAGCATGCGCATACTCCGAATGTCCTCCTCTGCTACACGGATCTTTGGCGGCGCAGGGGCTGTTATTAAAGGACTCGTCGCGTTGCTCCGTCTTTAAAACGCATCACTAGAGAGCCCCCCGAAACTGCGAGCGCACCGCGTGCTGTTAACGCGGCGGGACTTCATCGGTGCTGAAGCCATCTTTGCTGAGCGTTCGGTACTCTGGGGCACTCGGTAGCCGGCCACTATGGACCAGAGCAATTACAACACGAGTTTCGATTATCCAGACAGTCAAGCCCCCTTTAGCCACGTCCGCAAAGTCTCACACTTGCTGGCGTAGGGGCTCGCCACCTGGAGCCTAGCATCCTGAAGCTGAGCGCCTACTGGCTGGGGCAAATGAGAGGGCGAGAGGCTTAGCATTCAAGAGGTCTCCCGTGCAGAACAATCGTCGGGGACTGAGACCTACGATCCAGGTTCACCGCCGGCCTGGTGGCGGGCGAGATGGGTGCCACCATAGCCGACATGATTAGCGAATGTACCTCAGGTTCGAACCAGCGCGTTATTTTTGGTCATTTATAGAATCTGGAGTAACCTGTTCCCTCGAGACAATGGGGGTAGCCAATTCGGTTCTTTTCATACCCCAACCCGGATCCCGATGTAGTATGAAGGGGCACAACGAACCCCCACCGATCTCACTGGCAGTCAGAAGGCTTAATTACACACCCACTTCATGGTTTGCGGTATCCCAGTCCCCGCGATATTACCAAAATACTCTCAGGTGGCTAATTGCGACTGTAGGCAAAGCGCCGGGTACGCGACACAGGCCCGCCACCGCCCTGGGCTGAAAATTGTCTCGCAAGCCGCGCGCGCTCAGCACGCCCGCCGTGCAGTGTTACGCCCGTAGCGCCAGTCACGTCATGATGTCCTCCAGTTCCCTGGATGCATATCCGGGCCTAAAAGACGGTGTCCACAGCCGACTAGACGGTGGAAAATATACTGCTGGGTGCGGGAATTAGATCATGACGCAGTAGGCTACGGAACCAAGCCCGGCGGGGGATGATCACCACTGCAGTCGCGCGAGATCTGGTGCGACCTTCTAGGCAGCCTTGCTCGCCTGGGAGGGAAGCGGAACTGCTACGTGGCTTTCCAGAGAGGGAATGCCGCCCTCCTCGATACATATCGAGATCACTACCGGCAGACGATCTCAACAGCCGGAGCCGCATCGTGGATCATCGCGAGTCAAGAGCGTGGAGATGGCAATATAGAATATTGCCAAGCCGGCCTCGTACTGGATCGGGCGTCCGGCGTATAAATGAGCCTGATGGTTATGCATCCCTACGGAAAGGAGCAGTAGGAGGGGGTGTTCGTCCCGGTTCTCGGACACGAAAAGTAGAAAAGGGGTGTCCCGCTTCCGCAGATGATGGCGCACAAGCCAGGCAGGAATACTTGGAATATTCGCTCACGATGGTCACCGCGGAGAGGCAGATACATAAGGGGCTTAGGGAAAGACTGACAGGTCTCGCTCCCGTCAAGCCATCGGATGAAATAGCAAGCGGCTCGGTCCCCGAAAAGAAGAAAAACAATATCGAGGCGGCGTTGCTAAAGATTTCGAGCCCGCCACTGTCTCTAGTTCCGAGCAAGAGAAGTCTCCCGACGAGGGCGGCACGGAGGACGGTATCGAAGGATGTGTTTCCTTATCTGGGGAACCATTGTTCGCCCTTAGACAGCCCTGACTTTCCGCATCTCGCCACATGCTGAGGATTCCCGGAAGAGGCCTTGTATCTCTGGGCGGCATCTAAGTGCGCATATATACGTCGTATAGAACAAGAAACATTGAGACCTACGTCGAGCAGCATGTCCAATCGGAGTCTGGCCCGCGCTGGCGGGGCTTCGCTTGTCTGGGACGCCACCAGAACAAGGCCTTAAGCCCTCGCTGCGCAGGCAAGCAAGCAAGCAAGATACCGAGACAGCCGCCCCTACATGATTAGAAGCGGGGATATGAGCAGTGGCAGCACGCACGACAGGTCGAGTGGTGTTTGCGTTGACATGCCATCCCAGGGTTACCAGAGCGGCTCAGGTTCGAATCGGGAATCAACGCCATATTAACAAGACGTTGTTAGCTATGCGTATTGGACACGAGAGTGTAAGCAGACAGCGATGGCTTTATAACATGCATATCCCCCCATCTAGTTTTCAAAAAATTTTTATTGCCGGTCATAAGATAGGAAGTGTTCGTGGCGCCCCTATATTGCCTGATTATCCTACTTCACACGCTAATCGATCTGGGGTCGTCGTAGAGAACCGACCGACATGTCACTTTCGCGGCCCGATACCCGCCGTGTGAGTACTCTACTTACGACAGTACGGATAACTTACGGCCGGTGATAGCCCATTTTTACAGCATATATCCCAGTCCTAGGGCGCGAGTGATCCAGGAGAGGGCACCGAAGCTACATGCGTAGAAAATGAGGTGGTGGTCAATCGATGGTCCGACGGAGCTGGTTCGTGTTCGACAACATCCCGCGCTACTCAAAAAATAACTGCAGACAGAAGGCTATGGGAGAGGACATGCCCGCGTTGTTGTGTAACTTGCGAAATATGCCTCACGTAGACGCATCGTGATCGGGATTTCCAGCAAGCATAACGAGCGAGCCTGGGCTCGAATCGTTCCGGCCAAGTCCCCCACGGTCCCAGAACAGCTTCAAACTAGCACCCGGGGGTGATCTTTCGCTTAGTTGGAATGCTGAACTACATGGCTGCCGTCGGGACTTTTCGTGTCACAGGATCGTAGACGAAGGCGAATACCAACAAGGTCCATAACTGTATTTAGACGGGATTCCCCCCAATAAGGAAACGGGGGTCTTGGAGCCAAGAGCCGTGAACGCCGCAAAAGTCGACTGGAGAGCTACTCAGCTTCGGGAATAGGAGCTGTCTCGCGTAGCCAAGAGGTGCTAGCTATAGCAGTGCTTGAGATAGTTGAGCTGAGACCGCTAGGTATGATCGTGAATCTGGTTTCCACCAACACTAGGCTGTCAATGCTGGAACGATGTACCCCACACCATCCCGTTTACTAGTACCCGGCCAGTCTTGAGGAGCCGTCGGCTCTTGGCCAACCGTTGAAAGATGTTGTCGCCATGTTGTTTGCTTTTCGCGGGTTGAAGAGGAACTAGAAGCTCGAGGTGCGGCACTGTCTCCTTTGGGGGGACCGGAGTAATTATCGTTGACGGGGACCCTTAGCTATTTCCAAAGGATGAGACACCACGCGGCCCGGCCTCTAGGATCGAGAGCTGGACTGGTAAGGAGAGCGTCGTTGAGGGGGTGGCACGTTGCTCTACGGACCGCCAAACGCCAACCCGTATTCGTGACTTGCCCCCGATGGCCAATGCAAAGAGGCATTTAAAGGGGTCCCAAGCGTGCTCTTCTTTAGTGAGCGCTTGAGAGATGTCTAAGCACTGACAGTCATAATCCCGATCCTCTTGGTGACAGAGCCTGGCTCTAGAAAGTTGATCACGGGCCTATGATAACTCTGCATGGCCCTAATAGTTGACCCCAAAGTCGCGCCTATGAAGGTCACGTATGGCGAAGACATTCCGAGAGGAAACTCGTAGAGAACCTTGCCTGCCCCATGCACAAGCGACGGCATCCGAGAAGATGTGCTCTTCTCGGCCCCCCTCGAACCAAGTAAGTGATCGATATCACCTTGCCGAAATGCTCTCGTACATCGGAAAGGATGTCGAGGAAATTAGCACGAAGGCTGATAGACGATTCTTGACGGTCACGCCTAGCAGAATTCGCGAAACGACTTCGAAGAGAGTCACGGGCTGGGTCGCGTTTAGACGAGGACATCAGCGGGAGTAGTTCGAGCATCGCGGCGCATGCAAGACGCAGTACTTCTCCGGCGGCGAAGCTGGAGATTTCCGCGAAGCGCGTCACTCCTCTCATGGACGCCCCGCCCACGATGCTGTGTACAGGGGCCAGTGATATGCGACGCGACGCGGACAGGCGCAGGCCACGAGGCCCAGCCAAGACAGGGCTGCCGCCGAACCACGGCCTCCCGCGCCTAGCTTCTTGTTGCGATCGCCGGACGACACGCGGGTTGGTTCTCGGCGAGCACTAGGGAGATCTACTTCGCGCAGACGGAAGACCGGAACGGGTCACGTAGAAGGGGGCGACGACACACCTGTCGATCAGTCGGAACAGGCACCGAGCCGCGCGAGCCGGTGATGTGCGCATACCTCGCGGGTCCGGTATCGCGACCGCGGTTGGGGGCACTGCAGACCCCGCGTCGCGTCGCGGCGGCTCAAGGTCGCCCTGGCGGATCCCTATCTTGTGAGGTTCTCGAAGCGGAATCCCCTCTACCAGCTGCGTCTTCACTCGAGATTGTAATGGGTCGCACCCCCTTGCCTTCGTCGGTCGATTAGGTCTCGGAACTCGGGGAAACGTCGCCAACGCTAGCCGGCTATTATCTGAGACGGGACGCGTCGTAGAATCGGTTCATCGACGCTCGGCATCCGTCCGCTTGGCGGGAGCGAGGGGCAGGAATTATTGGTTGGGCCGCGAGCCTAAATCGAACCCCTTGCCCAAGCTACGGCAGACAATTGTGTCTATCCGCCACCGCGAAGTGTCCGCTGCGCGTCGGACGGCGAGGCGATACCCACCACATTTTCTAGCCTAGGAGTGCCCGTCGAGTCGGGACTGCACCCGGATCCTGGCTTCGCGCCGTCGAGTGAGCTTGCTTTAGCAGCCGGGCGTGCCAAACCGAGGAGGAAATAGAAGGCGACCACGGGTGCGATCCGTCTAATTGGCAGAGCACACCATCGCCTTGCTGCGCGGTGCATTTGCTCGTCGCCCGCGAGACTTCGACGAGACTTCCACGCATCCAAGACAGCCCACATAAGTAGTTCCGAGGTTTCATCGACACGTGCTGGGATCCTGCCGATCGGCGCTCGTATCGTATCGCAGGCCCAGCCGCTAGGACGATCACACCCTAAAGCCCGAGAGGGCCCTCCCCTTCTCCCCCCCCAGCTGCCCAGCCCATTTGCGTCCAAACAGGCTCGTAAACCGTTCGCTCGCGCTCCGAGCAGACAACGAGATCGCTCGCCCGCAGCCCGAGGACTCGTGCGAATCCGGTTCTTCGCGGCTGCGCCCAGTCTGAACATAGATCCACCCGCCGCAATCTCAGAGACGCATGCAATGCACCACTATCGACTTGACCCTGGACAACGACTAATTCCTCCCAGGTCGAGGGCTGTAATTAAAAAGAGAGCAGTGTCATTGCGTCGAGATTACGACGACCCATCGCACTCTCTCTTCTACAACCTTCGAATTTAATCCAGTTCATTTTAACTCTTTTTTCCTCGTCTCGTCTCGCCGCCGCTTCCGGGAAATGACGCTCGGTAGAGTAAGTCCTATCCGTACACAGCCCAGTCCTTCAGCGATGACGAGTAGGGGAGGGAAGACGCTAGCCTACTACGTGAGCGCGTAGGTATATAGCTTAGGCGGTAAGGAATTAGATCCCATACCGCCTAGGCGTCGCCATCTAGTAGTAGTTATACTCATACACACTACGGCGTGTATAAGCCTTACCTGCATATGCATGCGATGCGCAGAGTGTCTTGTCTCCGACGAGTCGGATAAAAATAGCTAGGCGCATACGAGCCTTACATATGAGCACTCACCTAACCTGCCCTGACATACCGGTACCTCAGGCACTTAACCTACCTTTAGGTTCTACAGACGAAACTAGAAATCTTCAAAGCGCGCAGACGGCAGTCTGGTGTCGTAAAGTAACCAGGGCCTTGTGTGTCAACCGTAAAATATGCAAAACCATACGATCCGGATTATCCGAAGTTTCTCGGGAGCGTTAACGCGGCCCGGATGCACTAGCGGACCTAGTCGCTCGCATTGTGAACTTCACGATGCGGGGGCAGATGGGAACAGTAGGCAGCCGAGTCGCGACGACAGGAATTGCTTTTGTTTTTCCGCGTCCGAGGTGTATTACCGAGCCCTCCCTAAAAAGAATTTGAGATTTAGGCTCTATCAACCTCGTCCCAGAACCGAAGATATGCTGTAGCGGTGATACCTAATTGCTCACGGCCTCGAGGGCGTCTTATCCCGTCCCGTCAGTCTATGCTCTAAAGTACAACAGAGGCCCTTTCCGTCCGTCCGTTCCTTAGTCCCAATCCCAGGTCATGAATGATCGTAAAAGTGTAGTTAAGGGAGGGAGGAGCGCGGTGCCCCCCCCCGGTTGCTTTCCAAAAGCGAGCGTATGCGGATTGCGAGCTCTATAGCGCCAGAGCTGCGAAGGCGGCGATTCCGACGAACCCCATTGCGATATCTGGCCGGGCGGCGGCGTCGGGCGTCGAAGACGCGGTCGGGGCGCCGACGGCGGATGTGACGATGTTAGATGCCTCGGCGACTGAGGACGGGTCCGGGTTTGATTCTACGGCGGCGCAGATCTCGGGAGCGAGTTGAGTGACCCCTAGTAAGCAGGCGAGCTCAGTTAGCCAAACATCATTTCAGAGGTAGCCACGTTCCCAGACGGCTGGAGAAAAAGAGAGAAAAAAAGGGGGCAGCAGGGGGAGGGGGCGTACTGCTGATATCCTCCTGCGTGCATTCCGAACCAAGCAGGATGCATGGCCCGATGGACGAGGTGAAACTATCACGGCCGGACGTGCAAAGGCAGGAGAAATCGGTCGACGCGCAGTTGGCCGCCTGCGTAGCGCTGTTGAAACACGGGATCGCGCAGGTGGGTATTTGGGAGACGAGGCCAGGGAGTGAAGTTGAGTTCTGCGCGGCCACGAAGGCGGCGAAGAGAGATACGGATAGCGCTGCGAACTGCATGATGATCTCCCCTATCTTTTCTTCCTTTCCTCTCTTCTTTCCTCGCGGTCGAGGTGGATTCCGACTTTCGAATGCGCAGTGAGGAGTCTCACGCCGCTGCTGCTGGTCCGAGTCGTCCTTTTATAGTTGCTTTTGTTCCCTCTGGCCAGCCGGAGAGGAGAGATGAGAAGACGCGACCGGTTGGGAGTACGAAACTGGCTGCGAGATGCAAACAGAGACGAAACGGCTAAGAAGAAAGGGAGCTGCTATTAATTTATTGCCCAGATAACGAGAGTATAAGTGACACCCGGGAAATCAAGCCAGATAGATGCAACGAGACGAACAATGCAGAGACGAAATATGTACTATTATTTGTTTCCTTTTCGGAGATTTATCGTATACGCAAAAAAATGTGGAAGAAGAAATTCTGGATTATGTAGCTGGAGGTTGACAAAGAGAAGAAGTGAGATCGAAGGGAGGCGTAGTTTAGGAGGCAAGGTTGCAAGGTGTAGGGTATTACAGCATAAGTAGGACAGGTTTGGGTACCAGCAGGCAGCGAAGTGGGTAAGGTTACTAATCCATCCGGCGACGGCGAAATAATACGTACATTGGGATATTGTATGGAAATTGTATGGATATTGTATCTCTCTGGGGGGTAGATGAGTAGATGAAAATGGATGGATGGATGGATAGAGTGGCAGAGGCGCAAACAGACACGCCCGGTAAGGACGGAGACATAAGATATAGCTACGCACGGAGCCTAGACGTGCACGGGTCGGCCTGCCATTTATTCATGGTTCCGTCTCACCCATCTTCACACGCATCTTTCCTGCGTTTATTCGCAAAGTCCTCCTGGCCATGCATGCCATAGGTAGGTAATGAAATCCGATCCGGCGCTCGCAGGTTACGCGTCCCGGGTGGGCTATGCAGCGCTAGCTACAGCGCTTACTGGCACTCGGCGAGCTGGCGAGGTGGGCTGTGTCGGATTGATATTCAGTTATCGGGTGTCGAGGCGCTGACCTGCGACAAAGAACCTGCGGCGAGAGCCAACGGTGAAGGTCAGGTCAGAGCCGGTGGGGAGATGAAACTGTCTTGGCGTTCGTATTGACACACAACCAGCTTCAGTGTGACGTCAGTTGAAAGCAGCAACCCCCTGTTGCCTATGTGCTTCGGTATCTCGGCCGCCGGGTCGGACACTTTCTCGGCTGCCAGGTTCTTCCGGATAGCCCCCACCACTCGCCATTACCTAATCATACCAACTTGGTGAGTTGTGGCGGCGGGCGGTGGCGCAGCGGTCCGTCCCGGTTTGGCGAGCATGTGGCGGTGCGGCGGAAATGGCGAATATCCAAACCACAATCACCAAATCGCCCCCCCGCGCAAGCTCATTCGTTCAACCTCGAGATGCCCCCGTGTCAATCCCATCCCTCCCTCGGCGTTGGGATAGACATTGTCGAAACATCCATCCCGCGCGCCCCCCCTGATTGGCATGGCAGGATGGGGATTTTCCAGCTTTCTGGTCAACCCAAATTCCCCCATTCGAGCCTCGTTCGAGAGCTAGCCAGCTTGGGGGGCGTCTGCTCGTGAGGTCCCCTCGATATCGTGTCGATGTACGCTTACGGCGGGTATCGTGCACGATAAACCTCATCGGGTCAGCATGTCTCGCTTGTTGGAGGGGACAGTCGGCATCCATTATATCTGTTCGCAACACCTGAAAGGGCCCCGTGAGCAGCGAACTAGCTAGCACGTCATCCATCCCACCTATTCCTACATACCTCCTTACTACCATTCTATCATGTGTTGCTTTAGGCGTTAAGTGCCCTCCCCCCCGATGGGTAGCGGGCTAGCCGCCATGTCCCCCATAGGATCCCCGGCCGGTTCGGCCAGAGATATAGTGGAATGGCCCCGTCCTATCTCTCCCAGCAGCGCTGTTTTCGATGGACGGGATGGCCCAGGTTTCGAATTGTCAGAATTAAACCCCGTAGAGCCTGCGCTTCCAGTCCTTCCTCGACTCTCGACCAAGATGTCTTACCAGCCGCTCGCATCAGACGACCCCGAGGAGCAGATGAAGACCTACGGGTCCATAGACACGACGCCTGCTTCGAGCCCCACGGCTCTGCTTGGCGAAAGCTTCCTCGTCGAGGATGCGGCAACCGACGCTGATAATCCGTTTCTTGACGCTGAGACGGCAGATTACTGGCGGCAGGTCTACGATAATTGCCAGTATGAGTGTAGACACGCCTTCAACCCGAAGCTGACGTGGTCGGCCCAGGAAGAGAAGGAGTTGGTGCGGAAACTGGACTGGAAAGTCTGTCTGTGGGCGGTACGGAATCGTCTACCCGTGACTACGACACCTACTGACGCCGAGGCCGATTTAGTGCGTGATGTTCTTCGGCTTACAAGTAGACCGCGGCAACCTATCACAGGCCGTCTCGGACAACATGCTAGGTGATCTTGGACTGGATACCGACGGTAAGAATCCGTGAATCTTCATTTCCTTTCTTTTGGGGGATCATATTATGAGAGTTTGCTCGGTCACCCGCACGCTTTCGACGCCTGGTACAGTCGTCGCAACCCTGACTGACGAATTGTAGACTACAATTATGGGAATTCTATCTTCTTAGTCTCATTCCTTTTCGCCGAATTACCTTCGCAGCTCATCTCGAAAGCCGTGGGTCCAGATCGTTGGATTCCTATGCAGATGGTGCTTTGGTCGCTTGTCGCCATCTCTCAGTGTGCCCTGACAGGCCGTCTGTCGTTCCTGGTTACGAGAAGTCTACTCGGCTTCCTCGAGGTACGGGCTTCCCATAACTAGCCGACGATTTTCCACTTGACTTAGACCTAATCCACCGAAGGGCGGCTTTATCCCCGACTTGGTGCTCTGGCTCTCGTACTTTTACACGTCGCGAGAGCTACCTATACGGCTCAGTTACTTTTGGACGACCCTGTCGGTGACGGGTATCGTCACGTCTTTGCTCGCGTTTGTGCTGCTGCACCTGAGAGGCTTCCTGGGGTGGGAGGGGTGGCGGTGGCTCTTTCTAGTCGAAGGATCTATCACCCTAGGCGTGGGCGTCGCGTCGTTCTTCATGATGCCCGCATCGGCGGTGCAGACAAAGACCTGGTTCCGCCCGGAAGGTTGGTTCTCGGAGCGAGAGGAGTCGATCGTCGTCAATCGAGTACTTCGCGACGACCCTTCGAAGGGAGACATGCATAACCGCCAGGCACTAACCCCACGCCGGCTGTGGGAGGCGCTGAAGGACTACGATTTGTGGCCGCTGTACGCGATCGGCCTCTGCGCCTTCGTACCCCAATCGCCACCGAAGACGTATCTGACCCTCACCCTTCGGTCTCTCGGGTTCAGCACTTTTAGCACGAACCTCCTTACCATCCCGGCAGTAGGCATAGATGACCCCAACCCCCAAATACAGGAGCCATTACTCACTTCTACTAGGATCTAATGCATATCGTCAACTTGCTTCTGCTTACCAGACTATCAGAGTGGCTGAACGAACGATCCTTGGTTGCCGTCATCCAATCTCTCTGGACTCTCCCGTGTATCATTGCTCTGAGATTTTGGGGAGGCGTATTTGAGGATAAATGGGGTACCTACGCCATCATTATGACCTTACTATCCTATCCGTATTGTCGTACGTATAACCCCCCCCCCCCCGGCATGCTCTTTCCCACGTGTTCTCCCGTTCAACTTCATCTAGACGCAATCTTAGTCGGGTGGTGCTCGAAAAATTCCAACAACGTCGGTACGCGGACGGTGTCCGCCGCCTTGTATAATGTAAGTGGCAGCTGTCTCTGGCCCAGATATAATAATGGTGGCGTTATGTTTGACACAGTCGGCAGATGAGCGTCCAGGCCGGGAACGTGTACGCCGCATACATCTACCGTGACGACGATAAACCGCTGTATCGCCGTGGGAACACGACGTTAATCGCAATCAACTTGGTTTCCATTCTCGTGTTCTTGCTAACGAAGCTGTACTACGTGCGGAGGAACAAGCAGAAGGAGCAGATATGGAATGCGCTGAGCGAGGAGCAGCAGGTCGAGTACCGGAAGATGACCAAGCTGCAGGGCTCTAGGAGACTCGACTTCAGGTTTGCACACTGATATAGAGTTAGATCGTCAAGACAACGCGCCAGGGGTTTCCGGAGGTATACATTAGAGTTATGCAGGGGGTCCCCATCTGACCTATCGATTGTAAAGGTAACTGAAAGTTATACGATAGGTTCTATTGCGACATAGTGAAGCTTAGTTCCGACCCCTTCTACTTCGACACCTCAATCTCAGACAAGAGTTATTCTAAACTAGGCAAGAGACATGCACGCCCCAATCGGGATTTAAAACCGCTCAACTCCACGGCCCGTGAGATGTTACGGGATCCTCATCGCACAAGATGTAACCTCAACTAGAAGAGTTGCACGAAGGCGGCACTGGAGACGGATTTTCAACGTTCAAACCCAAAATGATAACCAAGGGCGTCCGGGGTAGGAGTGGCGAGCACTAGATTGCGGGTGGGAACGCCGATGAGGGGAAGCGATTGGGTAGATATATCGATCTTAGACATGACTTAGACAAACGAAACCATCTAGCGAACTGGCATTTTTCTCAGACCATCGGTGGATAGCCCATCTTTCAGGGTTACCCGGGTTTCCATATCATCGAGCGGGGCGGCAACCGAAGCGAGCTCTCCCGATTCCTCGCACGGGTACCCATCCTCTGTCTCGCGCCGGGACACACCACGACAGGCCTCCTCCAGGGGCCGGACATCGGCGGGGACGTGATGTGCCCGCTTGACCGGGCTCCCTCGGTGACGGGTGAGCAGTGCCGGTCTGTGAACGACGAGTTCGCTAGCTGGATAGCGACGGAGCAGAATAAGTTCTTCAAGCTCCTTAAGCAGCCGAGCATGACTTCCAGTCCCGCGTTAGCCGGGCGCCCTGGCCGATTCCCACGCTTGACAACTACTCGACAGGCATAAGCAACCTCCTGCTAGCTACCTGTTCCACATATACATATCCCGGCTTTCATATACCCTAGGCTTTCACCTCTCTCCTTCTATCTCCTTTTTTATCCTGGAAACGCCAATCCAGGTTCATGATCAGCGTAAGCAGCGTAGTAGGAGACGCATAGAACGAGAACGTAGAGATGCGTCGTCTGTTTCGGCTCACGGCGGTAGCGGAGACCCCCATTCCAGTCCAATCGTCCCTGACGACTGCGCTATATGTTGCGTACGGCATGTCAGCACGAAAGGAGCCAGGCAGCCGGGCTTTCATTCCTGCGACCGTGGGGAAGATCGAGAAAGGTTGGATCGAAGCCGCTGTCCCACTTAACCGTAGCCATTCCTGCGCCCGCCGCCCTGAGATCTCATGATAGAGAGACGAGTAGATGCGATGCGTCTTTCGTGCGTTCCGACCCTAAACAACGCGGGAGACCCTGTGGCATGTGGTGTGACGTTGCACCTGGCTGAGTTGAGGCTCGCCGAGAAGTCCGCTGCCTATCCACGACACCCCAGAGACGCACTTCCGGTTGCCCTCCTTAGGCGACGCCACGCCGTGGTCCATGAGCACGGGGTACTCGAGTCTCCTGCATTGCTGGTCTCCCGCAGGCGAACATCACTTGCTGGGCGCTTTGCATGTCGCCCTCACTTAGAGCACCCATGTTTCTCCTCGCAGGGTCGAAGAGTTGGGTTGCCGTCTTGTTCAACATTCCCGAGACATCCGGATGTGCCCATCATTGGGTAAGACGCCGATGCCCACACTACGTGTACGAATGAATCAGATCGAGCAAAGGTCCCATCCATACACTCAGTGTGGCGCTCGTTACTGGGGAGCAGATACTGTCATTCCTGTTCGAACCAGCACTGCGTATATGTATATATGTTGAAGGGTGAGACGCAATGGTGCAATGCCACTCGGGCTTCTATCTTCCAGGCTAATATGCGTATGGTAAGGAGTCGGACCAGAACCAGGTTAGATGCCCCAACCGAGTGGCGGTATGGCATTGTTGTCGGCTTGGAAAGGGAAGGGTCGCAGAGCAGCACGGACGAAACCGCGAACATAGTAAATACGATCGGCGTCTGACTTGCATCGACAGATATTCCCACTAGCGGCAGTGCGTCGCACTTCTACCGCCATCGCATGCGCGTCGTGTCAACCACTAACCATCGGCAGCCTCGGAGCATGCATGCTCTATAACGCACCATCCGTGCATAGCACTGCTGCTGGTGATTTAAGTGTGCGCGTGCGAGCAAGGTGGACTTGTGGTGCATGTATATACGCGCCAGTGTCTCTCTTCTCTCCCCTTACCTTAGGTAGAACCAAGCAGGGTGTGGGATCGGGTATTTTGGGCTTGATCCGGTGCTCGGCGCACCGTGGGAAATCCAGGTTGGCAAGCGTCGCCATGCACGGGTGGCTATGTCATCATGGTGGACGTCCGGAAAAGCTGGGCCTGTTCGATTGGACGGCTGCTCGGGGAATGGCCGCGGCGACCTGGTCAATCACGACCACGCAGAGACGTGCTAGGTAGGTGATGAGGTTTATTGTCATCAAGCCGGCACGTATGAGGCGGTAAAGCCGCTCCGTCCAAGCTCGATGGCATTCGGGACGAGGACAACCCACCTGGACGCAACAATGGCGTTCTGCCATGATGCCTTCGCCCGCTCACCGCTTTCATGGCACTTCCTAGCGGTCACGGCCGACAATCGGTGAAGTCGACGACAGACAAGCGCAATGGAATGACGAATAGCTGCCTAAGGTAGCCGTATGCATGCGTATCGTGGGAACCAGAGCGGTATGTCGGGTGGACAAGACCGAATTGCAGAGGCAGCACCATCGGAGGCTCGAGGGACGGGTTTAGGGGAGAGTTGTCTCTCTGCAGATGGGTGTACATATATATATTATGCACGTGTGTGGGTGTGTGTGAATATACGCATTCACACGGGAAGCTTTGCAGAACCCTCGAGGAAAGAAAAGAGGAGAAGCGAGCGCGTCCCGGTTGCAGATTCATCGTGAGGCATCGCGCGGCCACCCAGGCCGTTCGGAGACGGCTACGTAAAGCGCACACAGACATGATAGCAACGAGGAGGGGAGGGATTCACGATGGCTTGTTAATATTTGCCGGTATTGTCTATTAATAGTGTAATATGGCACAGGCGGCCAGGTTTATTGGCATCTCAATTCAATATAACGGATGCAATAACAGACGCACCTAATAATTGTGAAAAAGCGGGATGGAGATCGCGAGTGGTTTATAAGATGGAGCCGAGAAGGAACAACTTGCCATTGATGGCAGAAAGAACGTGGGCAAACTCACTCGCTCGCAGATTCCACATGTCCGTGCTGTGGGCAGCGGGCAACGTCGAGTTGTTGGCAGGTGCGGGACCTGCCTTAACCATGAGACCACTCGCTGGGAGGTATGTACATGTCAAGTCTCTCAGCCTAGATACGGCCGCCTGCCGGGTACCGACGCAGTACGCAGGGGCAGAGGAGCAGAGTCCCGTGCGGCCAGCAGCACTAGGCCTTGTTGGGCAATTTCCCGGGCAGGTACTCGTGGCGCTAGACCAGTCTAGGAAGGCCAGCGCTAGTGAGGGCTGCAGCTGCCTCTAGCCGGAATAGGGCTGTGCGTCGTATGTTGATTGGGCAAGAGCGATCCCTGGGACGTTAGCGGCACCGTGCTGGTGCGTCGCCGTGGCAACGGGTCGCCGGGGCAGTCAACAGAGCTGAACTACAGCTAACCCCGGCAACTTAACCTGGACGTGGGAAGGCGCATCCGACGCCAACGACCTCCTTCCAAACTCTTCACTGAACCCATACCTTGACCTAGACCTTGCCTACCTCTGTCTACCTCATCTTGCATTACCCAGATCGTGTCCTCGATCTATCCCAACTACCTAACCTGACCTGCCCTCGACCTGACATCTACCACATCGTATATCCACTTTCTGCGAAATCGTCCGTGAACAACAACAGAAATAACCCTCCTCTCGCTCGCGGCGCATAGTGCTTGTTTCTCTTCGTCCCTCTACTTGCCTCGCTCCCGCCTCGCCGCTCCTCCATAGCCCTCGCCTTCCTCTCTCATCTGCCTGAATAAGGGCAGCCTTACTTACTCGCATCTAGTTCTCGTCTGCCAAGTTCGTTCGCTGCTGCTGAGGACAACAAAAGAGCCCCATTGCCCGGCCAGACTGGCTTGCGCTGCGTGAGGTGAGCAAGGCGTCTCCCGGTGTTGAGCCTGTCTCCGTTGCCATTGTCGTGTTCCTCCTCCACCACAGGCAGATGAGTACCCGGCGACCAGACAGCTAACGTAGCCTCCCAGTTTCGGAACCAATTGATAGCCCAATTCCGGCAACCAGGATCTATCGACAACCGGCCCCCCCTTCCCCCTTCCGAACTCGACTCTCATCACGATGCTGTCCAATCCGCCCCACGGCGGTCTTCAGGCCCGGAATCGACAACACCGGAGACAAAATTCGACGCCGACCGGCTTCGAAGCGATGAAGATCGCGGCAAACCTGCCCCCCTTGCATCAGCACGCCCAGCAAAGATCGCGCATATCCCATCGCCGGGGTATGAGCCTGGATACTCGACGACACCAACACCAGCGGCAACAACATATACAACAGCAGATGCAATCCCCGACGACACAGCTACGGCAGGAGTTCCCAACGGTAAGTAACGCTACTAACAATACAGGATCAATCACACCACAGCATGTGCTGCGAGAAGCGCAGCAGCAACGCATAGCTCGCCCGGGCCCCCAGCAAGCGTACACGAACTTGGCAAGCGACGAGAACTATCTTCTGTCCCCGCACGGGACGCCGCGGAGCCAAAGCTTCGAGGAACAGTGCTTCGGTAGTATTCCGAACCACCCAGACATGCAAATCAATTTTGACCTGTACAATGGTCCCGTGAATGTAAACATGAAGAAGAACCAGGAGAGCTTCTCCATCAACATAACCACGTCTCAGGACTTCGAGCCGTTCCCATCTAGTGCTTTATCCACGCCAACCTTCGTGGGCTTTCACGAGAGTCCGTCCGGTAGTGCTGGCTGGATCTCCGAGGGGGAGACGGCCAGCACTAGAGGACAGTCACGTCGGATTAGCAACGGTATCATGGATCGGGTTGCCAAATTTGAGAATATCGGAACCGAGGTTCCCCGGAGACCATTAACGCCCCGCCAGAATGTTACAGGTGGGCCACCTGTCTGTTGGCTGGCCAACGACGTGATGCTGACGGTGACCAGATTATTTTCCTCTGACGCCCAGAGATACACCGCACGATCGAACCATCAAGCACGGCCAGCAGCCGCAGAGTTTCGCAGACGGTTACGATGAGTCCGCCGTAGAGACCATCAAACCGACGAGACAGCCCAACCGACAATCGCAGACCACCTTTGACGAGATGCGTAAGGCTGCCGAGGCTCAGATTTCGATGCCATTGTCGGATCGAGGAGGCGCGATGCCGCTACTAGAGACATTCAATCCCCCTTCCTCGGACCCGATGTCGGACTTTCTGAACATGAGCTCCATCGGGAACAGCGGCCTCAGGATCGACACTACCTTTGACGGGCTCACCGCATCTTCGCATCAACTCAGCGCCAGCTCAGACCTGTCCGCGCAGACGTCTCCCATCACGCCGCACATTGGCGAATTCGATAGTTCCTGGGACTATAAGCCGGATCTGCGAGTTCTTGACGCGGGATCCGACGGGCTTCTTAGCAAAGGGTCCCCCTTGACCGAGGCGCTTTCCCGCCGAGGCACCCCCCAGCATCGCCGAAATGAATCCGTCGCCAGCATAGCTAGCGCGGCGAGCATCGCGAGCATCGACATCGAGAAGACCAAAACATCCACGGGGATCACTCTCGAAGACATCCACCAATACATCCAAGGGCCCGATCCTCGGGACAACAAATGGACATGCGTCTTTGAAGACTGCAACAAGAAGTTCGGCCGCAAGGAGAACATCAAGTCCCATGTGCAGACCCATCTCAACGACCGCCAGTACAAGTGCCCGACGTGTCATAAGTGTTTCGTCCGACAACATGATCTGAAGCGCCACGCAAAGATCCATACCGGGATCAAGCCGTATCCCTGCGAGTGCGGCAACAGCTTCGCACGCCACGACGCCCTCACGAGACACAAGCAACGCGGAATGTGCATCGGCGCTTTCGATGGCGTGGTGAGGAAGGTGGTGAAGCGGGGCCGTCCCCGAAAGCACCGACCGGACATGGACGAACGCAAGGAGAAGTCGACGCGGACTCGCAAGAAGAACCAGTCGATATCGTCAATTTCCTCCCAGTCGGGCTACTCTGACAGCTCGGCAGTCAATTCCCCCGAGAATGTCGAGCCAGACTTCGCGCTGGACGATATTATGGACGTATCGCTGGGCGGGACAACGATGAATCCAAGCTCCCTTCAGGGCCTAGGCTCCTCTTCGGCGCCGATGCCATGTCTCTCCACCGACGCACCGTTGAGTACACACTCGCCGTCGGCCACGAGCGTACACTCTTACGTCTCGCAATTGTCGCACATGTCACTCCACCAAGAAATTGCCGGTGAAGCGAGCTCGTCACGGCCGGGGTCCCCAGCCAAGAGCGTAGCGAGCCAATTTAACGAGCTCCCGGAGCTGTCGAGGTCGTCGTCGCCGCCGTCGTGCGGCCGTTACTTTGACGCGGAGCCGAACTCGAGCGGCCTCGAGGCCGCGATAAGCAGCGCCACAGAGACGTCGAGCATCCCAAGCTTCTCGGCGATGGGCGAGAACGACGACGACATCCTGCTTCAGTTCACCAGCAGCGACCCCGGCATGCTGATGCTCAGCTCGGACGCAAAATTCGACGAGGCATTTGATAGCGTGGACATGTTCACCAGCAACGACGATCTGTTTTTCGGTAGCGGCTAGGCCACTCGGGAAGTGGTGCGGCCGCATTGCGCACGTCTTTGTCCTGCCACGGGATGCCTCGCTTCTATGGCCATTTTCTTTTCTTTTTTTTCTTTCGGGTTCTCAACTTGACTAGAGGGAAGCAGGATATTTGCCGTCTTGGGGAAAACTTAATGAAGCTCGTATTGGGGTATAATTCTATACTTGACCCTGGTGCTCAATATGGACATGCTCGCGACTTGGGACGAAGGAAAATTATTGTGTGTATGATAGGATAACGGATTGCCATGAAGGGGTCGGGGCGGAGGGGGTTTCCAACTGGGTCACCTGGGCCGGTCAGTTTCGGCGTTTTAGCGCCGACGTGTCGTGGCCGTCTTTTCTGACGTCGCTTTGTTGCCGGTTGTCGGTCGTCAGTACAGGGCAGGCCCGCAGTGCCTCTCGTTTTATCTCTCTCATACCCCATAAGGGATCAGAATACCAATCTACCATCGTTGATGCGATCGCCTCCCAGTCGCCTATTCCTCCCGTAGTCTTTTTTCCACGATGCCTGTGCCTCTTTGCCTGCACCGAGCGCTTCTTGAAAGCGAGGTACCCGAAGTAAGCTGCAGCTGGGAGCCAGTCGGGCGCAGGTGCCCACCTGGCAACCTTACTTAGGTACCGTTATCGACCGCCACCGCCACTCCATCCTTTCCTAATGTAACTGCCTACCTCTTTTCCAGTCCTTGTCAGCTTTTCACCCTTCATTATTCAACGGCGACAGGTCATAGAGAACGTCCAGGTCTCTTGATATGACCTAGACAGACGAGTCATACCCGATCCCGGCGTCCTCCAAGCAGATCAGGCAAATTATCTTACTGTTAGAGAGGCATCAACGACGACGACACCCGTGTGTGCCGTCCTCGGACGCCCAAATTACGCCATCTAGCCCTCGAAGCAACCGGTCCCCCACCTAATCTAGGGATGAGGCACGAGGTATTCAGAGGAAGGGCTGCTCTGCTTTCACTTTGTTGAGGAGCACAGGCAAAGCTACCCGGCAGGCAAGATAGCAACTCTCCAAAATCTGCATTATTCGAAGACCACTGCCGGGAAGCTGTTGCGCTACTAAGGACGACACCCGACTAAAATGTTCACTCCCACTACGATTCCTTACCACGATCATTGGTTCCCCTCGGACATCCCTCATGCAGTAAACCTCACGAGTGGCCTACCTCACGGCCAAGATACTGATATCCTCCTTCTCCGATGCGGAGATGTCCGGAGCATCTTGTTCACAGCTTACTCTGAGCAAGGTCTTCGTAAGTTCCCAAACATTCTGCGTGACTGGTTTTTGATATCGTTGGGTTACTATCTGCGGGTCTAACGTGCAGGCCCTCCCATCAGCGGTTGATCCACCACCCTCCCGCCTTATCATTTCGAAGATGCCACTAACATGGGGACGATATACCGACAGCACCTCGAAGGCTTGACATCACATGTGTTCACGTCGAGCCGGCTCTACAAGGTAAGCATCACCTTCCCAGTAACTAAACACGCGTCGAACCAACCCTTCTAGCACGAAATATCTTTCTATATAATACCGCCCTAGTTGACGGCGTCGACATAGAAAGAGTGTGGGATATCTATTTTCACGCCCACATCGATGAAGACACAAAGAAAATTGTTGAGGAGCAGGCAAAAAAGGTATTGGCCCTATCGGATAGCCTCAGCGAGTGAAACAAGGGCAAATACGGGCCCATCCTGCCATTCTGGGACGCAGCCTCGCTCCGGCAAGTGAGGGAGACCTGGGCAAAGTACGTGTCGCCTCAATCTAACGGCATTGCCAGTTCAAAGGACATCTCATGCAGTCAGGGTCTCGCGAAAGATATTTGTAGAGAGAAAATAATCGTTGCGGGTATTAATTCCACAGCCCCATTGTCCTTTGCATCAAGAGACGGGGTTACTTCATCCTGCGAACACTCCTGGGAGTGCGGTCACCTCAGTAAGCAGCCGGCCACACTTCCAAACCCGTGAGCTACTAAGTCGACATTCGGCTGTAGCACAGATCCCATTTCAGGATTTCATACAGCAACTGCGTTCGCAAAATTGGCGCCAGGCTCCCCGCTCAGTTTCAACGCGGGCAAAGATGGCGGCGAAACCGTTCACGTTGTCCAGGCAGGGAAGAATCAATTTCGAGAATGGGCGGCATCATTCCAGAAGGCATTGGGTGGGCGTATCATACTCAGGTTCGCCGTCTCGGATGGCCTACGATTTGCTCACGCCCTCCAAACTATTTCGTCTTTAGGAGGTACTAGGCCGAGCCTCCACCACCGACAGCCGGACATAACGCCAATCCAATTTGATACCGGAGCCTCCAAGGCCAAAACCCCAGCACCTGTGAGGTTCGACTTAATTGATACATCGGGTCTGAACTACCGTGTTGGCGCGTTGAATGTATTGGTCGCGACCGGGCCATTGTTGAAACTATCGGTATCCTCAACCATATGGACCGATATACCACCGATAGAGGAGAAAGCGACTCAGAAACTCCCTTTGGACGCATTCCTCGGCGGGCATGCGCCAACTGTATCTCTACTACTAGGCCTCGTTCCGATCGACTACTGGACCAATGCGACGTCTGTGTCTTGCACACACGAAGTCCTGAGAAATGCTATAATCGCAAGCTCGACATGGCCTCTCCGCTCTAACTCCCGGTTGCCTTGGAAGCTGAGCACGACTTTTCTACGGAAACAAGGCAGCTCCGAGAGCCTTTTTGTTGAGCCGGGAGCACTTGCGGGATCCACCTTTCATATCTTCACAAAGATGTTTAAGGATGAGAAGGTCACAACTCGGTTAAGCTCCGGCCTCGGAGAGTTTACAGGCGAGTTAACGGACACTATGTACCCGCGATCCCACCGAGGAAGTTTCGCTGCGCTACTGAAGCGTGTCGAAGAAAATATCTCTACCGACTGGCCGAATTTCTGGGAGCAGCTATTGAGAATGATAGACCGGGACAGCGAAGACATGACAACGTTAGGAAACCTCTACCGCTAGGACCTAGGTGTGCAGCTCCACCTCTAGGGTCTGTACACGGAAAGTTGGCTGGAGGCTGATGTCATGCCTATACCTGGCGAAGGCCGTTTTCACGCTTGGAGACACATCCCTGAAGTGGTCTGCCTGACAGTCACCGTGCCAAGGCAGCACATTGACTCCATATATGGGACCGACCTGACAAAGATGAATGTGCCGCCAGCTCTCGAAGGTCAACTCAGATCGAGTGGACTCGACGATTCACAAAAATTATTTTCCAGTGTAGACGTCGTTTTCGGGCATGTTGACACGTCTGGAGACCGCATATCCGAAGATTTCTCGATAACGGTCCGCCAAGATCCTCTGAGTTGGAAAGGAGCCTCGCCCGTAGTGGTTTCGTACTATGTCCCGTCGAGCGCACTGCAAGCTGAACCGGATGGCGTAGAAGTTGGGCTCTGTATTCGGAATACCATCAAGAATAAGTATACGCTTAAGGACCACATACCCACGATGGACATCTACATGACGAACCTTAGCAATGAATCACACGTTTTCGTCACTAAGCATGCGCCCGGGATGTCTAACCGCTCCTTTACGAGCAATCAGATAGACGGCGATACCGCGAATAGTGGCAATACGATAGACACTCCCCAAACAAACGTACCGGCTGCTATACGGTTTACCGTGAACTTGGAAGGCGACGAGATTAAGTCTCTGTGTGCACGTGTCAGTTTCTCGTCACAGAAAGACAAGGCGCTATTAACAGAGCGTTTGCCCATGAAATTAGAGCAATCCTCGCCGTTTTCGATGGATATCATATTTGGAGGAAAAAGTACTGTCGTTTACCCAGTCTCATTCCCGGCTCCCGTTCTCAAGGAAACCGCTCGAACGCGTATTGCGCGCACGTCGGGTTACGTCGAGATCACTGCACTTGTGCCGGACCCTCTGGCATCGGAGCTCTCGTCATCATTCATTTACCCCACTATGCTCGGGAAAGACTCCGTCCCTATCTTGCTCAACAGCCAACACGTCAACTTGGACTCTTTGCCGGTTCTCAACGTAGATCGAGTTCACAAGAAAGCCAACGCATGGTTGTGTACACTGGCCTCATACCAATTCTCCGCCCGCGAGCGGCGAATGCGGGACTTGAGCATGCCGGACCAAGGCATCTCAAATTCGGTACGCCTCGACTTCGAAGAGTCCCCTTTTACCATATTCATGCTGGCGTCGGGTCTTCAAGGCGTACAAATAGGCCTTTTTGCTCTCAGGTATCCCCCAGACGGAAATCAGATCCTGATTTTCGTCCGTGCGATCCGGCTCAACGGGGCTGAGAGCTCCGTCGTAGCAGACGCCGTAGCTATCTCCGTCACGAGGCAGCTCATCGACTCCGGAGAGCTCGCAGAATTTCCCCTCATCCTTCGAGAGTTGGAGATGTGCGTCGTTGACGTAAGTTACGAGGAGCTCCTACTTTGGAAAAAAGTCTTGCCCGCCTTCGTCGAGCGATGCCGCACGTGGAGTCACGGCCCTGAATGCGAATACAGGAGACCTGGCGCTACGATTCCGCTTAGCGTTGAACCTGGAAAATAGATCATATGTAGTTGCGGCAACGGGAAATTTGCAGAGCGGTTTGTGAGCATACCGGGGTGGGAAAATGTTTCCCAGTACGCGGTGCGCCTCGCGATTAGCCCGACGTTCGCTGTGCCCTTCATCGAGGATGTCGTGGACGTCAACTTAATACGTGCCCAGAAAAGTATAAAGGAGCTGCAAATGCAACAACTGCAACGCTACTGAGGGCAAGGGTGGTGGGCGGCTGTTAAAGTGCACGAGGTGCAAGGAAGCCATGTACTGTTCTCCAGAGTGTCAGCGCAAAGATTGGAAGAAGCATCGTATGGAATGCGAACCTAGCGACGCGACAGCAGGATGAGTACTATGGCATGCCTGCACATTCTCTCCACCCACCGAAGTAATAATACATACTTCTCGAGGACGTTTCCCTGACAGAGACGAGGGTTTGGATGACCACGGGAACTTTCACCAGGAGCATATTGACAAACTGTGGCATTGCCAGATATTCGCAGACGACCTGAAGTTTACGAAGTTAAGCCATGGGCCTAGCCAGGGGATCCCTTGGGAATCCGCCTCCGATGTTGAAGAGCATGCCTACCGTCCGACACGCCGTGACCCCAGAAACCGGCCTAGAGGGAAAGCAAGGGCCAAGCGTAAGCAGTCAGGCAGCATATGGCCAGGGGTGATGGGGTTACGGCAATATAGTATTGGAGCTGATTTGCTACGTATCGCCTAAGGTGCGAGCTACTGAATCCAGCTTATCAACTGGAGTCCGTTCTTAGGTCAACAGGTTTCCCTTACCCCTAACGGTGATGCCTAAGCATGGCCAAATCGAGCTTGATCTTGTTGCAACTGGTGTCGATACACAGTCAAGGCGGCTGCCCGGATATTCCACATTGGCGGAATGCCATAATGCATTGAATTATAGCCAGCTACATCGAATCTCGCCGTACGATGCCATACGTCCTATAAAGGTAAAATACAGGAAGTACAAAGAGAGGGACGAGTATCCCAAGCAGCAGTCAGGGGGTGCTAACTGTGCGAGATCGTAGTGTTCCTATACAAGACATACACGTCAGGAAGTCTAATAATGCTATACCTTGCCGAAGTGCTAGTAGGCTTGGAAATTGGGGAATGGCGTTGGCGGCTTCGTTTGCCGTTGCATTCCGGACGTGGAGGGTCGCGATCTTCAATCCTTCAATCCTTGACAGAAGGCTATGTGCGACTCTTGGAAGATAATCACTCCGGTGACGTTAACCATATCAGGAAGCTTCACCGGGGGGTATAGCTGTGCAATGGCATGGATCCGTAGCCTCACCAGCATTGTGAGGCTTCAAAAAGCTTGCCTACCATACCCCGTACGCGCACATGGGGGCAGACGTGGGCTCGGGACATACTTGCCTGCTAGAATGCAACGCGACGGTATTTAGCCTAAAGGCGTCAACCACCCCTCATGGGCCCATCCGCTCGAGGGCATCGTAGCGGCGCGACAGTAGCAGGTAGTGTCATCATACCAAACCCGGGTCAGGCCGCAATCCCACCTACATACACACACAGCGAGCGACACCAATTCCCGCCCCGTGCGACGGGCTGATGACGAGGCCTACGTCAAGGCAAGGCGCCGCGCCGTGACACAGCGACTCGCCGCGCGTCGACTGCTGCCAACTCGGAAGGTGACATCTCCCACGGACAGAGACGCAGGCCGGGGCGCAGAATCCGCGAGCGCGCGCGCAGATGCCACCCGGAGTATAAGTCTTGAGTAATCGCATTCTATAATCCATCGGCCCATTTAGTCATGGCTGAGGGGACGCCTCGTGCTGCTGCCGCAGTCGGCAGATCCTGGAGGAGGGAGGCCAATAGTGGTGGTGATGGCGGCGGGAGGAAGAGGGGGAATACGGGGGTCCTGGTCTCTGCCTGCTTCGGTTCGACGACGGGAGGGTTGGAGTATTCCTCCAGAGCGACGATGAGCCTGGGCAGTCGGGCGATATACAAAGGGCGCTGTAGTCGTAGCGTCAGTGGCTTTATGGAGGTCCCCTGCAAGGGGAGTACGCGTCGCTGCTGATCGCTGCTGATCTTGTTGCTGTTTTCGATATTGTCGTTGTGGGATAATATTCTGCCAAAGAAGGCGAAGGCTGTCTCTGCGCCATGAAATCAAACTTCCCCCTCGCTCTCCTAGGCACATGCCTTCCAGGAGTGGCGGCCGCGGCCGCGGCGTACAACGTATCCGCCTTTCCCCCAAACTCCATCCAGCTCACCGAGGCGGACATCGGCGACTTCTCCTCTATCCGGTTCGGTGACGACACCGACGGCACGCCCCTCGACGTTGACGAGTCCGAGTGCAAGGTCTTCCCAGGGGATCCGGCCTGGCCCGCAGCAGAAGAGTGGGCGCGCCTGAACGCGACGCTAGGCGGCGTCCTGCTGAGGCCGACGCCCTCAGCCGCCGTCTGCTACCCAGGACCCGACTACGACCCAGAGCGATGCCAGTTCCTAGTCTCGAGCGCGTCGTCCTCGCACTACTGGCTCGACGAGCCGCTGGTCGCGCTGACGGAGTGGGCGCAAGGAGCCACCTGCGCGCTCTCCCTGGCCCCCGAGGGGAACTGCACCCGTGGCGGGTTCCCCGAGTACGTCGTCAACGCCACCACAGCCCGGCACATCCAGACGGCGGTCAACTTCGCCCGGAACAAGAACATCCGGCTCATCATCAAGTAAGAGTCCGCGGGATTTGCGCTCGCTCCTCTTTCGTCTTGGACTTGTGCTATCGCCCCGTAGTCTTCACCTATCTATTCCTTCTTTTCCCGTCTGCCTGCCTCTCGCAGCCGGCTAGGTGTCTGACCGCGGGAGCAGGAACACCGGGCACGACTTCGGCGGGCGGTCGGTCGGCGCGGGCGCGCTGAGCGTCTGGACGCACTACATCAAGACCACCGAGTTCCTGCCGGCGTACGAGGTCGGCGAGTACAGCGGCATGGCCGTGCACGTCGGCGCGGGCATCGAGTCGTGGGAGGAGCACAACCTGATGGCGCGGTACAACGTCACCATCCTCGCGCCCGGGTGCGGGACCGTCGGCGGCGCCGGCGGCTGGATGAGCGGCGGCGGCCACACAACCGTCAGCTCCCGCTTCGGCCTCGGTGCCGACCAGGTGCTCGCCCTCGGCGTAGTGACAGCCGCCGGTCGCTTCGTCGTGGCCGACCCGTACACCAACTCGGACCTGTTCTTCGCCCTGCGGGGCGGCGGCGGCGGTGAGTAGGGGGGGATGTATATCGGGGTTCCAGAAGATTTCCGGACTAATGGCAGCGTACTGCAGGGACGTACGGCGTGGTCACCTCGGCCGTCATGAAGGCCCACCCGCGGGTCACGGTGACGGGGTCGTCGCTCGCCATCGTGCTGGGTAACGGGACGTCGGCGCCTGGCGGGCAGCTCGTCGTAGCGGACGCGGACACGTTCTGGCGGGCCGTCGGGGCGTACTACCGGTTCGCGGCGCAGGTCCTGGACGCGGGGGGTTTCTGCTTCAGCTACATCTACCCGGCGGCGGGGGGCGGGTTCCTGTTCACGACGTTGACACAGCTGGTGGGCGGGGAGTGGACGCAGGAGGCGGCGGCGACGTTCGCGCGGCCGCTGTACGCGGCGCTGCGGGCAGCGGGGGTGGCCGAGGCGGCGGACCCAGCGCCGGGGCAGTTCTCGAGCGCGGCCTACGGGACGGCGCGCGCCGTCGCCGTGGGCCCGAGCCCCGGCAACACGCGCTACCGCTCGCGCTTGCTGCCGCGCGAGAACTGGGACGACGACGCGCGCTGGGCCCGCACCATGGCCGCCGTGCGCACCGCCACCGAGGCCGGCTTCGACAATGGCTTCTACTTCCACGGCACGCTCGCCTCGCCGACCGAGGACGTCGCCGGCTGGCCCGGCCGCGCGAGCGCGGTCAACCCCGCGTGGCGCCGCAACCGGATGCACGCCATGCTGAGTGCGTAGCCTTTTCCGTCCCCCCCCCCCAAGCCCTCCTCTCTCCGTCTCACTCTCTCGTCCCCGCCACGGCTAACCCGAGAGCACGCACGCGCAGTGGACCAAGCGCCGGCGCAGTCGGTGGAGCGCGACGCGATGATGCAGGACTACATGGACCTGCTGCGGGCGGCGTCGCCGGGGGCGGGCGCGTACATGAACGAGGGCGACCCGGGCGAGCCGGCGTGGCAGCAGGCATTCTACGGGAGCCACTACGCGCGGCTGCTCGCGATCAAGCGCGCGCGCGACCCCTGGGGCGCCTTCTGGGCGCCGACTACGGTCGGCAGCGAAGGCTGGGCGGTGCGCCCGGCTGCGGGGGCCGGGGACGGCGCGGGCGCGTACGCAGGCTCGCAGAACGGGAGGCTCTGTCGGACGGGGGCGTGATGGGGCGGGAGGACATGGGATGAGTTGAGTTGGGATGAGAAGGAGGCGCATGCGGGAGGGGACAGGGGGATGGGATGATGGGTTAGGTAGCTTCCATCCTGCTTAGTGTACGCAGGGAAACAGGGGACGGGTAGGAATTGTACACCTCTCGACGAAAATAGCGGTAGGCTATACTATACGAAATGAGCGCTGGCTCTATCGGCCACGGGGTCAACGACGCGCCCGTACAGAGACGCGCGCAACTGCCGAGCGATATGCGATGCGATGGGGGAATACAAAATAATTACCCACCTAGACGAGCAGCGAGCGGGGGTTCGCCGGATAATAACAATTAAAGAACACTCTCTCCAGGCCAGGGTCAGGACGCCGTCGGGTCCGCTATGCAAATAACCCGAAGGATGGCCGTACCGGCCCCAGCGCGGCCTCAGATGAGACGTGCAAGCGCCGACGAGGTGCCATCGCTCGCTGCCAAAACGGTAGGGGCACGCGCCCTCGACAAATGGGAGGGAAACGAGTGATGTCGTCGGCCGCGGGGTCACGACCGCACTCGCGAGACGGAGCTGTGGTTGAGCTGAACGAGCAGGCGCCGAGGGAGAGAGAGGGGGGGGAGGACACAAGGCGCGCTTGGGACGTCCCCTTTTCTTCTTTTTTTTTCTTCCTTCCTACCTCTCGTCCCCTTTTCTCCCCACGTCGGGCCTCGAATCAGACGGCAGCAATTTGTTCCGTCTCGACGAAGCAGGATGCCAAGCTTCGCGGCTGCGCTGGGCGGACACCCCTGTGATGGCTTGGCGCTGCTCGGGGCGGGTTTCAGATCCTCGGATCCGCCGCCCCCTGACCAGGTCGCCAGCGTCCGACCCTCTCGCGGCCCCCCCTTCGCCATAGCGTGAGCGTGGCATGATGAAGGAGGCTTCTCACACAGGATCCTGGATCGCTGGCTTTCTGACCGCGAAGGGTCGGTTAAGGTTAACCCACCCGGGGGAGGAGCCCAAAAGCTGTCGCCCGACGCAAGTCAGCCAGCCAGCCAGCCAGCTCTCACCCGTGTTTGACCATGTTTAGCATCGCATGGAGAAATCCCCTAGGACCGGGACAAAGGACCGGGGGCTGATCCCTACCCAACTATCTACGTACCCAGCAGCGCTCGTGCACGCTCCGGTCAGAGCCATATCATGCCTCGTCCTCCCGTCGTCGGGGCGGATGTCGACGGTTTCCTCCCACCTGCTCTTCTTTTCTTCCGTTCACACATACGTTCGCTTGACTCGCTCTTGGCAGCTAGTTCTTCTTTTTTCCGTTCTCTGTACCGTGGCTGGCCACCTTTTTTGTTGAATTCACTTCTGCCGTAAAATATACTATTTCTAATCATTTCTCGAGAGCCTGCGCCGACATCGTCGATTCCGATTCGACCCGATACCCTCCCTGTTCTTACACAGCAAGACCCCGAGTTCACACCCCTCACCCACCCTCCACCATCGTCATCATGTACGCCTCGCGATCATCCCTCCTCGCCGGCCTCCTCTGGGCCCTGTTTGTCGCGCTCGAGGTATCAGCGCTCGCCGTCGGCGGGGACGAGTCGTCTAAGACGGGCCTGCTACTAAGCCTGCGGCAGGCGGCGACGCCGGCGGCCGCCGCGAACGTGGCGTGCGCCGAGTACTCGCGCGTGGCGAACTACTCGGTCATCGCGGGCAACTCGACGTACCGGGCCGCGTTCCAGCAGGCGTCGCCGCTCGGCACCTTCGAGTCGACCGCCATCATCGACGGCGCCGTCAAGAAGCTGCCCGAGTTCCAGTTCGACGGCCCCATCAACGCCGCCTGCGGCAACCTCACCGAGGTCGCCATCGCCGGCGCCGAGGCCAACTTCACCCGCGGCGTCGTCGCCGAGTTCAACATCAACGCCGGCCCCCGCGCCGCCGCCGCCGCCCAGCTCGGCCTCGTCTTCTCCGTCGCTCTCGCCACTGTCGGCATGCTCTCGCTCCTGTAAGGGGGACCTCCGAGAGGAGAGGAGAACGAGAGGGGGGAGCGGAGAAAAGGGGAGCCCGGAGTACGCCGCCCAAGCGAGCAAGAGAGGCAGGCGAAGGGAAGAGAGAAGGACGAGACAGGTATCATGCCTCGGTTCCTGCCGCCGAGCAGGTCGATCCGGGCCGGGATGGGACTGCAGTGCCTATCGAGGACAGCCTCCCAAGCATAGCGAGAAGGGCGAAATAGAATACCCACAATAATGAATATTTTTAACGGCCGTCTTAGTCGTGTGCGTGGTGTGTGATTACACAGGAGGCTATGTGACCAGTCGTTTCCAAATGAGAGGGGCAGGTGTTTTCTCGTGACAGCATCAGTTTCTAACCGGAACCGCTCCAGCTATCGGAACATGAGCATGATTTGCCGGGCAATAGGAGATTGGTTACCTTCTCCAGCAGGTATATAGGGGTCTAGATACACACGCCTGACACAAAGCGAAAACGCGACCAATTCCTCTACACTAACGCCGAATCCAGCAGCCTCAAGCCGCGGCCCGTATGAAATACGCAAATCAGCATCGCTCACAGGCTACAAGACTCTGTAAACTAACCAAGACACAAAACCCCCTCGAGCCTAAACCGCCGCCACATCAAAGCAAATCCTGGGGAATCGCGAATCCGCTGTAGCCAGAGCTTAAACCAAGCCAGCCAACATGTTATCTCAGAAGCAGAGACGGCTCTCACCAGCCCCCGGCCCCGGGCCCGGGCAGCCCGGACTCCCGCTCGGCCCCCTGCGCCGACGCCAGCCACCGATTCCAGTCGACCTGGCCGTCGAGGTCCATGATATTCTGCCCGTCCGCATCTGCGTCCGCGTCGAGGTCTATGTCGGCGAACACGTCGGCCGCGTCGGCCCAGAGCCACGGCGCCGAGCCGAGGTTCATCATCGGCGGCCAGCTGTCGGCGGCGGCGGAGGACGACACGCCGTATGAGAACCCAGAATGGCGCTCGCCGGTGGCCGGGGGGTCGGCCGACCACGACGGGCTGGGGTCCTGGCTTGGGGGGTAAGGACTCTCCCCGAAGGCCGGTGAGACGCCCGCAGAGCACGTGGAGTCCAGGTTCGTCGTCCACATGGACTCGTGAACGGGCCTAGAAGCGGCGTACGCGAGGTTGTTCTGGTGCTGCGAAGCGTCGATCCTTTCCTCCCCCTCTCCCCCTTCTCCCGTCTGCACGACGACAATTGACGGGTTCTTGAACACGCCCTGCTGGGAACCACCACCATCCGGGTGCTTTGGGGGCCCTTGCTCGGACGCGGTAAATACGAGGCCGTGCCAGCGCTCGCGGAAGAGCTCCTGAGCCTTCTCGGCAGTGAGCGGCCCAGGGACGAGGGGGATGGGGACGTTGCGATCAGCGGTAGCCTCGAGGCGCTCAGCAGCGGCAGGGTCAGCACGGAGGCGTGCGAGCTCGGCCTTGCGGTGCCGACGGGCCCGGAGCGTGAGCCGGCGAAGGGGAACCCAGACGCGGTTGTTGCGGTCGAGGCGGGCTTGGTCGGGGATTAGCCAGGGGCTGTGGAGAGCAGCCCAGGCACGCTCGACGAGCGGCGACCAGGGGCGGCGCGTCACCTCCATGAGCAGCAGCACGACGCTATGCCAGTGCGTGTACGTCTGGTAGATCCAGCGCCACTGGCGACAGCGCGGTTCGGCGTTGAGCGCGTGGTTGTGCTCGGCCACCTCGATCGCTGCGACGAGCAGCCGGTCTCGCACGGCTTCGTCCGAGAAGGGCTGACTCGACAATGCCGAGAACAGCGCCGGCACCGACGTGAGAAGCCTCATCTTCGACATCACCAGCCGAACAACTGTCATCCCGACCCACCAGACGATGTTGTCCAGCTCGGCCGAGTAACGGCCGTACCACCCCTCGACGCTCGTGTACATCTCCTTCAGCAGCTTATTTTGCTCCTCCAAATTAGGCGGGCCTTCTTTGACTCCAGGGGCCGTCATCCGCCTCGTTATCACACATATATCAAGATTGACGAGCGGAATTCCCATGTCCGTGATCCCTTGCCGCTCTGATGGTGTCTCCTTGGTATCAGTATCAATGTCGTCATCATTGATATTAAGGGGAAACCGGGTGTCGAAGCTATCCATCGGGATGGAAAGTTCGGTTCCCTGGTCTTCGGATGCCCGTACGTCCAGCACGCAGACTGCCCACCACGCTCGCCGCCGCATCTCCACCTCGAAAGGCGTCAAGTTATTGAAATGAGAGCCGTCGCGATGCAACCCAAGAGCGTGTGCCATTCTGATGAGAAGCCCCGTCATCATCCACACAAATCTTGGGCTGTCGTAGCGGCGCACGAGGAAGAGAAATACGACGAAGGCTTGGACCAGCACAAGATCGGGGACGTTCAGGAAGTCTGCTTTGGCCAAGGCAAGCTCCAGACCGAGCCGATATTTGAGGTTGAGCTCCGCTCGCGTGTTGCCAAAGTTGGCTAGCACCTAGGGATGAAAAGGGAGTTAAGTTAAGTTGGCAATGAGGCGCCCGGGGACACTTACGTCTTCTTCCTCCATGGATGTGACCGCTGCATAGTACATGGAGAATAGTAAAGCCTCGTTAGCTGGCGTGAGCCCCGACCCGTCGGCTCCGGGCGATTCGCGAATCATCTTGGTGACTGTGGGGACATGGACAGTCCTCGTGAACAAATTCACATTGGTGGAGAAGAAGTCAATGAGGAGAGGTATGTGAGATGGTAGCGGCCGGAAGTCACTTAAGTCGGGGGCGGAACTCCGCAGATTCTGTCCAAATAGAAAGGCATGCCGCTCTGCCGGTGTTCGCTGGAGCTCCTGCGTTAAGGACGGGGCCGTTCCTGGCGAGTCTTCGTCATCTGAGGAGTCGGTATCAGCTCCCGGGAGCGCGCGGGCATCCATCTTCAAGCCGTCGAGCTATGCATACAAGTCAGTTTTGGCCAGGCAAATAGCCATAACGGGAAACCAGATGGTATCGAAACTGGGCGCACGTACTTCGTCACTAACACGGGACCAGAAGCCGCTGCTGATGTAACGGCTTCGGCTCCCGTCCTGGAGCACCATCCGGCCGAAATGTTTTTGCAAACCGGTGGCTCCCGTGCGAGACGACGGACTTGCCTGGTTGTCGGCATCCCGTTCGTGGGTAGAGCTGCCAGGGGAGTTGTTGCCCTGAGTCGAGCGATCGGGAGAGGATCTAGCGGCAGCGTTGGCTTGCTCGAGCTGGCCACTCAGCTCCTTGACGAGGCCCTCGAGGTTCTGCAACCTCTGCATGACCTGTTCAACCCCGGGATCGGCCGGCTGCGGAGCCTGGGCAGCCGGCGCAGCGTGAGCGACACGCTCGAGGCGACGGGCCCATTTCGGGGGGCGGTCATTGGCCGGGAAGACGCAGGCGATATTGGCGCGACGGCAGTTGGAGCAAGGAGACTGCTTGTCGCAGCGGACCTTGCGGCTGCGACACACCACGCAGCTGCGTAACTTGGAAGACCACGCAGAGGCCAGAGGGGCCAGCGCCGAGGACGAAGGCGGGTGTTTATCCGATCCCAGGCCAGCCAAGCTCGCGCCGACGCCAACGCTGACACCCGCGGCCGCGCCCGTAGGCGGCCAGCGTGACATGGTAGAATGGGGTTGTAGGGGAGAGTTGCTGAGAAGACGAGCCCGGGTAGAGTGATGGCCGGTTTCGCACCCACTAATTCCCCCCTTCGTGCTTGGGCTGCCTGGGGTTGACTCTCCCGAGCGTGTCTAGCCGGCGCAATCTCAACTCCGTCTCGTCGAAGGAGCGAGAACTGGCCGAGGGGGTCACGTGAAACGCTTACCGTACCTAGGTAAGCACCTCTTTAGGGATTGGAGGCAAATGTCTTGCCCTAAGGGAACAACCTAAGGAAGTAAAGTAGACAGATACCTAGGTAGGTAGTGAGTACTAACCCCTAATTTAGGTCTATTGATAGGTACCTAGGTAAGTTAATAAATACCTCCTATCTACGTAACCTACCTAGACCTCTTTAACTACCTATACTTCGGTAGGGATCTACTTTAGGTACATTAGGTACCTACCTGCCTACAGCCTATAGGCGCCTGTAAGTCTAGGTAGTAATCGACATGCATACAGGCGCCTCTCACTGAAGCATCCGGTGCGTTAGGAGGTAATAGGCGCCTCTACACGGTTTGAACAATGCATACATGCATACAGGTACCTAAGGTACCTACCTAGAGGCGCATCCTTCGGCCACCTCGGACGACTTTCGGGTCCCGCACTCCTAAGGGACTAAACCCAACTCTGATCCAACTCTCCATCCTATAACCCCAAAGACCATCGCCAGCGCCTATATAGAAATGTATACCTACAGTAGGTAGATACCTGAAACCCAGAAGGGTCAGACGGAAGTGGACAAGCGTACGAATGCCGGGGATGTCCGCATGTGGCTATACGTCAAGGAAGCCAGTCGCGAGGTTGCATGGACCGGGCGTGTGGCCACGCTACTGAGCATGTGGCCTAGCCCCAAGATCTCTGTCAAGCAGCACACCAACCAACAGACGCCAGCAGCCCGACCACCAAAGCCCCTGTCGACAGGTTCTGCGATTCAGAGCCATGGAGAGTATTCGGAACTACGGAGAGAGAAATCAGAGCCATGGAGAGAGAATTCAGAGCCACGGAGAGAAAACCCTCATCGCCGATGGCGCCCACCTTTATGGTGTCCGTGCCGGGCAAAGTCATCGTCTTCGGCGAACACGCAGCTGTGTATGGCAAGCCAGCCATTGCCGCAGCCATCTCTCTGAGATCCTATCTCCTCGTCACCACCCTCTCCAAGTCCCAGCGCACCGTCACGCTGAATTTCAGAGACATCGGCCTGGATCATACGTGGAAGATTAATACTCTGCCGTGGGACATCTTCCGCAAACCTTCCAAGAAACGGTTCTACTATTCCTACGTCGACTCCCTCGATCCCGAATTACTCGACGCCGTTATACCGTATGCAGAGGCTGTGTCGAAAGACCTTCCGGAAAAGAGGCGGAAGATGCATGTGCGATCTGCCACTGCCTTCCTCTACCTCTTCCTCTCCTTAGGCTCCCCGGAAAGTCCTGGGTTTATCTACACTCTTCGATCCACCATCCCAGTCGGCGCTGGTCTAGGCAGTAGTGCCAGTGTCTGCGTCTGCTTGAGTGCTGCGCTGCTCCTTCAGATACGCACCCTTTCAGGACCTCATCCTGACCAACTTCCCGAGGAAGGAGAGGTACAAATTGAGCGCATCAATCGCTGGGCATTCGTGGGCGAGTTGTGCTTGCACGGAGACCCTAGCGGGGTGGACAATACAGTCTCTGCAGGTGGAAAGGCTGCGATCTTCCAGAGAAACGGCTCGGGACCACTATCCGTCACTCCCCTAACCAAGTTCCCGAAACTGCCACTGCTTCTCGTTGATACACGACAACCACGTTCAACAGTTACGCAGGTTGAGACAGTTAAATCCTTGAATGCCAGCCACCCTATAGTGGCAGGGACAATCTTGGATGGAATTGGCCAGATTACAGCTTCTGCTTTGAAGCTCATTGCATCGGCCGATTTTGATGGGGACGGCGCCCCGGAGGCTGTCGAACGCTTGGGAACTTTGATCGGTATAAACCACGGGTTTCTGGTCTCACTGGGGGTTTCCCATCCCCGTCTAGAACGTATCCGCGAGCTCGTGGATTACGCCGATATCGGCTGGACAAAACTCACCGGTGCTGGAGGTGGTGGATGTGCTATCACCCTCTTTCGACCAGACGTTAAAGCCAAAACTATTAAAGAGTTAGAGAGTTAGTTCACTGCGGAAGGATTCCAGAAATATGACACTATCCTAGGCGCCGACGGAGTTGGTGTCCTTTGGCCAGCAATATTCCGAAGCAGCATCGATGGGGAGGCCAGCGAAGAGATCGATAAGGAAAAGTTCGAAAATGCTGTAGGTGCTCAGGGTACCGAACATCTTGTTGGAGTAGGTGCGCAGGAAAACCGGGCATGGAAGTTCTGGACGCGAGCTGTTATCTGAGATAAACAGAGACTATGATCACCCTCGAGAAGTATCGAGGCATGCCGAAGCTCCTCCCGATCTCTGGGTTCAAACCTCTTCCTTAGTACAAGGTCTATGGATCTTTTCCGCTTGACTTAACGACTGCTTCTAGGCCCAAGGAGGCCTACAACGCTCATTCTGTCAATGTCAAGGACTGCTCCGGCCCGGTGCTGCCACGGGAAGTCGTCGATTGACTCCTAAGTTGTAGCGTAGCTCATTCCAGACTTGACTACAGGTAGGAGGGATGCGCCTACCATTACTAAATAGGAGAACAGGGTGTTGTCGATGAGTTAGAGCACTTCTGGGCGCGGTTTGCGGCCATGTCTCCTCTCTTCTTCACGCATCATCACTAATTTTTGATGTATCATTCATTGCTATTGATGTGCCATCTACCCAGTCCGCGGCAGATCTCCAAAGCCCCAACCACACATTCCAGTAGGTTTTTTATTTTCCTAATCCGTGCTGTCGATGTTCATCTCGGTCGCTCACGATGCGCTAACTTGATCTCACCACAGGAGCTCTCCATACTGCTTCCGTCTCGAACCTTCGAAACAACCACAAGATGCCCAGACGCGCCACCATCCCCTCGCCAATCCGCGAAGCACTCATCGAATGCTTTCGCGCAATCACCCGTCTTGTCAGGCCCGATCGTCGTCGTCAGCTAGTACTAGTTGGCGGTGCGGCCAGTATTGCCCACTCCTCAGTCTAGAAGACTGAGGACGTGGATGTTGCGGCCCCTCCAGGCCCGATCATTGACATCCTGGAGGCGAGTAAGTCCTCACCTTTGCCCTCCCCGTCCCGGTCTTCAGATGCCAACCTGTCGACATCACCGCCGCAGTAGCGGCCGGCGCCCCCAGCTTCAGTCTCGAGACCGACGGCAAGATCTCGTTTGATGCGCCCCAAGGATTCAAAGTCAGAGTCGATCTCCTCGAGATCGGCGGCGAGTTGGGATGCGTCGAGCGGATTCACGCGACGGAACCTTTTTACGAGGGTTCTGTCGCGTCAAGGTCGGATCTCCTGAGGCTGAGGGCCATGACGGTGGTTGATCGAGGAGGTGATGGTGACGTTCTCGACTTCTTGTGGTTGTTGGAGGTGGTGAAAGCAGGTCAACATCTTCCGGAGCTAGACAGTCAAGAACTGGAGTGTGTGATTGGGGCAGCGGAGGCGTGTCTACCAGGGTTGGGTCAACTAGCTGCTGTCGCCGTTTTGGGCGAGCGGGATAGCGCTGCTGCTTTGCAGCTGTAATTTTTCTATATATCATATATAAAAATTATAAACTACAATCAATCATCGTATAATTCTCACCGCTGCCTCCTTTTCGGCGTGCGCCACGAATCTATATTGATTTTTATAAAACAAAATAAGTAACGAGAATATTATAGACTACGCTTAATAGTAGAGTCTTGGTTAACACGAGAGCTTGGTACGTAATCCCGCTCCTAGCGCTAGTAAAGTAATAAGGTTAGTAGTTATAGGTACAGCTTATAAAGTGTACTTTTTCTTCTTTTTCTTTTCGTAAAGCTTTAAATTGTTAATGTATAGCTTTGACTTAACGAATAGCCCTGAAAACCGTAATAGAAAAGGTATTTAAATATATAAAAATGTTATTAAAATATCTAAAAATAGAAAAGTTTAAATGAAAAACTATATTATAATCATAACACCTTTTTTAAAAAGGTTTAATTAATATGAATAATATAAATAACTTTAATAATTAACACAATTATTACTAAGTAATATTTAATTTAGGTGGTCCGCGAAGGGGTAGCCTAAAAAGGTGTAGGGTAGCTTATATATTTAGTCGTTCCGTACTTTAGATTTCCTTTTAAACATTCAGCCAATCTACTCTTCCTACCTACGTCCGCTTGCCACCTTCGCGCGCAACCCGCATCATCACATTTCACAGTGACATAATTTAACAAGTGGTGGGATCCTACGACTTACGATTGAACCTCAACCCTCATAATTAGGTGACAGGCCTAATCTTCCTCTAATACTTCATCAATCTTCACCGGCATCAGCTACTGGCTCTTTACAAGGTCGTTCCCGAAAACAACACTTCCTTACACCGAACGGCCTTTTACAGATCTCAAAACATTAGAAATCATTTCTACGATCGTGTCCTATTTAGTCTGCCATCCTAATCTCTAGACTAAGCAGAGACTTGTCTTTAGTCATGATGCAGACCTCTGGAGTGGAATCCTTCGTCAAGACAAAAATCCTGATTTTATCCGACACACACGGCATGAGCCTCGCAGGGAAGATCCCTAGCCAACCCGCAGATGTTGCCATCCACTGCGGAGATTTGACTGAGGAGTCGAAGCTCGATGAGTTCCGCGCGACTCTCGAGCTCTTGCGCGCTATCAAAGCCCCTTTGAAGCTTGTCATCGCCGGCAACCACGATTTTACGCTCGATACCTTGAGCTTTAGAAAGAAGGTTGAAGAAGCAAGACCGCGATTGGAACCAGAGCTTGTAGCAAAATTCTATGGACAATATGAAGAGGCAAGATGCCTGTTATTGGATGCGAAAAAGGACGGCATCTATCTTCTCGACGAAGGCATACATCGAATCGGTCTACAAAATGGCGCCACGCTGGCTATTTACGCAAGCCCATACACGCCGTCATTGGGAGATTGGGGTTTTCAGTACCGTCCATGCGAGGGCCACACATTCAGCATCAAAGAAGGAACCGACATTATGATCACTCATGGGCCACCACGGGGTATCTTAGATCGAACAAACTCTCGGGAGCGAGCAGGATGCCCGGATCTCTTCACGGCTGCGGCCAAAGTGAAGCCGCGAATACACTGTTTCGGTCACATTCATGAAGGTTGGGGGGCGAGGATGGTTACGTGGAGAGAGACGCTCAGCGAGAAACCTTCGCACCTGACTGACATCGATAATAGTAGGTCTTTTGTCATTGAACAGCTCAACACGTTGCAAAGGGGCAAATTCGACACACCTGAGGATGCAAAGAGGAAGGAGGAGAAGGTTAGGAAATATGCTGAACAGAAGTTTTGCGGTGCGAGTTACTGCTACGGCGATAGGACGGTGCCAGAGGCAGGAAAGCAGACGTTATTTGTGAACGCATCAGTCAAGGGTGATGAGGACATGCCTATTCAGCTGCCTTGGCTTGTGGAGTTAGAACTACCTAAGGTAGCTACTAGGAAGCGGGTTAATACACCGGAAACGATACTATAGTAAAAAGGGAGCGCGCTCTAGACGTGAACTAAACCAAAGTTAAGAAACTATCTCTAAAACGACGATAACGTAATAGTAGTAGAAGAATAGAGAAGAGTAATATAATCTTCTCTGCGAGTAGTAGGAAAAATTCTACTAATAATATAAAGTCGTTAAAGTAATTGTTACGTAGGCATGCACCCCTAGTGGGAACCACCTAGCTTACTTAAGTTAGCTGAGTACTACTATATGTACCTATAGATCGCTCTATATTCTCTAGTAGCTTTCCTTTTTTTCTAGTTAGTTAATATATACCTTCTTATCCTTATTTTATTACTTTTTTTACGAATAACCTATTAACTTAAGCTTAGCTTTCGTTAATTACGTAATAGTTATAAGCCCGGGGTACTTCTAAGGAGTTATTATTACTTAGGTTATTCTAGCGTAAGTAAGTAATATATTTATTTATTTCTTAGATCTTACGATTATACTCCCTTTTCCTTTCTATACCGGTACTTTACTCTCGCGTTTAGCTTTAGATAGTCGCTTATTTATTTCGCTATAACGATTAATACGTCCGAATTCTCCCTGGATAAAATTCTAGTTAACGTTTACTTACGAGCTTACGATAAGTAGCTACGTTAGTTCCTAACGCTTAAGTCGATAGCTACTTAATTCGGTATCTAGAAAGACGTTAATTTAGATAGAGCTAAGTTTAACGTTACTTAAGTCGTAGTAGGTACTTTTAAGGAGTATATTACTTAAGAGAACGAACTTCTTAAAGAAAACTATAAGAAAGCCGTCTACGAATAGGCGTCGATCTTAACCGAAGACCGAGGAGATTAACTACTAAGGCTTAAGGTACGAACTCGAGAGTAATAAACGGTAGCGTATAATAAGTTCGTTTCCTAGTAAATAACGATCGAGGCTTAGGTTATAGCTACTAATAAGTAGCATAGGGTTTTCTATGGCTAGATTCTCGCTTCCGTTTCTATAGGCTTTTTTAAGGTAGCTAATATGGAAATATAGTTCCTAGATCTCGATCCGATTATTTAAAACCTCGTAAAGATCTTCCGTAAGTAAATCGCTTCTACCGAAGCCGTTATTAAGACGCTTATTAAACGAGAATATCGTAAGGTACTCTAGAGAGTAAAGGTAGGTACTTATAATCCCGAGTAATTTTATGCTATATGGTAATACGCTTTCCTTTACGCTCGCGCTTATTATATTAACGAGATTAAGGGCGTTATAGGAGCAAAGGATTTCCTCGAAGTAGTTAGGGTTAAGATCGTAATCGACTAAGCTATACGGATATTAATCGCTTTTATTAAAGCTAATAGATTTAGCGAATAACTAAAGATCCTTAAGTAATTAGGCATCGTATTTAGCGCTTTCGTTACCGAGAATAAGTAAAAAGGTAAATTAGGTTATAGAATTTTCGTAATAGCTTACTAAGGACCGACTTTAGGAACGAAATTAACTAATAATAGCGGCTAAGGAAAACTAACGAGCTACGAATACCCTTATAAATCTAGAGGTAAATTATACTTATAAGTAGCTCGCTTTTATAGAATCCTATAGAAGTCCGTTATTAATTAAATTATACGTAACCTAAAGCCGATTCCGGCTAATATTATGCGAAAAATTAAGGCTAAATACGACTTACTTAAATACGCTAAGCTCCGAAATTAGATTAACCGCTAAGGATAAGACGTTCCCGTAAATAATATACCTAATAATCGCTTCGGAAACGGAAGAGGAAATAACGCTATTACTTAGCTAGTTAATATTAACGTAATAATAATCGACTTACGTACTATATACTTATCTACTTAAATTAGGATCTACTTTATTATAAACCTAGTCCGATATTTATTATCGGAAAGTACCGTCTTCGATAACTATAGAGTAATTTACCTTATTAATAATCGTAATCTTTTAGTAAAGGGATTATTCGTTCCCGCTAGAGACGGATAAACGGTCGAAGCTAGTATTACGAGCTTTCTTATTATTAATACGGGTCGTAGGATTATCGAGAAGTATATCTTGGATTAATCCGGTAAGCCTACCTTTAATCTAAAGCTTAAGGACGTCGTACTTATTAAAGATTTTTACGTTAATATTATCTTTAAAGCGAAACTTCGTAGTATAGGTATTTAGTTTTACGATTTAGATTATACTTTAAGGAATGGAACCTTCGAAAAAAGTACCATAGTAAGGAAGCTAGAGCGACGCTTTAACCTAGTCTTTTTCGAATTTAAATAGTTCTTTTCTTATTCGTAAGTCTTACCCGTAATATTATTTATAATACCATCGAGTATTTTACGTAACGTAACGTCGATCGTAGTAATATCTTATTTCCCGGAGAGAAACGTCCGGTGGAAAAGATCGAGAGATATTATTAAACCAAGAGAAGACTCCGAGGCATTTTAGTACTAGCGAATAAGGTATCTTAGTTTTAAGGCGCTTAAAGCCTTCGTTAAAAACGCCCGGAACGTTAAGATTAACGGTATACCTATAATTAAGTACGAGTATTATAGTTAAGCGATAGGTAAGAGAGTAATCTCGCGCCGTTTATTAATATATCGCTTGCTACGTTCTTTTTAAAAGGTATATTAGGATTTATTTAACTACCCGGAAGGTTACGACGGGTTTAAGTAGCTTATCGTAATTAAGAATAAATTTAACGGAATGTTATAGGTTAAGACCCTAGAAAGTAAGTAAGGTTTATTAGTAATAAGAATTCTTCGACTCTTTAAAAGATAGGTTCGGAAGTAATTCCGATTCTTAATTTATAAGATACGTTACGATAACGAACGCTTAGTAATAAGTATTAAAGGTATGTCCGGATATAAGATCTAGATAGTAAAAGAGGGCATTAATCTCGAACTTCCGCCGGTTAATACTAAGGAGTTAACCGGTAGGGGTAAGAGAGCTAGATAGATTATTATCGTTAAGTCGATTAAGATAAGGATTAAAGTAAGGTTACTAGAAAAACTATAGCCGGAAACCGTTAAAGCCGCGGTATATTTAATTAATATTAGCCCTAGCTAAGCTTATAATCTTCGTATACCTTACGAGCTTTTAAATACTTAATTTAAGTAGTACTTTAGATAATATATTCTAGAGGTAATAAGGGAGTTAATAAGCGACCTACGACCGGATTAAAACGGTATTTATATATACGGGTATCGCGCGTATCCCTTAATAAGAAAGCGTACTTAGGATCTTAATAAGAGAAGGTTTAAAGTAAACCTACGAGTTTATATCGGATATTTAATAGGATATTATACTAATAACCTATACCGAATTTAAATTCCTAAGCTAGGTAGAGTAATCCTAATTAAGGATATAGTCTTTAACGAAGAAACGTTTTATAGCTAGATAAATAAGTTAAAAGCTTAGTAACTCGAACGGGAAAAGATTAATCGAATAAATCTCTCGATACGTATAAGTAATAACGTTACTTAATTAATTATCGAAGTATTAAACCTATAGGATTCGCTTATATTATTTAATCGAGAGCTAAGTAATAAGTTAATTCCCTTCAGGAGGGGCGAGCTTACTTCGGGTAACGAGGATTTAAATACGACTTAGTCCGCCGGTCCTAGCTCGGGAAAGGGGTAGCCTCTAGAAGAAGAACTAAAGATAGATTCCGATAATTTAAAATACGAAACGGCTAGGTTTAAAGACGAGTAACCGTAAGAGCTAATAAAATTATTCGAATTAATCGAATAGGAGATATAAAAATAACTCGAAGCGGAAACCTAGGAGAAATTAAACGAAGAAGCGGATATATCCCACGGGCTCCCGAGTTTAAGACTTACTTTAGTCGTATCCGCGGAAGCTACGGGAAGTAAGAATACTCCGATAAGGAATATAGAATAATTAAAATTAGGTACGGCTATTAGTAAAAGTACCGAAAGTCCGGAGCGGCGAATATATTTCGCCGACGGAATAAATACTCGGGAATAGCCTCTAGAATAATTAACTAAAGAAACTCGTACTTCCTCCGAAGAAGAGGAGTAATATAACCTATTCCCGTAAACTACTTAGCGTAAGTAACGTAAAAAAAAGGTCTATCCTTTTATTATCCGTTATAATAAAAGGAAAAAAGGAAAAAGCCCGGAAAGGAATGAAGTAATAAGTAGCTTAAGTATTAGAGTTTACGTAATATCGGGTAACTTAACGGCTAAGAATAACCTCCTAAGAAATCGCTAGTTCGATTTTATAATAACCTTCTAGCTTAATTAATTAAAAGAATAATAAGTAAAGAGCTACGATAAGTATATTACGCTATACTTAGTTTTCGTAATAGCCGTTAATTAAACGAAGGCCGAGCGATTAAGCGTATCGCCGGGTAAAATAAGAATTTACCGCGACGATTTACTTAAACCGCTAAAGATATAAAAGGACTTAGATAAGTATTCATTAAGAGAGCGATTTAAAGAAAACGCTAGATCTAAGATTAAGGCCTTCCTACGTATTAAAATATAGCGTATTATTAATCGTAAACGGATAAAAATAAAGCTAATTTTATTAATATAGGTTTTCGATTATAAATTCGACGAAGATAATTTCCTTATTACCTATAAGTCGCGCTTAATAGCGCGAGGAAATTTATAGCCTAAAGAGTTATTCGAAAGTACTTACGTAACTACGTTAGTAGTAAAATCGTTCCGTATAATAATAACTATCGTAACTTAATTCGACCTCGAAGTTAATTAGTATAACATTAAAAACGCGTTCTTTAACGTAGTAAGACCGGAAAGCGACCTTATACCTATAGAATTATTAAACGGGTTTAAGGAAAAGGAAAAATACGCCCTCGCTATAAGAATAGTATACGGATTTAAAGATTTACCCCTACTTTAGTTTAAGGAGATTAAGAGTACCTTTAACCGCCTAGGACTCCAGAGCTCTCTAGAGGAGCCGTACTTATTCTATATAAAAGGACGAGAAGTCTTCGTATTAATATACGTAAACGATATATTAGTTATAAACTATAAAAGCTTAAAAGCGATGGTATAAAAGATAACTTAGGGGTTAAAGGATACCTATAAAACGAAAGAGCTTAAACCGGTAAAGTAATATTTAGGGATTAAGGTAATACGTAATCGTAAAGTACGAACTATAACCTTAATATACGACGCTTATATCGAGAAGATTACTAAACGCTTTAAACTAGCGGATAATAATTAGTTTCTGATAATATTACTATTAATTACCGAGCTAGTAAAGTATATAAACGTTACTTCGAAATAATAAATTAAGAAATACCAGAAGAAAGTAGGGTTATTACTTTATAGCGTAATTATAATACGCCTAAACGTCGCTTTCGTAACGTCCTAACTATCCTATTTCCTAATTAATCTAAGACCTTAATACTTTAAAGCGGTTAATTAAACGATTAGATACCTATATACTACTTACTTCCTTAGTATAAGGTATAGGGATAAGAATAATAACGCTTAGGTACTTTTAATTAATAGTAACGCTTCGTTTATAAACGATTCTAAGTTAAGAAAGTCGTCTTAGGGATACGTAATATCCTTATTTAAAGGTCCGATTATATAGAGAGCCGTTCGTTAGGATATAATATCGATATCGACGACTAAAGCTAAACTACTCGTATTAAAGTATATAGCTAAGGAAATAATAGCTCTTAAACGTTTCTTTAGGGATATTACCCTAAAGCTAGGAGAACCTTAGAGGGTATATAGCGATAACTAGTAAACGATAAAACTAGTAATAAGGGAAAAAGAAAGGATTAATACTAGGTTACGTTATATAGATATATAGAATATATAGCTACGCTAAGAGTATTAAAAGGATACCTTTAAAGTAATCTACCTCTTTATTAATTAAATATTAATAAACGGACTTACGAAAGCTTTATTACGTTAATCGTTCGAGTACTTTAGAGTATTACTTAACCTATAGAACGCTCGCGGAGAAATAATTATAATAATACTTAAAGAATCGCCGTAAGTACTAACGGTACGTAAATTCTTTCCTTAACTAATTAATATATAGATATAAAGTACTACCGCTATATAGAAATAGCTCTTCTTACCGCTAAATACCGAATTCGTATTATTCTTAGATCTTAATATAGGAAGGCTACTTTAAGATAAAGAACTTAACTACGGGAATAATAAGTAAGGCCGGATTAACGGAAAGTACGAGTACCGGCGGGTTCGTTTTAGTATTCGATAATCTCCTCGTATAAGCGGTCGGCTTATCGATATAGTACTTCGTATAGGTATTATTCGAAAGAAATAAACGCGTAAGCGCGAGCGATCTTAAATATTACTTCCTTAGAAAATTACTCTTCGTCCTCGGAAGTTTCCTCTTCTCCTTCTTTTCCTCTAACGTCTTTTATTTCTATATTTAACTTTTATTCGGAGGCGATAATAAGCGAGGCTACGTTAGGTATTACGGTCGATAAGCTAGCGGAAGCGTTACTTACGCCGGCTAAAGTAATAAAAGGACTAATAAGTATAAAGCTAAGGGCGGATACGATAAGAACGGTCGATAATCCGGTAGCCGAAGGACTTACGCTTAATTAGGTAAACTAACCGGAGTTAGTTACGCTTCGTTACGACTTTACGGTTTTAAGGACCGCGGGTATTTACTTCCTATCCTAATAAAGGATTAAGAGTTCTTTTATTATCGTAACGAGCTTAAGGGCTTATAAATAACGTTAGCGAGTATTAAATAACGCCGAATAAGGCTTATATATCGATAGAACCCTCGATACGAGCGACGATAAAGTAAGTAACCGGTAAGATTAAAGCGTCGGCCTTATATAATATTAGCTTTAGATTTCGACGTACGGAAATAAGAATACCTATAGAGGTACGTAAGCGTAACTAAATAAGTAGCGGTAGTAATAATCGGTACTTTAAAAAGAATCGAAGTATTTTTTAATAAACTTATTCTAGGCCGTATTACGTACGTAACTTAAGTAAGGAACTATACGGCGAGCTTCGTACTTTCGATTATAAGTAACCGAAGTAGTTCCTAAAGCGACGGTAGTAAAAGCGGAAACGGCCGCCGCGACGGGGATATTAAACGGAACCGCCGGAACGGCCGGGCTAGAGGGAGTAGCGGGAGCGGTAGTAGCTCCGGGAACCGAGGAAGCGTTACGGCCTCGTTCCTATCCTCGTTTTACGATATTATTACGGGTCGGTATAATAATAATAACGATCGCTTAGGTTACGCGAGTAACGGCGATATTATTAAAGAACGTAACTTAATATACGTAAGTTTAAGCTCGGGTTTTACGCGAGAAAATCTTACGAATAATTAATATAGCCGGGCGGTCGCCTTCTTCGATTACTCCTTCGTATAAGGAGAAGAAGTCTTCCTCGGAGGACTCTTCCTTAAAGGATTCGTTAGTAAAGACCTTAATAACTCGGGATACGGTACCTTAAGGGACGCGAGTAACTAAGGCTTAGGTACGCTATACTAAGGCGCTAGGTACGATTATATCGACGTTACTTTCGTCGATAAAGGGATCCTTAAGAAACTAAGCGATAACTAAGGCCCCGGACCCGAGAGTAAAAGGTACCCCTCCGCGGCGAGTAAGGCTACCGGCCGAAGCTCTAACGCTATCCCCCGTACGAATACGGGAGATAGGTTAGGAGCTCGCGGCGGAAAGGCCGAATATCTTTTACTCTAACGAGGCTACGGTACCTTGGAACGTTAATACTATCTTACGAAGCTTTTAAGTATTAGATATATTAAGAGATCGTTAATTACGGTATTATATTATTACCGGTAAATAACGAATAAGTAATAAACGGATTATTTCGAATAATCTCTTACCTATTAATATAAAATAACTAACGGTCGTTTTATTATCCTAGGATATTTTAATATTAAGAATAATATATTAATCGTAAATAATAACCCTTACCGTAATAAGCTAGGCTATTATCCTACGGTCGCTTAATAAAAGTATATTACGATTCGTATAATACGCGAGCTACGCTTTACGTAAACTATAAAAAAAGCGAACTTACCTTACGATAATAAATTAACGAAGTTTTATTAGTTATATTAGCTTACGATCGCGTAATTAATGGAATTACTTAATTATAGTTAGGGGTATATACCTATAATAAATAACCTAGGAAAGAAAGGAAAAGAAAGAGGTACGCTTAATTCGAGAGCGAGAAATCTTAGATATATTTATACTTAACCGCCTTCGTAGGAAAAACGGTAGAATCGGTTAGCATAGGTAACGCGCGCGAGCGCGCGCGATAGTAATAAAGGAAATTAAATCTTAGTATTAATACTAGAGATACTATTATTACTATTACTATATTACCTATATAGCTAACTACCGCTTAATCGAAAGCGAATAATTATACGAATAATTATACGAGTAATTATTTTCATTTATAATAAACTATAGAGTATTAAATAGGAGGTACGAAGAGTATATAACTTAAGAGAAAATACTATTAGTAATAAACCGGAATATATACGGATAAGGGGACATAAGGGAGCCCGAAATAAGGTACCTAATAATCGATTAACCTTAACGAGGTATAGCGAGACTAAGGAATAACCCCTTAGGCTATTATCGTAAGCAAAGGACTATAATTAACCTTACTATCGTAAGCTTAACTAGGGGGTATATTACGTAGGTATATACCCCTAATAGGAACTACCTAGCTTACCTAAGCTAGCTAAGTATTACTATATATACCTATAGATCGCTTTATACTCTCTAATAGCTTTCCTTCTTTTCTAGTTAGTTAATATATACCTTCTTATCCTCATTCTATTACTCTCTTTACGAATAACCTATTAACCTAAGCTTAGCTCTCGCCAGCTACGTAACAGTAATTAAAATAATACTTAATAACTAAATACTGTAGTGGTGCGGTGGATCTAGGCCACGTAGCCTTTTCGATGTGTATTTATATGGGTCGCGCACTCATATTTTCATCAGCCAGACTTAGACCTGTAGACATCACGATCTATAGCCATTCACTCGTTTCTTGCCATGCCTTTCTAGCCATCCTCCTTTCCTAGCTGCCGTTTTCAGCTGGCCGATCAACCGATTACAGCTGTTAACAGCTGTGATCTTGGGTTGATCGGCACTGGGCCAGTTGTTAGCAGTTGGATAGTCCTTGTTTCGTGCCTCCGTCAGCGTGCCTACGCTGCTCCTGTTCAATACTAATTTAAAAAAAATCTCTCTAATAAAAGATTAAATAAATTAAGCAAGTTAATATATCTCTTTATATATTATCTTTTTACAAATTTAAAACTTTTATTTTTATTTATATATAAATAATTTTCAGCAATAAAATACTTTAAAAAAAATTTAAAAATTTTTAACATTTATTAATATAATTAGTTACTATATTTAAATTAATAGATACTTTTTTCCAATCTACTAGTTTGTAATATAAACTATTTATAATTCAAGATTCTTTTTTTTCATTAATAGTTCTTAGTACGTAGGTACGTGTATATAATAAACCTCAATAAGTACATATGTATGCCCTGCTAAAATGTAGGTACTTAACGAGGGTTCCCTCGGGCTCTATAAAATGGTAAGTCTAGGCTGCCATTTTTTGGAAGGCCCAATATTGACACGGTAACGAAGGGTGTTATAATACTTAAAGGACCTCTCGAATAGCTACACAGAGGAAACCCCCGAAAATACAATACAAGACGACAAGACACTAGGAAATAGTCGCGGGGGCGCCACATCAGCATCATCGATAATAGCAACATGACGCAGAAGACAGTGGCATTCTTTGGTGCCAGCACCGGCGTCGGCCTCTCCGCCCTCCGGCACACCCTCGCCGCCGGCCACAAGTGCATCGCCCTGTGCCGGACGCCGTCGAAGCTGACCGCGGTCCTGCCGCCGGCCTCGAATCCCAACCTGCGGGTGGTCGAGGGCAACGCGCACGACGTCGCCGCGGTGTCGCGGTGTCTGCGGAAGGACGACGGCAGCGGCGCGCTGGTCGACGCGGTCGTGAGCACGATCGGCGGGAAGCCGACGCTGTCGTGGAAGCTGCTCGACGACCCGGAGGTGTGCCAGCGGGGGATGCAGGCGCTGCTGGGAGCGCTCGCGGCGCTGCGGTCGGGCGCGGACGCGAGCGGGCCGCCGGCGGCCGGCAGGCCGCGCGTCGTCGTCTGCAGCACGACGGGCCTGTCGCGCGCCGGCCGCGACGTGCCGCTCGCCCTCGCCCCGCTGTACCACGTGCTGCTGCGCACGCCCCACGCCGACAAGCGCGCGATGGAGGACGCGCTCGCGGCCAGCGGCGAGCGCTTCACCGTCGTGCGCCCCAGCCTGCTCGTCGACGGCGCCACCGACCGCCCCGTCCGCGTCGGCGTCGAGGACCCCCGCGCGCCAGGTGGCCCCCGCCGCGAGTCCGCCGCCGTCGGCTACACCATCTCTCGCGAGGACGCCGGCCGCTGGATCGCGGAGAACATTATCCTCCTGCCCGACGAGGGCGCTGCCGAGGATAAGTACCTGGATAAGGTCGCGACAATCACGTATTGAGGACGGTGATTAGAAACTGAGGGTGGGGGGGTTTACTGTTGTGGGGTGGGCTAGATGCCTGTATATTACTTGATAGACGTGTTTGAAGTCGGGTTTGGAGACTCAGGTCTCTACCTTTGTTATCTATATACCTAGCGGGCGTTTTCGTTTTAGACCAGCACCTCTCCCTATATACGATATACCCACCACGTTTATGATCCTTAGGGCACCTGCGGTTTTCTTGTCCACCAACGTTCGCGATGGCCTGCAGAGGAGGGTCTCATACAGTTATTAGGACTACGCGGTACTAGGCACATCGATATAACCTACAACAGACTATTTCTAGGCAGGCAGTTGGGTTAAAGCCATAGGTTAGCCGACTTTGCTTATTGTCGAGCAGCAAGACCTTGGCCTAGGTGTTTGATTACGGGAAGCCTGCAATAACCAACTAAAGAAACACCGCCGTCACACACACCACATCCCCCTGTGTAGACTACGAATTGCCATTTCACTTAAAGTGCCTAGATTTGTTACGTTTAACCCTATTTTCAGCATTAAAGTTAAAAGGGCGTATCTAAAATAATTCATAGTAGGTCGAAATGGCGACTCTCCTACCGTCATCATCAACATAGCAAAGAGTTCATCAAATAACCGATAGCGAGCGAGGAGTAGTTCGGCGGGGATTGAAATTGCGAATGTTCACAAGGGTCAATAGAGTCAGGCGGCGCGGTGTAATTCATCTCCGTACTCAAATAGGTAAGCTTCGGCCACCTCGGTCTCGTCGGCACCAGCCCGCGCCAAGGGGCCAACAATTTTGGCCCATTCGAGATTTATAGCCGCTCCACTCTATATATTTATCTTCTTTCTTTGGTTGATCCTTGGACCGCCTTCAGCGTGGTCTTGTTGGCTGAAAATAGAAACCCGGACACTTGGCGATGACAGCAACCCCGAGGCTCGCCATCTTACCATGTCTAGCGACGGCGCACATCGACGTAGGTATATAAAAAATACACCAAGTATCTTAGGCATTCACCAACGTTTTTCTCGAAATCATGGGCCAAGCCTTCTCTGTGCCTTGCCAAATCGAAATAGCCGCGCCGCCAGCGACTGTTCGGTCTGTTGTGGGTGCAAATGTCCGACCATACATAGCCCACCGTTACTAAATGCTCGGTATTAGTTCTTGGATTTTCCCCGATATAAGGAGTGGCAAGAAGCATGGACTATCGAGCCCGTCGACTCGGGCAAGAATCTGTCCGAAATTGACACAGGCGACAGCCTCAGAGTTTCCATGCATGGAATGGTGTTTCACCCAATAGTAATGGTGAGTTGCATCAACCCTTGCTCCGGCCCACGAGCTCCATGCTAATAAGTCGTGTAGGACAACTGCACTGAGTATTTCGTTTGGGAAGGGTCGTTATTCGGCCTCTTTTCTGTCAGGTTCACACCTAGCGAAGAGAACCCGGGAGGTACTACGTTTATTCAAACTGAAGTTTTCAGGGGCCCCCTAACGGCCATGGTCCCCGAAGGATCGAGCGCACGAAAAGGACCTTCAAAAGGTTGGGATATGTTCAACATGGCGCTTAAAAAGGAGTGTGAGAGAATTATTTCTGGCACTTAAACCCCAAGTTCTGCAGGCCATGCTTTCAAGATTTCTTTCCGCCAATATCTCTCTATGCCTAATACTATATACTGCGCTACGTCACCGATATTCGGTTAACAAAATAGGAGGGTCACAGGGCAGAGTGATGTTACCGCGCAGCGCTGCCAAATACATGACGTGTTCCTCCAGCGAAGCCTCGCAGCAGACTTCTATACTCTTGCTCCGTTCCCGCGGAGTCAAAGCTATAATGTGTCCAAGTCGTTTTCGGTAGTCTTTGACCTGTAGGCCGGGGGCCTTCAACGCAAGGTGAGTCTAGCCCGCTCACTAAGTACCCGGAGTCCTTCCGGTTGGACTGCATGCATTCAGTGATCCATTTTCACTCTCAATTGCCATATTACACCCTAATGGCCTGGTGGTGATCCTCCCAGTTGCTTCCCCCAAGCTCCGAATGTGCCTACATCGAACAGTAACTACCCCTCTCCCCCTTCTACGAAAAAAGCCTCGTACATTCACCGGCAAATTTACTAGGAGATCCCCCCTCTATTTTCGAACTCCGTGCCCACGATGTTGCTACGGTAGTCGGCCAGCGGCATCCTCGTCTTGGCCAACGCCCCCATACCGCCGACTGGGAGCCCATTATAATACGCCGACTCGTCTACCAAACATGGTCGTTACCCGTTTAGCTAGGCCGTCCTTAGCCCTAAAATGAGGTGTAGCTATCACACCATTTCTCTAGACCAGGTCGATCCCTCGAATAGAGGCGCCGTCGGCTTAACGAGGCACACCGAGCTCTCCCCGAATAAGATCCACGTAGTAATCATGAACGGGGTGATCCTGTTGCCGCAATCAGAGATTCCAAAATTCATCGCACCACCCGTCGTCGTCGAGGCTCCGTTAAAGTTCCTCTTAATATCATAAGGCGCGGAGTACTTCGGCTCGGATCGGATTCCCCAGGGCTTGGGGCCAGAGCTGCATGCTCACGCCGCGCAGGCGTCACCGTCGCGTGATGGCAGAGCGTGACAGTTACTGACCCGGATACGACGGGCCACACGGTCTACCGGCAGTAGGGTGCGCCCGCGGCGAGGTGGTGGCAGCGATCGTGAGTTATCTCGCGGCGTGGGCATTGCTGGAGGAGACGGCCGTTTGCTGGTTGTAGTAGCCTATAAACCGACCAGCTTTATGTGTTTACGCTTGCCCATTCCAATCTGTATTCCATCCTGGGTTTTTAGTCCCTTCTATAGTGCGAACTTCACGGATTTATACGTAGATCTCTTAGTTAATAAAGGTCAGCTTAAACGCCTTGGGTAGTGTTTTGCATGAGTGCCTCTTACCTGGAAGCGAGTATCGACATGACACCTTGCTTCGCAAAAGCTAAGAATAGGAAATAAACCAACATAGTAGTTGCCATGATTTTTTCTTCTACAATATACAATAGTTATGGATGTAGGCAATGGCGGGCGGATGGCCGGGGAACCCTCAAGTAGTTATTGATACCGGGGACAATAGCTAGGTTCGTACTAGAACAAAGAGAGGGCCCTAAAAGCATGGGGGATGATCTATAAATATATATCGCCTTTGTCTCCGATCCTAATGTCCCCATGTTTGGTACTCTTTTTAGAATAATAGCCACGTGAAAGGTAACACAATTATGGTGGACACTAAGAACGCAGGGCTTCTAGATACCTTCCAATGGCGTTGAATAACGGACTTTAGATGTCTCCATTGGAATTTGACATCTGTCACGTAGCTATCGGTAGGAGCTACGTGTGCGAGAGCACGCGCGAGGAGCTATCTCACGAGCAACGGGAGGAGGAGCAACGAGAAGGTGAAAAGGTCTTAGATCTATCCAGGAACGAGCTAAAGGAGTGGAAGCAACGGAGCGAATATATAGGAGCTCCTGTTGCTGAGGTAAGCAACGAAGAGGAGCAACCTAAGGAGCCACCTCTACGTGACAACATCTTAATAGTGTTGATTCTGACAACATCTACTCGAATCAAGTGCTGCATCTGATGTCACATATCAGGGCTTGCTCCGCGTTGACTCTCCCTCCCCACGTCTTCGAATACTTCAGCGCCTTAACCTTGTGGTGTACGCGAAGTATTATCTTAGCTATGTGAGCCCAGCTTCACTTCTAGGTACAGAGATCAAAGAATGATGTTCTTTCCTCACTTTAACATTCATTCTGAACTAGTAGTAAGGCTTTGAGAAAGAGGAGTCTAACATGCGCTTCGCAACGCAGGAGACACGACCGAGTTGCCCACCATACACGGCCCTTTTGTTCCTTATGCTAGCACCTAACGAAGTCATCGCGAGACTGCGCCGCAGCTGTGGGGACAAACAACACCACTAGTAGGTCGAAAATAGAGGGGACGTCGGCGCCGGCGATAATAGTCACTCACTACTGCTACTAGCAACCTAAGCCATAACATCAAGTCTACGTTCTAATACTAACCAAAACAGCCACGACACCAACATCCGGCTGGGGTAAATCCACCCCACCCTCCGCCATTGACCATGTCTCCTGACAGCAACACCCTCTCCCTCCAGGCCCTTGCGGCCGCCGTCCTCCTGTCCCTTGCTCATGGCAGCGTCCTGCGGGCGCACAGCGGGTGCCCCTTCACGACCTGGTACCGGGCGGCTGAGAACGACGGGACGCCCTCTCCAACGGTCGGGATGGGCACGCGCGGGGACGTGTACAAAGTCGCCGCCGCGGGCGGACCCGGACGACGTCGGGGCGGTGCCCGAGTGCGTGCGTAACCCAGGGCTATCACAGATAGAACTCACTATCGACCCCAACGGCCACGCCTGGTTCGATCTCGGCGCCCTCGACCCTCGACGCTGCTTGCGAGTAGCCTGTCCAGCCCGACTGCTGGATCACGAGGACGCTTGGATCCACCCCCACTAGGCGTCCCTCCGCTTTCTAGGGCGAGTGCGTGTCGGCGTTGCTAGAACGGACCGCATCTTGCGAGGGCCCCAAGAATCTTGCTGATTTCGGCGGGGAAAAGGATAGGTACGTCAACTGGGATGGATGGATGGGACTATCGTGGGGAGCGCTGCATAGGGACCTATACATATACCATTTCGCTACCGCCCCGAAAAGAAGCTAAAACCGAAAAAGTTGACGGCAAGTGGAAAGAAACGTCGATGCTTACTTTCGCTCGTTTGGATATGTAGACTTACGTGGGGTCTTCCTACGCGACCTTTGACAATACGATTAGACTTATCTGCTGTGTGGTTCTCCGCACTCGTACCTCCTCTCGCTCGGTTTCTCTAGTAATTATTAGTTAGGTAACCAGTGAACTGCCTATTCCTTAGACGTGTTTAGCCCCGGCATATACCACGTATATCGTGATATTTCAACTAAGCTGTATTTTGTTTGTGACGTAACTATATGGGCTTAGTGGTCCAGCTGCTTGAAAAGACATCGGGCTTGACTAAATGGAAGGCTATTGAACGGCGGGCGGTCGGGGAAAACCTGGCTAGTGGTGTCTCTACGCATAGAACGGCGGCGGAAGTCGATGGAGAGACGATAGGAGGTAATGAATGGTGTCAGGCTGGAAGGTAATATGGCGGGTCGGACGTGGATTTAGGCAGAAATACACTCGATTATGCGGAGCGGTGAAAATTGTCGGGAATAGAGCTCTGCCTAGATAATCATCTCGATGGTAAGTTGTGGATACGTCAGTCGTAGGGTTAGTCGGTGCGCATGGGAGGGAAGATTGCACGAGTCGTTGATAAGTAGGGTTATCTCGCGTTAGTAAGTCCAGACGATTATTGTGTTAATTGCGCTTGCAACGAGGTTAGCCTGCTTAAGGATTTGGTTTAAACGGCTTGAGGCAGATCGGACATCGCCGTGATGTAGTTGAAACTGGTCGCTGAGGATGGGTTCTTGCTATCTGGTTAACAACTCGACAGTTCGACGGCCATGCCCCTAACACCGATTATGGCATATATGGAACATGAATATGGAATATTAGACATCGGATAGACTGTTTTCTGCCTATGTATTTGAGTGACCAAAATGAGGTTACATTCTCCTTATCACATGTGCGACAACAGACAGCTCTCGAGCGACTTTCTAAATATGGCGCGAGCGGGTGACGCTGGTTTGTATTCTGGCCTGGCTTGGCTAAGGCAGACCTCGTAATTTCAATCCGAAGGGGGAGATCAAGTACCGGATGACCCGTCACAACGGGCGATCTTGGCATGCCACGTCAGAACTGGCGTCCGAGTCCACGGCGAAGATGGTAGTGCTAGAGAATACACAATACGCACACAGAATACGTGCACATATATCGATGGTTGGGGGGCAAGGGAACAAAACCTTGAAGACTGGCGATCCATGTGGTAACCTATGCAAGACACAAGAAATTTGCTGCGAATTGCGCGGCATAAACACGAGATCCAGACCTGGTCAACCGGCCAAATAGAACAGGCGTGACCGGCTGGACCCATGATGATAAACCAGCCAGTCAGGCGGGGAAAAAAAAGCTCGACGGAATAGGCCTTTCCATACCTATGTCGATGCTATGCAGCGGCCTACATTCAATTAATCAACAACACGAGATACTCGAGCTAGGATTAGGGACGTGTCGCTTGCGGTGTGCCAGTCTGACGGAACCCCCTGGTTAGTGTAGGTGGCGTTGCCGTATCGCAGCATCGGGGGAAATCCTGCTAGATCTGGGAGCGTGCGCAAAGTCCTGTTTCTGTGCATAGGTCTAGACATGGGGAGGGCTGGCGGATTTATACGAATCGGACGGGTAATCCCTATTTTAGGACGTTGGGATGACGGGATGCCGGATTTGGGCCAATACCTACACGATGCGCGAGGATCCGTGTGCCTGAAACCAACAACGTTGAGGCCAGAGAATCTATACATAGTGGCCCAGCCAAGTTGCTTCGACTGCCCTCAGGAATCCCAAGAGAGAGGAATAGGGTATCTAGAAGTTTGAGGAGGACTCTAAATCGCGACGCATGTGGCGTTTAATTGTCGCGGGGAGACTAGGCTTGTATTGACAACGTGATGGTGGCTTGATCAAGGATTATGATGGGTATCTGGCACATTGCATTCAAATACGGCGGATGACGAGAGCGATAGCGAGAAGGATACCTCTATGTACCATGGCATGGCCGGAAGCGCGGAGAATACCACTTACCTTATTGCCAGGTTCATCGCGTAAGCCACCGGGGCCGGATAGAAAAGGGGGGGACGGCACAAGAGAACGACGAAAGCGCCCAAAAGGAAAGGAAAGGAAAGGAAAAAAAAGAGTCGGACCGTACAAGACCTGGGCCGATGCAGGTGGAAAGATGGTTCGTTCGAGTAGGCAATCGGCTTGTTGGGTAAGACATCGTTCCACGCTGACCTGGAGTCTTCGTCCAACCTGAGATGGGGAAATCGATCTGCAGGTACCTATGTGAGAAACGGCGAAAAGGGCGGGGAGAAGAGAGGGATGCCGGATGGGAAGCGTGTATCACTAGAGTATAGAAGCACTACGAACGAACGCAGCGACGCGTGGGGACGAAGCAGCCGGCCGTCAGGAGTGCTGTGGCGTAGGAATACCGCCTAAAGTAGGTTGACGGCCTGCCGCTTCGCTGCCGGGATTTTCACGTTTCGGGCTAGGCTTGGCCGGCGGTTCGGTCGTCTCTCGCCGCCTACGCTGGCTGGACGCGCCTACAGGGGATGGGATAGGTGAGGAAGGGGTTGCGAAACGGGGTTGCGATACCGTGTAGGCGGTCGTCGGAGAGTGCAGAGCAGTTTGCGTAGAAAAGAGCAGCAGAGAAACTGAGAGCCATCCATCGGTATCGATGCATGCGTGGGCGTCGAAATTGTACCTAGCGAGCTCCGGGTTCTTTGGAAAGGAGAGGCTGAACCGTCGATGAAATGAAGGGGCCATCGCTTCCAGCACACGGTAATAATGCCTGCAACGCGTGTCCGGAGTCGAAACTGAGCATGTGTGCGGACACGTCTAAGACAGCGATAGACACTGTAGACACACGGTAGATCTAGATGTCTATCGGCATACGCACGGGACGGCGTAGGTGAGAGAGAGAGAGATGTGTATGGTAGATGCGTTATGATGCCGACTAATAGTGAGTGAGTGAGTGCATAGCATTCGCTAGGTAGAAGGGAATAGTTGGGTTGATGCGCCACGCCAGGAACATATACCTGCTAGGAATGGGTGGGAATGGTTACGAGCAGCTATTTGTGGCGGAGCCTGTCAGAAACGCCGGTAAGGAATTAGGTGCGTACCTCCTCCTATATACCTGTATATGTACCTAGGTACCTACAGCAGGTTTTGGATGGGAAGGGTCTCGTCACTAAGTACTGAGTATAGAGCGTGCTGCACAAACGCCGACGTATGTGTGCATGTGCATATGTCGTGCGGTCGGGAGTGAGTACACATACATAAATGGACGGATGAATACGCATGTTCGGGGCAAAACAACAATAGCTTGGAAGGATTGATAAGATTAGCCGTTCCTGGCCTGCCAGCGGGGGGGCTGGACCAGGAACGGACCTGTCGCGCCCAGGAAAACCCAGGACCCTGACGGGTTGGCGGCGCCGATCTCGTTATGCGCGCGTGGATTAGAACCTGGCCATTGTGCAACGGACTGCCTACCTAGCATAAAGACGGTATAATAGCGAGGCATTGTGGTAAGAGGTGCCCGATTGAGACACGGCGTTTCAGTTATGTATCTAGCATCTACCGGTATCTCGGGCACATACCTATATATGAGTTCTGTTTGCAGGTAACTAGGATACAGGTCGGTACCTAACGTGCTAAAACACGCCGAGAGCACATAGAGATGTAGGTGCCAAGGTATATTTAGGCACGTAGTCTGCACCTGTATTGCGTGTGCCATCCATCTGGCAGATCGTTGCCTTTTCCGACTAAATAGCCAACCAAGCACAAGTTGGTATTGTAGACAGGCGAGGTGGAGCAAGGTCGAGCTCGGGGCTTATCTGGGGCAGTTCATTGGAGAATGGGAATGGGGACAGGTGAAGTTTGGTGGCTGTGAACTACTGCAAGGGCACAGGGGGAGACACTTCCAGAGCTGCCCAGTCTAAAACTGGCATCCCATCCCATCCCTACGCCAGACGCCAGACGCCAGAAGCCGCCAGGAGGAACTGCCTAGTCAGAGACGCCTACAACATGTGCATCCGGGTTAGGCTGCCTGACAGATCGACCACAGATATAGAACGCCGGAGACGGGGTGGACGGGGTGAACTGGCCGGCCGGGCTATCTCGGATGGCCAAAAGCCAAAACACCAGAGGGAGAGGAGAGAGAGCGAGAAATTGCGACGAGGGCGTAAGGTGTGCGGTGGTGTGCGGATAAAAATAAAAATAAAACAAATAAAAAAGAGCAAGCGAGCGACAGGGAGACTGGAAGACGGCAATGCCTGCATCCCCCTACTGAGTAGATTTTTCCGGGTGTGCTCATAACGAGGTAGGTAGGGTGTGCAATGAACGAATGCATCGCTTCATCGATGTTTCTACTTTATCTGTTACCACGCAGTACCTACCTATCTAGGTAGGATACTAGGCAGGATATATACCCGTACGTACGCAGCAAAAGGGGGGAGGACGGCGCAGAAGAATTAAGGAAGGACCTGAGGGAGGCCCAGGGAATTATTAAGGAAGAGCGAGAAGAGAAAAAAAAAAAAAAAAAGCCAGACATCCCCTCGCGCGACCCCCCTTCCGGGTTACGGTGTGGTGTGCTGGCGTAACAGCCACGGTCTTTAGGTAAGTGTCTTGTGCGTCGTAGGTCCGTAACCTGATGTACGTGCTATGCTAGGTACCTAACAAAGGTATTTCTGTACCTGGCACGATCGCCTACTGGACCCTGGTCCGATGCAATTTCCCACCCTGCTGCTTGCTATTCTTTGCAAAGTGCAGAAGCACTCGTCCCGGCCGTCCGTCGAATGAGATGGGGACCGGCCCACAACTCTCCTCCCTCTCCCCTGCTAGGGCTGCGTACCACGTACCCTTCCGTTTTTATTGTACCTACAGCTGTTATTTCTATTTTATTTGACCTTGTCTCCTCCCCCCCTCCCGCCTCTGTCTCCTCTCCTCTCCTCCTCTCCTCTCTCCTGACGTCCTGCCGTCTTCCGTTGAACGCTGGCTGGCGCTGAGTTGGAAGATTCCAACCATCGGTATACTCGTATATTGCCTATTTTGAGGTTAGCCGCAGTGCGCATAATCAGGTATGTACCTACGTGCATGTACTCGGTACCCGCGCCCTGTGCCCGCCCTACTCTGCATAACGTACATAACTGGCTGAAGCGTACCTGGCGTCTGATCCTATACCTACCTCCTCTCCGTCTGAGTACCTATCTCCAGCTGCTAACCGCCATCCACCCAGGGCACACACACGCACACCACAAGTCGGGAACGGCCGCCCACTACTGAACAACCGCATGTAACCCGCGCGTTACTAGTTCTATCCACCGTCACCTTGGTCACACATCCGAGTCCTCTACGATCATCTGGTGCCCGTCCGCAGGTGAGCACTAAATATTTTCCTTCCCTATCCTTCTACCTACCTCTGTCTCTCCCTCCCTGCCTGCCTCCCCCCCCCCACCCCCCTTCTGCCCATCCACCCCATCCATCGTGCCGCCTGCTCGCCTCTACCTCTCCCCCCCTTCTCTATGTATGGGTACGTGCGTCTCCCTAGGTCGGGTACTCTCTCCCAGGCATTCGAGGTACCTGACTGCCCGGCCTGCCCTGGAACAGCGACCCATGTGCAGACGCCCGCCCATGTACAGAATACATGCAAAGCTGCGTATTATACATTAGGTAGGTAGTGGACGTACCTACGTATGCCCTGACCAGGGCCCCCCCCAATCAATCTCGTGCTCCGGCTTTGTATCTCTCGCTGGCAAACCGGGGTCTCTCTTCTCTCTCTCACTTACTCGTACGCGCCTCTCTTCTTCCTCTTATTCCCTCTCTCCTCTTTTCTCTCTATTCTCCCTTTCCCCCCCCTTCACAATCCAGCCCTTACGCACCCACTCCCCGACCTGCCTTTCTCGCAAAAACCACCCCCATTCCCACATTCCCTCCAGTTACTCAGGCCAGTCAGTCCACTCGTTTCCCTCCCCGTCTGATCTCGACGTGTCTCTCGTTTTTTCTTTTGAATTTGTCCTTCTGTTCTTACCCACCCTTGCCTTCTACTTCTCACAGCACCTTCACCAAACCGTTGTTTCGACGGGTCACCGGCCATCGCAATCTGACCCGTCCATCAAGTAGAGGGTGAGCAGCAGAAAACTATTCGTTCCTTGCCCCATCTCCCGTTCATTTTCTTCAACCCGAATACGCCCGCGCGATAGGTCGATTCCTCGCTCGCCAGCCCTCCCGGTACCCATCGCGAAGCCAAATCTCCGTTCCCAGTTGGAAGTGGCCTAATTGATCGAAAGGAATAAACCACAACGACGATCCTAGGAGAGGGAGACCCGACCGACCCGAGTCGTTGATCCCGTCGGCCCATTGTTTGCCCCTGGCTTTCATCAGCTCGCCATCCTACCTGCGCTGCGGTCAAGGGAAGAAGTCGGGAGAAAGACGGCGTGCGAGTTGATTGCATTTCAGTACCATTGACGCGAAACAGCTCGTCAAAGAGCTACATAGCCCCTGTCTAGGTCTATATGATTCGAGCGACCTGATCTCAGCCCAGAAACGCAACGACGTACTGTTATCGAAGGCAACCCCGAAGCACGACGCGTGTAACTTCGGTCCCCGGAGAAGATTGAATCCCGGCCGAGCCGCTGTCAGAGTCCCCGTCCTCTCTAGTCGTTGATCGGGTTGAGAGAATCGGGTCTTGCCTCGCCTCGCTTGATTCTCCGTCGACTTTTACGTGTACAACCTTTTCGCTTTCCGATACACTCGGATCACCATGCGTTCTCAGTTCTCCACCGTGGCCGTTCTGGCCTTAGCATCTCTCGCCGACTGCTTGTTGCAACAGCCCGCGCAGGAACCTATACCCGGTGCGGATACCGTCCATGGATGCTACAAGTCGGTAGGCACGATGACGTTGGCGGAGGTCTCGAATCGAAACTCGAAGGGCCTGTGTGCTGGCCTGTGTCGCTCTCTTTCGAAACTTGTGGGCGCCACCAACGCGGACGACTGTTACTGTGGTGATGAATACCCTAACAAGGCCGATTTGGTAGACGACAGCAAATGTGCCGAACCATGCCGTGGCATTGACACAGAGGCTTGTAAGTATCCGCCCATCTACGATTTCTATAATTGTCACATGCTTCGTGCTTGATTGTGCTAACACGTTCGCAGGCGGTGGACTGAACGCATATACGGTATACAATATTGGTATCAGAGTGGTCGTCGGTGAGGCGGAGCTGCCTTCGTCGAGTTCCAGCGCGACGAGTACCCAGACATCGACCACGACAAGCACAGCCCGAACTAGCACGTCTCGTACGTTGATCCCCCACCCCACCTTTGGAATTGTTGGCTGACTTGTGTGAACAGCTCCCGCTCAAGCTACCACCACCCCGGTCGAAGAGCCCACCGAAAGTCCTAACGTCGCCGGTATTGCCGCTGGTGCCGTTGTTGGTGTCGTCGGCGCAGCCGCTATCGTTGGAGGAATACTGTTCTGGATGCGCCGCAAGAGGAACGCCGAGCTCGAAGAGGAGCACCGCCGAAACGCCGCCGTCAACGCCTTCATCACCGGTGGTGGGAAACCTCCGAGCAGCAGCGGCGGCCTCTCCATGTCCGATTCCCGCCTCGACCCCGTCATGAACCGACGAATGAGCGACGGCAGCATTGCTGACAACCAAGACTACTCGCGGAGAATTTTGAGGGTAGGCGAACCGATGGTCTAGCGCGCCTTTACGATTTGCTAACACGACGGGTTGTGTAGGTTACCAATGCTTGAAACCCTCCATCGCTGAACTTACGATGAACGACTTCCGCTTGTAAAAAAAGAAACCTTTTTATTCCCCATCGGCATCGACGGCGTTTCATGGTGGCCCATTCGTCATTGGATGATCGATCAAACCTGACGATCCTCTGGCGTTATTTGTATTGAGGTGTAGGGAACAGCACACATTGGGGTTGTCACGGTTTATACCGCGTGACTATCAGTTTCAGTATCTGCCGATGAGCCTTCCTACGCCGCCCCCTCTCCTTTTCCTTTTGCCCTATCGTCGGCTGGCCACGCAGCGACGTGCCGCCCGGCGTCGACTGCGGAATTTCTCACGAGATTTACTAGGGCGCAGGCCCAACCGGGAGAGTGAGACAGACGGCGCACCCCCGCGCGCGCGTGTATGCGTGGGGGCGCAGTCGCCCATATGGTGATTGTATTTCCGGCTGCTGTGCTACGTAAGTGAGATAGTTAATAGAAGATCAAGCAGACGGTTTCGCCGTGGTCCGATATAGGCCGGGGCGGATATTTTTACCGGCTTGACTAGTTGCCTGAAGAATTCTGGTAGAGGGGGTTGGGCACCAATGGACGTTGAAGGGGACTTTGCTGTATATTATTCACATAGTCCGAACGGCTGGGCATTTGTTCATTGACAATACCTTTTTTCTCTCTCTCTTGATAGCACTCGACGACTCGCTTCCCTATGTGTACTTCTGGATTCTTAGTACCCCCCGGACTCCTTTATTTTCGGCCCATGTGATTACTATCTACGAGGGGGGGGGGGATCCCGCCGTTCATCCACGTGCGCTCGTGTTTAATGCTAGAGCGCCCCTCTTCCGCCGGGGATATCTACCTATCCTAGGGCCGGCCGGTCGGTCTCCTAAGGATCCCGGCATCCTTTCTTTCTCGCAGTCTTCCTCTTCCTCTTCGCTCTGGAGTCTGGAGCATCTGCGTGTGACACGGTAGATTCCTTCCCGGCACCCTTTTTTTTTTTTCTTGTTCTTTTCCCCTCGGGTTGTCTACGTCCGCGCGGGTTGGCTCGCCGCGCGATGTGGTGTCGCAACGGCTCCTCCCTGGTACGCACGTAGGCAAGGTCAAGTCGGGTAGGCAAGGAGGGCGTGTGGCGGATACGCGCCCTTGTAGGAACCGGGACGGGGGCGCTGCCTGTCGTTGCGCTACGGAGGCGAAGATTCGCTTCAGCTTCCCGGCCCGGAGGAGGAGGAGGGCTTCTGTTTCCTCGGCTGTCGCGCGGTGACGGCCCGCCCGGGGACGTGGTCTAGGGGGGGTTCACTCGGCTGCTGCTGCGCCGGGGAGCGGGCGGGGAGATAGGTGTGTTTGGGTTGGGGTGTCGCTGGCGAAGACGAGGCGGGCTGAAGACCTGGGCTGAGCTGGGCTGAGTTGGGCGCAGGGGGGGGGGGGGTGGTTGGGCGGGTTGGTTTAGCCCGCGCACCAGCTAAGCTGCTCGCTTACTATCGAAACTAAACAGAAAAACTATCGACGGCTCGCTATCTAGCACCTGCCCAGGCTACGGGGTGGTCGTCCGACGTGGATCACGTACGGCTGTGTCTGAGCGTGTTTGTGTCGGTGTATTGTGTGGAAGGGGGGGGGGAGGCAGGGAGTAAATAACACGATACAGTAAGTCCAAATCGAGCCAGGCACTCGGGCTGGGCACACAATACTACGCGCGCCACCCTGGAAGTCGTCGGCTCGCATCTCTTCGTCCTGCCGCGCATGGGCTGGAGTTCTCTGCTCAGTGCTACCTCCGTTGCGTCGGCTGGCGATCTCTATCAGTCCGTGCATACGCGGATATATAGGTAAGTATGCACTGCGTCTACGTACGTACATGCGGAAAGATGGGCAAACCGGTTCGTTCCCTCCTCTCCCTCTCCTCCTCCTCGGCGCAAGGCACGGAAGGGCTTCTCTTTGTGGTGTGGCGTACTGGGTCGTAGCAGGTTGTCGCTCTACGATTTCCTGCCGACTCCCACGCCCGTTCCCCACGTACGCAGCAACTTGGGTGCCCGCCTAGGCTTAGTTGGGAATGCTGTGATGCCCGTCGCCCCACGGACGGGACAACCTATCGCTTACTTGCCTGCCTTGCTGGACACGTCCGGCCTTGTTTGTATATGCGTCTTCTGTCCAGTCAGGCGCCTGACGACGGCGATCAGCGGGGAAGACCGAGGGAGAGATAGGGGGAGGGGGGCCGGGAGGGACACAAGGGTTTGGCTCTGTGAAATTCTGTATCGTCTACGGGCGCAACGTGCGCGCTAACTCAGAAAGAGTAAGACGGCGCCGAGATCGACGGTCTCTGAAACGAGGCAGCCCGTATGGGGTCCCATCTCTACGGGTCGTCGGCCGATGTGTATGGGGTTTATTTCATTTGTTCTTCTTCATTTTTCTTTTCGCGGCCCTGGTCCGCCCGGATCCCCTCTCTCTGGGCTTGTCTGATTATGAGCGAGGAGACGGGACACGAAGAGTGTGCGGCGATGACGATGGCAAGGCCGGGAATTGCATACCTGGGCAGGTGTTGGGGTGGGCGATGTAACCACTTGGCCGCTTGGGCTGGCGGCAGAGGCGAAATATCTGGATGGAGGCATGTAACGTAGTGTATATGCACGCCTGCTCTTGTGACGGATTGGCGGTGGCATATGGGCATATGAGTATAGCCTGGGTTGGGTTGCGATGGTGACGATCGTGGCGGATATTGGCGAGCAGAGAGGTGTTGGCGCGACGATACCATGGATGGATGATGTCGTCCTTATGAGTATATCTCGCAACCTCGGCGCCAATGGATTATAGGCACAGTTAGGAGGTACCTAGGTAGGTAGCTAGGTAGGTACCTCTACCTCCTAAGGTAGTAGGTACCTCTAATTGGTGAGTACGTACCTGCCCAGGAGAGTCGCATGAGCCAAGGCCCGTTTCAAAGAGGTACCTCGTACAAGGCGATTGTCCTCATCGGTTGAATGATCAACGCGATGCCTTACGCACTACGTAGAAGGTACGGCAGAGAGCGCCTGCTATTGTAAATAATTGATCAGGATTAAAATGACGTAAGAGGGAACTTGGTTCCTGAGTGTGCTGTGCACGGGCCACATATGCATATTGAGCTGCTTGAGGTCATGTGACCTCGGGTTTCCAACCTCTTGGGCATTCCGTCGCGTCACTTCCGCTGTCAATAAGCTGCGCAGGTCGACATCCAACTTCGTCCAGCATCGCAACCGTGTCTCGCCCATCCCTATCCCGTCCCTAGCCCGTGCTGCTGATCATTCTCTAAGAATCCCATTCTCGTCTCTACCATGCTGTGAGAGGCCAATTCAGCTGACCCTGACGGTTTTCCCAACTGAAATTCCTCTGCCACGCATTCCTGGGATCGTTGGCCGCCGGCCAGCATGGCCTTGACCATGGGACCCCGTGTGCGTCGGACTGCGCAGAATATCCAGTATACGTAAGACTCACGCAAGAGAATCGTCGCACCGCTTAGCTTTGCCCTCGACTGACGCATCCTGGCTTTCCAGGTACAATCTCCCCCGTCGTATCCACGCTGTCCAGACCTACCCTGTTCTTTCCCCCCAAGGCGCTACCATCCTACTCTATGGCCACGAGAACGGAATAACCATCGTTTGGCGCGGAGGACGGCGGTTCAAACCCGAAGTTATCAAGGAGGAGGGCCGCAGTGGCTCCGTGGGGAAGCAGAATGGGAATCCTGCCGTGGATGCGGTCATGGTCATAGATTCTGACGAGGAGGATTCTGCGACAGCCAAGAAGGGGGAAGTATTCGTCGACAAACCTCAATTTGAAGATGCTATCGACGAGGACGCGCCGTACCCCGAAGTTACGCAAACCCTCGACCTTGAATTTGGCACCGCCGTGCTTCATCTCGCCGCCGTGCCGCTCACGCCGTGCACCGCCGAAGATGCCGCGTGGGGCGGCACCGATCTCCTTAAGGACAGGATGGTTTTCGCCGCTGCGTCTGCCACCAGCAAGGTCTTCCTCGTCACGGTGCCGCTGGTACCGCCGTCGCCTCAGAGTAAAGCGCGCGCCGACTTGCAAGAGAGCCTGCTCGCCGGCAAGGCTGGCAGCGGGAAATGGGGCGAGACGATGGTGTTGCTGGGTGGTTCGGAGAGAGCTAGCGATGGTATAGCCATGTCGCTCATCCGACCAAAGGCTATGCTGGAGCGCACAAAATCGAACGAGCGGTCACGTTCCGAATCTAGGGCACTGCCACGGATCGTGATCGCCGCGCACTCGCGTCAGGCTTCCGGCACTTTGCGCCTTTGGAACCTCTCTCTAGAGGACGCGACTAATACTGGTCGATATGTCCAACCGTTTCAGACCGAATTCTTACCCAAACCCCTAACCTCGGTCTCCTTCAACCCGACCTACACGACCCAACTACTATGTAACGCATCGCCCGATGCTGTTAGGATCTACGATTTCGCCCTCGCTTCTATGCCTCCTGACGACCTCTCGGAAGGTCCGTTCCCTTCACAGGGCTCATGGCTCATCTCCTTCTACACGCCCTTCACTCGACCTTCTTCATCTCGAAAACCGATTCTAGCAGCGTCTTGGATCGCCCACGGCCGAGCTATTCTAGTCCTTCTCGCCGACGGCCAGTGGGGCATTTGGGATATCGATGGCGTATCTCCGCACGGGCCGGCCTTGTTCGGCAAGCCTGGTTCCGGCATTCGCGGCGATGCTCTGACCGATTTCAATGTGTCTGGATATGTCGAAGGCACGAGTCCTCTGCGGAATCCTGCTTCTCAACGCACATCTGGCGGTGGCTCCGACTTCGTTCCCATGACTCCTCACTCTAGACGCGATGCCCTAACCGCGCCTTACGGCCCCGAACGACTGGCATCCGTCAAGGGCGGCATCGTGGTGATGCCACTCCCGGCTAGCACGACGACGACGGCGGATGAGAGCGTTGCTTTATGGATCGGCGGCGCCGAACACGTTTTTGTCATCCCTGGCGTTCTGAAATTCTGGGACGCCCAAGTGCGCAAGGGGGTTGGCGGGGGCGTGAACCTCTTCAGTGGCGCGCAACCTACTCGCATGGTCCGCCTGAGCGACTTGAGCGTCGGGCTCATGGGCGAGCGTTGCACGGGCGTAGGCGCTATCGTGCGCTTCCCCGAGAGCGGCGGCTCCGCCCCCTCCACCAACGAGGGCTTACCCATCGAGCTGCTGCTGCGCGGCGAGAGCAGGCTGGTCATCGTCCGCGAGAGCGAGACGGTCGTGGGCACGCGGATCGGCGGCGTCGTAAGCCGCAGGAAGCTGCCGAACGAGCGGGTCAAGGAGAACAGCGCGATCGTGGTGTACCCGCGGCCCGAGCAGCCGAGCAGCATCGCCTACAACCTCTCGGTCGGGCCCCGGAGGAAGCTGTCGCGCTCCGCGGCAGCCGACGGCGGCGAGCCGTCGCCGGAAGAGGACGCCGCGGGCGCACAGGCGGGACCGGCGCTGGGATCGGTGCCGATACAGCTACCGACGCGACCCCGGAGCGGGTTCGCGTTCGCGGACAGCCTCAGCGCGGCGGCGGACGCGGAGCAGCGGGGCGGCGAGGACGACGAGCGCGACGTGGAGGTGGAGATGCTGGACATAATGGCGATCGACCGCGAGCTCGAGGCGATGGACAGCGGGAGGGGGAGGGGCCGTAAGAAGGTCATCTTCGAATCCTAGGCCCTCCCGAGGGGTCTCTCTCTCTCTCCTCCGAGTCTCCCCTTCCTCGCCCCGCCTTGCTCTTCTCGTCCACGCGGGATAGCCTGTTCGGCGTCGGCGGGGTGATTTGTGGCTCGGTACGGGAGAAGAGAGAAAGAGCGCACAGATACGTGCAGGAAAACGGGGGAGGTGGTAGTAGAGAAGGGGTAGGGAGACGAGACAGAGGGAAGAGGAAAAAGAGAGTTCGGCGTCGCCGGGATAATGTACGATACCCGACACGCTGGCGCGACTAACTGGCCTCCGGGAGAATCCAGGTCTCAGGTGCCCCAGGTCCGCGACTTGACAACCCTTCGCCCGTCGCCCGCCCCCCGTGCGAGCAAGGGTAGACGGAAGCGGGACGCGAGGGGCGGGTCCTACGACTGACTAGGTAGTGAATTCCGAAGACGGCCTGCTTTTCTTACTCGGGGGGGAGTATCTTCTTTTGCCACCACCGACCTCCCCTAGTCTCCCTACTCTTCTTTTTTTTCTGTGTGTTCTGGTTTTCCTTCTCCCCTTTTCTCCCCCCCTTTTCTCCGCGAGGCAAGGTGGAGCACAAGGCGAGACCCTTCCTTGCTGCTCTGTAATCCACGCGGTACATCGACTTGGGGCGCGCGCGCCTCTCCTCCTCCTCCTCCTCTTGGGGGCGGCGGGGAGGCGTCGCGGTTTCCCCACGCGCCGTCGCTGCCGTCGCCGCCGTCCCTTTTCTCTCCCCCCCCTCCTCCCTCCCCTCTCCGCGGCGCGCAGACGGGAAGGACAGGCGGCGGCGGCAGAAAGTGGTGGTGACGCGCACGGCGCGCGCCGACGGCCCCGCCGGACGCTCTTCTCGTCTGGCTCCGCCCGCCTGGCTGGCTGCGCGCCCTCGGATCCTTGCGGTTCGAGGGATGTGCGTGCCCCGCGATGCCCGGGGGGGTGGTGTGGCTGTCGGTACATATTCTTCTTCTTCTCTTCTCTTCTCTCTACTCTCTCATCGATCCCCCCCTTTTTGTGGCTATTGCTAGTGTCCCGGCCTCGCGTGATACGGCGCTATTATGTACCTGCGTGCGTGCCCAGCAGCGTGTACACGCCCAGAAGCCGGCCCCGGCACCCGGTGTCTCCGCGTAGAACGTCGGCGCGCGGCAGACGGTGCGGAGCGTCTCTACTCATTAGGGCGTCCTCCTTCTCTCGACTAAGAGCGCGGATGTGGGTGGGGAATAAGACATATACGTGTAGACGTGTGGTCACAGAAGAAGCAGTCAGGCGACCCCAGGCGTAAGCCAAGGCGTGCTCCGTCTGCCGCGACGCGTGCTACTCGTACCAGATCGTCGGCGCGCCGCGGTGACGGGCGAAGTGTACGTATGCAATCTATGTATTCAATAGTACATACATACTCATACTCCATAATACTGCTTATGCCTCAACCCGCAAAATAGCCCGTCAAGGGATCGCCTCAGGCACTTCCATCCCCCCCTTCTCCGCCAAGACGACCGTTCGATCTCGCTTCCTTCTCTCGAACCCCCCTCTCCTTAGCAATGTGTTCCAGTACGTCCCGTGGTTCCATTCTATAGTAGTAGTATGTGTATGTATGCAAATCACGCCTCTGTCCCGCCTTTCCACCGGTCTACCTTACCCGTTCCTCTCATGCATTCAGTACACCTCCCAGAGTTCCCGTTTTCTTCTATTTTTTCCCCCCCACCGGGTCCGGAAATGCATGGTCGTTGTCGGCACACGAAACAGTGAGGGAAAAAAACAATGTGTATGCGAATTCGAATGCCTATGTATGTACATGTATGCCCACGTATGCGTGGGTGCGTAAACCTCTACAGAGAGGTCTACGCGACGATGGAGTGAGAAGACAGAGGTGGGATATTTGATGGGATCCAAGGGGAAGTAGCCAATGTACATGTGGAGGGAAAAAAAACTTATGAGGGTCGATCTTGGTACTGAATGCCTAGTCCGACGGTTGGGTCGTCGGCCGCAGGCGACGTCTTCCTGCTGTTTATGCTCTCGTTACCGCGGCGCCGGAGGCTCCGCGGCCGAGACGTAGAGGCGGAAGCCAGTTGAGGGCTCATCCTGGCGGAAAGAGGCGGGTTTGGATTGGTCTTGGCATCACTGCTGCTGCCGACTACGATGGGACCTGGGGAGCTGGTCCGTACTATGCTGGGTGACGGTGAGCCTATCCGCGACGGCACAGCCCCGAATTCGACAACCGTACCATCCGAGAGTCGAAGCCCGCCCGAACCGGAGCGCATCATGGGTTCGGCACCCTTAGGAACATTTGCGTTAGGGTTGGCCCCGCCCGACGCAGTACCGAGACTGCTTAGTCGGCCACTAGCGGACCTGTTGCGGCGAATATCGCCGCCTCCTCTCCTCTGCGGTTTAAATCGTGACAGCAGCCCTGGCATGTTCGGAGAGCGGGACAAACCTCCCGTCGCGACGCGTCTCCTGCCGCGAGCGGTCTCGTTGTACAGGGAGTAGCTTGTCACCACCGTATCGAGGTCGATGCCGCTAAGCCGGGGACTAGGTTCTGTCTCAACGATGCTCGGGCGGCGCGAGCGCGGCTGCTTCATGGCCTGCGATCCGGGTGACGACGAGCTGCGAGCCAGCGGCGAGCCGGTGTGGGGTAAGGAATGGTTCGAGCCATAGCTGTGGCTGGACTGGTGGCTGGGGTCCCGCGACATTGGCTGGCTAGAGTAGCCCTGTGGGTGTAAATTGGGAGTCACGGAAGATGCAGCCCACGGTGGCGGATGATCCACTGGGGGGGAACCTTCGGGTGGATTGTGTGCCGTGTGTGGATACGGAAGGTTGGGATAGGATCGTACTGAAGGGAGGGAGTGGGCCAGATGTTGATACCCGCCGTCTTCGTCCGCTGATGGTTGAGCGAATCGATGATGGTCCCAATGGTGGGAACTGGAGACGGCCGCGGAACGCAGGCTGCTAGTGGAGTTGACCTCGACCGGGATGGGTGGTGGCGGCGGCGGGAAAGGGCCAGCAGCGTGTGATGGGCTAGATCTAGCAGATCGCGACGCCGATTTCAAAGACGGCCGGGAATGTTGCCTCGCGGGTTGTCTCGAGGGCGAGGTTGATGGAGGTCTAGACGAGGACCTCAAAGGTGGCCTGGGCATGAGCTCGCTCCTATCACCTTCTAGCTGGGGCTGTTGCTGCCGCGTTAGGATCGGGGATGGTATCGATGTTGGGGTGAGTGGAGATCCTGCTAGAGGGCTAGAGATCTTGACGGGCGCGAGGCCGTCTAGTGATACAGATCGTTCCTGTTCCCTAATTCTCACAACATTCGGGGCAGAGTGACTTGGCCGCACTGGACTAGAGAACGTTGGAGATACGGAGTGATCCCCGACGGCAGCCTCAGTCTTGGCATCGGCGTAAGATGGCCTTCCGGCTATGAACTTGGGGCGTGTACTTGGGGAGCTAGCGCTGGCAGATTCGGCGTCCCCAGTCTCTTCCTTCTGTCCCGACGAGGGAGGCACCTTCGTAATCCGGTTGAGGGTTGCCTGCGCTTCGGTAGTGTCTGATACAGCGCTATCGGTGGCAGAGCGCAGCCTAGGGGCTTGTGGGGTCGCCGACGGATTAATGATGCCCTTTACCATCTCACGACTAATGCTGATTCGTGGATCACTAAGCATTTGCGCCGAGGCTCGCCAAGAACCTGCGCGATCGCGGTAACGTCGCTCGGCATGTCTCTTGATGGTCCGATGATTGGGCCCAAACACGTTGCGGGTGACTTCGTCATCGTCTGGCATAGACATCGACTCGAAGATTTCCGTTCCTTCCGGTTGCGGAGTGACCGTCCTGGAGAGATCTTCATCGTCATAAGCCACTGCTAGGTTAGGGTAGCTGACGTGCCAATGGTAGGGGTTGTGATCTGTAGGGCTGTAGATGCCAGGCGATTCCAGCGGCGAGCTTTCGTCGTATAGATGATAAGACTCGTTGATACTGCTGTTGCTCGGCGGCGTCGAGGAGTCCCTCTCCGACAGACTATTGGTGCGTTCGAAGACAGAGATGATCGGCTCCGCGGAATCCTGGTTGGTGGATTCTCTAACCCGCTTGGTGAGCTGTTCGATGCGTTTCCTAGCGAGACATAGACGCGATTCTACCTGCTCTCGACCCTCAGAAAGATCCGGGTGTCTTTTTTCGAAACGATTGATATGAACTAGTAGCCGCTCGCCGTGGATGAGAAATCTCCGGAAGTCCTCCGGTATTCCCGTCTGACGGTCTTCGTCGACTCGGCGGTCGCTCACATCAAAAGCTCGACAGAAGACGCAGATTGCCCTCTCCAACCAAAATCCGGCCTGTCTCTCTTCGACAAGGGTATCGATAAAGAAGGCCTGAACAATTCCGTGGATTCTGAGAACGTCCAAGCTGTCTTGGCCCATGTCGACGCTACGAGTGCTGTGCGAGCTGGCAGAAGCAATCTCGCTGTTCTCGTTTCTTTCGATGAGGGCGAAGGAGATAAGTATCTTGAATGTGATGTTTAACGAACCACGCCGGGTCTCGGGGTCTGCAGATTTAACGGGCGTCCTTTTATCCAGACCTCTTGTTCCTGCGGTCGCTGTTAGTAAACACGCAGATCGGCCGACCAGAAGGAGCTTACCGATTACTATCATCTCGACTGGGATGTGAGTGCCGAGAAAGGACAGCAGGGCCATCAGGTTCAATGCAGCACTGGCGCCTCTGTACTCGAGCTGCTTGCGTACCCTCCGATACGCCTCCAAGTTGTTTGCCTTCGGACGACTTCGATACGACCTCAGATACTTCGCCAAGGGTTCCCTCGTGGCTTTCAGATGCTGTGCCGCGGCGTGAATCATGATGGGTAAGCGGTCCATCAGTTGCACGAGCTCCTCGGCGCGCTTTAGGTCGTCCTGCGTGTATGGTTTCTTCTTCCCCATCTCGTCGAAGAGCAGCTCTCGAGCCTCTTGTTTTGTGAGCGGGTTTAGGGCGAGGACCTGGGGATTGTCAAATTGGTACTCCTCGCTCGGTGTTCGCTCCGTCGACGTGTAGATTATGCTCGTGTTCCTGGCAAACGGGATGTATAGTTTTAAGTCGGGGAGGTCGAATTGGATACCGTCGAAGATGAGTAGCCAGTTCTCGTTGCTGCTCAGCCAGTCCCGGACGGCCGCTACCATTTTGCCGGTATCGTCGAGTCCGCTCTGATCTAGCTGTCGTACCTCGCTGAGACCCACAGTCTTCGCGATGTCCCAGTATCCTAAATTCAATTCCCACAGGGAGCTCGCCATGATCCAGAAGATACCGCCAGGATAATCGTACCGATGCCGGAACACGTATTGCCGTGCCAAATGGGTCTTGCCCCCGCCGGGCATGCTTTGAATCAGCACAGAGGATGTTCCCTCGGACCTTCTCTTACGGTCCGTGAGCATTCTGTGCAACGCCTTTAGCTCCGGGTCACGGCCTATAAAATACGTGTTGGGTCGAAATATCGTCGGTTTCACAAATATGGGTTCCGGCGAATCATCCTCGGACTTGGACTGCTGCGATGGAAAATACTCATCTTCCGACGGCTGGTTGGGTGACACCGGGCCGGTAAGGAGAGGTCTAGATGGGTGGTCGATCTTCGGGACGTCACGGGACGGTGGTAATGTAGTCTCATTATGATGATGATGATGCTGCTGCTGCTGCGGAGCTACAGAAAGAAGAACAATCAGCCACGGCTCTCCTCAGTCATCAGCGCCCGACTCCGTCTCGTGCATAATCATCAACCTCTTCTATCTCGAAAGGAAGCTGAACGGTTTGAAACACCGAGCTGCTGAGAGATCGGTCGTAGGGACGAACCGAACCACTTTCTAAATAGGATAGTGCTGGTAACCTACTGGATCGGGGGCCCATCTCCTGGAAGCGCTGCGAATCGAGCTAGACGGGGCCAGATTAGACGTTGAGCTTTGGTTTGCACGCACGCGTATATCTGTAAAGGAATTGGGGAGCAACATACCCATGGTTTCATTCTCTCCTCGATCTCATGCCTCGCCCTCGCCAACTTCTCGTCCTCCTCTATCCTCCACCGAGTAGCGATGACGTCCGGCGAGTCGAAGACCCATTCCCTGAGAGCGGTGCTGATGGTCCGGTAGCCCGGCGCGTTTCTGCTATCGAACTTGCACATGGCCGAATGCGTGGCTTCGACGGCGTAATACGTGACACCCGGCAGATGGGGGCTGGCCGAGTGGGCATCGACTATGAGCATTTTCGTCCCCCTCAGGTCTGTCTCGTGGTTCTCGTGCGCCATGAGTATCTTGAACCGCTGATATATATCCAGGAAGTGGACGTTGATATTCTGCAGCGTTTCGTTGTCCCGCTTCAGCGTCTTGAGCAAGACCGATTCCGACCGGAAGAGCGTCCTGGGGACGACAGCATCGGACATGGCCTGCAGCGTCGTGCCCCAGGCTGCCATACTAGAGCCGGTATGCGGCGTGCCGAGGAAGATGATGCCGTACGTGGAGACGTACAGCGACCGGTAGTCCTCGTGCTGCGAAGCCGTCAGGTCGTTGGAGTACAGCAGAGCGCGCTTGACGAGAATGCCGCCGAGGCTGTGGCACACCCAGAGAATCGGGTTGCGCGACGACATCTCGTCCTTGCGGTAGTGGGTGAGCGACGTCACCAAGGTCTGGGCGTGCATGTATATGAAGTTGTCGCTCGGGCTCGACCCATGCCTCTTCGAGTATACGTCGGCGTTGTATCCATACACGAGTATGTTCGCACGGGCATCCCTCAGAGACGCGGGGAGCAGGTCGGTGGGCCAGAAGACGCCATTCTTGGAGGCCCACGTCTTGTGGGGATCTCCGTTCAGGCCGTGGACGAGGACGATGTCGACCTTCGCATCGGGGTGGGTGTAAACTGCCGTCGTCTCGTACCGCGAGATTTGCTTGTTGATCGAGCCCTTGGAGTCAGAGACCGAGATTAGCAGACTGTCCATCGTCGAGGATGGGAGCGCAGCGAGCCGCTTCCTCGTCAAGTGCAGCCGGAAAAGCCTGAATATGAAGCGGCGCCAGAGGCTCTCAGCTTTCATCGCGAGGCTCTCCCGGGGGGGGAAGAGGGTGACAAGACTACGGAGCACGTTCAAGGCGAGATATCGGAACATCCCGCCGCGGCGCCAGCTCGGATCACAGAACGTAGGGATACAGAGGGGCGGGGAGCCATGATCAAACTCACCATGCTTCCTCTCTCGGGGCGAGACGGGAATAGTCTGGCCGAGTCTATTGGCTTTTATTAACATTTATCGAAAAGGAAGGGGGGGTAAGCAGAAGGGCAGCGGGGGAGAGGTGTGTGCCTCTCTTCTTATAAGCAGTGTCTAGGGTGCTGCTGCGGACGGTGACGCGCGTGACGGGAGGCGTGGGTACGCGAAGGAGGTTAATTCGGCGGCATCGAAGAGATGGGGGCGGCAGAGACGGGTAGGAAGGACAAGGGGAGTGCAGGCATTAGAGGAGTGTGCACACGGTGTCGACTCGCGTAGAGTCATCGACCAAGTTGGCGCAGGAAGGCAAAGGCAATGGGTCGGACCAGCCTGACCAGGGAGAAGCCGCTCGACGAGACGCGCAGCGCGCTGGCGTCCTCCGTGTGCTATCAACGCAACGTCGGCCGGCTGGGGTCGGATGATTGGACAGTGCCAGCAGCGTCCGAGGGGAGAAGGTTCAGTCAAGGCAGACCGTCAGAGTTGGGCGAACGAGTCACATCGCACCGGAGCGAGTGGGTGTGCAGGATACGGGAAAGGGAGAGGGTATAGAGGGCGTAGAAGAGCCGGCTGGCATCACGGGGGGGCGCTCGTGGTTGTTTTGGAGGCGTCAGCTGGTATGGTGTGCTGAGACTCGGAGCCTCAGGCTATGCGGTGATGAATCGACTTGATTAACCCGCTTTTAGTCACCTCCCTACCTTCCCCACACCACCCTACAGTGCAGTGCACAACTGCCTTCCTCCAGGGGCCGCGCGGGGCCACGATATCTTCTATTTTCGATCCCGGGGCCTGGCCTGCCTCCATCACTAGGTACCTGCGTTAGGGAGGATGTTAGGTTAGGAGGCAGGTTGCCCAAGGTGCCTATACCTTAGGTACCTACCTCTACCTATATATAGGTACCTCCCGCCCTCTTATCCTGTAGGCGCGTACCTACCTATAGTATACGCAGGTAGGTATTAGGTAGGTATATGAATGTTACATTCCGCATAGACCTTGGAGGCAGGGAGGTACCTACCCACCAAGGAGGTATGTACCGTCCGTCCTGCGATCATGCAGGTGAGACGGGTTCCTCGGGGTACATATCAGGTTAGTCTGCAGTAAGCCGGCCAAGGCGTGGCGGAGGCACAGTCCATATATATCGGCACAGGGACGCGTCTACCTTGGGTTAGGCCTCGAATGGCTTGGGTGAGATGGCGACGGCGCCGCTTGCAGGGGTTGCGCAGATCTCTCTCGGACCTGGGGCGCGGCGACATCGCGATTCGGCACTTCCTCATTTGCCAGAGCAGACTCGCTAGTCGCTATAGCAAGAGAGAAGAAGAGGAAGAAAAGTCTCCGGCCATCCCCCGCGCAGCCATGCACATCTGGCGCCGGGCTATGTGCGTGTGCGTGTGCGTGTGCTTGTGCGCGTGTGTGGCCGGCTATAGGCAGGAGGGTGTGTATAGGCCAGTCGAACGGGGGCTAACCACCGGTTTTTGTCGCCGTTGCTGGACTTCGACCCAGGGGGAGGGTGACGTCAACCGTGATGATATTGCTAACCATCGAACCCTACGAGATGCAGCCAGATCCGAGACAGACCGACTGGTGAGCCAGATCATTGGATGGATTCCCTTGCGTCTATCACAGCTGTTGGCTACCTACCTCTAGCAGCACTGCCTATCCTCCCTCCCTCTATGTACACCCCGTACCCTCCCCCTACCGAGAGACAGGCGACTAGCTGAGGCAGGCCACTCGCCATGCGCGCGGGCGGGCGAAGGCTCATCGCTGCGGCTTTAGATAGAACTTGGCTTTCTGCTGCCTGCAGGTGAGAGATCTATCACCTATCTACCGACATACCTACCTTGCATATAGCTACCCTACTTTACGTTACCCCTCGCCCTCTTCTCCTCCCCCCCCCCCCCCCCCCCTAACCCACCGATGATTCGCCTTGCCCGCACACGTACTATGTGACTATTAGGCACAGCAGGTCTGCATGTGGAAATGCCCCTATATTCTGGATTTATTACCCACCTCGCAGCCAAGTCGGTTAGGCCGTTGGCGCAACCTTACGTTCCACTGTTGCACGGGTGCGGCACCGAAGTTAGACGGTTTCTAACTTTAATGATTTGGCTCGTCCGCTGACACTGGCGGCCGCCGAAAGCACCTCCCGCTAGCCCAACCGAGTACTCATAAGAAACTACCTAGCTAAGTATCCCAGGTGCCTAAGGTGTAGGTAGGTAGGTACCTAACAGGTAGGAACTTACCTTAGGTAAGGCAGGTGTCACATCAGGAAGCCAATATAACGGTTCTTACTCATGGCGGCGATGATGCCAACGGAAGTTAACGGGCGGCCGGATTTGAAAATAGGGAATTTCCACTTGCGAGGTAGCGTTCCAATGGTGTCCGGCGTAGGTATGCGGGCTATCGTATTTGTCATATTGGAATATTGCCCTTAGACGAACCCATCAGGTGTGCAACGCAACGGTACCTGTCTCCCATACCGGCCCGGTACCTGTCACAGGACGGGTACACGAGGTATCAGGTGTGAAATAAATACCTATGATAGCAACCTATACTTCAGGCATAGGAGGTACCTTGGGGAGTTCACCGCAGCAACTTACGGGGGGAATCTCAAGGATTTCCCTGTAGCTCTTAACAGATCCCCGTGTCCTGACGAGCGCCAACACTCTTGAGTGAGTGCCGGGCCGAGAAGCACCGCCTTTCCCATCGCATCGCACGCAGATGTCGATGCCCATGCTCGCGACCTAGCCAATCCTATACAACTTTTCACATGCTTCCGTCTCGTAGCACCTATATATGCCGCCTTCGCGCACATGCGGCTTGGCTTAGAATCCCCTCCGACAGATCTCCGCTTCGGTCTTTGCATCTCGATACGAGGCAACCAGAGCCCCAGTGCGACGTAGGGACAATCCCACCGTACTCACATGCGTCGAGCGGAAGTGTCTTAGTGCCATGTAGGAGACCGACCGCCAGGGAAACCCAACGTTGGACAGGCGGCGGTTGGCCGACCGGCCAATCAGTCGTTGCCGTCTCCATCGGCGTCATCACAACCCCCTCTGTCAGGAACATCGGAGCGCGGCCGATTCTTCGGCGCATATGTACACACATGAACTGTTGGTTCCTGCGTCTGAGACATGGCCTCGCGTTGAGAAAAAAAATTTTTTTTTTTTTCCTCTACCCAGATGTGAACGATCACACAGAATCGTCACTTATCGCATTCCCGAAATAATGTTCTACGTCCGTCACCCGCATATAGAAACCAACTCGTGATCGCGTAAAATTTCCCAGGGCTAACACGCTATTCCCGGACAGCGTGCGGGAAGGCGGTGAATAGGACGGCTTCGCCGAGGCGAACCGGGGGATCGGAGCGCGGGTGAAGGTGAGGAGGGGAGAGGGAGGGGGAGGTGAGAGCACCGCCGTATTGGCTCGTACAGACGATACCCTTCCCTTATCGTTCCAGCGAGGTTCTTCCGTGTTGGCCTAGAATAGGGCCGTCTTGTGCTTTCTTCGAGAGTAGAGATAAAAATAAGGTTAGTGTGAGTATCTGCTGAGAAAGGCTTTGCGATCGCTCGCACCAACACCCGTCGAAATCCGGACGCGTACAACGATAGTCGTACCCAGAAGGGTGGTGTAGCACGGTACCATCAGCCAAGAGACAATTGATGACTAGAGCCTATTGCCTTAGCCCCGGTGATGCCGCTCCGTCCCTCAGTCCTTTGGCGCGAGCATCACCACGTATTCTCGCGTACTCTGGCCGAATTGGATCATATCCTTGTCCCTAAGTTCCAGGTACCTGCTCTCCGGTACCTTCTTGCCGTTGAGTACGGTTCCGTTGGCACTCTCGAGGTCGATGAGGTAAGGCTTCACCTTGCCAATCTTGTCGCCGTATTCGTTCCGTCTTTCGATGTAACGGAACTGTATGACGGCGTGCTGCTTACTAACGCTCGGATGTTGAGCGGACAGATCCACCACCACGGTCTCCCTTCCTACGAGCCAACAGCTCCGGTTGCTGAGGGGTACGGTGTCGACGATGTCCTCTCCCTTGAAGACGAACAGCTTCCATTGGTCCTTCGGCGACGCCTTGCGAGCCTCGGGCGGCTCGTGGTACTTGAGCACTATCCTGGAGCCATCGGATTGCGTGACCGAGTTCGAGGCTGCAGCTAACGCGCCCGTGTTCCCATAGTTTGGTTTCTCTTTCGGCTTGGGTGCTTCCTCGCCCTGATTGACGGCGAAAGAGTCGGCCTGCGAGGGTAGGGGGCCGTTTCTCTTCACTATTTGTTTGCTACCCCTGTCGCGGTCTCGGTGGTCGTCGGTCTGCGAGCGGTGGCGGTGCGACTCTCTTTCGCCATGCCTGTCGTAGTCGCGTGAGCGTTCCCGCCTGTGGTTACTCTGCCTTTCGCGGTCGCGGTCATCGGAAGTTGACTTATTGCCAGACGGATCATCGGGAGACCTCGAACGCCGATGCCGTCTTCGGTTCCCGGACCTGTCACGAGATCTTTCTTTCCTCTCACCGCCATGCCGGCGAGAATTGTCGCGGTGACTAGCGTAGCTTCGCCTATCACGCTCGTAATGATCCTCGCTATCGCTTCGTGAGGCTCTTCGCCGATCCCGTGGCGATTCGTCACGACCCATCTTGAAGTAGAAAAAAGGTCAGCTCAGTCTCCCTTGGCCCGGGCTGAAAACAAAAGCGAGGCTGGTAGGAACTGGCTATGGGGCTTTTGCCATAAGGCGAGAGTAGGAAGCTAGAATTCAGGGCTGCTTGGCAAGAAGCTAGATGATAGGAATCGGATCGCAGCTGTCGCGGTGTATGAGTACGTCAAAGTGGCGGAGATGAGGTTTGGATATTCGCACGATCGCTTTTGACACCGACGGTTAGGTGGGTACCGTCATGAGGGCGCGCCAACTGACATCCGCTACTTAGGTACCTAACGCGCTCAGCCACTCAGCCACTCAGCCGCGTTACCGTATAGGAGAAGCCTCGGTAGGCTATTTTTACTCTGGAACGGATGCCTACCTAGAGTTGTTACTAGGACCGGCGCCTATACAGCATATGCCGAACTCTTGCCTACCGACCTCTCTTCCTAGCTGTCAGTTTTTCCTTGCACCTCCTCAGTCGCTATGATGGTGAGAGCCGAGTCTCGCATGGCCCGGAGCGCTTCAGGTTCTAGCACCCGCTGATATTACCTATCGATTTCCCCCCGCTGATGCCGATCATCCTCGAGAGAATACTGGAGAACACCAAGTATTTTCCTCCACAGGAAGCTCCTCGGCACCTTCAACCACGCCGGAAGACGGATGCCTGGGTATATTAACCCAATGCCACGCTACTGCCTGGACCTGCCAGCCATTTCTGGTGGTGGTATAGCCGGCCGGCTCTATAATTACGTGTACGTCGCTCCGACGGTGCATTGACTGGCGTGCCGGCAGCACCTAGGTAGCTCCCGGGTTTCTAGGTGGAATCCTCCATAATACATGTGGATAAACGCTAGTTCTATTCACCTCAGAGCTCCCCATACAGCCAAGACCTCTAGGTCGTATGCTCCACGCCGCTCAAGTTTTGCGCCACCGGAGGCCTTTACCCACTCCCTCTTCCTCGTGACGATGCATCCAGGCATCTTCCACAATGAAAACGGGTTGGAAAAGCAAAAATTGCGCACGCTACGATCCGCGAAGGATAATAGAAAAGGGTCGACTCCGCGCTGTGCAATGCAGGTCTCCCCCTTTAAAAACCCTCATTCTTGAGCGAAGGTTCTCCGTACAAGGTAAGTATGAAGAAGAAGAAGAGGGAAAAAAAGAAAAGCAAAAAAGTTGGAGCGGGAAACGGATATTAATACCTTTTTTCAAAGGCGGTGAGAGGGGGAACAATCAGCTAGGGCGGCAGAATTCTTCAAGCCTCTTGGCACTGTGGGTTATCTATTATGTAATCAGATCTCTACTTGCTGCTAGGTACCTATCATCTAGGTACTCATGGAGATCGCAGACGAGGTTGCAGAGGTCGCGGACCAGCCCAACTCCATCCGCATCCCGCTACTATACGGCCCCTCCCCCTAGCGCAGGGATGAGTCCGCTTGAAGAACCTAGGGTAAAAGGCTGTATTAGTTCGGGATGTACCTACCTAGGTATTAGAGCGATGTCTCGTCATGGAAACAGGCGTCTGGGCCTAAGCAGAAGTCGGTCCGCCCCTGAATCATATCGACAAGAGAATTCGCCAGTATCCTATGGCGCCTCAGACGGACAAGCCATTAGCCTGTCTAGCAAGCCAACAACAACATCCCGCGGCCGCACCCCACGCAAGCTACCGGCTCTATGGTACCCGACGCCATGGTCCTCAACCCAGGCCCATGAGACTTGGCTCTTTATCTCCCGTCCCCCATCGCGTAGCCTGCTAGATATTAGGCCGTTACCTACGGCGAGTTGTATGACATGTTGCTAACTCGAAACTGAGGTGCATCTAGAGTGGCGGGCGGCTTGATTTGAGGCGATTCTTTGTCGGCCGCGGTTAAGGAACTGAGTGGTTAGGGGAGAAACAGCTCTCTGTTCTCCTTCTGCCAGCGCTATCTCGAAGCTAAGTAATTGACCTAGGACAGTGCGGTGGCAAGGTACTGAAGGAGATGAGTCGCTTTTGAGCTTCAGTATCTCATTGAGTCGTCCCGATCCCGGGCCCTATGTGGACTGGCAAGTTGGAGTTCCAAAATTGGTATTTGCGGCCTAGTTCTAGGTAAGTAACCAATTAAGTCCCTCGCATCTTTATTTATGCAACCAAGTGTAGAATCCGTCCGTAACTCCCTTGAACAGAATCATGTTCATCGAGAGCCAGACGGTGTTTGCAGGTCGGGGCATCACCGCGACTCCTTATAATGATCGATAGGAAGCCTTGTATATATCATAGCAACCATACCCAGAGACGCGATCGGTCTATCGAAACAATTGCTAAGCCTTAATATGTGATGTCTTAGGAGGAAGCACCGCCGTATTGCCACCAACTAGCTTCGCCAGAGGACCTTAGACGACTACACAGCTGTGTTAGACCTCGAGGTCATAGACATAGCGAAGTCTCTCTTCCAGGCAAGCAGGGGGCGCCGAGCTTATCAATCCGCATCATTGGCCGAGCGCTGCTCGCTGAACAACATGTTGACGATTGTGCTCGCGACGTGAACCGACACCGTTGACCATCCCTTGGTTGCCCAATCGCTAAAGCTAAGCAGAGAGTTCGTGTGGTCCCCCTCGGAATAAATATCGTCCCAACTAGGTACAACTAATCGGGTACTCATTAGGAACTGCACTGGTCCCGTGTCCAACATCATTGGTTTTGTCACCAACGGCCAGGAGCCAGAGTTGAGAGCATATCTACAGACGGCCTCAGTCGTGCAGTGGTTTTCGGCGCTGATCCCGGTGAACCCCGAAGTCCAGAAGCGCGCGCACGAGGAGCTCGACAGGGTCGTCGGTCGAAGACGAAGTGAACCTGCCATACTGCCACGCCATCGTGAAGGAGGTTGAGCGTTGCTATAACCCCTTCTGGCTAGGCACCCCTCACGTCGCGTCGGGGGACTACCTCTGCGATAGCCTCACTGCGGCGCAGAGTTCGAACCTGCCCAACCCCAACCAGCGGGACGATTGGATCTTCGGCGCCGGCCGGCGTGTCTGTCCAGGTATGATCGTAGCCGAGCGCGAGATCTGGCTGGCCATCTCGCGGATGCTGTGGGCCTTCGAGCTCAAGATCGTCCTGGGCCACCCAATTGACCTCAACGGATATGACGCGCTTTCGGGACGGTCCCCAGTGCCCTTCAAGATATCGCTGTGAACAAGACATGACAATGTTAGCCGGACCTGGAGTCCACCTACGGCGGCACGACCAGTACGTACTCAGAGTAAACATGCACGTAGCCATCGAGTCGTGGCACGAAACGATTGGATGCGATGAACGGTGGTAATAACTAAGCGTCCCTGGCTCTGGATCGGAGGTTCGCTTGAGTCGCCGTCACTCGGCGGTTCGGATTCATTTGCATGAACGGCGATACTTGTATTGATAGTTAGCTCAGTTGTAACGTGAGAGGGTCAAACCAACCACCGATTGACAGCAGAAAAAGGACTCACCGGGCGATATATTGTTCGGGCACCCGTCTCATAACGCACGAATGTGCGAGTAAAGGGCCTTGCCAATGGCTGCCACGGGATGCTGCCATAGGATGGGATGAATGCATGTGGGCAGTTGTACAGCATTGAATGTATCCCGCCGTGTGTGACTTTAAGCCAACTGCCATTCGATTGCCGCTGTCTCTACCCACGGCACCTCCTGCGATAAATGTGACTAGTCAAGGAGTTAGAGGACGAGGGTCATTCTTCCTATTCCTACATGGAAATGTGCATATGCGTCGAGGTGGCGCGCGGGATGCCACACCAACCGCGTGTAGGTCGGTGCCTGAGGGGGAAGGCGTATTAATGTTGGGTAAGACCTGCTTTGCGTTGTTGGTCCCTCCTCTCATCACCTGTCTCAAGTTCCCCCTCTCTCTCATTCTCTCCATCTTATCGTTTCCATCCCTATTGCGATACACGCCGAGAACTCGACCCGAATCGTGCCCTAAATCGAGCTGTTTTCGACGGGACTTCAGGGATGGCGCTCCACCCGATGGCTGCGTCTTTGCAATCCAAGGACTATAGGGCGTTGATGGACGTCATTGACAAGTTAAGATCCAAGGGAATCAACCGTTATGTCCATCTTCCTCAGATTGTTGTCTGCGGCGATCAGTCGTCGGGCAAGAGCTCAGTCCTGCAGGCAATCTCGGGCATGTCGTTTCCAGCCAAGGACAATATTTGCACGAGATTCGCAACAGAGCTAATCCTGCGCTACTCCGGCGAGTCCGCCGAGGAGAGATGCAATGTATCCATCATCCCCGGAAGAGATCGCTTAGCTGAAGAGAGGGCGCGTCTCGAAAAGTTTCTCCATTCTAGTATCCCGGATCATAATGATATCGGTGCCCTGATAGACGAAGCGAAGGAAGTGCTGGGAGTTGGCGGTAGTGGAGGCAGGACCTTCTGTGAGGATATCCTCCGCATCGAGCTATCCGGGCCAACTCAACCGCACCTCACAATTGTCGATCTGCCAGGTCTCTTCCGCGCCGGAAATAAGGACCAGTCGTCTGAGGACGCCAAAGTGGTACAATCTTTGGTGCGGTCCTATATGAAGAACCCCCGCAGCGTCATCCTTGCTGTCGTCTCAGCGCAGAGCAATTTTGCCCTACAAGAGGTCACTCAACTCGCGCGCGAGATAGATCGTCATGGCGCCAGGACCTTGGGTCTCATAACGAAGCCGGACACGCTCGACGTCGGCTCTAATAGTGAACGTGACTACTTTAACATGGCGCAGAACAAAGATGTCGAGTTCCGACTCGGATGGCACGTCGTTCGAAACCGCGACTTCAAGACCAGAAATGCCACAAATCAGGAGCGGGACCAGATGGAGGCAGAGTTCTTCGATCAGGGTGTCTGGGCGGGCCTGCCGCGCTCGCAAAAAGGTTCGGCGAGCCTACGCACTCGGCTAAGTGAGGTCCTTAAGGATCAGATCCTCAATCAACTACCCGAGGTTCTCGACGAGATCCAAAATGGTCTTGATGATTGCTCTAGGAGCCTTGAGAAGCTTGGTGCACCCCGCACCGCACTCGCCGATCAACGTAGATACCTACTCACCGCCAGTCGCCAATTCTCGACACTTGTTTCCGAGGCCATAGACGGAGTCTATCGAGACAAATTCTTCGGGAATGCCCGAGACGAGGAGGGATATCATAAGCGGCTTCGCGCTGTGGTGCAGAACACCTTGACCGAGTTTTCTCACGAGATGCGCATCCACGGACAAGCGAGGAAGATTGTCGAGACAGCCTCATCTCCTGGGGGGGGTTCGAGGGAGGTTACCCGAGCTGCATATATGAAAGAAGTGAAGAGTCTCATGAGCCGGACCCGAGGATGTGAACTACCGGGCACGTACAACCCCTTGGTAATCGGAGAGCTCTTCCGAGAACAATGCGTGCCTTGGAAGGGGCTACTCAACAACTTTTCCGGGAAAGTGTACAAAGCTGTCGAATCCACCCTCAATTGTATGTTGGCCCATGTGGTTGACGAGGATACTAAGAGAAAGCTGTGGGAAGAGTTGATCGGCCAGGCCCTGAATCAACTCCAGAGCCAGCTGAAAGACAAGATCACCGAGCTTCTGCGGCTGCATGAGGACGGCCATCCCATAACTTACAACCACTACCTGACGGAAACCGTCCAGGAGATTCGCAGGAAGCGCATGCGAGATAGCATCATGAGCAGCCTCAAGAAAGCAGGGGGTGTGACTGCGACGCACATACTTAGTAACGACCCACTCGTGGACCAGATCGTGGCGGAGGTTGGAAGGGATATGGAAGTCCAGGCGTGTTCGGACGCGATTGACTGGATGGAAGCGTACTATAAGGTACTCGTCCCACCGCACGCACCAGACGCGGTCGTTTCTGATTTACGTGTGTTCTAGGTGGCACTGAAGAGGGTGACGGACGATTTCAGCACGCTGGGCATCGAGGAATCTCTCATATCACACCTGCCCAAGCTATTCACGCCCGAGATCGTGTTCGATCTCGGCGACGAGATGGTGAAAGGCATTGCTGGTGAGAGCGCGGAATCCGCGGAACAGCGGAGGCTCCTCACCGAGAAGATGGAGATCTTAACGAGCGGAATGGCGGAGCTGCGACGCCTCTGCAAAGGCCATCAGCGTATAAGCGGTAAGTCGGTCGGAACTTGACCCCGTGGCCCGCTAACGACGGCTGTCCCTTCACACGAATACCTGAGACTGACGAGTCTCAAGAAGTCGATACTCCGAGGTCATCCCCTCCCTTTCCCGCCTCTGAGGAGGGGATACCCTCTCCCGCCTCTGAGGAGGGGATACCCCCTCCCCCCTTAAAGAAATGGTCACCCTTTCTCGCATTTGATGAGGGGATAGAGATCTCCGCAGGGACGACAGTGGACCCCTGGCTAGACCCAGGACAACCGCCTTCGGAGTTCCGCCAGGGACCAATTTCCAAATCACGCCGACACCGCCCCTGAACCTCATCACAACCTCTAGACGGTAAGTGGGGAGGAGTTGAGACGACGTGAATCCCCTGTAGAATTACGTGCTCCTGGGCGTCGAGGGAAGGTGGCTGACCCTGCCCTCTCCGGGTGTGGCTTGGAGAAGTCGCTACGTACCTATCAAAGTATGGGATATCTGCATGTATGCATCAAAAAGGAGAATTACTGTTTCCCATGCATTAGGTATTGGACCTGGGTATTTTGATGATTCTTCTTGCTCGCTTCTTGGCACCCACCCCCGTCTCTTCAGAAGGCCTGCCGACCGCGCGCAAAGAAGTTTCAGCGAATGTGCCCGCCGTCCTCGTCATCGCCGAGAAGGATTCCGCATATAAGAGGGCTGAGGCGTGGCGCCAAGAGGTTGTCTTCTTGACTTCGCATCTCCGCCCGTACTCCCCCGCCAATAGAGCCACGGCGTCGCGAGGATACGGCGTGTTCGTGCCCAGGCGGAGATGCGTGCAGCTGATCGACGCCGTCCGCCTCTCCCGTCTCCTTTATACTATGACGTCGACCGGGTTGTCGGCACCACGCAGTGTCATGTTCATCTTCAGCCCTACGGAGATGAGCAATATTACCTAAGTACTTTCCTATGAATACGGCGTTTTCCTCCCAGCTAGACAACGTACGTGAACAAACCTGGGCATATGTCGGCTATGCCCCTATTATTCTGCATTGCTCAGCCCGGCAATCATGGACAGCCCTAGAATCTCACTCAGCTCTTTGTATAGTCGAGATTCATCGACAGCTATCGAGGATGGATATATATACTCGCTTCTCCGTCCAGCTTTGATATCTATCCCCTACTCTCTGTCCCGCCAACAACCCGACCCATAACTCTCTTTCCTTGTGTGTTCTTTCTATTCTCTTCGTCATGGTATTTTCTCGCACCGTCTTGCAACTTTCCTTCGCGGCCTTGGCCTACGCGAAGCCCTACCCGAAGGCGATACTTCAATGGGGCCCTTGTAACACAACCGAAGTGCCCAGCCAGGTTCCCGTGCAATGCAGCACTCTTGAGGTCCCTCTCGATTACACCGAGCCTGGTTCCGGCGAGACTCACATCCTTGATCTCGTTAGGGTTCCCGCGCCGGTACAGCCTTCGAAGGGCAGTATTGTCCTTAACTTTGGCGGTCCAGGAGGCACGGCACGAGATGTTGTGGGTGCGCTGTCGATGGAGTTACAGGCGTATGAATGCTTCCCTGGGTAGACCTTCCGTTACCACGACCTCAACGAGACTGACGCTGCAAATTCAGGCTCTCCGGCCGTGAATACGACCTTCTAGCCTTCGACCCACGGTAGGAGATTGGCGCCCCCTCCCAACAATCCACACGCCTGGCGACCGTTGCTGACAACGTCGCGATCTATAGTGGAACTTCTGGCTCCCGACTTAGCTTCAACTGCTATCAGAATGAGTTAGATGCGCTGTCCTTCTTTTTGAGCCAAGTCCCCGCCAACCAGTCGGAAGGACAGCTGGGGAGGCTATGGGCGCAGGGGACGATAAACGCCGATACCTGTTTAAGGACGCAAAATAAGACCGGCAGCCTTATCAGCTCCGCGTTTACCGCGAGGGATATAATGCAAATCGTGGATGCGCTCGAGGAAGATGGAATGTTACGGTACTGGGGTGAGTGGGGCTGCCTGAGCGATAACCTGCACGACGACAAGACTAACCGACCGGATAGGCTTTTCGTATGGCACGACGTTGGGAGCAACTATCGCCGGCATGTTCCCAGATAAAATCGAGCGGATGGTGCTCGATGGAGTTCAAAATCCCCACGAGTATTATCGCGAGCAAGCGTATGTTGACCTGCTACGAGAAACGTAGACAACTCCGTGAAGCTAACCGATTGCCTTTGGCCTTTACGCAGTGATATTGAGGAATGGACCGACGCCGACGCAGAATTTTCGGCCATATTCACCGGCTGTGTCGCAGCTCGAGATAAGTGCGCGTTGGCCAAAGGTAACAATAAAACCGCCGCCGAGCTCGAGAAGGAGGTTTGGGACCTTATCGAGGCTGTTAAAATCCGTCCACTTGTCGTCGAAGGCGCTATGATGGATTACGCAGCCGTCAAGGGCCTCTTTATTAATGCTCTCTATAACAGCGGAACCTGGGCAGGTTTAGCCGAAATGGTTAACGCGATACTTACTGGGCAATACGAGAGCTCCTCTGATACCTCTCCGTTTGATCCCGCCCTCATCCATTGGAGCATTCTCAGGGCGCAGGCTTTGTCAGGCATCCACTGCAGCGACAATATGGTACGGACTGAGAGATTCGAGGATTTCGTCCCGGCTGTCGAGCGTATGTACGAGTCAAGCAAAATCAGTATGTCACCCACTTCTCTCTCCAAAGCTCCTCGCCTCGGGTATCCTTCTGCGAACCCCAACACGGGCCTTTCTATCGTCAAGACTCCTTGCAGGTTATAGTAGTTAACATTGTGTTAGTCGGAGATGCATTAGTAAGCCTATACGCCACCTGCGCGCAGTGGAAGATCGAGCCCAAAGAGCGGTATATGGGCGACTTCAACGTGAACACGAAGCACCCAGTCCTCTTCATCGGTAACACCTTCGACGGACTGACGCCCTTGGTATCGGCCAGGAATGTCAGCTCCACCTTCGAAGGTAGCGTTGTCCTCGAGGTCGACGGATACGGCGTAAGTAATTCCCTCATTAGGCCTCACACCCTGCTCCCTCCTATTCTTTACTTCATCCATCTCTCTTAGAGATAGGCCAGAATACTAACAACACACGTCCACGTAAACAGCATGCCTCTCTTGTTGCCCCTTCGGCATGCACCCTTCGGAAGACTTCGACCTACTGGTTGGACGGAACTCTACCCGACAACCTGTTTTGCGAATCAGACGCGCCCCTGTACTCGGGAGTCACTTGGAAGGAGGTCATCGACAAATACTACGGCACCAACAGCACGGCTCCTACCAAGCGTACCGTCCCCCTTTCCCCCAAGCTTGGGTATCCTATCGGCCCCCACTGGTGACCCAATGGAACTGTACGATCGCCGGCACAGCCAAATCTTCCACGCTCGTTAGCTGGGATTTTTCACTTCTTCCGCGGCATATTAATGTTCTATTGTAATAAAGCTTGCGTTTATGTACACAATTTGCGTTATGTATAGTTGTTAGGATAAATATGGGCAATCCAATGGTTCGCAGAGGGGCAATCTAGACTTGATTTAAATATTCGTAATACTACCACCTATCTCAACGACTCAATTTGAGGCCTTCGTCTTTCGAGAACGGGTTCAAATCAATCCTGCCCTAGCTTTATAACCACCTTCCCAACGTGCTTCCCTGAGTAGAGGTAGTCGAACGCCTCCTTGGATTTCTCGAAAGGGAAGACGCGGTCGATGATGGGGGCGAGCGAGACAGCGTGCTTCTCGAGGAACTCATTCAGCTGCTCAAAGTCGGCCTTACTACCCACCCCGATACCTCTGAAGTTTTCACGACACCTCATTAGCGCCTGTACTAAGCGACACGCAAACTGTAGATAAGACGAGCGTAGGAGGGAGGGGGGCCGCCACGCCGCGGCAACCGCTAGTAGCAAGACATGACTTACTGGATCTTGGCCTTCTTGCTCATGAGGGCGAACAGGAGGCTCGGGTCGAGCTGACCGGTGACGCCGCCCAAGAAGCCGACGAAGGAGAGGACGCCGCGCTGGCGCAGGGAGGCGACGTCGTCGGGGACGGAGGCGGGGCCGACGTTGTTGACGAGGACGTCGACGCCGCGGCCGTCGGTGAGGCGGAGAGCCTCGGCCCTGACGTCGGGCGTCGTCTTGTAGTTGACGCCGCGCACCTCGGGGCTCAGCTTCTGGACGGCGGCGAGCTTCGCGTCGGACGACGAGGTGATGATGGGCCGGATGCCCGCCGCGAGGCAGATCAGGAGCGCGAACATGCTGACGCCCCCGGTGCCTGCGCCAGTTAGTTAGGTAGTTGCTAGAGCGGGAGAGGTCGCGAGGACGAAAAGAAAGAAAACAACAAAGAGCCACGCCCGCTAGCGCGAATGCGAACGGCCGTACCTTGCAGCAGCGCGGTTGCGTGGGGCCGGTCCACGGACACGGGGTTGCCGAGCGCAGTCCACGCGGTGACGCCGGCGCACGCGATCGTCGAGGCCTAGTCGCGCGCGCGCGCACGCAGCGCAGCAGTCAGCATCTTCCTGCACACAGACGGGGACGGGGTGTGGGGGAGGGAAAACGCACCTCCTCCCAGGAGAGGTGGGCGGGCAGGTGGACGAGGTGGGCGTCGGCGAAGACGGCGTACTCGCGGAGGACGCCGGGGGCGTCGCCGCCGAGGGCGCGGACGGGGCCGTCCTCGTGGCCGGTGAGGCTGGCGAGGTCGAAGATGGGCGCGACGCGGTCGCCGGGGCGGAAGGCGGCGGCGGCGGCGGGGCCCGCGGCGACGACCTCGGCCGCGCAGTCCGACGCGGCGATGCCGCGCTCCTCGACCGCGACCGGGTACCGCCCGTGCAGCATCGCGACGTCCCGGAAGTTGAGCGACACGGCGCGCACCCGGATGAGCACCTCGTGCGCGCCGAGGTCCGCCGGCAGGTCCTCGGTCGTCTGCTCGATGGTGGCGCCCGCGCGCCGGAACGCCGAGTACGTCTTCGGGAGGGTGGCGGCCATGGGTGGTGTTGGTGGCGGTGTTGGTGTTGGTGGTGTTGGTGTTAGTGGAGGTAGTGGTAGCGGAGGGCAGTGCAAAGCGGGGGAGTAGGGTGCGGGGTGGAATCGGGGTGTTCCGGTTCAGTGAAGCCTGTCGCCTCGAGGATCGGCGCTGGCGGCTCGCCTTTTATAAGGCCTGCTAGCCCGGCTGGCGGCATGCGAATTAACCGTCTATTACGCCTCGAGCTCAGCGGTTCCCCTCTTAGAAATTATCGCCACTTTTGGCCCAGGTAATATGCAGGGTACTCGGGGCTCAGGGGAGCCAGAGATGCCTGACAAATCTGGCGTTGCTTATATCCGATAATCTCGCAGCACCCACACTCACGATCATTATTAAATTAGGCGTAGAGAGCAAGTCTATGACAAATAAGGTGGCGTATGGATAATAGTAGAATTCATTTTTACAGCGGGAATACGCTGGGTACAGGTGGTTGTCGTTTGGGTGCGACTCTGGAGGAAATATTAATACCCGCTTGGTTGTTTTGAATATGTCCTCGCTCCGGACATATATCGGCAGGCTGTAAGCAGGGTTACTTGGCGTTTTTGGTTCCTTATATTTCTCCTGTATTCCGGGTTTTGCTCCTTACTCACCACAGGCGTTTGTACTAGGTGTTATGATGCTATTCCCTATTGGTTCCACCAACCGGTGTCCTCCCTGGTAACAGAATCTAGCCGTGCCCCAGCGGAGATGCAGAGACTTCGGCGATAGGTATTAAGCAGCCGTGGGCATCATATCGCCTGTCATGGAATTCGTGGACGGCTCAGCCCGCTCTAATATTCTCCCGCTGGCATCCGGGGGCACCACCACAGGTTCAGACGACGAATTATACCTAGCTCTTCACGCTGTCGATCGTTAATGACCACGTGTCGGAGGTTTGCCATCGTCCCGGGGAGACACAAGGGGCCCTATTTTAGGACGTAGACGTCATACTGTTGTTGTTCCAGTGTTCCTCTCGCGCCTCTTATAGAGGCCGGAATTCCCATGACATCCCTCGTCCACGTTCGCTTCTTGCTCCCCTCCCGTCTCGACCTTGTCCTAACTGCCTCCGTTTCTTCAAGGCTAACGGTCCTCCTGATACTGGTCCTCATGTTGAGCTACGTGCTCGGTGGAGCCCCTCGTATCCCGAGAAGGGTCGAGATTCGGTCTACTTGGTCTCGGATACTGGAACACACAACGAACATTATTACCACACGTTTTCGACACTGAGATACCCAAGCCACTAAATGTCTAGAGACCACGAGTTTTCGCAGGTGGTCGTTGTAACGACCATCGCCGCCTAGACCCCATTTGCTACAACGGCAGCATGCCAGTTTCCTCGCCGACGTCACTCATGGGTTGTATCACAAGGCCCGGGAACCAGAGCCTTCCCCAGGCCGACTAAATGCTTGTCGAGAAGCCGGCGATTGTCCTCTCTCTTGATGATACCCAGTGCCCCCCAAGGCTGCGTCTAGGGGAAATCATGACGACATGCCACGTCAAAAGTGCAACAATATTTTTTGAGGCTTTTTTTCCCCGTAGCACCGACAAAGACGAGTTAGAGAGCACATAATATTACAACCGTACCTACATCAAATTATCCATAGAGGTCGGTGCTGAGAACCGTACCAAAGGCGATTTCTAAACGCCAGCTGGTGCTTTACCGCAGCAAATATCAATAAAGATCCCGATATATTTATGACGATACTCGCCGCTAAGCTGAAGTGCCCTTCTGAAATCGGGCATTTCGATGTGGCGTGGGATGCCTGTGCCAATCATATCATCTCAGCCTCAATGATCCCCCCATGGTATCGCGGGTCCTACAGCCAAGAACCCCTGGTGTGGCATCTATCGAGCGTCAGCTTCACCGCTCTGGCTGCGTCCACCGCGACAGGCAAGGTGTTGGTGCCGTCGCCGGCCCGCGGGCCTCCCCTCCTCGTCCGTCACTTGACGACCTGCCCACATTGTGCACCCGACGGAGCCAACATCATCAGGCAAGCGCCAAACTATTCCATAACTGATCCGGCGCCGTGGAGCAGGCGGGGGGGATACCTGTTGGGGGCCGGGAAAAGAGGCGAGACCCTGATCGACTTGAAATCCCCCAGCCAGGAGAACAGCGCAAGACGGGGGTGGGATCGCGTTGCTGCTCCGCCCTGCGGCCAAGGCCGGGCTTCTGTCATTGGTTGTGTTGGTACTCGATGTGCACGATTTGATGCACGCGCGCTTAGATTAGTCTACCACGATCCCGGAGGCCGTCGCGTAAGGCAGACAAGAGGGCAGAGGAGGATAGGCAAGGAGAAGGATGGCGCCTAGTCGTAGGCATGTCATCATCCGCCCGCATATTTAAATAAGTACAAGACTAGGCTGCCAGCCAGACCGAGAACTCTCAAGAAGAAGAGAAAAAAAAATCTTCCCCTCTCACATTCCCGTTCCCATCGCGAGATTTTATTTCCATCATAGACAGAGAGTCTCTCTCCGTGAAGCAGGACGCCAAATAATATCTACCACCCCAAGCATCACCAGTATATCATTACCACCTGTCTAGACATACCTATCGGTCGCCGCCAACCCTTCCACCGCAACCACAACCCCCATCTCATACCTATTACTACTTCCTCCACTGCTACCTACCCGCGGCCGTCAACCACGCCGCCACCACCACTTCACCCCACCTCGGCCGCCCGCCCGCACCGCACAGCGACATCGACACCTCCCGCCTTCCCCGCACGCCACCGCGTCCGTGCCGAGAGGCGATGGCCGCCCTGATGTACTACGACGGCGACTCGCACGCGCTGGCGCGGGACCTGGCGCGGCAGCTGTCGCACCAGACGCGGCGCGAGCACGCGGAGGAGGTGCAGCACCAGCACCAGCACCACTACTACGACCGGGACCGCGACTGCGGGCGGCCGCGCCGCCACCCCACCCAGTACATCGTCAACGACGGGCGCATGACCGTCGACCAGCGCACGCTGCAGCACAGCAACGCCGTCATCTACAACGGCCCGCACTCGAGCCTGCGCCTGGTGTCCTCCGGCCGCGCCGCCGCCGCCCCGGCCCGCGACCGCGACCGCGACACCGACCACTCCCGCGACTGGTCCACCGCGACCCCCCACACCTGCCACGGCTGCCTCCGCCGCCGCCCCCTCTACTGGACCGAGTACTGCTACGACTGCGCCGCCGCCCCGCTCAGCCGCCGCCTCGGCAGCGTCACATACCGCCATGACTTCCAATGGCGGCATCTGACTACCGCCCCCGAGAGGCGTCTCGTCGGGTGGCGCTGACGACGGACGGACGGTTGTAATTTCGGTTCTTGTGTGTTTTTTTTTTCCGTCTTGTTTTTCGGGTTGGGTAGCTAGCTAGTCGTTTAGGAGTTGATAGGGGTTGGGCTCAGAGCGCGCTCTGGTCGGAGAGGGACGAGGGGCAAGGGGCAAGGGGCAAGGGGCAAGGGGCAAGGGGCAAGGGGCAAGGGGCAAGGGGCAAGGGGTAACATGCATTAGGACGATTTCCGCTGTTTTTTATATATATACCTTCAATGCGATGCAGGTGCACATGCTTCTTCCCTAAAACACGCAAAGAGTAATTTTTCGTTCTGGAGTATCGTTAGACGCGAGGCATCGGGGACAATTCGAGGGTATCCTACTGTGGCCTCCCATAGACAAGATCACTTGGTTATTACCTACGTGGAGGCGAGGTGGTCACGCGGTGCGGGGAACGCCAGCATGCTATTATAGATCAAACCACGAGACGGAACGAATGAATGCTAATCTAGACTCTTTCGCATTCCGTGCCGCGATCGTTCAGGTGGGCGGTCATGCGGCGAACTGGCCGTCATGCATAGTCAGCACTAAAGGGGGCGGTGAAAGTATGGCTTGAAACGGACTTGACCCAACCCTAGGGGCTTCAGAGGCGGATGCACGCCCCGGAGGAGGGCGGAACGCCGCTGCGTAAGGTATCTTTGAGCGGTAATGACGCCAGCCCTACGGCTCGGATCCTGTCGTTGGATCCTGTCGTTGGATATACCTAGGTGGTTTCTGTTATTCTATTGGCGGGAATGATTGCAGCGTGAGAGTCCAGCTCTATGACAGTAGGTGAGCGTAGGAGGACTGTCCCATCGTGGTTTCACAAGTCTACTGGCCAGAAACAACATTGTTCGTTTTACAAGGGCGGGAAACAAAGGCCTTTTTTCCACATATAGACTTTGTTCTAGGAGGTGATAAAAGATGCTCGCGGGGCTCAAAGGAACCGTGTCGACTTTGTCTCGCCATATCGACAGCGAAGCATTGCTATTGTCGCTAAACTAATTCACCGAGAGTGTAGCACGGTAAGACCCTCCTCGCAACGAGTAATAATATGGCGACAGACAAACCCACCAGCAGCTTCGGCATCGAGCTGGAGTTTCTCGTAGCCGTGAAGAGGAACCCCCCTTCTCCAGCCCGCAAGCCCCTGCGGTTTTTAGGAGCCCGGGGCGCGCCCATCGTTGTCGACGGGGGCGGGAATGCCCACGGAGTCTCCGTGCCGGCCGCCGTCCGAGCGAACATAAAGCGAACGATCAGGCTCGCCGCGGAGCGCTGCGCCGGCGACCGCGTCGTATCTTCGGAAGCGGAGGCGACCGCCGACCCCGAGGCCATCCACCTGAGGCCCTATGCCGAGGGCTGGCAGGTCAAGGACGACATGTCGGTCAAGATGCCGCCGGAGCTGCTCCGGGAGGAGCACATGCAGGAGTACATCTGGCAGCGGGCCGAGATCACGTCGCCGCCGCTCTGGGCCACCGAGAAGTCCTACAACGAGGTCCGCGCCGTCGTCTGGGCCCTGTCCGACGCGTACTGGGTCCTCGCCCCCGCCGAGACCGCCGGCCTGCACGTCCACTACGGCCGCGGCAGGGACTGGATCCCGTTCCACGAGCTGCGCAGGATCGCCGCCTTCCTCTACCCCGCCGACCCGATCCTGGTGCAGATGCACCCGCCCCCGCGCCGCGAGACGGCCTTCGCCGCGAGCAACCGCCTGTACAGCCAACTCGCGCACTGGGTGACGCCCGAGCAGGCGGCGGCGCTCATCCGCAACCCGGATCTGGAGGAGGTGCCGCCGTGGGCCGACGGCAGCGGCCCCCAGACGCGGCCGCTGCCGGCGCCGGCGCCCTTCTTCCCCCCGCTCTTCCGCCGCGGCGCGCTCGGCGGCTACACCTTCAGCGAGCACGTGTTCGGGCTGGGCCGCGACCCGATGCTCGACCAGGGCCGCCAGACGCCGCTCGGCACGGAGGCGGGGGCGCGGGCGCTGCTCGCGGCGCCCAACGCGCCGACCGTCGCGCTGCTCATGCAGTTCTTCATGAACCGCGCCGCGTACAACTTCGGCGCGTACAACTCCGGCACGTACCGGCGCGTGTGGCCGGGGCCGTCGGGGCCGGGCGGCGAGCTCTTGCCCGACCCGTACAACCAGCCGCGCCGCACGCTCGAGTTCCGCCAGGCGGCGAGCACGGACGACGCCGACGAGGTCGTCGCCCACTGCCGCGTCGTCGTCCGCATCTGCGAGTGGGCCGGCCGCTCCCGCCCCCGCGACTTCTGGAAGATCGTCCTCGACTGCGCCCAGGCCGAGACTCACCCCGGCTGGTACGACGTCTTCGACCTGCTCGCCGACCTCGGCCTCGCCGACGAGGCCCGCGTCCTCCAGCGCCGCTTGGCGCGCTCCTACGGCGTCCAGACGCCCGACCGCGGCCGCGCGCCGGGGTGGAGAAGGGCGTCTTCCGTCCCCCCGACTCGGACTTGGACGAGCCTGCCATCGAGGGTTTTGCGCTCGTTCCGGTACATGGTCGTCTAGGTAGGTAGGTACTAGCCCGCCGGCCGCAGAAATAGCGAGGTGATGGTGGTTCGTTTGGAATCGGGTAAGTACATTCGTAGCATCTCACGAAGAGCAATGTAAGTCCAATCCCCCCCTCGGTTCCCTCGCTACATCGTGATTTGTTCTCGTAGCTATTTGCCACCCCTTGTTCTTTTAAGATTGCCGCTTCAGTGGGCTTTCTGCGGTGCGTATTGGCACCTGGCTATAATCAAGTGGGACGGGAAATCTAGTCTGCATCACGAATACACGTATTAACGATAGCCGCACAAACCCCGAGAAACCCTGACAACTAGAATCTGGAGATAGAAGTAGAGTGAGTTCTCACCAACTACGCGCGAATCAAAAACAAACGTGAATATTTTCTTCTATTTTGTACAATGTGGACTCGTCTATAAGATCGGAGACCTATGGCGGACCTGCCTTGAGACCATGCCATTACCGTATCGCTGTTCAACGCCGATATGAATCCCGATAACTGCGCCAAACGCATGCATAATGAAATTCGTGTCATCGTCTAAAACGCCGACAACCTCTTACATCGCTTCCCTACTGCTCGTGCACTTCCTCCCAATTAACGAGCCGTTTAGACCGTCTCCTTCTTTAGGGGGTTGAGCTTCCCGCCGAGCTTGCTGGCGGCCGAGGTGGTGAATTGGTCTATTTTCGAGTTGAGGCCTTCCTCGGCCTTGTTCTGGTAGTGCTCGACGCGGTCGTTGACCTTGCGGCCGACGAAAGTGCGGACGCAGCCGTAGACGCCGGTGGCGAGCCAGAAGATGCAGTTGACGAGGTCGAGCCAGACGGCGCACTTCATGAGGCTGACGCTCGTGCCCTCGTACTCGTCATCGTCGCGCTTGAGGAAGATGGCGGCAAAGGTGCCGAACACGGCGATCCATAGAATGAAGAGAACGAGGTCCCAGGCGAAGAGTCGGTGCGACTGCAGGCGGGTGAAGGGGTTGGGAATGCCGTAGAACACACAGGTGACGCAGGAGAAGCCTCCTACGACCAGGGCGTAGACCCAGGCTGCCGACTGCGCGTTCCCGGCCCTGTGATCGATGTCGACGCGGCGTCCGTACAGGCCGCAAACGATGACGGCGAGGATGAACTGGATACCACGAGCAGCCCAGCGCAGCCAGGTCTCGTAGATGTAGACTTGCTTAGTGGCGGCGCCCTTGCCAACCTTGGAGACGAAAGACTTGATCTGCATTTTGTTTCGCGTATGGCGTGTCTCCTCTTGATACGAAAGAGTGTGATTACCCAGGCTCGAGGGCTTCAGGGACGAGGACTACGGCGAGAAATCTAGTAGGCGGAGGAGAGGAAAGAGGAAGAGACGAAGCGAATGAACTGTAGAGTATTAAGTAGGGCAATGCAGGCAGATAATAGACAATTACTAGAAAGAGGAATGAAAAAATGAACCAAAGACACCCAGTGCCGTATTGTATGTGTTAGTAACGAAGAAAGGATTGGTGCAGGCCCCGAGACAGCGACAGAGAGGCGAGCAGTAGATTATTTAAAGGCAAACAGACCCATGGTCATTATCGCGACAATATGCCTGACAGACTCAGCGGCAAACAAGCGCTGCGCAGGTGGGACGCGGTCAAGATGATTGACAAAGGTCGCGAGAGAAGACAGGCGTCTGGGCTTTTGTCTGGTGTAAATCGAAACACGGCGTCAAAGGCTTCTAAATCCAGAGTTGCCAAATGAAGCTCTGGCGGCCAATCAAGGCGCCCTGGGGGCAGCGGTTGGAGCCATCGGAGTGATCGCTCGCTTCGCGTCGACAAAGACATTGACTGGATACGATGTTGTCGATTGTGAGACGCGGCGCTTAACACCGGCCCGCTCAGGGGAAAAAAAAAAAAAAAAAAGAAGAAGCATCCCTGCGACAGCGCTAAATGCCCGACACGGCCAAGTTGTGGTTTGAGCCTCTCACGGCCGCCGGCAAAGCCGATTCACTGTGCTGCCGGCGCCCAATGGAGTGGCCGTTCCTGACATGCACCGACCCGGAGGCCAGGCGATCGAACTCGAGGGGTCAAAATAGCCATGATGGAGTGACAGGTAACGTATCCAGTTACACAGCATCACATTGTGTACCTACTTGTCGTACGGCAGGGTCTGTCTGCATCAGGAAGACCCTCCCGAGTCACGGGATTCTGGGCAAGACTCCAACATCGTCGGGCTCAGTGTTGGACTCACCTTGGGCCTCACGGCGTGGCCGGCGACCCAGAAACGAAGAGCTCGTATGGGATGCATGCCCGTGTCGACACCGCGGCGTACACAGTCGGGTAGTGTGCACACGTCCCCGTCGTGGAATTGCGACGAGAGACTCACTCGCGGGTATGCCAGACGTCGGGCCAGAATGAGGCCAGGTATGTAGGTAGGTAGAAGAGCGTCGGGGACCTGGGCAGCGGTGGTGATGGTGATTATGGCAGGTGGCCCCTGCGTTACGTATAGCTGCGACTAACCTAGGTAGGTATCCCTCGTGACCACGGGTTCAGAGCATGTGGGGTCCGTTCAGTTCAGATACCTCGGCATCGCCCAAGCTTCGGCTCGTTTTTGATTTCCGACCTCTTCCATTGGTCACCGCCCGACACGACTAGCAGTGACATCATTCACGGGAGGGAATGCTGTACTTTGAGGGATGTACCCAGGACATGTATATACCTTTGCCTGTCCTGTCCACGTCGTAGAGATACTAGGAGGTGCTCTAAGGGTGGCGATGAGTGGCATTGCGCTCCCGATGATGCGTTCCTATGTCATGTAATCTCGGATCGAACGCCGTCACGTGGAAAAAAAAAGAAAAAAAGAACAGCGCGAGGACAGCGTTTGAACACGATTGCATCGAGCAGGAGGAACAGCGGCACCGGCGAGGGAAAAGCTTTTGGGCATTCCCTTTCCCCGCGAACCCTTTTTATATACCCCCGGGCCGGGGACGACGCCGCAGAAGGGGAGCTGCCCACGTCCAGCAGCACGAACAGCCTCGGCTAGCGTGGGGTACCGAGAGAGGATGGGGTCGAGGCATTGCGGATTGCGGATTGCAGGCGATGGGTCCGCTACCATTGCCAATAGCGACAGCCTGAATGGCTGGACGACCTCCCCGACTGGCACGCCGTCTGGGGCGTGGCGGACCGGGACGGGCTGTTTGCAGGCAATTAGGGGGAGGCCACTTAGCGGTAGAGGTACCTACCCCAGCGCTACCCCGGGGTCCCTGTCTCAGTACCATCACATGTCAAGACGGGCAGTGCTGCCACTGCCAGGTACTTACCTCTCAGCGAAGTGCTAGAGTACCACCACTGCTACCACCACTGCATGTACCTCTCAGCGGTGTTTCCGAGGCGGGATACCTGTTCTGCCTAGGCATCCTCTGTACCCAGCCCTCGTATGTACCTAGGCTGTATGCCTACCTACCTAGGCAGGTAGGTAGCTCTGTAATCTGTAAGCAGCCTCTCCCCCAAGCCGGTGGGGTTGGAGACGCGCCCCGAACGAATCCATACCTCCTCGTACATAATGCAGTCCGGTGAGATCGTTTTCATCTCCCTCAACTCGTCCCATCTCACCTATCCTTCTTTCTCTTTCTCCTTCCCTCTTCTCTTCCCTTCACACACCCTCCGCCACCAAGTCTCCATTTTCTCCCCCTTCACCTCACCAGTCTCCCGAGCAGCCTTCGCAGAAATTCCCACCCGTATACCCGCAGAGACCGACGCAGCCAGCCATGTCTAAGACCTTCACCAAGAGCGACGTCGCGTCGCATAACAAGGCCGATTCGCTGTGGATTATAGTGGATGGCGACGTCTACGACCTCACCAAGTTCCAAGACGACCACCCTGGTATGTCGTCATCGAACCCCGTCTACCACCCCCTCCGTCCCTCCGTGGTTGTCTTGTCGCTCCCCTTTCCCGCCATCGCCTCGCTGCGCACGCGCCCTAGTTAGATAAACTTGAGTTCGGCGCTGCTAACCACGCTGCGAGGAATCGTGCAGGCGGGAAGAAGATCTTGACCCGATTCGCGGGAAAGGATGCGTCCAAGCCGTTCTGGAAGTACCACAACGACGGGATCCTTAAGAAGTACAAGCCGTCGCTGCAGATCGGCTCGCTAGACACCAAGCCCAAACCCGAACCGGCCCCGGCTCCGGCCCCGGCACAGGCTGCCCCCCAGCCGACGAAAGAGGTCAAGAAGGCCGCCGCGCCCGCCGCTGCGAAAGAAGACGCCGAAGCACTGGAGCCGTACGGTTCTTTGATCCCGTTTGGAGACCCCAGCTGGTACCAGGGCGTACGTCTTCTCGCCGTGCCCACTCGTCAGATCTCTGCTTGCTAATCGCGAAAGCGTAGTACCATTCGCCTTACTTCAACGAATCCCACGCTGCTCTCCGAGCTGAGGTTCGCCAATGGGTCGAGACCGATATCGAGCCGAACGTCACCGAATGGGACGAGAAGAAAGACGTCCCGCGCGAGATCTTCCTCGAGGCGGGTCGTCGCGGCTATCTGGCCGGCCTCCTAGGCGTCCACTACCCGGTGGAATACGTCAAGAACGCCGTCAAAGCGGTCCCGCCGGAGAAATGGGATTTGTTCCACGAGCTGATCATCACCGACGAATTGTCGCGTGTCGGATCCGGCGGTTTCGTCTGGAACATCCTTGGCGGTTTCGGTATCGGTTGCCCGCCGCTGGTCAAGTTCGGCAAGAAGGCTCTGAAGGACCGCATCCTGCCCGGCCTCCTCTCTGGCGAGAAGAGAATCTGCTTGGCCATCACGGAACCCGATGCCGGGAGCGACGTTGCCAACCTGACCTGCGAGGCTAAGCTCAGCGAGGATGGCAAGCACTACATCGTCAACGGCGAGAAGAAGTGGATCACGAACGGAGTATGGTGTGATTACTTCACCACCGCCGTGCGAACTGGCGGCGAGGGCATGAACGGTGTTTCCTTGCTCCTCATCGAGCGCGACTTCGGCGGTGTCAGCACCAGGCGGATGGACTGCCAGGGTGTATGGTCCTCTGGGACGACCTACATCACCTTCGAAGACGTCAAGGTCCCCGTCGAGAACCTTTTAGGCAAGGAGAACCAGGGCTTCAAGGGTACGCGTGTCTCTCGTTCAGACATTTCTTATCCATCTAGAGTAATCGCTAATTTCGAGCTCAGTCATCATGACCAACTTCAACCACGAGCGAATAGGAATCATCATCCAGAGTCTCCGCTTCTCGCGCGTCTGCTACGAGGAATCGGTTAAATACGCCAACAAGCGACGCACCTTTGGCAAGAAGCTGATCGAGCACCCCGTCATCCGCATGAAATTGGCACACATGGCACGCCAGATCGAGGCCTCCTACAACTGGCTCGAGAACCTCATCTACCAGTGTGTCAAGATGGGTGAGACCGAGGCCATGCTGCGGCTTGGTGGCGCCATCGCCGGCCTCAAGGCCCAGAGCACCCTCACCTTCGAGTTCTGCGCCCGAGAAGCCAGCCAAATCTTTGGCGGCCTGAGCTACTCGAGGGGCGGCCAGGGCGCAAAGATCGAGCGGCTGTACCGGGACGTTCGCGCCTATGCCATCCCTGGCGGTAGCGAAGAGATCATGTTGGATCTGAGCATGAGGCAGAGTCTGAGGGTTGCCAAGTTGACAGGTATGAAGTTGTAAGACGAAGAGCAAGGCGCATGTATTAGAAGAGAAGAGACGCTGTCTTGGCGGGCGTAGCCGTTGCGCGCGCAGGCGAACCCTGAAATTCTTGGATCGAGTCGGCGCACCTGCCCAGGGGTTGCATCAAGGCGTTGGACCTGTCGATAACTACAACACCTGTTCCATGTCCGATGAAAGGGAACCTTCGAGAACAAGTTTCTCCATGTACATCAGCCCTAGCTGTCTTGGTAGTTATAGGAGCATACTAGGTTTTTTTATTATCAATCTTCAGGCGCCGTCAAGTATTATCCCAATCAAGTTCCTATCGCGATAGACTTTTAGTATCTACCAAATTCTTGTTTTATCTTGTCCACGTCGTAGAGATCGTGTTTCGGAGGCGGATCGAATTTCCAAACTATTGCACACACCGAAAAGGGGTAATTTATCAATCATACATTTAGTACTACTAGAGATACGAAATTCAGCCTCGGCGGTTTTTATTACTTACTCCCCGTTGATCATCACACAATACCGCGAAGTACCGGATGCTGGAGAATGGGAGACAAAAGGGAAAAGAATGGCCTAAACTAGACGGTTAAAATCTACTCCCTCCCAGCCCACTCTGTTCGTCCCATCCATAATGGAATATGCCTTTCGTAGTCGGCATCATCCTCACGAAATTGCCAGCCTCATCGAGTAGCCTTTCGTAACACTCGACAACAAAGGCGTCAATAGTTACGTGCTTTCGAATCGTCTCTTTTCTGACGCCACCGATCAGCCTCAAGGGCTCAGTGAAGGACAACTCTCGAAGCCTTCAGCCTAGTTAGGACACTATTGTGTAGACGGTAGGCAACTGATTTACACCCCCAAGGCGTTTTCTTGCATCTCCAGGCAGAAGATGAACTGCCGATAGTGTTCTTCCCATTGTCCTTATGGTCGGCGAGAAATCCACTCTAAAAGTCGCTGTAGCGTCAACTCCCCAACAATGAAAGAGTGCGTGGCCAGCCTCCCCTTGCGTGGCTTCCGCCTCGTGACAACCGAAGTCTTAATCCTGAGAAATAGATGGTTTCATGTGGGGGCGGGTGCTACGTCTAGGTAAATGCTAAATATATTTAAAGATTCGACCCCCTATTCTCTCTTTGGGCCTCCGCGGTTCGATAACTAGCCCGATACCTAACATCCTCCCCGCGGCAGCCTCAGGCTTCGAAACTTACTATTACTCGGTAGTGGGCAAAGATCCTTCAACACATCATATTCCGTTCGGAAGTTCTAGCAACGGATCGTGCAAGCCTAGTATCAGAGGCCCTGTGTCTCCTCCCCTTCTCCCGGCCACGGCCCAAAATCTTGTGAAGCCCACCACACCTCCATCTTCCCAATCTAGCTTCAGTCGTAGGTATGCCACCCGCACACATGAACTTAGTCGCCAGCGGTTTAGTCAGCTTGCCGATCTATCTCGAGCACCCACGCGTGTCCTTTTCGATCTCTGACTCATCCAGCAGTTATTTACAGCTCACCATATCCCTCTGTCCCTAGAATCCTGCTCCCTATAGAAGGTACGAGGCTCCCTATGTATAGTTATTGAAGCTAAGAAATATCTTCCTAGCTCAGATCCCATTCTCTATTATCGAATCCTCTCTCCCACACTGCACTCCAGAGTGCGGAAGAAACGAAGATCACAATGTACGCCCATAACTCAGCAAACAATAGTTTGTGTCCTCAGCACAACTGGCCCAGAGGTGCCCCGGCCTTATCCCGCGATCTTGAAGAACTCAGGGCAGGTCTCACCTCTATGGCCGTCTCATCAAGCACGCGGCTCCCTCCTGGATTCGCGGCCAACCAGGGAGCTCCACCTGGCCATCTGCAGTATCATCGGCAAAGCGTGGATACCCGATTCAGAGAAGCTCCGGGAGCATCATCGCCTGCGGATAGGTCCGCTCTCCGAGCCGTGCTCCCCACGTACGAGCGCCACGCCGCTCCTATCGGCCAACTAGACAGCGCCCCTGACCCCCCAGCTCCCCAGCAGACGGGACGGCAGAATGACGAGGCCGATGCCGTCTACGACATTTACAGACTCCCCCAGTTCCCCCTCTCCTTCGTCCGCCCCGCTCCCGGGCCCAAGCACGATGCTCTTCAGCAGACCGACCTGCGCCACGACACGGGGGATGTGGCAAGGGCGTATAACCCGCCGGCGTGGCGGGCCCACTTAGGGAACCAGGACGACAGCAGCTGCGAGACCACGGCCCCCGAGCGCACCTACCCCTTAGGAGGTGCGGACGTCGACGCCGAGCTGCATTACGCGCGGCTGTGGCGGCAGCAGATGGCGGCGGCGGGGATGTCGCCGCGGTACCGGGGGAACCCGTGGGTGGCGGGGAACCGGTCGGCGGACGTGCCGGAGGGGCTGAACACGGCGCTGTGGGTGACGAACCTGCCGCCGGGGTGCACGCACGGGGCGCTGCTGGGGGCGATCCGGGGGTGCGGGAAGGTGTTCGCGGCGGTGCTGAGCGGGCCGGAGGAGGGCGGGGCCGGGGCCGGGGGCGGGCACGCGACGTCGGCGGCGAAGCTGGTCTTCTTCTCGCGCGCGGGCGCCGAGCGGCTCGCGACCCAGGCCCGCGCCGGCCGCTTCGCCGTCCAGGGCTACGCGCCCCGCGTGCGGCCCAACCGCGTGCGCTCGGCCCCCCGGCCCCCCGGCCCCCAGTCCCGCGTCCTCCACGTCCGCGGGCCCCCCGCCCTCGTCGGCCCCGCCGCCCTCCTCCCCTTCTTCGCCGACCGCTTCCGCTTCGACCTCGAGGCCGTCGTCCCCCTCCCCCCCGACCGCGGCCCCCGCGCCGCCCTCGAGTGCCGCTTCGCGAGCTACCGCTGCCAGGCCCAGGCCGCCCGCCGCTGCATCGCCCGCGAGAAGGAATGGGCGGCCGCCCGCGCGCGCGAGGCGCGTGACGCCGACGCCGGCGCGTACGCCGCCCTGTGGGCCCAGGTCACGGTGCGCTTCGGCGTCGACCCGTGCGCTTGAGAGGCTGGTGTCGTGTGTGCGAGTTGCCTCCCCTGCCGCATCTGCGCGTGTCAGCACGCAGAGAGGTCCGGTTCGTCGAGGTAGAGTCCGAGCATGGCCCGGACGGACCGGCGCAAGCTCGGGGGCTAATCCGCTCTACGGTCCCAGTACCTACCTATCGTTTCCTAGGAGACCCCCGACACAGACACCCGACAACGTTGAATTCCGTATTAAAGGTACTACTCGCCTGCTCGAGGCTCGCTGTCCACGGGCGAGTTCGCCCATATTATCGCCTTTGTCCGCTGCCCATTCCTGCCCACCACCCGCGCCGACCAACCATAGCAGACAGAGCACCGGCCCACTTCCCCATTTGGGCAGTCCGACCAGCCCGCGTCGATCCCGGCGAGCGTCTAGGAGCGTTGGCAATAGGCATCAGGATGATCCGGGTCGTTGTAAATTTCATTTCCTACGGCATCTATGGGCTCTCGGCAAACGTTCGGTGTTTACTACCCTCATGAGACTAGTAGCTACCTATCCCTCTTAGTAGCATCTATTCGTAAATGATCCAGGTCGTTGGGCTGGACGAAAGAAACGATGTGCCCTTGGTGCTAGTAATACCGTAGTTAAGCGGTATCGCGCTTCATCTAGGTACAACGACTAACAGGTAGTTGTAGGTAGCCAGCTAACTGCCGTAGCAAAATCGTTCACCTGCGAGCAGACGGAGACAGTCAGTCCCAAACGCGCTCGTCGATAAGCCCGCCACCCGTTATGGAGGAAATCCTGCAGAGGTTACCGCCTCACTTGCTGAGGACATAACTAGACTCCAGGCCGATTGTCGTGATGATGTGCGGAATTGCTGGTGCGTATGCGTCTCGTCTTCTCGACGCTGCCTAGCCCCGACACCGCGCTCACCCTTTCCTCCCTTCCTCGCCTCCTCATCCGATCATCAAGACCCAGAAGAACATATCGCCCTTCCTGCATTTTCTTCTTCTTTTCTTTTTTGTTTTCCCCCCATTCTTTCCTTTCCCCTCTCCCCTCGTCCCGCCAACGGCAAAGATCATGCTCTGTTACGCCTAACCCCGTCGCCGTACTGGACGGCGTTTGTCACGGTTCAGCCCCGTCGCGCCCTAAAGCACGCATAGGAAGGGCGGGGAAGGGTTCGAGATTATTGGCGGAGAGCGCAAGCTGCGATACATCCCACTTCCCGTTCGGTTCTATGAGCTAGAAGAAAAATAAGGCATGGCATGAATTTATTTTGCCCTCGGACCAGATACTGGGAGCCCCCCCCCCCCCCGGGGGTAGAACCATCATCAGTTTATGGGACAAAACACGCATTTGAATTTGCGTCGTCATACTAGCCAGGCGAGGAGATATCCATCAGTCAAGATCCATAAGCACCGGTTGTCCCATACCGGTTGGTATCAGTTCTCGCCCACCCGTAACCGTGAACTCCCCGTTTTATGGCGCATAGCTAACGCCGCACAAAAGCAAAAGCAAAACCACCCGGTCCGAAGAGAGAGAGAAATGATCTATGCTCGTATGCGTATACTCTACGCCGTGCCGCGAGGCTTTCCCTTGGCCTTAGCCTTCTCCTTCTTCTCCTCCTTCAGCTTCTTCTTCTTCGCCTCGTTCTGTTCTTCTAGCTTGCGCTTGTGCACCGCCTTTTCCGCATCCGTCTTGGGGATGACCTTGAAGAAGCCCTCGAGCCGGGCCTGCTGCGAACTCTTGGTGGCCTTCTCTAGCCTGGCGGCGCCGGCGCGGACTCTGTCCTCGTTGAAGCCCTTGTCCGTGACCAAGAATTTGACTAGTCCCTCGGTGTCGGGCTTGTCCCACTTGAAGTCGCAGAGCGGATCGTCCGCCTGGCGCACGTCGGGCTGGAAGAACAGGGCCCGCGCATCCTCGAAGGGCCAGTCTTCGGGCAGCGTGAACTTGGGGTTATTCTTGATGTGCTCGACCACCTTCTCGAGCGTGCCGTGCTCGCGGATCATCTTCAGGGCCGTGTTGGGACCGATCTTGGGGATAGGGTCGACGTAATCGCAGCCGAGCAAGATACAGAGATCAACAAACTGCTCGAGTCAGCACTGGCCCATGTAAGAAATTATACGCAAGGTAAGGAAGAAAAAAAAAGAAGTGCTGACCTGATTGCGATCCATATTCAATCCCTCGAGGACCTTATCCACGTAGATCTCCTGGATCGGCTCCTTTCTTTGCTCACTGAAAGTCAAATGCCGTAGCAAGACGGGGCTGTTGAAGCATAGAGTATCCATATCCTCACTCGCTGCCGCGTAGACTTTCCCAGCTCTAGCAAGGACAGCACACTGTGCCTCGGCTTCGGTGGGCGCGATGATGTATGGTATACCCATGAGCTTCAACAGCTGCTGGCATTCTGCGTTATGCTCCCTGGTGACCTTGACGGTCCGGCGTGAGAACTTCTCGACGTCCTCAGCAGTACCGGTTTCCTTGGCCTCCTCGAGCCCTTCCTTGGCCTCGGCCTTGCGTTGGAAACGACGAGCCAGTTCGCCTGACTTGAGTTTGGGCGGCGCGCCGTCGAACACGTAGAGAGGCTTGATGCCGTTGTCGACCATTCTCAAGGTGCGGTAGAACATGCCCATGAGATGAGATGTGGTATCGCCCGATTCGTTCGTGAGCTGCTGGCCATCGGAGCGAACAGCGATCAGGAAGCTGTAGATACTCATGGAACTGGTCGCATATTAGTCTCGCAGAACAGGTTCTGATTGCGGTCAAATTGCACGTACGCATCCTAATATCGCAGTATCAGTTAGCAAGTTGTGATTCTTTCTCGGCCCATTGAGGAAACCCATCAAGCGAAACACTTACGATGGCAACTTTGCGGCCAAATTGGCTCTTGATGTCTCCCTCCTTGATCGCGCCCGGGGCCTCTTCCTTGATGATGGGAAACAGGCCTTTGATACCCATGGCGAAGACCTTCTCTCGAAGCTGTGCTCGTTGAAATTACAGTAGGGGTATCGGTAGGATCTGCGGGTACGACGGGCACTGAGCGTCTCGCGGCGGCAGACGAAGGGTGTGAAAAGCTGCTCTCGAGGTACGTGGAGGCTGCTGATGCAAAAAGGGTGATGTCACGAGAGATGCGATGCCGACGCGGCGCTTTAATTGAGATACCTACCTAGGTAGAGCTAAGAGGACGGACCTATCCTGACGCGCCTTCTCACGCGCCGGTGGAGAGCACCCCGTTTAGAAATAGTCCCCTATGCAACGGTATAGGCTTGCCCTGATGCGTCTAAGCATATTATGCATAAAAACATACATTTGTCTTCGTTGGTATAGGCATGATGTCACTCACGGTCACGGGATGCGACTCTTGTTGTTCCTTCTCTCCAAATCGAGGATTCAATACGTGAAACTGGAAAGGCAGACGGCATCCACTGGCAGGAGCAGGTAAGTGCATTAAATGCCTATGCGCAAATATGCAGTTCCGGCAAAAGACCGCTAGGTACCTACTAGGGAGCACGTAGCCCGCACTGACACCGAAAGGCTCCAGTCCGACGCGATTCATGCCTCGTCCACCTGCTTCAGAATCTTCCATCTCTTTCAAGTCGTGATCCGGACATGAAATTTCACAACACTCGTCAACCCAATAAAACCAGCCCCTAGATCGTATACCGGTATTTCGGGCTTTCGTCTCCCAGTTCGGCCAGCTCTTCTTCCGACAGGTTCTGGTGCTCTGCCTTGACGAATCCCTCGGCACGCTTCTTGTTCTCCCTCGCAAACCAAAACCACATGAACCCGTATATGCACGCGGCCATCCCGACGAGAGACAGGGAGACGGCATTTCCCATAATGAAGCGCGGCCCATCGACACTAGGACTAGCGAGAGCGTTAGATACCAGAGATCGACGCGATACGCCGCCATGGCAAAGGCACGCCGAACTTACTAGATGAATGAGGACATTATGCCGGCGCAGTTGCCTATGGTGAGCTGCATGCCGTTGGCTGTCGTGCGCTTTCCGTACCGCGGTGTGTTGTTCGGCAGCTGGATCCGTGTCAGTCAGCGCAATCCTGCCTCCCCCAACAGCTCGACATGCGAAACGTACCCAAGCCAGCGGAAGGCCAACGATAACATAGAGCCCGGTGGCTACGAGGCAGCAGCTACAGATTGTCAGCTAAATCCGCTTCTGTCTGGAGAGACTCGCGATCGGAATAGCCATACCCGAAGTAGTGCACGCCTGCAGCCGAGTCGGACAGCAGCACGCCGTACCCGATAACGCTGACCGCGCCAAATATCACACAGAAAACCCCGCGCATCTGCTTGCGGTCCGACAAGAAGGCAATTCCCATGTAAGTCATGGCGCCGATGAAGTAGCACGGGATGGTCAGTAGCTGGATCTCAGCTGGAGTCCATTGGCCGAGGCCGCGGATGATGGTCGGTAAGAAGGTCGAGTAGCCTACATCTCTGATTAGAGTCTCTAGCGCGAACCTCCGTGCTCAACCACTGTTGGGTCCAAGCTCACCATAGAGTAAGGTATCGACGCCGAATTGTCCGATGCAGAAGAGCCAGACCTTCCAGTCCTTGAAAGCGGCCATCATGTCTTTCTTGCTGTAGTGCTGCGCGCTCTCCGTGTCGCCGTAATGGCGCCGGTGCCGCGCTATTGCTAGCTGCTTCTCCTCGGGCGTTAAGAAGTAAGCATGGTTGACATCGTTAGGCAGCAGAAACCAGGTGACGACGCCCAGCAGAACACTCGGGAGACCCTCGATGATCATGATCCACCTCCAACCGCTATAACCGGCGATGCCCTCCATCTGGCCAATGCCATAGGCTAGCAGTCCGCCCAAGGCCCCGGCGATGGCAGCGCTAACGAAGAGATAGCCGACGCGCAAGGCGAGCTCCCGCTTGGTGTAGAAAAAGGTCAGGTAGACGTTGAGCCCTGGGAAGAGGCCGGCTTCGACGACGCCGAGAATGAGACGAGTCGCGATGAGCGCCCCGTAGCTTTGTACAAAGCCGGTACATGTGGCTATGATGCCCCAGGCGAAGGCGATAAAGGCGATGTATCGGGATGGTGTCAGCGGCTTGAGCACCAGGTTCGACGGCACCTCGAACAGCAAGTCTATATGCGATCAACAGGGTTAGGATACCGGCGAGCATCGAACGCGCTGTCAGGCGCGCTCCCGCACTAGCGATGAGGTGACGACACGAGATTTAAGGCGAAGGGAGACTAACACGTGACAAAGAAGATGGAAACGGCCACCTGGAATTGGTTGCCTACTAGACCGAGGTCCGTCTCCAAGTGGTAGAGGCGCGCATTTCCAATATTCACTCTGAAAGTCTAGTTAGTCGTCCCCACGCTGGGCGCGTTGGCTGGTGAAGAGGTTGCAGAGAGAAATACCGGTCCAGGAAGCTAAACGTATCTATTGAGCTCGACGTTAGAAGGAGCCATCACGACAACCACGACCACAGCGCGCCTCGGGTAAATTCACAAAATGTTCAATCCGAAAATTCCGGGATGCGCTATGGGAGGCGGAAGCAAACTTACAAAGTAACATAACAAGCGGAATGATGTGTAGGTCAAGCTTGCGAAGGAGCCTCTTCTCCTCGGCAGAGTCGAAGACTTCGGTCGAGGTACCGGCATCAGAATCTTGTGCCTCGATATTGGGGCCGGCCATGGCCGGCTTATCGGTTGACATTTTGCACGGAGGGGAATGAATCTATTCAACCCGCCGGACAGGTCGTGTGCCCAAAGCTGGGAATTGAGCAGGAGAACCGAGTCGAGTTCTACAGAATAAAATATCGACAATAGAATCGTCGAGCCGGTAAAGTTGCTGATACTTATTCGACGATAGATGGTAGCAATCAGTCTCGGGAGACGAGAATGGTGCACTGTATACGATAAGCCTAGATTCACGGTCCACCGGAGCTATCACGAAGTGAGATTAGCTCTCGGTCAGTCATACCCACCGTGCCGAGTCGCGATGTGAGGAAGGGTGGGATAAGGAGATTCCTCCAGTAGCGTGCACATACACCTAGACACACGCACATCTTGTTTCGACGAATCTGAGACAAGCTGGGGGGATCTCTCAAAGAATTGATTCATTTCATAGCGAATCCCGACTACCAGGGAGGCTCGGTGTTGCCTCGCACAACGCCACAGTAAGCAATACAGCAGGGACCCATTAGCAACGCGGACGAGCACCTACAGATCTTCCAGTTTCTAGGGATAAGAACGGGAAGAGAGAACGCAGGGACGGTGATATCGGGGTGACGGAGCCCCCGCCCACTAGCTACCAAGCAAGACGGCGCTCGCTCCCCGCCTCGCGACCAGTACGAATCCACAGACGCGCAGATACAACCCATGGCTATCTTCAGCTCGGCCGCTTTATTCTCCTCCAGAGCCGCAAGTCAAGTCGGTGCTGACAGGGGGGCGTAAGCAGGACAGGGGAGGGGGATTATTAAGCGTATCGGTATGCGTTATGTATGCGGTATAGAAGGGAGGCATAGATAGGTAGACGGAGGGGAGCGAGGATCGGGGACTGGGGGGTGCTTTATCTTTACCTACCGAGACGTAGGTAGTTAGAGATTGTAGGGGTGGAGAGCGAGGGGGAGAGGGAGAGAAGGTATAGGTAAGTGGGGGTTGGTGAGGGAGGCATGGGCGAGGGATTAGTAGAGGCAAGGGCAGGATAAGACATACCTACCTAATAGTTAAGAGATAGGGTAGGACAGGGTTTTGGACAGCCTGGAGGCCGACAGTGAGATACTAGGTATATACCTAACTAGGATGCCTTTATCAGGTCCCCGCGGCGCGGTGCTGTCGCAATGGCAGCAGCGTGACAGCGAGCGAGCGGCTTGCCGAACGGGAGCTGAAAAGAGGGAAAACGGCGAAGCTGATGCCCGTGGACCGAGTCTCGGCCAATTGTCTCGCACGCATGGTATATTCCTTGAATATCTCTCACGCGTGCAGGTTTGTAATATGGGCGGGTACCTAATGTGCAAGAATCGCCGCCAGCCCGCCCACCCGTCTATCCACCCGCCTACTGGAGCCGGCCGGGCGCCAACGAGTACCTACCTAGGACGCAGAGCCCTAACCAGTGGGTAGTTTTGTTTTCGGGGCGGGTACGCACGCGACAGACCGACGCCAAAAATTAGCCTGATCTAGTACCTGGTTTTTATCTGCGGCCGTCTAACCGGCCGGCTTGTCGACCTTCATCTGACGCCCACCTACCTAACTTCCAGTATCTCTGTCTAGGCGTCCCCTATCCCGTGCCAAGCTAGCCGTCACGTCCAAAGGTGGGATGAACTGGTTACCTACCTAGCTGACGGCGGTAGAGAGGCCAGCGTCTGGATTAGGAAGCGTCTGTCCATCTTCTTCACCGACGCCCAGCACCTACGATCCTGCCGTCAACGAGCCTGCTGCACGCATCCAGCAGGCTACGGACAACCCTGCTTCGGTCAGTTTATGGGGTAATGCACTCGGCGCCCCGGATTACCTACCTCTATCCTTTCGCTTGCTAAGCCTGCGTACTACGAGCACCCAGATAGACGTCTCACTACCTAGCCAGCTGTCTGTCCATCTCTCTAGTACCTACCTACACGTACATCACTAGGCCTCGAATCCCGCGGCTCGTCCTAACGGGGCCATACCGTTCGTCCGCAGGGCTGTCTATAGGTGACACACACACACACACACACACACCTATGCTCCTCGCACTAGCCACATTACCCCAGCCTTTCCCCGCAATCCCCGGCCCCCCGGCCTCCGACCCAGCACCTCCAGTCCGGTCCGCCGGGCGCGGGGCGGGAGTTGGCTAGTCAGTATCCGCTGCCGCTGCCGCTGGTCGGCTATGGGAGGTAGAAGCAAAAGGAGGGAAGGCGAGGTGGTGGGCCAAGGAAGACATCCCGCTGATAGCTAACGGACGGACTCGTAGATAAGTTAGGCGTACAAGAGCTCAGCGCACACTGGGTACGTCCACCATCCCATAAGGTACACATTCTCTCTATTTCTCTCCCCCCTTTCGTATCTGCCGCAGCGGCGCAGGGCCCGGCCTACGCACGTAAGCACCGCGGGCCGCGGCACACCGGCTACGGGCGGAAGGGGGCAAACGTGGATACAACCCGCAAACGTACGTACGTGCACTGGCCCTGGGCGGGGGTTGCGTTGGCTATTTCTAAAGTCTTACGTGTTGCTACGACAGAGGCGCAGCGCCGACTACCGACGGAGAACCGTGGCAGATGCCGAGAAGTGTTCGAACGGATGCAGCAGCTAATTTGCGGGATGAGTCATGCCGAGTGGCAGAACCAGGAGTAGACGAGGCGGCATACCCAGAGACACAAGGACGGAGAGAGAGAGAGAGAACAGACAAGTTCTATTTATGCTTTTGATACTCTATTCGTCTGCCTACTAAAGATGCAGGCTCTGGGGACGTCTCGCCACCCGCTACCCCGACCGTCACCACCGAAAAAGTGACCATTCGACCGTCTTGTATCGGACACCAAGTATCCATCCTCTCGACTGATTTCGATTCGCCCCTCGAGCTGCCAAACGAGATACCGGGGCGCGGAGGAAAGGGCTGCGGCACTTATCGGCAAGTGTAGCCGCCGTCGATGACGATGTCGGCGCCGGTGGTGTAGGAGCTGGCGTCGCTGAGGAGGTAGACGTAGGCGGCCTTGAGCTCCTTGGGGTCGCCGGGGCGGCCGAGGGGCACCATGCCGTACCAGAGGTCCTGGGTCTTCTGGTCGATGAAGTCGGACAGGCCGGTGTCGATGTAGCCCGGCGAGATGGAGTTGACGCGGGCGAAGTCGCGCCACTCGTTGGCGAGCGAGCGCGCCATGTGGATGCAGCCGGCCTTGGCCACGTTGTACGACGTCTGCTCCTGCGGGAAGTTGACGATGTGGCCTGACATCGAAGCCGTGATGACGAACGAGCCGCGGCCGCGGGCCTTGAAGTGGCTGCCGACGGCGCGGGCGCAGTAGGCGGTACCGTTGAGGTCGGTCTGGATGACCTTGTCCCAGGCCTCCTTGGACGACTCGAGCACGCCGCCGTCGGCGGTGGCGCCCGCGTTGGCGATGAAGCCGTCGATATGGCCGAACTCCTTGATCACGTCGGCAACCAGCTGCTCGCAGCTCGCATAGTCACCCACGTCGCACTTGTAGGCCTTGACCTTGACGCCGTAGTCTCGGCTGAGCTCGGCAACGTTCTTCTCGGCGCCCTCCTTACGCGAGGAATAGGTGAGAGCGAGATTGGCACCCATCTCGGCGCAGCCACGGGCGGCCTCGATGCCCATGCCCCGAGGGCCGGACGCGCCAGTGATAACGATGACCTTGCCCTTAAGACCGAAGAGGTCGAGCAGTTTGTTCGCGGTCGGGACTGTCTGAGGCATGTTTACAACGTTGTTGACCAGGTGACTAGGGGATGGAGAAAAGGGAGTGGGCGGGCTGTTGAGTTTCTAGACAAGGACGACGAGGATATGACGCACGGGGGAACGAAGACGAAGAAGCGAAGACGAAGGTACGGGTGAGGGGGAGAGGGGGGAAGATAAAGGAAGAAGGTTAAACCTTAGGCCTGAGGAAGAGGCGGTAGGCAAAGAGCCTGTCGATCCGTTCGGGGCATCTCAGGCAACCAGCGGTCCGGCAACTCCCATAGGCCAGCAGCAGCGAGGAAGCCCTATAGGTCTGCATCGATGCATTCGTAGCTCAGTGGAAAGGAGATATTTGCCCGCTCGGGCAGGGGCCGATGATGTCAGGGGCGCACAACGGACGACGCAGCCGGCCACTGGCATGCACGTCGTTATGTCAATGTCATGCACGTGCGTGCCATCGCACAGGTGTGCCCCTCATCCACCCGAGCTGGTGCCTATCCACCTCCTCCCTCCGCAGGGGGAGCTTATTCGGGACGGCGGGCAGCGGGCGGCGCTACCAGCATTAGCACTAGCACCAGCAGCAGGATTGGCGACACGACGGAGGACGACGGGAGGCATGTCAGGGCAGCGGCAGTAACGCAAGTCGAAGCTCTCTTCGGCCGTCTGTCTCTCTCTCTCCTTTCCTCGGCTTCTCGTCTTCTTCCCGCCCCTCCCCCTCCAGAATTGCTGGGTACGGGCCTTCTCTAGCTTAGAGGACCCGGGTGGCTGACCATCCCCCCTCCTCCCCTCTTCATCTTTCCGGCCGTGGGCGCTGCCCAGCTATGCAGCAGTAGCGTGGTGGTAAGAATCTCCTGATTGATCCTATCCAGAGGATAATTACACCTACCTATTAGTTGGCATGTGTTCCGTTCTTTGTCCACTACGAGGAGCTACTGGGCCGTATTCTTAGGTCAGGCTAAGCTCGACCCCGTCCCCGTACCCCCCAGCCGAAAACTACCTACCTATCATCAGCCCAGGACCATGCGTGCGCCGACTTCCGCAGGTCCAGATTTTGTATTGTGCCAAGCCGAGTAAGGCCGATTACTTCGAACACGGCGTATCTGCGGTTAGATGGGGAAAGCCGAGCGAGCTAAGGACAAGGTGAAAGGGATCGAGAAAGAAGACACCTGCGATAGGTAATTGATCAGTAATACCTCATAATCAGATAACGGCCGCTATCTTCATATCGCATACAAGTACACGGATTAAACAGGGGCAAATTCGGCGATCGCCCCCTAGCGCCCCGATAATGCGCCACATAAGCCCCGCTATCTCGCCTCGGGTACCTACTACTAATCTATAGGTAATAATCTATAACTAAGCAACCAGCGGTGCTGTATAAGCTGTGACATAACCCTCCATGACGTAGACCTCCACTAGGTATTCCCGTTTTTGCATTTGTCTCTGGAATGCCTCCTTTTGCAGCCTGGGCAATTTCACATCCCAAATCATCCGTCTCTTCAGTGTCGAAATCGTTCCGTCACGCCAATTTTCACCTCTTGACGGACCTCAATCGAGTACCACACAGCCTTCTCTTCTCCATCTACCGTACAACGGCGCTCAACACGTATCGGCGTATATTTAGGTAGGTAGATGTTCTAGATGCTGCGATGAGCCCATCTACCACCTACTTTACCACACTACGTGGGCGAAATGTCATATGGACCAGTTGAAAGACCTTCAACATGGGAGAATCTTCCTAGGCACGACGGTTGAGAACATACTTCGGGTATACCAGAATCAGACCCGATCAATGTGGTCACCAGTGCCGCCGCCACACCCAGTCCCTTGCGAGAGGCGTCTAGCCTAGACATCTGCTCGGGCCTCTCTTCAGCCATGCTTGGAAAAGCCCCCTTCCGAATCAACCAGAGCTGATCAGAATACGGGCGCCGATGGCCCCGACCTTGGCGGGGGAAAGAGCGCGTGCTGGTGATGTTTAATATAGGCTCGGGAGTAGAGCAATGTGGTGGATCACAGGTCCCATTATCGACTAAGCCAGTAGACAGCACCTCGAGACCATCACAATATGCAGGCCAGAGATGAGGACTGAAAGTAATTATTTGTCCACTGCCCGGAGTCGATCGTTAACTACCTGGAGCGACCAAGGGAAGGAATTCGCAGTCCCCGCTATCGATCGTTGGTTCGAAAATTCCTGATCGCAGCTAAGCGGAGAATAGGTACAGCCCAGCGGGGGGGCTCATGCAAGAATGCTCAATCCACCCGATCGTGTTTCGATACGACTGGTGAAATACGAAAACTGTTAGGATTCTAGTGCTGCCGATCTCTTTTTTTTCTTCTCCTTTTTCCGAACCATCCGAGTCCAGCTTCGACCCACTGGGGAGTGTGAGGTCGGGATCGTGTCTGTCAGACGACTCGTACACCAACAAGCAGTCAACGGCATCACTTCTCTTATCGAGTGAGTCGGTGTTCCACAGCAAGGCGACTCTCATCCGACGTAATCGATAAATACAACTCAATGCCGATGTGGCGGATCCCCGAGCCGAGCCATACGAGCATTCTCACAGGTATCCTACTCTGGGGTCACCGGGGGACCGCATGCAACGGCACCCTCCCCCGGGTCCGCCGAGATCGTGATAGGAGGGTCGAATTCGGCATGACGAGGGTCCAGATCCAACGGCAACTTTCAATCTTCACCTGGTAAGGATTGCTAAGATGCTGGATCCATCAGCCCGGTTTCCACTCTTTCCACGAGTCGGGCATTGCAACCAGGTGCTCGTGTATTCAACGTAATACTCTGCCAATCTCACCCGGCTTCAACCACGCCTTCCCGACGAGCCAACGGACGAACCAAGAGGACAGTCCGTCCCTAAGCACCAACATCGATTTACAGGCTCCTCACCGGAATACCACACGAACATGTGGCGGCCTGAGTGTGAGCAGCGGTGGGGCGTAGCACTCACTAGCTGCATGTGCCGACACGCGCAGGGCACACGTTACCCCAGCAGAATCCTTCTTTCTTTCTACCCTGTGTTGGCAAAGAGAGCTTCGACCGTGCCCATACGGATTGGACCTCCCACGGTCTCATTCGCCCGGCTAGAGAGGAGGGGAGATGTCCCAGCTGGTAGATGCGAGTTATGCGTTGCCTAGCAGTGTCGAACTAACTCGATATACCGATACGTATTAGGTGCTGACCCATACGTGCCTATCACCACTTCGCGAGCCTTCTCGATCTCGGAATCTACAGGCGCAGCGGCGTTGTGCATCCCAACAGCCGGGCCTAAGGGACTTCCGTAAATAGCACAAACACGTGGATATATGCCATGCAGTCCAGTCCAGCCCTCCATATACCACTGCCTCTTTACCATTTTACCAGTCCTTCTCTGGTTGGCTGGGTGGCTGCTCACGCCCATGCTGGTGCGGGCGCAGCGGGCTACGGCCTTTCGCGGTCCGGGACCGAAATAGGGAGGGATGCGCTGGTACTACGAGGAGCCACCACCACTACCACCACCGTCGCCGCCCGCCTATCTCGCTTGCGCTTCACAAGCCGAGCTGAGCCACGGTGTTGACTCGCCGTCCTCCCCTCCCCCAGCTTTCTCCATTACGAGCTTACCTTAGGTACCTAATATTGCAGGATCGACGTTCTATGTAGGTACCACCTCAGCAGCAGACGAGTTCTCGGCGCCTTACTGATCGTCGTTGAGAGTCGTTGCCTACCTCTGTAGGCACTCGTGAGGAAAAAAAAAAGGAAACAGCAGACATGATTCGTCTGATATTCGAGGGGGCCGGTGCTGAAACTGGGACTGGGTAGTCCGTGCTAGTATTACTGTTATTACCTCCGCGATAGTATCTCGGCGATATTTACACACATACTTACGTACCGTATACCCGCCCGCTGTGGCGGCCCGACACACTCACTTACATGCACCCGGTCATCCACCAGGCAGGCTTATTATGTTATTTGCTGGCTGCCGAGCCTGCCTGCTTGCATACTCCGCCCCAGAGCTTCCGTGCCGCTCAGTACCCGTTCAGCGAGGTTCTCTAGCTGTTGGTTGGAGAGAGAGTCTATAGAGGAGAGGGGAAGAGGAGAGAGATGCATACGACAGGCCTGCACACCTGACCATCCAGGATACCTGTCTTACTTTACACACACACGCAACACACGTGTTAGCGACGCATCCACACAATCTGCACATGGGTGTTACCTATGTGTGTATGGGTACGTCCGGGATGTTGACGAGCCTCGAGCAGACGTCGCGGGATGTCTCTGTATATAAAATGCGACGTGTGCCCACGACCTGGGTCACTCATCACCAGCATCATCACCAGCATACGACTGCGGATCCTCATTTAACCAGCACACCGCGACTTTCCGCTCCGTATAACAACCCAAACCGGCCCCTGCCGCCCCCCCCTCCCCTTGTTCTTCCCCTGTTACCGGAGCAGCAGCAACGGCATAAAACAAGTCAATATTAATTACTTGCCTGTTTCGAACCGACCCCTCATCTGTGCGCTCGGGTGCTATATACCTAGATACTGTCCATCTTTTGCTAAGAGGGTCGCCGGATAGTTTCGACTGCTTCTAACCCAGGCGCCTCTCTAATTATTTTCGTGACATCTTTAACTTAATCACGGCCGACCGACCACCACCGCCCATCATGCCGTCCTTCAGCCAGCTCCTCGTCGCCAGCATCTCGACGCCCTTCCTCTTCGGTGGCCTCGCGCTCGGCCTCCCCACCACCACCACATCCTCCTCATCTGCAGCTGTCGCCCCACGAGACTCCACCCCCGCCAGCGTAACCTGCCCAGCGTCAGGGCGCGGCAAGGAGTACGCGCGCGCGCTATATAGGCTGCTGCCGGGGTCGCCGGACGTCGCGCTGCCACCGACGCTGGACCTGCACGTACAGTACCACAACTACACGGGGCTCACGATCCAGCAGGCGGTCGTCTTCGGGCCGTTCCCCGCCGGCGCCCGGAACTGCGCCTTCGGCTGGGCCCAGGAGGACGTCGATCGCGGCGCCGTCTTTGTCGCCGCCGGAAGTGGTCTGCTCACGGTGCACCAACTTAGCGGTTTCCCGATTGGGGCGCCGCTGTCTGTCGCAGAGGCCGAAGCGGGGGGGGAGGAGGAGGAGGCGCAAGCCGCGGCCGCGGCCAGCGGCGTGTCGTACGCGGCGGTGCAGCCGTTCGTCGAGAACGCGCGGCTCGCGACACACCCCGACTTCACGTCCTGGGACCGCGAAGCGAACGGGACGACGCACACCTCGGGACCCGGGTCGATCGAGTGCAGCGGGGCGGCCGGCGAGCACGTCTACGTCCTCATCCAGCTGGAGCCGCCGACGACCGGCAACGTGTACCTCGAGCGCAGCGGCGAGGCGGGGATATTCGTCGAATACAACTGCGAGCCCGAGGCGTAGGGGACGTCCGGACGACGCGGGGCGGGGAAACCGGGGGATTGTTAATAGATACGCGGGCGCCAACAGGCTCGGACGACGCGCGACGGGACACGGAATACATACGCATATCGGGGGGGGCTAGCAGCGATCTACGCTGCCGCTCCCCCGCTTAATACGACTTTTTATTCTTAATGGCGGGCGGCCGTCCGTTCCGCGCAGAGACACAGGACGGGGATTACGAAGGGAAACGGTACGGGCACGGGCCGGAGTTACAGGGGGGGGTTACCACACACTCTCTCTCTCTGTCTGTCGCTGCCACATCAGACCATGTATATGTCTACAGAACAAACACCCTCGGGGAATAATAGCTAGTAGTAGTAGTAGTCGTAGTCTACACGCGAAGAGAAGAAGAAAAAAACCTTTACCTACAAGACGACGACGATGCTCGAGTGGGGGACGTGATCGGGACCGAGATAAGGAGACCGAGCTGTGTGTAGTTGCCAATGCCTGTCGACGGTGCGGCGCGAGCGCTGTTCCGCGCTAAGGGAGGAAATAGGGGTAGGTGAGACTAGTGCGGGAGCGGAGCAGGCAAGCGGCTCGGGAAGACGGGCGACTAGCTTAGACAGGAAGGCACGCATAGACAGATGTCTCACGCCTCACGTCGGCGGCTCTTCCGGATTCGCCAATGTCTAGAACGAGGTCCGAGTTTGTTAAAGAGAGAAGGGGAGTTGGCACACGCCGAGCGCAACATGCCCCAAGTCGTCTGTTTAGCTCATGGGCTCTTAGGGTAAGGCGTATGTATACATATACAAACGAAGCCAGCTACGCAACGCCCGGATCTATTCCTCGGCCTGAGACTCCCTGCTCCTCGCACGACTGTCCTGGTTATCCGAGAGACCGCGTACATGCACTTAGTTGCATACATCAGAACAAGGGCATCTTCATAAGCGTCCGCAGTAGCGCCTGGGTCGAGCTGCCTTCTCTCCCATCGTACGTCTTCTTCTGCCGCCGTCTGGCTAACATGCGGATCCCATTCGAGAGGAGTGGACCCTCTCTCCCCATCTTCATATACCTAGCCATGGTGTTTAGCATGGCTGCTCTGGATGTTACACTTTACTTCAATGCGTGTACCTCGGGCGTCTATACACGAAGTCCCGTCGTCACCTCCAGGTATCCCTCCCGGATCACCGGCCCATGTGCGCGGCCCTCCAATCGAGGAGACCCGGTTTGGAGTTGGGGAACCTTGCCGTGTATCCGTGCTCGAGTCGTCTGGGAGCCGTGGTGGACTTTGGGGCGGCCCCGAGGGAACACTGGGGTGGCTTGAGACCATAGACGTGGATGTCAAGGGGTTCTCTCGTGCATGTCTAGCGGGGTCAGTATTCGGCGGTACGATCTTTCTCTGAACACTCCGATTTACTCCCGACAGCTTATGGTTGAGATTTCCGTCGCCGTCCCTAGCAAGCGTTTCTAGACTCTCAGTCGGAGGGGTTCCTTCATATCCGTTGGCGGCTTCTGCTGTTGAGGCAGCCTCTTCTAGTGTCGCAACTTCTGACAAGTAGCTCCATCTCGCCCTTCGTCTTTGTCCTTCTGCATGCCGTGGCTGCCTAGGAGCTAGGCTCACCGGTTCCGACGCAGCCAAGTTGAAAGGTACCGGCGGGAGCGTTCCTGGGGCGTTATCACCAGTTATGGCCGTGTCGGTATCTAGACTTGCACCACTACTATGGAGCGGTACTTGAGGGGTGGGGGGAGCGCCCCGAAAATCACTGGGAGACCTAAGCGTGTTGAGAGCCCCCCTATAGTTCGCCCTTGACAGTCGATCAAGTTCTACCGTTGCTATAATTGCTCCTGCCATCGCTAGAAGGTCAGTGCGGCGCCCATGAGCATCAGCAGGGCTACAAATGGCGGCATCGGACCCCGGGGTATCGATCAGCGGGGTCTCTTCATGTGACGGCCAGATGCCTGTTAGATCCCGCGCGAGGCGACGACGTTCCTTGCCCTGCGGTGATACCGGGAAACCAGACCGGATCGAATAGTCAGAGGATTCCGATTGTTGAAGCCTCTTTCCGAGCAATCGAACTCGTCTCGTCACCACACTACGAACAGGGAAGCGATGCGGGTTCGGGTCCGGGCTTAATTTAGATCTCGCTCGGAGACCTAAGCGTTGGTCCTCCCGGCTCTAGAGGGCATTAGAAAGTATAACAGACTGCCAGATAGAGGGCACACCTTGGCCTTTGATGGTGGGCTCTCTAGATAGTAGGGTTGTTGGTGAAAGTCTGGACAAGAGTTTAGAGAATATTTATCAAGGGGGCGATGTTGAACGCCGTCCAGGGTGTACAAAAACGATGCTGTTCCGCAGGCGCCCGCATCCTCGTTTTCGCTCTCACAAACATTGTTGCTATTATCGTCAGTCGAGGAGCCACAACCAATGATTGAACCCGCATTCGAAGCTGTAGATGTACGGTGTTGTCTATGAGGCTTTCTCCCCAGCCAACGTCCCCCTAGGTCGACGAATCCGGGAACGGCAGACATAGGGCCAGGGCCCGGGGAGTTGGTAGAAACATCGCCTCTCGGTGACAGTTTCACGGCATCGTCGCCTTCAGAGCCCAGTGGTTCATCATGACCAGCCCTAGATTGTGCGCTCGGCTGGCTCCTTTTGATGAGCTGCCGCGCAAGCTATAGGCCAACGACGTGCGAATATGTCCGATACCCATCTCCGCTCGCAATTCCGTGAAGGCAGGGAACATCGTTCGCATCTTTCCCTAAAGACTCGGTCTTTCCATGCGACATTTTTAACAAGGAAACATCAGATTCGTGTTGTAGACAAGATCTGGGACCCTGGAGTGCGGTGATATTCGGACTAATAGGAATAAAGGGCGGATCCCTCCAAATTTTGGTAGAAATATGCGTTCGGCGAGGTAGAAAAGTGCCAGTAGTAGCTAACTGTAACGAAGGACGAGTTGATTCGGACGCAAGGCGCCATTTTCCGTCTTCAAACCCTCGGCCGTTCACCTCCGGGGGCTTGTTCCCCGGGTCTGATTTGCAGCGGCGGGAGCAAGAGGAATCGTGGCCTCCGGAGTAGTTCGAATCGGGCCATGGCCGGTGCTGTTTCGGAGGGGATGGCAAATGTCTACGATCTACCTGTGGCATAGTGAAGGCCTCGCCAGATTTGGTAGGCTCTCGTTCTCAAGCAAGATCCGCTAGGAACAAGAGGGTATGAAAGTGGGCCGCCGCGTGGGAAGTATAGCTAAATATCTTGATGGCTTTAGGGGGTGGATCGAAGGGCTAAAAGAATACGAGGTGAGGATCTTCCCCGTACCTCCCTCCTTAGTGGGATGGATGAAGAGCATCGCAATGCAGGTATGCAGGTATGCAGGTTCATCAGCTCTCGAAGCGACTCGTATCCCTAAGTGCTAGATGAGCCTAGGCGCTTAGGGCATGGGGATATCTCAAGCTCGTGATGCTCTAGGAGATGAGGTAGGAGGTAGTAGGTAGGTAGTCTCAAATGCTTTGTTATACACTGGAGACATTCCTATCTGTAGGTACTTAGGCATAGATGCATATCTAGGCGTGCCAACGTTAGGCGGGTAAGCCACACATGCTAGTAACGTGAAGAAGAGTGCCCGACACTAGCCGATTCTCTACATCCTCAGGTACGTACCTCCTGGTGAGGTCGTGTAATAACACGACGTGACCTCCTGCCTGCAACACCCACTCGCCGAGACCGGTGACAAAGCGGGAGAGATAGGAGGTAGATGGAGGGGGAGCGGAGGGCATGGCTACATACCTCCTAATGTAGCTGTAGCCATCGTCTCTCTTAACCTAGGTTATTCGATCCACCTCACGTAAGTACTCCTCTCCTCCTCTCCTCCTCGGCTCCTCTGCTCGAGTCTCGGCCCCACCGCCACCGACATCACCCACCATGGAGGTCGTCTCTGATAAATTGCCTGCGCAACCTCGCCCATACCGAATCTCCTCGCTCTCGCCTCGACCTGCCCCCGATTGAGAATGCAGCAATGTCGCGTTCAGCACTATCGCGGGCTACGAGGCCATTGGCCGCCTCTGTGAGGCGATGGCACGCCTCTCGGGGCTATGCTTCGTCCGTCTTTAATTGGGAAGACCCGTTGGCATCCAATAGCCTGCTCACCGAGGATGAGCTGGCCATCTCGGAAACCGCTGAGCGGTACTGTCAGGAGCGGCTATTACCGCGTGTTCTGCGTGAGTGTGTTTCGCAACCAGTGGTTCGCGCCGCCCCTTGGTTTTCCTGAGCCAGCTCACCAACCGCCGCCTACGCGTAGAGGCCTACCGTGACGAGCACTACGACCCTACAATCCTGCGCGAGATGGGCGAGCTGGGCCTCCTCGGCGCCACCCTCCACGGCTACGGTTGCGCAGGCGTATCGACCGTGGCGTCCGGCCTGATAACCCGGGCCGTCGAACGAGTCGATAGCGGCTACCGGTCGGGGATGTCGGTGCAGTCCTCCTTGGTCATGGGCGGCATCCACGAATTTGGGACCGCCGAGCAGAAGGAGAAATACCTGCCTGCCATGGCCAAGGGCACGCTCATCGGCGCCTTTGGTCTCACCGAACCCAATCACGGCAGCGACCCTGGATCGATGGAGGCGACGGCCCGACCGCACCCGACCAAAAAGGGGTATTTGCTCTTGCGCGGCTCCAAGACTTGGATCACCAACTCGCCTATCGCCGACGTGTTTCTCGTGTGGGCGAAGCTGCAGGAGTCGGGCAAGATCAGAGGGTTTCTGATAGATAGAAAAGATTGTCCACCAGGCACGCTGGAGACCCCAGCCATCAAGAACAAGACCGGGCTCCGAGCCAGCATCACGGGCATGATCCTGATGGAAGACTGTCCCATACCAGAAGCCAACATGTTCCCCGCCATCGAGGGCTTGTCCGGCCCGTTTGCGTGCCTAAATAGCGCCCGGTACGGTATCGCCTTCGGCACTATGGGGGCTTTAGAGGACTGCATCGCCCGCGCGCGGACGTATGCCCTAGACCGCAAACAGTTTAAGGGCAACCCCCTGGCCAAGTATCAGCTCGTACAGAAGAAGTTCGCAGACGCGGCGACGGATTGCGCCTACGGCGTGCTCGCGGCGATCCAGGTCGGAAGGCTCAAGGACGAAGGGAAAGTCAATCCGGATATGATCAGCATGGTGAAGAGGCAAAACTGCGATCGGGCGCTGGTAAATGCGAGGACGTTGCAGGAGGTTTTCGGGGGCAACGCCGTCAGCGACGAGTACGGCATCGGGAGACACGTCGCCAACTTGTTTGTGACCCAGACCTACGAAGGGCAGAGCGACATACACAGTGAGCGAGACCATTTCTTCCTATTGCCCGTCTCCGTTCACTAACGGCCTTTTAGGCCTCATCCTCGGACGGGCCATCACCAATGTGCAGGCCTTTGCATGACGGCATGGGCGAATTGACGGACCTATATAGACCCCAAGTGGGCTGGCATATCTGCCGAGTTTGTTGTGTCAAGAGATTTGTTACGGCCGCCATTACGGGGAAAGGGAAGAATAGGGGTTGAACCCGGTCGCAGGCCCTTTCGTAATTACAATACAGTCTACATACGTGCTGGCCTAATCGATATCGAACCACAGCCAACTAGTAGAAATCATCCGCCCCGAAAGCCCAGAACATCCCCCTTTCTATGTCAAGGCTACAATCGATAGTAACCCTAGATAGGTATGCCTCCTGCGTGAAATAAAAAAGTGAAACAATGAGGCTTCTGATTCGTCCTCATATAGCGCCCGTGATTTTTTAGGGAGGGGAAGGGGGTGTGTGTATACCTTCGTCCACCGAGATCCTTTGAGCATGTTCTAGTATGACATCGTCAGCCATCCAGGTGCTAGAAACCGACACGAGCCGGATGTTACGGAACCGCGGTGGACATATGCCTGCCTATCAAAACGACGGGCTTGATTCGTATGTTGGGCAACGTTGAGGCAGGCTTTAAAATCAGGCAGGCAAATATCGGATTAGATGGTTGTCGTGCCGCCGCCGTGTCGACCCGACTAACGTGGTGGCGAGCAGGGAGAGGAGCCTGATAGGTGAATGTGCACGATACCTACATAGGTCGAATACACTCTTCTTCCCTCTAATGTAGGTATGCAAGTAAGCGGGCGGCGGCACCCGCGGAGGGCTGTGCTTCGGGGCCTCACGTCGGCGCATCCGTAGCACATGGCCCAGAGTCATATCCAGCCACTTTGTTCAGATCGCGGGTCTGCCATTGGCTTGGAGGGGCGTTCTGATTGGGCGAGGCAAACGCTGAGTCACGCCGCCGTCCCTGCCCCGTCCGTGCTTTGGGGGGTAGGCGGGAAAGGGACCTGACTAATACGAGAGGGTACGGACCGGGTAGCGAAATATACATGCCAGAGGAGGCATTCTCCGTAGGGACCGAGAGGTATCTCCTGTTAGGCCCGTCCGTATATATAGAATGCGAAATAGCCACCTGCGCTGGATTCTGTTACCTGAAAGAATCTTCCCGGCCTGGCTTTCCCTTCCCTTCCCTTCTCCTTCTCCCCTTCGATCCCCCGCTATTATTGCATACATCCCACATAGCCCTGCCTCTTCTTTCCCACTTCCCTGCTACCTACCTGACCTAACCTAACCTGCCTAACCACTTGCTCTCTGCCGTCACGATCCATCCTCAACTTCTCACAAACCCGCCCTTGGAGATCCAGCATCACCACCCTTCATCTCAACCATCCATCCCACCACCTGATACCCGACCTCTAATAATCCACCGGCCTCCCCTCTTTGGTATGTCCGACCCTGTCCTCCCTCGGTCTCTCTCCTCTTTGTCTGTCTGCAGACTTTCAACTTTCACCCCCATCCATTTCTTCCGCATTCCGTACTGACCGCAAGACGAACAGCCGCCCTCTCGTCGCCAGAGACACCGCCATTTTGGAACAGCGCTCGCACATAGCATCACTACACACTCCTACGCAATGGCGTTGAAGCGCATTAACAAGGAACTCACAGATCTCGGCCGGTACGTCGTTGGATTCCCCTTTTCTCCTATTGTTACGGCTGTTTGTTTTGGCCATCCGACCTTGTCCCCTATCTCCAGTGAGCCTAAGGTGGGGCCGGTGGCCGCCCTGTGGAAGGCGGAGCGGGGATCTTATGTGACAGCCTCACCCGGCAGAATCTCCGAGATCACTCTCGTCCACCCAAGCGGCTACCGCTTATGCGTTTGCGATTGAAAAGGAATGAAAAAAAGAAGAAGGAGGTCCGAAATCGCCTGTTCGCAATGGTGTTGCTAATTTTTTACTTCGCAGTGACCCTCCCTCGTCCTGCTCCGCCGGTCCAGTTGGTGAAGATCTGGTAGGCATCCACCCCCCCCCAATCTCCAGTATGCGGACAAAGAGCGTCGGACTATCCGGCTGCTATGTTCACATGACTTGGTCGGGCATTGACGGCAGTCATCGCTCGAACATGCTCGCGAGTACGCACCACACGTCTTTGGACTATCGCTAACTTCTGGTTGCTCCGTATAGTTCCACTGGCAAGCGACTATTATGGGACCTGTAAGTCTCATCCCTATTGCTCCAACTCATCTACGACATCCGTCTATCTCGGACACCTCTGTTTCTGTGCCGCGCGTGCTGCCAGCAACCGGCTGTATCGGAAACAGCGTTGTTCGGGGTCACCGGAACATCGCGATACGTTTCCCCTCGGACTAGTGCTAATCATGTCGGATAGGGTGACTCGCCATACTCGGGAGGTGTTTTCTTCTTGGCCATCCACTTCCCGACAGACTATCCTTTCAAGCCTCCAAAGGTCAACTTCACGACTCGCATCTACCACCCCAATATCAACTCTAACGGCAGCATCTGTCTGGACATATTGAGGGACCAGTGGAGTCCAGCACTGACCATTTCTAAGGGTATGTCAACCAGACTATCTACCGTCCTCGAAGTCTCGTCCCTAAGACTAATCGCGTGTAGTTTTGCTCTCCATCTGCTCCATGCTGACCGACCCCAACCCTGACGACCCTCTCGTCCCCGAGATTGCCCACGTGTACAAGACAGACCGCGCCAGATACGAGGCCACGGCTCGCGAGTGGACCCGCAAGTATGCCATTTAAAGTGAGACGACAAGGGCGGCTGCCGGTTGAGTCTTGATCGGCATGGTTGACGCATACGAGGCACTAGACAGGACATCTGTTGGCCGGGACCATCGGTAGAGACGTGGACTTTCCTTTCAAGTCTGGGCACCTTCATCCGACCTTGCCCAGTGTCCCCTTGTCCATCGGTCGTCACGGCCTAGCTGTGCTACATGGCGGATTTGAGACACCTAACACGCACGCGACTTCTTCGGGGATGGGTCAAGAATGGTTTCTCGGGCAGAACGAAGTTTTTACGAAAAGAAAGGCACGAGTCTTACTGGCTTGATCGAGGAAGGGCTTCCGGCTTTGCATTGTAGTCTTCCACATGACGTTCGCCTCAGATCTGTTATAATGCACGTTCCCTTCTATACTGTGGTATTTTGGCGTGTTTGTGACTTGCATGCAGGGGATAAGGGGAGGCACCTACTGGCAGGCAGACAAGCCTGGCATAAACTGGCAGGCCCGTAGAGTGTTACGGTAAGACAAGCTCCAGCCCTATCCGACCCTATCCAACCGTGGCTATTCAACGAGGCTAGAGGACGGGCGGTAATCAGGTAAAACCTTCAAGCGACCTACATATCTCCCTACCAGCGTCATGGTGGCCTTCCACTCATAACTCTCTTGGAGCATGCATCCATAACGCAGGATGGTGGCGTCTCTGCCCCTCTCCCCCTCCCGCCTCTCTACCGAGGAAGCATCGTCTAACCGCCGCCGACGTCCCTTGATGCAGCCGCCACCTCTGTGGTGGAGTTGACTTGACTCGGGTTGGGTCAGGTTGGGGGCCGGAACAGGCATATTCTGAGATGAGAACATAACGGCATTCGCTTTTAGGGGAATACGTGCGTGTATGTATGGACGCGGCCACGGGACAGGGAGGAGGGAATGAAATAGGACGAGCCTGGTTAAGCGCCGAGCCCTTTGCTACCTACTACGTAGTAGTTATGTGGTTGGACTGCGATTCGTTGCTGATCCCCCCCATCATTCCCTTCAATCCCGGCCCCCTACCGTCACTCCCTTTGTATTTTTCTTTTTCGGTATGTTTACATACGGAAAGTGGCGTCTAAATTGGGGAGAGAAGAAGCCCCTCTGGAGTCCCGGAGAGGAAGACGGCGACGAGGAGGCGGCGGCGTTCGTTTCCTGCCCTTGCCTCCCGTCGTATGTTAGTGGCGCGTTCGTCATTGTGCTCGCTGCTACAGCTACCATGACTTTTATTTCCACTGGTACCACGTGTGTATGTATAGGATATAGAAGGCCCCCTTTGGCTACCTACCTAGGTAGGGCAGGTAATAAGGCTGGGTTGGATAGACGGATGGTGGTAGGGAGAGAGGGATAGAGAGGAATCTACACAGAAGAGGGATAGTACCTAAGTCCGGAATCCTGCGAGTAAATATAGGAATTTCAGATTCTGAAGGTGTATGAAATTAGAAAACCTCCTAGTCATCGTGCAGCTATCAACCCCCCGCGGATAGCATAGTCAGTCAGATGGGTTGCCTGCCCTATTCGGTGGGATCTGGAGGGATCGGAACCAGTCAGGTAATTCCTCTAGCTTCCACCCAGGATTTCTTGGTCCTATTCTTAAGCCTGCACTTAGCGAGAGATCTCTCGTCTCCCACGGGAATCAGGAAAGCGTGCATGGCACTATGTAGCCACCTGGCGATGAAATCCCTCGAGCCTTGGTCTCGGTGCGTGACACACACACACACATGCATAGCTACATAGAGCAATACAGTAATGCGCAGCAATCCCACGTTACCCCCTATAAATAATAGCCAGGACCGTGAGATCGGCCCCGGGATGTGGGAGCATGTACGTATGTACATGCATACGGACGACGGCATGTCATGTATTATTTGCTCGATGGGTCTGCGGCCGTCTGAAATGGATTCGTCATTGCTGCCAGCCGTAAGTAGTCGGCGATGCGAATTTTTGAAACGGGTCCTTTCTAGCCAGCAACGCAGACCTATCCTGCTCTGCCGTCAGGCGTTGGTCGGCCCATCCTCACCTCACCTCGCTCTACGCTCTACGTAATCTGTCTCCAAATCGATGGTCGGGAGGAGAGGCTGTCGATACAATTGTGAGTAAAGAAGAGAATAGGGGAGGGAGCGGACGGCGGGGGGAGGGAGCGTTGCAGCGCATGCATCTCGAACCGAGCGTGTCCCATTTCCCGTTCGCGCTCCCAAGACACGAGAGAGTGGAGACAGATGGGTAGGCCAACTTGCATCGCGAGCCGCCCTGCCGCCTTCTCGAATGCCCTTGATTCGTGTGTACGGGACAAGGGCGATGAAGAGGGAATGGGTCGAGGACGTGGTATGTGGCAGCGCTACCCTGTCACGCGAAATCTGCCAGCCTATGTATGATGTTGGGTTGGGTTGCGAGGTACGGAGGATGTAGGTAGATACTTGACGGGGTATAGTAGGTGTGTACCTCCGTGTGTGTGCCGAAGGGCCGAGGCCGAGGCGCCTGCTGCGACCTGAAAGGCTCTCCGTGGGAGTGGGATTACGCGGTTAGCGCATTCCCTTTCCCAAAAATACTGCACAAAATAAGCATTACAGGTACCTACGGAGTGTACCTTGGGAGGAACCGAACCTGACCTACCTACCTATATAGGGGTATGCATATAGGTACATAAGAATAGGTAGGTATCAGATCAGTCATGCAGTAGGGGGAGGCACTAACATATTCGATATTCGTGTACGGGCAGTTATGCCTTTTACGAATCTCAGTGGATATAGGTGCGCCTTCGGATCCTAATATCTGTGCGCGAGAAAGCAAGAAAGACGCAAGCTTCACTGCTTCTCCCCACTCGCTCGCCCACAGAAATTGTCAATCAGGCAAGCCAGTATACACTTCCGTCCCGAATCGACATGGCATTGCGATAGCAGCTGTCCCGGGCTCGCCCAGCACTTTGTCCCCTTTTGCCGCAGTCTCGAGTCAACGGCGTTAGGGACCCCTGACGAAACACGCTGAAGCACAGGCGGCGTGGATCAGCTGCAGATTCGCCAATCACCATCCTCGCCTCGACCACCACGTCTCCATAATCAAACCCGCACCCAAGCCCCCCTTGGAGCCCTTCCTCATCTTCCTCTGTACACTACGACGTAGCGCACCGAGAATCTACACGTACACCACCGCCTAGCAGCGGTACTCTGTACGGCTCACGCGCACCGCCCAGCTCCACGATGCTACGTACCGTGTACGAGGGCCGTCTACGCTACATTAAGCTCTCTGCTGCTTAGGGCACGTTGGCTTCAGGATCGCGCAGGCCGTGGCCCATTCCCACGATCAGTAGCATGCGTATGTGCGTATGTACTACCTATATCGAGACCGTTGCCGTCACGAAGCCGGCGGTGGTGCCATAACCCACTTCTCCATCCTTGCTCGGATCAGAATATCAGACAAGGACAGGACAAGCCCGCGAGCTAGAGGCGGCACCACCTGCGGAATACAGAATCTGTACAGGCATGCGTGCGCTGCTTCGACTAACTGCGGTATACCGTTGTTACCGTGAAAGAAGTCGACGATGATGGCGAGCAAGCTGCCATCTGCTAGTCTGTCGTGCTATCTAGCTACCGGCATCGCGACGTGGGAATGACGCTTCTTCGCCCTCGTGAGATGCCGATGGCACCTGTTGCGACGACCCGCGGAATCCTTCGCCCCATTCAAACGTTGTCGTCGAGCCGGCGTGTACATGTGCTCGAGGCCACGAAACTGTCATGGAACTAACATTGCGAGTAAGGCTGTAAGAGCGCCTTGGTCAGATCGCGACCCATTTGTCAAACCGAGCCCCTGACAAGCCTGACAAGTCTGGCATGCTTGTCACCAGTACGGTGGGATGTGGCTCAAACGCACGAATCCTCAGCTCCATCCGTCCAGGATGGGGGTAACGGGTACATGGCACCATGTCGATTTACCCCTGTATATCCTACTATCTACGTATAGGAGTCCCCCCCGGCCCCCCCTAGAGACGCATCACTCTTAACCATTTCCACCCCCTTGTGAAGCCTCCCTTCTCTACACTCTCGCTGTGCTGCGTAACAACTCAACCAGGTCGTCCCTGAAAGAAAAAAAAAATTCCCCATACGTACTCATTCTGTCACGGCTGCGTTGACGTTAGGTAGCCCAAGTTGCGGCGCTGTACCCAGGTATGATCTGCAGGAAATGACCTGATGTTTCCTACTCTTGGCGGTCTTCCATAATATCCACTAACTTCCCGCCTCTTGCATGGGATCTTCGAAACCCTCTCTCATTTTTCCTCGTTTCCTCCTCACAAACGCTTTTCCCCTCCTTCCCTCCTTCTCGTAGGTGCGCTGTGCGATTCTTGCGTTGGCTAACAAGCGGCTGCAACGGCAGGCTTCCACGCCGACTTTCCATTCTTTTGACGGCCGCTCAGTTACACCTCACTACTACCTTTTGTCTTTAATTCGTTTGATGGCTCTTTGCCCGTTCAGCAGGCTCTGAATCAGCAGCATTTTTGGTTGTGTATATTTTCGTCCGGACCAAGGGACGCCATCCTCGAAGCATTCTAACCCAGCGTCCATAATAAAGAGGAGGTATCGTTGTCGGGTCGGCAATTCGTGCCCGTTCGAAGGTCCGTGGGCGACATTGGGAAGCCTATTCGAAAAACGAGCCTCGGTGACGACCTTACGCCGTGCCCGCGAGAGAGAAGCGCTTTTCGATCGAGATGTCGTACTACGGCGGTAGTCAGTATGGGGGGGAGAAGCCGTCGGAGCGGTCGAGGTGGACGCCACTGACGAGAATGTTGCTGTCGGGAGAGATGACGCAGGAACGGCAAAAGGACTTGACGATGCGAGAGAGGTTCGACAAGTGGATGATCAACGAAGGTTACCGGAGATTGTTGGTGCCCTAAACCCGTGAGTTCCCTTTGGTAGACGGGCATGCTAATGGTGAATCGTAGTTTCGTCTTCGTTTTCATGGCGCTTCACGCGCTGGTCTTCGCGTTCGGTTTCGTCAACTACGCCGTCAAGGACAACCTGCAAGTGGCGCGAGATACCTTCGGGCCGACTTTCATGATTGCGCGATCCTCCGCGTTGGTGCTCCACTTAGACGTCGCCTTGATCCTGCTACCGGTCTGCAGGACCTTCATCTCTATGGCGAGGCAGACGCCTCTCAATGGCATTATCCAGTTCGACAAGAACATCACGTTCCACATCACGACTGCCTGGTCCATCTTCTTCTTCTCCTGGGTTCACACGATTGCCCACTGGAACAACTTGGCTCAAGTCGCTGCTAAGAATAATCTAGGCATCTACGGCTTCCTGGTCGCCAACCTGGTGTCCGGTCCGGGTTGGACAGGTTATATTATGCTGGTCGCGCTCACGGGAATGGTAGTCACGTCGTATGAGAAACCGAGACGTGCTAACTACGAGCGATTCTGGTACACGCACCACATGTTCATCGTCTTCTTCCTCTTCTGGTCTTTCCACGGCGCCTTCTGCATGATCCAGCCCGATTTCGCGCCCTTCTGCGTGTCGGTCGGTAGCTCTGCCGTCGGTGTCTTCTGGCAGTACTGGATGGTGGGTGGCTTCATCTACCTGGCGGAGCGGGTTGCTCGCGAACTACGTGGGCGGCACAAGACCTACATCTCCAAGGTCATCCAGCACCCCAGCAACGTCTGCGAGATCCAGATCAAGAAGGAGAACACGAAGACTAAGGCCGGGCAGTACATCTTCTTCTGCTGCCCTGAAGTTTCTCTCTGGCAATACCACCCGTTCACCCTCACCAGCGCGCCCGAAGAGGACTACATCTCGATCCACGTCCGTATCGTCGGTGACTTCACGAAGGCCCTGGCTCAGACTCTAGGGTGCGAATTCGGCAAGGAAAGCAAGGACTCCTCGAAGGTGGTGGGTGTCGACGACCAGAGCAACGAAGTAGACCCTGCCCTAAAGCGAGTCCTACCCCGCGTCTATATCGACGGTCCTTTCGGGTCGGCATCCGAAGACGTGTTCAAGTACGAAATCTCGGTTCTCTGCGGCGCCGGTATCGGTGTCACTCCTTTCGCGTCCATTCTGAAGTCGATCTGGTATCGGATGAACTACCCGCAGAAGAAGACTCGACTTGCGAAGGTGTACTTCTTCTGGATCTGCAGAGATTTCGGCTCCTTCGAGTGGTTCCGATCGCTACTGATGGCTATCGAGGCCCAAGATGTGGACAACCGAATCGAGATCCACACGTACCTCACGGCTAAGATCAAGGCGGACGACGCGACTAACATCATGATCAACGACGCCAACGCCGACAAGGACACGATCACCGGCTTGCGGAGCCCGACAAATTTCGGACGACCGAACTGGGACATGATTTTCCGAGGTATCAGGAAACTGCACTCGCCTGCCGAGGCTGGTGTGTTTTTCTGCGGACCAAAGGGTCTGGGCAGCCAACTGCATATCTTCTGCAACAAGTACAGCGAACCTGGGTAAGTCTAGACTTTCGCTCCCTTACAAGATGGGAGAGGCTTTGCGACATGGGGCTAACTAACGGGAAATTAGCTTCTCTTTCGTCTGGGGCAAAGAAAACTTCTAAGCCCCCATATACCACGTTCAGAACACGGTCAAAATCATGGCAGCGAACCCTAATAGAGCATCCCCCCCCAAAATTACTGGCGCCGGACGCAGATGACCACTGTAATTTGTGCATTTTAATGGCCGCGTTCGAGAGAGCAATCAGCTCTGATATTGTAGCGACCACAGTGGGGGTACTTTTGGGAGGCGTTCGCTGTGCTAGATTCAATTCACTTGAGAACTACTAGACGAATTCCGGCCCCGGGGAAAGCTGTTAATTCATTTTTTATATATTTTATTATTATTTCCACTAGCGGAGCAAAATATATCAACGGCAAACCCCAGCCCGGCCGATATAGCGACGCGGGAACGCCGTCACGAGATGATTTAATAAGAGAGAGAGATGCATACAATATATACCACCAGAGTTTGGACGGCGGGGAGAGAAAAGAGCGTGCTACGGAGAAGAAGAGACGGGACCGTTCCTCGGAGCTTCCTCGTCGGCCTCGGCGGCCGGCCACGGACCGGCGAGAATAGTAGCAACAGGACCGCTCCCGGAGACGGGCGACGCTTTGTAGCCCGGAGCCGGAGCGGCGGGATACGCTACTTGTTGTGGTAGTAGATGTTGGTTTGCGAGGGCGGACGTGTCTTGTGTTCATTATCTACCTTGCCATATATCCCATCTATATATATATATATATATATGTATTTATATATATAAGCCTCTGTATCTACTTCACCAATGCCTCCCTCCCTTCCCTTCCTCCTTTTCTTCCTTTCTGTGCTTTTCTTGCTGCTACTACCCCGAAGCGCATATTTCGATCATTTGCAGAGTTAGACCAAGTTCCTTTTTTTGGGTTCGTTTTCTTTTTTCGGTTTCCCTTCATTTGCTCAGTCCTCTACATGGTTCCCTCCCAACTAAGGTCCAGGAGAGAAGAAATGAAAAAAAAGTTATTCTCTCGCTCTTCTCTGCGCTGTGCTGCATGCTCTGGCCGCTTCCTCTAAGAAAGGGCGACGTCGACCGGTGTATATACACAAACATTAGGCGAGCGGACTGACCGGGTCGAGGAGATGGTCGAGGTGTCCCCCGTTGCGTGTTCCCGGGAGCTGGGGATGTAGAGTCGTAGCACATGGTGGTATGCTCATAGCAGATGGGGAGGTATGCATGAGAGATTATGGGCAAAGTCGGGCATGGGTAGCCTCGGATGAGACACGCATACAAGCATACGCGTATGCGGGAGGGTAATTGACACATACCCACCCTCTCTCCTATATTCCGTATAACTATATGCCTGCCCATCCCACACTCCCACACGCCGATCGCCTCCCCCCGGCGGAGACCCTCATATCAGCCGCCGCGCACCCGCCGTCCCTGGCCTTTTCTTCCTCCCCTCCTCCCCTTCTCTACCTTCCCCCCTATCCCATCCTCACCCACCCACCCACCCACCCCCCTCTACGTCCTGCGAGAGAGAGACAGAGAGACAGAGAGCTAGCTAGCTAGCTAGCGCTCGCAGTCGGTCGGTCGGGTCGTTCGGTCAGTCATATACGCGCGCGCCGCGCCGCGCCGTGCCGCGCCCCAACCCGCCCCTTGTGAAACGTGCCTGGTCTGGGACGCGGTTTCGTGCGTCTGCGCGTGCGCATTGCCTGCCTGCCTGCCTGCCTGCCTGTCTGCCTTTTCCCCTTCCTCCCCCCTCCCTCTTCCTCTCCCTCTCCTTGACCTTCTTTCCGTCTTCCCCCACCACCTTCTCCCGCCACCCCTGTTTTTTTGGTTTTTTTTTGGTTTTTTTCCTCGGCGAAGTCCCCCCCCCCCCTGGTCAGATATGTACGGCGCGGCTGGTTAGGTAGGTAGGTAGGTAGGTAGGTAAGTGAGTGCCTGAGACTGGCCCAGGGGAGGGTAGGCAGGCCGCGACTACGTAAGCGGCTCCCTCAGGTAGGCGGGGCGAGACGAGGCGAGCGGGCTCGTGTTGACGATCAGGGCGAGGGCGCGGCGGGTTCGCGGGTGTCGGCGCGGTTGGGCATGCGCGCGGGTAGAGAGGGGCGAGGGATGCGTAGGTAGGTATGCGCTTACCCTACGTACTTACGTGTAGAGGTGCGAGGGGTGTGCGTAGTCGGTCGGTCGGCTGGGCCGCTCGGGTCTTACTCATACGCTGCTCGTATAGGGAGGAGGTCTAGATATGCCTGGAGTAGGTAGGTAGTTAAAACCGGACAGCCGGCTTCGGGCCCGTATCCCCGCCGTCTAGCCCGGTTACGAAGGACGGCATCGGAGCGAAAGGCGGAGGAGGAGGAGGAGGAGGAGGACACGACGTAGTTTGGGTCCGGCGGTGTCTACATTCCGCGCCGCCCTCCGTCCAACCCTCTCGATGCGTGTCACCAAGAGCAGCAGAGTCTCTTCTCTATACAGATAAGCGGGTTGGGTTAATAGTCTGTCTCTTCTCGGTTTCGCCGTGGCTACCTCTACCTTAGCGCGATAAACAACAAACGGCGCGGGGCCGTCGTAATCGTGGCCGCGTCACGTAACCTACCTACTGAGCGAGCTCGTAATAGCGTTATTTTTTTTCTTCCCTCTTTTTTGTCTACCCGCCACCAGCGGCCATGACCCCCATCCCCTTTCTCATCCATCTAAAAACCCGTCGCCAGATCTAGATCTAAGGCCTTGCTACCAGAATCTGATCCATTGCAAAGTAGAACTCTCTCTCTCTCTCTCTCTCAGTCAGGAATCAACCCCCTTCTGAAGTCAAAATTTGGTATTAATGGATAAGCATCATAACCCGTCTCTAGCCACTCGCACGCACTCGAGACGGTGCAGAAACAGGCAAGCAGGTAAACAGAAAGCAAGCACGTGTGAGGTAGGTTAGGTTAGGTTAGGTGGTTAGCGAACTAGGATGTCGTCCCGCTTAGGTCCGCAGCCGACCCATACGATCTTGACGCCCAAGAAGTCCTCGATGAACTCGATGTATTCGCGCGCCTCGACGGGGAGGTCTTCGTACTTGGCCGTCGATGTCGTCTTCGTGTTCCAGCCCTTGAAGGTCTTGTAGACGACCTGGACCCGCGACAGGAGCTTCGCGCTCGCGGGGAAGCCCTTGATGGTCTCTCCGGTGTCGGGGTGCTCGTAGGCAACGGCCACCCGGATCTCCTCGAAGGTGTCGAGGACGTCGAGCTTCGTCAGGTTCAGCGCGTCGTAGTGGTTGACCTTGTGCGAGTACTGCGCCGAGACCAGATCCAGCCAGCCGCAGCGTCGTCGCCGTCCCGTGCTGACGCCGAACTCGTGTCCTATCTCCTGGAGCTTGTTTCCGATCTCGCCGAAATCCTCGGTGGGGAACGGCCCGGACCCGACACGTGTGCAGTAGGCCTTGAGAACGCCGATGACGGTGTCTACTTTGCGGCGGTTCAGGTTCAGTCCGGCCATCACGCCGCCGAAGGTTGTCGAGGTCGACGTAACATATGGCCAGGTGCCGTACGTGTTGTCGAGGAGTGCCGACTGGGCGCCTTCGATCATGATCTTTTTCCCCTCGTTCTGGGCCTCTTCAAGGAATTCGATGTCGTCCACGCTGAAGGGCCGGATCCTCTCGCGGTAGGCCTAATAGGTCAGAAGGGGGAAGCGAGGGAAGGACGAAACGGGTTACCTCGAGCTCTTTGATCTCCTTCTCGACGTCATAACCGCCTAGATCGCCGCCGAATCTCAACTTGTAATCGCGCTCCATCGCCCTGATGCGGTCTCCGAATTCCTCGTCGTCGAGGAGGTCGCCCAACAGCACATTGCTCCTCTCGGCCTTGGAGCTGTAAGACGGTCCGATGCCTCGGCCGGTCGTGCCAATGTTCTTGCTGCCGAGCTGTCCTTCCCGGAGGCGGTCGGCAGCCGTGTGAAGGTCGAGGTTCAACGCGCAGCGCGTAGATACTTTCAGTCGTGGCTGAGGGTTGACAACACCCTTCGCCTCGACGTCGGCAAGCTCCGAGAAGAAGGTGGGCACGTGTAGCACGACACCGGGACCGATCAGGTTGGTGGTCTCCGGATGGAGTAGCCCGGAGGGTAACATATGACTTGACCATTTAGACAACTGCAAGGAGATATTCGGGTGAAGGGGTTGGGATACATACAAATCGTAGGACACACCATTGGTGACGACGGCTGGAAAGGAGAGGAGAAGGGGTTAGAATATATATACATATACATATATATATCATCTTAAGTTGGGATCGCATCTTACTGTGACCGCAGTTCCTACCACCGGTAGCCCTGGCGCAAATCTGGACTTCGGAGCTGAGGATATCGCAAAGCTTGCCTGGAGGGATTTGTATGTTAGAACCAAGAACTTTTTCTCTTTCTCTCTTGGGTGACGCCATCCAAGTCGGCCCTTGCTCACTCACCTTTCCCCTCGCTAGACGGACACACACATACACAAGGCTGATTAGCAGGGACGTAGAAGAGAGAGAAAGGCGATCAAGGAGAAGAGCATGATATGGGATTTCTTACTCTCCCCATTGGACGCCCAGCACGATTGTCGCCATGATGGGCAATGGTACCTATCAGCAGGAATCTTTTGCGAGAAGATGGGCAACAAAACGAGGGAAAAACCGAGAGAAGGACAAACGGAGGAGGAAGCAGGAGGTCGCGGTTGGGAGGGTATTTAAGAGATGAGTAAAATCGAAATGGGGTGGACGTATTGCGATAGCGGGGTGGTGGGGTTGATCCATGCGACGGCGCGTTCGACCGGGTTTTGGCGGTAATTTAGGGTATTTTCGGTACAGGTACAAGCTGCCACGCGCGGTATTTGCGCGAGATGGGAGGTTTCGGAGAGGGACACAGTATTACTAACAGTTTGCAGGTTTTGCCCAGGTACCTACATGGAGGGGCTGTATATACCCACGTCCGCCTCACTAGCAGGTACAAGTAGGTACCCAGGTAAAAATGCGACGGGTCCGGCACTCGGTCCCTCACGTCCAACATACCCTCGGCTATGGGGATATTCTCGTTTGATGTATAATCACCCGATGTCTTAGGGCGCTGGCAAAAAGCCTTGAGTATACGTGTATATCTTAAGTACCTTGGGTGATGTCGGATACTTTACTGTACATTACAGATATTAATATACCTACCTCCTACCTAACCTACCTCTTAAAGGTATGGAACCTACGTTGACGGGTACGTACAGGCTACCTTGTGATATTAATGTCGTAAAGCCGGCATGGCTGCTGGCCCGCTGGCATGAGTACAACTTCGCCCAAGCCGTATATAGAGACACATCTACCCCCGTGGGTATTCCTCCCACTCGTAGTCACGCACACCCCGAGTGCCGCCTCGAGATAGAATCGCAGACATGAATCCTTACACGCGCAAGCGGAGCAGGCCCGGCAGGAGGGCCTATATCAATGGCATCTACGCCCAAGCGCCCCTCAATACAAATTGCCAGTACATCGCATGCCATACCTTCGTGCCTGTCGGAAACCCGACCAAGCATAGCAGTAGTGGTGGCGAGCACTAGAAGCACCGAGCAGCGTTCAACGTGGGATATCTGTCTTTTAAACAAGAACGCCATGTAATATGCAACAACCGTGGGGGATCTCGCTAGTCGCGGCCAGTATGGTCCTGCGGCGGTATGACGAAGACTGTAGACGGACACCATGATTTACCGGTTCCCGTCGCCCCTCATGCCGACCATCTCGTACTCGCCTGCGCCGTCCCGGCCTCGCCCGCGGCCACGGCCGCGCGAGAAGCCCATCTCCTCATCGCCCTGCTCTCCTCCCCCGGCGCCTCCGTTCCCCGCCGCGGCCTCGGCGCCGCTCCCTCCCGCGGTGCCGGCGCCCGGCGCGTGGCCGCCGAAGCTGATCGGTCGCAGCTCGCGCCACTGGCAGCCGTAGGTGCCGGCGACGACGGTACCGGCGCTCGACAGGGCCATGGTGACCCACCAGGCGAAGTTTCGCGGCAGCAGGCCGGTGTAGAAGGACACGACTACGAGGTGGAGGAAGTGCAGCGTGAGCGCGAAGTCGAGGACCAGCTTCGACCGGCCGATCAGGACTACCATTCCTATGACCCTGCACACGCGTGACGATGTTAGCGCTCCGTATGTCCACGCCTTGCTTGTCACGTGCGAATATTAAATCGAAAAAAAAAGAGGCGGAAGGGAAGGGGAAACGAGTTGGGGGGGGGGGAAGGGGGAGGAAGTGATGAGAGGAGGGGGAGACGAACGCGACACCGGCACAACACAGCCAGACAAAACCCAGCAGCCACCCCTGCGTCGTGTCGCCGCGCAACTCCCCCCACCCGAAGACGAGGTCGAGGCTGAATCGCGCGCCGGCGACTAGGGACGTGAACAGCATGAGGACCAACGCAGCGGCGTAGTATATGCCTTGGAGCGCGGCGATCTGGCCGAGGATGCGCAGAGGGGGGAGCTCGTTGACGGCGCCTGCCCGCGGCGGTCTTCTTCGCCTAGCCATCGGATCCGCCGGGGGGGGGGGCTCGAGGGGGAGGGCGGTGGCGAAACGGGTACCGGCTGCTGCTGTCGTCACGGTCCTCGTGGTCGTCGTCTGGTATTATTCGTCGGTAGTCGTCACGTCGTCAGGGCAGCGGTCTGCGCGCGGATGGGAAGGGAGGGAGAGAGGTCGGATTTAGGGCTATTGCTTGGGAGAGGCGGAGTTCGAGTTTCCGGCGTCGTCGCGCGCTATAGGGTGATCATATCTAATGGACTCGATAAACGGATGGATATCTGCACCACTGGTTGTCGTCGGTAACATACAGGCACATATGCACACGCACACACGTACACACACATGCAACTTCGAGGCGATAGGTAGGTGTCGGGAGGAGTAGCGATGCGGGCGAAGAGGCTCAGCGTGTTGCGCAATGGTATTCGTGTATGGACTCGACGTCCTGGATGGTATACTAGCTTAGGATGACGTCCCGGCTTGGTCGGGTTAGGAGGTTTGGGGTGACAACATTTAGGTAGGCGAAGCGCAGGACGCGGCGTTGCCTGCCTCTTCGTCCTCGCTGCTACTCTCCCGGTCCCGGCACGGGCAGCTCTAAAATTGCATGTTCGAGAAGGCGCTAATCCTGGCGCGGCCTAGCGCGCCAAATGGAGCTTTAATTAGATTCCGTTACTCGGTACCTACGAATACTTTAGGTACCTACGATTGGAGGTATGTGTCTGCCTGTAGTAGGTAGGTACCTATGCACACTCACCTACGTTCTTCACTTATCTTATCTCTCGTCGCGCGCACCGTTACATAATCCGTTAGGAGGTTGGATCGCGGGAGCATCTCCGTGTTAGCGAGCCTCGATTTGACGCCTGCGGTATGCATCTGACATGTAGGCGATAGGGTAAGCTTCCAACCAGGTCCGCCTCGAACAATCCACTCTTGTGCCCCTCCTTTTTTTTTCGCGTCAGGAACGACACCCGAACCCGCGAGGCGACTTCGATTAGCCAGGTCCGACCAACAACCGACGGAGAAGCCGCACTGAACCGACCTCCCCGTCCGCGACGCCGGCTGTGCCGTCGCTAGATACACATACCTACGAGAGGGCAGACGATAAACGAGCGAGCATATTTGCCTTCCCGCGATGGGCCTCTTCTCGGGGTTCTTCGCCTCGGAGGATGAGAAGCGCCGGGAGGAGGTGCGCACGGGGGCCCGGGCACCGGACCGGAGCGAGCGCCAGCGCTGCTGGGACGCCCGCGACGCCTTCTACCGCTGCCTGGACCAGCACGACGTCGTCGACGCGCTGACTGGCGAGGGCCGCAAGGTCGCCGACAAGAAATGTGCGTCCGAGAGCAAGGCCTTCGACGCGAACTGTGCCAGCGCCTGGGTGAGTTGTGTGTTTTATGATCCCCCCCCTTCTTATCCCGCCTTATGCCTGCCTACCTACCTACGCCATTCACTGTTAGGCAATTAGGCCGACTAGTAGGCTGACCTGCTGCTGCTGCTCGCTGCCGGACCGCACGATAGGTGACGTATTTCAAGAGGTATCGGGTCGCCGAGTACAAGAAGAAGCAAACCTTCGAGCGGCTGGAGAGGGAGGGCGCGAACAAGATCGCCATTCAGGGGCCGGGCGACGCACCCGAGTCTAAGGGGGCGTAGAAAGAATCCATCTCCAGCGATGCGCGCGCTGTGCTGCGTGTGCTGTTTATAGGTATGGTGTTCGATATCACATAAAAGGAGGCGCATGGAGTTCAGGACGGGAAGAAAGAAAAAAAAGGGGCGTATCTGCATGTGTCGAAACTCTCCTTTCCGGTGATGGTTATTTGCTCATACGAGAGAGATGAAATCCAAATCATCATCGTCGTCGTCATCATATTTGACCGTTCACAAGTTGATAACTCCACCTTGGGTCCGGACGCAGCGACTTGGAATTTACGATGACCGGCTTCAGCCCCCGACGATTGCCTCCCAGCCCTATTTTCAGCCAATAATGCATTCCCGCGCCCTGGTCGGCGAATAGCACCAACGATCGACTTGGCTGCCGCGGCGCGTGGCCTTCTCGTGCAACGATCCTGGGGAATTAATCGAGTGGGCAGATGCACATGGATATGGACGGCAATGCGCTGCCGCTGGGCTAAGACCGCTTCCTCACCCGGGCGAAATCTATAGTTAATATGCCTACGTAGGTAGACGAAGATGATTATGATGGTAACAGCACGACCCACAGATGCCGGCGTTCCGGCGCTGTTGGCTGAGGCCCCCCCCCCCTGGTCGAAGGGGAAATGAGATGTATTCATCGAATGGATAATACAGCATACATGCATGCATGTAGGCCCATACGACACCTTAATCCTCGCAGACGCGCTTGAGGCCCAACAGCACCGAGGAGTGGGCATCTGCTCGTCGGGCCGTGCTTAGCGTTACTCTCCTGCCTTGCTGTCTCTCGAGATCGTGCCGGCGATGCTATATCGCGAAATGAGAATATTTATTGGTGCCTCGTTCTCGTCGCCGGAAGGGAGCGGTATTGTGAGACGACTGTGTATACACCGTGTAGGTACCTAAGTACATACACCATATAGCCTACGTAGGTACGTACTAGGCAGTGCGAACGCACGTTGCCGTGTTTGAGGTCTGAGGCTCGCTAGAGAAGGTGGTAACTTGTCTCGGCGATTCGGAATATCTTCGTAGGAGAGGGCGTGCGTGTGTCGCATAAACCATGTCGAGCTGAGAAAGGGAATTAGGACGCTACCGTGTGCAAGGGATACGGTGGATAAATTGATTCCGTAGTCAGTACTTCTGGTTGCCCGTCATCTGGAAGCACGTAAGCCGTATTCGAGACAAATCACTGGACCTGTTTAAGCGTGTACGTATTTGCGCCTATATTAGGTGGGTACATACTGCAATCTTGGTGCCGAATGCCGTGTGGAGTTGGCACATAGGGTATGTGCTTACTTGCTCCCGCTGGAGGGACTCTTACTTCGCGTACGTGTAGTCGATCCCCATCGCATTCAGTGGTGAGTCTGCTCTGGACCGGGACTCCGAACCAGGGTGACTCTCTCAGTCAATCTCTGTGCCTGGCTGGTGGGAACGAGAAGGGCAACAAGTACATACCCGAACAGCACCGAATACGCTGCCGGTTCCACCGGTCCTAGCCCGGCTACGGAAAAGTCGGCAAAAGCGTTGGTGTGGCAGAGGGCCGGGGATTGTGAAGATCCAAGAGCTGCCAAGGCGACAGGTGACAAATCTACGTAGAAGGGGTTCAGAATACGACAGTGCCAACACGCACACCTCTTATGTATGGCACACTCGGCAGCAGAGAGTAGCTACCTAACCTACGTATTAAATCCGTCATAACATGAAGACTAGGCCTCGCGGGCCGTTGCTGTATACCTCTGCCTGGCTTGTACGATCGACTGTGTTATATCCCTCTATACCTCCTAGGGATATCCTACCTCGCGGCAAGACAGTAAGGGAGAGAGGAGACAGAGAATGCGCGCAGTCACCCGCCTACGACGTACGCCCATAGGGGAACACAGTCGGATGTCTGCATGCACCCTGTGTTGGCATACGCATCTATCTAAAATAATGTCTAGAGCATCCGTTGATCGGCATTGTGGCTGAGACACTACGCCGGCGACATTTAGGTAGTGCCTGTGTAGTGCCTTAGGGACCTACCTGCCTACCTAGGTACCTACAGAACCTCCTTTTATGAGGCTTTCAGGGTCCTGTTCGGCCCGCCCACGCGCTGACTAGTGGGGCGGGGCCATTATCGAATTAGAGTACGGGATCCCGCCTGCTACCAGATCTGCTAATGATAAGTCCGTCGTGTTTTCGGGATCCGTCTCAAGCCTCTTGACTGGAACTTACGTACCTCTGCCGTGCATTCGAGAGAGGCGTGTTCATATAGCCTGGTATGAGACGTGTGCTACGTGTTGCTATGATATATATTGGGTCCCCATACCGTCTGTGTGTAGCTACGCGTATGCACATAGCCCGTGGATCGACAGGCAGGGAAACCGAGGCCCCCGGGAGACGGGATGGGGGGGCGTCTCCCTCCCTCTGTCCCAGGCGCTGACATGCATGCGTATGCATTTAATCAATACCCACCTACCTAGCTTATATGAGAGGTACGCGAGCAATGATATATCTACGGCCTATCTTACTCCCGTAGGTGCCTCTCAAGGTGCTAACAGGGCACCAACGGGCTCTCACCCCAGCGGTGCGTGTGCGTTACTACGTGCCTAGGTAGGCAGATAATAGTAAAACCGTTCCAGGGCGTTGGGCCCGTCGTCGTTATAGGTCGATATCACGCCGCGCTTAGCCCTCTTGGGTAGGTTGTAGGTAAAGATAGCCTACACCGGGGCCGCATCCCGTGGGCTCACAGCGAGTTTTCACATGGGACGGAACGGCGAGGCGATATTAGAAGAAGGAGAGAGCGGTGCTAATGCATCCCATCCTCGCCAAACAAATTAGTCGATGCATGGCATGATCGCGCATGGGCACTAGAGGGATCCCTCAGGTCTTAGGTGCACTTTTTCTTCCCACTCCGTCTTTTCCCTTCTCGAATCCCTCCTCCTCTCTGCCTCCTGTCTCGACTTACCCATAGAGGCGGTCCCAGCTGGGGCGTGCACCTCGCCCAGGCGTACTGCATCATATATAGGCAAACGTTATATGCATAAGCGGAACGCGTGGGTGCAACCAGCGTCTACTATATTACACGTTTAGGTGGGTTGCGGACGGGCACTTCGTTGCATTCGCTAAGCGGGAACAATTCATTTTGGCAGTATACTCCAGTGCTCGGCGGCGTGGCTGAGCATGTGCAATTAAGAGAGCATGAGGCGCGTGCTCCACTCAGAGGGATCCACGTCGGGCTGGCCAATCAGAGCCTGCCCAGCCCCGGTACCCACTCTGCGGCAGCCATGTTTCTTGGTCTACACGACAACACAATCTCCTCGCTCGCTCACTCGCTCACGTCTTCACCCTGCCCCTTATCCTTCAGATCTCGGTAGGTCAGTAACAATTCCAACACCATCTTCACTTACCACTGTCACCACCACCACCGCCGCCGCCGCCGCCGCCGCACACAATACCGAACAGTTGCCATACAGTAACGGTAGCAACTACACAACATCCTCCAATAATAAAGCACCGGGAATACCAGAAGAAGGAGAAGAAGAAGAACGAGCGGCAGTCGAAGGAAACGGCATCTGACTCGTTTGCCCTCCTCCGCTCGGCGCACCGCGCACGCCCTCGCCTGGCTGGCACCGAGAAAAAAAATTTATTCCTCTCCTGTTCTGGGAGACGCACAGCACCACGGGCGAGGGTTTCAGGTGCTTTCGCCCCTCGTCCAATCGAGCGGACGAGGCCTGAGCGAGCTGCGGACAGCAAAATATGCCGACTTTTCTGAATGAACAGAATTCCTCCGTCTACGCACCCACTTCCGGCGTTGTCCGTCTCGGAAACCACCACGACCCGAACTTCCACAAGCTGACAAGCCCCGGGGACGGTCTGCTCCCGAAGTCGCTGCCTGTGGCAATTGATTCTGCGAGCGAGAGCCTGGACGATAATTCCTCCTCACACTCCTCACAAAGCTCCGGCCCACGCTCGCGAATGACGGCAGATGGGCTGCAATCGTCCGCCATGACTCCTCTGCCCAACGGCAGGATGAGTAGGGAGTCCAATGGTACGACCACGGCTGGGCCCGAAGCGAAATACCCATCGTACACGCCTTGGCCCGAGAGGAACTTGTCCGACCGTCAAGACGTTGCTAATGGCGTAGCCGCGACATCCGACAGCCACCGCCAGAGCACATCGGAATCGTATATGAAGCGAGCCTCCGTAGAATCGTCATCCCATGTTTCTATGCACCAATTCCCATCCGACTCGCAGCGCAGGTCCTTAACCAGCAGCGCCCTGATAGGCGGAGATACTACCCCTAATCCCTCTCTGCCCAGCCCTTACTCGAGTCCGCCGACGCCTGGCTTCAACCACGATCAGCACAAGTTGCCCGGCCCCCAGAGATTCTCTTCTCCTCCGCATTATCCGCCAGCTGGGCCGGGCACCTCTGCGTCGGCCTCGGCACTGCAGGCGACGTCTGGACTCAAGCATAGGCACACCCTGGAAGTGCCCAGACCTTCACCGGCCCGAGGCTCCAAGGACGCCAATGACGCGGCCTTCGCTACCGGCAGGTTCTCCCCCACGGGAGCTGGGGCGGGTCAACGCCGTGGATCTCTGAGCCTAGGGAGACGGAACACGCGCTCTATGCAATCCGACGTGCCTCGCGACGAAGCAGTGCCCGACGAAGATGCGCTTAGGTGGACAGAGGCATACCGACAGAAGCTTGCCAAGAAGAAGAAGCGGGAGGAGGAGGATGACGATAAGGTCCTGGTCGGAACCAAGGTCGACGAGAACCACGCGAACTGGACGACGGCATACAACATGTTGACGGGCATTCGGGTATCTGTTTCTCGCACGAATGCCAAACTCGACCGTCCCCTGACCGATGCCGACTTCGAAACTAAGCAGAAATCGACGTTTGACATGTAGGTCTCTTTCTAGCGACACGGCCCACCCCGGCCTAACCCTTCTGCTCGTCTTGTAGAACGTACTAATAGAAACAGCGCGGGCAACGAGCTCGTCCCTTCGGCGAAATATGACTTCAAATTCAAAGATTATGCGCCTTGGGTATTCCGGCATCTCCGTGCGCTCTTTAGGCTAGACCCTGCCGACTACCTCATGTCGCTGACCGGCAAATACATCTTATCAGAGCTTGGGTCTCCGGGCAAGAGCGGGAGCTTCTTCTACTTCTCCCGAGACTACAAGTATATCATCAAAACCATCCACCACGCCGAACACAAATTCCTACGTAAGATCCTAAAAGACTACTACGAGCACGTCACGGGCAATCCGAACACACTGCTTTCGCAATTCTACGGTCTCCACCGCGTCAAGATGCCGTACGGCAAGAAGATTCACTTCGTCGTCATGAACAACCTCTTCCCCCCTCACCGAGACATTCATACCACGTTTGACTTGAAGGGTTCGACAGTAGGGCGAGATTACGGCGAGGAAAACCTAGAGAAGAATCCGCGGGCGACGTTGAAGGATCTCAACTGGTTGCGACGCAAGAGACATCTCGAATTGGGACTTCAGAAGAAGCGGCTATTTCTACAGCAGCTCGAGCGCGATGTTCGGCTCTTGCAGAAATTGAAGATCATGGACTACTCTCTGCTCATTGGCATTCACGATCTGAGGAAGGGGAACGAGGAGAATCTGCGAGATAAGACCTTGCAGGTATTCAATCCGGGAGGGGACAGTCCAACAGACGACGAGTTCAACCCCAGCTCCGTCCTCATGCGAACGCCGTCGAAGCTAGAGAATGCGCGCAAGGCTAAGGAGCTCAGGCAAATGATCAAAGCTGAACGGCCCGTCCCTGTAGGCCAAACTAGTAGTCGGATGCCGGACGAACTCGCTGCAGGTCAAAATCGCGGCGGCTTATTCTATAGCGACGATGGTGGCCTGCGTGCGACGCACGAGGACAACGGTCCTGGCGAGGAGGTCTACTACCTAGGAGTCATCGACTGCTTGACACACGTGAGTCGATTTCCTAATCCATGGCGATCGCCCCGAAACTAACCCACCCTGATAGTACGGAGTTATCAAAAAAATTGAGCATTTTTGGAAGGGCCTATCTAGTGATCGAACTCAGATCTCTGCTCTCCCTCCCGAGGAGTACGGCGATCGGTTCATCAAATTCATGTCTGGCATTACCATGTCGGAGGAAGAGGCGGCGAGGGATGCTCTAGACCGCGAAGCTGCGACAGCGCTTGCGGCTGAAGCGGATGCCGCCAATCAAGATGCCCAAGCATCAGGACCCAGCGGCATACCGCCTGTCCCGTCCTATCTACCCCCGGCACCCCCAAGCATAAGGAGCACGAACTCGCCAGAGCCGAATCCGATCTTGGAGAAGGGTGTTAAGAAGGCCACCAAGAAAGGGAAGGAAGTCGCAAAAGAGGAGCAAATTCCGGAGCGGAAGATAACAACTACCGTTTCGCCACCCAGCGGATGGAACACCTCTCATGCTGTCCTGCCGATCGTCGAGGAGATGGCCGAAGCCGGCTCGGTTGGCGGGCTAAGCCGAGGGGGGAGTGCTAACGAGGCTCGACCATTCACGCCGAGACTAACCGGAAGGCAGGACGGATTCACCGACTTGGGTCCCCACGGCATCGGAGGTAAAGGCCCACCAACCCCACCGAAGAGCAGCTACCTAGATGCCGACAGCATCTACGAGGGAGGAAGGAGACGGAGTGGTAGCAGCACCGGAAGCGGGAGTGGGTTCAAATTTTTAAGGCACAAGCTCAGCCGCGAGAGCTTCGACAAGGCTTTGCCCGCGCTGCCTCAGTAGCGATTCACGAATCTTCAGCAGCATGCCGGGAATATCGGCGTTTCATAGGAGAGGAACTAGGGTTCGTGGGATTGCTGGCCAACTTTGAAAATATAAAAAAATTGTTAAGTTTCGAAGAGCCGAAGCGAGAATAATATACATGTGAAGGAGGGGAGGGTATAGGGTTAGATCTCAGTACCAAGGGCGGAGTGGGAAGACAAAAAAAAAAGAATACCAGAGCTGAGGTTGGGTAGCTAGCCGAGTTCATTCTTCTACGCGGGAATAACGTGCCAGCTTTGGCCAGTTGCCCGGGGGAGAGTCAGAGACGGAGGGGGGGGGAGAATAGGGAGGAGGCGACTATGCAGCATCTACTCGGGGCTCGGTTTTCATTTTTATTTATATCCTCTTCACTTCTCTCCTTTACATTCCACCGGAACCGAGCCGTGTTGGTTAGCGGGCATCATCAAACGATCCGAGCAACCGACGAGGGCGGATGTGGCTATTCATTCCCACCCTCACCTCACTTTTTACAAGCCTCTCCCTTTTCTTTTTCTTTTTCTTTTTCCTTTGTCCGTCATCGTCGCTTGAGAAGCAGCGCCCTGCATATCCACTGTGTTTGTTACCCGAAAGACATGATACCACTATTGCATAAAATGCATGAATTTGACGAAAAAAAAAGAATTATAGAAATCTAGGCCTTTTGCTTTAGATCCCGTGTCTCGTGTCTGCGTCTGTGCTTGGGTGCAAGTATCTTTCTGTCTAAGTGACCGTGTCCTTGGAGCGGAAAGAAGTAGAAATCGTGGAGGCCAGGAGGTGGATGGATAGATATTCTGGACGCCTATATGTAAATAGGCGCTCTGGCTTAAATATACCTATAGCTAGGTATATATATTTTGGGTGATTATAACACTTGGGGTTTTAACCTCGATTGGGGCAGGATAGCTACTACTAAGTCGGGCTCACTAGATGTTGCTGATACGACGACGTGAGCCGTAGGGCTTAGCAGACACATAAGCATCTAGCACACCGTGGGGTTGGAAGTTCTATGCCACGTGGGTTTTCCTCTAACCCTCTCCGGGCTCCAGCTATATTCTCTAGGCGAGGGCCCCCCGCGTCGTCTGGTAGCAGCCGGACTTACCTTGACATCCCGAGCAGACGTCTACCCCTTCTCCTCCTAGGGACGACGGTAGATAGTAGCAGGTGGGAGGGGGGGGTGAGGAGAGGGGAGATGGGGCGAGCGTACGTTCCGGAGCTCGTCCTCGGGCTCGAGCCGGTGGCGGGACGGGAATCGGACTGACGGCGCGGAGCTGAGGCTGGAACTCGGCGGTGGGTGCTGCGGAGAGGGGACGGGGGAGGTCGCTCCGGCAGAGGATGTCAGTTTGAGACGAAAGGGGTTCTTTGTAAGTTAAAGATTATGGTGTTGCTAGTGCTGGTCGGTTATTGTTAAGATGGGCGGTAGGTAGTAGTAGGTATGAGGCAGCAGGGCTCGCCGTAACCCTGCTGGTACGGATCTATATCTATTACATGACACCGTCGCTTTTTGGAGAGATTGAAGCGAGTTTTGGCTAGGTCGAGACATTTATATAAGTGAGGGCGCGTGTACTGCGTACCTAGATAGGTACCTAATGCCACCTTATACCTAGGTAGGTACCTATACTGAACTTCGCCTGGGATGAGATAGGTACCTCTTAGGTACATACCTATACTACGTAAAGGTAGGCGCTGCGAACCAGTACAGGTAGTAGGGCAGGTACTAGGTACCTACCTGAGGTGCCTGTGGAGGATGTGCTCGCACACCAGCCAGGGTATGCAGGTGCGGTGCCAGCCGGAGCAGGTTAGGCCAGGTGGCTATACCCAAGCTAGTAGAGATAAGTACCTCTCAGGGACCTCGGGCAGGTAGCAATGACCGTTAAGCCGATATCGTAATAGCGGGTGTAAAGTTTTAAAACCCCTGCCGGGTATCGGCCTGGGCGGGTTTAGGGCGTTAGCCGCAGGGGTACCACAAGCCTGGGCTGGCCCTCCTCTGCCAAGTTCGATATCTGCAACCACCCAGCCCGGGAAAACTTTTTCCTCTCTTTCTCTTCTTCCTCCCGTTTTCCTACTTGCCCAGAGATATATATATACATCCAGACCCCACCGTCGCCTCTACCCTGTATTGTTCTCTACATATAGATATTGCCATTGCTACCATCGTTGTTGCTGTCGTAGCCCGCCGACGACGTGCCCATTTTCTTTACTGCTGCCGTGGTGATCGTGTCGCATACTTGCATGGCAGCCAATCCGTGAAGAGGTGCATGTAGCCGAGGGAGCTCAGTGGGGAAGAGAGAAGGAGAAGGGGAGCGCGTCTCCGGCCGAGACTCGAAAGGCTTGGCTCGAATAGCATTCCTTTATTTTTCTAGGGCGAGGGAGCGAGGGAGAGAGATAGAGAAGGGGAGAGAGAGGGAGGAACACGACGGACGAGTCGCGGTTTATGAAGAGGGGAGGACGAAGCCGAGGAAGAAGGTGGGAAGGCAAGTAGGAGGCAAGGGGAAAAGAAGAGGGGCGGCGCAGAGACAGAGAGAGAGAGGGTGGGAGAGAGAGAAGAAAAGAAACCTCCCCTTCATCCAGTTCAAGATGGGGAAGCGGCCTAAAGACCTGCACACGAAGCACCTCACCGAGCGCGAGCGCTTCCGTGTCCGGACCCTCTACTACGACGCCTGCATGAGCAAGACGCGCATCATGAACATCACCGGGTACTCCCTCAGCCAGATCCGCACCGCCGTCCGCGCCAAAACCTCCGCCGTCGCCCCCCGGAGTGGCCGCCCTAAGAAAGGTAGGAAGATACCCGTCTGTCTATCTATCTACCGCTCCCCCTCCCTCTCTTGCTTTGTCCCGTAGCCGTTTCCCCTCCTTCGGCTCCGCCTATTCTCGTTCCGAGTAAACCTGTAACGCGGGGAGGCTGGGAGGGGGAAAGGGGAGGGGGAGAACAAAGGCCCCCAATCTACCTAGGGTTACGGGAGGAGAGGGGAATGGTTGTGTAGCATGATCAACACGAACACATACATATGTGAAGCCGTCTAGACCCATCTGCCTACCTACGGGGACAAGAAAGCAGAGGAAGGGAAACTAACCAACGAGCCTTGTTACTAGCGCGCAACGGCCAGCCACCCACAACTGCGGACCAGCAAGCCGAAGACGATGGAGACGACGACGATGACGAAGGTGACGAGTCCGACTGCGGCTCCGTTCACCATGTCCCGCAAGCCTTCGCGTCTCCGAGGGCCGCCGGCATAGGCGTCGATCCCAACGCCGTGGCCCCGACAGGCGGTTATACCCCGGCGACGTTCACTCCGGGTCCGCCGCTCCCGTACCCGTACCAGCACCAGGCTTACGGCGCCCCCTACCCGTACCCATACCAGCACCAGGCCTACGGCCCCCCGCTGCCGGCGCCGTTCTTCGCCTTGTCGCCCTTCCAGCGATTGCCCCCGGAGCTGCGGCGGCACATCTTCCGCCTCGTCCTGACCATGCCGGGCTTGTCTGACCCATCGCTCCCTTCGGCCTCTACGTCGGCGCCGCTCTCCTGCGCCTTCGTCCTCGAGCCCCTCCCCTATGCGCCCTGGCTCGTCGCCTCCCTGTACTCTCCCCCGGCTGCCGCGCCCGCCGCTTCGGCGACGTCGACGTCGCCACCCACACCCACCAGCCCGCATCCCGGCCTCCCGCCAGCATCCGAGCCGGGCGCGACTCCAACCACGGGCGACTCGGAGCCGGAGCAGCAGCATCCGCCGCCGCCGCCGCACCACCACCAGCTCGTCGCCCATCGCCAGGCCGCCGCGCGCCTCCTCTGCAACCTCACGCGCGAGGCGCGCCGCGTCGTCCTTGACACCCTCGTGCCCGTCTGGTGTCCGGCGCCCGCTGGCGACGGCCAGCGCATGCTGGGCTCCGCCCTGCCCTTCCTCTGGATCGACCCGCGCCGCGACATCCTGTACCGCGGCGGCAGCAGCAGCAGCAATAACAGCGGAAACAACCACAGTAGCAGCGACAACAGCAACGGCCCCGACGGCGGCGCCACCGAGGACGCCGTGAACGACGGCCGTAACGGCGGAGCGGACGGTTCCAGCGGCGATAGCAGCGCCGCCAGTGCCGACGCCGGCGGCAACACCGCCGATGAACCCGTCGACCTCCTAGGCCTCCTCGAGCGCTCCCGCCTCGCCGTGCTGCCGCACCTCGGCACCATCGCCGGCAGCCTGTCGGCGACCGCGACGACGACGACGGTAGCAGCAGCAGCAATAGCAGCAGCAGCAGCTAGGGCGGATATGGCGATGACGGGCGTCTGAGACAGAGACGGAGAGCCGTTTTCCTCTCCACTTTTATTCCTTAATTTGGTTACCCCTTTTTTTTATCGTTGTTAAGTCGCCTCTTGCCCCCCTCTCTCTCCCTCGCCTCTCCCTTCTCGATCACTTCACTCTGTTCTCGCCTCGCCTCGCGTAATGGATGGATCTCTATCTAGTATGATAGGGGGAGAGGAGGAGGGAGTGGGTAGGAGAACATGTTCTCCCGAGGCGCCACGTGATGGGGGGTTAGTGCGCTGCGTGAGATGGGGTGCTAGCTATTTCCACCACACGCACACGCACACGCGCATAAAGAGAGAGAGAGAGAGAGAGAGAGAGAGAGAGAGAGGCAGGGCTTATACTACCACCCCGGAGTCAGTTTTTCAGCGTCTAGGTATACCGATGGGTAGCGAGGAGGCGTGCAGTTAATTAGCTAATATGTAGACGTAATCTCGATGCTCTCCACTCCGCCGCCGTCGCGCAGTGAATCATATCCTTGGGGTCTATCTACCGGCCCGCCACTTTCTCTATTATACGTCTCCTAACTAAGTCTTCACGGTTCGCCTAGGCCACACGATCAAGGTACCGATGCTCGTCCCCATCGTCATAGGCCCCCCCAACGTGAGCGAGATAGAACAACATGGCCGTTTTGTCAATTCGCCTTCCCATGTTCACCGACATAAGTCGTAATAGGCACCTCCCTGCAGACTCACATAAACTCCCCGTACAATGCGACAGCGGGGCTGATGAGCCACATGTATAATTGTTTCCCCACTATAGTAGGACAGACTAGGTCGGTCGTCCTAAAGCCTAGGTGATTACCATTCGGTGGTCTCTGGCCACGAGCTGCTCTGGTGGTTCGGCGCTTCCTCGACGGGCTCGGGTACCACACCTTCGATCATCTCGACCTCTGGGCCCGCGTCCGAAAAGTCGCCGGCCTCGGGCCTACAACGCTGTGGCACGTCGACTAATTGATCCCGTAGCTCGTCGCGAACATATGCGACGTAGTAAGGATTTCCGCTGTCGTTCAGGTCCTTTAGTACGGCCTCCGAACCGCGGGTATCCTCCGTGACCGTTTCATCGTTGTATCTATACCAAACGTTGCGCTTGAAATCCCGAATCCAGACCCAGTAGTGTCCTGCGGTGGCGCCGCCACTATGGCAGATGACAGCGTGAAGGCTGTACTTCTCGTTTGTCATAGCTTCGAAGGTCTTCTCTTCCCTCTGGCGGAGGTCAACAAGCTCCGCTCGTGTCATCGCTTCCAGCGGTTTATTGGCCTCCCAAGTAGATTCGGCGAATTCCACTTTAGTCAGGTCCTCGGTCGACGAAGGCGAGACGGCAACTCTCTTCGAAAGCCCATTTTCTTGTGCGTTAGCGAGCCTCCGTTTTCGTCCTCGGGGTATATCCTCCAATATCGTTTGTCCCGTAGGCGCTTGGTCCATTATATCGGGGGGCGCCTTTGCGATGTATGCTGCTATTTCCGATGTGTCCATGCTTTCAAGCTTCTGCGGTTTCCGATGCACCCTCTGCTTCTCAAACTCCTCGTGCCCCTCTTGCACCACTGGCTCCCCGTACTTTCGGTACTCGGCGTCCTTCTTGCTCTGGGTGTTAGCCTCGCTCCGGGGCGGCTGAGAATTAAAATCTAGAAATCCGCTTACCGCAGACGTAATCGCGCGCAACTTCTCGGGGTCGGCTTGGATGTTATGGGTATACTCGACCTCGAGTTCCTTGAGGCGCTCCTTAAGTGCCCATGCCCTTTTACGGGTGAGCCATAGCTGCGAGTCCTCTTCGGACTCCATGTACCGATCTAAAAACAGTATCTCTGGTATGATGACCGGATTCTCGTTCTTACCCCTTTGGGTGGTTCGTTGAATGCAGATGTGCACAATGGGTGGGAGTGTTCGAATACTGCTATATCGCGCGTGGTTCCCGTCCCCGATTAACTCGTATGAGAAGTAACGATCTAAAGCTTCGAACAATGTGCATTTAACATTGTTCGTACCGTCTGGGTAGGCCGTTATCCAACGCTCCGGAACGATTTCCACGTTAAGGGGACTCTCGGAGCGTGACGCGAGAGCGCTGGTTGGATAGCCCTTCTGGGTCTTCACTGTGGAATTGACGATTGTTGTGAAAAAGGTGTCCGTAATCTTGTCAGCTTGCAGCTCCGGTTTGTCAGGCATCGGGCCATCTGGACGGATTGCACGCATAAAATGTTCTAGTATGTAGCCGATAATTTCTCCCACGTCCTCTTGGGTCGTTCCCGATCGGTCCGAGTGTTCTAGACGGCGAGAGACTTGAGCGATCCTTTCGTCGAGACTCAAAGGCTCAGAAGAATTTTGTACGCTTGTAGCATCGCGCGATTGAGGAACGGAGGGGTTATTGCCCTCGAATTGCGAAGAAGGGGCAGAGCCTTCGAACACTTTGACTAAGGACTCCTTAACTTCTTCAATCTCGGATTGGGTGTATGACATCGTTGTGTCATCGCCCTCGTCAACTAGAGTTTGGGAACTCCTAGAGCTAGTAACCTCATGGTGAGGATTTACGGTCTCAACTGTGATGTTCACCGCATTATTTACGGCATCGGTGTCGCTAGTCTGCGGCAGGGTCGGCGGCGCCGGCGAAGGACGGGCTGGCAGTGGCGGCGGCTTGTTCTGCGATCGCCGGTCCAGGATGTCTCTCGCCGAAGAGAGTGCGGTGTTGGCAAGCTTCTGCGATGGTTGGGCAGCGGCGTTAGTAGTCGTCTGTAAATCGGTAAATAAGTCCCGGAGCATCTCGACGACTGTCTATAGGTTAGTAGCGGCCCACAGCAAGGAAGTATTGCAAACCACCCACATTGCCTAGCGACGATAGCTTCTTCGAGACTGACGCTTGTCCCGTTACCCCCTGTTCGGCGTCGCCCAATCGTCTCCTCGTCAAGATCAAGCTTGGCTTGGTCGAAGTCTAATACAAGATCACGTACAACCTTGACGTTATAGAAATATTGTAAGAGACTGTTTAGGTAGCATGTGTTGCCGATATTCTTCAGTCCCGGGGGCGTGGCCAAAGATGATGTTTGCTGTACCGATGATTGAGGCTCGGGGACTAATGTCGGTGCGCCTTCGGTAGCCGCAACGATTTCGGCAAGCTCTCGCAGGCTTTTTGCCTCGTCTGCCTCGTTTTGTTGGCTCTTGTATTCCGATAGAACATTTAGAGCCTCCACAACCTTCACGCGGTCTGTAGTATCGTCCTAATAAGGTCATTAGAAGATGAGATCCTAAGCGTCGGACAAGTATAGCCTACGAGTAATATTCGACCAACGAATTCGGAGATGATCTCCGCCGTATAGTGAGTTTCCACACCCAGTAGACCTGCTGCCGTAGAGTAGCTCATTTCCACTGGGCTAACTGGATGATTCGGAGCCTGAGAGGTAATCTCGCTCAGAATATCTCGATCTAGATAGTTGCCGATGACTTCGAGATGCTGCTCGGCTTGAGCTTTATAATCGTCACTGCAGTTGGCTTTAGTCATCGCGTCGTATGCTTGGATAAACCAGATAGAAGTGAGCCCATCTTCAGGAGAAGCCTTGAAAAAATCGAAAGCTTCCCGTATCCTCCTTTCCATGGAAGATAGTTCGTCGAATTGGGATTTGTACATGACGATATCCGTCGACGCGTCAACACTGCGATCGAGAATGCAACGCAGGCCCGCATCTAGGTATCTATCTCGGAACTGTGGTTTCAACCCAGCTAAGAGTATAGCAGCCCAGCTGAAATGTCGAGGCGGGTAGCCTACTAGACAGCCTAGCAGGTCCAAGTCTGTCTCTGAAATTCGCGAGATCTGGTTAGGGTCGAGCGCAATATCTAAGTAGTCACCTTGAAAGGCCGCGACAAGTGGATCCCAAGCAGGTTTTGATTTGAAGCACAAAATGGCCTCGAGCTCCGCCTGCGCATCCTCCATCAACGCTCTCAATGTCTGAACGGGTGTGGGGTCCCGCTCCTCCTTTGGCGTAGTAATGAACCAGCACGCCTCATCAGTTTCGGCTTCGTTCCCCTCGTAGAATCCGAGGCGTCTCAGTAGGGGGTCAAAATCCGTGCTGATTGTCACCCGGAACTTCTTGTTGCGCTTCTTAATTCTGAGTGGCCGCTCTCCGGTATGCTGAAGCGCATCGTTAAGATACGTATTAAGCACACTGGTGGTTCCAATCCCGTAGTCGTCGCTAACATCCGAATACCTCTGTTCATCTTCCTCCCGAGCGAGTTTGAGATTGTGCGCGACTCGGCTGTTATCGTTGAGAGCCCGCAACTCACTCAGCAATATTTTCGGAGGCATAACAGAGATCTCGATGTTGAACAGACATTCATCAACGGCGCATATGAACTTAGCATAGCCGATAGTGTCATCATAACCGGCGCGTTCCGCTTGCAGTTCCTTTTCCGACCGCTGGGCGCTGGGGATAAGCATGTGCATGAGGTGATGTACCTCGTCGTATGGCCTAGCATGCTTGAAATTACTCCGCACGTGGAAATGGTACCGACATCGTCCGCAAAATGTTGAGACAAAAGCTGTGTCCGCGTCCCGGAAAGATTGCGTCGAAATTAAGAGCATTTCGTGGCTGTTACAGTCGCAGTTAACCAGGAGCTCATGAAGCCGAGACTCGAGGAACCGCCTGAGAATACGGGGAGACGTAAGGGCTTCGGGCAACCGTCAGTATCGCCATCACATTTGCGTTTGAAGTATGAAGGATCGATGGATAGCTAAGGACTCTTACCTCGAGGATGTGATTCCAACTGCAGATTGTGAATCGCTCTGCGTTGTTCCTGGCGGAGCTCCGCCGCGCGATCCGAGTTGTCGCCGGAACTCATCTTGATAGCTGATTCACCAAGAGCATCCACCTAAGACTATAATGAACAGGGAGAACAACGCTTTCGTCCGCTAAATTTGACGGAGTGAGAATTTAAACCACCAACGGCCGAAATGGGAGGAAGCCGAATGTGTAGATGGGAATGAGCGTAGGGAGGGAGTGAAAAGCGACACGGGTGTTGTTGAAATTTACCTTGTTCGGTGAGTCCGTAAGATCACGTGTGAGGTGACTGCATGTAAAAATTAAGTGAGTCTCTGGTTAGGAACAAGAACTCATCTATGAAGATAGAGGGCTAGCTCCTGTAACGAAGAGAAGACGTCGAGGGAGAATCACGGGTTGCAAGGCGGAAATATATGCGGAGGAGAAGAGGTTATCGGCGGATTTCTCGGTTGATTGTTTAGATTTCTGTCTAGGGTGCGCAGGCGCCTGATCTACCCGCCACCTAGAGCCGAACGTTCTCTCGAAGGCAGCTCACAGCGATGGAAAATTGGTTCCGGATAAGTGTCTCAACCAAGTATTCGGATTGGGGATTATTAGGGCTTTTAAGAGGCCCTACGGCGATGTTAGCAGGATAGTCAGTCCACTAGCTGAGTTGGAGGGGACGGTGGAAAGAAGAAATCGACGTCGTGATTCGAGGGCTAGTTTCCTCCTCTTGGGGCTTTGAGAATGATCAGCTTTCCTAGTACGCTTGTACCTTGGCTGGGGGCACGGAGTCGCATAGACAGTAGGGATGGCCAGAAGGATATTTATCAGTGGTGTGACTTGTTAAACAGATAGCGGTGGTGGTGGTGGTGGTGGTGAAAAGACAGGCCTGGTATGAGATTCATGCTCCCGCCTCTGAGCCTCAGAGGGCACGGGAATTATCAAGATACGAGTGACTCCCGCCTGTGGGATGGGCTTTAGACGACGCGTTTCTATCTCGCCGCGCCGGTGGCTTACATGTTGCCAGTTCCCCGTGTGGGCGTGACATCGGCACCCGCCTTAGGCCCATTGGTAGCCATAGACGGCTACCGAAGAGCAACCTCGGCGTCAAGGCCACTTGGTTGCCTCATGTGTGATATTCGTCGATGCGACGAACTCTCACCAGATATGTTCCGTTGCCAGGGGGGCCTGAGACTGGGTGGGAGGACATGAACACAGACTTCAACCCGGAGGCCTTCGAGACCTAGAAGATCTGGCGGCGTCAAGATGACAGAGGTGACTCCTAGTTTCCATGTCTTGCTGCAACGTAGAATAAAAGCAAGCTAGGAGGAAGAACATGGAATCTCCACACCTTTGATGAAATAGGTAGAATGGCGGTTCTCATGGCATGCCGAGTATCGTCCCAAATACGTGATGCCAGGCGCGGGAAGCAAGCGCGGAACCGAGAAAGGTGACTCCAACGTTCACATGGGGGGCGCCTATAGTGTACGGTACCAGCCCACGACGAAAACTGTCAAGCGCCTCCGCATGCAACGGGCCGGCTGATGGTCTGAGATCGGATAAGGAAGCACTAGATATATGAGACCCGGTCTCCGATCATTGGGAGGGAGAGAAAAAAGAAACGACGAGGGTGGTGAGAGAGAGCAGATGGAAAGTGAAACGGGAAGGGAAACAGAAACACGACCAGGCCGTCTGGGCAGGAAGCTCCGCCGAGGGGAGACACGGATGCCCGCAGACGCCACGGTAACCGGTGATGGCTCGGGACGAGGCTGATAAATTCTCACCGGAGAGGATGTGCGGTTGGCGAATGTTCTGCAATTTGGAGGTAGCCTAACCAGGATCGTCGAGGAGCTTTTCGGCATCCCGGGGTAGTTGGAGATAGGTAGGTTGGCGAACAAGGGCTTAGAGCGAGGCTTAGTCCTGGGGCGGTGTTGAGACGGCCCGGGTAACCCTTCCTTATCTTATCGCGGCGTATTGGATGATCCGAAGCAAGGGACGGTACGTACCTGGGTGGATAGGTACTTAGGTACTTATAGGTGAATAGTATACACTGGAGTATCTTCGGCTAATCCCGGCCAATCAGTTTCCGTCCAATTGAGAACGGACGGTCCACATCAGGTTGCACAGAACTCCGCGTAGAGCTCAAGCTTTTTGGGAACCAAACCTGACCCAACTCCGTCTATCCTCAACTCACCTGCCCGTCGTCGAGGATCCCCCCCATCATACCAGTCCCATACTCTCGAGCCCAGTCGCGTCGACCGCCCGAGGGCTCAAGATGGCGAACCCGCATCCCATCAAGGTCGTGCCCAAGGAGGAGGAGAGCTTCCACCCGCGCGATGCCGTCAAGTCCGGCATAAAAGGCGGCCTGTTAGGCGCGGGGGTGGGCTTCGTCATCTCGGCCATCCAGAACTCGCTCGCGAAGCAGCGCGTCGGCGTCTGGGGCGTCTTTTCGAGGACGGGCGGCAGCATCGCCATGTTCAGTGCGTTGGCCCCCGCCGCAGCCGCGGACACGTTCCGGCACCGTCGGTGCGGGCAAGTTTAGCTGACCCAGAGATACGGCTCCGCGCAGCCGCCGTTGGCACCGTGTACACCTTTGCGAAGGACGCATCGGCCAACCTGCGCGAGAAGGACGACACGCTTAACATCACCATCGCCTCGTTCCTCAGCGGCGCCACCATCGGCTTAAGAGGTGCGTAATGCGTAGACCCACTTCCTACCTCCGCCCCCGTGGTCAGTTACGAACGACACTGGCGCTAACCTGTGCCGGCTCGCGCCTCTGGGAACAGTCGGCCGGATTCCCGCGATCCTCGGCATCGGCGCCGCCTTCTCCATCGTCATGTCTACCTTCGAGTACACAGGCGGCACCCTGCGCGGCGCGCGGCGCGAGGCCGCCGAGATGGACGAGTACGAGCGCAAGGAGTGGCTGCGCAAAAACCGGCGGCGGCCCATCGAGGAGACGATCGCCAACATCGGCGAGGGCAGAGGTACGGCATAACGAACCCCCCTCCCCCCTCCTCCCCCCCCCCCCCTCACCCCCAGGTGCCATCGCGTGCAGACATGCATGTGCACGAACTCCCTTTCTGACCTGAGGCTCACCCGCCGTTCCATCGCAGGCATCAAGCCCCCCGGCTACGAGGAGCGCCGACGAGAGCGTCTGAAGGAGAAGTACGGCATCGAGATCAACCCCGTCTCGGCCAACGCTTAGCGGGAGGCTTCGGCGGGGGGAGGCCCTTACTACGCTTAAGGACCCGGGGCCTCAGAGAAAACATCCATGTTTTCTGACGCGAGCCGCTGCTGTCTAGCCGTCGCCCAAGCTAGAGACTGCACGCGCAGCCGGCCAACGAATGTGCCACGCCGCCCGGTGGCGGGCGGCAGGTAGGTGTAGCGGATCATGAGACGCATATATCGCGTGCGTGCGCGCACACATACACCTACACTCACAGGGAAATCAACTGTATATACCAAATCGGATTTCCTCGTTTTTTAATCTTCATATCTACCCTCCTTTCTATCCATGCATCTGTATGTCTGTTTCTACACACGCAAGCAGTGACGAGGCCAAGCCCGACCGTATCTAATGCCATCGGGCCTACCCATCCATCTAGGTGAGCAGACCCCATGTTTCCTCTTTCTGCTTCCCCCCTACCCCATTCCGATTCGACCCAGGTATAACATCCGTGATGAATTCTCTTTTAAGAGGCTGTTTATTACTCCCTCGTCCCTCGTCTGGGGTGCGCGGCGAGCATGATTAACACAACTCACCATATTGTTCTATCTCTTTCTGAAGCTGTTTACCTGGGTCGGCCTTTTCGAGTTGGCGCGGAATCCCTCCGATTGATTTGAGGCTGTTCGTTGACCGAGGGCAACTAGGACACGTAGCTAATGCGACGCGAGTCTTTCTCCTTAGGTCACTCGTATTTCTATATCGACGCACTCCCGACGTACCTGCACGCTACCCGCGAAGTAGATACGTATGCATCGAGAGAGCCAGCAATCCCTTGCTGTAAATCCGATTCGAATTGCCTGTCCCGATTGACTACTCCGTCCGTCTGCTACTCCGTCGATGCCTAGCTTGTCGTATTCTTCGTAGACTGCCCATGGCGTTTTCTCGAGAGGGAGGAAAAAGAGAAGAAAAAAAGCCTCCTTGCCAAACGCCGTGCGTTCCTGTATCCACGTAGCGCTCTCGCGATAATAATAGAAAGCATGAAGTAAGACAAAACTGCTTGATAGAAGAGGGGTATGCGTATCTAGATATATAGGCCTTGTTGACGAAGCCGAATACCTGTCCGCAGGACTCTTATTCCCACCTAACGCGATGCCTTGTGAAACTAGCTCCCAAGCGTTACTAGGCTACACATGTGCCCTAATGTCGACGGCCGGGAGAGATGGGTATCGAGACGGTATCGATCGGGGACAGCCATCAGTAGAAGCTCTGTAGATCCGGTCCACCACCGCCCGCGGGCCGCGGTTGCATCGGGGGGGCGCCACCGGGCATCTGCCACTGGCCGGGTTGCGGCGGGGGATAGGGCTGGCCGTAGGACAGGGGAGGAGGCGGTGGCGGGGGGTGCGGGTGCGGATGAGGTAGGGATTGCTGAGGCGGCGGGCCCTGCGGCAGGGCCGAGAAGCTGACGTCGTCGTACACCATGCCCGTATTGTGGTTGCCGAACCCAGCCCCGGCTTGGTTGCTGTCGCGGTTATCCACGTCGTCGAGCGATCGGTAGCCGTGGACGCCTCCGCCCTTACCGCCGCGGCCGGAGCCCTTGTTGAAGCCGCCTCCTCCTCCCTTGCCGCCTCCGCGGTGATTGTTACGGGCGGCACCGCCTCGGAAGCCGCCGCGACCTCCTCGGTTCTCGGCGCCGCCGCGTCCCTGGTTGTGAGAAGAGGTGTGAAAGCTGCGGTTGCCGTTTCCGTGGTTGCCGCTGTGCTGACGAGACCGCCAACCTCCTTCGTCGCCTAAGAATCTACGCCTAGTGCTCTTGTGCGGGAACAGGCTCTCGTACTCGTCCTCGTTGCGGTCCTCAGGCTCGATCCGGAGCACCACCTTCTCGCCCACCGTCGTCTCGAAGACGAAAGACTTGTCGGCCAAGACCGGCTGCCAGGACTGAATCTTGCTAGCGTCGGCCGGACGCGCACCCCTCCGAAGGCCCAGCACGATGGATGGAAAGGGGTTATCGGTATGGTACTGCGCTGTGCTGGGGACGGGCTCCACGCGTGCGGCCCACAGGTTGTTGTCGAAAGAGCCTATGCCGGCCACTTTCCACTTCATCTTGGAGTTCATACCGCCGATCTTCTCCAAGATATTTCTCGGACAAGGTCGCGGGGTGATGAGGATGGTATTCGCCAGGTATTTCAAGTCCTTCGCCTCTGGCGCCAACGTGGTTAGAAGCGCAATGAGTTGCTTTGTATCGGCAGGTTCGATCATATAGCTGGTGAAGAACACGGTCTTCTTGATCGCCAAGCGTTCTATTCGGTTGTTTCGTCCTTCCAGCGCTCGTCGTTCGCTAACCGTTGTATTGTGGATATTGATAAGGTGCTGTACTTCGGCTACCTCAACGACGGGGTCTAAAGTGGTGGAAATATCTGCAACCGGAATCACTTCACCATGAATGGGGCCTCGCGTAATTGGCCCTCCTTTGAGCCCAGATTGTCGGTCGTTGTAATCGGCTAGGAAATCGCGGAAACCGGCAACATGCTTGACACGGTCCTCGTAAATATGTATCTCCTTCGCGTCCTTATACGTTTCCATGAGTGTTTTGAGGAAGACTTGTTTGAATTCCATGGTACTTCGGAAGCGCTCGTTGTTAGGTCCGACGGTCGGCTTGAGGGCCACGATATCGAACTCGAGTCCCTTGCTCTTGATTATGCGTTTGATTAGGTCGTAGAACCCTTTCTCGGAACGGCCAGTCAGCATGACACCGATGGCATCATCTTGCTCTTCAGTAAGCTTGACTAGCTCGACGATCTTCTCATTCCACCAGCCGTTCCAGCCACGCTTCTCCTCGTGCTCTGCACCTTCGCCAGTGGCAGCCAGTATCCGCGAGTCGTGCCACCAGCCACCGTTGACGAAGATATCAGGGGTGCTCAATTGCGAAATAGTCGTGTTGTTCCATATCTTGGGGTTCGGCAGAGGCGTCTGGAATACTACGCAGCGCGGGTAATTAGTCGCTGGATAGAAGCACCCAGTAGGTATCCGGGCGGAGCTGCTTACAGGTATTGTCGAAATCGTAGACGTGGATAGCAGCGATCTTTTCCACAGCTAAGTTTGCCAGTCAGCCAAGATGGAACGTCGAGAAGGGCTAGCGACGTACGAGGTAGCTTCTTGACCTGAATGGACCATCTGTTGAGAGCCGTGAGGGTGTAGCCGTTGGTAGCGCTATTGCCAGCGCCGTTTACTTGCTTGATAGACGACATCCTTCGGCATAGGAGCAGACCAAATCTGAATATTTTCACAAGCAAAGTATGCGATCACGGTAACGATCGCATATTGGGGGTTTCTGGGCGTGTAGGGATGTGTAGAGATACCGAACGGGCAAGGGCTTGGCTTAGAAACGCGGACATCGATCGAAGTCGCACTAAAATCAGCAAACGGGGGAAAATCGATCTCAATAGATGCATATATGCAACATAGAATCAAGTAGGTACTTAGGTGGGCGGGTACATAGTCGTCTGATTAGGTACCTAAGGTACTTAACGTTCGTGGGGTGAGATCAGTAGGTTTAGGTACTTAACGAAGGATAGGTTCGATCCCTAACAGCGCTACTTGGTAGTCTTCGCTATTTAGCTCATCTGGGTGCATCTGTTGCAGCGAACGTCTACAAGAAGTACCTAACCTAGACCCAGGGCCCTTGTTTATGAATGCAATCAATAAGTAGGTATATGCAATTAAAGCTGATTACGTACCTACTCCAACTCCGCGGCGGAATGCAGTGCGATGATATCCTCGCTCTCACTGGCACCAGATCCAACGAATTGATTACACGGCGCAGCACAGCCCACCACGCGCCTGCAAGCCCTCGTCGCCATCCAAGCAGCGAGCCCAACGTGCCCGGCCTCACCCCCCCTTTCCCCCTCGTCGAACAACAAGAGAGCAACCGCCTCGACGACCCGCACCGCCTCGGCGTTAGCACCGTCTAGGAAGGGCCGCCCGCGCGACCTCGCGACGCGCGCAGAGAGCCAGGCCATGGCCGCCCGCAGCGCCATCGCCCTGGTGCAGAGGTCCAAGGCGGCGGGCCCCGAGATCCTGCAGCTGCGCTGCCACGTGCGGCCCGGCGCCAGCAAGGCCCGCGAGGGCGTGGCCGCCGTCACCGACGACGCCGTCGAGCTGTGCGTCGCGGCGCCGCCGCAGGACGGCAAGGCCAACAAGGCCGTCCTCCAGCTCCTGAGCGAGGTAAGCGGGGCCTTTTGTTCCTTCGTTCGTCCGGGTCGCGTTGCCGTCGGAGGCGGCAAGGGTTAACACGAATATGGGCCCCGAGAGAGGCTCCCCCCCCCTTCTCTCCAGGTCCTAGGCGTCGCAAAGTCGGACCTGCAGATCACCCACGGCACGAAGAGCCGCGACAAGACTATCAGCGTCGCCAGCTCCTGCTTCCTGAGCGGCAGGGGCCCGGCGAGGAGCGGTGACGACCTCGTCGCGCTCGTCAGGGAGAGGCTCCTCGGCCAGCAGCAGGAGGACGCTGCGTCGTGACGCCCCGGCCTCCATACGTATTAAAAACTTGCGTAAGGCCTCTGGAATGGTATTGGTAGGGAGGGATAAAGCGGGCAAGCATAAATAGGTGTGTATTCTACCTAGAATGAATTGGCTGCTTCGCCCATTTCGGGTGGCACAATAAAGGCATATACGGTGAAAGTCCTCCCCTTCCTAAACTCCGCGCCCAATGCCGTACGTACGTATTATAGAACACCCCTAGTTTATTTATAGCCCGTAGTCTCCGATCTACTATTACTCAAAAGACTTTGTCGCTGCTCACCCTGGTAAGAGGAGGGAAGCGCCGTAGACAAGGGGGGGAGCCGATCCGTTAGAACTCCATCGCCTCGCCCTCCTCCCTTTCGCGCTTGACCTTGGGGTTCCGCTCGTCCCTCATGAGCGCCAGCACGAAGCTGCGGAAGTACTCGACGAACGGCTTGAGGCTCGTCCTCTCCCAGTCCTGGAGGGGGGCGGCCTTCTCTCCCTTCTCGCCCCCCTCCTCCTTGGCCTTAACGTCCATCTCGTCCACTTCCTGGAGCAGGCCCTGGATGGTAGGCACGCCGAGCGGGTCGAAGTCTTCGAGGCGGCGGGCGTCGATCGGCACGCAGACGCGGCCCGTTCCCGGGTGCACAACGAACGGCGACTTGAGCAGATGGTTGAGCTTCTTGCTGACCTCGATGTCGAGCCGCGGGTACGTGTACTCGAGCACGACGTCCTGCTTCGCCTCGAGCAGCGCCTGCGCGTCCAGCTTCTTGCTTGCCCCCGACTTGGCCAGCGTGTCGATGTCCGCCCACTTGGACACGCTCGCCCGTCCCGGCGACGAGTCCCACTTCTGTCGCAGGGCCTCGTTCAGCGACCGGTCCGGCAGCAGCGCCAGCAGCCGCTCCGACCGCTCCACCGACGACCACGGGTCCTGTGCCTCGAGCACATCCGCCTGGAAGTGCGGCGCCAGGATGTCTAAACTCCGGCTGTGAAAACAAAGAAAGAAGAAGCATTAGTGAATAGATACGTGCCTCGACCGATATCTCCTAATTCACCGAAAAACTACCAGAGGGTGGAATAGTAATAGTAGGTAGGCATTCGAACATACCTGACATGAGGATGCAGCGGCCGCCACAAGTTGACCTTCTTGCCGCTCTGCGCACCGCCGCGGATGACCTCAAAGTACCCGGCGATAGCCCTGCGCTTCTGGTCGTCCATCGTCCGCGCCTTCTTGTCGCACACCCAGGCGTGCGCGCCTCTCCGACCCGAGTAGACCCACAGGATGTGCTTGAAGCCGAAGTCCTCGCGCAGCGCGACGTCGACGACCTTGATAGCCATCGTGATGAATGCCCAGCACCGGTGGCAGATGTTGGCCTTGTCACAGCACGTCCGGATTTCGTCGTAGTCCGTGAGATCGATATCGAAGCAGAGCTCTTTCGCTAGCGGCTTGAAGGCGCTCGAGTTCCGCAGCGTCTTGCGGTCGCGCGGGTTTGTCGTGTACACCGGCCCGATCTCGAAACGGCTCGGCAGCAGCCGGATCACGTCCTTGCGAAGCCTGCGAGCGGGGATGGTGAGCTGTTACGTTCCGAACAGACGCGGGACGCTTCTCCGATAGAATAACTCACATGTCGGCGCTCATAAAGGACTGGTACCGTAGGTACGCATCGTTCTGTAGCGTGAAGGCGAACTCGCGGTGCGCGAAGTCGTTGGTGGGCGTCGGGCTGTGGTTAAGCCACTGGAAGAGATAGCGCCACGGGAAGAATCGTTGGTAGAATATCCGCATGAGTTGGGGGTCGGACGCTTTCATAGAGGCTACGCTTACGCCTCTAATAATTGGGTTAGAAGGTTGCTCTCTTAGCCAAGACAAGTGGTATCGCGTAGTCTCACATTGGCGACGCTGCGGCCTGAGGAGAGGAGCTCGTCAAGTTGTCTTGCCCCCGGGGCCGCGAGCTAGGAAATTCGTCATCCGAGTCGACATCCGCGAATAAATCTTCCAATTTGACCTCATCTTTGTTCTCCTCGCTGGCAGCGGCTAGCGCAACGTCTATTTCCGTCATCACAATGTCGTCCTCACCAGCCAGATTATCTCCGTTATTTACTGGGGTGACCTCCATGGTCTCTTCGGTAGAATTGTCGCGGTTATCAACCTCGGGTGATAGAGAGTGTGGCATTCTAGAAATTATGTTCGAGTGCGGGATCGGTCCGTATGCTTGTCACGATGTAATTGGTAACCTCTTGAGTAGAGCTGTAGAGTGAGGTTGTGTAGTGACGTGTGGTGCTGGCATTGGTATTGATTTGTATGGGGTTGTTGGAGGGGCCAGTTTAATTGAATTATCTAGGGTGAAAACGCGTCACAGCGTCTTGGACGCGTCTTCGCGTTAATTGCATGGCGTGCGTAAAATGCGTATTCCGGGTTATTGGGTTCGTGACCCACTTTGAGACCTTTCGCATCTCGTGGCATTACCAATACCCACGTAGGTACTGCCTAGGTAGCCAATATCTAGCTATACCTGGAACCCTCTCTACCTCTCTCATCGTGGAAACCCTTTCATGAGGGCTTCCCAGGAACGGATTCATACAACGAGGCTAACCACATTCGTCCAGCGAGCCGTCATTTGGTATGTCCTACAGCGCCCATTTGTAGAACAAGAGTAGAGTCGTCTAAGTCAACGGGGGAACCCTGCCAAGTGAAGACCATCACTCGTCGTCCTCGTCATCTTCGTCGCTCTCCTCCTCATCGGCATTTTCAAGCCACTCGACGAGTGCCTGGCTCTTAAGTCGGATCGCCGACATCAGACCCTCTTCCTTCCCCCTATCATCCCCCCACCAACCTAGAATGCCCTCCTCTTCGAGAATGTCGAGGTCGTACATCTGTTGCAGCATAGCTACGAGGAGATTCCCGGCTTTCGCAGGCTCGATCACCTTGGCGCTATTTGCACATGCTCTCTGCACAGCGATCGCAAACTCGACCTGCTCCGAGACGGATTCGTCACCAACGCCAACTTCCGATACGAAGCTTGAGGCACCCTCCCGTGATGTGAGCACTTGCTTTGCCGCTCTGGCGGGTTCGAGGTTGTCACCATCCGAATTCATAAGCTCGACGGCGCGGCGGACGAAGGCCGTTGCAACGGCTTTTCGCATCGCTGCATCGGATGCGTTATTAGCAAGTCGCAAGGACGTAAACTCCAGCTTCTCGGATTCGAAGTTGCCCGAGGTACCCCGGAGGACATCTAGTAAGCCATGGACAGCATCGGAATGGAACGACGAGAAATTCGGTGCGCCTGAATCGTCCGAGGCGAACGAAGAAAGTCGTGATCTTGAGTTTGGGTGGCTAGCAGTTGGCGAGATTGGGCCGGTCCCATCGTCGGACATGTAGTCATCGCCCTCAAGAGTCGAGACAGAAGAGTCAGATAAGTCGAGATCTTCGAGGGAGTAAACAAGCGATTTCTGCAAGGTTGACGGGTCATATGGACCTGTCTCATCATCTTCCGAGCACTGGAAGAGTGCCCCCTTGCCTTCGGGGCCGACGAACTCAGGTTGCGACGATACAGGTTCCCCGGTGCGAGAGAGGAGGGATAGTATCGTGGCAGGCTGTACGTTTGTCTTATCGCTTAAACGAACCCCGTAAGACACAAGACAGCCTTCGTGGACGAAGGCTCCTTTGCCCACCGTCACCCTTTCGGCAATAATCGCATGCTCCACCACGGCACCATCGTCAATCGTCGCGTCGTCCCATATGAAACTGTCGATAATCCGCACATCTTTGCCAATAACACAATTTCGGCCGATGACACTATTTCTCACCGTGCTCCCTGCTCCAACATGTGTCTCTTTTCCCAGGATGGAGTCGAGCACCTGGCTTCCCGATCCCCGTTCTACGTCGTCTTCCTGGTAGACGTTATCGCCCTGGAGCTGGTAAGTCTGCCCCTTCACGAGATTGCATTCGGGTGTGAAGGGATAGGTCCAGCCTCTCAGGACGTCCCGACTAACAGCGTCGTACATCTGAAGGTTCCTGACACGCGCGCCATACCCCTCACTAACGATCTCGGTATGTATCATCTTTCCATTGAGCTCCCAGTCCTTGAGCACGCCATGCAGGAAGTTGGCTCGCGGGAGTTCGTAGTCGAAACTCTCAGACCATAAGGCGAGCACGTCCGGCGTGCATATATCGATCTCGGCATCGATCAGGTCTGTCCGCGCCTCGGCCTCGCGGCTCTCGAGTACGGTGGGGTCGAGGGTGACGTAGCGATCTGTCTGTAGCGGATGTATTTCTTCGTAATGCAGGCATCTGTTGGCCTTGGGATCGACAATGAAGGCCGGCGTTATCCCCTTCGTCTTGGTGTTGTGTTGACCTTCACCGGCCTCACGTAGCACCATGGTCATGCATGAGTCTCGATTTGCTCCCCGGCGCGCCCTATGCGCAGCCAAAGCGCCGTCAAGCAAAATGTTAGAAACCAAATCTCCATGTACCAGTATGAAGTCGCCCCCGATGATATTGCGTTTATCCAGGTCTCGGAGGAAGTCGCCGATAGACCTAGCGTCGGCAACACGGATGAATTCGAGGCTCGAAAAAGGACACGATCTGAGGGCAGGGGACCACCTTGAGTCGTGGATATATCGCTCGATCTGGTCATGGTGGGCGCCGCAGTATATAAATACTTCCTGGACACCGTTCATGGCAAGAAACTCGAGGGTGTATTCGATAAGGGGCGTATTCGCAAGGGGCAGGAGACACTATAAGCGTGATATCAACAATCGGCGCCCAACATAGGTATGGGGTTGAGTGGATATACTCTTGGCTTCTCCAGAGAGAATGGGTGAAATCGTGTCTGGAAGGAATCGGCTATGAGCTATAGGGCAGAGGCACATCCTGTGGTTAGTGATAGCTCTCTAGATACCCGGCGATGCCCCACGATGGCTGGTGGTGGCATGGCTTACCACGGCCTGGAGAGTGTCTTCTCTCTTCTCCTCCGCGCTTGGCTTGCCGGCCTTCTTGCCTTTCCCAGCAGCGCTGCCGCGGGCAGACTTGCTTTGCGACATGGTGCTCGCTTGCGTCTGTCTTGTGCTCGCTGCGAAGGCTAGACTGCTGACTGGGGAGGTTGAAGTGCACTCGTCAACGGACTGGATGAGCTGTGAGTCAGAAGTTTCTTGGAGGGGCAGATAAGACTCGATAATGAGTTATATTGGGCTACTACGTTGTAAGTATGCACTACTAGGTAGCGATATCGTTGTAAACGATAATGTTGTGGGGCCTGCATCTACCTAATTGTTGTAGGTAACTTGTGTAATGCAAAAATACGTGACGTCACGGCAGGTTGACAGATAGCTCAAATAGAATATATGGGTAAGTGATGGGTCTGGCCGTATTAACAAAGACGGTTCCGTGGTCAATACTAGCCAGGACATCCCCAAAGGAAGTCGAGGTGAATTCAGTTCCCTCCATTTGGTATGATAGGGGTAGAAGAGTCGAATATCTTCCAGCCAGCTTGCCCGGTGTTGGACCTCCAGAATGTAAAGCAGGCTTCGTCTCGCAAGTTTCCTCGCTCGCTATGAAGGATGTGTTTTATTCGACAGATGTATCGGAGGCGATTCTACATCTCTTCCCCTATAGAGTCACCCTGGCAGAATGGCTGCTTGTGGGTGTCCACCCTAAGACAGGTATGCAGCCACATGTATGCGGTTACTCTGGCATAGATGCCGGTCCCTCCGCGTCCAAGGTGATCAATTTAGACATGTCTTAGTTCGTACCAGCTTCATCAACACACTTGTACGATAGGTAAGTCGATGTGAGGCAGGGCCTCCTCCCCTTCAAGGCCGGGCGGGAAGGCGGATGTTAAATACCGCTGCACGCATGTCACACATGGACTCATCGAAAACAGCTAATGCGGCTTTGCCCTCCCTTTCATCCCCCCCCCCCCCAATTGCCTGCCTAGACAACCTGCATGTCTGTTGTCTATATATATTAGGTATGCATCCGTACATCAATCCAACGAAGACTGTTTCCAAGGTCCGTCAGCTTACTTTGCCTTTCACGCTCCGCCCACCCATTGGAGATTCTCGCGGGAACCCGAAATGATAAGCGATCACCAGCACCAAAAAGGACGACGCGGAACGGCCGGAGGCTACGGAGAGATCAACCTACCAAGATGTATACCTGTGTAGGTATATATACATGGGTATATACACCGTCGTACGCTGTCGTGCTAAGATATGCACGTGCCTATAGCGGCGTCTTGACACTTGTCCTACTCATGCTCCGTCCTTCCCGTCTCTCCTGCGTATGGCCCATTACTAACCACGGTTATAGGGAGAGAGATGGCGGGTCGACGAAAAGAAGTGCCCACGATGCAGCTTCAGAGGGGACGAGACCGGCGGAGATGCCAAGGTCGTGTGTGGTTTCTGACCCCACGAGCCCACCGCGCGAATTCTCTCGGAGACGTTAAAGGACGGTCTAGGCCGGCCGGCGCAGGGGCTCGACGGCAAGGGTGGGCCGAGGCGAAATGACTGCCGTGGGACGGACGACGGTCTAGGCTGGAGTGCCAGAGAATCCAGACCATCGACAAACAAGCCTCGCCAAAACACCCCCCTTTCCTCCGCCCCCCCCTTGCTGGCCGCTGCAGACGCAATCCAACCAACTATTCCCGGACGCCGCCTGCATACATAGACGCATATGTCCATATGTGCATCACATACGCGCGTACACGTGGTATGTGGACCACGAGTAGCCAGGGTCGTAGTCCAGGGCTAGAGGCACGGCTACCACGCCCCTACAGCATGCACGCGTACGCCTATCTTGTCTATGTACGTACCTCCCTGCCTACGTGGGATGTCGACGGCCGCGCTCCCAGCGTAGGCTTGTCGGGTCTAGACGTCTGCATCTCTCGTGTCTCTCGCCTGGGCACAGGTCCGAAGAAGTTCGGCTCGCTTCGTTGTCGTCCCCATCTCGTGACCGGTCCTACCATGTCATCCCCCAACGTTTCATCAATTTTTTTTCCCCCTCGTCTTTTCTCTCGTTGTCTTTTCTTTCCTTCTCCCTGTTTCGATGCCCGGGAAGCACGGCACGTCGACGGATACCGGGCTCTCGGAACCTCGATGCTGTTCCTCAGAACACGCCCTGTGCGGTTCTGCGTCGACGCCAGCCGGCGGTCCAACTAAATCTCTACACTTGGCCCATTCCCGTCTTCAGGAAGAGAGCGATGTGGAGACGGCATCGGAGGGTTGCGGGTACGCACATTAGGCACACCGGGTGCCTCATTGTACCTACATTACAGGGCCAAGCGCGGGCTACTGTGCCAACGTCCAGGCGGCTACGCCCCTCTCCAGCCAGCCACGGATTGCCCAAAGTGTCAGCGCCTCCCCCTTTCGCCGACTCGTCCTGAGAAACGTGTCGTCGGTCCGGGGAAGTGGATGCTTATCACTCGCACGCGAGGAAGGGAGATAACGGTGACGGGCAGCGCTATCAAACCCCGGCTAGCTTCCTTCTAAGCTCTACCCCTCCAAGGGCTCCCACCCACACACCCCCCATGCTTCCCGAAGGCCAGAACCCCCCAAGGAAGCCTTAGCACGGCCTCTCTACTAGTTCCCGAAGGGTCTCGTCCCTCCAGATCCGGTGTCTAGATCAAGGGATCAGCAGATCAGGTCACCAACTCCAGGGGAGGGAGAAATCAGGTTGCGGGTCCCGCTGGAGCCAGGCGGGCTTTTTAATCGCCCATTGGCACCGGATGCTGACAGAGGTATTTTCGATCCCCTTCCAGGCCGAGCCACACCTTACTGTGAGAGAGAGCATCATTGCGGCTCGGTCGATCGATTCGCGTTTTCCTCCCGTAACGCCGGCTGTTTTATTGTTACGGATAGAGGTCAAATTTGCGGCGCCCCATCGCATAGGTAGGCAGGCACTTTATGCATGGACCTATCGTCCTCGTAGCAGAAAGAGTTAGGTTTGTACTAGATTCGCTTTTAATTTGTCCTCTCGACCGAGTAAGGGAGGCCATCTTTTTTTCTACATCCCTCTCTGCCGCATGTACATACATCCCGTGCCCGCCGTGCCCTGTGCCTGGCCAGCTCTCGCTTGTCTGGGATAGATACGGAAACGAACCAACATCGGCGGTGAAGGCCGCGGACGGCCCAGTCGTCCCTAGGTTTCATCTTCTTTCAACTTGGAGCTTCCAGCCTGCTCTTCGAGAGAGACTTTAGCGAAATTTTTTTTCCAAAAAAAAAAAAAATCGTTCCCTGGATGGTTGGTGAGACGTTGTTTGTTCGCTCCTCCGTCCCGGTCTACATGGGTACCTCTTACTTACCTGCCTAAGTGAGATAGATGCCTGCTCGATGGGGGTTTCTCGCCTCTATTATTTTCCATCTGGGCTATTAATGCCTTAAAGATATATCCAACGTAGAGTGAGAAAGGTACGTGTCCATATAGACGCATCGGGCCTATGGGCTTCCTCCGAGCCATTTCCCTTACCCTCTCCCCTTACCCTTCCCCTTCCCCTGGTTTTTGGGGGCGGTCGGTTTCTCTTCTCTTCTTTTCCTTCCCTTACCGATCGATTCTCTCTCGTCACTTCGCGTTCCCACACTCCGGAGACAGGGAAAAGAGCCGCCGCAGTCGAAGACTTGATACCCGCCTCCCACCCTCCTAACCTACTTTTATGACGTCGCCAACAGGGCTCCGCATGCAGGCACAGGGAGGAGTACGACCTATGGGCAAGTCGGAAGAAGCCTTCGATCCTAACTCTTCTTAGGGCAGCCTTCCTTGCTCCTTTGGTGGCAAATAGGCGGGCACATATAGGTAAGAAGGCATATTTAACCTAGTGTCCCTGTTTATGTGTGCATGTGCTTGTGTTGTATTATATTAGGGCCGGGCTCCGTCTCAGCTCATTTCGCTATCTCACACGTTGTGCCGGAGGCCCGAACGCAGCACTGCTCTCTCTCTTTTCTACCCTGACCTCTCAACTCCCTCCCTCTCCGTCCCCAAAATACCACTTCTCAGGAAACTATATCAAACATCAGCAACGCAAGTACGGACGTTACGAAACTGCAGAATCGTTCATTCCTCTATTCTCGAAACCCCGAGCCTCTTCCTCCGGTCGCAGCGTTGGTATGGGAATCAAGTCCTCGTCCCTGTTCCGCTGCTCCTCATCTCGAGCCAAGACAAACCGTCCCCGGGCCTAAGATTACTTATAAATCTGTCCCCTACGCCCTTTGGGTGCTAAGGATCGAACACATCCAAGATATGGCTACCAGCATGGTCGGCTTCCCTAAGCCGCGGGCGCATGCCATCCAAAAACCCCACTGCCGTCAAGCCTGCCCAATCTAACCTCGATAGTCCCGGCTCCTCCTCCTACTGCGGTGTCCCGTCTGACTCGGGAGCCGTCTCCGGGCTTCCTTCCGGGTACCGATATTCTTACAGCCGCCGTTCTAGAAAACACCGAAAGGGTATTCCGTGATCTATAATGGAGCTCTACGTTGCTCCAAGCGCCAGAAAAAGACCTGGGGTGGCAGACCATTCAGATGCTCCTCATGCACCATGCATGCATGCACGCAACGGATCCGATACCGATGGCACCCTGCCTCGTCAAGCTTTCCGGTACCGGCTCCCATGTGTCGAAACGACCGCCCAAATCTGCCGGCAATATATACAAGATGGAATCGAGATGTCGATGGCAGTCGGGCAATGCGACTATTGGTTGTAGTTCGCCTGCGACGTGTAGAGTCGTTGTCGTTTCTCTGGCGGCCCTTCCGAGCGTTGCATGCCGTCCGGCATCCGTTGTTGGGGAGGCACGCCCATCTGCGGGATCATGGCATTTGCGTATTGCGGCTTTTGGGTCCCGCCCGGCGTGAGCACCATCTGCGAGCCGCTTCCCGCGCCTAGGTACCCCTGGTCCTGGCCCATCGTCGGCGAAGCGTGCGGCATCTGGCTAGGAGAGTGCCACGAGGCACTCGTGGCTGGCGACTGTATCGGCGTAGTATCAAACTTCGCGACGGGACCGGTTGACGAAGCCGAGAGTGGCGCTATCCCCATTCCCTGGTTGGAATACGGACCCGGCGTCGGCGGTTGAGCTGTCGCTCCGTTCGAATACATGGATTCCATCATGCTGTCTGCCGGCGGGTTCCGCAGGAAGTTGGCGAGGTGTTTTCTTAACTTGCCGATCATTCCCTCCTTTGTAAAAGGTTTGGCCAGCACGTCTCGCATACCTGACAAGGTTTTCAGCATCTTCATTTTCTCGGGGGGGGGGGAGGGGCCAAGTTTCCACGTACCCCAGTGGAAATACATCTCTAGATCCTGTTGGTTGATGTTGGACGTCATGGCAATGATCGGTGTGCTCGGCTGCACTTCGCGGATCATAGCCGTTGCCGAGACACCGTCAAGCTGGGGCATCACAATATCCATGAAGATCAGGTCATAGTAATGCTGCTTCGCATTGACCTTGCTCACGGCTTCCAAACCGTCGCGCTATACGGAATTGTCAACCAAACACGCTTCCCAGGATGGGCCGGGAGCTACGATCACCTACCGCGACCTCGACGCCACAATCATACTGAGCGAGGAACTTGGAGCCGATTCGAGAACACGTTCTGTCGTCTTCCACCAGAAGGACAATAGGTTTTTTCGAACCCCACGGCGAGCCACCTTGTGACGATGTTCCCGGTGGGGTGTGAGAGGGTATTCCGGTTCCGTTGAACTCCTGGCTAGGACCCATCGCGTTGTCCTGCACGGGGCGGTTGTACGGGAGGTTGTTGATGTGCTCCGCGGCGAAGGGATCGATTCCGATGGTCTGACCAACGGGATACACCATGTGCCGCATATCATTGAGAGGGTCATGCAAGAACGGATTGACGCCGCCCACGCCGGGCGGCCCCATCATGCCGGACGACCCTGCCGACTCGGGGGAGCCGCCGGCTTGGTGTAACTGAACCGACATCCGGTTCAGGTCTCGGTCGGCGACGTGATCTACGGTGAGGCTGTTGAGGATGTCGCGAGCACGGCGGAGTTCGAGAGGAGATTCGGAGCCGTCGGACAAGAGGGCGGTATTGCTGGCGCCATACGTGGACGACGAATGCCCCGAGTTCCGCCCTTCCTTCCTCTCCTGCTCGACCTTGTTCAGGTGGTTGATCAGTTCGTGATGCACCTGGCACTGTGCGCGGACGAGCTTCTGGAGATGGATGATTTCATCTACGAAGATCTTATTCGCGTTTACAATCTCGTGGTACGATTCTTGGAGCTGCTGCACCTGTTGCTGTGTCGCGGCTAGGGTCTCGCTGAGGACGAGGACCTGCTGATTAGGAACGCCAAACTGTTCTTCCGCCACTGGAGCTTTCCGCGGGGCCGGGGCCTTTCGTCGGATATTGTCGAGGTTATCCTTCCTATCGGCTCGAAACTCGGGATGCCTAAACTCCCACGCCTGTGTGCGTACGTGCGCGTGCTGTCAGCTCTGCTCCCTCGACGAACTACCGACACCTTCGTGCCAAGGGAAGTGGTAATTACAGATGCGCCATAGGGAGATTGCCCGTTTTCCTCGTTATGCCGGACCTTGTGAAAATCGTATTTATTAAGTTGTCGGACGAAGCTCGCGAAGTTGCTGTGCTTGAAATGTTTCGGCAATATCGTCTTTGTGAATTTCTCGTTCTACACGGGCCTGAATCAACGTCTGTCTCGAAATCGCGAGGGAGTCGGCGAGCGTACCTCGAGGACGACAAAGCTATCGCCTTCGTTGCCCCACCTCACCACCTCACTGTAAGCCGGGTCCTCGAGCATCCTAGGGTGGCAAAGTCTGGTCAGCACGGGTGAACGGAGAGATTCGAGCAGCGATCGGAAGCGGGTGGGTTACTTGTATAGCTTTCGGACCTGGAAGGTAGGTATATCGATCGTTAGCCCGGGAAATGCGCAGATGGCGGCAATGCGATTCTGAATCGCGACGAATTCATCACGGGAGCACTCACGAAATCACTCGAGCTAGTCCCAGCACCCTGCGCCACGGCGGACATTTCGCCTTCGGGCATGGTGGGCGGCCGGCCTAAAGCCTGGGGTTATGTCTACTTCAATGGCCAGGTCCGTGTCGGAACGCGCGCGTCAAGTCGATGGGTCTCGGGGTTAACTGGCGGGCGGGTTGCCTGGGGAGGTCGGGGTGACGATACGACGATGCAGCGACGTGAGGATTGTGCAACGGGACCTCAGGTGATCGTCGTCGTCGGTGTGTCGTATTCGGGGCCTCGAGATCTCGTAAATTTTTTTTTCTTCCTTGCTTTCCTTCTCTCGCCTCGCCTTGGGGTTGCGTCGAGATGCTCGCGGCCTCGATATTATGCGCCTCTGCACTGTGCCCGCGGCTCCGAGTACAGACAGGCAATCGGGCGCGCGGCGACGATAGCGGGTGATGGCTGGTGGTGGTCGTCTCCGCCGGCGCTGATATTCGGATGGAGATGATGATGTCAAGGGCGAGCAGATAAGTAGCGCTCTCGTCTCCTTCTCTCTTGCTGCGTCTCTCTCTGTCTGTCTGTCTGTCTCTCTCGCTCTCTCTATCTGTGGATGTATGGGTACGTGTGCGTGCGTGCGTGCGTGCGTGCGTACGTGCGTGGGTTGGTGTGCTGGTGCGTGTGTGAGTACGGAGGTATGGAACTATGTGCGTTGTAGGTGCGTTGTGTGCGTGCGTGTATGTATGCCTCTATTTCTCTCTCTGGCTCTGTCTCTGCTCGTCTTTCGTCCGATGTTGTCCACAGTAACGAGGGCGGTGTCCGCCTTGGGGGTTAGGTTGTGTTACTCAATTGGCGGGAGCAGTTCTCTGGACTCGATTCGGATAACAAGAAAAACCATGACGAGCTGACCCGAACGGGGAAATGCTTTAAGGGCTTTTGAGCGTGAATAAAACAGACAGGGTGGGTGGATGCACCTCTCTTTTTTTCCCTGGGGCTGGCTGACTGGCTAGCTCACTGCGAGGTTACAGTAATAATAATAATAAAAGAAAAGAAGCCGCTCTCGTTCATATGTACATAATATGGGGGTATGGGGGGGGGGGGGACCCGGCAGCAATCCTGGGGGGGGGGGGGGGGGGGGGCGACTTGTTCATGATAAGTTTCCCAGTGCCACAGATGCGGCGCATGGAAGAGGGACAAATTATGACAGGCCGGGGGTGGGCAGCGGGAGACAGAGAAGAGCTGGTCCCGTCAAGCCGCCCTCTGTCCTTGTCTGGTCTCTCGCTCTCCCTCCCTCCCTCCCTCGCTCTCCCCCATTCTCTCTCTGTCTCTATCTCTCTATATCTCTCTCTCATGTCTGCAGAGCACGGGAATTTTCCAAGTGATGGCATAGGGCCATCCCCATCCCCATCCCATCCCATCCCGTCCTATCCCATCCCGTCCCGGCCAACCCGGGGGAGGTCATTCATCATAGTCCATCCAACGAGCGGAGTGGGACCCCTTGACCACCGTCCTCGACGTACCCCCGTACAATTACTGCCGTTTATAGGCTAAGTTGATCGCTTCCGCTGCTCTCGACCTGAGAATTCTATCATACGCACCTAGCTAAGGACCTAATGTAGGGATGTATCTACAGGGTATGTTTAACTCCTCCTCTCTTCTCCCCCCTGTCCCTCTTCTATATGGTAGGTGTACAAGGTATCTTCGCATGCAGGCATGTACGTATATCACCCTCATTTTTACCTGTATTCCCCCTCCCCCTCCCCCTACATATAGCGTCGAAGCCTGGTTCGCACTCTCTATGGGACACCAAGCGCCGCTCCCGGGATGGTGGCCCTACCACCACCTTTCAACGACGAAGAGCGAAAAGCTGTCTCTCCCTCTCCGTCCCTCCCTCTCTCTCTCCCTCTTTTTCTCTCTGCTTCTCTCCTCCTGCACAGTGCTCGCCAGGTAATTCTACCGTCTCATCCTGCGTGCATCGCACTACGTTAGGTACATATTGGAGGGCGGCCATGCCATGCGCGAGCTGCGGGGAAAATCGGTCGAATCGACGCGAGCGGGCCAGTGGGATGCCAATGGTTACGAGAGCCGAGTTGCGTGTCTGTTATTGCGATGAATGGGTGGTCTGCCTATAGTGCAATACACACCTATCATGCATAGGCATTGGCAAGTGGAGGGAGATGCCGAGTATATTCCTCCCTTATATACCTACCTCTTAGCTGTAGGGATCTGCGTTACAGTAGGTATCGTACCGTCGTATCGTGCTAGAGCGGTAAGGATCACTCCAGCGCACAGCGCCACGACCTACCTGTAGCCGGGTTGCTTCTACCTACCTACCTTAGGTACATACATAATGCGGACAGGCTACCTTGGGCGACGTTGTGTATCTACGCGTGGGCGCGCTGCCTTTCGGTACCTACCTGCCTAGGGACCTACCTAGGGACCTACCTACCTGGTAGGGAATATAGACAGGTACCTTGCCTATACGTGCATACCTTAGGCACCTACCTATATATACATATGCGGAGGGTGCACGTTATAATAACAAGGAGAAGACCGAGAAAGAGGGGGGAAAAGGAAAGGGGAAAAAAAAAAAGACTAGGGACGAGAGAACGAGTGAAACCGGCCGGCGGGTTCAGCGAGGAGTGCGTCGCGATTGTAAACCCTACCTAGATGAATGTACCGTCCGGGTTTCGCCCAGGCTCTTCATCTGGCTATCTCATGTAGGTACCTAACTCGGAGCCAATACGGTAGAGGTAGGCATATTAGGTAGGTACAGACGCGCCCCTAAGAGACGAGCACTCTGCGGATGGCACTAACCCGGCCGGCGCCGATGTACCTACCCACCTAGCTGCTGCGACGGGCCATCAGGTAGGTACCTAAGTATTATAGGGGACGGAGCCGGCACGGAGGCCAGGGAGACCACACACACACACACACACACGCACACACAACACACATACAGACAGACAGACACACATACAGACACACACACACACACACACATCAAGACGGGATGGGGGATGGATGGTGTAGGGAGCGACGGCTCCTCCTGCAGGCCAAGGTGCGCTGCGCGCCACGAGTCACGAGCCAAGGTAGCCGACTCAGATTTCCTCTCGTCGCCCCCCCGTTAGCAGGGACGGCGAGGCTGTCCTACGACGACTGCGATGCCTGCTGCTACTATGAGATCACAGCGTTGCAGCAGACACCGATCTCCGTCGGCACGCTAATGCTCCTTCTGGTAATTCTACGGTCATCTATTCTTACAGTGTAGCGCGCACGTACTGAGTAGGCGTCTTCTTTTATTTCCTTTTGTTGGTGTGTTTTCTTTTTTTTTTTTTTACTTTTTTCCTTCTCCCGCGCTCTTCTCATCCCCTCTCCCCTCCTCCTCCTCCTCCTGCCACACCCCATGCTCCCCATGTTTCGCTGTCAATCACTTTCGATACTCGGACGATCGACCGAGACGATACCCATATCCGTACCGGTGTTGGTGGTGTCTGAGGTTGGTGGGTGTGCGAATCCCAGGTAAGGCGAGGCTAACCGATCGACCTGGGCGAACCGGGTGCAGGCAAGTCGCCATCGTCGTCATTGTCGTCGCCCATTGCTGTTCTGCCGCTTAGCCCTCTGCGTATGTACCTACATACACACATATACATACCTCATACCCGGACGGGCACTTCACCCTGCGTACCCAAGGTATATAGGTATGCATGCGGTTCTATGCCCGTGTCGAGTATCTGGTGTATGTACGGTGCCGGCACGATATAGTTATGCTACACGCATACATACGTACCCAACATGCATTCCTACCTAGGTGCCTTTCAAATTACCCTCGGTCTAAGCAATCCCGGGCGGGAGAGATGCGCAGGACTTTGCAGACATGCCACTTCGGAGATGCATGTTATACGGAGCAGGATGTGTGTCTGCTTCGTGATATTTAGCCAATCATCAAATTTTAGACTGTCGCTATATATGTACGCCGGCAGCACGGACGGACGTACGTGTGTATGGGTGCATGTAAGTGGGCAGAAAATTTTCCCCTCCGTCTGGCTTCTGGGCTGCCCATCGTTGACGATGAGGGACGGGGCGGGGGGGGGGGGGATGGGCATGGACGGATGGGCCGTCGCATTTCCAGAGAAGGGGAGGGGAGCGAAGTGAAGAGTCGAATCAGAGGATGGCGAAGAGGACGCGCTGACACGGTGATTACCTGCGTGGGTGATCGGCATCTAAGCCTGGGATTGTTAGCTGGGCAGTCCTATTTGCGAGATGGAGAAGCCATCAGGAGAGGAACCAGCAAATATCTGGCCGTCCCCTTGCAAGCTGCTTGCTGCCAGCCGTTGTTGGGTGGCCAACGGATGTCTCTCGTGCCCAACTCTCTCGCTTCTCTTTGCTCGCCCTATGTGTGCGCTTCTGCCAATCCGCCTCTGCCTCTTTCTGCTTATCGTTCTTGTCTCTCTTCGTTGTCTCTCTCTTATCTCTCTATCTCGCCAATCCTCTCCGTCCTCCTCGCTCTTACACACACACACACACGCACACATACACGCACACATACACACATACACACCACGCACCGCATATGCCTCCGTACCATGCCTCCCTCCTCGTCACATATCACGTACCCTCGGCCCTCCCCTCCCTTTCCTGATCCGAGATGGGGGAAGGCTTTGAGGCTCGCGAAATCCGATCCGAGCGAGATTGTGGGCGTCTCCTCGAAACGGCCAGGTGCAGGCTGCCCCTTCAAATCCCAAGAGAGAGCCGGGCCAGAAGCGCCGGCGTCTTGGTTCCGGGAACGTGGTCCGGCTGGGACTACCGCCGCTGCTAGTGCTATGGGTGGCCTGCCGTCCTTCCTGTGCTACCCAGGATGCAAGACACGGCCGATGCCATTCAGGATCGGTTCCAACCAGCGCGCGGTACCTACCTGGACCTACGTGTGTACATCCGTTCCGTATGGGTGCCCCCGTTCGTTATCGCTGCGTAGGACTGTGGACCGCAACGCTCCCATACAGGTGATATATATATATTATCACCATACATGCACATATTATTTACCCTCACCAATATATATGTATATATATACACGCACGCACACACACATACACACATACACACACACATACATATATATATATATATCCAATTAGTGTCTCCTCGTATGGGCACGACAACAAGTCCTCGATAACCTTGCTGCCATTCACAATATGGCTATTCGAATCACGACATAACGGGTGATACTATCGACACCTTAATGCCTGGTGGAGAGCGCCGGTGTTCTATCCCCATCTCGCGGGAGCGCCCGCCCCCCGGCCATCAGCAGGTTATGGGGGGTTTTTTTTTTTCTTTTTTTTCTTTTCCGATCTAATCCTTCGTCTATCTCTTTTGTTTTTGTTTTTCTTTGCTAACGCCTTGGGGATCCTTTTTTTTTTTTCTTTCTTCTTTTTCTCTCGCCTTCTCCCTCTCCCTCCTGCTCCCAGGCCCCCTCTTCCTCTCTCGGACCAGGACGCAGGGTTCACAGCGCAGCTTGGCCTCGCCTACCCAAACAACATCTTCGCAGGACGTCAAACCCCGAGAGCCAAACCGGCAATCGGGGCGGGCGGGCAGACAAGGGGCACTGGGACAAGGACAAGGACAAGGACGTGGGCAAGGACATGGACATGGGACAAGGGCGAAGACGGACAAGGACCTGGAGAAGCCGGGCAGCCCCGAAACCGCCTGCCAAGTGGGATTCGCAGGCCTGAAAAGTCGCAGGTGATCGACGTGGCTATACCGCGACAAGCAACGAAAATCGCGAACGGGTTGCCAGCAGCGTCCAGTAATAACGCGAACCGGCCCTCGTTGGCATCATACGGACAGATTATCACAGGCACATACGCATACCACATACGTACCTACGTACATGCCTACCTACCTACGTACATACCTGTTGTAGGCAACAGAGGTAAGTATCGACACACACACACACACACACACACATTGACATCTACCTAACGCGGGCACGTCCGTAAACACGCACGCGCCATACGGGACAAGCCCCTTTTTTTTCTTCCTTTTTTGGGGTTTTAGCTTAGCTCGGGATCGAGGGGTCGGCGGAGTTTTCGCCGCCAAGGAGGTGAGGCGGCGAGCGGCTTGGGCACATCCGAAAAAAGGCTTGTTTTTTTGGTTGTGTGTTTTTTTTTTAATTTAATTTTTTGTTTTATGGGCAAATTGATGATCCTTTTGTAGTATATGGAGACCTGCGTATAGCTCAGGATATGAATACATATGTATGCTACCTTATAGTAGATTAGGTAGGCAGGCACCTCGTTGGCTCCTTGGATATACACAGGTACATGCATAGCTATAGCTATTATTGCCTAGCAGCAACTAAGCGAACCGCTTACCGCGCGTGGGGGGGGGGGGGGGGTTTATCCAGTCGGGTTGCCGTGTTTCTCTACTAGCTACCTGTATGTACATGCAGAAGTGAGGTGCCCACCGTGTGCATAGAGGTACATGTAGGTACCCTGCTAGTATCGTCAGAAGTTAGGTTAGGCACCTCCTGGACCCAAGCATCGGCGTGGAGAGGACTGCAAGTTCCGTACCGATATTGAATAGAAATCTATAATACCGAACCCCCCCAACTACCCTACCTATATATAGGTATATATAATATATCCCTACTACAAATGCAAATGCAAATACAAATACAAATACAATAATCGGCCCAGCGTCGACTCGCTGCCTGTTTTATCGTCCAGGCAGGTACCCCAGCAGGTCCGTAGCCGAATGTGTCTGTCTCTCTGTCGGCGCGTTCAACGTCTCCATAGGCAAAACAACCTTCTTACTCAGGACCCATCCATCTACCTGCCTACATGTGTGCATAGACATCTACCTGTTAGCTGGAGTAGTCGGGTGCGGCACGGCGGTTGGGATCCCTCAGGCAATAGCTGGTGTAATAACGGCAATAAGACGCTGGGTAAGCTGCCTAGGTAGGTAATAATAAGCTAGTCCTCTTCCCATCCAGCCTGCATTCCAATAGTCCACACCAATCGTTGCATCCCGATCTGATTCCGCCGCCGAGATCCAGAGATCTAACCCAGATCCGTCATCCGGGGCAAGGCAGTCGAGGCTGGAGCCAAAGCAGAATAGCAATACCGATCCTCTTTTTTTTTTTTGTCTCGCAACCTTGCAGACACCTTGTGCCATCGACCTGTCGAAGGAACCAGAAGGAAAAAAAAAAGAAAAAAAAAGAGCATGTTTTTTTTCCGAATTTCCCGGTCCAGCCATCGTTCGTTCCCAGTCGGTCAGGCCACGACGATGCCGTCCCGTCCGTCACCTGCACCCGCACGCATTCACACATCCACGCGCGCGTCCTCTCCCTCTCCGTGTCGCTGTTCTGTCTCTTCCTTCATCTATCTGCATATTTAGATTGGTACTTTTTGCGATCCCGGTCGGGGGCTCGGCGAGGTGTCTTCATTTATCATGCCGGGATGGTTCAGATCGGTCGTAACACCACGCTGCAACGCATTTTTCTAGATCGCGTCAGCTGGCCACGCAGGCAGACCTACTCTATAACCTCGTGAGCAGCGAAGTACATGTGCCGCATTCTGATTCACCTGTCGTAGGGGATGTTCGCATGTAGTGCAGTTCTAGAATCAAGCCACCGCGACGCCTCGAGATGCCTCCAAGTCCCCTCCCCCATCCTCGCCTCTTTTCGGCCCCCTTTTTTTTTCGCGCTTTTTGGGGGCTTTCTGGGAAGGAAACACAGCGCGTCTGCCACGACCTAGATGTGATGAATCTCGCAGCCGCAACGGCAACGTCTTCGACGTCCGTCCGTCCACCTGTCTGTCCCTGTTCTGGCGTGTCTATAGGAGCCGGCATTTCCCACCACCCCCTCGCGCGTAAAGTAACCAATAACGCGGACGTTTACCCCGGCGCCCGTAACGTCGCGACTTATGTACCAGTCTAGCTTCTCCGCGGACGGGACGGAGAGGGGCAGGCTCTCCTCTTGTTATCTCCGTCTCCTGTCTCGTTCCCGTATCCGAGGTGGTAAAGCCTCCGCTCCTCGAAAAGGGGACGAAAGAAGAAAAAGATTTTGTAAAAAAAGGAAAAGTAGACAAAGAGAGAAAGAGACCGATGCAGGAGAAGACACGAATTCAATATCGACTCGACGAACGAGGGGAGGGGGGGGGGGACCCGGTCCTCGCTTTAAATAGAACCTATCTGTATGGGTACAGATCTCTCTCTTCATCGACTACCTATTTTCCCTTTCTTCCTGTCTCCACGCGCGCCAATCCACCTTTATCCGGAGACATTCCTCCATCTCGCGCACGCGCATACGCACGCTGGCATACATGCAAACGAGATTAAGAGAGGAGGGGAGAGAGGAGGAGAGGACTGAAGAAATGCTACGTGAGGGGCGGTATGCATACATAATACATACCTCCTACCTGGTAGGTACCTAAGTAGGTAGGTAGGCGCCGGCATGTATGTAGCTACATACCTATACTTGCGCCCTGTCCACAGGTCCGAGAACACACGATGCAATACGGCCTGGCGCGCATGGGGGGGGGGGGGGGGACGGGGGTGGGGCGGGATAGGATTAAAAAACGTGCCCGTCGGCTGTTTAGAGGTTGGGGCGAAGCGATCAAGCAAGCACACGCGCGGAAGAGAGGCGCGGACGGAGGAATAGGTAAGCCGTAGGTCAGAGACATGCCGCGAGTGGGCAGACGGACGGGCAGGCAGGCAGGCAGGCAGATAGGCGAGGGGAGAAGACGGGGCGAGGAGGACGAGAAGGACGAAGAAGATGTTTCCAAATTAGCCGGTTCGGTCCGGTCGAACCAGGTCCAGGGGAACCTGCCTGAACTGCCCGCCGCGCGTCTAACAGAACGCCGGTGCCGTGCGATGCTACTCTATGCCATGCGATGCGCAGGAGAGGGGCGGCGGCGGCGGCGGCAGCAGCAGTAGCGATAGTAGCAGTACCTCGTAGCGGGAGGAAGACTAAAGAAGAGAAGAGACAAGGAGAGAGGAGGCGGCTTACCACCACCACCTTCTCTTCCTCCTCCTCCTCCTCCTCGTCTCCTCCTCGTCTGACGACGGGCTTGAGACCCGCGCAGCCCGCCCAGGCTTGGTCCGGCGAGCCAAGCCAAGGTGGGCGGGCGGGCGCTGCACGCTGCCTCCTCATCTCCCTACGTACCTAACCCCTAACCTACCTGCCTACCTCTCTGGCCGAGGTAGGCGCCTCTCCCCGAGTTGGCGAGGTAAGCCGACGGAATCCTCTCCGTCTGCGTACCTACGGAGGGCAAGACAGGCAGGCTGGCTACCTGGTAGCTACCTAACCCAGCCGATTGCCATAAACGTACCTACGTGCGTGCGTGAGAAATGGGGTGAGGAGAAGAGCAGAGGCGAGAGCAGAGGCGAGAGGTGAATGATACCTGCCTACCTACCTCCGCCTGCCTGCCCACGCAGACGAGGTGGACGAAGCGAGCGAGCGAGCGAGCGCGCGTGCGTACAGCGACTGCGACGTCGCCGCCGCCGCCAGGGTCTTAAAATAGGCATTGATATATAATATATATTAGCCTGCGGCAGTATGGCAACCCTCCCCCTCCCCCTTCTCCCCTCCTCCTCCTTTCCCCTTGGCGTGTCTTGCCGACCTGGTCTCTGTATGTACGTGCATAACATACCTACCCACCCACATACCGAGGCACGTACACAGGCAGACGGAGGCGCAAAGGGGGGGAGGGGACGTGTGTGTGTGTGCCATCTATTCATACAGGCTCGCATACATAATATGGCTTCATGTATGTGTGTACGCGCACACATGCCTACATATTCACACACACACACACACACACACACACACACACACACGCACACACACATGCATGAGTGGATGCGGGCAGATAGAGTAGTAAGGCACCTGGGTAAGTTAAGTAGGTAGGCAAGTAGGTAGGTAGGTGATTCTCGACGGCAGCCCGCACCCGAGGGGTAGGGGAAAAGGGGGGAGGGGAGGGGAGCAACGCTGCCGCTACCGCCACCGCCACCGCCGCCGCCGCCGTCGCAGCGTAGCATGTGTGCGTGGTGTAGCATCGTGGCAGATTTACTTACCTGCCCCGAGGTTCAAGCACGTAGGGCGCGTGCACGGGTAGGCTCGGCGGGCAGACGGGCGTCGATGCGCGTGCGCCGGAAAGGGGAACTTTCGCCATTTTTCCCTTCCTGCCTTCCTGCCTTCCTTTCTTCCTTCTCCCGCGCTCTTTTCTTTTCTTTTCTTTTCCCCTTCTAATTTTTTTTCTTTTTCCCTCTATTAGTGGCAGACGCTTTTCTCTTCCCCGGCCTGATATTTCCCGTTTCCGCCTCCCCTTTCCCAGGGGAGGAGAAGTCCCCGGACCGAAATAGAACGGCGGAAGAAGAAGAAGAAAAAAGAAGGGGAGAGAGGAAGGGGGCAGAGGGCGCCCCGGACGGAACCGAAGTTGGCGCTCTGCGCTCCTGTGTCTCTCCCCGACTCGGAGACATTCATCCATCCCCCCTCCCACCCATCCACACACCCGTTATGCGGTGGCGTGTGTGGGGGGGGAGGGGGGGGAGGGGGGCATACGGATATGCCCACATGCGCGCGTAGCCTCGGAAGAGCTGTTCTGCACGGCAAAGCACTTGCTTACTCACCACCCATGCTTTGGCCGACTGCCTGTCTGGACTTTTGCATCCTCGACCGGGCAGCAGAGAAGAGCGAGACAGAGACAGAGGCAGAGACAGAGCGTTCGGGTCCGAGCCAAGCAAGGGGGGGGGAGGAAGGGGGGACGCGAATGAGCTCCAAAATGGGATGGGGAAGGGAGAAAGTGAGACAGGAGGGAAGGGGGAGAGACCTGGGTTGCCTAAACGGGACCGGGGGCGTCCAGGCGTCCAAGCTCTGGACGACAGCGTTGTGTATGTGCGGACGGGCAGGCAAGCAGCGCAGGTCGATGGAGAGACATATCCTGGCCCCTCTGATGCGGCTACGGATGCGGCTCTTGTGCTGTGGGAATACGTATGTAGGCCTATAGGTGCGTAGGCCTATAGGTGCGTGGGAGGGTGTGTGCTACGCGTCGGCCGAAAGTCGGGTTTGCTTACGTGCCAACGTGCAAAGTGACCATGGCGAGTGACCTGCGTCCAAGCATCGTCATCTCCGTCGTCGCTGTCTCAGGAGAGGTGCCTCGGCTATCTCGACACACCTCCTCCGCCTCCTCTGCCCTCTGCTGCTGCCCGTCCGAGCGCGACGGATCTGACAGATAGAGCACAGGCCGAGTACGCTCCTCGGGTCGGTAGCTGCGTCGAACCGTGGGGCAAACGGGGGGGCGGGCAGGCACCATTAGTAACACAAGTGGCATGGGCGAGTACACACATACATGGTACGAAGGAGGGCTCATCCCACGGCGCTGGGAACGGCTCTTCTGCCCTTCCTCCGCCCTGGCGCTGCTGCGTAGCGTACCCCGGATGGATAGATCTCGGGCCTGCTATTACTAGCAGCAGGCCCGCCAGCGTGCTCTCGTCCTCGTAGCCGAGGCGAGGTGTTTCCATCGGCATGCAAGGCAGAGAAGGCGAGATGGGATGAGATGAGGTGAGGTAGGTCTGTCAAGGCATGAGGGTGACATGACAGGTGACATGACACTTGACGCTGCTGATCTCCCCTTTCTCCAAAGGGGGGGAGAAGGGGGGGGGGCCATTTCTCCGCGCTGATAGCTATTGTGTTTCGTTACTTGAGACAGTGGGATTCGTCTACGTGAGCTATGTGTCCATATATCGTCGACTATCGTCCTGACCGAGGCTACTAGGAGAGCTGGGGGATGTCCCTCGGCTTATGATACGTCGCTACGGGACAAGAAGAGACGAGGGGCTTTAGGAGAAGGGGAGGGGGAGGAGGAGGGAGGGGTCAGTTACAGTCTACCTACAATAAAAGGGCTCGGAGATATCTACCTGGACTACACGCCCAGCAAGCCCGTAGGGCACATGTTCCGTCGGCTTCCATTACAGTGGTACGAAGGGATCAGCCACACAAGGTCCAGAGCATCCCCGTCCATCTGGGTTCGGGCTGGCCCGCGCGCTCTTGCATGTGCAGGAATGTACGTAGGCGAGTCGGGGTTCCGGCATATACCTAGGTATATGTAGATGCTCTCACGTATGTACATACGCTACGCCGTTCTCGTTCCAGCTTTTCGGTCTTGTCTCACAAGCCGCCATGCCCTACGTACACACGTCAAGTGGTGTTTCGGGGACGCCGTCTCACTCCCAGGGCCTGGAATCACGGGTGACAGGCCAGCTGAGGTCGTCGTCTCCGCGGCAGACGCTGAACAACATGTGGAGGCCGACGCAGAGACCCTTAAGGCGCCTACACGCCGGGAGAGAATATCAGTATTGGTTACCATGGCTACGAGGATAACAACTATTGGGTGGACAGCCATCGCCCTCCCTATTCATCAAATCAATTCTCCCTCCCTCGCCTGCCGGTCCAGGCCAGGCACGGCCGACTGCTTCTCTAACGTTGCTGACGCCCCGAGTTTGCCTCATTTCAATGTTACCTAGACATCCCAGACATCCCTGGCCCGGTATGGTCTTGCCCGTTCGTTCTCTGAATGTATACACATGTACCTACACACAGCCTATGTATATTACATATTCGTGCCAAGGTATAGGTATGGGCATGGGATGAGGCGACTGTGATATCCCTGCCCGGTCAACATGGTCTCAGCTGGATTGGTCTCGTGGTTGGTGCGGAAGTCGAGGCGTAATTTGAAATGAACACGGCGAAATGTTGTAAAATTAGCGACGGGGCCACACGTCTATCTTTGTATGCAGTGATCTCCGTGCCCAGCTCCCAGGGCCTGGGTTGCCGCCGCTTAGCGGAGAATTGTATCGCCCTGGGGTTGAGGGCTGGGTGTTCATGCGGTTGCTTGAATCGTCTTGTCTTTCCTCGCCCTTCTGGCCCTCTTGGGGGGTGGTTTGCTTAGCACAAACTCTTCGGCATCTTTCTTCTCGTACTGCGGCGGAGGGTCGACGTCGTCCGGTGTTTTCAGGATATACCTGTAAGGCTTATGCCCGGGTATGAGTGCGAAGGGAACCTTGTCATCGTCGCCGTCGTCGTCGTTGTCGCCGTCTTCCAACTCCGGCTCCGACTCCGACAGTCGATGCGGAGGAGCCGTCGTCAGCCCCGAACCAATGATCGGGGGAGTTTCCTCCGGCACTTTTGCGCCGAACGCGGCTAGATCAAACGGCTTCTCGTGCCTCCAGATCAGACCGGGGAGCACCCCCCAGTCCTCGTCCCAGATATGCTTCGCCGTCCAGGTCCCGCGTACTATATCATACGCTAGCGAGCTGATATCGGGAGGGCTGGACTCAAGGCTCCCATCATGAGGGGCCACGAGCCGCTCTTGTTCTTTCTTCACCTGATAGAAGAACTGGTTGATCGGGCGCGACGCCTCGCGTTCGCGAACCAGCTCGGCTCGCCATCCTGGTTGAAACCTAGTTCCAACCCCGTTGTTGGGCGGGAGATCCCTATTTTACGTGGCACGTTAGACCCTGCGTCTCTTCCGCTGATTTACTAACCAATAAAGAAAATACCGATTTACGGGCCATCAGGTCCTTACGGTAGCGGGTCTTCGTGCTTCCAGCTGTCGTCAGATGTCGGACCTTGCTCGTCGCGGTCCCAGGAGTTCTTCCATATTCCTTGCTCAACCCACTGGGACCTGATCTCTTCGAAGGCCTGGTCGAAGAGCCAGCCTCCGCTGATTCCGCGTTGGACGTGCCAGCGCTTGTCTGACCGGCCTTCGGATCGGGGGTCGGCGTCCCAGATGCGGCTCATCTCCTCGACGATCAGTTCTCGGAATTGGCTCTTGGGCTTGGTGAAGATCCGAAATGCCAAATCGCGTTCCTCTTTCGTGAGGTCGTCAAAGAAGTTCGTCGAGTCTGTCATATCTGCGGTTGGCGGTATGTGATGGCTGATACAGGCTGGACACAGATGAGACGCTGGTGCTGGATAGGGTAGACCTGTCGTCCTGATCGTGGACTAAATGAGAAAGTGGTGGTGTTTTCTCTGGGATCTCGGATCAGACTACCGACCCTCAAAGTTGACTCGCTCTCCCCCATATAATACCTTTCTTCCTCTTATCCGTTTTCGTGCTACGCATCATTCCGTCTGCTTCCATCTCCTTATCCTAGGAATAACTGCCCTGCTGCCTTTGTTACTTGACATTAAAACCTGGGAACTCGTTTCCGGATGCCCCTTTGTTCCTCGTCCCAGAACCCAGTCTACAGGCATGCTCTCCAGGACAAACATTTATTTGTAGTAATTAGTAAAACATTGGCTCTCTCGATGACTGGAGCAACTATGATTCGAGTCTTCCTGCCTCCCTGTCGACCAACCAATTCGTTCCCCCTCCCGAGAAGATAGCGCCCCCTATTCTCAGGAGAGAACCCAGTCATCATGTCCGCGCCATCGTTCCCCGATACGGTGTTCTCGCTGTGTCCCGTCAACAATGTTGCGATATCTATCGTAACGGGTGTCAGCTTCACAAATCTCTCCTATGACTCCCGCGGAGGACCCCGGCTCGAGTTCGGATACCGGTGGACCAGCCAGGATAGGAATCCACTCCTCACGTTCGCGACGGTCGGTAGCTTGGGTAGGCAAGTTGATGTCTATGACTCGACTGGAGTCCTTGCTCCTGTCCATTGCGCCTTCGTCGTCAACTACAAGACCGGTGTTCTGCTGGTCGAGGACAGGTCCAACGGACTCACTCAAATCTGTCCTCGCCACGGGGAGACCTTTGCTTCGTTTATACGTACCAAAGAAGGATGGCCGCGGGTTGCCATCGTCGACGGGATTAACTCGTATATCCTCTTGGGCGACGCAGATGGCCCCCAGGCCAAGTTCTTCGTCGACGTGCACAAGTCTCCAGACCAGATTCTAGACCATGTGCAGAGGCGAATGGCGGCGTTAGATTTGGCAACACGACGTAAATGTCTTCGCACATATCCCGGCCAAACACCTGCCCCGGAGGGCGTTAGAATCCTACACCACCCCTTACAGGAATTGGGACGTGGTGGCTTTGGTAGGGTCATGAAGACTGTCGATCTCTACTCGGGTGATTTTCTGGCCGTAAAAGTGCTGGCCCGCCCCCGAGACCCTCAGAAGTATGCCAACTGGGTTAAATCCGTCAAGATGGCGCGGGAGCGCGAGGTGGCAACCATGCGACGGATTTCACACGTACGTCTATGTCCTGGGGAGGATCTCTCCTGAGTGGAGCTCCCTCTCTCCTCATCTCCGTGCTTTTTCACCCCCCCCAATGGTACGGAAACAGGCCCCGACTGACAGCAAGCTCCGTCGTGCAGCCCTACGTGGTGAGGTATCTCGGCTCTCAGGGGTGGTCCACTTCCAACGTCGAGATCTTCATGGCGATGAAGCGCGGCAGCCTGTACAACTTGGTGGACCGGCACCAGAACCCCCAGGAGTTGGTCGGCCGCATCGCCAACCCGGTGACGCTGCAGATCCTCAGCGCGCTCGACTGCCTCGCCTTCAACCGGCTCGTCCACCGTGACGTCAAGCCCGACAACATCCTCTGGGAGTTCGACGAGCGCGGCGACTACGTCTTCAAGCTCGCCGACTTCGGGCTCGCCAACGACGAGGCGCGCGCCCGCAGCATCTCCGGCACCGTCGGCTACGCCGCCCCTGAGATATGGGAGCGCGGTCGCCAGTCGCCCAAGGTCGACATGTGGTCCTTCTTCGTTACGCTCATGTGGCTCATCGAGCCCGACTTCCGCTCCTGGGTCGACGACGGTGAGGCCCGCGCCATCCACCGCGCCGTCATCCAGGCCGCCATATACGACGTCCGCTTCCGCAACACGCGCGAGATGGCCATCTACGACCCCGGCCTCCGCTCCTCCGCCGCACACTTCCTCGCCAACGTCTTTCAGCGCCCCTCGTACCTCACCACCCCCATCGCCGATATCCCCAAGCGTCACCCCGACCACTTCGACTTATGGATCCGCAGCGTCTACGATGGCTCCAGCCCATACAGCCAGGCTATCAAGGATATCATGCCGTGAAGCGGCCGAGTAGTATATATACATGGTGTAGATATAATCCTGACAGTCTCGGGAGGTGGGGGGGGAATGGGGAGTGCTGACTTTATGCTTGGTCAAGGAGTAGGCGTTTATATATACATATATCAGCTCTTGTATTCATTGCTTGTATTGCTATCGAGATTACGAGTATAGGTGGGAAGCGCGTGGACGCCGTGTAAGTGGATTTCCAACATTTGCCTTGTGCGGGTTATGCTGCACGGCTGTTGTGCTATATGGTATACCTCTAGCTTACTGGAAGCTGTGGGTGGCCTCTATAAGAACCTACCTAATCCCCAAATGCTATCTCGCTCTACTTGGAGAATAGGCTTGGCCTCACGGCTATTAGAAGGGAGCTGGGGGAATATTATATTTAACAACAGGACTAAATAGGGATATTGAGAACCGGATTATATAAGGATGAGATAGGAACCCAACACCACTCTGGTTCCGGCTACCACGCCCTGGCTATCTATGAACATTGCCGCAGACACGCAGACGAAACAATTATAAGCTGGACCATCTACATAGTCAGCCATTAAGTATATATTTATCTACCGTATCTATCGTATCTTCCCGCCCCGTAGCTATGGTTAGGGCTCTGTACCTACGGCCGCAACACTAGCTATCTAGCCAGCTTGCGCCAATATGATCTGCTTTCTCCCTTCCTAGCTAATGGCCTCTTTTATCCCGGACGCCAAACTGAGCTAAATCAAGCTGGCCTAGCCCAGCATGCGTTACCTTCCTTACCCCGAGACATTGTACGTCGTATAAGAGTATGAAGTCGGGTAGTCCATCCGCGTCCTCCTCCCTCCTGTCGAGTACCTAATAAACCTGTACCTTGACAACTTATCCTCCCCCCTCGACAGCCTCGCCCTGCTCTCAGTGGCCGCATATGTCTCTATATCTTTAACCTCACAGGGCCTTCACGGCGGCGAAGAATGGGTTTGCGAGGAGCTTCTCGTCGGCCTTGACCAGCTCCCGGAGGCGTGCCACCTTCTGTTCCTTCGTCATGTCGCCTGCGACCTCGTCCTTCCAGCGCGCCAGTACTTCCTTGAGCCGGGCGCTGCCCTCCTCGACCTCCTCTTTGCTGTATCCCTGCAGAACTGGGGCTTTATCGCTGCCGGCGCCGCCCTCGTGCTTCGCCGTGAAGTCCTCGAGCTCGCCCGCCTTGCGCCGCGCCATGCGCACCACCTTGTCCGGGAATCGCACCAGCTCCGCTACGTGGATCCCGAACGATTGGTCGCAGATGCCCGGCTCGACCTTGTACAGCAGCGTCACCTCGCGCTTGTCGGCGACGGCAGCACTGCTGCCGCCGTTGCCGGTGCCGGAGATGTGCGCCGTGACGTGCAGGTTGCGCACCTGCTTGTGCTGGTCGGCGAGAGCGGTCAGCTCGTGGAAATGGGTGGCGAACATGGCGGCGCACCCGATCTCGGTCACGATGTGCTCGGAGATGGCCCAGGCGAGGCCGAAGCCGTCGTATGTCGACGTGCCGCGGCCGAGCTCGTCGATGATGATGAGCGACTCGGCTGTCGCCGACTTGAGGATGTTGGCCGTCTCGAGCATCTCCGCCATGAAGGTCGACACGCCCTTGAGCTGGGAGTCGCTCGCGCCGACGCGCGCCAGGATCGCATCGAAGATGGTCAGCTCTGCCTCCGTGCATGGCACAAAGCAGCCCACCTGCGCCATCAGCGCAATCACACCAATCTGCCGGATGTACGTCGACTTGCCGCCCATGTTCGGCCCGGTGATGATCAAGAAATATGAATCGTCACGCCGCAGCTCGACGTCGTTTGTGATGAACTGGATGTCGTCCTGCATCTCCAGACATGGGTGGCGGGCCTCCTTTAGCACGGTTGAGCCCTCGCCTCGGGGGTGGATGGTAGGGCGGACGTAGGAGGTGGGCGCGTGGACCGAGCAGTGGGCGAACGATACGATGACGTCGAGGTGCGCCAGGACGCCAGCGAGCTGTTCGAGCACGGGGCAGTATGAGGCGGCGACGCTTACCACCTCGCCGACCAGGCTGCTCTGGGTTCTGTTATAAGTTTGAGACAGCTGATCGAATTCCCGGCGGTAGGATTGCAGCAACTTCGTGGTAAAGTACACGCCATTCTTTTGGGTTGAGCACTCCTGATATGCCGAATTATTTCGGATGCAAGAGGCCTCGGTTCTCGTCAAGCGCATGCACCAGCCGTGGACCTTGTGGTTCTCGAGGAAGATCTTTTTGTTTTCTTCTTGATTTAGATCGTCCGCGGCCTTTTGCAACTCCTTGGCCATATTAGATCTGAGCTTGTCCAGTTTTCTCCGTACGATGCGCAAGCTGTCGTCGAATTCGGGCTTGATGATGTACTCGTGGTTGTCGAGGGCGTCGAGGTCTACCGTCGTCTCGACCATGTCCGCGAGCTTCCCGAGACTATCGGAGAGACTCCTCAACTTGTTGGTGTAGGCCTCATCCAGGGGGTCCTTATACTTCTCGTCCATGACAGCTTCCAGGGTTCCCAGGAATCCCGGCAGGCGAATGACGACCTGATATGCCCTGACGACATCCTCCAGGTTCGCTTTATTTCGCTGGAATCGCTTCGCTAAACGATAAAGATCCGGGACCGCCTTCAAGTGCACCTCCTGCATCGTCTGGCGCAGTTCGGTATCATTGACGAAAGCTTCGACCAGCTGCTGGCGTTTCTCGATTTCCTCCTTGTTCATGAGTGGTTGCTTCAGCCATTGAGAAAGTAGCCGACTCCCGACTGGCGTCTTGCAATGGTTCAACAGTCCGAATAGACTCATGGTTTTGGACCCGTCTCTCGCCCCGGGCATTAAATTGAGGGCTTTGAGTGCGGCGGCGTCTAACTTCATGAACTGGGACAGGTCGTGTTGATAGAGTTGGTACTGTCCAAAGTTGGAGGGATCCTGGAGGACGGTTAAGTACTTGATTAACGCTGCCGCAGAGCCCATCGCCAGCTTCAGGTCTGTCTGCGGGAGCAGCGTTGCGGAGCGCTCGTCCTTGAGCAGCCGAGCGAGATCCTGCTCGATGTCTTTGGTTCCGAAGTCGCCGGCTGGTCTCTCGGCTATGGCGACGCCGCAGTTGTCGATAATCTGTCTCAGCTTGGCGAGCTCGGGGTCCTTGTCCTTCTCGGCCTTGTCGATCTGTATGAGGCATTCCTTGATGCCGAGCTGGATAAGAAGAGCCTCGAAATTGGAGTACAAGTCGTTGTCGAGGAACTCGCTGACGCCGAGCTCCCGAACGCTAGCATCCGCGAAGCACACGCCCACGTTCCTGGCCTCGGAAGCCTTGGCGGAGATTTTGACGGCCAATATCATGGGGGCGGCATCGACCTGACCGCCCAGCTCGTCCTCGACATCTTGCAGGTTCCCAGGGGAGGCCTGCTTGACGACCTTCCAGTTCATACGGCTGCCGGAGTTCTCGTATACCTCGATGCGCTTCCCGAGCTTAAAGAGGGCTTCTCGCAGGAATTGACGAAAGACGGTGACGGTCATGGTGACGGAGGCCAGGCCGCTGGCGTCGTTCCGGCCAAGCTGGCGCACCACAGAAGTGGTTTTGTAGACGGTTTTGGCGATGAAGTTGGCATTCTGGCCGTGAGCGGTGTACCAGTCGCCACGATCGAATATGCGGATGGTCTCGTCGCCGACGGCGGGAAGGGATTTGAAGAAACGAATGAAGCCATGCTCGTCGTCGACCTATATGTGGCGTAGCCGATTAGCTTAGGGGACTCCGAGGGCTGTGGGTAGGATTGGATCCTCCAGCGTCGACGCCTATCCGTACCTTCAACTCTGGCCGGGACGACATCTTGGCTCGGTTTGACGGGGTTAGGATGGCTCTCGGCAGACGCAGCAGCACTTGACTATTATGTTTATCGTTTAAGGGGCGACAGAGGGGCAGGAATATCACATTCTTTGAGGAACGGCGCTGCTATTATTTCCTATCGTCGGCGGTGCATCCGTCTACTGGTGCTAGCGGGATGAATGGTGTAGGTAGATCGTTGTCGGGGTGCGAGGGTGGTAGACGTAAAGTGGTTTTATTCTGGACGAGGTACCTCTGGGCAGGTCAGAGGCATGTACTTTATGGCAGATACTAGCGAGATGAGTACCCAAACTCCCTTCGATGTACATGTATACGCATACCTTACATGTACACGTCTATAGGTTCAACACACTCGTCGCGTCTCCGGCACGGCAATTTGGGGCGGGCGAGACGCGACGCAACGCGCCAATTCTTGACCGCTTTCGCCGAGACCGCTAGGACCGCTTACGCTGACCCACCTCAGTTTGAGCTCGGCCGATTTCACAGCATCCCGTTTTTTCTTGCTGTCGCGGGGTCATTTTCTACTGAACTCAGTCCCCGACACGCTCGGTAATATCTAGAGCTAGCTTTATTCCCCAAGTCAGGCCGGGTGTCTCGTTTCTCCGTCAATTGCAATCTGCGGCAGCTTCAAATTCTTTAGGTTCCATATCCCTCCCCGCTCCCTTTCCACCCCAACTCTCCGGAACGGCCCTCCTCCCTCCCACAAGCCCATGCTTCGTCGAACCCTATCTCTCGGCCTCGACTCTTCACTTTGCCAGTTCGCGCAGACCGGCGCTGCCAGTCAACATGGCCGACGCGGCTGGAGCGCCGGATGGCGCCTCGCCGGAACCAGGTGCCGCTGTCAGTTCTAAGACCCGGCCGGGTGACGAGGTATATCGAGGACTAAAGCGACCAGCCGAGGACGATGTCGATGACGATAGCTACTGTCGCCGCGAAGCAGCCGAGAATGGTCACCAAAACGGCTCAAAGCACCAAAGGACCGCGACCGAGCCACCGGGGATGTCCAAAAACCAGCTACGCAAGCTGAGAAGACAGAAGCTCTGGGACGAGAGAAGGAAGGAGAAGAAGACCATACGAAAGGAGAAACGCCACTTGAAGCAGGAACGCAAGCGACTGGATAGGGAGGCCGAGATTGCAGCCGCTACCGCCGAAGGGCGAGAGCCGATATTCTCGATACAATCCAGACGAAAATCCAACTTCGTCGCGCAGGTTCCCGTAACCGTCATCATCGATTGCCAATTCGAGAAGTACATGATGGAGAAGGAATTGACCTCGTTAGGCAACCAGGTCACGAGGTGCTATTCCGATAATAGGAACGCCGAATACCCCGTCCACGTCTTCGTCAGCTCCTACGGCGGGAAGATGCGGGAGAGGCACGAGACCATCCTTGAGAACCAACACAAACAATGGAAACACATGCACTTTGTCGAGGGCGACTTTCTGAGCGCCGCTGCCGAGGCCAAGATCTTGATGGAGGGTCCGACGGGCGGCACGGTAATCGACCTGCTGGCCCCGAGCGAGGACGGCGATGGCATCTCCTTACCCCAGCCGAGCAGCGATACCAAGAAGCAGAGGGCAGCCCCCGTACCCGAACCCGAGGCCGACGACGTGGACAAGTCCATCGTTTACCTGACCGCCGACTCGCCGTACACCCTGGACCGCCTCGAGCCAAACACGTGCTACGTCATCGGCGGCCTCATCGACAAGAATCGCGAGAAGGGCCTGTGCTACAAGATAGCTCGTCAGAAGAAGGTGCGGACGGCGAAGCTCCCCATCGGCGAGTTTATGGTTATGCAGAGCCGCCACGTCCTTGCGACGAACCACGTGATGGAGATCATCCTCCGATGGCTCGAGACCGGCGATTGGGGCGCCGCCTTCATGAAGGTGATCCCGACGAGGAAAGGCGGCAAGTTGAAGGAAGACGATAATAACCCCGACGAAGCCGGGGAAGAGGCCGCACAAGTTCCACAGAAAGATGAGCAGGACGTGTCTGAAGGTGGCGGAGTTGCGACGGCGGGCGAAAACATCGAGACCGTCTCCTCAACAATAGATGACCGCGAGCCAGAACACTCCGGCGCCGTCGAAGTCGAGGGAAGTAATGCTGAAGAAAGTCTCGAGAAGAATGCGCTCGGCCAACAAAGATGGTCAGCTCCACCACCCGAACCAGAAGACTTAAACTTGCCCGGCGGTGCTGCCGCTGATTGAGAGCGAGAGTCAGTTGTAGAATACGGAGACGCCGTCGTCACCGCCGATTGATCTAGGTAGAGGCGGGAAAGATGGGCCCAAGGCTGAGCGATAGACGATTGCTACGGTATGATGCCTAGGACGCTTTGCCACACGATCTATGCTTGTAAGAGGCTATCCTACCATGCCGTCCCCGCCGGCCGAGATAATAGGTAGGTAGGTAGGTAGGGTAGACGGGTATCTTGGTGGGATCTATCTCATCTATACGACGATCTTCCCCTAGCAGAGGGTCCAACCTACAAAAGGGGGGGTAGTAAATGGGATACAGTGCGAATCGCGGCGTACCAGCCGACCTGATTCCTAGATTTTTGCGTGGAAAATAGCCCACGAAATGACTTCACAGTGTTGATACGCTCTGCGATAAGAGACTGTATGTACATGTGCGACTCGAGTTCCGAACGCCACCGAGGGCAGGTTTGCCCTGGTCGGCTCAAGCTTGCATCCGACGCCGTCTCTCCTCCACGTCCCAACTGCTGGATCCCACCCATCCACACACACGAGCCTCAACCTCAAGCACATTTAGCTGGTTAAGTCCAATCGATACCACTCCATTCATTATCCCTCATCCCTCATCCCCCCCACCGATCGGCTTAGGAGCCTGGCTCGGCTTGGCTCGGCTTCCAAATCCCGCACCCGTGGATTGCACGTCCTCACCTACAACCGATATCTGCCTACTAACCTACTTAAACCTCTCACCCGACACTCACGTATCCGCCGACGAGCTCACCTTTGTTTTCTCTCTCTTTTCCTCCTCCTCTTCTCGTCAGAGAACCCCAACAACCAAACCATGGCCTTCCGCGCGATCCCGCGGCGCGCAGCGCGCCCGCTCCTACCGCCGCTCTCGCTCCGCGGCCGCGGCCGCGGCTCCGCAGCGTTCCACGCGTCGGCGGCGCGCGCGGTCGTGCAGCCGGGGGACGCGCTGCCGGACCTGGCGGTGCTGCACGAGGGGTCGCCGGGGACGCGGGTGAGCCTGGGGCGGGAGCTCGGCCCGGGCCGCCGCGGCCTCGTCGTCGGCGTCCCCGCCGCCTTCTCCGGCGCCTGCTCCCAGACCCACGTCCCCGGCTACCTCCGCCACCCGCGCCTCCGCGACGCCGGCCGCGTCTTCGTCGTCAGCGTCAACGACGCCTTCGTGTGAGCGCCCCGTCACGTGTCCGTGACTCTGCATCCCCCCCCCCCCTCCCACCCCTTCGTCTCTGGAGGCGCGTCGGTCTGCGTGCATACGGTTGCTGACACCCCCCGGCGCCCCGCAGCATGAAGGCCTGGGGCGACCAGCTCGACCCGACCCACGAGTCCGGCGTAAGTTCCTGTCCTCGCTGCCGCCCCCGCGTCCCGCTTCTACCCCTTCCCATGTCGGCGCTAGCGCCTAGCCGCCCGTATGCGTAGGCACGCTATAGGCGGGCTCTCGTTTCTGTACTTCTTTCTTTTTTTTTCCCCCCCCCCTTCGTCTTTCCTGCCAGCAACCGCTTCCAGGGGAGAGGAGGAGGGGGGCCGGGGGCAACGGGAATCCCTGACGCCGGGCCGCAGGTCCGGTTCCTCGCCGACCCGAGCGGCGCCTTCACGCGCGCGCTGGACCTCGGCTTCGACGGGTCCGCCATCTTCGGCGGCATGCGCGGCCGGCGCTACGCCCTCGTCGTCGACGACGGCCGCGTCCGCTCCGTGCACGTCGAGCCGGACAATACCGGCACGGACGGTGAGTTCCCCCCCCCCCCCCCCCTTTTCCTATTTCCGCCGGCAGCTCTGCTATCGGCGGAATTGCCCCTCTCCCTCCCCTGGGCGAGCGACCCCGCGCTGACGGCGACCTGCCTAACGCGCGCAGTCTCGCTGGCGGAGAAGGTCCTCGGCCCGGCCTAGTTCGGACTCGCCCTCCCCCCCCCCGAGAGAGGCCGACGGTGTGAGGGATGCCGCCGGAGACGAGAGGGGTGATGAGCAGGACGGGAGTCCTCGCTCTCCCCTCCCCGCCTCGCTGAGTGTACTGCCCAAGCCCCCCTACGCCCGAAGGAGGGAGACGGCGAGGGGGAGGAAGGAGGAGAGGACGATGGTATGTTGTTTGCGTCTAGTGAAGTCCGACACGTTTGGCGCTCGAGGAAGCAGATGGGGAGACTACTCGCGAACCTGTTATCTATCTATTCTCCACCGGTGCGAATGCGCACACGCGCGGGCATATATACGCCCAGATGCCAGAGCGCGGCAAATCGGCTAATCCGGCTTCGCGGTCTGTTCGTTGTCCTCTCTCCCCAATTCCGCGTGTAAGCACCCGTCGTATCCCCCTCCGGCAATAACCCGACGTCCGCCCTCAGTATTTACATCGTCGTAGTCATATTGCTCGTCCCGAGATCGCGCCCCTTCGAGCCAACTTCCAACCCTAACACGTACCCCACCCAGCCAGACTCGAAGCCCCTCCCCTCCCCCCCCCTCCCCGACCCGTGTCGTAACGCAATTCGGCGCACGTACTTCCTCGCTAGCGCCTCCGCGCAGTGGGCCCCCCCGATCTCATGAGACAGTCCGGCGTGATCGTACCGGCCCGCCCTCCCTTTCTGTCCGGCCTTTCACACGCATTTTCTGCCACGTTGTACGCACCGGATAGCTACCTTTCGTTGCCTCTCGCTGCCACCCTCTCCGCCGCAAACCCGCCGGGAGTAGCAGCCACCGTCTGTTCGGTCAATGTACAACACAGACATGGGGTTAAGTCACGAGAGTTACGATGGGGGAGCGATGATAACAACCACAGGAGTAAACGCCCTAGAGAGACACATCTCACTAGAAGGGGGTTAAGAAATTCGGACCCTGGGGTTAGGAATAGTTATAAGATCCAAGGGGGGAGGAGGAGGAGGAGGAGGAGGAGGAAAATTGACAGCTTCGACCTCAGATAGACTAACACACGTACGCAAGATCCTGCGCCCCTGAACTCCAACCGAGACTATCGTCTATCTATATCACTTCGTTACAATACAATTTAGACGCGCGAAGTGGCGCTGCTAGCCGCAGAAGTAGGGTTCTTCAGATCTACATTGAAAGTCCATCGCCCTAAGATGAGGAGGAAACCAAGAGAGGTTAGCTACTTCGGCGACGTGGCTGGCAAAGGGACGGGGGTAAGAAGGGGGAGGGGATTAGCCTCTGACTCACCATTCGCTAAGTTGTCCGCCGTATCCTCGAGGAGGATGACCCGCCGACGGTTGCAATAGGCCGTCTTGTCCATAATGTCCACCTTCAATTTGGGCTCGGATAGCTCCCCGATGGGTTTTTCGAACATCTCTGACAAGGCCTCGACGGCAAGTTCCAGGTCCTTCTGGTTGTCCTCGAATATCTCTGTGAGGTTGTTCCGCGCGAGATAGAAAGCGAAGGCGTACGTCCACTTCAGCGTCTGGCGGCAGGTCTGCAGCGCCTGCGAGGCCGAGTTGAGATATTGTACTTCGATCCAGGACATGCCCGACGCTGTCTGCAATTGCACCATCTTCTTCTCCGTCTTCTGGTATATGTCCTTGTCGAGACGCGCCGACTGCTCGTGGTTAGCGTATCGGTTATAGTAATGTAGGTAGCGTTCTAAAGATACCCGCGACCTTGCTTGCGCATCGCGGGCCTCTGTCCCGCTCCTCTCCTCGAATCGGCTGCAGTTATACCAGCTGGTGCCGTGCTCCGACCACAAGCCCATGCACATCCAGCAGAACTCGTGCTTGCATTTGCGGCACGTCATGTGGTTGCAACCCCCGTTCTTCTCGATTGTCGAGTTGCATTTTGGACATTCTTTGGTGTTTGCGGAAATCCAGTTCGCCGTCTCACTATCGTCGGCGCACTTTTTAAGCCACTTCTTCACGAGCTCGCAGGGTGCCGGCTGGTGGTCGGTGAGGATACAGCCGAAACAGAACCTATGGCCGCAAGCACAAGCCACCGTCGGTACCACTTTGTCGAGATCCTTCTTCTTGACAGGGCATTCCACCGCATTCTCGCAGTCGGGAGCCGGGCACCACTTCAGGACATCCTTGTCCTCGACGTATGTTCGGTTAAGCAGTTCTTGGTATCGTTCTACCAGGTCAGGCGCCACTAGCAAGTCGAGTGACCGGGCGTCGATGATACGGTGGCAGCCCTCGCTAGGACACTGGATACGCGCCGCTTCGCCCTCCTCGCGGATCTTCTGGACGAGATACTGCCGGTAGCAGTCAGCGCAGTACCTATGGCCACACTTCATGGCGAAACTCCGCAAGCCGTCGCCGTCCTCGCAGCATATGTCGCACACGAAGCCGGCGATGGTCTCTAGCTTTGGAGGCCCCCCCGCGCTGGAACCCAGGCCAGCGGCTTCCAACACCCTGCTTGGTCGATCCATGTATTCTTCGATTAGCCGCTCCTTGTTCCACCGGAAATGGCGCAACATGATAGCGGCGTCTTCTTTGCTCATCTCCAGGATCATGTTCACTTCGTTGACCATGTCATCTTGCTGGTGCTGAATATCGTCCGGCGTGTATACTTTGTAGTTGATATCGAACGTGACGCCCTTGCTCTTGCTGACTTTCTGCGAGGGGATGCCGGGTTCGTCGTCGGGTTCGTCGTCGAATACATCGAAGTCTGAGTTACCACAAGAGGGGTGATTAGGAGACGGGGTCAGGACAGACAAGGCCGCGAGATAAAATTAAATAACGGGGAGGATGGAGGAAGGGATGGAGGGGGGAGGGGGGGGAGGCATGCAAAATAGACACACCTTCAGCGCCAGACAAGTCGTCGTTGTCGGTATCATCCTGCATAGCGTCATCCCCGCTTGAGATGGTCGACACAAAGTCTTCATCGGAATCCATGCCGGTGATGGGTGTAGGCGGTGCTGCGTCGGCAGCAGCTGCTGAGGCGAGGACACGCTTGTTGGGAAGCGCGTCGGTAGGTTCTGCCGATATCTTCGCCTCAGCGGCCTTCCGTTTTCTCGTTGTGGGAGGAATCTTGTCGGTTGCTGACTCGACGTCGGGGGAACGCTCGCTACAACAAGCCTTGCGCAACGGCACGGCTGCGGATCCTCTCCGACGGGGGGCGGGCGCAAGGCAAGATCGAGGCCGCTGACTAATACGGTTATTGTTGTACATTGGCGACGACAGCTGCCGTGGTGGTCACTTACTGTAACCGGCGGGGACGATCTCGACGGGGACTTGCGAGGGAGACTCGACGGAATCGACAGCCGACGAGTCTTGAGCACGACGTGTACTCGAAGGGGGGACAGGAAGAGGGGATGGGTGGACCAGGGCGAGCAAGTGGAAGGGACTCTAGGAGAATAGGCGAGGAAGCCTAGTCAGTAACTAGCAATGATGGGCGGTTAGGCTCCGAGGGGGGAGACGAGGAGCTTACCGATGCCGTCGCCGCTTCGGGTGCAGCAGGTGGTGGTGGTGGCGGTGGTGGCAGCGGCAGTCGTAAGAGAGAGTCGTGTGCAGAAGACGGGAGGAGGTAAGAGGGGGGGGGGGGGGGAGAGAGGAGGAGGAGGAACTGGGTTGGTTCACGACCGCTGCCTTCGAGGAGGATAGGTTGAAGATCAGCGGCCTAAGGGGGGTAGGAGGAGAGAAGAGGGAGAGGTAGATAAGGCGGGAAGGCGAAGCAGGTCAGGAGAGAACATGTAACTGTAAGCTAGCCCGGGCGAGGACAAGGGCGAGAGGAGGCTGAGGCTGTTGGTTTAGCGAAAGGAAGAAGTGAGAGGGTGAATGTGTGGTTTGACGGAAGGTTGCGGGTTCAGCTGGGAACGTTGGCACCCCCCCTACGGGACTGGACTGGGCTTGGGACGGGGACTTGGGACTGGACTGGACTGGCGTATGGCCCGTGTGCGTGAGGTGTGCGAAGGGTGCGAGAGCGGGCCGTCGAACTATCGAGGGTCGCCCACATAAGCCTGCCCAACATCGACGGGGTCACCAGTTCGGCCAGGTCAGTTGCCCGCAGGTGCCGTCGCCTGAACGCTCGTGCTAGCGGATGACAGACGCATGTATCCCCCATGTACTCTGGTCGGGCTGCTACCTCTGGCGCGCTGGTCGCAGGTACTTGAGGTGGCCGGTTGTAGGTACCTGTCGGCATTCGCGCCATCCCTCCACGGAGTGGCACCTCGTCGCGACCGGACGCATGTACACGGGCACACGTATCTGCGGCCTCAGGTACCTTACCTTGCCCTTGCCCTGCCCTGCCTTCGGGCGTGGGCGCCCCACTTGGCTCGCTACCTCGCATGTACCTGTTGAGGTTCGACTGTCGTCACCTCTGCCGTTCCGATCCAGCCTGCACGGGTTTAGGTACCTACATATACCACGTCGTGGCTGTACTCACCTGGGCTAGATACTACGTAGTACCGCGAGGCACCTCGTCAGCCAACGGCGAGAAGGGCCGTCTGGGAAGAAAGTTGATCCATCATCACAGCCGCATGGATAGGGATCGATCCCCAAGGGCATGCTTATATTAGGTGTCTCGCCGTGGCGGAGGCAAATCGAGGTTAGGTTAGGTTAGGTCAGGTCGGAGGTCAGGTCGGGTGTCAGGGGTACCATGTTAGGTGCCTAAAATCTGTTGTATGTGTGGCCTTTAACCTTAGAACCACTATACCTAGGTGGATAGCTAAAAAGTGCATACCTCCTCTAGGGCAGATAGATAATAATACATCCTACCAATTCGTAGAGACATATATACCTACCTACCCACCTGCCTCTACTCATACGCAGATAGTACTGAGCTTTTAACGGGTTTAATACCTCTAAAAAAAAATCAGTCAGATGGCCACGGGCAACCCGACCCAAGCTTAAATTAGCCAGTACTTATCTGATGTATTTATTATATGTGTATGTGGAGGTACCATAGGTAGGTACCTATGCATCCCTCATCGGTTCCACCCCCTGATTCTTGCTTCCACCCCCGATTCCCCCGATTTCATCCCGATCCCATCCACCGCGGAACCTTAGGAGCCCCGTGCGAATGGTGAGTAATTCTCCGTTCCCTGGCCATTTGTTGCCTCCCGATCCGATGGGTCCGGCGCCAATACCACCTCAGGTAAGTTGCCGTAGGAATACCCGGACGCCTATACTTGCCCCTTTACTGACCTTAGGTAGGCTTAGGAATCCAACCAGACGGCTATCTACCTGCGGCGCCTTGACTTGCTTACATATCCAACAACGGACGTCGTCGATGCGTCGTGTCCTAAAGACGCCCGAACCATGCAACATAGTCCCTATGTGGCTATTTCGGCCACCCCCTTTTCCCCTCCCCGACACCAGCGTACACATATGTCATGACGATAGGACCACGATTATACCAAGATAGACATCGCTTACGTATGTACACGAGTACGACATAACGCGGCCTGCTCTCCTTCCTGACCTTCGCAGTCGATGAGATCTACATTCAGCCCTCGCCGCGCAAGTCGTCCAGCTGCCGAGGTCCACGCGTGCCTTAAAGGAGAGTAAGGAAGAGTGCAGACACTGAATCCGGTGCCGTGCAGCTGGTGTTAAAAATAAGAGACCGTTGCACAGTACGGAGCCGAGCTTAGCCCTATCCTATACCTGTCGACCGCGGCCGAGTCACCAACTTGCCTTGTCTCCATTGCGATGCCATGCAGGCACCTTGGTAATCGTAACCGGAGGAACATCACACAATGCAGCGTCAGGCATCTGAATTCATATTTGTATTTATAATCCGTATAACCTAGGGTCTTGTGTAGTCGAATCCCCTCCATCCCTAGGGGTCAATCCCGTGCGACTGTATGCCCCTAACCCGAGCAGCCGGTCCTCATCAAACGCCTGTTCCTACGTGCGCCGACATTGGCCCGAAACTCCGGCGCTATGCTCATACACAACCATCCTACACCTAGTTGTCCCTTGTCCCAGGGTGAGCGTGGCCGCCATGCCACAGCACAATCCCCTTTTCATCAAGCAAATAAAAACCTAGACAAGTCCAAGTTGCCTCGGGTTTTGCCAGCCTTGCCTACACTCATATTCTCCTGCTCGTCCGCCGGCTCTTCATTCTCGCTGTCGTGTAGCAGCAAGTCCTCACTGCCGAGAGGCCCGTGTAGGGCTTCGACCTCTTCCAAATCCACGGGCGGCAATGGAACGAAGGCTGGGTTGATAGGTATGGCGTCCAGACTGCGCCTGCCGAAGCTAGAAACTTTAGGAGGACGCGGCGCTGCGAAGGTAGGCGAAGGCGGCTGCTTGCTACGTCCTAGGGCCTGGATACCGAGCCGCTGAAGGGGCGTCAAACGGGATGTCGCCGGCGTCGTCTTGGCAGTGGAGGGCTGTGTGGCGGAAGAAAACGGCGTGGAAGACGCGGACGAGCGAGGCGTAAGTCCGCCGAGAGAGTTCCTGGAAGAACCGGATGTAGATGCGCTCTGTCTACGCGAAGAGCTATGTCCGCTACTCGCCAAGTCGGACTGCGAACTTGGTACGTAGACAAAACGTTCCGTGATGCCCGACGGCGTATTTGCAACTGGATTGCTCTGAACCGTGGAGCTCATGTTGTCGGAGCCGTCTTCAACCTGTTTCCCGTCGTCTTCGGTACCTTGGGTGGCGGTGGCCGACAACGTATGCACTTCTTGAAATATAGCTACCCCCTTCCGACCCTTCGCTGATGCGGCCCATCCTTCCAAATCTGGAAGATCCTTCAGGGCCTCTTCAATCGAGTCGTCCGACATTAGATACTTTTCCAGCGTCGTGGAAGCCGCCCCATCGCAAGTCCCACGTGGGAAGAATTTGCTCTTCTCCTTTGCTGGACTCAACCCAGAACTAGCATCATCGCACAAACGGGCCTTTTTAGGTGGTCTGGCGAGATGCGCCATTCCTGCACTACCTGAACCGTTCAGAATATCATCTTGGGGACCTGTTGTCTGACGTCGTGATCCGGAAGCGAAAGAGCGCCCACCATTGCTGAGTAAATTGGATATTGGCTCGGTCCGCCGTCGCAGAGAACGAGACGAATTGGTGGATCGGTTAATATATGGACGCGAGCTCGCACTCGAAGGTTCGGCTTCGACGAGATATGGCCGCGGGAGAGGGTACACTAGGGGTCGGTTTCCGTTCTCGGTCATGTTAGACAGCCGTGCGGGATCGACCGAGAAGCAATTGGGCTCCATCTCCCCCAAGGGAATACGCCGGTGGCTCTTGAAGAAAGAATCGATCGGTTTCTCCGAGGGCTCTTGAATGGCACGTGGTGTGGGTGTGACACGGGTAGCCATCGACGCGGTACGTTTCCTTGGCGTAGGAAGGTCGGGAAGAAGGACCTTCTCCTTGGTGATCGGGTTCACATCCCCAGTTGCGATGCCCCTGGCAATCTCGGGTTCGATGAAGCTGCCGATGAACGACAACTCATCCACTTTGACGTCCGGGCCCGGCGCAGTAAAGTTGACTAGCGCGTTGGCCTTGGGGCAGAAGACCCACTGGTAGAGAAATGTCTGTTCGGCCTGGACAAACAGTTTCCAGTAGTCGGTTGGGACGTGATGCTTGCCATCGAATTGCAGAGTGCGAACCACTTTCTCGGGAGTCTTGTGCTTTCGGAGCATTCTGTGCGCGGTCTTCAGCCCTAGATTACTGATATTATCGAGGTAGTCGCAGCCGCTCAGGATGGCCATCTGTCGGAACTGAGCATCCGTCCAGCCCGTCAGAGAAACTTCACGACAAGCGCAGAAATCCTTTCGATTGATCTCGACGCATTGGCCGTGCTGGTCCAGCTTAGTTAGCAATCGCTTGGCTCCGAAGACCAGCAAGTCCGAATCTTCCGACAGGATGCCGGTGATATGGCCTTCACGTTCCAGATACACCAATTGCGGGTCGGCTTCGTAGGGCGCCACTACATAGGGCACACTAGCCTTCTTGAGCTCCTCGATCAGGTGGCGGGCCATCTCGGGGGTGATATCGATGGCTTTCTGGAGCTCGAGATGTGCGTGAGAAGGCTTGCCAGCCTTCAGAAGCTCCAGGCCGATTTTCCTGCACTCCTCTCGGCGCTTCGCGCGAGACGCCTCCGTGGAGCTCTTGCTGGGCAGGAAACCACCATCGAAAACCAGGTACGGCGTTACGCCAAAGTGCTTGAGCATGCGCACACGGTTCATGGCGAAGTCCACATACCTAGACGGTCGACTGGTAAGAGACGGTTCGCGACGCGTAGCGTAGCTCGGCGGCGGCACTTACTTGCGGGTTGGCTTGCCTTGAGCAAGCTCGATAGCGCAGGAGACAGCGCCTCGATGCAGCCAGCCATAGGCATCAACACCGAAAGTCTCGCCATCATACTTCTTTAGCCTTGCTGGTCTTTGTATTGATTTAAGCAACGGGAGTAGACCTGGGCACGTTATTAGCCAATAGCCTCGAGAGCACAGCCCCGGGTCCTGCAGGGCATACCTTGAATCCCCATATCGACGAGTCAGAGGAGGCTGCTTCTCTACTGCCCCCGACCACGATAGATGTCTATATAGTGCCCACCAGGCCACCCACACATGCACCCGTCAACGGCCAACACCGACCCAGATTACCACCGGAGCCTAGGTAGCAAATGGGCAGCAAGAGCATAGGGAAGCTAAATATTCGGTGGAGGGTCGCGCGTGGGTTTATAAGCAATCGATATGAGGAGCTGGGCCACGGGCGGCAGACGACATGCAGGTAAACACGCCAAGAACAACATCCAACTACACGGCCAAGCACACCGTCTTTTGACCGGGGGAGGGAATTCGGACAGCAGGAGGGGAACTCGAGAGGGCGTAGCAAATCAGAAGAAAGCAGAGGTCGAGATCTCAAGCCGGCAGCGGATTGTATGCTTGCGGGATGGCAGGATATATAGGTATGAAGGGGAATGGCAGGACGCGCGACGGACCGGGCTGGTATGGCTGGAGAGGCAGTAAAAAAAAAGCAGTTGCCAGGTGCCCGGGCGAGAGTGTCCCCTTGCGCCTGCCCCTGGGAGCGGGTCTGGGTGGTCAATCGATAAAGGGAGCAACCGCGTCGTGGGGTGCCACACCGCGACTTCCACCGTGCTCAGCAGCGCGGCCACCAGCCAATCACCGGCCGCACCTCCAGCCCCAGCTTCAGCCGAGACAGGAGTAGCGGGTACCTGGGCAAGATTAATGCAGTGGCTGGAATTGGACCGCGGACCTAACAGGAGACACGTAGCGAATACAAAAACAATCTATTCCGTATGAGGCGGGCCCTCATTCCCGCGATGCCGAAGTACCTAGCCACAGCCATTACCGCTGCAGGTACTCCGTGCACATCCAGCATTGGACAAGCCTCTTCTTAGGTACTTACCGGCCCCTCTTCCACCCGATTTCTAGAAATGCATCCCTGTCTCTAAGTACCTACACCAGAAGAAAAAAAAAAGAAAGAAAGAAAAGAGAAAAAGAATCAGACTCCAGATTCCGTCACCACCACCACTACCACCACCTATTCTAATATTCGCTTCGCTCAAGACATCCCGCCATACTCCCCCGACTCGTGCCACCATGCCGAAGACGCTCGAGAAGACGCGCAAGGCTATCGCGAAGAAGAAGGGCCCCATCGATTCCCTCCACCAGTACTCGCGCGACTCCAAGAGGCTGCATCGTGCCCAACTGCGGGACGAGAAGCTGGAGAAGATTGCGGCATCTCGCAAGAAGAACGATCGACCTTTCCGTACGTCGTAGGGTGGATCCGACGCACCGCCGTCCGAGTGGCTTACTTTTCTCACTGCGTGACCAGTCCAGCGAGCCGCCTTTTTCCAGGAGGCGCTGAACCAGAATGGGAGCAAGCCCCTCTCGACGGATGTGATCCAAGAACTCGTCAAGACGTCAGTCCCACCCGTCCAATGCTGGGCGCACGGCCCGGATCCTTGTCGGCTGACCGTGTATGCGTATCCGTCTGTAGTTTTGTGCACCAGCACGACGAGGAGTTGAGCGAGGTCAAGAAGACGCGGCGACCCGGACGACCCGCCAGCGCCAAGGAAGATCTGCTCCAGGTCAAGATTGATAAGCTACAAAAGGAGCACCAGAGCGGGTTCCGTTAGTATCTGTCCGTGCGGGTGGCGAGATCTCGTCTAGCTGACGACGTTTCAGTTGTTCCGGCGCTCGATTCGGAAGAAAACGCCACGCTCCTCTGTCGCTGGGAGGGCTCGTGGTCCTACTTGACCACTCTCAGATGGGTCCGAGTATCTTCGGATGGAGCAGTCCAACCCTCGAGCTTCCCTCCGAGGGGAACATATTGAGAGGGGGGGCCATCCCGGCATCCACGTGCTTACCTTCTCCTGCCCAAGCATGCATGTGTGACGGCTGCCTGTATTCTTTTCCCCTGTGCTTTCGGCTGATGTTTCTATCTTCATCCTGGAGCAGACGGGGCCTTACCTACGGACTGGGACGTTCCCGAGACCATGAGAAGGGAATCGGCCTGCTTTGACAATTGATTCGCAAAGCCGCGGTTACCCACAGCCCTGGCACACCTCAGCTGCAAACTCCGTCACTAGCCAGCAGGTACAGCTTTCCCCTGGAGAAAACTGAACGGTGGCCGGAAACGGAATGCATACCTGTTAGTCTTGAGCGCTCCGGTCTCGACCGTTACCAACTGCGACACTATGAAAGCGGGCTCAGCACCGCGTGGATCAACCTGCCTAAGGGTGTCGTATAGGTACTCAACTTACCCTGCTCTAAACGCGACAGCGGGTGCCCCCATACAGAACGAAGAAGTCGTGGTTGCTTCTAACACGGGTGCCTGCCCATGACGGCCCTTTTGAGAGCACCCAGTTGCACGTGCGAAAGACGCAGATAGCCGAACGGCCATGGGACGTGGGCTCGCCAGAACACGCGCCTCCGGACCCGGGACTCCTGAGAAACCTCAGCATCTCCCGAACTACCGGCCGTTCGACTGGCTTGTCATATATAAACTAAACCACCTAGCCCCGAGTCATAGAATGTGCGACCTTTCACAACGTCCTTCTTATCTTGTGCAGTCCCATCCCCACACGGCTACCTGCTCGATGCCATTATCCCCTTTGACTGGGTACTATTTTCAGTGTTAATTCTATAATTCGTAGCACATGTTGTAAGCTACTAGCCCATTGCCTATCTCTGCTGGCCGACGGGCGGCGAAGCTATTGGGATAGCCGTCCTCCTCCCTAGCAACGGCCATTAAGGATGGGGCCTTTTCCCTCGCTCCTTTTCGGTACCCGATTGGTCCGCTCACGTATGTCGTAGCTCCCTTCTCGAGATGGGTCACACCACGGGGAGAACCACAGGGGAGAAGAAGGTGAACGGGTAATAATCGATGCGCGAAGCACAGCCGGTCTTGTATAAATTGGGACGGAATTTCTCCAGCGCAGAGACATAGGTGATGGTGATCTCTACTTCTTACGATGAACTCCACTGCAAGCCAAGTTGCGACCTAACCGCGCCGTATTTCTGACGTTACCCCAAGTATGTATGCAGCCCTAGACTTCCAAGCCAACTTCGTCTAATTGAGGGCAATGTAGGAATGTGTCAATACGTCACGCATTTGAGGACCTGTCACGTCTGCGGCCACGAAGAGACAGTCCTCATCTCGGAACAATCGTGCAATATGGCACGAAAGAGCGGTGTATTCGGGAGCTGTGGCACGGGCGTCGACAACATATCGAGCAAAACCCAATATCGATGCTGGGCGTGTAAGGAAGAGGTCAGCCTGGTGTGAAGAGCGTCCGACTGTAACTGCGAATTGCAATGTTCCGGATCGGCGGGAAGCAAACTACGAACGGCTAACCGACGGAGTCCAATATTCGACATAGCGTAACGGATGTCCGCAAGACGTGAGCTCTTAACCGATGTCGTGTTGCCCAACCCAGCTAGTTAGCCATGCGGGGGAATTTGGGAGGAATATTCGGCGGCTAGAATTGTATGGACCTGCAGTGGATGCCGCCAACGCGGGGGGGGAACACTCAAGAACCATCTCGCCGAAATGCATAGGTTCTTCTTGGCTTCGGGGGGTTGAACGTGTAATGTATATCAAGGAGGAGAAGGATGAAAGAAGATTGCTCGCTTAATCCAATACCTAAAAAGAGATGAATTTGTGCAGTTGATAGGCATTTATCCAGTACTAAAGTATGTACCAGGCACCGCTTTGCGTAATTAAACGATAAACGATAAGAGATAAGGAGCGGGTGTCCACTTAGATTGCCCGCATTGATAAAAAAATTTTAGGTACTCATAGAGCTTCTTGAAGAACCGGGCCCCAAAAAATCACAACCTCCCCCCACCACAGCCAACCAGCCGAGATAGCCAAATAACTCCCGCCTATCAGACCACCTACGTTTCCATCCCGACCTCTCGATTGTGCACCTAGCATCGAGGGCCCGACGATGATGTCCCTTCGAGCTGTCGCGCGCTCCGCGCCTCGAACCCTGACCCGCTTCAGCTCCACGGCGATGCGACAATCCCGAGCAGCTCAACCGATCTCCCTGCTGAAGTCGACGTCATGGGCCCCTTACAGGTCGTCACAGTTCGCGTCGGCTTTCTCGACCTCGCAGTTCAGGCGGGCCCCCGCGCCCGAGGTAGATGGCGAGCTGTCCGCCAAGCTCGAGAGCGAGCTCCATTTCGAAGCCGATATGAAGGAACACACCCCGACGCCCGCCAGCATCACCGACTTCCTCGACAACAGCCCGTTCAAGCTCGAGGACGTGGACGGCAAGGAAGATCTGGTCTTGACGCGCAAGTTTGGAAACGAGACGTGAGTCGCACTGGAGGATGTAGTCCTAAGAGTCTCCGGGCCATGGCTGTCGCCAGCTGGTAAACTAACGTTTCCTCGTTTTAGCATCACTATCACCTTCAGCATCTCCGATCTGACCAACTACGACCCCGACGACGTGTACAACGAGGACGCGGCGCTTGCCGACGAGGATTCTGAGCAGTCGGAGGGCAAGCGCCAGTCGGCGAACGAGAGTGAGACCGAGAGCGAAGGTGAGGACAACCTTGAGGACGAGGATCTTAACCAGGCCTCGGTGCCGTGCCGCCTTACCATTGTGGTCGAGAAGCCGGGGAAGGGAGCGCTCAACATCGAGGCCACCGCGCAGGACGGCCAGATCCTCGTCGACAACTTCTACTACTACAAGGACGCGAAGCTGGCGCACGCCAGTAACGCTGAAACTTCCCACGTCGCCCACGAAACCTATCCCGGCCCGCCGTTCGGCACCCTCGACGAGGATCTGCAGGTCCTCCTGGAGCGCTATCTCGAGGAGCGCGGCGTCAACCAGGCTCTCTCTCTCTTTGTGTCCGAATACCTCGACCACAAGGAGCAGCGAGAGTACCATGCTTGGCTGAAGAATGTTAAAGCGTTCATCGACGCCTGAGATGGCGGCGGTCGGGGCGGGGTCCTAGCGGGTAGAGAGCGTTTATCGTAAGCCGGGCAAGGGCAAGGGGCCAGGAGAGGAGAAACGCGATCATCCGCGATGTATTATGAGAACAAGGGATCCAGGTCATCCTCATGTACGACTTCCGCAACTCTACACAGAACTTCACATGTACAGTAATTATGATGGCCACAGTTGGCACCTCCTGGGCCGCAAGGAGAAGACTCACTCACGTCCGTAAGGGCCGAATCGAGGTGACCTGCAATGGCGGCATCCGAGTTATCTATCTGGTCGTGCAAGGATGAAGCCGTTGCCGTTCTTTTGGTCGCCTATCAACCCCCTCGGACCTCTCTAGACCTTATATATTCTCTATGAACGCAAAATTGCCTTCTCTTCGCACCACCGTCAGGATCTACCGAGCTCGGATTCTCGCCTCCCCCTCCTCCCCCCCTTTTCCCCTTAGATAAACCAGATACTTGAATACACGCCTGTTCTGTGGAGCGGGCGCACATCGGTGCGGAGATAAACACGTCTTCCCTGCCTATTCGCAACGTATTGCAGTAGAGAGGTGAAAGGATGTTGCATTAGGAATAACTAGATCAACCTCCGTGTGTGAGGCTAGGCTGTTACTTTCTCTATAGCGGGCGGCTTATGGGAGATATCGGTGTCGGGCGAATATCAGTGAGCGGCTTTTGCGCTAGACGGCGTTTGCCCTGGCTGCGCAACGTTGTGTTTGTATGTGCCGACCAGCCCGCCAAATGCTAATATTACTCTACGAAGCGACCCGTGGCATCGGGTACGATTTATGCTCGTCCTCTCAGGCTTTGCCGCTGCGACTATTATGAGTATCCGGACGTTTATCCAAGGTTCGGTATCGTCATCAGGAGGCTGGTTCGGGTGGAAGGCCGTTGGCACGCTAATTGTATTTCTATCACAGGTTTATTTGATGCGGCGTGATCTGGACAAAGGGTCGCGACTATGAACGGGATAACCAGCGGTGGAAGCGGCACCTGTTGTTTCGGTGCCCAGTTCTTCTTCGCTCGCCTCCACTCCTCCATATGAAGGGCGCTTTTCCTATTACTCTACGGAAAGCGACCGAGGACCTCCACAACATACAGTTTGCGTCTTCGCAAAAATCTCGGCGATGAGTGGCGAGTACCGCAACAAACGCATAGCAAATAAAGTACAAGACGAGTCACTTGTGCTGCTATTGACTTTATATGAACCCCTTCTCCTTCACCCCGATGGTTAATGTGTGAATCAGAGGGGGATGTGGGTGAATAATCGTCACCACCTAGGTATAAAAGGCGAGCTCTCCCGACCCCAGGGAGAGACTCAGCAACTTCAACCAACAACCTATTCATACCCTCCTCCTCCCCACGATAATACCCTCGTTTATTACCGGGACAGGACACACGTTCATCTTGATATCAATATTGTTTCGTCGTCTCGCGCTGGGCAGGGCATTCCCCTGGTCGCCCTCGTCAGTTTCAACTCACCAACCTACTTCCTACATAAACTCGCCGTCCCCTGCCCGACGGGGCGATCTCACCGTCACTTGTCCCCTATGAATCTCGGCCTGGGTGGCCATCGCCATCCATTGCCTGACAATATAATCCTCCAGTCCTACCATTTCTCCCAGTCCTAACTGTACCGTGCCAACCGAGGAAGACCACACCCCGCCCCTCGTACTCCCGGTTGATTTCCAAGTCGCACAATTACAAAGCTGCGAAGATTGCCAACTGAGACTGCAACCTTTACGATGCCACCTTGCAACTAGAGCGCATCTGTCCGGATCTCCCAATCACCCGCTCGGCGAGAGTCGACGCGAGGTCAAACCCACACTCACGCGAACCACGCGCCCTCGATGGTTTTACGTCTGATCCACCGCTTCTGGGCTACTCAATTCGATGTCGTCCGGAACAGTGCCGCCACATGGAGAAGAGTCGCAGCCGACAAGAGGCCAGTGATGCGATGGGGCCACAGAGGAGCCTCTCTCAGTAGAGACAAAAAAGGCCCTCGGTGGTAATGCCCAGATCTGAGGCCGCCGGTGGGATGTGTCGCGACGACGACCCTGAATCAAGGAGGTTCCGTTAGCGAAGCGCAGGGACCTCATAAGCTGGTTATTTTAAGAGATTCAGTTACCGCCTTTTTAATCATTGGAATTACACCGCAAGGGAAACCTGCCTTTTTATTACCAACGACTCGTCGTTGGTATCGGAATGGAACTAGGGCTTTCGATGGGATGAATCGAAACAGCCCAAGTTCATTCGAGGAGGTTCTGTTAGCGAAGCTGACGGCTTGCAGGGACTTCATAAGCTGGTTGATCTCGTCATAAGAGATTCAGTTACCGACTTTTTAATCATCGGAATTACACCGTGGGGAAACCTGCCTTTTTATTGCCAATGATGAATTGCCGACAGGAGCTCGGTAGCTCTTGAAGAAGGCAACGTTCCTTATTAAGTCGGCACGACTGAGGCTATCGGTAGAACGATTCGAGCGACCTGAATTCAAGAGGTTGCGTTAGCGAAGCTAACGACTTGCGGGGACCTTATAAGTTGCCGACTTCTCATCATAGAAGCGATGCTTTTCAGCTTCTCAAAGTTACCACTGGCAAATAATCATTAGAATTACACCTGAAGGAAACCTGCCTTTATATTACCAACGAGTCGTCGACAGGAGCTTAGTAGCTCTTAGGGACGTTCCTTATTAGGGAGACTGGTCGTCTCGGTACGACTGAGGCTATCGGTAGAACGATTCAAACGGCCTGAATTCAAGAGGTTGCATTAGCGAAGCTAACGACTTGCAGGGACCTCATAAGCTGCCAACTTCTCATCATAGAAGCGAGGCTTTTCAGCTTCTCAGAGTTACCACAGGCAAATAATCATTGGAATTACACCACGGGGGAAACCTGCCTTTTTATTGCCAATGATGAGTCGCCGACAGGAGTCCAGTGACTCTTGAAGAGAGCAACGTCCCTTGTTAACGGGATTAGCCATCTCGGCACTACTGAGGCTATCGGTAGAACGATTCGAACGACCTAAATCAGGCAAGGTTGCGTTAGCAAAGTTAACGGCTTGCAGGGACCTCATAAGCTGGTTGGTCTCGTCATAAGAGATTCAGTTGCCGTTCTTTTTTAATCATTGGAATTACACCATAGGGAAACCTGCCTTTTTACTGCCAATGATGAACGACCGATAGGAGCTCAGTAGCTCTTGGGGACGTCCCTTGTTAAGGAGACTAGCCATCTCGGTACGACTGAGGCTAATATCCGTGGGATGATTCGATCGACCTAAATTCAACAGGTTCCGTTAGCGAAGCTGACGGCTTGCAGGGACCTCATAAGCTGGTTGTTTTCATCATGAGAGATTCAGTTATTGGGCTTTTAATCATTGGAATTACACCATAGGGAAACCTGCCTTTGCATTGCTAACGAGCCGCCGACAGGAGCCTAATTAGCTCTTGGAGAAGAGGGCAACGTCTCTTGTTAAGGAGACCAGCCATCTCGGCACGACTGAGGCTATCGGTAGAACGATTCGAACGACCTGAATTTAAGAGGTTCCGTTAGCTTTGCTAACGGAATGCAGGGACCTCATAAGCTGGTTAACCATTTTCGCCATAAGAGATTCAGTTGCAGGTTTTTTAATCATTGGAATTACACCATAGGGAGACATGCCTTTTTACTGCCAATGATGAACCGCCGACAAGAGCCTAATTGGCTCTTGGAGAAGAAGAGGGCAACGTCTCTTGTTAAGGAGACAAGCCATCCCGGCATGACTGAGGCACTTTGATCATGAAGTTGTGGGTGTCGAAGACAAACTCGAAAGAGCCAAGTGGCCAGTGGAAGACAAGTGTCTCCGGCGGTTTCTTCAGCGGTGGTGACATCGGATTCGGCTAGAGGAGACAGGGGGGACAGACACACTACCCGCGGGATCAGGCCCGTGTGCGGTATCACGGGGGGATCCGGCCACGACCTGCGAAGGCTGGCAGAGGACGGGGTTCGAGCCGGCAAGGGGACAGGCAGGCTAGGGAGCAAGCCGCGCAGCGAGACATGCGAACACGGGGCGCACCTCCAGGCCGACGAAAACGGGAATGGCTGGGAGAAAAGGATCTGAGGGGAGAGTGTAGAAGAAGAGAATCTGAGGGGAGAGCCCAGAAGAAGGGAATCAGAGGGGAGAGTCTGGGAGAAGAGAATTTAAAGAGAAAAGCTGGGAGCGAGCAAGAGAGGAGATGTAGGTACAATTCGAAGCCGCAGAGGGCACGAGCTAGAGAGCGACGTCCGCTCGCCGATATTGATGGCGAGTCTCGGATTAGCAGCGGCGACTAGGCGTCTTGCAACGCCAGGTACGTTGCGGCTTGACGGCGTGGCAGCAGGTGTGTATATATATGTGTGTGTGTGCTGATACAGGCATGGAAAGTCACTAGGTAGCTATACGGTAGTGGCTCTGCATAGATTTTGACGCGTGCTATTCGCAGAAAAGAAAGGGCATAGATCCAAGGGCAGCTCCTTTCCGTATATTCTTTTTTCCTCGGGAGGGAGCATGCAAGAAGAGACGGCTTTTTTCTTCTTCTTTTGCTGGGGTATGAAAGCGCTGTGGGAAGACGAAGCAATTGCGGTCTCCCGAGCAATGAATCCGGTAGCAATATCTCTCTGGATGCTGTCTCATGGCTTACGCACATACTCTTTATGAACATTAATGCTATCGCCCTTCCTATTTGCAAGACTGTCATTGAGGAGGCAAGGTCTATGAGGCACCGCTTGTGGGTGTTGCCGCTGCTGTCTTGCAATCGAAACAGCTGCCAGAGGGCGGGCAGTCATCCAGGCTGCCGCTCTTTACGTCTATCTTCTTCTGTGCTAGGTGCACATTTCCATATGCAGATAGGAGGTGGCCATCTCCTAGCCACGTAGAAACTGCATCGACTCTTGTTTAAAAGCGTGGCAATACACATGTGGCCCAGCCTACCTACCTCCTAAGATAGAGATCGTTGCGTACGTACAGACGGCACGAGAGCACCGCGATGGAGTTTCCTCAGTTTAGTACCGTGGCTCTCGCGTCACCACCACCTCTATACCTATCCAGGCACCCAGGTAGGGACGGGACCATTACTATCTTCATGCCTACTACACAATGCATCTGCCTCTTGCCTTAGCCATCTAAACTTAATTCCTCCTGTCACACGGCAAGCGACTCACCTCTTTGTGGGCTGTTGCCTTCCTAGCCGACGGAGGAGAAGAGAGAGGCTTCCACTATTAGGCGCTGAGTACGGGTCCTTTGCAGTGGCAGTGCCTTCGGCGTGACGTTGTGAAGAGCGAGATTTTCGAGCACCACGGCGGTAGACTATTCCCCATGCAGCTTCAAATGTTTAGCCGTCAGCCGAGGGCCGGGCGGCGCAGACGGAACGAACAGAGATATGGAGGGCGATAGAAAGGCAATAGAGCAGCTGTCTACAAGTTTTGTTCAACACCATGTTTGACATGAACACCGCAGACGGCTCCGGACGCCCAGTGGAACAGAGGGAGAGCGGTCTAATGAAAGACGGAACGGCCGGGCCTGTGAGAGGTTCTATCAGAGGAATAGTAGGGAGGCAAGGTATATGCTCCGGACTTGCGGGATGCTTCCGGGTTCTTCTACGCCCTTCGCGAAGTTCAGAATCACTCTTAAAGAGCTTAAGGTACGATGGTATGTTCTCCGCAGTGACGGACAACCGCACTCACACCTTTCTCCCCGGGGACTACTAAGAGGGGCGTGGATATGGGGCTTAGAGGTGGGAGTTGAGAGGTCCCGTCGTAGGCCGTACGGCCCCGCTGCCTCTGCCGACTTTCACGGCGAATTCGGTATTAAGTAGCGTTGGGACAGCCTGAGGATTCCGCATATCCATAGTACCCCCAATTTCCTGAATGGGAACCTTCTATCCGATCCGTCGAGACGCCGCGCTACAATCCGACCAGACAATTGCCCGCCACACTAAGCTGTCAACTTGTCTACCGTCGAATGGGGGGCCGATCTTAGTACCCAGCTCCAGAGCGAGCACAGGCGGAACGGGCTGGTTTCCCTGGCTTATGGTTCACGGGTTCGGGAGGGACTCTACATGTCTAATACTCGCCGGGCCCGTCTAGTTATTATCTCCTACAGGTCTGGCTGAGGATTTCGGCCGGTTCGTCTTCGCCAGCTAGGCCGTGGACCGTGCCGGAACCACGATAATGAGCGAGGTATCAGCCCGCCTGTAGTGCGAATAGGGGCGGGGAGGGGAGGATCCTACGCGGCCACCGCCAAGGGCTGCTCGTCTCGTCTCTGCTCTCTCGCTCGCTCGTCCGCCCAGCACAACGTCATCCGGGGCCAGCAACACGCCTTATAGCTGGCCTAAGCCGTGCTCTTGTAGTCGGATTAAGAAACGGGCTCGATACCCGAGCGGAGGGATCCCGCATATAGGCTAATATATACAACGCGCGCACATGGTCGACCTCGGGGCCTTGGCAAAATCATCCTTCTCTTCCTCCCCTCCACACCCCCCCCTACCTGATATCATCGGTGCTATTATGATATGAGCAGCAAGGCCATATTAACCGCTGCACGCCGTCCGCGCACATGCACGTCCCAGACGTCGCACTCGGCATTCCATCTATCCATCCATCCATCCCACCCCTCCTCCTGTGCCCCCCCCACAGCGCCGATATTTTCCCGCGCGAACAACCGAACCCCCAGGCGCGCACAAACCCAACCCGGGACGTAGGTATTGTTATTATTATGTGCCGCGCGGGCAGTTTAGATTAAAAATGGCGACGGCCAAGGACGAAAGGCGCTCTCGGCTCGAGGCTTGTTCTGCGCGCTAAGGCCGCCGCCGCGATAGCCTCAATGCTACGTCGACGACGACGTCGCCAAGGACGGCGGCGAAGGCGCGGTCGGTTGTGGTCTGGTGGCCGGGGAAAGGAAGGGGAAAAGGTTGTTGCCGCTCCACTTCGGGGAGTGCGATGGGGAGTGCGATGGGGAGTGAGAGGGAGAGGAAGAGGGAGAATTAAGAGGTTACTAGAAGTGCTACGACGGCACGAGCGCCGAGCAAGAGATATATATGTAAAAGTAGAGACTGGGTGTCAAATATGTACCTATAATATAGTCTGTCCGCCCTTCAACTGCCTAAACCTACGGTAGGTACTGACTGCATCGTCCGCAAAGTCCCTCGAGCTCCTCCCCCCCCGCGAGCCGAGCTGCTCGCCGCCTTGGCCCTGGATGCCAACACCCTTCCCTCCCTCCGCCCCGTCTCAAGCTAATAATAGCACGAAGGAAAGATGGACGGATAGATAGATAGATAGATAGACGAACGACAGGTTACGATCCGTGGCCCCCTCCGCGTTCGGGCCCTGCTAAGCAGCCGGCGGGCGGGGGGCTCAGGACTGCTCGACGGTGATGCGGGCGGAGCCGCTGCTCTGGTAGCCCTCGGTGGCGAGGATCTGGTAGTTGTGGGTGCCGAGGCGGAGGCCGGCCTTCTCCCAGGCGTCGAAGTGGTTCTTGATGGTGACGGAGCCGCCGACGCGCTTCTGGCGGCGGACGGACCAGAACTGGTAGAAGGTGGCGGTGCCGTCGATCGACGGCTGGTTGACGCGCTGCGTGCGGTAGATGTCGTACGTGCCCCCGTCGCTCTCGATCTCCCCCAGCTTCCCCGCCCCCGTCGACGGGTTGTACGTCCCGAACGCCTCCACCACGTAGTACTCGATCAGCGGGTTCCGCGTCCACCCGTACACCGACAGGTAGCTGTTCACCGAGCCCCCGTTCCACGTCCCGTTGTACGTCACCACCCGCGTCGCCCCCGGGTTCCACCCCTTCCCCGCCACGAAGTTCCCCACGTTCTGCCACGACACGTCGTACGAGCCCCCCGGCCCGTTGTTGTACGTCACCTGCCCCGCCCCGTCCGTCCAGAACGAGTAGAAGAACCCGTCGTGCGTCCCCGTCCCGGCCGGCGTCGACCGCGTGATCAGGTCGAGCGGCGACGCGAGCGCCGCGCCGCTGAGCGCCGCGAGTGCGGCAAGGACCGAGGACCCGAGCATGGTTGGCCGTGAATGGGGTGTGTTCGAGTGGGTGGTGTTTCAGGTGGTGGGAGCCCCTGACTTGATAGACTGCTGCGTCTTGGAGGGAAAGGTGCGGAAAAGGACCTGGGACTCTTTGGCTGCTGCTCGTCGTGGAGCGTCCCTTTTATATTCGGCGGGCCAGGGTATCCTCGCCATTTCCCGCCAGCTCTGTTTTTACCCAATTGGCCTCCCTCCAGTCCTCAACCCCCCCTTTTCCCGCCCTCTCACCCATTGGGTGCTAAGCTGCGATGCCGTTTCATCCTGGCTCCCGAGCATACGATGGCGTTGAAATTCGCATGTTTATGCCATCTCTAGGGGGGGAAGGGGGGGAAGGGGGGGTAAAAGCTGCGAATTGCCGACAGCGCCCATCGTGAAAACCCGGGTTCTCTCACGACGTCGGCAGGATGGAAGAGAAACAGAGGCGGACGCAGAGAGAGAGAGAGACAGATAGGTAATGATGGACGCCCGTCCGATTTTTGCCGCCGGCTAATTTGTAGAATCACCTACCCTCCACTTATTATTGCGTCGTCCCCCCGGTCGGCCACATCTCGTCATTGAAGGAGGTCTCGTGCTATACGCCTACCTGGGACCAGACGCGCGTTCAGATCCCATCCGGGCGCCTTGAAGCAAGCCGCGGCCAGCTGTCTCGCGCGGGCCAGAGCAGCAAGGAAAAACAAAATCCTGCTCGCGATATGGCGACGGAGCATCTTGTCTTTTGCCGGATTTCATCCCCCGCGCACGAGTGCGACGGCGACGGCGGCGACGATAGAGCCGAGCGCGCGAAGGGCCAGCGTGCAGGACGCCGGCGGCTAAGCTTCGGCAAGAAAGCGAGGTAGGGCAGGGCGGAGCAGAGCAGAGGAGGGCAGAGGAGAGCAGCAGAAATCTCTCTTTCTTGCCTACCTACTGGGCGCAACCGGCCGGGAAGGGCGGGACTTCTCTTAGGACGGCCGAGCTGGAGCGCGCGCACTGCGCTCCGGCTGAATCTGGCAATATCTCCGCCCCCTCGCCAGCACCGCGTCACGCTAGGTACCGTACGACGACTCCATAAGACGATTTCCATCCGACAGCGACAGGCGACTCGTCGAGGACGTAGTTCGTGATGTGTCTGCGCCTGCGTCTGTCCCTCCTACCCATGCCAGCGTCTCCTGGCTGGCCGGGCCGTCTACGCAGCAAGCCGCTTTGCTAGTCCCGCAGCATTCCTCCCGAGGTGAGGTTCGCCGCTGCGCTGCCTACCCACCGACCTGACCGTCCGCGGTGTGTTGCGTGCGCGCGTATGTGTGTCTCGGGGGTTTTGCGTGTCCATGCATACACACCTACACACTCACGCAACGCGCGCACGCACGTATAGCAGAGCCGAAGGCTGGGTAGCTCCGCAGCTCAGCTCGAGGTGGTCCGCGGGAGCACGCGCAGGAACAGGAGTCGGGGAGCCGGAGCTCGAGGACCATGTCGCCCCCCCGCGCGCCCCTCCCCCTTCCCCCCCCCTCCCCAGCACCGGACGAGGTTTCAGCCCGACGCTCGCACACGCACAACGCACGCGCTCGTCCCAACGGTTATCGTGCATACGGCACATGCAGCCGCTTCCGCTCCTCCCCGGTCTCAATGCCATCGTCGTCGACCTCTCTCTCTCTCTTTTTGTCCCAACTAACGGCCCCCCCTTCCCCTTTCGACAGCGTGGCGTTCGGCCAGATATGTACGTATATATGTAGGATGGCGCCGGGGAGCTCGTGCCCTGTTCCTGGTAGGGCGACGGCGCCGCGGGATCGCTTGGCGGGCGGACGGGCTAACTACATACAAACATCCATCCATCCACTGGCTATGCGCTTTCCCGTCCCCCTTTTTGGGAATGGGGGGGTTTTTTTCTTGGGTTATTTCGCGCTTCCTTCGAGAAAGGCCAGCGAAAACCGGCACAGCATCAGGTACTGCCGACTCGCGCACCTCGACTCGCTGGATCGATCACGATCCGATCCGATCCGATCCGCTGGGCACGAAACGACGTCGATCTGAGGAGGTACATCCCTCCCGTCTACCCATAGTCCGCCAGCGATCCCGTTCAGGGGGGGAGCGGGCGGGAAATGAGCCTAGCGAGGCTAGCTAAGCCCGAATCGCAACGGGCTGACTGGCTGGCTGACCGGTCGGTTGACGAGGTTTGTCCAGGAGCGGGTCGGCCGAGAGCGAGATATAAGTCCGTCGATCCGGCCGGGGAGAGAGCGCGTGTTCGCGGTCGAGTATCGGTGAGCAAGTAGGCAGGCAAGCAAGAAAAGCACCACGCAGAAAGGGGGCCCGCACACACACACACGCACGCAAAGCTCAAATAACTCCACACGGCGATCTGCCCTCGCTTGCACCACTACTCGGTGGAGCTTAGTAACCTAGTATGTACTTACATACACACATACAGGTGGACGGGCTCAGGACGGAGGCGGGAGTGGGACGAGTGGACGTGACTGGATGACGTTGCTAGAAATACCTACATCGTCGTCTCCATCCTCGTTATCCATTGTCTCGTATGGCATTTGCCGGAGAGACGAAAAAGGGGGGGCTTTCCTTCTTGGTTCGCCCCCCCCCCCCCCTTTCCCCTCCTCCTCAGGCACCGATCGTCGCGGAGTTCCCGCTTCACCTGAACCCACCGCGAGCACTCGTATCGCCTTTCTGGCCCCTACGGCATGTGCCGTAGGTCGGGTATGGGATTTCCCGCCGAAGAGGCCATGTACATACATATAGGTATAGTAGGGCACCCATGCGGACTGTGGGATCCCTGCGTCGGGCAACAAGCCTAGCTAACTAACCCTGGGCACATGCTTACGGAGAATCATCTAACGAGGGGAGGGGGAGGGGGAGAGGAGAGCGAGGGGAGGGAAAGCGAGAGGGACAAGAGAGGAGGAGAGACTCGGACGAAACCGCGAGCGCTTACTCACCGCATCGAGGTCGTTTCTGGATGGATAGGAAGAGACAAGGAGACGACGCACCGTCGCGCGTCCGTTTTCACGACAGGCCTAGCTTTGCGTGTGTTCCTGTGACCGCGAGACGGCGTGGGGACGGGGTTACTATTGCTTGGGTTGTGATGAGCTATCCCACCCCCTGACGACGGGGACCGGGCCCCCCGCTCATCTGAAGCCCATGTTAGGTATTGTGTTGGACCGTGTCCGTTGTATTTTGCGGGCTTGAACCGGGGCCCCCCCTTCCCCTTCCCCCTCCCCCTTCGCCGTTCTCCCCACCGCGCTACCTAGGCTACGATGCTATGTGTGTAGGCGGGTAGAGAGATCAGCGAACACCTGCGCATAGGAGCGCACGCGCCCGCGCATGTAGGTGGGCGAGTAGGTATGTACGTACGCACGCACGCGCGGACACCCCTCGCGCATGCTCGCATGGTTGCGTCTCCCCTCCCCATCGCTCTCCATCGATGACTCCTACCGACGGCGGTGAGCAGAAGTCCTCCGCGTCGACGAAAGCGGAGGCCCAGGACGGCGGCGGCGACGACGATGACGAACGGTACGTTCCGCTCGCGAGTGTGAAAAAACGACATGGGGGACGGGCCACCCCCATATTACGTAGGTATGTAGGCAGGCGGGCAGGTTATCTTATGAGTGTCCTGCGACGTGCCAGGCTCGACACCCTGCGCGCCAATGCCTTGGGCGTCCGTCCGCCCGCTAGCGACCCAGTCTCGTCTCGTCTCGTCTTGTCTAGGAACCGAGGCGACCAGATGCGGGAGGGCCGGCCAAGGAAAGGGATCACATCACCGCCGTCCGGGAGGGGGTGGAAGGGGGACGCGCTCGCGAACTTGAGAGAGAGGACGGGGGGAGAGGGAATATGGGTGTGAGCGAGTGTGGGAGAAAGAAAAAAAAAGGGGGAGGGGGGAGGAACTCTCGATCAGAGTAGCCAAGCTAAGAATCGTTCAAGTCTACGCGGGCGCGGGCAATCCATTTGTCCACCCATCCAATGAAGCAATGAATTCGATCGTCTAAGGTAAAACCCACGAGAGCGGCTGAGACCCAGGCGAGTTCACCTTTTTAGGGGGAGGGGGGGGGGTGGATGCATACATACCTACGTCCCATACAACATCTGCATACCACGCACGCACATACATACATACATACAGCATGCCTACATATGTATGCACATACGTACGTACGTACGTGCAGCAGCAGGGCCTCTCGAGCGTGCAGGACGCGACAAGATTGGATGGCACTTATAACAGGTGTGGTAGTAGTAATAATGATAATAATATGCCCGATATTGGGGGGTTCGTATGGCAGCGCCCCCTAGCGAATGGGAACCCTGCCGAGAGGGAGGTAGTATGTAAGTGTTGCGCTGCTGGAACGGTGATACCCCCACCATCCGGTGTTGGCGTTGAGGAGAAGAAAGACAGAAAGAAGGATAGGAAGAAACAAAAGAAAGAAGGGTTTAGTCACACTCTCCCCCCTTTATCTCTATATTTTTCATTTTCTTCTTTTTTTTTTTCTTCTTTACCTCCATTCCCCTTTTTCCTACATCTCTTTTCCCCCCTCTCTGTCTTGTCCTATTTTCGTCCGTGACCCCGACCACTCGCCCCCCGGCCTTTGAGACGTGTGTATGGACATATATACGTACATACACACGTCCCTTAGGTAGTATCGTAGCCATCGTATGGTATTGTACTTATACAATATCTCCTTGGGCGGTCTGCAGTGGACCGTCCCGTGCATCGTGCGTGCCGCTACTACTACTTGGGTCGCAATATCTGGGGTCTGCCAAATTTGGCACTGCATTCGTCTCCGCCTAGGATGGGAGAAAAAAAAACTAAAAAAAGGGGGCTGTGGGGGGAGGGAGACGCAGAGAAGGAGAGGGAGGATGAGGGAGAAAGGGGAATGTGATGAGCCAAGACCCGACACTGTCTGCGACCATATCTTCTTCCTCTTCTCTCCTGAATTTGGTGAGCGAAGGAGAAGGGAAATAAAAATAAATACGACTTTCCCAAAGCCAAGTGAGTGAGTTCGGTGCGCAAGCGAATCCTGAAGAAGGGCCCTGGGCGTTCGTCAGCGCCACGACCGCTACACACCTATCCGTATACTCTATACAGAAGATGTGACGAGAGGTTGCCTGTCCGCACCAACCCGCTAGATACCGAAGAAAAAGAAAACTAGAGAAGAAGCGATTTTCCTTTAGTTAGAATTATGTCATCCGGGGAACGGAGCCCGATTGAATACCAAGATTCCCCTCCCCTCTCTATGTGCCGCACAACGGCAGAGCGGCAGGAAGAGCGGTAGCGGTAAATCCTACGGTAGTAGTTGAGCCCTCTCGCCCGTGAAGCGGCCGAGTTCGCATGAAATTCTTTTTCGGGGGGGAGACCCTTTCTCGATCCACCGATCCATCCGCCTTATCATGAGCTGTCCCTTAGTACCCGTTCTAGATCGATCGAAATGGAAGTCGAACAGACGTTCCTAAGCTTCTAGTGTCGAACATCACGCACCCGCACCCGCACACACACATCACACACACAGACAGCGGCTGAAACCCGCGGCCCCGACCCTTAATCCTGTCTCGTGTCACTTCTCATAGGGCTGTCAGATTTTATACCGTATGTATGTATGTATAGTCGTAGATCGATGATCGCCGTTGCTTACGGACAGTCTGGCGGATGGACACGGACGAGAGCACCATGACGGATACGACGACGAAACGTCATCCCCATCGCTACCCGACTGCCATCCTAGTGCCCGCGGCGCTCGATACCTGAGCATCGGCAGTCCTTCTTCTCCCCCTCTCACCCCGTCCCTCCCTCTCCACTCGCCCACTCCCTCGCTTGTCTTCTTCTTCTGCGTGCCGACCAATCACTGGATAGAGTAATTCTGGCCTGCGCGACTCGGTGCACCCGGGCTGAATGTGTAGGTATGTAAATAGGCATGTATGTGGGCATACATCCTTCCTTCTTCTCTTCTGGACTTAGCGTGGCGGTCTGTGCTGTCGCGGCCGAACATGATATGTCGTAAAATTCGTATGTTGTATGTATGTATGGACGGTGCGTATGTATACGCAGCTGCTGATAACCAGTAAATGGTAAATCTCGGGGGGCATCTCTCTCTCTTTCCTGCTTTCGGTCTCGATTTCTCTCCCTCGTTCTCCCTTTTCCAGAATTTCCAGTATCTGACATTTTTCCTTGCTAACCCCTTGGCATTAGGACAGGGGTCGTTGTTCTGGACACGGCTCGGGATTTCCGCGGTGCGTCGCCCCTCCACCCTGGAAGTTTGGTTCCGCTGGGAATCCAAAAAGCAAGGTGCTGTCGTGCACGAGGCCGGTCGATGAAAATGACAGGTCATAGAGCGACAGGGAGCCTAAATGGAACCGGCCGCGTCGGACTTGGGGTACCACAGCCGACAGGGTGACAGCCAATGCCTAGCTGCCACGGAAATGAGAAGTGAGTAGATCATCGACGGAGGCGCAGGGATCAAGGCATTAGATAATTACATTATAACTTTTTTTTTTTTTTGCAGCCTCATCAGCAATTCAACCTATGATCCTATGAATCCACCGTGTCCATCCCTCGTCGGCGCACAGCAGCCTCATCGACTCGACCGACAGGCTCACGAAGAGTTCTTGTTTCATCGAGTCTGCCTTGGCCGGCAGTATCAGCGCCGTGCCAAGGTTCCACGAAGCGTGTGCTCTCCTGATCGCATCTGCCCTGGCCACAGGCACGCCCGGGATGCTCCATTCCACATCCGCGCCGAAGTGTCTCCATGTGTTGAACGCCAGCACCTCTGGCTTTCGCGGGTCATAGTTGACCCCTACTAAGCGTGGGTCGGGCACCTCGGATAGCATGGCGAAGCGGTGGTTGACGTACTCCTGGTCGACTGCGTCGATTGATGCCTTCACGAGCGGCACGAGACGGGCGAGCTCGTCGTCGTCGTCGCAGGCCGCCGCCAGCTTGACCATCGGCGCTTTTGTAACGGCAGGTAGGGCCGCGTTGCCAAAGTAGTTGTCCGTCGCGCCTTGAAAGGCTCTCGTCCGCCAGTTGACCGAGTTCCATAGCATGGCGTTCCGTCCTGGTTGAACCTTGGGTAGGTATTTCTCGGTCGCGACGCGAGCTTTTGTAATGTGTGCGAAAGTGAGGGCGGCCAAGCTCGTGTAGGCCGACGGACGTTCCGCCATGCCGTTCTTTGCTCGGATCATCTCGCGCAGCTCGTGCAGTCGATCGTTCTTGAAGACGAAAATCTTGCCTATCTTCTCGATGCGTGCCATGGCCACTCCTTCCCTCTCCAGTCGCGGCTGCGTCGGGCCGCTGTAGTCGGTTAGCACCGTGTATTCCGGACACCTCTCGATCAGACTCTGGAATGAAGGCACCCCCGGTACGTGTATCGAATCTCGGCGGCCCCAAGAAGGCGATATCGGAAACGCCTGCTCCGAAGGCAGGTTGACTGGAGTGCCCCGCGTTTGGGCCGCGAAGCATTCTAGAAACACGCGTAACGATCCGCCGTCCACCAGCCCGTGGTGTAGGAATATGGAGAGAAGTAGGCCGCCGTCTGGAAATTCCGCTTCCACCTTCGACACCGGTATCGAATCGAGGCTGGAACTTAGACTTCCCGACACACCGAAGCGGGGATTTATGAAGGCACTAGGGGGGAAGCCGTCGTCTTTGAATCGTGCGTAGTCTAGTCGGCTCGCTTCGGTTGCGTGCAGAACTTTGAAGGGGATGTCCTGCAGCGGGGAACGGCGAAGCGAGACGCTGCCGTTGTTGATGTTCGCCTGAAGCCGCCCGGCGAAGACGGGCCGTTCCCTAGCTAGACGCTTTAGAGCGGTTTCGATGTGGCGGATGGCGTCTTGCCGGCGGCGGTTCTCGCACGGAAAGCAGAGCACGACGCATATGTATACTCGAGGCGCGCTCTGGTTCCACACCGAAAGTGGTTCTTGCCAGCAGAGATGGTCCTCCTTGTCCAGCATTGGCAACGGCTCGCGCGTGGCGAGGTAAGAGCGTGTGCGTCTCCTAGCGGTATCTGAGAGGGGCTTGGCCGTCCTGTGTTGCACGTTGCGACGTCGCGGCCGCGTAGTTATGTCTTCGCCAATCGGCGACCGCCTTTTACGCATCGTGGGCGGAGGATTTGTCTACGAGAGAGGAAGAGGGAGGAGGGGGGCGGGAGCGGGAAGCGTAAGCGACTAGGTTAGAGGCGCTAGCCTCGTGGGAAGGGAAGGGGAGAGGGATTCCGTGTGGTACGTGCGAGGAAGCCTCAATGGTCTCAATAGGGAAATCTCGATAGCTCAAGTGTCAATGGTACGAGTGCGGATGCTGTCGGAGGAAAGGGGAGGGGAGCGGGGGGGTAGGAGAGAGAAGAGAAGGAGTCGGTGGCCTTGGGAGGCGTCGTGTTCCGGTGCAGTCGCCGACGGGTGAACTCTTGTTGGTTTCTTCCTTCTCGTGGTTCTGCTTTCTTTTATCTGTTTTTCGCTTGGTCTCTGTCTCTCTCTCTTGCTCATCGTGGTGACATGGTAATGGTAGCGGTAGTGGTGGTGACGGTGGTGGTGGCGGTGGTAGTGACGGTGGTAGCGACGGTGGTGGTGACGGTAGTGGTGATGATGGTGGTAGGAACGGTAGTACCAGCAGCAGCAGCTCTGGGAGGGCCGAGACATGATATCTCTCTACGGCGAGCTGAACGAAAAAAAATGTGGGAGGGGCGATTAGCGAGAGGGTGAGCTAAGGTTGCTGGAGATGAAGATCTCTGGACCCTTGCAGGCTTGTTGAGATCAAATTGCAGGTCAAGTAGTAATAACCAGCGGAAACCGGGACCGCCCTGACGAGGAACCCATAGGTCGTTCCCACTGTTTCCGAAGATGTCAAAGTCAGGCAGGGATACCCAGAAAAGGCTGGCTGCAGATACTACCCCTCGTAACTCCACGTTGACCGCGTATGATTACCGTCGACGGTCCCCCCCTGCTCTAGTGGGAGCCGATGGCGCTAGGAAGCCCATAAAAGCCGTCAGATATGATGTTGGTTTGGTGAGAGCCGCCGCACTATCGCCTGCAGGCCTTGGGAATTCCGCCCATGCGTTCGCCCATGGGTATGGCGAGGTAGGCAAGGTCATCTGGTCTGGGCGCCGGACTGGATTTCCGTTTGCAGGCCGTAATGAAGGTCAGAGACCAGGATACCAACCACGCCTTTCCCGGCGAACGGTTTCCACCCTACCAAAACGTCTTCTAGGAAAATACGTTTCCATTTGCGGAAGAGCACCTTGGTCGCCTCGCTCATCTCCTGGGTGCCGTCGCTGTGTTTCAGCTCGGGGCCGATCTCGAGCTCGACGTGCTCTTGGTACCAGGCGTGGAATTCGTCATGGCGGGCCTCCCACAACCCTGGGCGGTCGTCCCTGGCCAGTGACATTTTCATGGAGTACTCACGGGCAGCGCTGCGCAAGGGGTGGCCGAAGTCGACGTAGACGGTGCGTAAGTAGGGGAGAGCGAGCAGAGGCGCGAGATCGTTACGGAACAGATAGGTGAAGCACACGCTGGGCAAGAGAATCTTCCTTACGAAGGCCAGATTGTGCCAAGCGCTGGTGTAGATTGCAGCCAAGGGTGGCGGCCAAGCAACGGCGGCGCAGCCGTCGCCAGAGTGAGGTGGGCGCCACTCGGGCGCACAAGCCATCTCGACGAGCACACCAACGTCGAAAATGAAGACGTCAATATCAGCTCGCACACGGCCTCTCCTGGAACCGTTGCGGGCCTTGAACAGCAGGCATCGGCTGACAGCCTCGTGGCGTGATTCTCGGTTGACCTGGAAGACGCCTAGGGTCGACTTCGGCAGAGGGAACTCGTCGAGACGGTTGAGATGGATGCTCAGGTAGGGAGCGCGGTAGGCCAATGACCAGGCACACGGAGGTCGTGGCTCGTAGACCATGTCGACAGCGAACCGCCAGATCATGAGCCGGATCTCGGTAGGCAAGCGATCCATGGTTAGGCCGGCGCTGATGAGCTGGCGGGCGCATCGGCGAGACGGATCGACGATGGAATGCGTCTGAGGGTAGCGCGAGTGCGCGAGGGCCAGCGTGGGAGTGGGAGTGCGGATGTGAGCACATGTATGTGTACGCATGTATGTATGTAGGTGTGTGCGTGTGTGCGTGTGTGTGTGTGTGTATGTAGGTATGTATGTATGCGTATGTGGGATGAATGTGCGTGCGTACCTCTGTATGCGAGTTGTGTGCGCTCGCGCGTGCGTATGCTGTATGCGTGTGTATTATGTAATGTGTCTGACCTATGCGTGGCATGTGGTAGGTGTAAAGGTGTGTGTGTTTCTCTCTCTTCTCTTTCTCCTCTCTCTCTCTCTTTCTCTCTATAGGATCATTATCTTGTATTTTCCTGTACCACTGCCCTTTTTTTCCGGCTTCGGAGATGGGCATCGATGTGCGCCAGGGAGGGGCACAGAAGAATTGAAGTCTTTTTTTTTCCTCCCCGTCTTGTTCGTCTCCTCCTCCTCCCCCTCCTCCTCCTCTTCTTCTTGTCTCTCTCGTTGGCTCTCCCCCTCTCCCTCTCATTCCCGTTCTCGTTCTCGTCCTCGTCTCCCTCGCTCTCGATGGCCAGATCCGGTAGGGGTGGGCGAGATGGGCAAATCGTCGGGTCGACTAGGTCGGTTGGCATTCGGCGGTGGGGGTGGAGAAGGGGAACGGGAGGGCGGAAGGTTGGAGAGAAAATCGATAATTGTTCTCGAGGTGGTTCGTCGAAATCAACTGGCTGGGAAGCGACCCGACAGTTCCGCGCTGCGACGGCCCCTGCCGTCGTCGTCTTTGCACCGGCTCCGACCGGCTGCTCGCCAGATGGCGTTCGCCTTGTTACACAGCCTTAAGCCCTCGAGCACGGCGCGCAGACAGAAGGCAGGCGTAACGCAGGCACCTGGTCGGGCTCGCCTGGCGGGGTTACACAAGTGCACAGCCTGGCAGGGGTGCTTTCCCAAAGCGGTAACCCACTCAGTCCGCCGGTACCCAAACCGTAACCGGTGTACCTCCACGACGCATCGAGGTGTGCGAGGTACCTATTAGGACCTCCGCGCACATACTCGTATACCGGGCCCGTACCTACTGCGAAGCCACGAGTGTATCTACCTACCTAACGCACCGCGTAGGAGGCAGGTACATTGGGTAGCGTGCAGGTATGTTGTATGTGTGTGTGTGCAGGCATGTGCACACCCAAGGAATGCGCACACTGTACGTAGATACTGTACATGATGGACATGCAGCGCTCCCGGTCGGGTTCCTACCGTACCACTGCCTGCCTGCACGGTGTTGCCATCAACGTACCTGCCCACGTACCGAACGCAGGCGCATGCAAGTAGGTACCTGCTACGCTGTACATAGGCACTCATAGGTGTATATGCCTATATATAGGAGGTATATATGCCTAGGTACCTAGTACCCAAGGCAGGAGGTGAGTATATATAGCCTCCCTACCTCTACTCCATGCATGTACCTCAGACGTACATTCGTGTCGTATTAGCCCAGGTCCCTAGGTACCTACCCCCTAACCTTAGGTCTAGGTAGGTACCTAGGAGGTAAGCCTCCTACGGCGGCGCTAGGAGGGTTCCTAACCGGCCGGCCTCGAGCTCAGGTACCTACCCTAATAAGGTATCAATACGTGCGGGCGAGGCGCCGCCTCGGGTGCCCAGCTCTCCTTATCCATGGTAGGCGCAGGGGCACGCCGCCGCTCGCAGGTACGTAGGTACGTAGCAGCACCTCTCCGCCGGGCAGGTTGGCAGGCTCATCTCCCCCGATTCAGGGTTTCTGGCGGTAAGGTACCTACTATGAGTATACATAGATCTGTTGGCATCGCGTCAGCGTGCATCCACGCCGCATCCCCTGTCGGGTCGGCAGAAGGAGGCCTGCGTCCGCTCCCAGCACGTATCTGGATCGTCCCATGCCTCTGCTATATCTGCCTGCTCACCTACCTAAGGCAATGCATGTCTGACTGGGTACCTACCTAGGTAGACATCGTCAGTAGGCCTTGTCTCTCACCTGCGCACACGCCTGGGCCTCTGTGCGTAGGCATGTATGTCTCTGGATGCGCTGTTATTGTCATTGCTGTTGTTGTTGTGTAGTAGCAGATATGGGTTCGCCTGTCCACCCAGTCTACCCTAAGAGGCAACGTATGTCTGCTCTCCTGCGTGTGCCTATATTAACTGCATTCGCTTCCGCTTTTCCCTCCATCCCGCCATTTCGTGTCGCATCCACCAGCGCCTCTTTTCCCTTCCCCGTTCACCTGCGCTCGGCTGCTTCTCCACCGAGCCGCACCGTCCCACGAGATCGTCGCCGTCCGGGAGGAAATCCGAGGGAAGCCCACCTCGGGCTTGCGCCGCGGTGGTGTGCGATGGGGGGTGGAAGGGGGGAAGGGTGTATGCCACGATACGGTGCGCGGTGATGGTGTACATGCATCCCTTGCCGACATGCTACTAGCGATATGCAGTGGCGTCTCGGTTGTGCACACGTCACAACCGTGTCTTGGAGAGAGAGGGGGACCGTCCAGTTGGGACTGGGGCTGACGGTCTGGGGAAGTGGTAAGCACAACATCGTCCGACAATCAGCGCGTTGTCCGGGGAGGGGGGGTGGAAGGGGGGCGATCTGATTGATTCCCAAGACGCCCGAGTCTACGGTAACCCACCCTCCCAGGATCCCTAAGAGAACACCTCAATGCAGCATAGCGCTGTTGTCGTTGCGGGACAATGCGAAACGCGCGAGGTGAGTGTGACCAACCTCACGGCCGGACGAGATGGGATTAATCAGACGGGATCGGGTAGGATAGAAACAGGCTAGGCCGGGCGACCATGTATGGATATGCCTGGCAGTCCGCTTAGTAGCCTCTCTCGTCTCTCTCTCTCTCTCTCTCTCTCTCTCCTTACTCGCTCTACTCTGGTACGATTTCGTGGCGGCGTGCGCGTCCGCCCTGGATCCGCCCTTCCACCGCCTCCTGGACTGGCTTACGTGAGGCTTGTCGCATCGACTCATCCCGGAATAGTTCCCTCGCCCATGCCCAGTTATAATTTCCGGATCGATCACAAAAGTTCTTGGCCTGCTCCTTCGCATCTTGCTCTCCTTACAGGCTAGCGGGCCACGATGCGACTCTGCTAAGCTGCCGGACTACGACTCACTTCGGCCCGCGAGCGAATACCCAGAACTCTGTCATCTCGAAATCTCACGCCAAGTGCTGGCCCTGTAGGTAATCAAGGGCAAATCCGTGCGTCAGGCGTGGTCGGCCTACGGATTCGCTGATATGCATGGTGCGTGTCATTACAAGATAGCCCGCCTGTCGAACCGCGGGACCGGAACTGGCTGCACCAATCTACTCAGCTGATGGCGTCCTTCCATCCTGTATGTACGTCCCCTCCAGCTCCTCCCAAAGTTGGGAGCGGCGAGTCTGAGGTCTGCTGCAGGATCTAGCAGCGGGAACTGGCGGAGAGGCCCATCGCCCGTCGGACTACCGTATCAAGAACGAGAGGAAACCTGTCCGAAACGGCCGCCGTGGAAGATCATCCTTTGTGACATCACGTCCTGTAACCTTGCGAGGTAGCCAGCGTGTACGTTGAGAATGCCTCCCCCTCTCTTCCCCTTTTGTTTTACGACTCACGGCCCTCTTTCCCCTCTGTCTTACAAGTCGGCAACGCCCTCCTCGGATTCGGCTTCGGCTTTAGCCTCGACGACACAACATCCTCCACGTCTCATTCGTGCTCAGCATCGTCACTTACATGAGGCTTTCCAGGCCTCAGACGGTGACTGGCTCGTCATAAATCGTTCCAATTGTTCGCCTCGAGAGAGGGGGTCCGTGTGACCCTCGCCACGATCATGATTCGTGTTTGTGTTAGGGAAACGTCGCTATTCCCGCGCCTCGCAGCATCACATCGTGGTTCCCGGCTAATTGCCAATGTTCGCCTCGGCCCGTGAGACGCATCACGCTGGGAAGCCCACCAGACGAGATCCCCGGCCTCAGTCGTCCTCGGGTCTAGGTGGCCTAGGATTCCCCGACAATCTCCTTCCCTCCCCCCCGCTTTGGAACATCTCCTCTCGTTTGGGAACATCACCCTCAGCTCAGCTCAGACGCTGTCACAGGCACCCGGTTGTCGTGACAAGCTTTTGTCGTGGCCGGTATCGAGGCCGTAGACCATCCTCGCAAGGCGGAGGAGTCGTCGCGACGGCCACATAGCGAGTAGCTATTAATAGGCATCAGGCCGATGGCGCGTACCAGGACGGGTGGGGTGCGACGGACGGTTGCTTGGTAAGGTAGCAGTGGTTCCGCGCCAACGACAACCCGCTATAGGAGGGTTCCCTACTACTACGTAGTACTGTATGATCCGACTTGCGGCTGCACCCATCCCATCCCCCATGATAGCCTACGTGGTCCACCGCGACTGATACATGATGTAAGTGTTGACTCCACCGAGGAGGCTACGCGTAGTCATCCGTCGCCCGACCCGCAGACGGTTGGTCTGTGTATGGACCATGTAGGTAGGACGGATCGACTGCCGCATCCAGTAATTATCTCGTTCAAATCTGCAGTTGCTATTGGCCCCCAGACGATGCGGTGGCATCGCGATATTAGGATTATTGTGTCTTATCACAATCCTCTTGTCATGCTCACAACCAACTCTGACCTCGAGTCAGTGCCCTATATCAGAGCACAAGCCGGTAATAATAGAGAGGGGCGCTGGTATATACAATCCTAGTATAACCTGTTGGGTGAGGGCTCTACTGTTCGCGGGGGTGTCTCTCTCTCTCTTTTTTTTTTTTTGCCCTTGTCGCTCCACGTTCTGGAGACACGCAGATCCTCCTCACTTCTCGGAAAGCTCCTCTCCATCCCTCCTCGACGCAGCAAAAGCAGTGTGCCAATGGGCTTTGAACAATGAGGTGCAGTGCTATCTTTCGAATTCCAAATCGTCGGTAGGCAAAGCCAGAGCCGGAGGCCTCGAGCGGGCTAGTGAGGGGGGTGGTTATGCCGTGAAACAACGAGGTTTAGGACGCCCGCGCAACGACAGGTGACCCATCCCGGAACTCCCAACGGTGGGGGATCCCCAAAATGACTGGTAAGTTGTGAAGCGGGCTGATGGTATTGACGCAGGCACGTCAATCCCGCGATGCGGCGTTCGGCAATGCCTGCCGACCAGGCATCCGAAACCTCGTAGACTAGCCGTAATATTGCCTGGACAAGCGTCGGGCGTTTTGCTGTTTTCTACACGAGGCACTTGGCCCATATCCCCAATCGCGATATTTCAGTCCCTGCCCGCCGTATATTAACAGATGTAGCGGTTTTAAAATCCCAAAATAACACACAAGGCGTTTTCCGTGCTCCTCGTACCCGGATCTACGAATAGACCGGATTCATGAACTTGCAGGATCCATTTCTAGAAGATATTGCCTACGAGCCAAGCTATGCGGGGCTTGAAAACCCGGAATGGGTTCCTGTGGGACCCTGCTGAGCCCATCCCATCGGGGAGGTGCTGGGAGCGCTCTGTATATTAACCCGACGTAGGACGGCGAAGGTGTCGTCGTGTCGGCAGTCGAGAGATGCATATGCATTAGCACAACCCAATTGGGTAGGATCTGAGGGAAACGAGTCTGTATACACCCTCCAGCTTCAACTGCCGCGCGCGTGGCCTTCTCGGCCAAGGCGTAGAGCCAAGGCGTAGAGTTGGAACGAGGCTTGACACAATAATAGCCAAAGAAGTTATCGTGTTTCCGCGAAGGGCAAAGGGACGGAACCCTAGTGGGATCCGGGCCGTTTATTGGTGGATTTACAGATGCGACGAGAAACGACTGGCTCTGGAATAATACCATTCTGTAGCCAATGTAGGGTTTGTAGAGCTGCTGGTCCGCATTCTCTTGGCGCGGAACCACCGGGAATCCTTTATCAGTGGCAGTATGGCCCGGGAAAGGGGGGGGGGAGAGACAGGGACAAATGCTGGGAGGTCGCCGGACAGCAGGGGGATCAGAGAGCCCGGCTACATAGAAATGGTATCATGTGAGAGAGAGGGGCAACCATCCAAATTGGACCTCTTCTTCAGGTAAAAGTTGGCAAGACATGGTGCTCTACCTACATAATTATAGCGGAATGCCGGTGCCGTCGGGAAATCACCTTCCCCGGCGAGAAAAAAAACCACCATTGTTTATACCCTCATTCCACGCACTGTATCTACTCACACGATCGTTTTGCGGGCCAAATTGCGGAATCGGGGGGAGGGGAGTGTGACGAGAGTCGAACTGCTCGAAAGCGAAAACAATAATAGTACCTAATACCTATATATTACACTGCGCGAGCAAACTGGATAGTGCGCCGGAGCCCTCGTGGGATCTTGGATTTTCACGGATCAAAATTCGGCACGCTAGACTTTTGAGATGAACGAGGCAATATCGCAATGCCGCGCATGGAGCCATATGGGTCTACTATAATAAGGGGGGGCATCCGCGCTTTCATGCAACACACAACGTGGGATCATACGCACCCGAACCCTCTCCGCGAGGGAGAAGCAGGGCCTTGCCTAGCCATATAAGGATAGAGAGCAGCAGGGCAGCGTGCGACAGCAACGGATATGCTTTGCGGATCCCGCAGCCGATTCGTTTAGTTTAGAGTCGCAAGAGTGAACGCCCGACCCGCTATGCGCCGATCGATGCTCTTTAGGTAGCAATAGCAGAGCACGTAGGAGGTTGCACCCGGGCGTAGTAGGATTCCTGGCATCTGTATAGTACGGGGCTACGGTCTGATATATCTGCACAATGTGTGTAGACTGCAAGGCACGCAGTACACCTACCTAGCTAACCCATACGCCCACCAAGCCACGAAGCTCGTTCTTCCGTCACAGTTGCCTTCGCTTCGTAGAAACTTCCCACTACCATGTATGTACCTATTTGTGTATGCTCCATTCTCAAATTTCCTTGGGTCTCCTTCAGACTTTGTGTAACGGTGTATATTAACGAACTGGGAAAGCCTGCATGTAACGGGTCCTAGAAGTGCCGTACCGTACCGCTTAAAAGTTATTATATCGCGTAGCTAGGACAAACAGCGTTGGCACCCCTACCGTGATATTCCTCTGTGAGCAGGCCACGTTATTCGGCTGTAAGGGCGGCGCCTTGTATAGAGCTAGTTAGCCTTAAACTCGCTCTCTAGTCTCGGCGTTGCTTTTCGCAGTCACTTAAGCCCCCGAGTAAGCGTATCTTGCTTTGCCACGATACATTATAATAGTAGACACCAACCTGGACAGGGCCGTCTATCGCCTGGACCAAGGCGTAGAATCCACCCTGGATCCTCCGTGAAGTCGCAGTGACACAACCTGAGAGGGGCCGGTATTCTGAGAGAGGTTAGCTTTTCTACCTGGGAATGTTCTCTCCTCACCACCTCCCATTAGCGTCTCCCTAAAGATGTACCGCGGTAGAACGACAGGTTATTACGTCAATATTAGACGTGCCGAGTGTAGATCAGCGCTCGCTTCCAATACTGTGAATAAGTTAGATTTTGGGTTGGGCGGGTGGCCGTTTATATCCTATAGTGTCGAGAGAGGCCTTGCAGTTGTATAGGCTAGGGAGTCACTGTATCTAACATGACAATACGACTAGCCAGCCTGTCGATCTCTGTACGAGCTTACGTGCCTGGACACTTAGAGCTACACGTTTACTCTATTTGCTTAGAAGGGGACCCCTTCAGCTATGGCGCCATCGCCAGCTACAATTCGACCAACTAGTTAGCCCGATGTATATCAACCAGATGAGAGCTCAGGTACGTAACGTAGTTGCGTGGGCGTAATAAGGCTGGCACAAAATAATAGGCCAAGATCCGCCTATGTACTTTTGTCATTATAATATGAGGCAAGATGATCCGCACCGCTAGCTCCGTTGAGTCTAGCGACAATAGTGGTATTCCTACCCAGACCCGACACCAGTATACGTCATGCCGTGCGCCAGATATATCCAGGTGATCTTAAATAGGCGTTAACCTAGGGAACATGACTCCGAGCTAGGGAAACGCCTGTCCCCGGGAGCTCTGGCGCCGTCTACAGGGCGGTGGTATGATAACCGCCCCCCCTCCCCTCCGAGCGTCTCCTGAACTAGAGCAAATCCCGCGTTGCGTACGCGCCTTCGCCTAAGCAGCTCTAGCCGCTCAGCCGCTATCCGGTGTGGCTTTCTGCGGCGCCATAACGCTCTCAGCTGGCAACGCTAATCGACGCGTGTTCAGACTCGCGGCTCTCCGGTCGCCAGAGCCAACGCGCGATATCGACGCGGGCATTCCGTTTCGAGGCGTTCTGTCCGTCGGACGACGACTTGCCTCGATAGTTAGCCGTCCGGCCTCCCCCCCCCCTAGTTCTGCGCAGTTCCCTCCGTCCGCCCCTTGCCCGCATGCGTACGCTCGCTCGCCCACCCGCTCGCCCGCCCCAGCTAACCTAGGTTGCTATCGACACGCCGCGGCGATAACAAGCGGTGTGTGCCAGTTGGCCTAGCATGGCATCGAACCATACGCATGCACCCTCTCTCCATAGATCTACATCTTATCCTCTCCCGTCCCCCCCCCCTTTCCCCCCCCTTCTCCTCTGCCCATTCCTTGCCCTGCCCTACTCTGCCCTATAATACCGGTACCGCCTTCAGCCCTAACCCAAGGTAGTAACTCGCAGCGAACCGTTCGCTCAGCCCTCGGTCGACAGGCACCACTCCCTCCCGCCCTCTCGCCCGCACCACCCGTCTCTTCTCGTCTGATCTGGTTAAGGGGGAGAGAAAAGGGGGGGGAGGTGAGAGAGAGCGCCGGCGGGGTTCGGCGCAGCGCAGCGCGACCCACCCCCGCGCATGCTTGGTTAGTCGCTCTGCTTCTGCTAGTTCGCCGCCGGCCACCCCCCCTCCCCCTTTTTCTTGGCTTGCCTCATCTCTTCCTCCCCATCACCCCATCTTCTACGGACAGGATCTGCCCCCAAAAATGCAATCCCCCTGCCCGCCTTGCCCCCCCGTCTCCCACCCCCCAAGAAAAAGGAAAAAAAAAACAACAGAAGAGATAAGAGAAAATCCTCGTATTACTTGCCTTTCCTTCTGCACAGCATACATACATACCTACATAACACGTCGTAAATCCAACCTATCTCCCTACGTCGACGCCCCCCCCCCCCGCGCGTGTCTTGCGTCTCGTGCTTTGCCCTCCTTCTCGTATCGAACCCCCCCTTCCCCCCTTTCCCCCCCTTTTACCGACTTAGGTCTAAGCCCAGGACTCTACGCACACGTTCCCTTTACCTATATCTATCTAGTCCGACCTTTTTTTTTTTTAAAGCCCCCCCCATTCTCTTTCGCCTCTTCTCTCCGTCTCCCGTTCCTCCTCCTTCCTCCTCCTCTACCGCCTCCACCGCCGCCGCCGCCAGCCAGCCGAAATCCCCGTGTTGGCGTCTCGCGAGGCGGGCTAGTCGGGGCTCGATTCGTTGGTTGGAACGGCCGGGCTCTGCCTCGCGAAGAGGGCCCCCCGGGAGCGATCTCCTCTCTTCCTTCCTCACTCAGTCGTGGCGCCCCTTCTCGCCTCGTCCCCCGGCCTCCCCCGTCTGGCTGGATTGGCGAGGCGGCGTCGTTGCTGCTTGCTGCTTGTGCTGGCTGCTGCTGCTGCTGCTGCTTTGCTGCCGCGGACGATGGTGGCAAGTGAGGTGACGGGGGGGGGGATATCGGATGGGCCAGACGGCGCGCCGGCGCGGCGACCCTTTCGACCAGGTAGGCAATAATCTGCGCGGTGGGACGCGCGCCCCAACCCTTCGCAACCGCCCACTCGCAAAACTTGGACTTCCCGCCTCGCCTGCCGATACGACGCGGCCGTCCCGTCCCGTGTGCGCCTCGCCCCCCCGGCAGTCTTGATCCGGTCCCAACGCCTTCCTCTTCGGGCTGCTCGGGGGTGGGTGTCCTTCGGATACGGGGCGTGAGCGAATGCGACGTCACATGCGCGTCTGCATCTACGCACATATATACGCGTACATCCGTAGGTAGGTTGTATGTATGTACGTATGTATGGTATGTAGAGGCACGTATGTGACCTCACCCAATTATATTACTTGCCTATCGACTTCATCACCACTACCTTCACGTGGCGGGATGACGTACGAGCTGCGGCCTCGTTGGAACGTTGCAACGTTGTGTATGTAGCCCAGGGTAACGAACCTTGAGCGCACTGGGCTGGATGGGACGGAAATTTTTTTTCATCCCAAGTTTCTAGGAAGCACCAGGTCAGCGCCGGGAAAGACTGTTCCGGATTTCCCACCTACGCCATGAGAGTTTGAGTCAATGAGTAGTAGTATAAGTGTGCGTAGGCCAAAATAACGCCTCGGAATAGGCCAAGTAGAGGTGGCATACACATAATGCACCACCACCCGGCAGCGTCTCGAATAAAATAAAAAGAGCATCTTGATATGTCTATCTGTTGCCAAAAATTCTCTCCATCATGGGTATCAACCGTTCGCGAACCAGTCAGAACACCCCCGGGTCTGACGGCGTTTCTACCTCCCCATGCATGCCTAATTTGCGTTAATGCTTCTGCGCGGCCGTCTCAGTAGTAAGTAGTAGTACGTAGCAAGTAGTGGTAATAGTAGAGCGAGGTGGTGGTCGAGCGAAAGGATGATAAAAAAAAAGGGATGGGTATTAACGTGCCAGGCGCACGTACGACGCATTCGCGTCTTCTTTCTTCGGCCGTTGCAACCCCAATGGTGACCTCCAGACCAAATGCAATGAATCCTCGTCTCCCCACGGTCTCGGACCTTGACCGCCATGTACTCCAGAACCACCCCCAAGAACCGATATGCCGCACCAAGAAAAAGACGGCCGTATCCATAAATGTGCTCGCGAGAGGATAACCTTCTCCTGTCGAGGGTTCGGTAGAAGTATGAATATGTTCCGAGTAGTGACCAATATGCAGTCTCTTCGGGCCTTCATACGCGTCAAAATATCGGCGCCGCTTATACGGGCGGTCGGTTATAATTGTAATGACATCCACCCTATTAGGATCGGCCTGGTATTTTGGCGAAGACTATCGGGGACGTCCCGTGCACTCTGCACCGAGCCCATAGTCGCTGCCGTCGGAATGGCAAATCCGCCGCCGGCGGAACCACGGTCATCTACTGTGGTAAGATGACGCCCTTCTCGTCACGGGGCAACATAATCTTGCCAACGAGCTTCTCCGTGAGGTTCGCGCACCAAGGGTCGACGTAGCCGGTCCAGAGCATCGCGACACCATAGTTCAGCGGTAGCCAGAACGGAAGCGAGATCAGCAAGCGCCACACGGTCGGAAACATGAGCGTTCCCTGGATCACCTCGCCCTTGTCGTTCGTGATCGATGGCGGCACATGGATCCCGTATACCATCCAGCAAAGCACACTGCGCAGGAGCGGCCCGTGCAGGAGATACACAGCGAACGACTGCTTGCCGAACCAGAGGAGGTATTTGCTCGAAAGCACATCACGCAGGCCAGGGCTAAAGTGCAGACCGAGCGTGAGCAGTTCGAGGCCGATGCCGGATGCAAAGCGCGGGAAGTCGGCGTCCTTCGGCACGATCTGCCTGAGAACCTTGTACTGGTAGTGCGACCAGGTCGCCCATTCGGGGTGGGCCTCGGGATACGACGCGACGTAAAGACCGAGAACCATGAAGATCGCCGCTAGGACGCGCGAGATCCGGGGTCGGCGGACGAGCCACTCGGTGGCCGGGGCGTGGTTCTGGAGATCGCAGAGGAAGACGCCCCAGAAAAACTGCATTCCGAAAGCGGCTGTGGTACGAGTTAGGGGGAGCGCCGTGGGAGAGAGGGGAGCAGTGAGCTTTTCTTAGCACGTACCGTCAGATGCTATCCAGAAGAAGGCAAACATGATCAAGCTACACATCATGCGAAATTGTGGCTGGAGGTAGGAGGTGGCCACGATGAACGTGTACACCTGCATACTTCCTCTGAGTAGCGGTAATAGGGTCCACTGGTTGCCGTCGTAGGCGTTCCGGCCGTTTGTCCAGGTTGATATGATGTTTTGTACCAAGTGCTTCACGGACAGCCACGCATTCGCCTGGCGGTCAGGTGCCGTCTTCCCGCACCACCAGCAATCGCTCTGCTTCGCAACTAGGAACATGCCCAGGTTGGCCATGATCCAGATGATGACGGTAGCGAGGCCGCAAGGGATGACCAGACGGGGGACGCGGCGGAGGGCCGACTTGGCGATGGAAATATAAGCACTGTCTTGGTTATTTTGTCGGTACAGCTTGATGGGCTTCAGAGCGCAAACATAACCGGTGACGAAGGCGAATATGGTGACACCGATACGGCCCTGGGCGAGTATTCGGAGAAATGGTAGCTGGAGAACTCGGGGTTGCGCGCCCTCGTGGGACGCTGGGAGGAAAAGCTCGCCATCGAAGGACCGAGCAATATGGGTTAGGACGACTAACGTCGACGCGAAGCCTCGCAAGCCCTAGGAGAGAAAAGACGCGTTAGCCAACCATTTTCGCGAGAGCAATATTCCGTCTGTTTGCTTTTTAGAGCTGGGTGCTAGCTAGGCGTCCTCTCGTCCCATCGTGATATGAAATTCGAATCCTAGTTCACCAGCCACAGGCCACGCCCGCGCAACGCAGCGCCCGCCCGCCCTGATTTTGTCCCCGCGGCAACCGGTTCCCAATTTTCATTCAACGTCGATAGGACGAGCCTCACCCAATACCCGACCACACACGGCCTAGAGCTGTATCGCAATGTCTCGAGAAGAACCCTCCCCCGAGCCACTGACACCGAGTAGGGAACGATAGCATGATCGGGCGCGAACCGAATCTCTCAACCGACTTGGGGAAAACTGTGTGCACCAACTTACATCGACCCATTTGACGTTGCCTTCCTTTCCGATAGCCATGGTGACTAGCTGTCGTGGGGAGTTGCGATTCTGTGTTGTACAGGCTTTGCTATATCATTCCATGTAGGCGAGATTTAAGGCCTCCCGAGTGGGAATTTGGAAACCCGTAATAACTGATATACGAGGCGCACTGAAAATAAAATCGGTTGCCTCGGGGTCTCGCTTCCGATATCCGGTGGTATCGGGTCTAGGTGGCTGGCTTAAATAACCGATTTTGCAGCAGCTGAGAGACCAAACGGGGCCCGGTGGGGGGGTTTTTTTTTTGGTGGGAATGTTGGAATCGGATCCGGGATGTTGGAGGCAACCGGCAGCACACCGAGATTTGCGGGGTGGGAATTAGACGATGGCCGTCTCAGAGGCGCTTCGGAATGTCGCGATGCGGTTGAGGAGCGCTTAAAATCGAGATTGGGGGACAGGATGGGCAGTACGTGGTCTCGACGTGTATATTGAGTGAATTGCCGCTATTTGTATGTGTGCGTACGGGCACGCACGTGGCGCGTTTGTTACCTGCGAGCCAAATCCGAAGGGAAGGGAAGGGGTCGTTCGCGATTAGGACAGGGTGGCGATGGCGATACAGGTCCAAGAGGAGGAAGACGACACGAAAGAGACAGAGTGAGACAGGAAGGACTGGACTTAGAGGCTCGCTCTTACACTCACATGCTCGCTCACACACGCAGCAGTGATGTATGTGGACAGTGCAGAGGCGCAGGGGAATTAGGGAAAGGAAAGAAAGAGCAGCGGGAGGTGTTTTTGAAGAGATATAATAAGGGGTTGATGATTGGGACTTGGCGGTTGGGATTGACTTGACGGATGGATCCCTTGGCTCCAAATGGATCACCCTGGTCCATATGCCCATACGATGAGCAGAGGCGGCGGCTTGGCGAGAACCGGAGAAATACCATATGCGCTAGATGGTATGGAGGAGTATTTCCAGCAACAATAGCGGCGGCGACGGCAGCAGCAGCAGCAGCAGGAAGAGGAGTAAGAAGGGTATTCTCAGTCGAGGAGAGAAGAGGAGGGGGAAGGAGGGGGGAGATAAGAAGAACGATGTCGGGGAGAGAGCAGAGAAGAAGAAGGTTGGAGGAGGGAAGGCCAAAGAGACAGAGACAGAGACAGAGAGAGACGGATAGGCGGCTGGACGGATAGGCGAACACACGGAGAAGGCGTGGAGAGAACGCCTGGCTGTCTCGCTCGAGGTGTGTAGGTACACACATAGTACACATAACTTTACCTATAGGTATCTACGAGTATCTACCCTGCCTATCTGCCCGCCCACTTGAATATATCTGCCTGTCTCGTCCGCTGTCTCCTTCGCTCATCTCTTCAATCTCTTCAGCCGAAGCATTGCATCTAACAGGAAGATGACGTGACCAATTCACGAAGGCCGATTCTAACAATTTACCACGGATTACTATCGACGGGGCCCACTCTTTGCATGCATGCATGCATGTGTGTAATTTTATTATCCTTTATGAATATACATATCTATCGTCAAAGCACCCCGCCGAGAAACTATGAAGGTACTCTCCGGGAACTTTTGGGTGCGCATCGCATCAGCTACCTGGCGATACCCAGAATCGAGGTCTGTGGCCGTCCGGGGGAGACAGCACATCGCATCGCATCGCCTTCGCCTCCAGCTCCGATGCGCGCACGTCTACTCAGTACCTGCCCCCCGGAATCGATTCCTGGCCTGGCATTATTTTTACACCTCACCTCATTCCCCCTAATTAACCTCATACAGCAAGTAAGGTCGGTAATGTCTGAGCTAGCACGATGCCAGGAAGAAGACCATGCTACTCTTGACTTGCGGGCGCTTCCTCCTGGTCATCCGACGTGACGTTGAAGCGCACTTCCCCGTACGGTATACATACAGACTTGCGTCGTCGCCACATAGGTAGGTACCTACCCGGCGTATCACACAGAGATACTTGCAAGCACGACCTACCTGTAGGTACCTCAATCAATATCCTAGGTTGGAATGCCGCCGGTATTGGGAACTGCCGCAACGGGTCCCATGAAACAATAGGCTCCTGGATGGGGATTGATTGAGCCTCGAGCTAAGCTTAAAAAAATAGTGCTGTATAGAGATAGGTATAGAGATAGGTGACTAGGTTGTGCGCCATGATAGGCTCAGCCTCCCCGCCCGCTCCCCATGGCTCTCCCTACCCGGAATTGCATTGTCAGGAGGTGAGTGCGTGTCCCACGACGCAGTATGGGGGGAGGGGGGGGGCATTCTCAGGCGTCCGGGGTTATCGGCCTTCGACCTCACAGCCGTTGGGCGCGCTGGATCGGGCAGGTCACAGACTGAATTAAACGGTTGCCTGGACGAAGTATTCTTCAACAACCCCGATCTCCGCCGAAGGAACGAAACATCGGCAGAAGGAGGTAAAGGTCGAGATAAAAATATAAAATCCTGCCCATCTGCCGTTTCTGATAGTATTTATAACCATTGTGCCGCAATCCATTCGGGCGTAGGTGGGTGCTAGGTTAGGTGGTGTGTCCCCACGTACCTATAGGTAGGTAGACCCATAGATTCAGTTGTAGGTATAGGTATTGACGGATTGAGGGAAACAAAATACCCCCTAAAAATGGACGAAAAGGCCCTCCCATTCTCTGCTTCTGTCATCGCAGAGGTAAAGACGGAAACAGCACGACCACAAGGAAGCGCGGAATGTACCTTTGTTGCCCGGATAATCGGCACACATACCTCGCAACCCGACGACACTAATGAAGAGGCGAGGAACTTTCGAAGGCAGTACATAAAGGATTGGCGGGTCCCTCTCTTGGCACACTCGCCGTCGTCTGACTTGTCGGGCTCGTCTGCCAAGTCTCTTGGCCTTCTTATTCCGTCCCTGGCCACTCAGCTTCCTTAACCATTGACATTATTAGACCACACCGGCTGGCTGTGCCCAAGAGTAGCTGCCTACGGCGCGTCGATATCCATACACACATGATACAAAGCTCTCCTCGTCGCGACAGACAGACAACATTCGAGATTTCGCCATCGCCCGGAGCCGCGCCACACGTTCGCAACACCCCCTCCCACGCCAGGGTCTCTCTGCTGTCTATACTGTGCTCGCTTTTTCCTCTCTCCGGCGGCCTGCACCTGGGGATAGGGGTGAAGGTTCCGTGGGCAGCACGACCGGGATCAGGCAACCAACCAGCAGCAGGCCGTCGCGAGATCGCCGGACACTGCTGGTGTCAGCCGCCTCTGATCCGGTTCTAAAATCAGGGCCGTGTCACGGCCAAGACCCGTTAACTTGGTCTCGCCGATTTTAACGCATGGCGGGTTTGGAGAAGGGGGCGGCCAGGACATTGGCCGGTATTGGACCACGACTCTAAACCTGCCGCCCCAGGGAGGCTTGGCTGGAGGGGGTCCCAGGCGAGAGGATCGCGATTTCGCTACTATGACCTGTTGTGGCTCACTCATACCACGTTGTGGTCGATGATAAGCCGATGCAGCTATGGACATTCAGCTCTGCTTCTCCCACAGGCTCTTATTGCTGTTCAGCGCTCGCGAGTCGACTCCTCCCACGTCAATTTGTTCTAGACAGGGCGCTTCGACAAAACTCTTGCCTCTGCCTCGACCGAGCCGCGGCTGGTTTGAACTTACTGAGCTCACCTCCTACCTCCTACGCAGGGAGACTCGGGGTCCCAACGGCCCAACTAACGCTCTTGATACATACTATGCGGTAGGTGCATACCAAGCTTCGCTGGCCATCTTGAACGTACTCTTGGCGATTTCCGACAATGCAGCGGCGTCCACGCAACCCCAGCTCGCGAAGCCGTGGCTTGCTTGGCCATTTGGGTTTGCGCATCGACCTATGAAAAATTACTGGATTTTGCCTCTTCTCTACCTCGGCCTCCGCCCGAGCAGGCAGACTATCATGCCTAGTAGGCAGGCTGTGAAGGACGACGGGTTGTCCTCGTGGAGAAAGCGCGCGACAACAATAGGGGAATGGGACCTGATCGAGTCCGATTGTTTCATTCTCTTTACCTGCTTTGCCTACATATTCCAGTCCCGGGTCGGTGGTTGTGCAAAGATCAGTGAGAGGCGCTGTCCGTCTGTGGCGGCTTGGCTCCCCCTTACTCCTGTCTGAAATCGTCAGAGATTGATAACTAGGCGACGATCGCATAGTCGACGTGCCGATTCTGCCGATTATGTGGCTGTCCGTTCAGCCATCCTCCTTCTCCGCTGGACGCCATCGGGGAGGGAATGGCCATCCATAACTCGAGACCATGGCCACCCACCCACGACAACATGTATTATGCATCATATGTAGGTAGGTGCATATGCGCACTCATGCCTCTTCCCCGGGTACATACTCAAATGTGTGCATATACTGCATACGATGCCATCTATACGTATATCCATCGTAGGTAGAGCGATATAAGGGTGTTGTCGCCCGGTCGGATCGCGCTCTCATGTCTTGCGCTCAGATCATGCGCAGACATAGGCAGTATTACGTAGGTCACCCCATGTTTCATCGCATACTAGAGGTAGGCATCCCATGAATAGCGGAGAGGTATCACATACCTACATATGTAGGTATACGCATCACCGAGGTTGGTATTACCGTCGCGTCGCGAAGGTTCGCTGACAGCTCCGCTTTAGGCCAGCCATGATCCGAGTCGAGACAACGTTGAGGGGCCGCTGGCGGCATCGAGGCCCCCCTCACCGGTCGACCGACAGGCTATGTACTCTGCGAGCATATACAATTAAGACATGCGTGTGCTACCGTATATGCTTGCAGCCCTCGGTATGAGTAGGAGACAACGTGCTGTCGCGATTCCGATCCCGTCCTATCCTGCGGCGCGCGGGAATGTGCACTCCAGCGTGAGGACTAGCTATATGTAGGTCATTATACCGCATCCGCACAAACCACGCAGTAGGTGAGGACTGCGTGCTGCATGTATGAACGCCTCCTTCGCCTGGTTATATCCATGCCGCCGAGTACCCCTCGTACGGGAATCCGCCTCCCGACGAAGGAAAAAAAAAACAAGTGCTGATGGTAGATCTACATATGCTGTTTCCTGCCTCTTGTACCACTATGATGACGGGCGTATGGCCGTGTACGGCAATCCGGCACGGGCAGGACGGCACGGATGTCGAAGCGCGAGGGAGGGAGGGAGGGAGGCTATGCTGGCCTTGGATGCTTGTTGTTGGCTTGATGAATGAGAGAGAGGTGACACGTCTGATGCGTATTCGCCGCACCTACGAATCGAGGATGCGCCAGTTAGAACGGAGGCCGGCATCCCCCCCCCACGTCCTCTGCTTTGCTCTCTGGCCAGATATCTCCTCATAGGTGCTCTAAGTGCTCTAAGAAAGACCTGGGAAGAAGAAGGGATAGAGCTAGGGTTGCGAGGGTTGCGGAGACGTAGTATAACGTCGTACCAGTTCTGCCGTGGACGTAGTGTGCCCTCTGCCTCGCCTTCTATCGTTGCTACCTAGTTTGTTCTGATTTTAAAAGGAGAACCTACAAACGTTTATTTCTCCTAGTTTCTATCCATCTCGAGATATTGAATTAATTTGTTTTTTTTCCCCGGAAGGGTCCGTACAAGGGCTTATCGTCGTCTCTTCCTTTATCTTGGCTCTGCGTCATCGCACACCAACAACTTCTAACTTGGTTCGTATTGTGGTGTAAGATATACCGCACAACCCGTCGCCAAGAGGTGCCTAGGTAGGTAGCCCGCAAACAGAATCGACCTCCCCCCCCCCCCCTGCTCGGCAAGCCAGCATTCTTCGAAATACCTATGTGTGTACGTACAATTGCGTCTTATCCCGCCACTCCCCGCGGCGCGTCCGAAACGGAGATAAAGCGAGAGAGAGAATGGGAGAAAGAAAGCCTTCCTTGCTCAACGCGGTAATCTTCTCGGTGACCATGCTTATCTGCGTGCTGCGCTAGACGGCTCGTTTCCTGGACTCGGAGATCTGCTTACGGTACCCCTTGGACGCAGGCCAGGGCCCCGGCATACCCATGAGAGTAATGTCGAATTACCTACGATCAGATCCATCGCATTATTAGCCGATTGCAACGCTCCCTCCCCTCCAGACATCCACGCTACCTAATGTAGCACATGTCTACATGGTGTATGTAGGTTGGGTATATGAGTATGCTTTTCCATGTGCGAAACTTCTTTATCGGGTGGGCGCTGCTTCGACGCAGGCGTGTCAGCTTCGGAGCGGGGTTGAAGCCCGGTTCTGTTTGCTATCGTGGCCCGAGGCGGCGGATAGATTGGTCCACTGCCCGGTAGGTCGACGGACACGTGCACATGCATCGATCCCATCCCTACCGTCGGGCGTCTTATCGGTACGTGGGCAGGCGTGTTGTTTTCTTCGCGATCGACGGGAGTCTACCAAGGGAACTCGTCTTCTGTTTGGGGAGGCTGGCTTCTGACCGCCAATTCGACCGCGGCCTTCTCCTTTCCCTCTCCTGTCCCCAAGGCCCATCCCATCCCGACCGAGATCGCGTAGCGTTGCACAGGTATATTGGTATCGCGACGGGGGGCTTGGATCTTGTAATCTGGTATGCACCCCGGTCTCCTCTCTATCCTTAATCTGGCCGTCGGTGCCAACGGAATCCCTTGCGCATGAACAAGTCTAATAAAACACCGCAATCACGTAGGCATATATATAATAACTGCGGAGTAGGATCCATTAAAACCACATGGCTCTCGAGGCCCACTTGCCTTAGCGCAACCGGGTGCACGAATTTATGAGTACTCGCGGGTGTCTTCGCTCGCCATTCTGTGGGCGTGTATGGGATGTTCTCGAGAGCACACAGACCTGGAATCCATTTGCTTCTCGGACTTTTCGTTCCACAACTGGCCATTCCGTCGGTGTGCAGCAAGCAGCAGCAAGCAGCAGCATGCTCACCGCGCTCCACGCATAACCGGCACGCCTTGGTGGCGTCTGGCTCGGTTAGCACTAGACCACGCTTTCGCAATCCTCTGGAGCGCAAGCCGTCAGCGGTTCCCCCCCTGTGGCGCACTTTTGCGCGCGCGCGTGCGTGTGTAAGTATGCCAGGGAGGTAAGGTTATCGAGGCAGGCCTGTTTCGACGTAGAAGGGAGGTTTATGTATGTGTAGATTCGCGGGACCCCCGTCGGATACCCTAGCAGGTCGCCCTCTGCCGATCCTGTTTCAGTTAACCTGCATACCTACATAGGTCTCGCATCACCCTCGTATTCTGTGCGATCCGGCACGCCCCGCTACAGAGCTATGTACAGGTATGCGCATACACAGGTATAATATGTACCATGTATTCATATGGGGACGCTGAAATCTCCTCGTGGGGGTTGAGCCTGGGGATGCACGCCCAACGGTCTCACCTATCTCAACAAGGCCTAACGGTGAGGTCGCGATGCTAGGATGCGCAGCCGAAGCTATGCGGTCGTCGAGTCGAGAACAGGCGCCGTGGACATCTAAATTGCCAACCCCAATAATAAAACCAGGGGATATTCCATCGACGGCATCGATATATCACTTTAGCCGCACTGGGACTAGGGTATTGCGACCGTCGCAGCGAGGAGCGTGATTCGCACGCTCGCTCCAGCACGCAAGGTAAGCACTGGGGTTCGAGATTGTTTTTTTTTACGACGGGATCTTCGTTTCGCAATCGAATAGGAAACGCCGAGGGAGAGAAGGGCCATGCCTCTAATCCGAGCCTGGACACAACGTTTTCGTATACGTCCGCCTTCAGAAGCTCTTTCGCCTCCCCTCAGAAAATCATTCCGCGCCGGAGGGGGGAGGTCCTGGAACGGTCGCGACACAGTGGGTTCTCTAGTCTCTCTCTCTTGCGCAGGGATATACGTACGTCCGCTCTTGGTAGAGCCATGGCTCCCATGTCCGTCGGACCCTCGGGACCGGCGCTTGCCGGAGCAAAGATGCCGACTGTTCTCCCCGGGTTTCGCACATGCGTTCGTATGCGCATAGACGCATCCGTGCTCTAGGGAGCAGGCTCTGGCTTCTCGCGGCGCCGTCGTGGGTCGGTGCCTCGACGACGGCGACGTCCAAGTACGCGCGTGTGCGTCGATGCAGTATCGAGACGCCGGCGTAGCAGCACCTCGGCTGCCCACGCGTATGTATGTGCATACATGCGAACGTACACACGTCGTGCTCGATCTAGGGAGCGCCGTCGCAGCATGCGCCTCGCCGCCGCTCTTCGTACACCACGCGCGTCGCCCGCTCAAAGACTCTGGTAGGTTCTGCGAGGCACCTCGTGCGAACAACGTCGGGCTGCCCAGGCCAGGCGCGAGATGGCGACGTATGCAGAGGGTCCGCATACGGCGCCATCATCTCCGCGGCTCCTGTCGTCATCGTCATCCTTTTGTCTACGCGGGAAATTGAGGTTGATGGGAGTGTATTTCTGTATCTACCTACGACCCAAGTTACGGTTAAGGAGGGTAGCAAATACATACCTACACATAGGCGATGCCCCCCTACGTAGGTACCTCCACCCCTACCTACCTACGTACCATACCTACCTCTCATACGTGCAATCTAGCAGTTCTTTAGGAACTAGTCTCCACGAGTGACAACGGTGTCGAGACCTGCGAATAGCAGCTTAGGCCGTGAGTTGGCCAACTGGCTCTCGCTGCCTTAGGACCGCCTCTCTTCCCCTAATAGCGGCTACGACCTTGCTACGTGAACGAAAATCGGAAGTCCTCGTGTCCTTGTGCTCTGTTACAATCAGATGGTTTTATTGTTATTTGCCTATCTATCGAGTGTAGGGGTGTGCTGGAAAGGGAACGTGGATCGACTTACCGACGGGGAGAGCTATCGCAAGCAAAGCTTGCTGGAAATTTGCAACTCGGGGCCTGCGCCCGTTCGCGTTTAGTGATTTGCAACATTTCCTCGCTCACAGAATAGCCATCGCCTCCGATGGGAAGAGGCTCTGTCCTGTCTAGTCTGGTCTACAGCGTGTATCTGGGCGAATCCTAGCGACCATCAGCATCAAGCGCTCGGCGCGCACAGCGAAGCGCGGGAAAACGTCCTCAGCAGGCGCGCCTCTACTGCTCGTACTCGCCGCTCGGCGGGACGATGTACGAGGGCCAGTAGAGCCGCTCGTAGCGGGCGCCGGCGCGGCGGCGCACGAACAGGAACTCGGGGGACATGGCGGAGAGGGTGGTGCCGAAGCGCTCGTCGTACTTAGTCGGGATGTCGGCGAGCGCGCGCGACACCGAGTAGTAGGCGCCGTTGATCTCGGCCGCCGCCGCGGCGCCGTGCGGGTAGTGCTCCCCGACCACGACCACCAGCCGCGTGATCCGCGGCCCTTGGTCCGGCGTCAGGCACCTTACCGCTTCTACCTCCGGCACTGCCTTCGCCAGCCGCGCTACGATCTGCGGCTGGAACGCCAACACGAACCGCCGCAGCGCGTCGTTCTTCCCCCGCATCTCCTCCTCGAGGGGTTGCCGCCCCGCGGGGGAGGGGTGGCTCTGCTGCCCGCCCTCCGCGGGTTGCTCCTGCGACATGATTATGGGTTTGGCTTTCCGGAGCAGGGGGGGAATGGTTGGTCTTTGTTCTATTTTTGTCTCTGAGATCCCTTTATCTTTCTCCTTACGCCTTGACTATCTATCTCTTTCTTGTGTTGCCGGCCGAACAGCGAGTGTGTCGGGTGTGCGAGAGCCTGTACGTCTTTGTGGTTAAGCAGTTGTGTCAGCAAAGCTTTGTCGAAAAGGGGTCGGAATAGAGGGAGAAGGAACCGGGCCTCTCGTCTTTATGTAGACGGAGAAGGTATCACGGGGATACAATTGAACTCGCCAACAGGCCAGGAGAGAGGACACAACGCCTTCATGGTGACACAGTAGGATTTGGCGAGAGTGCAGGAATACGGAAGACGATGAAATACAACAAGATCGATCTCGGTACCTAATCCCAGGGGAAGCCCACGCGGGACGGTGTACTATAACTTATTACCAGGCTAATCGGCGCGGGAGGGACGTCTGCTGTCCGTATGGCACTATTGTTTTTGGCCATAAAGGGGCTCGGCGGGCTCTGTTTTCAGGTAATGGATAGGAAGAGGGTTACGTCCATCAGTCTGCACCCGACGCATTAGATGCTCAGCTGGGAAGGTTGGTTCCTTGCTGTGGCTTGAGTCTCATAAGTGATACCTCTCTATAAAAATTGGCAGTCACTATAACCGAGACGTGATCGTGATGCCGCAGAGCTTGGCGTCTAGTAGCTCTCTCCTGCTGTCTCAACCCCGTTGACATAAGAGCGCCTATTGCGTTCAGGGTGCCTGTGTTATACCTATGGGTTTGGTCCATTCCATCTGCCCCCCTGGCCTTCTTTCTCTAGTTGGCCTCAGCGGAAAGTTGGATAGCGTCCAGCTTCGTCACTTCGCAGCCGAGACTCTTACATCACCTTCTGCGTAAACTAGACTGCCATATACTATTGTCGCAAGACTTAAATGTTAAGAGAGTCTTCGAACAAGAACTCTATAAGTCTTAGTTTATGTTGTAATACAGGATAGCAACTGGAGTTGCGCGACTCTCCTACAGTATTTCCGAGACGACCGGCCCCTTACAAGTTGCCCTTAACCTTACCCTCGACCTCACCGACCGCGCCCTTGGCCTTCCCTTTGAGCGCCTCGGCCTCCCCCTTCACCGTTCCCCGGATCTCCTCGGCCGTGCCTTTCACCTTGTCCGATTCCGCCTCGCCCCTGACTTTGGATGCGAGATTTTCTGCTCGATCGTCGGAATTAGCATGCTGCGCTTTACTTCACTCGAGACCGACAGCCGTTCAAGAGGCAAGCAAGAATTCGGGCGTCGGAGCTGACAAGTAACAAGGATGTGCAGAATCCTGGGCGCTTACCACCAGCGTTGATGCCGTCCACTAACTTATCCGAGACCTTGCGATCGACCGATTTCAACGTATCCCTGGCGACTTCTGCGACGGACTTCTGGGCAGGGGTGCCGATACTGAATTGGCGGGTAGTCGGGGCTATTGCCGCGGCGCGGGAGATCAGAGAGACCTGATGGACCGCCGTCTTGGTGAGGAAAGACATGGCGGCGATGATGAATGTTGGTATGCTTTGGTGTCTGGTTGCTGCTGCTTCACACAAGCTGAGACTGTTTCCCCCCTTTCGTCTTTTCTCCGTGTATTATGGTATTGGCGAAGAAGAAGGATTTGCGGCTTGCGAAGACGGGGAGAAGTATTAGAGAGGAGAGGCGAGCCAGCCGGCAGGATGACGGGATGGCAGAGAGACGAACGTGATATAGAGGTGACGAAATACTGGTAGAGGCGAATGTTGAGTTGAATCATCGAGCAATGATGGCTAGTGATGTCACCATTACTACATAGCATCTCTGCCTCTTTCCTGGCCCGTCGAATCAGATCCGTGGGCGACTCACGACCGCGTCCCAAAAGGGAAGTTGTCGACATTGTGGGGTTTGGCGTACCTGCCTAACGGTACCTCTTAGGTGGGCGGGTACGTATCTAGATACGTAGTGGGTACCTATATATAACCGCTGAGTCCTTCACGACTTAGAGTACCGACCTGGGTAGCCTGCTTGACGTACCTAAGGTGCCGTGACGTCTTGGACTAATCCCCTTGACTAAACCCCCCCTTCTCGCTTTACTCATCAGCTTTAGATACTTATCTGGGTATCTTCAGCGATGTTAATGGCGTTCGTACCCGTAGCCTACTATTCCATCAGACCTTGCTGGCACGGCACATGCCATACCTCCAGGGGGAGTTGGGCTTCCCATACATGCCTACACTTACCCACATGCCTTAGGTACCTAGGTAGGTACCTCAGCAATTCGGCACAAGAACACCCTTGGCAACAGTCAAGGCCGTGTATCACGTGACCGCGGGCCCATACCTTATCGCCATAGAACCGAAGCGGGTTCTCATGGGTAGGTATCTCAGCGAGATAAAGAACTGCTCAGACATTTCGTCTCGCTTGGGGAGTCGTGGCATTGTACGCATTACTAGTGTCGCTCATCACGAAAGACGAAAGGCGTCCACTTCGCGTTGTGGCACCGCCCTCAAGCCCTAGTACCGCATCCGGGGGTTGAGCCACGAGGTTCGGCTGCTGCGGTAAGAAAGAGCCCATTACCCCCCCATGAGCGGCATCCGAAGGGGAACCAGCCATCAGAAGAGGACCTAACCCACATACCGCCGTTGGTAGCCTTTAGGTCCTGGCGGTAACAAAAGGCGCCGTGGCCTTGAGAAAGCCAATGCCTTGGTTCAAAGACCCCACTGCCGATAACGGCATGTATGGCCATTCCGTCTAGCTATTAGACAGATGACGGCGCCGTCTAGCGTTGGCAGCCTAGGATCAGCTCCGTACTACTCCTCCACACACGTAACACACAGAGAATATACAGATATCTGCACCGACACACCCTACCCGTTCGTTGGAAGCCGACCAGCCCGCCTTGACGCCATCTCGATCGGCACCGGCCAAGTAAGACGTATCCGAGAGCACGAGCTCTAGAAGCGGCAATGAATTTGAATATGAAAATGGACGAAATAATGGAAAAGTATCGCGAGCCGCGAAATTTCGAAGAAGAAAGCCAGTTAGCTGCACTCCAGTTTGATGTCTACCGCAGAAAAGGCGATAATCCTGCCTGGGATACCGAGAAGGTCTATTCCACCGCCCCTCTTTGGCTCAACGTACGCCTCCCCATGGCGGGACCAAATGCTCTTTTCGATAACGTTGAGCCAGCAGAGGTATTTTGGGTCAAAGGCGCGAATAATCATGCAAACCTAAACAGGAATTCCCACCTCATGTATCCCGCTTCGGAGAGATTGTATTCGGCTAGGGAATACTTCGAAGATGAATTCTTTAGCTTTCAGAAGCCGTTGGGATACGGAGGCCGTATGTTGCCCCCTCGTCTCTCATCCCCTGTCTTCTACGTGCTCCCGTCGTGCTTTCGCTAACCTTTGAGCGCGCCAGTTGGATTGGCCCTTCACTTTAGATACATGGCGCAATCGCGTACGCCTAAGGATGTCGTGGTGAAACTGTCGTTGTCTGGCTGGTACTCGGACAGCATCCTCAGAGAGGCAAAGGCGACGAGAGTAGGCAACACCCCCTCCACCCCCAAAGTCTCCTCGTTGAACGCAGTAGCTCACCACTAGCTTAGAAAATGTTCAGGGCGGCGCACTGCATTCAGATGATACACCCGCAAGATGTACGCCGAGCCGAACCGGATGTGCGCCCGATAAAGCCTCGTCCCGATGACTCTTCCGATGAGTCCAACTCGAGCGGAGACGAGAGTGTCAGCGAGCAGCATAGGCCACTAGTGCGTGTGCCCAGAAGATTCCAGGACACATACACCAAGAAGTTGAAAGACTACCGGTATCAGAAGCGTGTTGAACGGTGGAAGGCGAGGCAAAATAGAGATCTGAGCCAAGTGAAGGATTACATGCTGCTGGAATATGTCGAGGGTGGTAACCTGCAGAGGCTGATCGGGAGGCTGAGGGCTAAGTCGAGACCTGAGGTGACCGACGGGGTCGTGGCCTTGCCCAATAGAGTCCTTTGGGAGATCTGGCTCTGCTGTGAGTGTAAATTTCGCCTAGAAGATAGGCACTCCCCGACGACGTAGCGAGATTCTAACCGGCACAGTGGTACGAGCCTGCGTGGCGATGAAATACCCTCCTCGAAAGTTCCATCCGGGCCGACCTAAACCGCCTCGTCCACCTATGGGGGTAGGCGTTTCCGAAGCTGAGATTATGAGTTCGGAGACGCTCAGGAGAGACCCGGCCAACATCAAGTATCTCCTGGATATGTCCATGTACCGGACAGCGCTCTCCTTTTACGAGTCCGCGCCGGCAGATTTGATCGAGGGTGTGCCCCCCGAAAACAAGAGGTGGCGAGCCAAGAACATCGTGCATTTCGACATAGACCCGACCAACAGTAAGGGCCATAGGGTGGCGACCGGGGTTCGTGGGACGATGCGCTAACAGGATATCCAGTCTTTATAGCCTCCTCGGAACCTAGGAGAGGCACGGGTGTATCGGCACGAGAACATCTTCTTGTCCCTAGGCTTAAGGTATGTTAGGCGTATTGACCCGTTCGCCTACCCCTACCCAAAGCAAGAGGCGGCCTAGAAGTTGACCAGAAAAACTCGTACTAGCTTGCGGACTTTGGAATAGCAACAAATATCAAAACCCACAAACGCAAGTAAGTCTTACGCGCCCTGCTCGGTGGTTGGTACAAAACGCTGACGGTCGCGAAGCGAATACTATTACTACCAGCGCTGGACGGGCAAGTCTAACTTTCTCGCACCCGTACGTTCCAACCCCTGCCCTCTTCCCTTGTTCTCTTGCCCTTTCTCTCTCTCCTCTCTCCTCTTTCTCACCCCGCGAGATCCGAGATTCGCAAATGTGCATACCCAAGGGACAGCCGGACTAACATAGTCGAAAACGCGTAGGAGCAATTCTGCGCAGAATGGAACAATGTCCAGCCGGTACGCGACGGGATCGATGTGGGGGAAGGCTTCATGGCGGGGAACTACGGATCGGCGACGAACATATGGGGCATCGCACTGGTGAGTGAACAACAACCGTATACGGACCGTGATCCCGTCCCCCCTTTCCCGCTCTCCTGCTCTCCCTTCCCCTTTGGGATCCCTCCTCCCCTTTTCGTAGCAACGGCGGGCTGACGCGAGGGCGGGGGAGGATGAATGACGTGCAGACGATGTGGGTGATCATCACGCAGATGAACCCGCCGCAACCGCCGCAGCCGCAGGTGCCGTATGGCATAGATGTGCCGTCCACGTTGTATGGCGTCGACGATGCGGTAGACAAAGCGGCGCCGGGAGTGGCCGTATCGTACTGCGCGCTGCTGCTAGACGAGGATGGCGGCTTCGACCGCGTCGACCCGGAACTGCGCCGCGTCATTTACGAGTGCATGTACCACCGCCCTACCGACCGCCCCCGCGTCGAGGACCTCCTCGAGCAGGCCCTCCGCGGCGTCCAGAAGAGCTTCCCCGGCGAGGACGACGACACCATCCGCGCCTGGGTTAACGAGTTCTTCTACGACGCCCCGACCGGCCCCGACGCCTAGTGCGCCACCCCACCGCCCCGACTAACATGGCCTGAGAACCCCCACAGGAGTCGCGGGGTTGGAACTGCTGCCATGTCCCTCTTTTGCTTCTGCTCCACCACCAGAATATCTCATTCGGGTTATTTTTGTCATGGCTATTTCCCCCGTTGGGCCAGAGTTATTCTCTCATCGGGCTTTGTGAGCCTTACTGCTGGCTTGGAAAGAGGGAGTTTTTTTTGTCTCATCTGGAGTTGGCTTGTCGCCTTGGATCCGGCGGAGCATGTAGATGATGTAAGATATCAGAGATCGCTTCAGGCATGTGTTTGTAGATCAATATAGGTAGATTTTGCCTGCCAGCTGGGTCGAAGCGGGTGCGCCCTCTCCCTCCCCTTTCTTTCCGTCCCCACAGACGCCGTGCGACGACCCGCGCGGGCCGACAGCGCGAACTAAAGCGTGGGCGGTATTTCCCTCAGACGTCGACAGGCGCACGCATATTTTCTCCGCTAGGTATACCAGATGAAAAGGTCTCCTGGAGATCGCTCGTGTCGATCCAAGGACTGGAGCGCGGGGAGGAGACAGAACAAGCGAGAGGCGAGGGAGGAAAGAGTTCTGCGCCAGGGTAAAGTCCTACGAAGACGACGGGCGGCCGAGCGGTTTACTTGGGGACGTGGCTCTGCCCGCGGTGGCGCGAGCCGACCACGCCGTCGCCGTCGGAACAAGACTTATCCCCGGCACCTCTGCTTGTACATACCTAGGTTACGCAAGTAGGGTGCACATCTACGTGCCGTCCGTCCGTTCTCAGGTAAGCTGACGGGAGACGCGCGAGATCCCCCCCCCCCCCCCCCCCCCCTTCCCCAAATTAGGCCCCTCAATACGCGTAGTCTCACGGCGAGACCCGCCGGCGCCCAGGGACACAGTCCCAGGACGGCTGCTGCGGCGACGGGCAGGCGCGCGCACGCGAGAGAGCCTGTCCCTGGAGGCGCCCGGTGGGCGTCTTCGCATCGGCAGAACGAATCAGCCTGGGCCTGCGTTTGCGCCGCGGCGCTGCTCGGAATGATAGGTACGCCGCGCGCGAGCTTCTCGGGTGCACAAGAACGCTGCGCAGTGCGTACGCGGCAGCGGCGGGCTTGCTTGCGCCCCGGCGCCCTAGCTGCGTGGAGTGCAGGAGGCTGACGTTGGCGATGCGCTGCGCTGCGCTGCTCCGCGCCGTGCAGGGGAATGGGGGCGGAGGCGGAGCGTGGCGGGGGGGGGTCAGGCTGGGTGAGAAGACGAAGGGGTACCTATTGCAAAAACCGTCTTTTCCCTCATGTAGATACCTAGGTAGATATGGGCTTCCGTAAAGGGGGCGCGTGGCTTGGTATCTGACCTCCCCCTCCCCTTTCGTCCTCGTGGCGTTTGGCTATACGTACGACCGTGACGCTTCCGCGGGCTGAAGGGGGCTGACAGAGAGTCCCCCTCCCCTCCCCCCCTCCCATAGCACCGTTTCTCTCGGCTGCGAGTCGCTTTTCTTCCGGCGACGCGTCGTCAGCTCGACCAATTCGAGCTGGGGGAGCGGCGGCGCTAGAAGTCGATCATGAGGCTCGCTGCGTCCCACGGACGCGGTTCATGGCGGAATGACGTGGAGGCCAGATGGAGAAGCTGGGCCGGGCGCGCTTCTCACCGGCGGCCGCGTCATACAGAATTGCGTGTTCTCTCTCTCTCTCTCTCTCGGCCATAGTCTGATTACTGATTCAGCCCAGATCCTCTGGCCTCCACGACGGCTTCTGTGGCTCCATCGCCTGCGATTCAGTAAGTTCTTAGCTCATGGCCGTCCCGATATATGGCGCTACGGGGCGGAATCCCTCTCAGCCTAGGCGATTCCTCAGCGGATTTCATCATGATCGCCCGTACTAATTGAGGTTCGCTCGACGAAGATCTTGCCTTGTCTTCGGGAGTTGCTGATGGGCGCTGTCTGGAGTTGACTTGTTCGTACGGGAATGATCTGCAAGTCGCCGATCGCGGCCCGGGTTCGCCATCCTGTGAAGATCCTGTAAGGGCAGAACTACTACGCCCTCCTTACCACCATTGTGTACACCTCCCATAAGCTATGCTGGCGTCTCTACATGATTTAGCTACGAGGGTGATGATACCGAAGCGTTGCATACAAGTAGGGTATAATCTGATACGTAGGCGATCCGTACCCGAGGTCCTGGGATACCTATATAAGTCAGCTCAGTCGTCTTCTTTCATCGACTCACTCTCCAGGGCCACAGTTCCATTCGTTTAAGGACACAACAGCGTACGATATCCTGGATCGCCGACCTTCCAGCTAGCTGACCTCGATTCAAAACCTTAGATCTATAGCACACCGAATACCTACCACATCCAGAATGAAGATATCGACATCCCTGGTTTCCGCAGTTCTCGGTCTCTGCCTGACGGGTGCTCAGGCCCATTTCCCCTGGCGTACGTAGCTGCGACGCATACAACCAGCTGGGAGAGGTCGGGTAGAATCTGACGATAACATCACAGAGAACGGTCAGCCCTCTTTGCCTTCGGTCCCTTCGGGATTCCCTACTTGGGAGCACCCTACCCCTCCCCACCCCACGGGCACCGGCGCCTGGGCACCCGGCCCGCACAAGCCGTTCCCGACCGGCTTTTCTCACTCTTGGCGGACCAACTTCCCGATCCCGACGGGATTCCCTCGTTTCCCTTTCCCGCCGGACTTCCCGCACAGCTTCGGCTCCCACGGCGCCCCCGGCGGTTCCCCCACCATCACTGGCACCGGCAGCTTCGCTCGCCCGACCGGCTTCCCCTGGGCGCTGCCCCACAAGAGCTGTGCCGCCGACGCCGACTGTGCGGACCTGGAGTGCCCTGTTGTTGTACCCAACGAGGGGTCGCACTGCGTGCAGGCCCGCGTGGGCAAGTGCGTTCTCCCCCCCAGACCTAAAAGATCCCCTGCGCTCGAGAAGCTAACTGGCCGCTGCTAGGTTCTGCGCCTGTTTTGCGCACGGCACGGATTGAGCTCGTAGCAAGCCATGACGGCGGGTTCGCGGGGCGGACGGCCCGAGGTCCTCGCATGGAGGCGAAGCTGCGAGAGAGGAACAGGCTCCCGGACGCGTTCCTTTATATTGCCGATAGGGATGGCCTGGCTTGGCTGGTTTGTGTGTAAATTCATTAATACCATGTTGCTTTTAGACGTCGGAACCGCTCAGGTTATGCCGACCCCCCAAGAGCGATGGCTGCATTCGATTTGGCATACACCAGACTGGGCTGGAAACATAGAGATAGGTTAGAAGGTTCGGTAGAAGACGCCAGCTCTACTTTGAACCCTTCTGTACTGTACCTGTGCTTCGGCGATCTCTACCGAATAAATTGGGCATGCTGACCTGCCGGGTTTGAGGATTGAGACGCGATATTCTCGGCATCCATAGGTGACCCATGCGGTAGTGATGCCCGGGACCGACAATACTTGCACAGAATTAACCGACTTCGGTGGCAAGCAAGGGGCCAAAGTGTTGCACGTTTCATGCTAAGACTTATATAATATTTTCGTCCTGCCGAGCGGCAAATCCGGGCCATTGGCTGTCCTGGTGATATCGAGGGGGCAGCTATTTGACCAAGCGGATTTGTGCCCCTGGTACACCCACCACCTAGAATACGGCCCGAGTATCGGCCGTGCCTGGATCCCGAGGGGTTCCTCGTCATCGTGGTGCAATTATTTTGCTAGAAGTTACTTTGTTCAGGGGCTTCAATGGCTTAGGTCTAGACCGCTAGGAGCCGCTATGCAACCCTCCTTTTCTCGGCTCCCCATAATATACCTACCTGCCATAGTTTTGTAGTTAAACCTAAGGGGAGACTCAAAGGGACTCGTAGTAATACTAGAAAATATCCGCGTATCCAGGAGATGTAGCGTACTAGAGCGTATCCAATTCCTCAGACACGGCCAAGTCGACTAGTTCTATTTTCGCCAATGCTGATAAAGGGCGTAGTTTCGCTTGATTGGCCCGGCTTTTCTTCGACCCCATGGGGTTGCATGGAGGCTATAATCGCCCACTCTGGTTAATGTTGGTCTCTGCCCGGCCAGAAAGCATATGAGTTGAAAGAAAGGGCTAACGCCCGCCGATAATTGGTCGGACTGTCAAGATGAAGCCGATCTGTCAGCATCTGCCAACCCTGATTTGCAGAGAAGCGCCGTCGTCTTCTGCAGTCAAGGTCTTGTGTGCTCTTGGGGACCAGGCCCCGTCAGATTGCCACTTGGAAAAGGCCGCGGCGTCTTGTTTTTGCGATGGACAAGATAGCGAACCTGGAGGTTTACCGGTAATCGGGCTCCGAAGAGGGATAAAACAGACAATATCGCGCAAACTCGAACCGTGTCGCCCCTCGTGTTCTGTATTCTACCCTAATTTCATAGCGATCGCAAGATCGTGAACCGAAAGGATGCACCTGACTTCGCTCGCGGCGCTGGCGTTTGCCGTGCCCGCAAATGCGCTGATTCGGTTCTCGTGCTCCCAACTTGTGGTAGATCGCATCGACCCCCTGGTGAACCCGGGTATGGCGCCGTCCCCCCATCTACACCAGATCATCGGCGGTGTAAGTAGCAGCTCGCGGCACTAGAGGGAGGTTGAACGGGGTTGACTTGATATAGAACTCGTTGAACGTGACGATGGACCCCACTAAGGACATGGCCGGCGAGTCCACCTGCACGACTTGCCAGTTTACCGAGGATACCTCCAACTACTGGACTGCCGTTCTCTTCTTCAGGGCCCGCAACGGCACCTATAAGCGTGTACCCATCCGGCCCAATATCGGGTTTGACGGCGCTGAGGGCGGCATGACGGTCTACTACATGCAGAATGGTTTGGCCGACTACCAGCAGCGATCCAAGGTCACGGCCTTCAAGCCCGGGTTCCGCATGCTAACCGGCGACGCGATGGCGCGCACCGTCGACAAGGCCAACAAGTACAAGCAGATCACCTACACCTGCTTGCAAGACATGTACACTCGCTTCCCCGAGACCAGGGACCTGCCCAACAAGCCGTGCCCGGCGGGCATCATGGCGAACATTCGGTTCCCGACGTAGGTTGACGCCACTCGTGAAATCGTGGAGGGGGGCTTGCGTCGGGTCGTCGTCGTCGTCATCGTCTAACGTGAGCACAGCTGCTGGGACGGCAAGAACCTCGACACCGCGGACCACATGGGCCACATGTCGTATCCGGCCAGCGGCACGTTCGACACACAGGGCCCGTGTCCCGAGTCGCACCCGGTGCCGGTGCCCCAGCTCATGTACGAGACGGCGTGGGACACGCGCCAGTTCAACGACCTGAGCGAGTGGCCCGAGGACGGATCGCAGCCCTTCGTCTGGAGCATGGGCGACCAGTAAGTAATGCCTACCTTGCTCCCCACCTACGTACGGCGGTGCCGCTTCGGGGAGAAGGGGCTCGGGGGTGCAGGCGGCCCCGCTGACGTGTCGACCCGCGCAGCACCGGCTACGGCAGCCACGGCGACTACCTGTTCGGCTGGAAGGACGACTCCCTGCAGAGGACGATGGACACGCCGTGCTACGTGACGTGCCCGACCCTGACGACGCAGTCGATCGCGGAGCAGAACAAGTGCAGGATCGGCCGCGCGGTCGAGGAGGACATCGACTCCTGTAAGTGACCCCTCCCGGAGGCGGCCGTCGTGGGCGGCGCGGGACATCCGCGAAGCGGCCGGTCTGGCGGTACGAGAGCGTAGGGAGGCTAACCAAAACTTGTCGGCGCAGGGCTACCCGCGATGCCGGGGGATCCGGAGATAAGCAAGACGTGGTGAATTCGGGCGCTGCGACACCAAAAATGTGTCGAGTCGGAAGCGGACGGAGGGGATAACTTGAGTAGCTAGCGGAGGGGGCGGGCGGGCACGTGCTCGGAGATAAATTTCGTTGGCGCCTCGGGGTCGGCCCGGCCCCATGCCGACTTAACCCCCGACGAGGGCAAGCCGGCCGGCAGACAAATCAAAGCCCCCCTCGATCCAACCCCGTGCCGCGACCCCAGCTCCCTTGCGTATGAGTATGTTGCGTGCTACCTACGAAAGCCAGCCAACAGCCGTGAGTACCAATCGGATCCCGCGGAGAGTGGAAGACCGACTTGGCCGTGCCCGTGATAGTCCCTGTTGGCGTTTCCGTGTCCCTATGCTCTCTCTGTATGCACGCTGGTAGGCATCAATAAATATCATACATATAGTACGTGTCCGTGCGCGCGTGTGCGCCGCTTCTAACAATACGCTGTTGTCGGTAGGGATCGCGGGCGTTGGGGGGGGCTCGTGCGCTTCGGGGCCCGTCGTGTCGGCGTGCCGAAGCGGCCTGAGCCAGGGGTTTTGCCATGGGAGACCTGGCGTGTTTTCTCGGCAGCAGAGAGAACCGAGTTAGGTACTGTGAGGCGAGAGTTAGCTTACCGCGTGTGTTGGAAGCCCGGGAACCAGTCTAGTGAGTCGGTTGCTGCGCATCGTGTCCCCCTCTTTTATTTTTATTTTACCTGTGTCGCTACGAGGGGCGGCGGATGGTGTTTGTAAGTAACGGTCAGCAGATTGGTTCAGCTGGACTCCATAGAAGCCGGGATCAGTTATAGAAGCGGCAGTATATGTGGATGGGACCAGGGCCAACGACACGTTTTCGTAGGTATTCCTATTTTGCTGCTGAGGACAGACAAGGGGGAAACATGGACTTGGGAATGGCTATCTCTTAGTCGAATACCCCCGCTCTCGCCAAGCCTCGTTCTGTTTCTGGAACTCGACAGGCAGACGACCAATGAGCTCTTCCGCAATGTAAAAAAGCTCCAGAGGTTATATTTATATAGGTATTTGTAATGTAGGTACATAGGTACCTACCCATCTGGTGGGCGAGATGAATGAAGAGCACTTTTTCGTGTGTACGTGTACTTTACAGGTACCTTAGGTAGTTGGCTTAGGTACCTACCTGTGTCCGTAGGAGGTACCTACGTGCAATGCATATAGTACCGACTCATACGCGACGTTGAGCTGTTGCGCGCTTCAAGTGGTTATGCCTGAATAAAATGGGGCCTCGAGGCATCTGTACGAGGGCTGGGGTGAGGATGTAGGCAGACGTGGCTATTAGCAAGCGAGATAAAAGCACCCGCCAGCCCCAAGGGATAACAACGCCTGCCTTCTCGTCTTCTGGAGATTGGCAACCCGACCAATATCGCTCCCCATTCATCGGCTCTTGTATATATCTGCCCATATACAGCATACCTACCTATATAGCATATATACCGCTGCCTCGAAATCCCCCGCTGTGCGTTCGCGTCCGTCGTCGCGGCGATATCGAGCCGTATCCGCGGGACCGTGCGGCACCATGGCATCCTTGGGGGTGTCGGCCATCCTGCTGCGCAGCCTCGGCGTCATCGTCGCCTTCGTTGTGCTGCGGTTCCTACGTAGAACCTACATCGAACGGATGAGGATCCGGTCTTTGAGGGCCCAGGGAATAGTAAGCTCCTTCGCCGACCGCGCGAGAAGACAGGCCTGCCCCAGCGCCGGGACGGCCGGGGATTGCGTCGTCGCTGACTGATCGCAGCCCATGCTCCCGCACTCGCTCGTCTTCGGCCATCTGCCAGTCCTGGGCCAGTTCCGCAAAGAGCACCCTCCAGATGTCAACATTTATATGATGCACAACTGGCTCGTGCGCAACCTCGACAGGTACTTCCCGGGCCACAAGAAGGTGCCGCCGCTGGTCTACCTCGATCTCTGGCCGATGGCGGGCTCGCTCGTCATGGCCTACGACGCCGCCGCCGCCTCCCAGTTCACGCAATCCCCGAGCCTCCCCAAGGACCCCGTCACCCGCATGTTCATGGAGCCTCTAACCGGAGGCAATGACTTAGTCTCCACCGAGGGCGCCATCTGGAAGACCTGGCGGACGAGATTCAGTCCCGGATTCAGCCCGCGGAACCTGTCGGCCCTGCTCCCGGAGCTCCTCGAAGAGGCCCAGGTCTTTGTGAACGGACTGAGGAATCTGGCTGGCAAGGACGGCGAGTGGGGGCCGGTCTTCAAGCTCGAGGAGAAGACAACCAATCTCACTTTCGATATCATCACCAGGGCGTCACTGTAAGTCCGGGCGCGGCGCCGGGTTTGCGTAGGCTAACATGAGGCAGGGATATGCGTCTTCACGAGCAGTCGCGCCAGTCCGATAGCCCGTTCAAATCCGCTCTGATGAGCCAGATCAAGATAATGGGCATGGTGACCAAGGTGGTGCAGATCATTCGGCTTGACAAGTTACCTTGGTACCACGCGACCATCTCGCGCAACAACAGCGTCATGCACAAGGTCCTCGTTTCGCAGATCGAAAACAAGCTCCGGTCGGACGCGGGCGCCTCCGTTCAGGGCAAGAAGACCATCGTGGACCTCGCGATCAAGCACGTCGACAAGGACGCCGGCGCCGGCGCTTCGAGGGGGAAGCCCGACGCCGCATTCATGCTGCATCTGATCGCGAACCTCAAGGCCTTCATCTTCGCCGGCCACGACACGACGGCGTCGACGATCTGCTTCATGACGAAGCTGCTGCAGGACAACCCGGACTGCCTGGCGCGGCTCCGCGCCGAGCACGACGCCGTGCTGGGCCCCGACCCGGAGCGGGCGGGCGAGGTCCTCGCCGCCTCGCCCCACCTGCTGTACGCGCTGCCCTACACGCTCGGCGTCATCAAGGAGACGCTGCGCCTGTTCCCGCTCGCGGCGACGGTGCGCGACGGCAACCACGTGCCCGGCTACGCGCTCACCGTCCCCGGCTCGACGACCAAGTACCCGACTCGCGGGTTCGGGCCGTGGCTGGCGGCGCCCGGCATCCAGCGCAACGCGGACTACTGGCCGCGGCCGGACGCGTTCCTGCCGCAGCGCTGGACGGTGCCCGAGGGCGACCCGCTGTACGCCGCCCGGGAGGCCTGGACCCCGTTCTCGCTCGGCCCGCGCAACTGCATCGGCATGGAGCTGGCCATGGTCGAGCTGCGGCTCGTCGCCGTGCTGGTCGCCCGCACGTTCGACGTCCGCGAGGCCTGGGCCGAGTGGGACGCGAAGCAGTAAGTGCGCACAGAGGATAATACCCCCCCACCCCAATAGATGCCCCGCTCGGGAACTCCGACCGCTGACAAAACTCGCACAGGGGCCCCAAAGCGACGCCTTCGCATGTCGTCGACGGCGAGCGGCTGTACTGCATCGGAGACGGCACGGTCCACCCGAAAGACGGCATGCCGGTCGTCGTGAGGCTGCGGACTCACGGGTCCTCGCCCTGAGACGGATCAGGCCGAGGGTGGTGGGTGCGCGCGCCCACGGATTCGAAGTCGAAGCGGCCGCGACGAGGTCGTACTTGCGATGCTAGGAAACTCAACTCCTGTCCCACTGTGTATATTATAGGTATATATACGTACAGTATTTATTCATGTATTGGCATTGGGACTACGCGCGTCGTTGTAAGTGGAGATAGGCTGCGCCCCGGTAAGCTTGGATATGAGTAAGAGCGCTCCGGTAGCTGATGCACTTTACATCCAATAATATCCGACTATTCCTACCGTCTCCGGAAACACGTCACGAGTTTATCCGTCAGGGCTGCGCCGAGGGCTTGGTCATGTCCCCTGCCATTTCCTCGTCCACTCGCTTGGTGCTGTCTCCCAGGAGTGTGTTGCTGTCCGGCGAGTTGTAAATGTTCGGTAATAGAATGTAGCGAGTCTACGTCTATTCAGGGCTCTCGAATTCATACCTAGTTGTAAGTGGTGGTTGAGATAAGACATGCTGCTTCTGATCATGAGGAGATCAGGTGCAAATCTAGGGCTATTGTAATTTGTTGCAATAATTAAAAACCCGAACGCCTTGGTTTCGGGGTAGAGAGGTAGGCAGATAATGGCACTAACGTCCTCCGCGATATTAGATGTCTTACGGCGCAGGTTATCAAGTCCAGCAGGGGAATATTTCAAGTGGCAGCGGCACCTATCTGTGCCGTGCTCGACATGTAATGCCTATTACGCAGTATTACGGGCCCCTTTTACGAGTTATCCTCCCCAGCAAGTCATATCCGCGACATACGTACGAACCACGGTCTTCAGACCTAGTCCGAGCGGCTTCGTAAACGAGACCCGGCAATGCACCCCCCCCCCTCCCCTCCGCGGATACACCTCCCGATCTGCAACGAGGCCCTAACTGGCCGCGGCTTTTCGAGATACTGACACGATCGCTTGACCACGCCAGGTTACGAAGCACAGTGTGTTATAAAGGGATAAAAAGGCACGCAAAAACGCCGGTGAAAGAGAGGAGCTCGCCGAGATGCACCGTATCTAGAGTTACGTTTACTCGGCCGGGGGATATCGGCGAAGTTTACCTCGAGCACGTGGTGTCTTGGCTCAAAACCGACCTCGAGCATAGGCTGGTTCAATACTCGAAGGCAGGTGGTGGGTGCGGTCTAGCAGCCTCGTCGATGCAACAGCTGTCACACAGATGGAACCCTGCGCTAATAAATTAGGCCATAAAAGGTCAGGAGGATAATATCGGGTATCGAGGCCGTAACCTCGGCGACCTACTAAGGAAAGTCTTAGATAAGCTTCGGATAGCTTCGGTATTAAGGTATAAAGGTATAAAGATACTTCTGGGTTATATTAGAACGAGAAGGGAACGTAGAACTTAGAAGAGGATAAGGACCTAAGAGACCTCCTATAGAATTATTAGTTAAATTAAACCTATTTTAAGTATATTTCCTTGTTATAGATAATTCTATATTACTCTTACCCTTATAACTTTACTATAAGTTAGTAATAAGAAAAGCCTACGCCTAAGCCGGCGTTATACGTTAAAGCCGCTACCCCGGTACCATTACTACCGGATTAACCTCGACCCTTTACTAAAGAACTAAAGCCGTAAGCTTTCCCGCTTCCGCGACTAACCGCTTCGGGGGCGGCGTCGATCTTTATAGCGGAAGTAACTTAAATAGTAACTACGATTAACGAATTAAAAGCCGCTATAACGGAATTAAAAATAAAAGACGCCGAACGAATTACTTTAGCGCCTTAAACGGAGCTAACCCCCGAATTAATTAATAAATCCCTCGTCGTATATTAACCCTAGGAATATAAGGTAGTTATAACGGATACTCCGGAAATCGCGAACTTAGGAGTAGTTATACGTAATTCCTCGTAGTAAATCGTAGATTTATATAAGTAAATAAGGTAGGTATATTAAAGCCTAGTAATATTAATTAATTAAATCGACGTAAGATACCGATAAAATACGATCCTAAAGGAGTAATACGAATAATTACGATAGCTTTATTAAACCGCTACGGTAATATAAGCTACCGGTATCCGAACTACGAAGATATAGATCTACGAGTTCTAGAAATAGGTCGTAAAATAAAGTACCTACTTCGCTTAAAACGTATAGGAAACCGTAGTTAAGTTTACCCGGTAGGATAAAGTACGAACGGCCGTAATAAACTAACTTCGAAACGCCGCGTTATAAAATTAACGAGCCTTAACTTAATTACGCGAGGAATATAATAAGTTAGTAACGGACGTTAGTTCCTAAGCTACGTAAAAGGATAAATAGATTAACGAAATCCTTAATAAAGAATACCTTACCCCCGGGGCTATAAAGGAAAAAACCTAGCTAATTAAAAACGACCTTAAAGCTTACGCGGTTAATTTAATTAAGAAGTATTAATAACGACGATTAAGTAATAAGTTAACGGATATTAAGTTTATTATCGTAAAAGTTAGTTAGAGAATAAGAACGCTTATTCCCGCGCTAGGCGTTCGTATTACGATAACGTCTACCGGAAAATATATTAATAGCGAGGCTAAAATAAGGGAAATTATTTCCGACGGCGTACTTTAGGACGCCGCGGTTAAACGTACCGCCGCGCGCGTAAGAATCCGTTTCTAGGACGCTACGGTAGGCGCCTTTATATTAAGAGGAGCCGGTTAAAGACTACCGTAACCGCTACGGATCCCGCGGAATGCCTTAGGAAACCCCGGGAATTCCGACGATTCGGATAACTTAAAATCCGGGGATCCGTAAAGGCCGCGAGGCCCGTCCGGCGCCTCTAAAAAACCGTAGGAGCCTTTCGACCCGGCCGAGGAACGTATGATTAGGGCTTAAACTAAAGCTATAAATAATCGACGAAGTATTACGGTAACGACTAACCTAATATACCTTATTAAGCCTACGGCTTATAACGGTAAAGACTTAGCTAAGTTCCGATTATAATAAATTAAGGTTAAATCCTACCTCGAAACTTATAAAGAAAGCTTTACCTAGAACGTTTAAAAGATTAACTAAGTAAGATCGATACTTACCGAAAAGGCTTAGTTCTAATATTAATAACGGTTAGCCTAAGTAAAAAGGTTAATAATCGTCGATACTTAAGCGGGATATTCCTAAGTACTTTAAGAACGGTTTAAAGACCTCGCCGAACGATATCGTAACTTTAAAAAGATATAGGAACTAAAGTATTAAAGAGATATCTCTTAATACCTTACCGAGCTTATAAACCTTAACGATATCGTTTAATAATCCGGAATTACCTTTTAAAATTATATCGCCCGTATCTTACCCGACGAAATAACTAAGTTAGTTTATTTACGACTAAGTAGCATTTCCGAAAGCGATAAAGCCTTCCTTAAAGTAATTAAAAAAGCCGGCTAAATCTACGAAAATATAATAACTAACCTAGGGATTTCGGGAAAAGGAAGGTCCGCTTCGTAAAAGGAGTATACGAAAGCGGACTAGTAATAGCGGTAACCCGTAAAAGAAACTCGCTCCCGCTTAGGTTAACCGGTAAACGAACGTAAGGAAAAGGATAATAAGAAACCCGTACCGGCTAAGGACTTACGATAGGTAGGTAATAAGAAAGCTTTAGCTAGAATTAACTAGGCCGCTATCGACTAGCGAAAGAAGGATAAGAAGGCCTACTAGAAATACGGAAGGGATAATTACTAAACTCTAGCTTACTTCGTAAAAAAGGACTTAGAAGAACGAAACTTACCGGCGCTACCTAAGAAAGTCTTATCGGGAAAAAGAAAAAGGAAGAAACCCGAATTATTACCTAATAAAAGGGCTAGAATCGATATTATTATACGATAGAAGGAAACTTTTCCCCGTATTATAGAGCTATCCGACTCCGATAAAGAACGGGATTTTTAAATGCCCCCCCGTAAGCGTTAACAGGAGAAAGAGGCGATAAAGATAACGTAAAAATTACGGCTATTAAACGGCCCGGAACGCTAGAAGTAACGGAAACGGTATTAATAACGAAGAAACTACGAGTTCTCTAGCGTAACCTAAACGAACTAAGGTTAGGTAAACGGCTTATCCATACGATATAAATAAAATATTAAGGAAAAGAATACCCCTTACGAATCCTCTTAGATACCGGTAGTAAGGTACCTTTAATTAACGCCGCTAAAATTAAATAATTACGCTTTCCTATTAATTAACGCTCTAAGGTTAGGACCTTAATAAGATTCGACGGCTCGGAAATCTCGTTAAAAGGATTCTAATATATAAATAAAATAAAGCTCCGTAGCTACGAATATATTTACCGTATCGTTTAGGAAGTTAGTAAATTAAACGAAGAGGTCGATACTATCCTATCCTAGTAATAAATAAAGGAATACCTCTCTTAAGGATTATTTATAAACGGACGGTTATACTTTAATTCGCTACGATGCTAGAATTATCGCTTACGGCTAGCTCGCGTAGGAATAGTACGAGAAATAGAGGCTTTAATATAAATACCGGAATAATTTCGCGACTTCGTTCCTATTATAACTAAGGAAGCCGGATAACGGTTCCTTAATCGGTAACCGTAGGACTACGTTATTAAGCTCCGACCGGGAACTACTTCTTCGTAGGGACCTTTATATGCTATAAGCGGACGATAGCTAGACGCCTTAAAACCTTAGTTCGACGAAATAATAACTATAGGAAGAATCCGAAAATCTAAGGCCTCTTACGGCGTATTTATAATATTTATAAATAAAAAGGACCCGGGCGCCTTAAGACCGGTAGCGGACTACCGAGGGCTAAATAAAATTATAATACCCGTCCGATATCCGATCCCGTTAATTAACGAACTATAGAATCTATTTTAAACGGCGCGGTAGTTTATTAAGATTAATTTAAAATCTAGGTTTTATATAGTACGGATTAAGGAAAGCGATAAATAAAAAACCGCCTTTAAAACGCGCTATAGGCTATACGAGTATATAGTTATACTTATAAGATTAATTAACGCTCCCGCTACCTTCTAAGCCATAATAAACTATATCTTCCGCGACCTCTTAAACGCCGGGGTTATCGCTTATTTAAATGATATCTTAATTTATATTAATACGTTAAAGGAATATAATAAATTAATTAAAGAAGTTTTAAAACGGCTTATAAAAAACTATTTAGCGGTAGCCCTAAAGAAATATATCTAGCGAACGTAAGAAGTTAAATTCTTAGGATATAATATAAGTCTTAAAGGTATTATTATATCTAAAGATAAAGTAAAAGCTATCCTTAACTAACGTACCCTAGCTATACTTAAAGACTTATAGAGCTTTATTAGGTTCGCTAACTTTTACCGTAAATTTATACGTAATTTCTCGGGCATAACTAGGCTAATTATTAGCGCTAATAAAGGAAACCGTAAGCTATAAAAATAGGAAATCGAAATAGAGAAGGCCTTCTAGGAATTAAAAGAAACCTTTACGAAGGCCCCGGTACTTATATATTTCGACCTTAACCGAGTCCTAATTATCGAAGCCGACGCCTTAAATTTCGTTATTTCCGCGGTCCTTTTATAGAAGGATAATAAAGGGAAATTAAAACTAATAGTCTTTTTCTTACGACGACTTACCCTAGCGGAAATAAATTATAAGATATATAATAAGGAACTACTAATAATCGTCGACGTATTCGAGAAGTAGCGATATTATTTCGAAGGTACTTAGCATTAAATAAAAGTATATTCCGATTACTAAAATCTAACGTACTTTACTACGGTAAAAGTATTAAATCGACGCTAAGCCCGTTAGGCTTAATAGCTTTCCTCGTATTACTTTATAATATACTATCGCCTAAGGAAGTAAAATAAAAAGGCTAATATTCTATTTAGATTATTATAATATCGCCTTAAAAAAGGAAAAGCTAAGGACTAGCCGATAGCGACGGTCCTATAGGAAAAGCATTTTTTAAAAAATTTAGGCTTACCTACGGTAATACTCTCTAGCGTACGACTAAATAACATCCTAATATCCGCTTAAACCCTAAAGTTCGTTAAATAAGTTAAAACGGTAGCTATATAGGACCCGGAGTACTAAGCCTAGCTAATTAAATTACTCGGTAAGGAAATAAAGCTCTAGGAAGGCCTTCTCTATCGGCGAAACCGTTTCTAAATACTTAAGGACCTATAATAGGAAGTAATTAAATCGGAATACGATATTAAAGTAACGGAATATATAGGTATAAATAAAACCATAAAACTTATCGCTCGTAACTTTTAATAACCTAACCTAAAAATAATAATTAGGGAATTCGTTAAGGAATACCGCGAGTACTAGTAAAATAAGGTACCCCGATATACTCCGTTCGGATTATTATAGCTTATAAAACTATATTATCGACTATAATAAACGATCGCGATAGACTTTATTACGGACTTATTAATATTTAACGGCTACGATTTTATTTAGGTTATTATAGATTCCTTTACTAAGATAACGTACTTTATCCCGCTAAAAAAGGACGGTAAAAAAGCCGAAGACTTAATACCTATCTTTATACGTAATTATTAGCGGCTATATAAGATCCCTTTAAATATTATCTCCGACCGAGACTCGCGATTTACTTCTTATATATAAAAGGGCGTCTTAAAGCTCCTCGGCGTTAAGCTTAAAATAAGTACCGCCTTTTACCTCTAAACGAATAAATAAACGGAAAGACTTAATTAAATCTTAAAAGTATACCTACGCGCTTTCGTAAATTACGAAATAAGTAATTAAGAGAGCTTACTACTTACTACCGAATTTACCTATAATAATATCGCTTTAATAGCTACTAATATATTACCCTTTTACGCTAACTACGGGTAATACTTAGTAACATATAACCCCCCTTTAGGTACCCCTAAGAATTTAGGAAGTAACCTTTATACTTATTAAATAATTCGGGTATATAACGAGGCTAAGTAGTATTTAAAAAAAATACGGTAGCGGATAAAAGGATAAGTAAATAAATACCGAAAGGAGGAACCTCCTTTAAAAGTCGGATAGTTCGTTATATTAAATACCCGTAACATTAAAACCAAACGCCTTATAAAGAAGATAAATAAAAAGATACTCGGTTTCTTTAAGGTTTAAAAGGTCGTCTTCCCTACCGCCGTAACTCTAATACTCCCGAAAGGCTAGCGGATTTATAATACCTTCTACGTATCCCTTATCGAACCTTACCGCGTTAATAATTAAGAACTACCTAATCCTAACTAGGTCTTACGGGAGGTAGCCCCGATCGAGGCAGAAGATTACGAGGTAAATAAGGTACTAGATTCCGTAAGGACCGGAAAAGTTATTAGGTACCTAGTAAAGTAATAAGGCTAGCCGGTTAAGCGCTACTAAACTTAAGAACCGTAGGAGTACTTTACTACTAAAGGAGCAAAGGAAGCCGTTAAGTTATTCTACTTATAGAACCTTAATAAACCTACTAACTATCGGGCCTAGGTATTACGCTTAGGAACGAGCTCCTCCGAAGAAGGGAAATAGTATTATACGGATAGAACCCTGCGCTAATAAATTAAGCTATAAAAGGTTAGGAGGATAATATCGGGTATCGAGGCCGTAACCTCGGCGACCTACTAAGGAAAGTCCTAAATAAGCTTCGGATAGCTTCGGTATTAAGATATAAAGGTATAAAGATACTTCCGGGTTATATTAGGACGAGAAGGGAACGTAGAACTTAAAAAAGGATAAGGACCTAAGAGACCCCCTATAGAATTATTAGTTGAATTAAACCTATTCCAAGCATATCCCCTTGTCACAACAGCCGAGATTGCAGTTCCGGAATAGCCGTGCAGCAAATAGTTAGTAGCTCCATCTTGCGTAAAGTAACATAGCATCGTGTAGCCATCCCGGTGCCCCCTTGCTCCCCCTCCTCCTCTTCTTGTGACGAGAGACTCCTTAGCCTGTGGACCCGAGTAACCGAAGTACCGTGGTTGTATAAGGACGGCAGATGGTGGTCAGAATAATAGGGGTTCGTCGATGTTTATAATTTTGTAAGCTTTTACCAGAACAGGCGGAAACATCCATCAAATTCTGGTAAGCGGCGAGCTGTTTCATTCATAAATCACCGTGATATCATATCTGGTTTCTTTTATGTGGGCGGCGGTGTCTTCGGCATGTGCAGGTCTGCTATGTGCTGTGTAGACGCCTAGGGTTTAGCGAGAGCTCGCGTTGCCTCGAAAGCACGCTGGGCAGCTTTGAGGGCAGTGGAGTTACAAACCTGGATCAATATTAGACGTAGGCGAAAACCCTCGCTGGGTTAGGGCCGGAAAAGCAGTGCTTCGACCCTCCAGCAAACCGTTTACCGGCCCGCATGGCGACATTCTTTCAACCAAGCCAGGGCCTCGTGGTGGCCTCGGTTATTCCGGGCACGGATCTATGTGTTCTGAAGTCCCGGCCACAAACTGTTGTTTGGATTGTTCCCGATCTGGCACTGGTGACGAGGCCCAAAGAATCAGGTCGCTCCAGAGGATTGCCGACTCACCCCTCCCTCTGAGTATACCAGAGAGCAACAACCAGTACAACTCAACGAAGAGATTGGGTATCGCGTGTGTATCACCTAATACAAGACTGCGAGGCAGTCGGTTCCACTTGGTAGACAGGACAGCCGGCGTGGTTTACCGGGCTGACAACGAGGTAGCGCTACTGCCGACAGGTATTCCGGCACCTTGAGCAGATGATATCGCGGCGTCGAACTGCCGTGGTCAGGTCGTACCTTGACGAACAACAACGCGCAATATGCGACAGCTCGTGTTGGTTTTCATGTCTTCGGTACCGCGCCGATCGCCCGATAGTCGCGAGATTGAGATGGGAACTGGTAGAATCTTCGAAGTTAGGATGGGGATCCCGGGAGTGCGGTGCTAACGATGGCTTCTAAGGTTTCTCCTTTATCCAGAGGACTACGAAGACTATAAAACAGTCGTCGATCATCTTTCAAAGCATCAGTTCTCTCCAAATGCATCCAGGAAACGGCAGCTCCCTCCTGAGATAACGAGGGCCTTTCAGCAGAGCCTGATCTATCGACAAACTCTGCGCTCGAGTTTATCCCTACCGTATCCTAGTCGTTCTACCATTTCCGGACGAAAGTTACCGGCCATGCGCTTAATCGTTACTCTGTTGGCGGTAACTGCCACGTTCCGGAGAGGCTCTGCATTCCCCTTCCAACCGGCTGGGAGGGCAGTCGAGATGCAGCCGCCCCAGAAAGCCGGGGATGAGGGGACATGTGTGGGCCAGGCGGCGAAGATTTGGAACTACATAGCCGGCACCCGCGACAAACGTATGCCCAACGACGACGCCCACCCCGACAAAAACCACCACTCGGAATGCATTATGAAGAAGTCCACCGAAGGGACATCCACCCAGGGAACGTCTACTGGGGCATCATCCACTGGGACATCATCCACTGAAGACGTGACGGCTACCACCGCAATAACCGTAGATCTTCAGAAGGAGACGGAAATGGATAAGATGATGGGCATGGATAAGATGCCGGGGATGGATAAGATGATGGGTATGGATATGATGACGGGGATGGATAAGAGGTCCGGAATGGATATGATGGCAAGTATGGATATGATGATGGGTATGGATATGATGACGGGGATGGATAAGAGGTCCGGAATGGATATGATGACAGGTATGGATATGATGACAGAGATGGATATGATGACGGGGATGGATAAGAGGTCTGGAATGGATATGATGACGGCTATGAACATGATGACAGGTTTGGATAAGAATGCTAAGGCGACGGGGATGGTCGAGGCGCCGGAGCGTACGGCGATGCCCGACGTCAAAACCAAGGTGTCCTAAGACGGGGCGCGCTCACGGCACGGGCGGGATCTCGTGTCGCGACGCCGCTCGAGTGGCTCCGGAGCGAGTCGCCCTCCTCGACCACTGCAAGCTTAGGATGCCACCACGCGGGGGGGGGAGACGAGCGAACTGGTGGCAGCGTTCGCGACTCTCGGCTGGGCCATGTTATCTGGAAGATCTCGGCGTAATGCGATACTCAGACTGATTGGAGGAGATGGCGGGCGACGCCTGGATATGCTGGCCAGATCGACGGGGAGGAGTGCGTTCTGGAATGTGTGTTTTTTTCCTCTCTCTCTCGCTCAATTCGTTAGGCATAGTGTGTGGATCAGATTAGACGGCACGTCCAACTCATTTCCATTCTCTGACTTGGGCAACGGGCACGGGCTTTGTGGCGGCCGCTGAAGCGCCGACGCACGTGATCGGGCAGCGCCTATTCCGGACCGGACTCGAGTAAGCAGGTGTAGTAATGAGGAGCTGCGCTTCGATCGGATTTGTAAGGTAGCATTGGCGTATTATTCACCCCCACGTGGGAGCGCTTCCCACTACCGGAGTGCACGATATGTCGAAACATTCGCGACGTCAAATTTTATACGTGCAGGTGACCGACCCGGGCCAGCAGCCCAGGGGCCAGGGCAGACCAGGGCAGAGCAGAGCAGAAGCGCGGAGCAGACCAGAGGCGCGGAGCAAGCCAGAAGCCGCGAGACCGCTCTCGACCCTCGACTCATCATTTATATTCCCCCGCTTGCGGTCCAATGCTCGAGACTTGGGCATCATATGTGGAGGCTCGACGGCTCGCGCGAGCGCCGCCGCCGCGCCTGCTCCTGTATACGTACCTAACCAGGAGACGAGACGAAGCCATCGCATGGTCGCGCGGCGGCGGATTCGCTAATAATTGCGGAACACGTAAATTCCCGTCCCCTAGACATTGCCAAGTTAGTTGTCTTGCCACGGCCCAAATCGGGTTATGCCTGTTGGGATCGGTTGGGCAGACTTTCCGGCTGGTGATCTCGCGACAATCGCGCGCGTCGAAGCCAAAGGTTAGGTGAAGGAGATAAGAGGTGGGTTGACCGTCGACACGGCCGCGTAGGATGATTAGCAGGCGTGTGCCCTAAAACGCAGCACCCAACACAGCACGCACTCGAGCCAAACGCATTGTGACAGACAGGTACCTAGGCAGGTACCTAGGTGGTCTCTCTATAACAAGAGCCCTATACACATTGTATTCATTTGCCCACACCCCCCGGAGGCGAATCGCATCCCTCATTTATTGTCAACGCGCTGCTCTCCGTTGCCGGAGCCACCCCTACCTTGGGGATTCCTAGGTACGTAGGTACCTCTCATAGATAGGTACCCAGGTACCGCCAGGTAAGGGTGTTGGCTGGCATAAGGAAGTACCGGTCTATGTACCTCTACTCGCATGCCTACCGTCGCAAGGGAACAGTGGTAGGTGAGCAAGGGTGCCGGCGTCGCAATGTGGCTGGCCCTGATCCGGACAGATCGAGCAGATTAGCGCTCTGCGCTGCTATGCTTGGGTTGGTGGCGACACACGCTGGGGCGCGGTAGGGCCGGGTAGGCCTTCGATTGGGGGTGGCGTCGACGGGTTTTCAGTACCTAAAGGGTACAACAGCCCCCCCCCTTCGTCGCCCGGGGTCGTCGACCGCCCCTGGCCGTTCAGTAATTTTCGCGGATGCCGCCACGTGAACGATGCTGTGGATACCTGCCGCTACCTCTGGTCCCTCAGTTGTGCGGCGGCATCGAGGTAGCATCGAGGTACTTGGCCCCGGTCTCGACCGCCATTAGTCAAGACCCCAGGGTTCGCCATTCACCACGGTGTTTCAAAGCCGACCGCCCCGTCGGTGTGGGAAATTAGGAGACAATATTACCTGTTGGTTAGCAGAGCCAGCCAGCCAAGGTCACGTACCTACGTCCCGTGGCCGTGTATATGTAGGTATGCAGATTCCAGGCATATTTACCCTACCTGAACTCTCAATCCATCCATCACCTGCCTGCCTGCCTGCGACATTTTCCAAGGAATAGCAAGGCCTTCTTTTTTTTCTTTTCTTATTTCCTTTGCCCAAATAAACAGGAGTCCCATCGGTGTCGCCTTTCGTTCCCTTTCCCCCTCCCTTTTTTCCTGTTGTGTTTTGTTATCGATTCCCTCCCTCCCCGTTCATTTTGCCCCCCCCCTTCGCTCATACCATCGTAATCCAGTCCTCATCCTTGTTCCTCCCCCCCCCCATTGTTCTTTGTCGTAACCCACGAGATACGATACCATGCGCGGCGGCGCCGTCTCCCCGGCTGCTCTCTCCGCGCTCAAACACCCTCTCTCGCGGTACCTTGGCCGACATCTATCTACCTCGTCTCGCGGTGCCGGAGTTCAGCTCGGACGTAGCATTCGCGAGGCCAGCACCGTCGCACATGCCGTCACCGCCAGCCATTTCAGCCATCACCACCAACTGTTCGAGCCGGGCGTCATCCTCAAGGGATACTCTGGCCGCGAGTACACGATCGAGAATGTTCTACAGGACCGCCAGGACCGCCAGGTCTACCTCGCCAGGTAAGCGAGCCAAGTAAAGCTGTCCCGCTTCGGGGTCGAGGCCATCTACCGGCGTAGTCGGGGAGCGTAGGAGGCGGGGAGGGGGATATCCTACGAGGATGAGTCCTAACGTGTCGCATCAGGGCCAACGAGAAGATGTTCGTGCTGAAGAGTCTGTTCGAGAACGAGTACAACTATGCGCTCCCGCTGCAGCTGAGATTCAATCACTCGCCGTACTTGCGGGCGCTTCGCGATACCGTGCCGGACCAGAAGATGTTCGTCAACGAGTACATGACGGACCACCTGCTCAATTTTGCCTTCAAAGACCTCTCGGTACCGGTGCAGAAGCGCGTGCTGCGGGACACGCTCCGCGGACTGGCCACGCTCCACGATCAGAACATCGCGCATTTAGGTGAGTTCGTCATCCGGACTTAAACTCCGGGCTTTAAGCCATCTGACGTCTCGGGCCACCACGCAGACATCAAAGCCAACAATATCATGGTTGACTACCGCGATACTCCGGACGGCACTATTGTGGACCGCGTGCAATTATCCGATCTGGAGGACTCCACCCACATCCCCCCCGGACAGGCCCTTCGCGGCCTCCAGGTCGGCAACCAATTCTGGCGCAGCCCCGAGGCCCACGTCCAGGGCGCTGTCGGCAAGCCCTCTGACATATTCTCGCTGGCAATAGTGGTAAGTCGGCTACCCGTCCAGATTCCGCGACAACGACGGAAATTATTATCATCTGCGCAAGTGGCTGAAACCATGGCTAGTTCATTTTCATGCGCCTCAGGATGGTCATCTTCCGGGTCGACAGCGCGCCCGGTGCAGATCTCACCAAGGCCATCTTGGACCGGCAAATCTCCACCTTCGCCGAGTGGAACGATATTGAGTCCTTCATCGAGTACCTGGGTCGGAGCCACCCCATGGTGGGCACGCTGCGTCGCATGGCCGATTCGTTTGGCGCGGAGAAGCCGCGCCGGCCGTTTTCGCTGTGGAAGAGCGACGCTCTCGACCCGGATTTCAAGGACCTAATTACCAAGATGACCAATTTCGACCCTCGGAAGAGGATCACGGCGCAGGAAGCCCTAGATCATGTTTGGTTTCACGACGTCCCCGAGTTGTAATCCCGGCTGCACCGGTCGACGGGTTTCGAGGGGGATAAAACGATCTGGCAGACCGACGGGAAGAAAAAAAACGAAGATTTCCTTCGGTACTGATAGAAGACTTGACATTTCGGGGCGCAAGCAAGGCAAAGGGTAGGGTAACGGGCCAGGCAAAGGCGGGAAAAGACAGGGTACGACGGGAAATAGACTGCGTCTTCGGGGAAACAGCACATAAAGACTTAGACGGCAGACCGACGCACATAGACATTTTAATACTAATGGCACGAATCCCCCAGTGCCCAACGACGAGCCTACTTTGTTACTTGAATCGTCGCTCTTGGCTTGGTAAGCTTGATATAAGCGACGCTCAAGAAGTAAAACCGACCTATGGCGAAATAAGCCTGAATAGGGTACAGCGGGGTCGTAGTATACGATTGGCGCGGGTAGCGGAGGGTGAATCGAGGGCGCAGCAGCTGAGGCCAGGTGACATTGGGCATCACCCAACTGCTCCCCCCTTTCAGTAGGTATTATGAGCCTGGATATGCTCCGATGATTAGGGGACAGCGATGAAACCTCCCTTTCCCTCGTCGCGTAGGCTGCGGTCTATTCTCGGCATGGGCGACGAGTTGGTCAAGATGTTGAAGGAGGAAAAGGGGCCAGCTGTGCCTGTAATATTATGAGCTCTAACCGTCACCCTCCCACAGGTGAGGCAACTCGCTGTCTGGTCCGTCTATGGCCCTACTCGTTACGGATGGGGCCAACCGCTGTTTCAAACGCAACGCACCCGCCTAAGCTGCCTGAGAGCGTAGAATGAGCGACCTCAACGATTTCCCGCCCACCGCGATGCTAACCTGTGTGCATTGAGGGGGATAGCCTCCGTGATGATGATACCTATTAATACCTAGGGAAAGCCAACCGCCACGCGAAAGCACGCACGCACGATGAAAAGACGCCACAGCCGACTTAGCTAGCCCTCTCGATGCGCCCGGCAAGGACCTCTACCTCTACGTAGATGATGTGATACCTAGTCTACGCAAGACACGACAGAGCGCCGCAGGACGCAGCGGGAGTGAACAGCGCGGAAAGGGGGAAGGGGGGTTGACGAACAGGGTGCGCGAGCGCAGCAATCCGAGGTTCGATATAGGCAAAACACGCCCCCGGAAACACCACCGCGATGCGCCCTCCCGCGCCGACGGAAATAGCGGCCAGAAGCAGAATACCCGGGTGCCTCTCCTTTCAGGTTGAGTGCTCCCCGCGGCTCAATGCAATCCCGTGTCGCCATCGGCCCGCGAGCCCGCCCCTGGCCCGGAAGCAGGCGTGCAGCCGCTGCAGCACGTCCTGGGATATTATGTTGTTGTTGTTATTGTTTTCCCTCTCGAACTTCGCGACCCTCACCTGTCTCCCCCCCCCTTTCTCTCCTATCCTGCCCCTTCCCCCCACGACACCGTCGCCGCTCAGGCATAGCACCCGCGATGTCCCCGCGTAGCGCAACTCCGGTCGTACTCCTCTCGTCCCTCACCCTCCTCCTCCTCCTCCTCCTCCTCCTCCTCCTCGCCTCCCCTCCCGTCACCGCCCACGCGAGCCACCACCGCCTCCTCCCGCCGGCCGCCGTTTCCGGGCCCGCCGCGCCGCAGGCCGCGGGCGCCTCCTGCGCCGACGTCCACGTGCTGCTGTGGCGGGGCAACAACGAGGCGTACCCGGGGCGGCAGGGGAAGCTGGTGCGCGCGATCCAGGCGGCGCTGGGGGGTGAGGCGCCGGCGGCGGCGCCCTTTGCGCTGCCGCCCGCCTCGTCGTCGCCGTCGCAGCCCGCACCGCCGCGCCCGCTCCCGCGCAACCTCACCTGCGACTACGAGGACGTCGTGTTCGACAACGCCCGGGACGCCGAGTACTGCGGCGCCGTCGAGGCCGGCCGCGATGCCGGCCGCGCCCAGCTCGCCGCCTACGCCGCGCGCTGCCCCGCCGCGCGCCTCGTGCTCGCCGGCTACTCGCAGGGCGCGCACGCGCTCGGCGACGCGCTCGGCGGGACCCCCGCCGCCGCCGAGCCGCTCGTCCGCGGGTGCCGCGTCTCGCCGCGGGCCGGGCTCGACCCGGCCGCCGCGCCGGGGAACCGCAGTGAGTGCGCGCTTCTCTTTGTTCCCCCCCTCCCCCCCCCCCCCCCCTTTTCTCCACGTTTTCACCGCCGCCGCCAGAGGCGAGAAAAGAAAAAGAAAAAAGAGAGGAAATAACCCCGCGCTAACCGCTGCTCCCCCCCGCGCGCGCGCGCAGTCGCCGCCGCGCTGCTCTTCGGCGACGTCCGCCACGCCGCGGGCCAGCCGTACGACGCGCTGGCCGCCGCGCGCGCCCACGACGGCGCGTTCCCGCGGCGCGGTGCGGCGCTCGCTGGCCTCAACCGCTTCGCGCCCGCGCTGCGCGCCTGGTGCGAGCCCGCCGACCCCGTGTGCGCGCCCGGCGGCCCCCCGCACGCGCTGCGCGCCCAGGACCACCTCGGCTACTTCGACCGCTACGCCGACGAGGCCGCGGCCTGGGTCCGCGACCGGCTGCGAGGCGCGGCCCCCGCGACGTCGGGCCCCGCGCCCGAGCGGCCTCGCGTCGCCGTCGCGGGGTCGGCCGGGGTGCTGGCGGGCTGGCTGGTTTGGGCCCTGGTGGGGTGGGCGTGATGAGGGTTGTGGTATATTTGGGTGATGTTGTATATGAGATTCTTCATCGTGGAGGCAATTAGGGGTAGTAGATCCGGTGTCGGCTCGAAGGTGGAGGATAAGAGGGGGGAGGGCATTAAAGAGCCATGGTTTAATAGTTGCGAAACAACAGCCCTAAGAAGTGATGTCGCACATTAATCTCATGCCGGCGGTCTATTCTATTAGGTATTAGTTATCAAGTTTTCCTGCACACTCCAGCCTCTGAGATGTCCGACGATACTGCCAGCCTCGCCACATAAGCGGAGATTTATTCCTCCCTGTTATATGTCGTGCCGAGTCTCGTGAACTATATTACCTCGGATGATGGGTTGCACAGGACTGAAGGTGTTGTCACTTATTCGTGTCAGCCACCTAGGTCTCTTGATTGTGTCATCTTTCTTCTGTCATCTGTCATACCTTAGAAAGCGAGCACAGTATGTCGCGATGCAAGCATCGCGCTTCGAGGAAGCTTCCGAGAGGTTATGAGTGGTGGTGCTGCGAGACGGACCGCGGCTCCGTACGACGCCTCTACGCCTTTGGTATTCTCTTCATCTCCTCGGCGCACACGCTGAACGCAACTTGGTTCTGCTCCTTGGGAATGAACAGGAATTTGATCTTGCCGATCTTCTTGACCTCGCCAAGAAGCTCGTAGATCTCCTGGATGAGATCGCGGTTGCCGACCTCGAACCCCTTGGCGTTGGTCCAGTTCTTGCTCGCCCACTTCTCGGCCAGCTGCGTCACGGTGGTCAGGGCGTACTGCGAGTCCGAGTACACGGTGGCGTCGAGGGACGGGCCGCCGGTAAGCTCGCGGTGTCGGTCCAGGATCCACTCGAGGGCCACCTGCATCGCGAGGAGCTCCGATCGCTGCGACGTCGCTTGGTGCTTGTGGGTTAGGAGGTGACGCGAGCGGGTAAAGTCCCAGGGCCCGCGGGTTTTGAGGAACACGCCGGCGGCTCCCAGACGACTGCCCCGTTCGGCCCAACGGCTGTGTCCGTGGGCATAGAGCTCCATGACGTAAACCATGATGACAATTGCGGGTTGTTAATACCGTTATACCGTGGTTCGGAAGGAGGAGGTGTGGAGGTTGGTGTCGGCCGTGTTGTGGATACAACACGTAATCGGCGCGAAAGGTGGTTCGCGAGTCCTAGTCCGCACTTAGGTCTGTTTTGAGGGGTGTTGCGGTCAGTACCGATTCCCAATTGATGAGCCGGGTATCTCGATATACTCCGAGGCTCGTGGGATTCGCGTGATAACAGCCCACGATGTAAGCGTTAGGCGGAACGTGGAAGGGATATGGAGGGGAAGTAGGAGGATTTGAGTAGGTCGTAAGGAGGAGAAAATTTGCAGGCAGGAGTAGTGACAGTGCCAGTATTAGGGCGCCTACTAGGTGAATTGGACACGATAATGGAAGCAGCCTGAATGTGGGCTGGTTGATGCCTTGTATTACTGCATCAATACAAAATAATAATAGTAACAACAATACCGTACGAATTGGAATACATTCAATTTCGTTATCTGGTATCCAGGCCGACGATATGCCGCTGTTTGTATCAAAGGCTGCGTAGCTGAGTTACGTAGGTGATAGAGAACATGAAAGGTATATACCTCCCACAGTACGCACTCCCACAGTACACACTCCCACAGTATACGCCTCTCCTACGGCCGGCTGGTGATTATAGACAGTGCCAGATGAGTACCGTAGTTGGACAGGACGATGGAGCACGAGTGGGTATTATACGTCCTAGACAGGTATAGAGGCCTGCATTGATATCGAACAAAATAATATATATATGTAGGATATGATGCCTCATAAAACATCTTTTGTCCACTCCATCAACGTATCCTATCCTCTGACCGGAGAGCCTCGGACGCCTATCTCTGCTCCAGAAAGCAAGCCATATATAAGACTAATTCGGAATCATTGAGGCTCCTACAGAACACTTAGTGCAGAGTGAGAAAGTTTCCAAGGGCCGATCTTCAGGACGTCTAGGTCTTTGGCCCTTTTCGCCAACACGATCAGCTCCAGAAGCCGCTCCGAAACATTCTCATCCGAGAGAGGACGTGCCTTGATAAGAACGTGCGATACGTCCTCAGCACAGAGGTCTTCGCCAAAGTCAGAAGGACTCGCAGACCTGACTCGCGAAAATGAGAACTGATATTGTCCGCTGATGCTGTCACTTGCAATCTGCGGGTTTGGCGATGGTGTGAGTGATGCGTGAGCACTTTGCTGCGAGCTAGTGGGTTCTTCTGAAGTGGCCTCCCGAGCTCTCTTCCTAGGCAGCGGTGGCGGTTGCGAATCGATCTGGAGCCGCGGTGTTGTAGGAGAAACAAGATCCAACTTCATATTGCGCTGACTGATCACTGGGATTTCTGCGTCTCTAATATCAAAGTTTTCTCAGTCATCTGCATGGCGGGCTATTGGTGATGAGTACTCAGCTTCCGTGGGGCACTCTGAGGAGAGAGACTCAAATTGAGAAGAAGAAGGGTTTGCAGAGCGTGTGGCTGCGGTGTTTTCCGTAATGGGGCTGTTGTAGAATCTTGACAAGTGGAAGACAACCACTTCTAGTTCGTCTGCACCCTACCAATGGGTAAATTTAAGTCGATATAGGATCGAACAGCCTGCACTAGCCAAGACTCATAGCAACTAATAGTCTGTTGCGTAAAACGTAGACGCCTAAATTCTACGACTGAGACAGTGGTTCGAATTCCACGCGCAACTCTGTCGAGATGCGTCGTGCTTTATCATGCGCGGCTCTCGAATTTGCCAGGGCCGGTGGCAGCATGGCCATCGCGGGCGGGTCGCCCTTGGGCGAACCAGGATCCATCGGCATCGTGTCGTCTGACATGGTTGTTTTCCTTTGTCGGTTGGCTGTAGATAGTGTTGGTTGAAGATGAGGGTGGGAGACTGGAATGTTGGCATATTACCTAAGGGTTATTAGGGCGGACTCATTTGTATAATTGAGTAAACCCAACCACTAAGCCATTGAGCACCTTGGAGCGCTAACCGGGCTCATAACTATCACGTAGCTCTCTCTAGAGCGACGTTGGGTGCAATAGGTTGCGAGTAGAGAGCAATGGAATGCGGGTGAGAAGGTGTGTATTGACCGACTGAAAAAGAAGAGCTACTCAAGAGTAAGGAGCGATCTATGGATATATACCTATAGAAGTAATCAACTGGTTAAGGTAAGCTAGCTCTCTACTGGAGGCGTACGCCTACTGAGAAAGAGCAGAGCGTACGCGATAAGTTAAGCTACCCCTCTACAAGCCACCCCTCCACAAGCTACCTAAATTAAGCATTACCTAATAATTATTACGTTAATGATTAAAGCTATTGATATTATTAAAATTAATTAAAACCCTTTAATTACGGCGTTATAACTTTGATATAACCCTCCGTTTATAATATCTTATTTTTAAGTATTTTAATACTATTTTAACCTTTCTAAGTACCTCCTCGTCGCTTACCTCGTCCTTATATACTATCTTATTTTTTAATGAACTTTTTATCCATCGTATATCCGCTATACGAACGAAGCGCCTCCTTAACGTTACGTATTGTAGTGGTGCGGTGGGACTAGGCTACGTAGCCTTTTGGATGTGTATTTATATGGGTCTCGCACTCATATTTTCATCAGTTAGACTTAGACCTGTAGAGTTCACGACCTTATAGCCATTCACTCGTTTCTTGCCTTGCCTTTTCTTGCCTTGCCTTTTTGCTATCCTTCCTTTCTAGTTCTTTCCCTGACTGCTGTTTTCAGCTGGCCGATCAACCGATTACAGCTGTTTGCAGCTGTGATCTAGGCTGATCGGCACTGGGCCAGTTGTTGGCAGTTGGGTAGCCATTGCTTTACGGGTCTCCAACAGCGTGCCCACGCTGCTCCTGTTCAATGGCGACCACCCAGTAACTCGACCTCACCTCACCTTAGGAGCGACCTTTTGATCGACCGTTTTTGCAGTCAATAGGTTCAAGACACGCCGATCAGGAGATTCCCTGATTTTCAACTGACCAGGAGCTGTTTTCGTGGCTCCAGAGCCGTTTTCGTGGCTTTTGGTCTGAATTTTCAGGTGGCTGGATCAACAGGGAGGGCAGACAACCATGGCGACCATCTCAACAACCACGCCCTCCCATCAGCTTTTGATCAGCTTACCTGAAAGCTCGTTCGCCGATCAGCAGGAATCCTTATCCTCGTTTCTCAGTTGTCTCTTTTGAAGGAGCTGTGCCCGTTTTTGTCTGGGTTTGCCTCCGTTTTCAACAAGTGCCTAGATGGCAGTCTTTCTCAGTTGATCTGACTACGTCACCGCCACCCCCCCCTTTTTACAACAACGCTTGAAGGCATCCGTTCGTTTACCGATCAGTCTATTTCAATTGCAAGAGGCTTGCCGATAGCTCGATTGCCCTTGTCTTATCCCTGCCAGCCAGTTACGGCACCTAGGGAGGTCTCCTTGACTCCCTAACTGACAGGTGTCACGATGCCCTCACAAGAAGATACCGACACGCCTTCGCCACGAACCTGATCGGGGACGTACCGATCAGCGCAAAGACCTACAGACGATACCGATACGAAACGAATTGAACGGATATTGAACAAGACAGCCCAGGAGAACAGGAACAGTCACAGGAACAGTAACGCCCGGAGACCCCTCTTGTCGCCCTTACCGATATGTGGTTCGTAGGAGAGCCCTGAGAGCTAGATGCTATCGGACGAACAACAGGAACAGGAGAACAGTCAGGAACAGTCGGGCATTGAACAGGATATATCAGTCAGTTTACAGGATCAGGATCAGTTGAAAGGATCGGCAACAGCCATGGACGAGAAGGACGGGAATCACGTTGCATCAGCTGTTTCACGGGATTGTTTCTTTCGTTTCTCACGGGAGCTACGCTTGTTTTACCTGCCCGTTGCAGTTCCTGTTTTCCGACTGATCCCTGTTGTTTCTTGATAGCCCTGATGGAGCTGGCTCGCTCCCAGTTGATCAGGGTTGATCAGGAACAGGTCGATCAGGTCAGGATTACAGGTTGCAGCTCCGCCAGCCCAGTTATTCTTGTTGATTGATCTTTCCTGCCGTTTCCTGTTGATCGTTGATTGAACTGGCTTAGCTCCCAGTTGGCAGCGATTGAACAGGTTCGGGATTGATCAGGATCAGGCACAGTCAGGCACGGCTGCAGTCAGTCACCCACCCCACCACCCACTTGTTGCAGTTGCAATTGTCTTCCGTTGTTTCAGGATCAACCAGAGACCTACCTGACTTATCCTGTTGGCCGTTGATTGAACTGGCTAGCTTTCAGTTGATCAGGGTTGATCGGGATCAGGTTGATCAGGTTGTTCAGGTTCAACAGGAAACGAGAGCCACCGCACCTGTTGCTGTTGGGAGTTCAATTGCTCCTTACGGAACAATTGAACTGGGGAGGCTGTAGTGGTGCGGTGGGACTAGGCCACGTAGCCTTTTGGATGAGTATTTGTATGGGTCTCGCACCTAGATTTTCATAGAATACTGTAGGCCGTGATGCCCACAAGACTAAGTTTGATCTATGAAAATCTAGGTGCGAGACCCATACAAATACTCATCCAAAAGGCTACACCGCACCACTACATTGGGTAGCCATTGCTTTACGGGTCTCCAACAGCGTGCCCACGCTGCTCCTGTTCAATGGCGACCACCCAGTAACTCGACCTCAACCTCAGTCTTAGGAGCGACCTGTTGCGACCGTTTTGCAGTCAATAGGTTCAGGATACGTCGATCAGTAGATCCCCTGACTTCCAACTGATCAGGAGCTGTTTTCGTGGCCCCAGAGCCGTTTTCGTGGCTTTTGGGCTGAGCCTTTTCAGGTGGCGGTTGAACAGACGGTCGACCCTCTCCAGCCTCAGCAGGGTTTGGGGATCCGACAGCTGGCATGATAAAGGTTGGAGCTGCCACTGGCATGTTCTGGCTGGCAGAGCCTCCGTTGTCGCTGTTCTGGGATGAGGCCATAGGGATCACTGGAATAAGTGCAGAGCCGTTGACTAAGGGTGGTTGGGTGGGCGTCTTGTCGTCGTCTTCCTCTTCTTCAGGTGTGTGCAGAGGCGGAGGGCTGGTATCAACTCTCAGGGTCTTGGCTGGCGGTTTGGCTTTTGCTGCGTCGGGGGCTGATGGCGATCTGCTGCGTTTTCTGGGGGTAGTCTCCGTCTGTCCTGACGGTGCGAGGTGCAACGGGAAAGGGGGATGGCGGTGACGTGGTCAACTGGTGGTCGCCATTGAACAGGAGCAGCGTGGGCACGCTGTTGGAGACCCGTAAAGCAATGGCTACCCAACTGCCAACAACTGGCACAGTGCCGATCGAACTAGATCACAGCTGTAAACAGCTGTAATCGGTTGATCGGCCAGCTGAAAACGGCAGTCAGGGAAAGAACTAGAAAGGAAGGATGGCAAAAAGGCAAGGCAAGAAAGGAGTGAATACTGAAGGTCGTGAACACTACAGGTCTAAGTCTAACTGATGAAAATATGAGTGCGAGACCTATATAAATACACATCCAAAAGGCTACGTAGCCTAGTCCCACCGCACCACTACAATAACCTTAGGTTTGAGGGTGTTTTACAAGATGGGCAGCGTGACCGTCGACGTTATGCGCATTACCTAATCGTATCCGAGGGATAATTATAAGGACACAACACCTTATCTTGTTATGGGATTTTCCCTTAATTATCTCTATGCGGATTAGCTATGCTCAAAAGAAGGCCTGCGGGATCGGTTGTTCATATGCGTACCTCCTTTTCCTTAGCCTTCGGGGAGGTAGATACCTAGGTGTGTCCTATGTTTTTTACCCATACAAAAAAAAACGTACCTAACGGAGAAGCGCAGGGCGTAGCATAGCGAAGTGCTTCGACGTATATCAACCAGTGAATCCTAGCTTGCTTGCTTGCTTTGACCCGTGCTGCAACTTGGATCCGTCGCGCTCCCCGCTGCGTCGGCACACTTGGCTGGCGCGGCGACTGCTACAGGTATCTGCTACCTATCGTAATGGGATCATAGTCTACGAGCCGAGTCGTGCGTGGCTCGCTGATGGGCGCACACTACGATGCCAAGACATCCGATGCCTCATCGCCCTCGTCTTCACTTGCTGCCAGTACTTCGAACTCGTTGGCGTACCCGTTGTCCGCCCCCAGCACGGCCTAATTCTGGGACTGCAAAGTTGGCGATGGATTCATCATTGAAGGCGGGCGGTTGCTGGGCCTGCGCTGTTTCTAGTAGGCGGCAAGTCGAGTGGCTGGCGGCTGGCGTCAGCAACGCCGCCGGGGCGTCGCTGGGACACGGGGTAATCGCCTCATGCCAAGTACCTGACAGCCTAGCTCCGCATGCACTCCATATTCTGAGGTAATTGAGCCCCTCCTATTGCTCATCGCCCTCGGCTCGGCCTTATCTCCTACATCGGCACCAAGCACCCCTTAGCTCACCACCCACCAAGGCAGATCCGCTTCGTCCCCCCGGTGTCCTTTAACCTGCCGGCGAGTCTATAACACGAAACCGTCCATTGGGGTTCTCCTCCGCAAGCCGACTGCCGTGCTACGACACTCTAGGAATCCGTACCTACATCTATTTCCCTATATTTCCGGTGCGCGGGAGGGGCCAATTGGCGCAAGTCGTGGTACGTGCGCACGCGAACCGGCGGGGCAGGGCACAATGGGGGACGCTGCCCAGGATCTCGACGCGAAGGGCGGCGCGCTCGACACCGCGAAGGACTTATTCGCTGGAGCAGCCGGAGGGATCGCGCAGGTGCTGATAGGTGAGTGTTCCTTGGTATCTGTCTGCCGATCAAGCCTTGCCTAGACGCATTGTTGGGATGCTCAGAAGCGGCGGGGGTTTGGTTGCCGACGAAGATCTCGACAGCCGAGAAATGGAATGGGGTCGAACACTATAGAGGACGGCGTTCTGTATCCTAACACGCTGGACCCTGTCGACATTCATCGAACCCGTCGTCGGGCTTGCTAACCGTTGTCTCCCTTCGTCCTGCAGGCCAGCCATTCGACATCGTCAAAGTCCGCCTGCAGACAAGCGCCGCGTATAGCTCCGCCCTCGATGCCGCCGCTTCCATCTACGCCAAGGAGGGGCCCCTCGCTTTCTACAAGGGTACACTGACGCCCCTACTCGGTATCGGCGCCTGCGTATCCATCCAGTTCGGCGCCTTCGGCTACGCTCGCCGGTACTTCGAGGCTGCCAACACTCGGTCGCCTAGTGGGAGCAAGGAGCTCGGCTACGGCCAGTACTTCGCGGCCGGGTCCTTCGCCGGCGTCGCCAACTCCGTCATCTCGGGCCCCATCGAGCACGTCCGCATCCGCCTGCAGACCCAGCCCCACGGCGCTGCCCGCCTCTACGCCGGACCCTTCGACTGCATCCGGCAGCTGTCGGCGCGCGCCGGCGTCCTGGGCGGTCTCTACCGCGGCGAGGTCGTCACCATCTGGCGCGAGGCCGCCGCCTACGGCACCTGGTTCCTCACCTTCGAGTACCTCATGAACGCCGACGTCGCCCGCAACCGCCTCGCCTCCCGCGCCGACGTCCCCTCCTGGAAGGTCGCCCTCTACGGTGGCCTCGCCGGCGAGGCCCTCTGGCTCGCCAGCTACCCCCTCGACGTCGTAAAGAGCAAGATGCAGACCGACGGCTTCGGAAAAGACATGCGCTACCGCTCTATGCGCGACTGCTTCGCCCAGACCTGGCGCGCCGAGGGCGCCCGCGGCTTCTGGAAGGGCATCGGCCCCACTCTGCTGCGCGCTATGCCCGTCAGCGCCGGCACCTTCGCCGTCGTCGAGGCCACGATGCGCGCTATCAGCTAAAGGCCCCCTGTTTGCAAGAAACCTGAGAGTGGGGATGCTGGGAATCAGAGGCGTTCGGCACGAGAGGAGAGGGCCGTGCACCCTCGGAGGGGTGTCCAAGGGATGGCGATGTTAGACAGTACATAGAAAGGCGTTTGGTTTCAACAAAGGATGCTTGCAGATCCGAGAAGTCTGCCGCCATAGTTTTACTAGGGCGCTATATTCAACAATGCGGGATGTAGTGCGCCATCCAAGGGGCTGGAAGGAGCACAATAATATATCAGTACGGGACCCCGGTAACGGGTCGCAATTCTTTTTCTCTATTCGCTATTTTCGACCCGTCTCTGTAAAATCTTCCTCGCGTTCGCCGGCGTCAGAGATTCTAGGCCCAGCTCGGCCAGCAGCTTCTTGGCCTCCGCGTTGTCCGTGAAAACGCGATCGCTCGCCTGCCGGAGCGACACGGCTCCGTCACTAGCCTCTGCCGGCAGGTTCAGCAGCCGCGAGCCGTCTCGTAGCGCGCCGATAGCCGTAGACCCGTCGGGAAGATGGCGGTCTACGAGGGAGGAGATCGCGTCGAGGTCTCTATCGAACTGAGCGGCGCCCAGGGCGGTAAAACTCTGCGCCAGGAGGACGTGGGTCCAGAGAGCGTCCTGAAGCTTTTCGAGGGCCTCCCGCCACACGCGACGGTATACGGCGGTGCTCAGGGTTGAGGCAAGGAAGGTGAGGTTCCGCTCGAGTATCTGAGATGATATTAGCAAGCCACTTCATACGGGGACGTTTGCCTCGACTCCGGGGGGGGGTTGGCAATACTGCTAATGGTTCGTCCAGCTCGGGGGTGACGGACAGTTGAGAGGCTTCGACTACGCGCTGTTAGTGGGACCAGTGAAGCGGGGGATAGGCGAAGGGTGGCAAACCGTGAGAATCATTGCTGATGGTGGTCCATTGAGCCTTCGCTAGGTAAGAGCGGAACGCCTTGTGGTGAGAATCTACCAGTGCTGTGGCGAGATATTCCTGAGCAGTCTGCCGGCGACGGGAAAGCGCTACGATTGTTTCATCGAACAAGATACCGCCGTCGCCGTCAGAGCCTACCACTATCGAGGTTCTATCTTTTACTTGGTCGTAACTCATCCCAGTAGCGACATTGCCCGCGCTATCAGTCCGCTTGGCTCTCGTCTGGAGCTCTTCCCACATGGTAATAAAGAACTGCGTATCTATCAATCGACGACGGGCCAGCTGGGCGTCTCAAGCTAATAGAGCTTACCTCCTCATTGCTCCAATCCTTCAAAGCAGCGATTATATAGTCAGAGCTGCCTAGTACCCTACACAGTGTCTCGAGGGCTCCGGTGCCCGCAAGAGCTGCAGACTGCTCCTTCGTCATTCCGTGAATGGTGCGGCCCAAGGTTGAAGTAATTGTGTAATATGCGTCGAGAGAATCTTTAAAGCGATCGTGGTATTCGTCCAATATGTCGAGCTGGATGTTGATGAGGAATCGGAGCCTAAAGGAGAACCTGCGGACCCGCACGTATTGGGACGTAACGGACTTCAGCAAGTCTACTACCCTCACGGCACCGAGCGTCGGCTTCATCTTGCCACTGACGCTATGATCATAGTCGATATTCCGCGCATCCGGCGCGTCCATAATGGCATGGTAGCGTTCCAAGGCAAATTCTCTCTCTACCTTGAACCAATCCTCAAAATGCTTCTCTAAAACCTCAGAAGTCAACCCGGCCCAGCCCTTTTCCGGGTCGCCGCCGTCGTAGTTGAATCTCGAGCGTATCTCGTCGTCAAGATCCATGAGTTGTACTATCAGGCTGCTAAGGAATTGCGGATTCTGGAGTCCGTGCTGGACCATGGCATTGATCTTCTCCCTCATCACGGGCAGCAGCGTCACGATCAGTGAGCAGGCCGGGTCCACGTACACCGAGACCTCCCGCACTTTCGTGTCGTGAAACCGTGACGCTAGAATATAGCCGACGTTGTCCCGGAAGAAGCCCTCCCATTTATCAACGAGCGACAGGAACTGGGGGATGCAGAAGGTGCTGAAGGATTGGGGAGTGCTGGTCGTGTTGTCTCCCATGAATTGGAACCGGAACCATTGAACGAATGGTTTCGCCATGACTTCGAAAGGGAGTAGCGTAACCACGGCGTCTGAGTAGAGGACCTCGGGCACTTGGAGGTCGACTAGCTTCTCGAACCCTTGCAGCCACTCGTCGTCCATCTCGGTGTCTGCGTTAACGGCTTGGGGCCAGTTGCGAACTTTCAGTATATTCTCCAATTCCTTCGACATGGTATTCTTCATCTCGTCCCAGAGGTTCTCGACGGTGCTCTCGACATAATTCACCAGATGTGTAGCGGCTCCGTCGGCTGCGCCCTGTAGGTCCCTTAATCGGATGCCGAGCTGCTTGAGCTTCGAGTAGGGCTGCAGCGCGGCTTTCGGGCTCTGCGGTAGGTGGGACCGCGCCTCCAGCCTCAGGCTTTCGACGTCGCGTAACAGCGAGACGTAGTTATGGGCGAGTTCGACCTTGTGGAGCTGTTTCATCGGCCGTTCGAGGCGTCGAGCAGCTTCCTCGGGGGCATTCGACTCGACGACGATCCTCATGCGCGCGTCGATGCTCTCCTGGAGCCGCCGAAACTCCGTTATCGACTGCAAAATCCCTCCCTGCCGATCTTGGGCGGCGTTCCGAGCATGTTCGAGCGCCCTGGCGGCATCTTCGAGTTGGGCTTGTAGCTGGCTGCGCTGGACTTCGACGCTGGCCAGCAAACTGTCGAGACTGTCGAAGTCGGTTGAGGACTGAAGCTTGTCGTCGAGGTAGTCCTCTACCCGAATATCTAGTTCGGCAGAGTAGGAATGCGCCGACGCAGCCGCAGCCATGATTGTCGGTGGTCTTATAGAAGGCCAGGCGTTGGGTTGGTTATATCATCTGCGATGCGATGTCGCAAAATAAAAGTTTCATGGTAGGGATCCAAAGCTGTCCTCAAGTTGGGTTGCATATGCATTTAGAAAGATATTTCATTAAGAAATATTATCTAGATACGGAAACACTAATGGGAGGCAGATACGTACCCCCCTTAGACCTTACGTAATGTACAGGCAGTGGGTACCTAGGTACATGGGTACTTATATGTAGGGGTTGATTGGACAACCGACTCCTGAATTATTTCCGTCAAGCCATTCATTCAACTTCACGTCTTCAGGCCTCGCAACTACTTACATGTCATACTATTGGATTCGTTTTCGCGGGCCCTAGATACGCCGAGATCCATTCAGATTATGAAACCGCCTCCAGGATCCTTGTAGAAGCGTTACGTGATGTCATTATTCAGTTCTACTGGGCACGGGTCCGGTCCGGCTCTCTCGCGCTATCTCCGAGGTTCTATCTCACCGTACATGAATCGAGTAACCCTTAACAGTGAGGTGTGAGATGATTCCCCTCCCGTGGCTAGAGAATACCTGAAGTTGCTTCATCGTGGGGAAGCCAATGAACGGCCAGGCCCTTATCATCGAGGCGGGGATCTACGACAGCCCGTACCCTTACGACTAGGGCTAAGGCTATGGACACACGCGATCTGAACCTTTAAGAAGAGGAGGCTGTGGATTCTGCAGGGGATAATCTTCAATATGAAATTGAGATTCGGAAAAACTTACGTCCTTGCTCGTCCGTCTACCTACACGGCAATCAGAACATACACACTATTAACTCTACTGCGCCCTCTGCGTGAACCGCGAACGCCAAGAACGTTTAACATGCCCAGGGAAGAACGTCGGGTATCATTCGGCATCGGTGGTGCTGGCAACATCCGTACGGCCTTTTTTTCACTTGCTCTACTGAATGCCATCCGCTGCTCCGCTCATGAGGGTTAACAGATGGGAATCCCCGCTTATAGGAACACCGGATGAAGCCGTACTACACGGTGCGATCTCTGCTGCCGATGCCGTACAGCGTCGCAAGAGTAGCCCCGGAGGTACAGGCTCAAGCTCGACCAAGAGCGAAGACAGTCGAGCATCCAACCTGGCCCTCAGCTTCAAGAGCATGTTTAGGAGATCCCGGCATCTACCACCGCCGGAAGGTCCCCAGTAGCCGCTCTTAAATATATTTTCGCGAATCGCAGACGGCACTAGAAAGGGTGAGACAACGTCACTCGATCTGGGTTCTAAGCACACGCAAGGCGCCGACGAAATTGGGGGAGTATAAGCAATTGGTTCTCCAGAGTCGGCCCGAGATCTCTATAATCTACATGACATATCTAAAATATGGGTTTTCCTTGTCCGTAAGATCCTGAAAGGCGAGCTTAGCCCTTTCAGTCTCATTCTCGATCACTGTCGACTCCCTTCTCCGGTTCTCACGCCTCAGAACTACGAAGAGCGCGGCCGAAGCCAATATGGTGACGCAATAACTACAACAGCAAGAGTTAGACGAGATATTCATTGCCGTCATTTGGTGATCATGAACGCACCATATTATGAGCCCGAGCCATAACTCGGGGTAATGGGAGACCTTGGTCTCGCTTTTGATTAACAAGGGGCCAATGATGTTTCCTATAGTGTGGCGTGAATAAGGGGTTCCGATTCACCAATATATCGGGCATTCTTACCAACACAATAGGCAACGAATATAGTCGCTGTGGTGAAACTCTTCTTAGTATGCCCGGCGACGTTGGACATCCCGATCGTGATGATCAAGCTCACCACTGCGCCAAACGTTCCCGTGATCGTGTACCCTATCACAGGAGCTGCGGCGTGATATGTCCAGTCGCTCTTCCATATGATGACGCATCCCGCGATGACGGGGAGGCAGCAGACAATCAGCATCAGGATGCGGATGTTGGAATAGCGCGAACCGAGCCAGCCGGTAAGGAGGATGGCGATCAAGCATAACCCCCCGAGTGGAAACTGGAAGACGATGGACTCCAGCGTGCTCCAGCCGAACGTTGAAACAATTAGTGGGCCGAAGCCGGACACGGCACCATTCACGGTATAAGCCGATGCCATCATGATGGCGATGAGCCATATCTTTAGATCGAGCACAGCCTCTCTCAACTGCGACCACTTGAATTTGGTACATCGTACACCCGTCTGGCCGTACCGCAAGCGCTCGACGGCCGCGAATCTCTCCTCCTTGGTTAAGAACCATGCCGAGACGGGCGAACTAGGCATAGCGAAGCAGAATAGGCCAAACAAGAAGGTGAGGCTGCCAGCGAGGAGATAGATGTATTGCCAGCGGCGCAGTCCTCCGCCCGTAATCTGAGCAAAGCCGTAGTTGAGCGCTCCTCCGATGATGGTCCATAGGCCCGTGGACGAGAACCACCAGCTTTGACGCAAGGACTGCTCGCTCTGGGTGTAGTATCCACTGACGATGCACATAAACCCCGTGGGGATAACGCTTTCAACGAACCCGAGGAAAAAACGCTGGGCGTACAAGCCCTCGTACGAGGTCGTCGCCGCCGTCAGCATGCATATCAGCGACCATAGCACGACGACACCGCCGAGTACGCGCCCCATATCGAAGCGTTGCAGTGCGTACGACATCGGATATAGCCCGCCCAGCATGCCGAAGTAAAAGATGGATGTCGCCCAGCTAAGCCGCGAGGTATTGACCACAGCGGGGTTCTGAGGGTTGGGTACGCTGAGCTTTAGATCTCCTGTCATGCCGAATAAAACGGCAGACCCCAGGATAGCCTGCACGCGAAAGGGGGGTGAGCGAGGCCGAATGCACCCTCAGTTTCGATATAGGAACCAAGCATACCTTGTCGTAGTAAACAAGCCCATCTTAGCCCAAGCTGACATCAGTAATCGTGCACAAGTCGGTCCCCGGCGCTTAGGGGCACCACTTACAACCAACCATCATAGCCGGAATCAGGAACCGGTCGATCTTACGCACGGCACGCCGCACGACGATGGGGTCGACCTGGTGGCCCTCCTCCCCCACCATTGCTATCGCGACATCTTTATCGCCGGTGGTCGTCGGATCCGCACCGGAGGTCGCGCCAGACCACGGTTCCTCTCCCGACTCGACCCTCTTGTCCATTTGTTTTTATATGTGATGGTCGATGAAACGAAACGCACGCAAAATCGGCAAGGCGGCCAATTCGGGGGAAATGACGCAGCAGAGATACTAACGAGTCTGCACGAAATGAAAATTTTCCATCAATACTACCGGCGGATCGCCCAGGATCCGATTCGCTAGTACAGATAACCGCGGTGGTAGCGAGGCCGGCCGGCTCGGACCGGAAGTCAAGACAGCCAAGGCGCCTCGGGCTGAGAGAGTTAGGAGTGGCATTGACGGGCGGGAACAAAAATGGGCACAGAAGTGATGTGCCCCCCACGCTACCGACTACTTAGTAGCAATGCTGGCAGAAGACAATAAGACCTTGCCTCAAGCGTATTAAGTGAGATCGGTTCCGATCCCCTGTTTCTTGGTAACGTATTCCATTGGTTCATCGTCCAGATCGGTGGTATCGGGTTCCTTGGCGGTCTCGACTCGACAGCAGGTGCTACGTAAATAAGTGATAATGCCAGTGGATATGGAGGGGGTGGATTGGACACTATTCACAAGCCTCTAAGCTATGCCTACCGACAAAAACACATATATGTAGAGAGATCCGCGATGGATTCAGACGCGTAGGGACTCGAGTAGTCATAGAGGCAAAGCTACTAGAATGGAAGGAATCTCGAATTGACAGACTTCAAGGCGTAATGAATATTAGGGGCTTAGGGGCAAGGGGGACGGGTAATATTACTGAAGGCACGCAATATGATGGAACCGCCTAAGAGACGAGTTGAGTAATAGATGTTGTTGGGGTTAAACACATAAGAATTCACAGAGTATCCCAGTAAGAGACCTCGTACCCTAACGAGATGCGAACAATTACCTATAATAAAGTAGGTCTACGAGTTGGGATGTTCTAAGTAATACATATCCGAGGCTGCAGAAGCCTTTGACGTGGACCTCCGCTACATCTAATAGAGAAAGCTAACTGTCGTAGTTCGTAAGCCAACCATCAGCCTCAACACCTCACAAGCTCCAGCGCGTCGAACGTGTCGACGGGGCCGGCGCCGATGAGCACGCCGCCGCCAGGCACGTAGACGCGGTCGCGCGCGGAGGCGGCGACGGTGCCGTGGCGCGGGTGCGGCATCGCGGGCAGCCGGGCCCAGGTGTCGCGGCGCACGTCGTAGACCTCGGTCTCGTTGAACACGCCGCTGGAGGCGGGGTCGGGGTTGCCCTCGCCGCCGAGCGCGGCGATGTAGGCGCCTTGGCCGAGGACGCCGACGGCGAGGCCGCCGCGGGCCGTCGGCATCTGGGCGCGGGCGGTCCACCCGCCGGCGGTGCGGCGCGGCGCGGCGAGGTCGAGCGTCCAGGTCGTGTTGCGGACGTTGGGCTGGCCGCGGTCGCGGCCGCCGACGACGTACAGCGCGCGCCCCACGACGGCGGCGCCCGCGTGGTCGCGCGGCGCCGGCAGCGCCGGCAGCGCCGTCCACGTGCCCGCCGCCGTGTCGTACGCGGTCACCAGCGTGAGCGAGGTCTGCGCCCCGCCCTCCTTCACCTCGAGGCGCTCCATGCCGCCAGCGAGGTAGATGGTCGCGCCGAGCACGGCGACCGCCGCGGCGCCGCGGGCCTGGCCGGCTGGCATGGGCGGCAGCGCGGCCCAGGTGCCCGCGGCGATGTCGTACACGAAGCAGTCGCCCGACGCGCGCCAGATCTTGTCGGCGCCGTCACCGGTGAGCCCGCCGAGCACGTAGACCCTGCTGCCGACGGCGGCGGCGTTGGTGTGAGTGAAGGCCCTGGGGATCGGGGGCAGGGTCTGCCAGGTGCCGTCGTCGAGCGAGTAGGCCTCGAACCGGCTGGTGGACGGCACGGCGGCCTGGTAGTTGCTGGCGTTCGGGGGGATGCCGCCGAGCAGGTAGATGTGGGAGTCGGTCGCGGCGGTGCCCTGCTCCTGGATCGGCACGCCGCCGCCGATCGCCGGGAGGTCGACCCAGCGGAACTCGTCCCTGAGGCAGGGCGGCCGGGTGGGAGAAGCCGCTGCGGAGACGGCGAGGGCTATGGTCGGCAAGACCTCAGAGAGCTTCATCCTGAGAGAGCTCGCGTTGGCCGTTTTTTCGAAGTATAACTACCTCGGTATATAGGTAAAGCATTTAAGTGTAAGAACGCGACGAGGGTGGGGGACGAGCTGTGGGTGAGCAGGACTGGAAGTTGAGGAGAACCCACGACGAAGATCGCCCATCTTATAGAAGCACAATCACCCGTGGGATGGATGCCTGGAGTGGATCGCGGTAATAGTCACTCGGGCGAGCACCTCTCTTTTTTCCCTTTCGCATCCACCTTTACTGCGTTGCCTTGAAGCGAAACCTCCCTTGTCTCTCCGTCCAAACATGGGACGTCCCGTCCGCCGGCGGAGGCCGTCATCCTTTTGGCAGCCCCGTATTGTCGTTCCGTCCGGCCGTCCGGACGGACCACTTCTAGGCACCCTGTTTAGGCCGAACGATTCTCCTTGATTGATATGTTTCAACCGTCGACCGATGCGGAGGACGGATCCAAACTTTGCTTACTTTTACATATGCCCATTCCGTCGTGCTTGTTTGAGGATAACTGCCACATCGGTTGGGTAGGTCGGCAGCCGACGAGGGATTGCCACAGATTTCGTAACTTGGGTACTGCGGATTCTAGGTGATGGATAAGATATATTATGCTCGGCCCACTTGATGAAGCGCGTCCTAAATAAGACCTACTTTCGGGTTCATCTAGTCGTTCTTTGTACCATGCGAATAAATAAAGTGGTGGAGGAAATCGAGAAGAGGATAGGGGGCGAAAGCGAATGAACGATGACGGGCGCCCCAGTACTTGCATACGAAGCTTCAACCATGCACATCGCCACTTTGATGAGTTAAAGAATCTATGCGTTTATGGGAAGTCCATCTTATAGTATGAATCCCATTTCCGAGGAGCTGGGACTAATCCTAGTAGGCACCTATGAAAACAGTCATATACCTACCTACATACCTTTAAGTTCTATATAGGCACATCCACTACGCCATTGTACCTCGTGTGGTTTACCAACAACACCTCCCACAAACGATCTTTCTCGGGCATAAAAGAGCCCGAGAACTACATTTGTTGTAGAGCCTCATCGATGTAAACCGGGGCTGACGATGCTTATTCAGGACAAACCGAGCTGACCTTGCATGGCAGGGGTGCGAAAAAATCGGGGTTTGGGGCTGTGCTGTACAGCCAGGTTGTCGGCGTGCTCGAGGTTGATATGCACAAGGACAGATAGAGATATGACTACTGAGCCTATCCTCCACGTCAAGCCTGTAGTCGCACGCAGCCAGCTAAGCAGCGACGCCCGAGTAGGGAACGATTCTCTGTGCGCTGTTACACGATCGGTAAGTATACTAGGACTATCTCAGTTACGAACCACTTACGGGACAAGAGAGGAAGGATAGGATAGTAGGATAATGCCGGCAGTAGGGAATGCTGAGGCAAGGCTGCGTGGCAACGTAACCGGGACCAAAAAGAAGGGTGGGGCGACACTATTCAGGTCGCTTAAAGGTAGGTAGCATTTCGACATTTCAGCTGACAGCATAATATTAACGACCCTTCACCCCTGATCGTAGGGGCCGGTAGAAGAAACTGGTGCAATTGGGTCCTGCCGCACGACGGGGACCTCGGCGGCGACTGGCGAGGAACCACATCGAGGAGGACTTGAGGATTACGGCGTTGCTCTACACCATGCGTTTAGCACGACTCTCAATGCCCCCCTTTCTCACTGTAATCGTCTTCGGCCTCGTTACTGATCCACCCATGATAACAGCTCTGGCAAATGTCCAGTACCCACCTATAGGTTAGAGGCAACCCCAGCCAGAGAGCTTCATGTATTAGGCCCCCACCCTAGCTAGAAACGAGCAGCCTGCGTAGATGTCCTGAGCTAAGTAACTCGACGAGGTGGCCCTCATCCGACACACCTCAGGCGCCCCCTCCGATCGTAGTTACGCTGCAGTCGGTAGTGCGGTTGACTGCAATGCTTTTTCTACGTACTACTCGCCTGATATGCACACAGCTCCCCTGTAGGCTGAGAGAATCCTTCCGCTTACGCACTATCATTTAGTCCTAGAATCGGTGATGTTGCCTGATTGTCTTCACACTAACGATATTACACGCTAGCCATCGCAGCCAGACGATAGTCTTCTCCCTGGGTGATGCGGTGTACTTGAGGCTCTGCTCGGTCATTACGAGGCGGCTGATAGGAGGACGCCCTCAGCTGCTTATACAACAGTCCCGACACACACAGGCTTCCAAAAATAAGTGGTTTACATGGTTATTAGCTGGGATTCGGAATTTCGGTCGCAAATGAAGAAAGGTAAAGAATACACGGAATTATTCTTATAAAGTAGCATTCTTGTTCTGACCATTCCTCCTATCTCTCTATGTCCTCTTTCCATCCAAATTCAAAAGTTCGCTCCTAGCTAAAACGAGTCATCATGAGCACCAGCGCCCCGACAGCCACTTATACCAGCAACGAGGAGCACGACTGCAGAATTAAAGACCACTTGCTTCATTACACTGGATGCATCAAAATTGCCGAAAGAGAGACATTCTTCGCCGAGGAAAATGCGATCTGGAAAAAAGAAACCGAACACCAAAGGAGGCTTAGTTGCCCCATGCAAGGAGTGCATATCCAAGAAGATGGGGAAACAGGGGGGAATGAATGCCATAGTTGCAAAGAGGCGACAAAGCGTGTTAGGGAAAAGAGAAAGTCTTAGGAACGGGATTGCATGAAGGAGCTGAAGCGGTTCGACCTTCTTCGCAAAACGCTCTCTCGCAACTCCGACGACAAACATCTTATGGAATCGCTAACTCGGAGCCTACTCGCTTGGCATAGATCTAAAGAGAATCCTAATGCATCTACCATCAACCGCTACAGCGAACGTATCAGAGAGCTAGAAAACAGGGACGAGACACAGCCGGAAGTCGCCGAGTACGAGCTAGAGAAAGATATCAGCGCGCCCATAATTCATTTCGGAAACTGCAAAGGCGAAGACGTCCAGGATCCGCAGGTGTGGAATAGCTTTCCTAACCAGAAGACCTCTATTCGTGGCCTTCTTGGCCATCGAGATAGCCCAGATAAGAGCAGTAATCTGCTCCGTCGGGACCAGTCATCCAACCGCGTGAGGTATTTCCATATACCATCTAACAATATAGATGTAAGTCGGAACAAGCATTCCGCACACTGTAAAAGAAGGATATCGCTAACTTGTCTCTAGTGGGCTGAGGTGTGCCATTATCCACCATTTCATTATGCGGTCTCACAACTAACTAGCACTTTCTCTTAGCGTGCAATTGGGAAATACTTCGACGAAAAACCTCCTGACTTCGATGCCACACACCGCGAGCTCTTCCGAGAAAAGAAGACCAGAGCTTACATGGTGCTCAGAAGTCCATACTGGCGTGGTATGATGCATGGGAGACAAGAACACTCTCCTCCGCATGCGAGGCACATGAAGTCTCTATGCGAGATGGTGTCATCAAGTAAGTTCGACTGTTGAACGATTTGAATAATAATAGGGCTTTGAATGACGAGACTATAGACCCTTCCGAAATCGATAACTTCCCGAATAACATGGTTCTTTTCGTAAGTTCCCATTTCTTTTGTCTCACGAGTATTCTATCCGACTCAACGATTCGTATGATAGATGCCATATCTCCACTGGGACACATCGAGAAAACAAGAGCAGTTCGCTACTGAGATGGAAAATATCACGAAAAAGCGTAGAGACGAATATAGACAGAATTCCGGACAACAGTCTCTCAGCGACACTTGCCAAGCTAACGAAAAGAATATTAAGAGTGAGTGTTTTAACCGAATACTAAAATTAAGCATAGCAATGCTGATTCCTACTAATAGTAGATCCTAAGAGGTTATTTAAAATACGGAAGCCGAAAAACTCCGGCCCCGAGGCCAAAGAAAAGATGATGAATAAAGTGATGAGGAAGTGGCCTAACATCCCGCTTTTTGTAGATGACAATGGGCGCGTGAAAATACAGAATCCTCTAGGTCAGCTTCTTCTCGACGCTGCAAGATTGTACGAGGGCATGTCGAACTACCGCGACAAAATGCTGCTCCGTTCTTATCTGTACACACAACCACCTCTGCATCCCCGCCGGACCAGGCATATTACTGGAATCTCGAGTCTACCAGAGAGCGAGACCGGGACCAAGTTGTATACCGCGGCACGACAACCCTTCCGAAAGAATTCCACAGATACGACCGGAAAGAAAGCAGATGGCCTCAGCATGCTGATATTAGGGAAAATGGCCGCTGTGACCACTGCAAACAGAACATACGGCGGCTCTCCCGGATTGTCATGGCTGATTAACTTTGGATGTGGATTCTGGATGCTAACACGATCATAACCTGCTTCCCGAAACGATACGGAGCTAACAAGCAGGACGTCTCGGGTGTCCACAAATCAATCCGGGTACGACTCTAAGATAGTGGACCGGGTCAGATCCGTACCGTATTCGACCTGGCCCTGATTATCATCGACGAGTGTTCCAATACATTTTTTGAGAGGACGGATACCCTGGATCGACAACCTCAAGTGCTTGATATTTTCTCCCACGCCATCGGCCATATTGTGAGTCCCCCCCGCTCGGATTCTCATTCTCATGTCTAATAGCGAGTTTCCCAGATGCATAACCAAACCTTAGCTTTCGAGAAACTATGGCACTGGACCGACGACGCCCGGAAGATCTACCAGACGAAGACGAAGGGCGACATATCCGAGCTCTATGTGCCGCTCCTCGACATCAACCCGGAGGGGAAGCTCGAGCAGGAGATCAAAGACATCATCGAAGAGTTGGACATCATGATATATATCACTAAGATCTACAAGAGGATTCTCTCGCAGTTCATCCTAAACGCCGAGAGCGTCCTGGACCCGGAAGGCGAGTTCAGCCCCGACGAGAAACGGAGTAAGACAGGTAGGAGTCTGAGGGTCAAGTTCAGGAATAGGGAGAGCGAACCGAGAGGTGCGCAGCAGCAGGGGGGCGAGGCCGAACCGGGGAGCAAGGAGAATAAGCAGAAAGACTATGATTGGTTCAAGATCAACGCCGACGAGAGGCTCAAGATCGTCGGGGGCCGGATCGAGGAGCTGGAAGAGCTACGCACCAGCGCCGTCAACACTACCGACAGCGTAAGCATCCACCCCAGAGAGAAAACCGAAACTACCTACGCTCGACCTTTCTTTGTCGAATATGGGCGGCGGCTAACTGAATATTAGGTTAAGGACTTGTTGGAGCTGAAGCAGCAGCAAGCCAGCGTGGTCCAGGCCTGGCAGGCGGTGAAGCAGTCTGATGAGAGCATCAAGCAGGGCCGGTCCATCATGATGTTCACGCTAGTCACCATCATCTTCGTACGCGGGCCCTGCCAACCTCCTAAATCTGTCTTGCCCTCGCTAACGCCACCCAGCTTCCCCTGTCCTTCATGTCGAGCGTCTTCGGGATGAACAACAAGCAAGTCACCTCCGAGACGTGGTCGATAGGCGAGGAGTTTACCTACATGTGTGCGTGATATCCGGCCCCCCCCCCACCCCTTACACTCACAACCCCAGCCAACTAACCCCTCGCGCAAAAAACCTCCAGTCTCCATCTCGGCCGCCGTCATCATCGTGAGCCTGCTGCTCGCCTTCGGGGGCTGGATCCGCGCCTTGTTCTACTACGCGTGGAAGACGGCCGGGACGCGCGTGCTCGTCCGCTTGGGCGCCTATGCCTTCTGGCTCGAGTACGACGTCCGCGCCGCCGTCGACCGCCTCACCCACGACGTCCGCGAAGATCGCGTCGAGCGCCGCGCCGAGGCCCAACGTCTTTTCGTCCAGGCGATCCGCGCCGAAGCGGAGCGCCCCCGCGCCCGCGATCCTCCTGCTGCTGCCGGCGCCGCTATCGACTCCGACGCAACCTCTGATACTGCCACCCAAAACGGGTTGCGTTGGCCAGAGACATGGGTGAGCTGTTGGGGACGTAGGAGAAACGAAAGTAAACTGGTCGGGGAAGTCTGAGCTAAATACTACGAGAAGGCGGTGGAGGCGAAAAGGTTGAAGAGAATTAAAAAAGTGTTTTGCCAGTCTAACATGTATCTAACTAAATTTACCATCATTAATACAAAGCCACCCATCGTACGCACATATCCCTAAAGCTAAAGCTCGCCGGCGTCCTCCGCCACCTCGCTCTGCTGTCCTGCCAGGACGTCCTGAGCCTTCTCCTCCGCCAGTACGGGTGGCGTCACCTCTGCGACAACGTCGTCCGACTTCTCGATATCGCCGGCGGCAGCGCGCGATACGCTAAGATAATCGTCGACGATCAGCCGCGCGACGTTCATGCCCATCAGGGCGCTCGTCTCCATCGTCGAGATGAAGCTCTCCACGCCCGACGTGTACCACAGCCCGTCGCCCAGGATCGGATCCTGAAACGTGACGCGCGGGTACTTCTGCGGATACGGATGGAATACAGCTGGGTAGTACCACGAGATGGGTTCGACGAGAGTCGTCGCGCTTTCGCCCTCAGCTGCCTCTTCTTTCTCCTCATCTCCCCCCTTCTCGGTCTCGGTGACGAACGTCTCCGGGATCTGGACGCCGAGCAGCTTCGACAGGAACCCGGGGGTGACCTTCTCGGGCGAGAAAATCTTGTAGACGTACTCCTTGCTCTGGGTCCTAGGGTTTGTGACCGTCTTAACCAGCGTCGCGGAGAAAAACCCGGCGCTGCCGGCGCTGCCGTTGCCACTGCTGCCGGGCTCGGGGGCCTCCTCGTCGGGACCCAGCGTGGTGAGCACGGAGCTAGGCACACGGGAGGCGGGCTCGAGGCCGAAGAAGGCCGGGCTGAAGCGGTAGGGCGACGAGAAGAGCGTGACGTGTAGCTTCACGTAGGGGATCGTGTCGACAGGGTGCGGGATCAGGTCATCGGCGTGCTGGATGCCGCTGAATTGGTACGGTGCGGCGAGGATAACGTCGTCGAAGGTGATGGGGTGGGTCGTCTCTCCCACTTCGGGCGCTGCGGTTTTAATCTGGTATCTGGGCGACGCCGAGTCCGGGTTGCCGCTCTCCTCTTTCGTAATAGAGGTAACGGTTGAGTTTAGCGAGACGTAGGCCTGGGAATGGGTCACCATATGCGAGAAGATCTGCCAGTTACCCCCTGCAACAGCCATCGCACCCTCGGGGGCCATCGCGACCTATGTGCATTCGTTAGCAGTCCCTTAGGATTCTATATTAAGATAGAGAGAACATACCATAGTGCCCAGTCCATGTATGTACGGCAAATTTGAAGCGTAGTTGACACGGGTGCTAGTTTGCACGATGTCATGGGCAAACGGCCCGTCGAGTTCGTTCTCCGCCAGAAATTGCAGCCCCGTCACACTCGTAGCCTGCACGAGGCCCAGCTCGAAAGCCCGAGTTGAGAGGGACCTGAACGGGAAGTAGGGCGCCTCGTAGAGTTTCAGGAAAGTCGCAATTGTTCTCTGGACGAGACGATTGGTGTAGTAGGGCGTGGTGCCGTACTTCCAGACCAACTTGGCAAGATTCCACCAACCCCAGGACTCCGAGTCCTGGGTGTAGACGAAGTTCTTCCCATCCCAAACGCCTAGTATGCCCTTCTCGTCCGTAGCTCCAGGCTCGGTGACGGGCAGGCCGAACTCCTTGGTGGCGTTGAAGAGGATGTGGTTGACAGCGACGAAGATGGAGGCGCCGAGCTCCACCGGGAAGACCGGGTCATCATACACATTTACAGTGAGAGTGCGCCCGCCGATACGGGCCGTCTTCTCAAAAACGGTGATATTGACCTCGATGCCAGCCTGTTGTGCATACTTGCGCAGGTGGTAGGCCGCCGAGGAGCCGCCCGCTCCGGCGCCTGTCGGGCGGGTTAGCTTGGCTGAGCAAGGAAACGGCGCGATGGAAAAGGTGCGATGTGCGGAAAAGATAGTTCATTGGTTAGGTGTCAGGAGAAAATGCGGACGGATCGAGAGGGAATTAATATCGTTTCTATCAGACTCTCACGACCAACGCAATAGGCTACCCGACAAGGTGGTCATGTTTGAAGGTCTTACGAAGCCGTCTTGGCCCTCTAGACATGAGGAAGGCAAACTAACCAATGACGGCGACCTGCTTCACACGCTGTTCGGCGTGTTGGTCAGTGGCATCAACACCAGCAGCCGCAGCGAGGGCAGACGATGATGGCAGAAGGCATGCCAGGCGGAGGAGGCGCATGTAGTGCATGGTTGATTTCTCAGACGACGATGGGCATGTTGGGAGATGAAGGTGGTGATGACGAACATCAGCCGGCTGAGTAGGGATGGAAGTGGGATGCGGTAGAAATGGCCCCTAACCCTGGCGGGTTGTTGTCCCTAGTCAGGATCGTGCGATGAGGGCGGTGGGTTGAGGAAGACGCGGACGCGATAGGCCAAGCTGCGCGAGGAGGTGCCATGTATAGCGGCCTCAGGCACCGACGATAAAGGCCACCTTTGGTCTGCTTGGTTATGTAAGCAGCGGTTATGGGATAGCGGCTTCAGCTCCGGAACCCAACAACTCCAAGGCCGGAAGAAAGGGGTACGTAAGAAAGTTGGAAGGGTCTCTCCTAGAAAAGTAATCTTCTCTGAGGCATCGAGGGGTTAGACATGAACTCAAACCGTATATATCCCATACAGTCATATCTGCCTAGGTACAGGTAGGTACCTAGGTAGGTATTATCCCTATCTTTGAATTAGGTGTCCACCTAGGTAGGTACCTACCTTCATCGTCACCGCATCACATAACTACCTAGCCTACCTAGGGTAGGTATTGATACTGAATTAAATTATTCACATTCCTAGCCCTCCGAAATCCCCCATATAAGTAAATAGGTAGGCAGCATAGCCATGTAATAGGTGATGGATTCCCGCCATAGGTACCTGGTTCGTCGCGGCTGGGACTTGGGCAGGTAATAAACATTACATTCGGCCAACTACAGATAACTCACCGGGAAACTTAGTTTAACCTTTCTATAAAATGCGCGTGAGCACTCGCATCCAGCGCCGGCGGATATCCGAACCAATATGTCCCCAGCAGCCAAAGGTACTTAATACTACTTCTTGTCGGGGCGAAGACCCTTACCAACTCTCTCCCCGTTGATTCTACCTACTTTCCACCTCCAGATTTTTTGAACCATTCTCCCCCCCTTGGTCCTCGCCGCATTCCCTCTTCAGACACATACCTGGCTATGTCACTTCCTAGCAACAGAAAGGTATATTCCCAACGGCTCATACGAGCACATCTGCACACACGTACGATAGCGAGAGATAATGCCGTCGAAGAGCCACCAGCGGAAGGCAATCTCACCAACCCAACACCGTCACACTCCTCGAAAGCCACATGCTTCTTTTCCCTGCTGCCTGCCGAGTTACGAAACATAATATGGGAATACGTCATCCCGCGTAGGGTGTTACGGGTACACTCTTTGGCTGTCTACTGCCACTATGGACGAGAGCTCTCCTCGAGTTGCCGGCCTACAACTCACGATATCTGTGTGGAGACAAAGAGAATGATCTCTTCTAGTGGAATTTACGTGAGATTCATGAACTCGGATCTAAGTGTGGCTTTTCGCGAGTGGTACGATAGATATCGGGATATACTCTACATTCAGTCGATCCGTATCTTTGTTTCCTGGAACAACTGGGAGCGTATCCTAATCGGCTCTACCATCGCTATCCACGTTCTAGAAACGATCGAGGATTTGTACCGGGGCACCGAGGCTAGTCGGAATTTTGGCCGCGCGATTAAGCGCGGACACTTTAACAACGTCCATAAATTCCTACTTATTCTCCTAGTGGTAGAGTGGGACGGTGACATCGATGGTATTTACGGCGACGACGACACGACTTTCCTCGGCCTGGATGATAAGAGACTCCCAAATATCCTCAGACCTGTGTTTGCCGACCTACGCGCCCGGTCCCCTGATCGCATGGTACATAAACGACCTTCCTGCCTCCTTCGTCATCTCCATAAGGAGTGGGATAACTCCCTGAGGTCACTATTCGAAGAGCATTGGATTCAAGCTAATGTGGGATTGCGCGAGGCTTGGGGAGGGCCCAACCCGCCGCCACACCGCGAGACGTTCGACAGCGGCGAGCGATTCGAATTTCGTAACGCACGACCGAGGATGAAGAGACACCGCCCACTCGTACGTCCCGTCGTGGAAGGCATGCCCGCGATGCAGCCGGTAATAGCATTCGAAAAGAAACAGCCTTCGTTCGCGACACATTACGACCCCTTCGCTTACCCCTCTAGGTGGAACGAGTGCAGGTCTGGCGATGGGTTGGTATCGATCTCGAACCGAAGGCGACTAGCACTAACATGGGACCAACTCGCGGGTCGGAAAACGCTTTATCCCAACAATTTCCTCTTGCCGAATTGAAACAGGGACATACTGGTGAAATGCAAGATGCGACTCGTTGCCGTCATTTGGGGGGTATGCCGCGGATCTCCTGCGTTAAACAACACGTTCACCCAGTAGTCCCTTTTAAATACAAATTTATCTACACCTAGGTAACAAATGTAACTTGTCTCTATAGATATAGGCATCTCCAGTACAAGCGTATTGACTCTCAGATTCCACAGGTATGTTTTAGATACATATAGGCCGCCGGCAGACACCCCCCGGGGCCATTTGTTCGGAGTAGTGATATTCGGAGTAGCGGTAAGACTTGATGTTTTATTTCACTTTGCGGAAGTTCTCTGGATATGGGGTGACGTAGCTGCCTACCTAGGAGGTACCTACCTACCTTACCTACCTAATGAGGCACCTAGTTACGTAAGATTCGTGAGTCCGAAGCCGACATTGCCATTGGATGTCCCGCCAGACGGACGAACACCCCGCGCTCACACCCGGCAGTGGTTGTTGACGGCCCGCCAGCACGAATACGAACATCCCGCCAGCAAAGTCGGAAGAGAAGTACGTGGGTACTTGCCATCTACCTATCACTTTCCCCACCAGCAGAGGTACCTTAACGGGTTTTTTCCCCCCCTTGACAAGCTGCTAGCACTCTCTCCGCTGCCTACCTACTACAACATCCAAAAACCCGGCATACCGCGATCGTGCTCTCGACGACACGCACTTCACAACCTAGTACTCCGTCCTCCCCGTAGCAGCCCATCAGAATGTCTGCTGCGCAGCTTCTCAACCCTAAAGCTGAGTCTCGGGTGCGTCCTGCTACTGCTATCCCCCCTCTCCTACCGTCGTGATGATGCTAATGTCCAGGCCAGCGGCGGGGCGAAGCTCTGCGGGTCAACATCAGCGCCGGCGAAGGTCTGCAAGATGTTCTCAAATCCAACCTCGGCCCGCTGGGCACTATCAAAATGTTTGCCTGAATCCGCGTCTACTGGACCGCAATATCCGACGAAGCAGTGCTGACATGCGTCGTAGGCTGGTCGATGGTGCCGGACAGGTACGGAGCTCTCCTCTACCGCGATGTCGTATTTTCACCTGGCTCCAAGCTGACCTCCCGCCGCCGGGTAGATCAAACTTACCAAGGATGGCAATGTTTTATTACGAGAGATGCAAATACAAAACCCTACCGCCGTCATGATCGCTAGGGCAGCCACCGCCCAGGACGACATCTGCGGAGACGGCACGACGTCGGTGGTCTTGCTGGTGGGAGAGCTTCTCAAGCAGGCCGATAGATACATCGCCGAGGGCCTCCATCCTCGCATCATAACTGAGGGATTCGAGATTGCCAAGAACGAGTCCCTGAAGGTGCGTTGTTCGATAGTTTTCATCCCTTCTATACCGACCGTCGTGTTCTGACTCGTCATCGAATGTCTAGTTTCTTGACTCGTTCAAGCTTCCGAAAGAAGTCGATCGGGAGCTCCTCCTGTCCGTCGCCCGAACGTCGCTATCCACGAAGCTCAACGCGACCCTCGCCGAGAAGCTTAACGCCGCTATTGTCGACGCTGTCTTAGCCATCTATCAACCCCCCGCGAAACCCGACTTACACATGGTAGAGATTATGAAGATGCAACACCGCACAGCCTCTGATACCCAGCTCATCCGCGGCCTTGCGTTAGATCACGGTGCCCGACATCCAGATATGCCCAAGAGACTAGAAAATGCGTACATCCTTACTATGAATGTTAGCTTGGAGTACGAGAAGTCGGAGATCAACTCAGGCTTCTTCTATTCGAGCGCGGAGCAGCGTGACAAGCTGGTCGAGAGCGAGCGTAAATTCGTCGACGCCAAGTTGAAGAAGATAGTGGAGCTGAAAAAGCAGGTCTGCCCCGACGATTCCAAGAGCTTCGTGATCGTGAACCAGAAGGGTATCGACCCGCTTTCCCTGGACGTGCTGGCCAAGAATGGTATATTTGCCTTGCGGAGGGCCAAGAGGAGAAATATGGAGCGGCTGCAACTGATCTGCGGCGGTGTCGCCCAGAACAGTGTGGAAGACCTCTCGCCCGAGGTTCTTGGCTGGGCTGGCTTGGTGTACGAGCAGCAGCTAGGCGAGGAGAAATATACCTTCATCGAAGACGTAAAGGACCCCAAGTCCGTAACGCTGTTAATCAAGGGTCCCAACGCCCACACTATCACCCAGATTACCGACGCCGTTCGCGACGGTTTGCGGAGTGTATACAACACGATCGTCGACAAGAGTGTCGTCCCAGGCGGTGGCGCTTTCCAGGTTGCCTGCGCGGCTCACTTAAAAAGCGACGCCTTCAAGAAGACGGTCAAAGGCAAGGCCAAGTGGGGCGTCGATGCTTTCGCGGACGCGCTCCTGATCATCCCGAAGACGCTTGCGGCAAATGCTGGTCACGACATTCAGGACGCACGTAGGTGTCGCACGGATCTGCTCTTGTCTTTTATATATGTATATATATACTAACGCCTGGCACAGTCGCCTCCCTCCAAGACGCGTACGCGGACGGCGACGTCGTAGGTCTGGACCTGATCCTGGGCCTGCCCATGGACCCGACGCTGGAGGGCGTCTACGACTCGTTCCGCGTTCTGCGGAACTGCGTTGCTTCTTCGTCGAGCATCGCGTCGAATCTCCTGCTCTGCGACGAGATGCTCAAGGCCCGCCAGATGGGGCGGCAGGGCCTCCCAGGTGCCGGAGCCGACGGGGCCGAGGAGTGATAGCGAGCGGGAAGGTGGTGGAAGTAAAACGCGATGGCAACGGCCGATGCCATTGTATGTTAGACGCAAAAGGATGGACCTGGAAACCGAACCTGGCGTGTTTTCAATACATAGAAATGTACAGGGTTGTGAGGCGCTTTTGGGAGAGGGGAGGAAAGGGTGTGCGTTTTGGCGGCGGTTCCTTTCGTGGCCTCGCTGCCTTAATCGTAAGGCACGCAAGACGAGTTGAAAGGTAAACCTAGTTGATCAATTGAAGGTGTAAAAACTAAACTGCTAAAAGGGCTTAAATACAGCGTTTTACGAACAGTTAGCTGTTGCGTGTTTTTCTTCAATTCTACCAATCACAGGCCTCCATTCTGGATGCCTGAGGATCCACAAGGGGGGGTCGAGTGGCATTATTCGTTAAAGCATGATAGTTCCCAACCGAGTGATTTCATATACCTGCACCTCTACGCATGGCGCCAGTCTCGGAGTAAATCAGCTCATCGCCAGGTCCGGCGGACTTAACTGATCACCGACGCCACCCACTGAGTCTCCCCGCGGTCGTGCTGAGCGGCGTCACAGCGATACCTGTGTTTCACGCGGACAGCAGCGCATGGAAGATGTAATACCTAGCTAGGTAATCATAATGCAATGGATGGCCATGCAATAGAGGTTGGTAGGCTAGAGGTGGCTAGGAGGTACCTCTGGGTGCACCGGTCTAATGGGCCTACCTCTGCAGAGTAAGTCTATCAATATACAAGGATGGCAGCTGGGCGAGAATGGCTGCAGGACTGGGCGTGCATAAATCGGTGCCCTAAGTATGTACCTCCTATATACCGGCAGCCAGAGGGACAAGAGAGAGAGAGACATAAGGCTATATTCGTTCTACTTATACCTGGAGCAGTCCTAGGGCTTCGGTTTATTCCCCCGTCTCTCTCTCATAAGCACGCTGACTACCTAGTCCTGGTTGACTCGTCCTGTGCGAAGAGGATACGAAACGCTGTAAACACCAGCAGCCATTGACATCATCAAGCTAAGATTCTTAACGAATATCCCGACGATGGCATCTCCTCGCCCAACCTTGGAGGACCTCTTCAGCCCTAAAGGTCTCGTCGTTGTCGTAACAGGCGGTGGCAGTGGTACGCCCTAAGCCGAATCCCCCTCCTCTTGTTCATGTATAACCAGGCCCCGCTGAGCCCCCAATCCAGGCATTGGCTTGATGATCACTCAGGCGCTGGAATCCAACGGTGCTATCGTCTACATCATAGGTCGTCGCAGGGACGTCTTGGAGCAAGCTGCTAGCACTGCCGTATGTCGGCTGCCCTATCCCCCTTGATTCTGATTCACTCGCTGAGATCGTACCTATCTATACTCTCCGTGTAGCAACATGGTAATATCCGTCCCATCCAGGGCGACGTATCCACCAAAGAGGGTCTCGAGCAGGCCGTGGCCGAGATCAAGTCGACGGTGGGCTACGCCAACGTCGTCGTAGCCAACGCGGGCATCTCCGGCCCTACCCCAGCCGAAATGCCCCCCAATCCCTCCCTCTCGCAGTTCCGCAGTGTCCTCCTGTCCCATGACTCGGCCGAGTTTACCAGCACCTACGGCGTGAACACCACGGGGGTTTTCAACACCGTCGTCGCGTTCCTAGAGCTGCTCGACGAGGGAAATAAGCGCGGGACCTTTAAGCAGAAGAGCCAGGTGATCGCCACGAGCAGCATCGCCGCTTTTAACCGCTCGCCTCTCGCCGGCTACGCGTACGGCACCTCCAAGGCGGCCGTCATCCACTTGATGAAGCAGCTCGCGACCGGTCTCGTCCCGTTCGGCATCCGGGCAAATGTTATCGCTCCAGGGTGTAAGTCGATTATATACCTAGGTAGTGTCTTTACGGGGAGAAACACGGCAGAAGAAAAAAGAAAAAAAAAAACCAAAAGCCCCCGCTCATCGGCACTCCTCCAATTCAACCGCACTGCTAACTTAGGACGCAGTCTACCCTAGCCAGTTGACCGAGGGCTTCCAAGTTATGCACCCGGACGGTGAGTGGCCCAAAAGCATGATCCCCGAACAGCGATTTGGCGACTACGAAGACATTGCCGGAACGATCCTGTACCTCGTCTGCCGCTCCGGCGCCTACATCAACGGAAACGTCCTCGTCACGGACGGGGGACGACTGGGCATTGTCCCGTCCGCCTATTAGTCACTTCCTATAAAGCCTGACGTTAGCTCACTCTCACTAGACGCGCAAGCTTTGTCGGTCTCGTCGCGGAGAGCGAGAAGTGTGTTTGCAAGCGCCTGGTGTTGCTCATCGGGGAGGGAACCTAGGATATGCAGATGTAGACATATCATATAGGTCTATGTAATGTGCCATATGCCCGAGACCGCAGACGTGTGTCCTCCCCATCCTGAGCGCATGCCGGCCGCCAAAGGTAGGTAACAGTTGAGTTCATCCGCCTTCCGGCCCCGCACGCTATTAGATGTAGGGATATCGATCGCGCCGCACCCCTTTCACGTCCCTTCGTACCTAGATTTACAGTACCTCACAATAACGGCAAACTGCAATACCACGGCTTCGCCGAGCACCTGCACCCAGGTCGGCATACCCACCTATCTTTCCGCCGCTCCGCTCCGCGACGCGCGGCAGCGGCGGCGCTCAGCCGTCGGGGTGCTCGAGCCAGGCGGCGAGCTTGTCGCCCTCGCGGGGCACGAAGCGCGCGCGCCAGCCGCGCGGCGTGCCGACGAAGGCCCTGCCCCTGAGCCCGCGGATCGGGTCGGTCGCGTCGGCGGACTCGCCGCCGGCGGGCAGGATGCGGAAGTGCGCGATCAGGTGCAGGAAGACGGTGTACAGCGCGTTGTGCGCGAGGTGCGACGCCACGCACATGCGGCCGCCGATGCCGAACGCGTACTGGTGCGCGTGCGGGTTCGCCGAGCCCGCCAGCCAGCGCTCGGGCACGAACGTGTCCGGGTCCGCGAAGAGCTCCGGATCTGCGGGCCGGGGTCTTTTGAGTACGTGTGGGCTTTAGAGGGGGGGGGCGCGATGGCAAGAAGGGAAAGGCTCACCTCGGTTGCACGCCCAGGCGTTCAGGAACACCACTGTGTTCGCCGGGATCGTGGCGCCCTCCCACGCCACGTCCGCGTACGTCGCCTTCGGCAGCGCGAGCTTCAGGACCACGTAGTAGCGCGAGATCTCCTTGGTCAGCGCCTCGACGTACTCGACCTTCGTCGAGGCGTACGCGTCGGACGGGAGCTGCAGGACTCCCGCGTCGCGGATCGCGGCGTAGGCCTTCGCCTGGATGTCGGGCCGGTGCGCGAGGAGCAGGCATGCCCAGGAGAGGGTCGGCTGGTTCGAATCGGCGCCCTGTTTGTAGAAAGGGGGGTCAGACATACCTACACTCGTTGCCAAGGCGGGCATGGGAAATGCTAGGAGGAGGGGGAGGGAGGGAGTCTATACCGCCATCATGCTCAGGCTGACGCTGATAAGCTCCTCCTTGGTCAACTTGGCGGATTCCGGGTCGCGCAGGACGGCGCCCTGGATGCAGGGCTTGTCCTCGCCGCGGCGGACCTCGTCGCGCAGCTTCTCGAGCAGGGTGTTATTATACTCGAGGCGGCGGCGGCCGATGTCAGCGGCGTGGCCGCGGGGGGTGGCGCCGAAGCCGAGGCGCTCGGCGACGGGCTCCCAGTAACGCAGGAGGGGGATGTAGTTGGCGTAGTTGGCGCCGGTGTCGCGGAGCTTGGAGATCTCGCCCTCCACGTAGATGATCTCGGACAGGAGGGGGTCGTCGGTGAGGGACTTGACGCTAGACACGCGCGTGCCGTAGTTGAGGGTCAGGCTGAGGTTGAGCGAGAAGCGCTTGACGGCGGGGCGGAAGTCGATCGCGGCGGCGGCGCCGTCGCGGCACGCGCCGAGCAGGTCGCGCAGGAACTCGCGGGCCTCGAGGTTGAGCAGCGGCCCGTACGTGTCGACGCGCGCGCGGTTGAGCGCCCCCGCCGCCAGCTTGCGCCGCCGCTTGCAGCTCTCGTCCCACGGGCTCGTGCCGATGCTCGTCACCGCCTTGCTCACCTTGCCGTGGAAGACGTAGAAGACCGGCCGCGAGTTCATCGCGTGGCTCTGCCCCAGGAACAGCTGCTTCGCCGCCCGCGCCGAGTTGATGACCACCGCCGTCGTGTTGCCCAGCTGGACCTGGAACACCGGCCCGTACTTGCGCGACCACTGCTGGTAAGTCACGGCCGGGATCGCGTCGCGGTTCTGGGCGTAGCAATGTCAGTTGTATGTCCACGTGCAGATGTCTGCCTCTATATGTATGCATGTCGGGTATTATACCGAGTCATCTGGGAGCGGTATGATGGAATTCTCGCACGAACCTGGAAGAGATTCCCCACGACGGGCCAACCACGCGGCCCGGGGAGGTTCTTTATCCTGCTGCGGTAGCGGGTGACTTCATTCTGGGCCAGGTAGACGACGACAAATATTACGGAAAATGAGATTAAGTATAGAGACGCCTTCAGGGCGTACAGAGGCAGGGCTTCTAATGCTATCGGCATCGTGACAATAGCTAGCGGGAAGCCCTCGAAGTTGGAGGTGATGAGACGGTACGAAGACGCCACATGGACGAGTAGGACAAGGCGGGATGATACCGAACTTGGAGGCAGATGTATGTACCCCTCCCCGTTAAAAGACCGAGGGGAGCGTCTTATCAGAGAACAGTATAGAGGCGAAGCTCCCGGGTAGATAGATTTAACTGTATTACCACCCTGTCTCACGTCCATCACCCCCTTACCCTTTTGAGCCGTCCCCGGAAAGTAACATAGTTGTGCAACTGCAACTCCACTATCACGACATGGCGGGTTTCCTTTTATCAGGCCATGCTGCCCTCGATATTTTTCGCTCTGGGCTGACCGGATCTTCTAAGCTATCTAGTTTCTGCCCGCCTGCCCCTCCCTCGCTCGAACAAGATTCCTAATCTCCTGGCGGGAGGGATGGGTCCCGGCGCCAGCAGGCCTTAGCGTTAGGGGCCGAAGGGCGAAGGGGGGCCAGAGAATCCCCAAGCCAGCCACGTCGAGTTCGGGGGATGGCCCTGGCTAGCTGGGGTCGGGGGCACCAGGCCGGGCAAGGCCGGGGGCTGTCCAGACTGGCGGGTCCCGGCGTGTAATCGTCCCCTCCAGCTTCTCTCGACCATCACCATCCCGGCTAGGCTCGATAGCGTCATTGTGGGTAACGATGGCGAACCCTTGAAATCGCCGCCCCAAGTGAAGCGATTCGCCCGGTAGTTGACGATGTCGCGGACGCCCCGGCGCGCATATGGCAGGGCATGCCACGTGGGAGGGATGAGGATAATCCCCTTCTCTACTTCATCGCAGAGGTCCGCTTAGAATACGAGCGTGATGATTGGCAGCTTGTACAATTGTTTCGTACCTGTCGGAGTCGGGTGGGTGCGGCCACCCGTGGGTGAAGGTAAAGGCGAAGTCAGGAGTAAAGGTGAAGGTCGTAAAAGGGAGGGTAATATTCTGGCCGAGATGTCCTGGAGGAGAGTTTGTTACGATCACAACTCTGCTATTGTTGCTCTTGTTACTAGGTGACAATACTATTAGAGTAGACATGACAAGAATGTGTGCTTTGTGAACTCATTGATATTATGACATCACTCCCCCGGGTCTGGATGAGGTATCTATTCTAATCGTAAACGTAAATTCAGCTAGAATCATACATTCTTAACCGCTGGGTTGTGCTTCCCTTCGCTGTCAACGTTGAACATGTACGGCTTATCCACGGCACCGGCCTCGATGGCTTTCTGTCGGCTCCCCCTCAACATCCAGGGAGAATCCTTCAGCCCCTTGTGCCAACTCCTGCCCTCGAACTCTTCTTCGACCGGCTTCTCTCCGGCGGCCTGCAGCTCGCGGGCCCGCTTCTCGATATCGGACCAGACGCGCAGGATGTTCTCGCCGGCGAACAGGCGGACCTGCTCGTCGGTGGCGCCGCGCTCCATTAGCAGCTGGACGAGGTCCGGGAACTTGGACACGTCCTCGAGGCCGATCGGGACGTACGGCGTGCCCGAGAAGTCGCTGCCGACGCCGACGCACTCCCACCCGCAGACCTCGGCGATGTGGAAGACGTGGTCGACGACGTCGTGGATCGTCGCCTGGTCCGGGTCCTTCATCTTCAAGAACCGGTTTACGAATACCGCCATCACGATGCCCCCGTTCCGCTTAACCGTGCGCAGTACGTCGTCCGGTACGTTGCGCAGGTGCGGCTCGACGCTATACGCGCCCGAGTGCGAGAAGATAACGGGGGCGCGAGCCACGCTTAATACGTCGCGCATCGTCTGGTGTGAAACGTGCGACAGATCTACCATCATGCCCAGCCGGTTCATCTCCCGGATCGCTTCGTACCCGAGTTTGTACAAGCCACCGTCCGGGCCCCCCGCGGCGACGGTAGAGGCCGAGGTCCCGAAGGAGTTATCGCAGTTATGGGTGAGGGTGATATAGCGGGCACCGAGGTTATACATCTGCCGTATGCTAGCGATGCTTCCCCCGACCTGGTGGCCGCCCTCGATACCAATCATGCTCGAGATGCGCCCCGATTTGAAGGCTTTCCGGGCGCAGGCGGCGGCGTCGCAGTACTGGAGCTGCTGCGGATGCTCGTCGATGAAGCGCCGTGTGACATCAATCTGTTCCAGCGTGTCTCTTACAATCCACTGTCGTATCTGTATTAGCGAGACCAGCACACCTCGGGATATGGGTATTGTGTGAACCTACGGACGGATCTTCGAAGTGCTGCTGGCGCGTGTCGCAGTCTACGTACACGCTCCAGAACTGGCCTCCCACCATCCCGGTTCTCATCCTCCGGAGGTCGGTATGTCCCAGAAGCCTCTTCGTGAGGTCGACCCGACTATCGTAGATACGATTGTGTAATTCTATGCGCAATTGCCAGGGGAGATCGTTGTGGCCGTCAATCAAGCTATACGGCAGGTTAAGCAAGGTATTAAACACAGGCACAGATCGGGATCTAAACGGAGGAACTGCGAGAGGACTTACGGCGTCGTCTTCAGCACCCTCCTCGTGCGCTCCACGTAGTTCGTCGGGTCTATGGGCGATTGGCCCGGCCAGAGGAAGGCAAAGGGGCCAAGCATGATAGCAAATCCGGCCGCGAAGAGGTGGTAGCGGAATCTGGAGAAAAACCCAGTATTCTGGGTCTGAGAGCGGACGACGAGGGTCCTCTCGGTGCTGCTCGCGCTTCCCGACGCCGCGGACGAAGGGGAGTCTGGCTGTTCGTCACTCTGCGGTGGCGGGTTGGGCACTGCGTCAGCCATGATTGTTGCTCAGCTCGTATGATTACGACGAAAGACTAAATTATTCATCCATCACGATGACTTCTCGTCAGGAACGAAGTGTCGTGGGGGTCATGATATCTTGTTTGTTTCTCTTTTTTTAGTCCTCTCGACCCTTTCCCCGCTGACCGGAGTCATCATAGCGATGCAGTGGTTGGGGTATGGCGTAGAGAGCTTTGTATATGCCCTGACGATAAACATTCCAGCAGCTATTACATACGTAGTATGGTCCCGGCCGTCTTGGCCCATACTACTTCGCAACAGCAAGATAGTCAACCCCACCGTCGCATCTAGCCGGCTCCCTAGTCCCGATCCCTGAGCAGGTAATAGTGCGATTGCGTGCTTCGACGCTCCGATACCGTATGGTAATATCTACGCCTATCAGAAGTCTTGGAGACGCCCATCGTGTTTTATAGGAGCTTTTTGATAGTAAAGATATGGAATCTTTATTCCCGAACCCGGCTACCTTCGTTCGGCCTTGCCTAACAGTACCGGCACACCAATAGACTACGTAGTATTAGCCAACAAATTTGAGGCGAGTTCGAAAGGCCGGGTAAAGCTTTCTATTGTCAGGATTCCTTACAACGGACTACCATGTTATCACGTGCAGATGTAGACGTTCACATTTCCATAGTAGATTATATAGGCTTACTAATTACTACGACTACAGGCGTTACGTATAGATAGAGAGTCTATGGGAATGGCATTACGACCGTAAGAAGCTACGTATGGTCGTATGACGAGGCGTAGGAATGGTTCTAGGGTTCATTGTATAACGCTAGGGCATGTAAGAGAGGACCTACGGGCTTTTTCCTCCAGGCCGATCTCCCGATAACCTCAGTAAAGATCCCGCTGTAAAGATACTGCAGAAGAGACTAAAGGCTATTAAATACTGTACGCATTCATTTTAATGCTGCTGTTAGTTGTATACGACGTAATAGGTGTTGCCGGTTGTTAGAACATTTTGCCGGTACGTTTGATGTCCCCGTAAGCATCTATAACCCCCTAATGTGTCTTGCAGAGTAACATTTTTCCGAAAAGAATTGCTAATATACCAGCCAAGGCCAACCTTATCCTGTTGGCCCCAATATCATGGTAGTTACTATCTAACTCGTAACGACGTAGGTATCCGATAATTTCGACCAACGTGCCACGATTGCCGGCGGAACACTGCTTGTCTCTTTCCTAGCCTGGATTCTTTCTCACGCTTAGAATCTGGTTTTCGAATACATAGAAGTTGGGTATTTCCTAACGCACCCACTAACGTTCGGAGATTTCACTCCAGGTATTTTGGTCACAATCTAGATGATTTCAGGCCCTACAAGAACTAGGCAACTATGTGTGCAGGCCTGTACTCATAGCTCTAGCCCATTGCCAGACTATATTTGTAGCATTGAGAGACTGCCTCAAGTGAAAATAGAAGTGGGAGAGTGGAGAGATTGTCCATATAAGTGGCTGTTGCGCAAAATGTAAGCACCTACATTCGACGACTTTGGAATATAGGCTTACAAGGGCTATGTGACAGCGGCGGTAGGGGGAGGCCGCAGTATAGATACGCGTTGTAACACTACTCCATAGCATAGGACTCGATAAATAATATTCAGTGTAACTACCTACTAATTAATACCATACCTTCATCGAACATCTTGTCTAGGGGTTGAAATTCACAAATGAAGGTTTCCCTTTTCGGCATTCGCATCTCTTTGGAAACGCCAATTACGCCCATCACCAAAACTAATGTTGACTTCACCCCCTATGAAGGGAAAGTTTTCGCTATATATGTCTTGATGCTTTACGATTTCGTTTCTCATCTAATGCAGCTATTATTTCATCTGCCTAGTAAGTCGGGTCGAGGTCTTAGAGCCCGAACTGATGTAATAGTCTCAACTCGATCGACTCAGTGCCCTCCTATGAGGTCAAGACAACAACTGCTGAGCCCAGATCTTCAAACTCAACTCAGATGCTGATAACTTCGGCCCCTCCCAATGTATCTACAGTCGTTCTTGACAGATGATTGCTTACCGCTGGGGCCAGCCAGTGGCAAAACAGCCATGAATTGAGAGCATATGGACCCAGACCACAGAAGCTCAAGGCTTCCTTATCATAATTCAATAGCCACCTTGGCCTAAAAAGCAATGGGGCGTGGGAAAATCGAGCAGTGAATCTGGACTCGGACCCAAACTCTCTCTGTCAGAATAAAGCCGTCCGCTTTTTGATACCCTTCTTAGCTAAAGCCTTGGCTCGTAAGTGTTGAGTGATATGATTAGAAGCCGACTCGCTGGGACATTCCAACTCCAACTTTTGTGCTTCCCATACCTGCTTGCATGTGCGCCTCCCTCGTCACCGGCGCGCCCGATGGAACCACACCGTGGAGCTCAACGACACGTACTCCAGGCCTTCCTTGCAAACGGCCACCACGTGCCTTTCTCCCCCCCCCGAGGTTAGCAAGGTTATATACCATCATCCAAGGTTGTTAACAATTTCAAATCTAATATCGCGGGGCGTCGCGCGACCCGCCGGGGATGACTAACGCGGCGAGTGCGAGGGAGATCTCGATCTCGGCAATTAGACCTTTCGTTAAGGCTTCAAAGTTCCGGTTACCTTGCCCGCATAATATTGAGGAAGATAGAGTCCAGACATCAAATTCAGCACTTCCCCGACTCGCGAGCTATTATTTGTAAACATCGGCCTGGATACATCCGTATGCATAGTACCCGCGTAACGATTGCTACTGCACCGCGGCCAGCTATCTATGTCGGCATACGCGAATCCAAGAGCGGAGCGAGGCCCCGACCAATCCAGGCTGCGCGGGAACTCGCACTACAGGAATGCGTATCGAGACGCGATAGGTCGGTATAGGCAAGAAGATATCTCACCACCGAGGATGCATACCACATCGCCTTATGGTGCCATTGTCGAGTGGTTAGAGCAATTAATCTTGTTGAGCTTTGAATTAGACGTCGACCGAACTGGTGAGCTGTAGACTAGGCCAAGCAGGGAAGCCGATCGTTCCTCAAAGTCCATATATACTACCGTCTTATCTTTAACCAGTAACTCAGCAAGACGTTACGGCTTCGTAGAGGGGACTCCCTTGCTAAACGTGTAGTATCCTGCCATTTAGGGCACCAGCGTGTTATGTCGGCAACTGAGAAGTTCCACTATTATCGTCCTTCCTGGGGAGTTGTAAACACCTAACACTTCCTTGATAGTTACTTGAGAGATAGAACCCACGCCACTAGATGTGTCCATACGTATAATTTCGAACCCCGTCGTCTCTCTCCCCCGTATCGTTCCTAGTCGCTCAGTTGGGTAGATAGGCATAGCCATCCGTTGAAGCCGGCGTAACTGAAGCTCCTGCTTATGTAAAAGGGGGTATGTATGTCAGAGAGAGAGAGAGAGAGAAAGTTGACTGAGAGGTAGCCATCAGCACCAATACCGGCTCGTATATACGGCTTCGCTTCGGATTCTCCTGCCATAAGCCGCAACTAGCTCAGATGCGCTATATCAGTACCATTCGGTACGCGGAGACACGTGGATGCAGCACGTACTGACATGAGACACAGGCAGGACCGGCTAACTCGTGACAGCTTACCTGGCGTAAGACTCTGGAAACGTATCTCCGGACTACGTAAGCTAGCGGGCGAAATCAGTTTACAAATGCCTCCTCCGGCTGGCCCGGCCCGGCCCACGCGCCCGCACCCCCAGAATACGTCGGTAGCCAAAAAACCTCACCACGTAACTCGTCCACGCTTGGCCGGGGCTCGTCGGTACCTTGCAGCCGGGCATAGCAGGGCATCGCATCGCATCGCGTCGCGTGGGGAGTCGCGAGAACGCGAAGCCGATAACTCCAGAAAGGTAAGAGGAGGGGGGGGGGGGGGGGGAGACGAGGGGCGGCGAATATTTGGTTGGTAGGGCGGACGAGGAGGTAAGGCAGGTTACATACTCAGCCACGCGCGCACACGTATGTAAATTCCATCGATCGTAGGCAGGGCCCTCGGTGAGGACTCGGCCGCTGTCGAGCCTCCTCCCGCGCTTACCTACGTAGGTACGTGCCTACGTACCTCTACCTGCCGGCCTGCCCACCCAAGAGCTAGGTAGGCAGGCCGTAGAATCAATGACGACGACGACGACGACGACGACAGCGACGGTGACGATCCCGACGGGGGACAGGCACACTAGCTGGCAGAGCGTCTTCTCAAATCGGACGTGCCACAGTACCCGGCCCTCCGGAACCGGGAGCGCGCATAATGTACGCGTACGCGTACGCACACACACCGTACTCCCCTGTCGGTAGGTAAAGTTCAGCAAGGGGGTGGGAGGAAGGGAGGGAGATAGGGAGGTAGGAAGGTAGGGCGGTAGCCATACTTTTAATACGGTATTATTATTGTCATCTTCCCTTTCGTCCCCATTCCCCCCGCGGTTTTTTTTTCGCTCACCTGCTTGCTCCCCTGCCCGCTTACCTCCGTGTCCCTAACCCTCCACATGCCTCCCTCCGCCTCCTATACTCGCTCTCCCTGCCTACCTGACCTGCCCCCATCTGCCTGCTCACATCCCGTCGGACGTAGCCCAACCTCACTCTGGCCCTCCATCGCCCTAACTCGTCCGTTCGTCCCCTTACCCTTCCCTCCCTGGCCCCCCCACCTCCTCACCCGCACGTGGGCATCGCCGGGCGAGGAGGAGAGCCAGGAGAAAAAGAAAGAATCTATCCCAAGCAAGGCTGACGACCCGCCCATTCGCCACGACGACCGGCCTCACTTGCTGCGGGGGTGAGGGGGGGGGGGGGGGAAGGGAGGGGGCAGAGTCCCTTCGTCGATGCATAATCGGCCTGCTTGCTTGCCTACCTGCTTCCTGCACAGCCTTCCCACATAGAGCCTATTACGTTGCCCTCTTGTGACCTACATGTTGCCCTGCCCGCTTGGCGCGCACGGCTGCGGTTCGAGACGAAACATCGCGATAATGTCTCGAAGGAACATCCCGGCCCTTGCATGGAGCGTATGTTGGGAAGAGAGGCGAAAAAGAAAAAGGAAAAGGAAAAGGAAAACGGGTGGCGTACCAACACAAAGAGGAGGTGAGACGAAGAGAGAGGACAACAGACAAAGAAAAAAAAACCCCCCCCAAAGTCAAACCCGAAGGAAAAAAAAAAAAGAAAACCCCGAGTTAGGGGCAGGAAAGACGTCAGGGTTGGCAAGTATGGACGATCGATTGGTCGGCGGCGGGCATGCGGAACTCATCACTTGCATGCCGACCCTGCTTCCCGTATGATATACCGTCTACACGGGATGTGAGGACGTGAGTATCAATGCACGCACGCACGCACGCACCTAGGCAGGCTTGTATGGGGGATACCTGTGTAAGTACGTGGTGCGCGTGGTGCGCGTCTCTGTGCGCGATGGTAAGTGCATGATGCGACGGGCGCCGCTCTTATTCCATCCGTACGTTTGTATACCTACCTGTCCGTGTTGGTAAATATGCGCCTATACCTACCTACTCTTAACTGTACGCACGCGCACGCACGGACAGAGGTACGGTATGATATATATACCCGTATATTGGTAGATGCGCCACGACGCAACGAATATACGCATCGTGCCATCAGCCGATGGATACATATCTGGCGTCGTACCGGTGCCGGGATTTCCTCTCTGATGGGGATCGCAGCGATGCGCACAGTAAGAAAGCTCCCAGGTACGGGGTGAGGAGCAGTCGTAGTAATAATGGCGGTGATGCTAGGACCGGCAAGTCTCTCTCTCTACCTTGTCCCCTGCGCTCTTCCGCTTCCCCCCCTCGGGAGATGCGGGCGACAGCTCGGCTGCTGGGCAACAGAAACTGCGTGTGCAATGGGAAGGACGACAGGTACGTTTACCTAATAGGCGCGGATACTGCCCGCCCGCCGTCCCCAACGCCCACGCAAAGTACCTGCCTATCTGACTAGGGGGAGCCGAGCCAGCAGCAGGAAGAGGGTGCAGCGCTGTCGTCGGCTAGCCAGATGCGGGTATCCTGGATAGCACTTGGCGGACTCGGGGGCGGCAATGCGATATTTACGGCAGCGAGAGTCAGGAACGGGGTAGGCTAGCATGGTGCGTGTCCTTTCGAATAAGATCCGGCGTCCATGACACGACCAGGCACAATCGATGATGAGCGGCTTGAGTCATCCGCAACTGGCGGTCAGGGGGAAAAGGCTCGTCAGATTAAACACCGTCTCGTCCCCCCAGGCTCGACGGACGCCCACAGGCGCCCGCAGGCGTCCTCGCCGATCGGCTCCATGTCGTTCGTAGCCTGCGACATATGAAGACGGCGACAGACTTGGGAACGAGCATGAATCGTGCGTCGGCGGAAGGGGGTAGGGTCCCGGTCGTTATTCGGTATAGACGGTACCAGCATTGCTGTGCTATCAATTCTGGATATGGCGGCGCTGCAGAATACCCTCGACCGATCTGGCTACGACAAGCCCATCGACAGCAACGAAGGAGGGGCTAGACAAGACAGGACTCCGGTGCCAGCCGATGTAGGCGAGGGGAGCGACATGGGAGAGAAGGGAGGGTGAGGGCGAGGGCGGAGGAGGGCCAGAGCTGCGGGCGGCAGAGTTGTCAAGGTCAGGTTAGGGCTGCAGCTTGAATTTGTTAGAAAACCCGGCCGTGATGATGTGTGAGTAAGGTAGGTACCTAGGGTACCTAAGGTAAGTAAGTTAGGTACCCAAGGTACCTGACCTGTCTCCGAACGGACCTGATGTACCTATGGTATACGGGTAGCACCACACAGGGGGAGGTACCTCCCCTCCCTCTAATACTGGCTGGCATGCAGGTATTGTGCCTTGCATCCTGCAAGTTAGGTTAGGTTAGGTACCTGGTTCCGATATGTAGCAGGCAGGTAGGCAGGCTAGTTGCATCAGGTACCTAAGGTAGGCATGTTAGGTACCTAGAGAAGCCACCCGAGGCTTGGAGACGCTCTCAGTATAGTGGTTCAAGGCAGGTCCTCATGTGATGGATCCCGCGGGTTCAACCTTGAGTGCTGCGTGTCAGTCACCAGTCCTAAGAAGTTCAGGCTACCAGGCGCATACCTCTGGCAACGGACAGATCACATACCTCTATACCTACCTAGGTACCTCTTATCTAGGTACCTACTTGAGGTACTGAGGTCGTGCCAAAGTGAGCGTCAAGATTGCTGGCAGGCAATTACCTGCTCAATAGAAGGCACTAGACCGAGGCCCCCTGACCATTTTACCTATATTGCCGGAGGTACCTAGGTAGGTAAGCACACTGCATTACCTACGTGTAGGTACCTACTTGCGTAGCCTGCCCCTGAACCTTTGGGACGACCCGAATCGTCGGGGCGTCAAACCATTGACTGGCCGACTGACAGGGCCGATCCAGGCATGCCCAAGTCCATCCCCTCTTGTTGCACTGGGCACGGCTGGGTAAGCGTCCTTGCAGGAACACACCCTCCAGAAACACCCCCCTAAGTGTGTGCGCGACTTCTTAGTCCTTGACCCAGGCACAGTATTCACGCCGCCGGATTTGTCAGGCCCTTCGTTGTCGTAGAGGATAGTCGCTCAACATCCAGGGCAGCATTCCCGATTCGGCTCAGCCCTGCACCTTGGCAGGGCGGCGTTGGATGTAGAAATAGCTCTGCTCTGGTACCTACGCCCAGCGCTCGGCGATAACGGGTCTTTGACAGCGAAGGGGCTCGTCACCCGGCTCTCGTCACTTGCATCCCTGAGTTATTAATTGTGTGCTCCTGCCAATGTCCCAACTTGGAAGTCATTCCGGGCGTAATGCGGGAGACAGGGAAATCAGGAATATCATCGACAACGAACGGGCCGGGCAATATACCTACCTGATAAGCCCGCACGCCTACCCTCGACGGTTATTACCAACTTGACGCTGCTCGCACCCATCCCCCAGCCATCTCGTTTCCTGGTAGGGCATATCGATAAGCAATAGCGTTGCGTCAGATCATGGCGGGGGAGGGGAAGGGAAGAGGAAGAGAGGAGACGGGAGGGAAAAGGAGGGGTAGGCAGAGAGGTCGTGGGAGGAGCTGGATCGGTGGGTAGGTAACGTACCTAGGCGATGCTTCGGATATTGCTCTCTTCTGGTACCCTCCGTGGCGCAGGCCAACGCACGTCCGTGGTCTATTCGGGCCAGGCACTTGGGATAAACCCGTCCCAGCCATAAGCATAGCTAACCATGATACGATCCTGCCACTACCTTTTGTCCTCGGCGGTCTCGGACCTGATCGCCTCCGGCATTCAGGAAAGTGTCCTGCGAGGCACGTATCGTATACATGAGACCGCCAAACAGCGCCGCGCCAGCCAACGTCCGGGTGTAGCGCTAACTTGCATGCCCGGAGGAGCTTCGGCATGCGGTTGCGGTGTACAGGGAGGGCAGGTGTATTTTCGCCCCTCGCCAGCCCTCTGGACTCGGTCGAGAGAGAGAGAGAGAGGTTCTACCGTAGGTACTAGCCACTGGCCATTGGCCGCAGCGCCGGGTGGCGATGCCCAGTCTTACACAATACCTACTAGGCAGGGTGAAACTGGTGCGCCATGGCCGACGGACCCAGTGGCTGATGCATACGTGGAGGGCAGGTGATGGATCATCAGGTACAAGAACCGAGAACCGCGATAATGGATAGCGAGGACGCCGTACTCAGGTCGTACATAGTCGACGTTCTTAGTGTTTTGTAGGGTAGGCGGTGAGGGATTGGTAGCATATTCGCGTATCTCGCAACGAGAAAGCCACAACCTCTGGAGGTTGGACCGAATCCTAACGGATGCATAAATGGGTCCGCAGATGAGAGAGAGACACACACAGAGAGACACAGGGCACATAGACACACGCAGCGAGAGAAAGAGAGAGGGGAGAGAGACCCTAGGTGAGCCAACAAGCGAGGAGGGTGTGGGGAAAGGAGGGAGGAGGTTGATCTGATGGATGGGTGGGTTGCCTGTGTGTGTGCGAGTGTGTGTGTGTAGGGAGGAGTTGGCCTGCCTGCACTCCCTACGCAGTCATTGTCAGCTGGACGCTTATCTATGCCACACCGTTGGCTGCGATGAAGTGGCAGGAATGCGGCGAAACCAGTGAAATCTTGGGGAGCCCGACTACGGGAAGGCTCCCAGATATTATCCCGATGACCCAATATCTCTCCTCCTAACAGAGTAGGATCCTGAGTCGTGGCGGTCATGCAGTTGAAGACGAAGACTAGAGGCTCCATGGCGTCGATACCCCTTTGCTCGTTCACGATGCAGAATGGACGCCGCCCCCTGCGTGCATGGTGACGGTGGGAACGAGAGGATAGTTCGCCGAGTGGATGCGATGTGTGCCTAGCACGCTAGCTCGGATGAGATGTTCTGGAGACGAGCGTTGCGTCAGAGGGCGTCGACCTGCCGTAGATCGTGGCCGAATCAAGTCTAGCTCGCAACAGCCTCTCAAACAGTCAGGATTGTAAACATCCGGCGGGTGACGAGATCGTTTTCAGAAACCTCCAGTTACCAGCAGTCGAGGGCCTCCCCTCGGGCTGGTCAGACGGTGCTCGCGAGCCGACTTGCACATCCGTCCCCTCGTCGAGTCGGCCCATCGAATCCCCAACCCCTCGGCGCTCTGGAGTGGAAAGGCCGAGACAAAGAGAAATGCTCAGTCCAAAAATTCAACCTGGCTGGTGTTACGAACCCGGAGCTGAGGCGGATGGGACGAGACCCCATGTCCTAATCGATATCGACGAGCTGCATGCAGCTCAGCTAGCGCAGCGAGTATGTAGTTGGGCACTAGGCACCGTCGTGATGATCAAAAGGACGTCTTGCATCGGGGTACTGGCACCATCAGACTCGATGCAACTAACCTTCTCATGCCTTAGTTCGGACGCGATCCATACCTACATCATGCCTGTGATGACGGCTAGTTGTGGGGATTGAGGGGGGGATGCTGGGTGGTGGCATGAGGGCTGGAAGAGGAGGGGGGGATTAGACGTAGTGAGGGGGATGAGGCAGAAGGGTGGCTATCTTCGAGGGGGAGCGTGGATTAGTAATGCAACCCGGCCGAGCTACCTAGGTAGGTAGCAAATCGGTCCCCTCCTAGCAGGGCGGCGTCGCGATGCACGTACTACGTAGGTAGTATAGGCAAGGCAGATAGGTTAGGTAGGTACCTAGGTATGTTCCATACCAGATACAAAGCCTGCCTGATACTTAGGCAGGTACGGGGCACAACTGTGCTACCTACCTACCTACCTCCTCCTGCCTAAGATGCCTAGAGGTACCTATGTACATAGAATAGAATGTAGGGAAGGTACTTACGCCGAGTACCTATTGCGCTTTACTCATACTTGGAGTGGTGGCGGTGGGACCGCAGAAGCCCGCTAAGGCAGACAGGGCCAATGAAACAGATTGCGAGGTGGGTTTTTTTTATAGAAGGTGCAAACCCCTGTCAGCCTCTCTCAGGACAGGCCCGCTTTTATTCCTTTTTCTTCTCTCCTTGATTTTCCTTGACAAAGACAAAAAAAAAGAGGCTGTCTGTGCCTGTGCCTGCCCCTCGTTGCCTGTCCCCTGTTCGCCTCCCCCTTTGTTGGCTCTTAGCGTGGAAAACGGGTACCTCCAGCACTTGCGGTGCCTGTTTGCGGGGAGGTACACAGGAACTGCGGATATACCTGTCTGGGCTTCCTCTCGCAGCCAAACCTGTAGCAGATACATGCAAGTATATTGATCAACTCGACAAGGCATCTCCTCGCTCAAATGCCCCATTCTGCATTACGCCTTTGTTGCAGCGCGGCTTGCGAAACTCGCAGGAGAGCTCCAACTCTGTGTACTAGGTAAGATAGGTAGGTAGGTAGGTAGGCAGGTAGCAGCGCTGCCTTACAACCTGACAAGGGAAGACACACATACATACATACATACGCGCATACCATGCATACCTACGTACATAATGTGTATATATGTAGGCAGGGAGGGGGAGCCTAAGGTGTAGGTTTGGAGGTTTACCTGTAGCTAGGTACCTAATGGACGCGCGTAAAGACCTACCTAGGTAGGTACCTATACTAACCTAGGTACCTACCTACCTCCTCTTAGGCATGTGCCATGGGTGTGTAGTCGCACGTAGCATTCAGCTAGCGGCCCTAACCTAGTGTACCTAAGGTGGGCCAGCCCGCCAGCCCAGCTGTCTCTCACCAATGTGAGCCAAACTGTACAGTGCCCTTCCCCTCGTCCCCCTCGTCTCATGCGTGTGCCTCTACTCGAAACCACTTGTTCTTTTCCCTCTCCTGACCTCTCCATGTCCTATGGATTACTGGGCTTGTTCTACCCGTCCCACATGTCCCTTCTGTCCCTCCTGTCCCGCTGTCCCGCTGTCCCTCTGCCCCTCTGCCCCTCTTTTCGACTCAGGAAATCCCACCTGCTTCGGCCACCAACAGCATGTGTTTCTTCCTACTGCCACGACGACCCCACAAATAGCCTCTGCGCAGCCGATAGCATGAGGAGGGAAAGGGATCAATAAAATATAAAGGACAAATATTAAAAAACAAAATAAAATAAACAAAATAAAATAAAAAGGAAAGAGAAATTTGCAGCGTCCATTTACCCACCCGACCAGCAACAAATTCTCCCCGCCGCCTACGCAACTCACCGAACTTCATGCAACTCTACTACGACCCTTCGTCTTTAACTCGACAACACAACCCAACTCTGTCCGAACTCTTCCTCCCCTTTTGAGACAGCCCCCGGGCGAGGATTGCAACGGCCGTTTGCTGTCTGGTGCAACTCTACCAACTCGCACCTAAAGGAAGTCTGGGGGATACAGAGGCAGAGAGGGCGACAGAGAGAGCGAAAGGAACAAAGAAAAGCGTCAAAGACACGATTTCAGGCCCCAACTCCTCTCCCGCTGCTCTTATATGAGCTCTGTTTGATGACCTCACTAGCCTAGCGTCTCACTATTGCTATCGAGAACCAACAGGCGTGTTTACATGTCGTACACGAATCAGAGGTTGCGATAATACCTAACCACTACACACCACGACCTACATACATATGTCGACATCCACTACTGTGCGTCCATCCCTATCCACTTTACCAGGCACACACAACACGCGCACATACATACATACTTCGTATAACCCTTTATTGGTGCATGCTTCCACACTGCCAAGCCCTGCCCCAAGTCTCAACAGTGCCGTCCCTGTCGAGGTGCGTATACAGTCTAAGCGGGTGGACGTGGACCAGCTGGCCTAGCTACCGCATTCTCCTGTATGTATACGTGTGTGTGTTCTTGTGTGGTGCTGTGTTTAGGTATAGACATGCTTTACCTCTTTCTCTCCTGCCTACATGTGCTTGATTTTCCTCTACACGATCCGTCCTCCCCTTAACAAGCCTGCCCAGCAGACAGATAGGCACGCACAGACAGACACCCAAAACACATAGATAGGTACAGACATACGCTCAGGCATATACATCCGTGCCTCAGTATGCGTGTATGTACACAGCGCTCTCCCGACCTAGGTAGCCTCTCTCTCTACCTTACCTCTCTCTCTTGACACACACACACACACGCCTACACATATACACATACACTCGCACTGCTACAACACATACGCCTATATGCCCAATATCCATCCATCATATACATACATGGCATTGATTACCACCTATGCCCCTACGCATACGCATACGCATACACGTCCGTACTGTACACGCATGTATGCGCAGACATCCCCATTAATCTATCCATACCTCTCTCGCCTTTGCTTGACATTTACTTGACACACGCATAGGTACATTTATACCCGCTACTTGCCTCGTCCTAATGTGTACTTCCACTCAGTCCCTCCGGCCTGACTAGGGATCCCCCATCCATCCGTCCATCCATCCACCTTTATGTAGCCATAAGCCGTCACCAGTTCTTTCTGACAAGCCGACCCATTCCATCAACCTCCCTTCTCATCCCCTCTTACTGACCTACCTACTTTTCTCGTCATCCTGCTTCGTCGCCCCCCCGTATATATATATTTTCTCTCTCTCACCAACCACTTATTTCCTCCCACCTCATCTCTTCTTGCCACCTCACCAACAATTCCTATCTCTATACGGCCCTGCCGTATCCTCTTCACCCATCCACCCACCCACTTACTCACTCACTCTCTCCTCTCACAGGCCAGGGTTTAGTAGTTTCTCATTCCAGCCGTATCCGAGTGCTCTCTTGGGTTGGCCTCCGGTTGTAAACAAAAACCGGCCACCATCCGTCTGACCTGCTGGTCAACTTTTCAGCTTGACCGACCCGGGCTCCCACTTCTGGACCTGGCCTTAGCAGTGGTTGGCTAGTAGTCCCCGGCCTAGACTTTCGGGCTCTTTCTTCCACACGCTCGCCGCTCGGAATGAATTTCGTCCCCTTGCGAACATGATAACTTGTCATTAGACACATGCACGGCAATTGTTGCGTCGTACCCCTTGACTGATACCATCCCTTCTCACACTAAATCTCGAGGTTTTGCTCGAGCTCCCTGCCACTTAACATCGGTCGCATCGTCCCAGGGGCGGACGTATTCGTCATACCCAGGTTCCCATCCCATCCCACAGCTACTCGCTCCCATCCTGTCTCAGTTTCAGCCGCTGCCCGCTCAACCTGACTCGAAAAAGAAACCCCACCGAGAATTCCGGGAAGCTAGAAGATTCATCAATCCAAAACGCACACCTGCCGAGAGGGCGAGAAAGCGAGAGCCAGGAAGAGAAAAGGCGGCGACAAAGATAAAGAGAGGAGAAGAGCGAGGAGATCCGATATATCGGGCCCCTTGAGGAGTTCGAAGTGTGCGAATGAATGATACCCGCTCCTCAACGGCGCATCCCTCACCTCACCCCCCCTTCTCTCCTTGCCTCCACTGCCTATCCCACTTCCGCCTCGCCCCCGTTCTTTTAGTCTCTTTCCGCTCCCGCTGCTTCCGTCACCTGCACATCAGAGCTTTTTCATAAATTCTCGGGCATCGCGGCATCTATCACATCGCCAGGAGGCTACCCGCCACCGGGTTCGTCCTTTACAAATCAACCACAGATACTCATCCGCTCCTCTCACCCGCCCGCGCGGACGTATCAGCAACTGGATTATGGCCGCTGCTTTCCGACCCGTCAACACACCCATGGCGATAGAAGCGAAGAGGGACGACGCGGCGGCACGGTCGCCGACCACGCCCACTCCGACTAAGAGCAGCTTCAGCCAGCGACCGTTGCCGACGTCACCATTCCCCCAGGCCGTCCAGATCCCCGAAAGCATCGAGGAAAAGCAAATATCCAAGCAACCGCCGAAGCGAGAGAATTCGCAACACTCTAGAAAGTCTCGCGGAGGCTCCGAAGACATGGACATGGACGACTCGGACGGAGAAACCCATGGAGGAGACGACGGCGCCGGATCCGACGACGAGAGCGTGAACGCAGACGGGTCGAAGTCGAATAAGAAGAAGAAGTCGCAGCGCTTTTATTGCACCGACTACCCTCCTTGCAACCTGAGCTTTACCAGAAGCGAACATTTGGCGAGGCACATACGGTACTCAAACGAAACTCTCCCCCTTTTTATTATTATTAGTTGATCGGTCGAGCTGACAATTTCAAGGAAACACACTGGGGAGCGTCCGTTCCAATGCCATTGTTCGAGACGATTTTCGCGATTAGACAATCTACGACAACACGCGCAGACGGTCCACGTAAACGAAGATATACCGATTGACTCCCTCGCCGCTACGGGGACAAGGTTTCAGAGACAGGTCCGGACGGATCGGGTCCGCCCGCCCGGCAGAGGTCGAGCGTCGACGGCGGGTAGCAGTATTGGCACTCCGGCTCGGGGCCACGCCAAATCGCTATCGACGTCGAGCATCAGCTCCGTCGGCTCCAACTTCAGCGCTCGAGAGGACGTTCGCCGACGGCCACCTCCATTGGTTATGGCGGGCCCGGGGAGTCGGCTTCCCCTAGAAACTTACCACAATAGTCCCGAGAACGCATACGCCTATCGACCGGCATCCCCGAGTGACTTTAGCACTCCTACATCTGCGACCTTCTCCACTGGGCAGAACAGCCCCCGGTGGGGATCCGCGATCGCATCGCCGGGTTCGTCTCACCCACGACCCCAGAGCATGTATGCTGGCCACCGGACGCCCGGTCGCCGATTGAGCGTTCCGTCTAGCGGAATTCCCTTTCAGTCTCCTCACAGCGCAGCTCTAGGTCGCCCTATTTTCAGCTCGGGGCCCGTCAACACCTCAAACCCTGGTGCATTCTCTCCGACGACGAGCTTGGTCGGATCACCCACGTCTTCGGTATTCTCCAGGCGCGAGCCACCCTCGAGCACCGAAGACTGGCGTCGTCGCACATGGCATCCGGATTCGCATAATTTCGCTACCATCAATAGCAGTCGCCTAAGCAATGTCGTGACCCCGTCCCAGTTTCAGTCTACTTCTGTGGCGGTCCCATTGCCCATGGCCGCCCCTACACAACAGAACGCCCCCCTTCGCCTGCCGGGAATCGAATCGTTTGGCCTCCTTCCGCACCGCCCATCGTCGCCCCCGCGGCGGAACCCATCCCCCATGGTTGTAGATTCTGAGGCGTCACACCCCCCAACCCTGCACCCCGCCGCCCATGCTAGCGATTCTGATGACCTGCGCAACACGGTAAACTGGGATATGGGCCTGCATCGGGGCTTGACTCGGTTGGACATCACGTCCAACAACCCCCCACCTCCAGACACGGCAAGCACCTGGGCACGCGAAGCGAACCAAGCGGTCGAGGCGGAGGCGGACCGAGCCAGACTTAACCCCCCGACTGTAAGATTTAACGAGCCCGTCATCATCGAAAGCAGAAGGTCGCCGGGCGTAGCTAGTCTTCCCAGAGCGTACCACCAACACACGATGTCGGCACCTTCTGTCGCCACTTCGCGGGAGTCGAAACGACGCGGCTGGTATAATGGACCGGTGACCCTGCACGCCGACGCGCCTCCCGAGAAGATTGCGAGGGTAGAGCGAATGATCCACCCAAACATAACCGAATTTTCAGGGTTTCCGGTCAGGGAGAACCCGGCAAATCCTCCGTCTAGAGAGGACAAATCGGGCGAGCGAGATAATATGCTCCGCCTACAGGCCCTCGTAGCTGTGGCAACAAGCGAGGGGAACGCAACGACCGCGTACTAGACACAATCCGGAAGAATGGTCAGAACACAGATAGATTCGCGCCCCGATGATACCCTACGTCTTCGGCCACTGCCCGTTGTCGAAACAATACGCACTGAACTCTGCCTTTCGATTGCGGCGGAACTTTTCATGAGAATTACGATGTCTTCTTTTGTCATTCCGCACTCAATCAAGCGTACGCACCACGAACGATCGTTACCTAGCTCATGAAATACATATACCACCCCCTTCATCTCCTCGGACGGGCTGCATGGAATATCGGATGGGATCATACGGTGGCACTTGTTGGAGTTATAGGTTGGGGGGACCATGTTTTTACGACGAAATAAGAGATGAGCAGTTTTCATTCACCATCTCATCCCAGCGCTTTTCGAAGACGGGTTCGAGACAAGCGTCCCGTCATCGTCCTCTACTTGATCGGGGGTGGCTGGTGTGAATTGGCACAAGTGACAACCGTGGGAACTTTTTTTTTTTCCCAAGTGTCCCGAGGGTTTTCTCTCTTGGTTCATTCTTTGCTGATGACTTACGAACGACTCCAGATACCCAATCATTTCAAGATGAGGGTAATCGCAAGATGGAGGATTTAATTAATGGTCTTTTATCCTCCTGCTACATGGTGGTAAATGCGGGCTCCATTCGGGGTACCAAGACTACCCCCGTGCCGATTAGACAAGACCATTGGGGGTTGGGTGGGGGGGGGGTTGGTTTCTTTCGTTTCCTCTATGCGGTCTGGATGCGTATAATGGAATTGATACCCCCTGTTTCCTGGTTGATATTAATTGGGTTTTGATAGTCTTTTCTCTACACCCTTCGCTAGCTTCTAGTACATGCTTAGGAATATATTTTGATGGACAGCATTAAATTTCACCTTGGAACCTGTTGATATAGAGCGATTCGCCAAGCGGGGTGCCAGCAAGAGTGTAAGACGCCTTCTATCTCAATATCGGCACGACTTGGATAGACGGCGCGTGCAATTAACGATCAGCGTCATGTCATATCAGGAAATACCCAGTCACATAGGCATCCGAACCCCCGGATACACCCATACGACCTTACTCAGGCACGATGAGAATGCTGTGTCATGTTACCGCCGGCGCGAGGCAAATGGCTCACGACCAGATCCCTACGTAGCTTCGGGACGCAAGCGAAGCCGTCGATTCGCCAACCGATCTGACCGAGAAATGATACGCCCATTCGAGAGGTCGGGCAATTTTGGGCTCGCACAAGTGGCTTATCGAGCCAGGATCCAGAACGGCGCCGCCAATTCCACCAACTGCCGAGCCTTCTCCTCTCGTCGGCGGCGGCTAGGCGCAAATGATAATCCTGTGGCGGCAAATCGCGATAAATATCTATATCGCCTCTTCGTCCTTCGCCAGCCGGCTTCTCGGAATATAGCTAACGATGCCCACCTTGAGAGTAGGTATATATATAGCCATCTCTAGGTGTGACGGCCGTACGCGCGCTGACAATTCGGCGGCTCGTTTGGGCGTGCGGAGACGATCATCCGGTAAGAAGTTGTCAGTCTAATACCTAGCAAGGTCTGATCTGATCTGGGGCGATCTGAGGGCGGGGGAGGAGAAAAAAAAGGAACACCGGAAAAAGAATCGACGATTACTATTATGACGGCCGGCGCACCCGCCGACGGCAACGGCGGCGACAGGACGCTCACAGTGCAGTGCCAGTGCGGCAGCGTGTCGTTCCCGACGCCGGCGGCCGCGCCCGTCACGACGTTCTTCTGCCACTGCACCGACTGCCAGAGACAGTCATCGTCGGCCTTCGGCACGTCTGCCATCTTCCCGGCCGCGGGCCTATTCCCGCTCGCGCCCGAGCTCGCCGCGCGCATGCGCGTCTACCACCGGCCCAGCCAGAACGGGCGCACCATGGACTGCTACTTCGTACGTGCTCTGCCCGCTTCCCTGGGAACCCTTGCCGAAAAGAGAGAAGCGAAGAAAAAGAGGAGGAGGAGGGAGAAGAAAGAAAACCGGTACCTATCGGCGCCGTTATCAGTACTATGCGTTGTGTGCGCGAGTGTCAACGGCTCAGTAGTGCAGCAGCGGACAGACCGTAGGTAAGGTGGAGCGGGCGGACGAATGCTGATACCGCTGCTGCAGTGCCCGAACTGCGGCTCGCGGCTGATGCACCGCATCTTCGGCGCCGACGGCACGCCGCGGCCGAGCGTGGCGATCAAGGGCGGCTGCATCGACGGGCTCGACTGGGGCGCCGTCCGCATGCACATCTTCACGCGCTCGGCCGTGGTGAAGCTGCCGGACGACGCCGAGAAGTACGAGGCGCTGCCGCCGTGGATGAAGATGGACTAGCCCACGCGGCCCTCGCTTCCGCCGGAGGGCTTGCGTGTGCCGGAGAGGGAGGGCGGAGGGGACAGAGGGCCGATTGGTTGTCGGCGTGACGGGCTGGGATGGATGGCCAACGTGATGTCAGTCGAGTGTGGACGCGCCGGGGAAACTCTGAGCGGCGCTCCGTCCGACCTGCCTGGCTGCAAGCCCTGGGCCATGTAATATAACATCGTGTGTCCCTTAGCTACGGCACTCGCTAACATCGCATAGGTCTGGTGCTATCGCTCTTCGAAGACGAGGTACAATCCACCGACCGGGTTTGGCCAATGTGTCTCGTAAACATGCGCAGACATGGGTCTATCTTCCGAAGGTTCTTTTTCTTACGGTGGAGATGCACAAACGGCTTTTTATAGCTTCTAAATGGAGGGACCAGCGAAGCTATAAGACTCGAGTAGTCGGCCAGCCGCTGGCTGGCTATAGAGTCGTTAAATGTGTTGCCATCAAGGTTACTCCTCCGAATCCGACGATGCCCGGCTTCCGTAGTTTGGGGCCAATGGAAGCCGTCGGAGATCCTATAGGCCAGCCGGGAACCAACCCGCGGTAATATGAATATGTGAATACAATAATGTGCCTGTGGTCACCAGGGCGTCGCATTGGCCACGTACTCGCCTCCGTTTACCTATAGCTACGAGTTGCCGGCACGCGGGACTTGCCTATATGGCTTCAAAGCCTATTGCCACCTAGATTAGGCGGTAGCTGCAAATTTTACTACCTCTCTTCACGCGCAGGCCAACTAATGAGGAGACTCTGCCAGGCTATAGGAGCCGCGACTTGTAGTTCTTGGGATTGTGTCTCGACGGATCAGACACGCCGCTGCAGAAATAACTCGGGACTCGCTTCGGGGCTTTACACGCAGATTCGCCCGCAGTATCACGACGCGTAGGTGCGTTGAGGGTTCATTTAGCCTAATTCGGCACGACTAGCAACTCGACGCTATCCCTCAAATCACCACCCCGGCGCGCTCTCCTTCAGCAGGTCGTCTGCCCGTTCCCCTCGAAGGTTCCGGGCTTGTAAGCGCCCTCGGCGTCGTTGAGGCATTCGGCTAGCACACGATGTTAGCGGAGTCATTCCCAGCCGGCTGACTCGAGGACCGATCGATCCTCCCTTACGTACCGACGGTGACGATCTGGAGGTTGTTGGAGCGGGCCCAGGCGATGAGCCAGCTGGTGAGGGTGGTGACGGTGCCCTGGTAGGTCTCGTGCATGAGGGGGATGTGGCCGTCGCCGGCGGCGCCGGCCTGCTGGAAGCGCTGCTGGCTCTGCTGGGGGGACTGGTTGTTCCAGTCGCCGGCGTCGACGTCGTTGGTGACGACGGTGTAGTTCAGCTCGCGCATCACGCCCAGGAACTGCCCGCCCGTCTCCAGGTACGGCGGCCGCACGTACTGCGGCTTCCGCCCGAAGATGTTCACGAACGCCTGCTCCACCCGCTCCATCTCGCTCCGGATCTGCGCCGCCCCCAGGCTGCCCACGTGCGGGTGCGTCCTGCCGCGCGCCCGCGCCCGCCCCGTTAGCACCCGCCGCCGCGCGAGGGGGGGGGACGAGGAGGGGAGGGCCCTACCAGGTATGCGACGCGATCTGGTGTCCCGAGTCGTACGCCTTCTTGACGGCGGCTCGCTGGTTGTAGATGCAGCCTGTGCTGATTTATTAGACCCTGCCCGCGGACCGCGCGCGCGCGCGCGACGAGGAGCTTACCGTATAGGGTGCCGGTTAAGAAGAAGGTGCCCTTGACGCCGGCGTTGTTGAGGGTGTCGACCAGCGAAGAGGTGTACTGATAGGGCCCGTCGTCGTAGGCCAGGGTCAGGACGCCGGGCTTCGCGCACTTGTTGATGACGATGCCGGCGACGTGGTCGCGCTTGATGACGTCGATGGGGCTCGGCACCGGCTTTGCGGACGCGCTGAGCGCGAGCGCCAGAGCGACGACGGACTCGAACAGCATCTCGGATGAGGGCGACAGACGGCAGAGAACCCGGCGTAGAGAAGAGGTGGGAGGGGATGTCGGCGAGCGTCGCAGTTCTGCCGAGGCCCGCGCCTATAATAAATAGTTTTTTTTCTTCTTCTCTCCCGTCGTCTCTAGGCGAGACAGGCTAGGGTCCCCCCCCCCCCCCGGAACATGATCATAATGCCACATTGCCGTAGTTACATGAGGTAGAAACGTAAGATCCCAACCCCATGATCAACTTCCAGACAGTTTTACGGGGTGCCATCCCTGCGGCATCCCTATAACCACCGTCGCCCCCCTTAAAAACGTGCAGGTACTTGGTCGTACCATATGCGAGGCTCGCCATGCCCCGTCTCGGCGTTGAGGGGTTGGCTCTCGCTTCCAGGGGCGGGGGGGATAGGGCGTCCTGGGTTGCAACGGTGTTTAGCCGGGAGCACGTCTCGTTAACCCGGTTGGGGAGCGGCGACCGGACGTCGGGCTGGCCGGATCTGGAGCGGGTAAATGTGTAGCTAAAATGCCAGCTATTAGGTATGTTATATAGAATCGTATAATACCGAGGTGTTTTTATTATTACCCTTTGTGGGCGGGCGAGTCCCCTGTAATGGCGGTAAAGCTTTCGAGGCAACGAGGTTTCAGGGGCTATGCGTCCCGAACCCTGCACCGTACGAGTTGCAACTTGTGCCCATTTAGGGCGAAGAGGAAATCCCTCTGCAGTTGCCAAAGTAAGTAAAACTGAGTGTTTTCAACCCGCAGTTGCAAGTCCAGCTTAGGTAGTTAGCAGAAGAGATGTGTCGTTCCTGCGAACCGACAACACTCGACGACAACCCACTATTATCTGCGGCCCTGCGTAGTGGTAGTTGGGATGCTTCTCTTGTGTACGTGGGTTTGGCTGGATAATCTGGACCTGTTGCGGTAACATTTTGCATACACCTATTTGGAAGCCGGCCTCTAGGCAGCTTGCGAGCATCGAAGCCACTCTCGGTCGTGGGCATATCTGCTAAAGCCGGCATCGACCGGGTATACAACCCGTTTTTTTAACAAATACCAGGCAGAGACGGATCCCGTATGTGATATTTATTGCGCGTAAGTGTCTGATCTGCTGATAGGGGAGCAGGGGAGCAGCCCATGGACGATGCGAATAACCGCAAGACCGCCGCCCTCTCCAGATAAACTTGTCGGTAACTGATAATTACCTACTCGGGAGGGGAGATTAGCTAGGGAGATAGGTTGGTGTGCGGCGCTTCACTTTCCTGCCCGTTAAGTCGCTCTCGAGTCTGTGTTTCGAGCGAAGCCACTGTCTCCTCCTGCCGGCGTTTGCGCGAGCGATAGGAAATCGGCTGGACTCCCCTGCGCCGATTTAAGGATGAGTCGTGCACCGTTCTGAAGAAGGTATGAATATACACTCGAGTGAAGCCGCTGCTTCTCTCGATCAAACCATAGGTACACAATTTCTTCTCTCTTTCTGCTGTTCGCTTCTGGTCGTGTTGCGCGGTATGCCTACCTACCTACTTGACAGTGCTTGAGTTGCTGCGTTAATCGAATACTAGGTACCTCGGTATTGAATAGGTAATACGATGCTTATCGCGTTTAGAAGTACCCAGAGAGACTGTGTGGCTGACACAGCCCCGAGGCGTTACCGCTCCATGGTAGGTACTCATCACTTTCAGCCCCAGGTTTATTCCCAGCCCCATCCAACCCCATTTCTCCATTGTCCGCCGAGGCCTGACCGTCAACTCGCGTCTCGTCTTACGAAGATTCCCCGGACATCCGCCGACAACTCGCCGCCGTTAGCATTTATACCGCCATCGAAAACCCCGGCCCTCTCTGATGGCATCGTATCCCGAGCCCTCTGCAGGCCCCGAGCCACTCCCGGCTTCGCAACTCCCGGCCTCGCAACCCACGCCTCCGCCCCAGGACGAATACCACAGCCTCTCCTCGCCGGCGGCTGCCACCACCGTCGCCCATCATGGCCTTCGGGTTCTACAAGCTGCATCCGCAACTCCCCCCACCCCGGATCCCGGCGACCTAGCTCAGCAGTATGCCCGGTCTGCTGCCATGCAGATGGACGATGCTCAATTCGCCTCCGCCGTCGGCACCGAGCCAGCCATGGCCTTGGGTTCCGCATCCCATAAGGTGACGCGCCTCCGACGGGCTTGCGACATGTGTAGCCAGCGCAAGGTCAAGGTACGTCCTCTCCCTCTCCCCTTGCCTAGCAACGCGATACCCGAACAGGCCACTCTGACCGGGATTGGGAACCAGTGCGACGAAAGCGGCCCCCCGTGCAAGCCCTGCTCCGATCTGCAGGTCGAGTGTACCTTCAACCGAGAGATGAAGCGACGCGGACCACCTAACAAGCATGCCGAAGCTGCGAGGGCCCTGAAGCGCTCTCGCATAAACGACCTGTCGGCCGCTCCCCACCATGCAGCCGAGACCTTGGTGTCTATCGCTGCTCGCCGCGGTTCGGGTGCTATCGATGCTGAAACCATCGCACCGTGGCCTCTCCTGCGGCTGCTCGTCGACGACTTCTTCACCTATATCCATCCTCTCATACCTTTTCCGCACGAGCCATCCTTCCGCGCGGCCCTCGACAGCCGAATGGATAGGTCGAGTAGCGAATTCCTGGCGTTGTTAGCCAGCATGATTGGCGCCCTTGTCGCATCGTTTCCTCGCAGCGCCCGATCCCACCTCAAGGCCCAGCACAGCACCGGCCTGTTCCCCTCGGCGGTGTCGATGATAGAGCATTGCCGGCACATCGCGCTCGAGGCCCGAGGCTCACGGTTCGCGTTGAAGGAGGAGATCAATGTCGACGATGCTGCCACTAGCTATTTCCTAGGCATCGCTGCTGCCTACACGCTACAGTGGAGGTCCTGCAGGCGCTTCCTAGCCGAGACCATGACATTCTGTCGAGAGCTCGGCACCCACCGTCAGAGAAACCTCTCCGCCCTGCACGCACACGTACCCGGCCTCATGCAGAATTTTACCACCGCGCCCAGCACGCCGATCAACCACATCAGAGACCAGATCGGTAAGCGTATCTTCTGGGTCATGGTTGCGGGAATCAGGTCAGGATCCTATCGGGACACTCCCTAGGCCGCGCGCCCCTTTACTAATGCAGATCCAGGTCGATGACACAATTAGGCGTATCTATCAATGAGATCCCATTGCCCCCACCCACATCCCAGGAGCCGTACCCCGAGCAGCCGGTGGAGGTTGATGACGAGTTTATCTTCGAGGGCCACATCCTCCCGCAGCCGCAGGGCACTCTCTCCTTGATCACGGGGTTCAACAGGAATATCCGAATATACATGACGATGAATGAACTAGTTGGCGTCGACATGTGTTACGGAATCAACTTCTTCGACTGGACTGCGCAGAAGAACATACTCAGCAACGGGCTTGCTGGCGCCAAACAAGCTGCCGAAGATTTGCCTCTGGAGTTGCAGGTGAAGGCGGACTCGACCCCAGACAAGAATCCGGGTCTCGACGATGCGGGTCTAGAGTACTGTCCACCGGCCTTCCCGGCCGCTCAGCCCGCCAACGACGTGCGCCGAGTGTTCGCGGAACAGCCGACGCGCCGTCGCCACCTTCAGTTCGAGATCCAGAAGGCCAACATCCAGGCGTCACAGCTCGCCACGCGCTCTTACTTCGTCGAGCGATATCTCAACCTTCGCGACGCACATCGCTCCGACCCGGCGTTCAAGGAGCGGGCCGCGTCGGACGACAAGGACGACCGAGACGCGATGATGGCAAGCGAGCGAGAACTCATCGTGCAGCACCTCGTGGGCGTGCTGGCATCGATCAGTCAACACAATATGGAACCCAACGGCTGTTCGCTCATCAACAAGATTCGACAGATCGCTAGCACTCTGGTGGGTAACGACGCGGATCGCAAGGGTCTCGCGGCAGCCAAGGCGGCTGAATACCTAAGCGGCTTTCTTGACATACTTATGAAGTTGGAGAAAACGGGAACGGCGCCTCGAGCAGACACGATAACGCCGGAAGACGAGGAAGAGGAGCTGAAGAACTGGGCGAACCTCAGGGAGTACCAGCTTCAGTTCATGTCGAACGGCGGGTTTCTCGCCGAGGGCTACTGATTCCTCGGTGGTTCTTTTTTGGAAGTCCTAAGGCGAGACACAGACTAAAGTTAGCACAGTCGAAGAACGCGCGACGAGATTCTGCCACATAGGCAAGCGATACCCGGCCAACGCCTATATCCGGACGGAGGCGGCTCTGAGATTGGCAGAAGCACCTGGTGCGAAGCGAGCTGTTGGCAGACGCGGACGCGCTTGGAGAAAACAGTTGCCTACAAGCCAGAGAGGGAACGTCGTGCTGACGCGCGCACACAGATTTGTTTATCTTGGGTTGAACCATAGTAGCACCGCGATAAAACCTGGTCTATCTTAGGTGTCGCACCCTAATAGAACCGCATCTCCTGCGCACCTGGAGTCGGCGGGGATACAAACAATTTGTAGCTTTGACTCTCGGAGAGAGACCCATGGTTAAAGGAGCAGGAGAGGGATCTGGTGCGGATTACTTCAGGTACGCAAGAAATGCGGGTGTCTTTCAGGATACCCAACACTTCAATGCATTGTCGTAGCTGTGTAAGACGCGCCCCCCTGACCCCTTTGACCGTATACATGATGTATATACACGGCTCGCCTCCCGCATGCGAAACGCCGACGAAATCGATGAAGTAATCCGTAGGTAATTCTTCATTACGTCACCGAGTGCCCGCACCTGCAAGCGCCGTGCCACTTACGGATTGCATGTATTGCAATAGACTGGGTCGATCGTGCGAGGGGAGTGATGAAGCGACGATTACGGTTCTCTCGCCCCCGTCGTCATCCCGAGGCTTTCTTTTTCCAGTCAACCGCCATGGATGGGGGTGGTTATGTGCAGACCTCGACCCAACGGCGACGCTACACCGGTCGAGTCGGCTTGGCATATAAAGGGAGGAGGCTAGTCGCAGATCTACATCTGCTCGCTGCCAGCTCCGTGCCGCTCATCTTGTCTTCTACCTACATCGACCTTGTTAGATACTTGGCTCCGAAGAGTTCTGCAGTACGCCCGAGAAGACATCCGCGGAAACGCTAGAACCAGCAGCATGCCTTACCCCGACGAGTTCGAGGGTTTCATGATCGACGAGCTGGGTGAGCACACGAAGTTCAAGAGACGGACGGTATGTCTACTACCTGAGCCCCGTCTCCGATGCCGAACCGGATCCCCGCTCAGCCGCACCTCCTGATTTCTTGGGCCTCGCTGACGCGAGCCCTTCTCGTAGTTTAAACCCAAGGTCTTTGGCGACCACGACGTCGACATCCAGATCGAGTGCTGTGGTGTCTGCGGCTCGGACGTGCACACCGTGACGGGAGGCTGGGGCGACGCGCCGACGCCGCTGTGCGTCGGCCACGAGATTATCGGTAAGGCGGTGAAGGTCGGGTCCAAGGTGGCCGACGTCCGGCCGGGCGACCGCGTCGGCGTCGGCGCCCAGATCTGGTCGTGCCTCCGGTGCCAGCAGTGCGAGGGCGACAACGAGAACTACTGCCCCAAGATGGTCGACACGTACGGCGCGCCGTACCCGCCCGAGGCCGACCCGCACGGGACCGTCAGCCAGGGCGGCTACTCCTCGCACATACGCGCGCACGAGTACTTCGTCTTCCCGATCCCGGACGCCATCCCGTCGCACATGGCGGCGCCGATGCTCTGCGCCGGGCTGACGGTGTGGTCGCCCCTGGTGCGCGCCGGCATCGGGCCCGGCAAGAAGGTGGCGGTGGCGGGGCTCGGCGGGCTCGGGCACTTCGCGGTGCTGTGGGCGGCGGCGCTCGGGGCCGAGGTGACGGTGCTGTCGCACTCGCCGCGCAAGGAGGCGGACGCGCGCCAGCTGGGCGCGGCGCAGTTCGTGTCGACGGCGGCCGAGGGCTGGGCGGGGCCGCTGGCGTTCGCGTTCGACCTCGTGCTGAACACGGCCGACGCGACGGACCGGTTCGCCATCGGCGACTACCTGTCCGTCCTCAAGGTCGGCTGCCAGTTCCACCAGGTGGGCCTGCCCGACAAGGCGCTGCCGCGCCTCAAGCCCCAGATGTTCATGGCCAACGGCTCGAGCATTGGCGCCAGCCACATCGGCTCCCGCCCCGAGTGCCTCGCCATGCTGAGGCTCGCGGCCGAGAAGAAGCTGACGCCCCGGGTGGAGACGCTGCCGGTGTCGGAGAAGGGGTGCGCGGAGGCTATCGAGAGGGTGGTGAAGGGGGACGTCAGGTATAGGTTTACGCTGGTGGACTACGACAAGGCCTTTAAGGTTTGAGGGGGCGTCGATGAGTAGGATGAGAGAGAGAGAAAAAAGGGGGCTTCGAAGTTCTTAGGACATTCCTACGATGCCGTTGTGCCGAGGCGCCCGTACGAAATGAGAGCACTCGAGAAATGGCAGGATGCCGGTGACGGCGTTCAATAGCTTAGGTCCATCCATAGCTGAATCCAAAGTGCTAGCCATCCCGAAATATAATCATGATTCTTCGAAGCTGTTGGTAGTAGGCCCCTTTTCCCCTCTGGTTTCATCTCGAGAAGGGCAGTAATATCTCAATCTTGGTGACTTAGGGTTCGTTGGATGAATTGTATGATTGAGGTATTAGGTATGCGAGAAGGGTACCTAGGCGTGCGCCTGTACACCGCTGTGGAAGCGTGTACCAATCTAGTTGTGGTAAGGAGAGCTGGAGCAGGGCTGGATTCTAAAATGGCCTCAGCTTTAGAAGGACATTCAATTATCTAAGGTACCTGGGTACCTACTTACATGGTAGTGGGTTACCTCCGGGTACCTCCTCGAAAGAGGTTCCTAAGGTACCTACATAGGTACCTACCCATGCCTGGTCCCTTGGGCTGGTACCTGGCAAGCAAGACCCCAAAATGCGAAGCGAGGAAGAGGAAAAGAGGCGTAAAATGTAAAATAAGGAAATGCTTTAGGGTTATCCCATCCCATCCCGCCGACGCGGCTCTTTTCCTATTCTTCCTCTCCGGATTCGGTCCAGCCAGCCAGCTGGATGCCGACCTATCGTGTCGCGCTTCCTGGCCTCCGAGCGGATTGAGCGATGTTGGTTTGAACAATCGACAGTCGGACAGTCGGGACTGGGCCTCAGACGAACTGCTACCCTCCTCCCAGCCAGGCCTGGTCAGCGCCGCCGACCCGACCAGCAACCGCTAAACACTCCTTATCAGCAGCAGTACGTAGCAGTAGTGGCAGTGCCTATATTCTTACATACATACACACATGCATGCCTACATGGGGATTCGCGCGGAATAGCTAAGCCAACGAGTAGCAGCGGACGCTCACACGACAGCTCAACTCTTCTTTTTTTCCCCTTCCTCTCTCCCTCTCTCCCCTTTCTTTTTCCTCCCTTTTTTTCCCAGAAAAATATTTCTTTTTTTTCCCTCCCCTTTGTCGTCGCCTCGGTCGCCACGCCGTTGCTACGCATTACGTATCAAGCATTCCGCCGCCCTCGCCTCTCCACCCTCCCATCCGCTCTGCGCTGCTCGACTCCGTCCCGACGTTCGTCCTCTTCGCGTATACACGTACTACCAGCATCACATCGGGATTGAACACGACACGATAGTGTATAAGACGAGCAGGTCGGACCGGAGAAGGCAAGCCGTCCGACATCGAGCTCGGCGACGATCGGCATTTCGAAGCATAATAATACACCAAGCTGGAGGCAGAAGTAGAAAAAGAGACAGAAGCGAGCGAGAGAAGGGTTTGGACGTGTCGCTGTTCGTCGGATTGACACCCACCGGTTCGGTTCCGCTGTGCGCCAAGGTGAGACCAGACCGTCTCCTTATGCTGTTTATGGTTATATATGCGTATGTGCACGCGCGTCTGCATTGGTGCAATACGTTGGGTAGGTATTTATTCAATTTCCTAGTGGTAGAGTGGTACTAGTGGCTGCTCTGTAGTAGAGCGGTAGGTCAGGTACCTACTTTAGTCATAGCCAGGGCGGCGCTGTCCCTTGCTGTCTACCACTTCTACGGCCACGAACCTCTGCCACTACCGCCTCTACTACCACCACCGCCGCTGTCGCCACCATTACCACCAACACCGTCGCTACCATAACCACTGCCACCACTGCTACCACCATTGTTCATACCTGCGCCATTGTACGTGCCTCCTTGTCGATTGTAGCGGGGAAAGAATACGATCCTGGGAGACGAGGGAACGCGACCAGGAAGAGAAAAAAAAAGAGAGTGAGAGAAGAGGGAGACTCGAGGAAGAAGAAGAAAAACATCCGCACATTAGACGAGATATGCTGTCATATATATATATATATATCCACGGTTTACGACGTTTCGTATTAACGCGGATGCCTAACGCAGATACCGATGCCCAGCCTATGAGGTCCTATCCTGTCTATCTCAAACCTGTGCGACGCGCCTCCGTACCGAACCCACGCCACCCCTCAACCGCTACCTAATTACCTCGTACTCTCCTAGCACACCACCTGGGCCTTCCCCCGAGCCGCATTGCCCGAGGAGAGACACCGAGACCCAGAGAGAGACCGCTCACAGACACCATGTCGACGGGATTGACGAGACGCCGCGGAGCAGGCGGCGGCAGCGGCACCACCAGCGAGGAGCCGAGCAATGGCGCCAGCCGTTCCAGCTCCGCTCAGAACGCACGCGACAGCGCCCCCGAGACGAGCTACGAGAACAGCGAAAACGGACACAAGATTGCCTTCGACCCCCGCGACATCAGCGAGAGCGCCGAGAGGAGCAAGCAGCCGAAACTGACTTTGATGGAGGAGGTTATATTGCTGGGTCTCAAGGACAAGCAGGTAAGTCTTCCTATCCGGGTCCCTCGCCTGTGCGCGGGAGCATCCGCGCCATGTCCGAGTTGCCGAGCTGCACGAGTCCGGCATCCCGTCGACCGACAGGAACAAGCACAGCCGTTGCTGACTCCTGATACCATCGCCAGGGCTACCTCTCGTTTTGGAATGATAACATCAGCTATGCCTTGCGGGGCTGCATTGTCCTCGAGCTAGCCTTCCGCGGTCGCGTCAGCATGCAGAAAGACGCCTCTCGGCGGCGTTTCCCCTTAGCCGACCGCACTATCGAGGTCATCGACGACACCCTGACCGGCGAGGTGCTCCTGGACGAGGCCCTGAAGATGATGAAACAGAGCGAGAAGATGAGCGTCAGCGCTTGGATCGATCTCATGAGCGGTAGGCTCCGACTCTCCCGCGCGCCCGCATCCTCCGTGTCCCACACCTCCAACACATCTACCCCACATACCACACGCAGATCCCTCGCGAACCCAATGACTGCAGCCTCCTTCCTTGCCAAGTTTGCTGACCGTCGACTTTGGCATTAGGCGAGACTTGGAACCTCATGAAGATAGGCTACCAGCTGAAGCAGGTCCGCGAGCGCCTGTGCAAGGGCCTAGTCGACAAAGGCATACTCCGCACCGAGAAGCGCAACTTTCTGCTCTTCGACATGGCCACCCACCCCGTCGCCGATGGTGGTGCTAAGGACGAGATCCGCCGCCGCGTTAGAAACGTCTTGACTCAGCGCACCGTTGTCCTGCCCGCCTCGCAGTTCCTTCCCGAGAACCTCGAGTTCCGCTACATCCGGACCATCTCCATGGTCTGCGCCGCCTACGCCGCCAACGTGTTGGAGAACGCCCTGAGCACGCTCGGCCACGAGGCCCGCGAGCGCGCCTTCACCCAGACCGACGAGCTGCTCGCCGAGTATTCCCAGTGGCCTTTCGGCAGGAAGGCGAGCTCTACCGGCATCGGAGCGAACCTCCCACAAGTCATATCCGAGGTAGGCCTCTTTTTTTTCAGATTAGTTTTTGGGGCCGTCCCCCGACACAGATTTATAAATAGTCCGTATACTAATTTCGACTCGCTTCTAGGAGGTCAGCACGGGCAAAGACAAGGAGCTTCAACTCGAAGTTGTGGCCGCCTGCCTGAGCGTTTTCACTCGTCTCGACTCACTCCTGTAGACGAGCTTGCTCCTTTTCCGTCTTATTCTACCACAAACTATTTTTCTCTTTTTCTAAACATGTAATGATGTCTGGCATCTATATTGCCAAAAACTCTGTACTCGGCGTTTGCCCACATACCCGTCCAAAAACCCAGACCCGCTTCTTCGCCATCCCGCAACGAAAAAAAAAAACGAGAATACAACCGATTTCCCGCCCGAGATATTTCGATGTTGAAGCAAACGACTGGTTCTGGATTGGAAAGAGAAAAAAAAGTGATGACACAGATGGAGGGGCCGGGGAAAGGGGGGGGGGAGGAAGCATATTCACACGATTACTAGGACGTATCTGGCTTGGGATCGGGCACGGTCTTCTGGCGCCCGAAAAAGAGGGGAGAAAACAAAAGGCAAAACGACTATGAATGATGCGTAGGGGATAAGGAACCCCGGATGTGACATTACGCTTAACCTAGGAGCCACTTGAACTACAGCCATGCTACCGCCGCCGCTTCTATCGCTCATTGGGGGAAGATGTTCAGATGAAAGATACCGTGGTATGACAGATAGGGGTTGAAAAGGAGGGGAAGGGGGTAGTGCGAGAGACGGAAGAGAGACGGGGGGGGGTGAGGCGGGGAGGAGCAAAACATAGGGGGCTAGGTAGATATCTGGCGTGGAGTGAGATGGGTGCGGAGCAGCGAGAGAAGGGAGAAAGAGTGGGAGAGCAACCCTTTTTTTAAACTAACGATCCGAGGACAGGTTCGCAAGGACCTGGTGGCTTTAGTCAGGTCGGGGTCGGGGTTGGTCGTCCTCCCTCAGATCTTACCTACTTATCTAGCCATCCTCCATCCATCCATATCCATATATATACATCCCAAACATCCACACTGCTATCTCGACCCCGTCGCCCTACCCCCAGTATCAGAATAGCCAGAACATAAATCGGGGGGGAAATAAAAATGAATATATGTCGTCTCTTCCTCCCGCCCACCCCGCTTTCGTGCTTAGCCGTGCCCTCGCCCTCTCCCTCCCTCTCTCCTCGCGTTCCCCTTGCGGCTCTCGCTAGCCGGGGTGGGAGTGCCTGTGCGTCTTCTCGGCGTGCGCGTGGTGCTGCTGTCGCTCCTCGCGTCCGCAGGTGAGATAAGACGAGCAGATACAAAAGATGAAGATGCGCGCGTGAGTAAGCCTACCGCGGATGCGGTGCGCGGCATAGGCGTGGCCGTGGTGCGCGGCGTCTGTAGACGTTGCGCTGCGCTGCTCGCCTGCGGCCCGGCTGTCTCGGAGACGCGTCGTCCCCGGGGGGGGGAGGGGGGGGCGAGCCAGCAGCGCGGCGAGCGCCGTCTCCTCCGCCCTGCCGTCCGCGGGCCCGCGGCCCCCCCCCCCTCTCTTCCCCCCTTTTCACTTCCCCCGGCGGAGCCTCTCCTTCCACCCGCCCTTCTCGTACAGCCACAGCGCCTCGATGGCGTACGCGCGCGCGCTGCGGTGGTACCGGCGGCCGACGGGCGGCCTCCTCGCGCTCGCTCCGCGCGCCTCCCCCTCCTCCTCTTCCTCGGCTTCGGCCTCCCACACGCCGTCGCCGAGCGCGTCCTCGTCGGCGCCGGCCTCCTCGCCGAGGCTGCGGAGCACGGCGCCCTCGCGCGCGAGCGCCCAGAGGCCGGCGGCGAGGGGGTCGGCGGGGCCGCCGAACTCGCCGGCGCCGAGGCGGTAGAGCAGGCGGCCGAGGGCGCGGTAGGCGACGCAGCGCTGGCCGGGGACGGCGCTGCGCGCGAGGCGCGCGAGCTCGGGCACGGTGTAGCCGGCGGCCTCGGGCGCCTCGCCGTGGTGGTGCAGGCCGCGGGTGGCCGGCACGGCGCGCGCCGCCCGCGGCGGCACCAGCCGCCCCCGGAAGTCGAACCGCACCGCCGCCACCGCCACCGACCCCTGCCCCGGGTGGTACGGCGACGCCCGGTCCGCCGCCGACCCCGCCGTCGGCACCGGCGCCATCCACGCCAGCTTCGCCGGGTCCGCCGCCAGCGTCGGGAAGTACTTCGCGTGCAGCTTCGCCAGGAAGTCCGGGTCCGCCAGGTCCAGCTCCTCGTCGTCTGCGGCGGGCTGCGGCGGCCGCGGCCAGTGCGGTTTCGAGGGCGGCGCCGCGGCAGCGGTAGGGGGGCCGGTGGCGGAGGGGTGGTCGTCGGCGGTTTCTTCCTCCCAGCGTACGGTCTTCTTCGTTCCTGACATCGCGCCCGGCGCCTCCGCCTCCGCTTCTCCACTCCCCTCCTTCTCCTCCTCGTCCGCTACCATGGGCGGCGGCGGGTGTTTCGGGCGGTCCGCAGACGCGTCCTCGACGCGGATCTCGGGCGGCGCGGGCGGCGCGGGGTCGTCGAAGGGTGACGGGCCGCTGGGCGCGTCCAGGTTGGCGCGGCGCAGCAGCATCTGCAGCACGGACGGGTCCAGCCCGCTGAAGAGCTCCTCGCGCGCGGCGTCGATCTCGCCCGCCGACATGGACGCCAGCCGCTCGCTGTTCTCGCGGTCTATGCCCTGCTTGTCCAACCGCGCACCGGCGCCGCGGTTCTGCGGTGCGGGTGGCGCGTCTCGACTCGACGTCGTGGGCGGCGGGGTCGGTTTCTCTGCGTCGTCTCGCGGCGCTGCGTGCCGCTTCTGCTTGAAGGCGGAGGCGGGCCGCCGCTTCTTGGGCTCAGGAAAGCCGGTCGTGGATGGGTTGAGCGGCGGGAGGCTCGGGGCTCGGGGGCCCGAGACCTCCTTCTCCTGGATGTCGCCGAGGAGGAAGCTCATGGTAGGGCGGGTGTTGCGTATATGCTCGATACGTTATATGCTCGATACGTTGAATCGGAGAATGGGTGTATTTGTGGTGGTACTGTTGCTGAGGGCGGAAGATCGGGGTTGGTTGATGGTGGAAGTGAAGCATCAGAACTTGACCCATCAAACGGCATTGAAGCATGCAACTTTCGAGGGTCAGGCAGGCTGACGTAACCGTTGGCGTCCCCTCGACTCGGTACGTAGTACTTCGGGCTCGATGGGGGCGGTCCGTCGTGTGGCTGGTACGGTATTAGCTAATAATGCGGCCATGCGGCACTAGCGCAGATGGCAGTACCGTGGATCGGCCGGGCCACGCGAATTCCCAAACGGGCAGCTAAGCGCGTCGCGCCGCTTAGCTGGCCAATCCGCAGCCGTCGGCCCGCGTTTCATTTGTGCGGGAAGGAGAAACCTGGGCAGAACGTGGAATTCGGGCTGAAACTTAAAAAGCGGTACGTACCGCCCAGCATCCGTTGGCAGGTTCGCGCTCTGGGCCCGTCCCGATTCGGAACGTGTTGTTCAGGTTTATGTCTGTGCATAACTCACTTGCCTTCGCGATCCTCGATCCTACTCGAGGGAGATAAGGTCCAGGCTGGGCTGGCACGGCATGCGCCCGCCGCCATCTCGTCCCGTGCATGAAATGCCACGCTGAATATCTCCGAGCTTCCGATACGGTAAGCCTCGAGGATGAGGGGGGGGAGAGCAGATTCCGCGTCGCTAGGCAGGGTGCACACCCACCGAACGTCGTGGCCGTCGCTGCACTGATGCTCGAGCCATGTCACTCGAGCAGGCAGCGTCGGTCGAGAACATTTTACCGGTGGCGTGATGGGAACCGGGCAGACTGGCCAACCCCCAGGCACTCAGCACCCACGGTCAGAAGCAGGTCTATCCGGCAGCCAAGGCGTGCCGAATGCAGCGCAGGCATCGTAAGGGCACGTATAAACATCTACACGTCTGCCGAATGTGTACTCATATATAGGTAGATATTATAGTCACCTGTAGATCTAGCCCCGGCCGCGGCGGGGAAGGGAAGGACAGCAGAAAAGGCTCACTGCCCGCCCGCATAGCCCGTTGGAGCAGCAAATGCCAGCAATGAGAACGAGAGACAAGAGAGCAGAAAAAAAAAGCAAGACCAAGGATTTCCGCAGCGTTGCACCAGCGAAAAATGCAACCCCACCTGGCTCGTGTCATAAACGGGCGTTGCATGAGGAAGGGTGGGTTCAACTAGTCGGGACTTGCCCATGGGGCTGTCTGATGCAGTTCTCCCTAAATCAGATTAGGGAAGTTTGAGGGCCTGGCCGCAAGAGCGGTCCGGTGAGGGAAACGGCGCACAGGATTGAAACCTGGTGTCTCTGGCGAAAATGGATGCGTGCATGGCTGGAGCCGAGAGAGGTGCGTACTACGGGTAACCTCAGGGAACCTCAGGGAACCTCAGGTATGCGGAGCGGAGCTCAGGTATGAGGAGGCGCCTTGGTGCTGGCTAGATTATTACCTATCCTCTCGTCTGAGCGAGCGGGCGCTGCTGCCACGTACACGTATATACCTATATACCTTGCGTAGGCAGATATCAGATTATGGGTAGAAGAAGAAACGGTATGGCGGATGCCTACTACGGCTTTACGAGCAGGCAAGTTACCTATTGTGCGGCATTCCTCGCCAGGTAGGTGTAGGTGCCTTAGGCAGGTAGGGGCGTGTGGACATTACATCGGTACGTACACAATCTATGTATAGGCAGGCAGGTGGTGTGCCTCTCTCTCTGCTGCTGCCCAATAAGCCCTTGTCATTATCGCGGCTATCTTGCGTTCACCATCTTAGCGGATCCCACCGCAGGCCAGGGCTTCTACGGCGGCGAGGTACGTACCCCAGGGTGTTCTCCGGCCGCCCATTCGTCGGGGGGAGGCTCAAGCTGCATGAAATTGAACCGTTCCCCACCCGCCCTGCCTTCTTTTTTTAAGTTTGCCGACTGCTCGGCTCATCCAACCCGGTCCTACACGACCAGCCTAGCCAATTCCCATCCCTCTCGGCGCAGGTACCTCCTCCACGTACCTTCGACGTACCGCGCCCCGGCCTCGTACCTGACTGCATCTCGTCGGAGCTGCCCATCGCCGTCCACCCCATCCGCCACGTCCAGCGACGTTAGGCCTATAACCTTCCCCGCCGCCAAGGCCTGGGAGAGGGCGAGGATTTACGCGCAGGCAGATTCCGTCGGGCGTTGCTTTGCATATTTACGACTGCTCGTGGGTGGCCCAACTAACTACCTCCTAGGTAGGTAGGTAAATGCGGTAGGTACGGGCATCTGGCGACGAACCTTAATAGAAAAGGGTGTCCGGCCGAGGAGGAGGTAAGGTACCTAGGGGATTAGCCTGCGCTCCGTTCGGCACCATCCATACCCACGCAGACACCCTCTCGTTGCTCTCCGCCCGCGCTCCCTCGCCGTACCCTTCCCACCGCGAAGCGCGGTCGGCAGGGGTGGCTGCGTGCCTCGCCTCGTACGTTCAGCCACACCACACCTCCAACTGTGTTTACAGCAGAGTTAGCCGGCCGTGGTGCCCGACAAAGGCGGCGAGCGGTCAGCAGGAATCGCCCTGGGCTGGCCTAGACACTGCTCACCTTCTACTATCGTGCCTGGCGTCGCCTTTTTCCACCTATCGGCTTGGGCACAAGTACCTACCTAGCTATCGTGGCGGCGGGCTAGGTACCTATAAGGCCTCCCCCCCCCTTTGAGAATGGATGGGCTGACGTAGCAGGATGTGGTCAGGGTTGCGATGCGGGTGGCCGGATTTGTCATGGCTGCGTTCGACGGTCTCCTCTGTTTTATTTATTTAGCGGTTTCTGTGGATTTCTCCCATGCTGGGGAAAAGTGCCCATGTAGGTAGGTTAGGTTAGGTAGGGTAGGTGTGTACCTGGGTAACTCGTGCATGTACCCAGGTACTACCTGCCTGGCTGGATTTGTATTACCCTCCACACCTCGCCCCTGGTACCTCTACATGCTACCTTACCTACCTACATGCATACATAATCTTCCATGTTACTAACTTAGGCTCGCTCCATAACCCGACTTGTGTTCTCCTATCGCGACCAAACGAGCTGCTACTACTGACTATCGGCCTGTCCCTTTTGCCTCTGCTCAGCTACCGGTGCTTAGCTTCTGGCCGGGCTTAGGGCCAGGTACCTTTGGCCGCTGCCCATCAAGTGTCATACCCCCTGGTCTGGCCGGCCCCCCCGCTCCCTCCCTCCCTCCTTATTGCTGTCCTCTTAGGTCATGTCCTTCGCTACAGTTTGGGGCAATTTAGGGACCATCACCAACGCCGAGCTCAGACCAGCAAAGTCATTCATTCCTTTTTTTTTTATTCCCCCCGTCGTCGGATGACTTTCGCAATCTGATGCCAATGCGCCCCCAGGTACCTACAGGTATTCACCCTCGCTCTCCCTCTGACTGGCCTCTCTCTTCTCTCTCTCTCTGCACCTGTGTTACGTACCGAACCTATCTCCCTCTCCCTCTCCCTCCCGGTCTCTCTACCTCTGCCTTTCTCTACCCTCCTCTCTCTTCCCTCTTCTCCGTCTCTGTCTCCCCGGTCCATCTTCAATTGCCCCGTTACCTCCTCCTTCCCCCTTCCCCCCCTCTTTCTCTCGCCCTCTCTCTCTCTCTTCTGTCTCTCCCCCTTCCCTCTTCCCCCCCCCCTCCCCCCTTGAATTCCTCACAATTCCACATGTTCCAATGACACCCCCCCAGCCAACCTAGTTCCGATCTCTAATTCGAGTTTTTTTAATAATAATAAAATTTCCCACGCAACTCTCGTTTCTACCTAGCTAGTTAGATTGCCCCGATTTTTCTCACACTGCTCGCCTTGGAGGATAATTTATTTCTCTCTGCTCAGAAAATAGTAGCCATCCCCATCTCCCAAATTCTCCCGCAGACCTGCCACTTTTCCTCCTTCTCTCCTCCTTTTTCCCACCACAACCGAGATGGAGTCGTCGAGATAAATCCATCCAAATCCATCACTCCGCCGCCGCTTTTCATTCTCTTTTCAACGGCATCGTGTGCATCCGTCTCCTGCGCATCGTCTGCCGTGCTTCTCGACGCGCCGTGCCGCGGCCGTTCCGACTCTTTCGACCGAGCCAGGGCCTGGCTTTGGCCGTCTGCCTGCGAGGGCGCTGCAGTCTCCTCTCGCCCCGTGAAGGTATTCAGACCCGGGCTGCCAAAACTGGCACCGCGCACCGACCAACGCAGATTGGAGGTCACGTTACCCATTCCCACCGCGTACTCCATACCGCATACCCGTAGTAACGTCCAGCACGCACCACAACCACAGCCAACGCCCGCCTACACGCACCCCCATTACTCCATTCAGCCTGGAGCGAATATAGGTCGGCGGCATCGCGCTTACTGGCCTCCTCCTCGGCTCCCCCTTCTCGCGTACCCTTTCAGCATTTACTCATATCACGGCAGGCCCACACGTGCACCATTTATTCAATACCTACCAATTCCCTCCTGTCGTCGGTGACTTGCAACTGTCATTCCTCTTTTCGTCTCTCTTTTCCCCCCGTCTTTTTTTTTTCTTTTTCTTGACCATTCCTCTCTTTCTCTATCTCTCTATTTCAATCGTCCGTCGCGCCAACCTCGGTTCCACCAACCAGCATCGAAACCAATTTCGATTTCAACCACAGCACGCGAGAGCGAGTCGAGATAGGGGCGGGAGATAGGCAGACTTTCACCACTGTTACCACCGCTACCAACCCTCTTCTCGCACGGCCTTCCCACCCCTTCTGCCACTCTGAGACTGTGAACACAGTCTACTAGGTGGGACCGGGCACTGTAACATCAGTGCCCTTTCACAACTGCGCAGACAACCGCAACATATCACTGCCTCCTCATTCTTTCCTTTCTACTGCCGCAAAGGGCATTTTCTTTTCTGTTCTTGTGACATCTTATTACATTCACGCACTTTGCTCCTCAGTTCCTCAGAGGCGCCCTAGACAGCTTCGTCGGGATTCAACCATACATTGCTAGGGTCTACTAGTCGGACGTCACAATGCCTGCCGGTCCTGGAAACGCCCAGTCGCGTTTCAGCTCTTCGCCCGAGCTGTCAGATCCGCCGTCCATGTTGTCGGCCCCCGGATCGCCGAGCGCATTCAACCGGGCGAAGGCTGGGGAGCTCGACGAGATCGTGGTCGACCCCACCATCCGATATGACGGATCTGGTCAGCCTTTATTAACCAAGGATGGTCTGCCTCGAAGAAAGCCCGGCCCGAAGCCCGGCACGAGAATCAACAAGCGCAACAGCACCAACCCGGAGGAAGGAGAGAAGGTGAAGCGAGCGAGAAAGCAGAAGGACCCCAGCACGGGACCCGCACCGAGGAGGCGGAAGGTAACCTCCCTCGACGGCGAGGGCAGCGAGTCCAGGTCGCGAGCTGCTAGCGTCAGCGGCAACGGAGTCGTCGCCCCGCCCCGACAGACGAAGATCGCCGAGATAGCGACCGCGGCTCCAGCCCGACTAGAGCCCGTTCTCCGGGGGGATGTCAAGCGCGAGGTCCTACCCGGATCGATGTCCAGTATCTTGAATGCCGATCCGGAGCCCTCGCCTTTCTCTCGTCAGCAGTCCCAGCAGCAAGCTTCCCAGCAGCAGACGCGACCAAGCGCCCCTTCGCGATCCAGTGGCACCAATTATGACCCGATCCGTTCTGCCAATTACGACCCCGTACGAGAAACGATGGTCCCGCACAGCTATGCTAACCCGATGGGATCCCCCCGCGGACCCGCTACTACGGCGCCCGGCATCTTCAACCGCGCGAGCGCGTCCCCTTCGATCGCCAGCCTCGTCGATCCCGTGCCGAGTATCATCTCGCCAGTCCCTTCGCTCACCTCTTTTGCGCAAAACACGCAGCCGTCGACGCAGTCGCGCATTCGCAAGGAGCCCAACTCCATGCCGGAGTCGCCTAATCCCTTCCGCAAGGAATTTGCGCCTCCGCCCGCACCCAAGCCGCCCGCCACCGAGGTCAAGAAACCGGCCCCGCCCGCAGCAGCTTCACTCGCCTCCAAAATTGAGATTCGCCCCAGCTCCATCACCACCATCGCGGCCAACGGATCTAAGCGGACGCCACCCAAGAACCAAAGCGCGGCATCGTCGTCGCCGCGCGTCAATGCGACGAAGGACTCGCTCGCACCCCTCCCGGGCGGACCGGAGCGCTCCATTCTCGATTTTGGCAAGGCCGAACCCGGATCCGAATACGTGGCCCCTTCTATCATCCTCAACATCCCCCTAAACGGAGAGACGAACAAGTACATCAACTTTATGCGGATGGCCGAGGACCAGTACGGTTGGGATGCGCTCCATCCCCGCCAGGCCGAGCACAAAGCGCGCAAAGCGCGCATCGCCGCCGCATCGGCCGCCCTGGCCCAGAACGACTCGAGCCGGGAGGGCGACGAGATGTCAGTGGACGAGTCAGACAATGACGATTCGAACGTGGACATGGGCGGCACCAGCGGGCCGGACAAGGCTGACGGCAAGCCTGTGAAGAAGAAGAGACACTTCAAGGAAGACGAGTATGATAAAGATGACGATTTCGTCGACGATTCGGAGATGCTCTGGGAGGAGCAGGCTGCCGCCAGCAGGGATGGTTTCTTTGTCTACTCCGGACCGCTGGTGCCGGAGGTGGAGAAGTCTGAAGCGGGACGGTACGTATCTCACCCCGCTGACCGCGACAGCACGCTAACAGGATGCAGTGGCGAGGGTCAACCGAAGCGAGGACGAGGCTCGCGAGGCGGTCGCGGCGGCGGCCGCGGATCTGCCGCCGGCACCGGTCGCGGTCGCGGAGGCGGCCCGGGATCTCGCGGAGGCGTGGTTCGAAAGCCGCGCATGACGAAGGCCGACAAGGCCCAGATGGACCGCGAAAAAGCCGAACGCGAAGCCGCCTTTCTCAAATCTTCAAATACCAGCTCGTACAACGTTCTCCACCCGGGCAGTCCGCAGTTTGCCGGATTGTAAGCCAGGTCCCAAACCCGTCGGGGAGGGTCGACGGATTCGCAAGGTGGGGGGGTAGGAATGACGTAAATTCAGCGAGTGCCCGGAGACCTGGTCCGAGGCCTACCAGGGAGAGCGGCATAAATTTTTTAAGAGAACTGGAGTTGCTCCCCAGCCGAAATCGATGCCGGAGTCGCGGCTCGCCTTCACACATGCAACACACGCACGCACACACACACACACACACACATACACACATACACACACATACACACACGCAAACACACATACACCGCAAACACGCAAGGGGGGTGAGACCGGAGGCAGCGAGGGCCCATTCTACAAATGGTACGCGGGGCCATTTTGCCTTGATTTGGAAGGGGAAGGGGGGACGCATGTTATAATTAGGGCGAACAAAGGCATCTGAATTGCAATCGGCACAGGGCGACAGGGACAAAGTTTGTCGGCGAATCGGCGTAATAGGGATAGAGAGGATGCTTGGCCTCGCAGGCTGGCTGTGAAATACTACTGAGAATTCCGCAAATGACTCGGACCGTTTTGTTGCCGAGTTTTTGGGCGCCTCTGCCCCGCCCCCTTTTTTTTGGGTTCCCTAGGCCACGGCGTTAAGTAGTCCGCGGTAGAAGAGGAGGAAGGGGGGGGGGGGGGGGACGGAGGGGTGCGGAACGACGTGTTAGTCACCACAGACAATATTATTATCTCGTAACCGCACGGCCGGTAAGTTTTCGCATCTTCTCCCATCGTGCCCGAAGATTGCCGTCGTGCTGTGGCACCGGAGTGGGTAGGTATCCAGACGCGAAGAAGAGAAGGGGAGGGATCTGCCTGAAGCTAACAGCTGACCCTGTCGCCTAGGAGGTACGTTTCGCATGATTGGCCGGGGCCGTTAGGAGTACGTACCTCGACGTATAAGGATCGCTCCCCAGCAACAACGCAGTAGATGTGTGTGGTATTATTGCACTGTACGTGTGCTGTGTGTGTGCTGTACGTGTGCCTCCCGGGGCTGGCAAGGGGACGCGAACGAGGCCAGGACGATGCCGGCGAGCTTTACACCTAGCCTGCCTTTCCATGGCAGGCGCTGTCCGTCTCTCTCGCCAAGGCCGACTCGTGTTTATAAGGCTCAACGCCTCCCCTTCCTCCCTCTCTTTGCCCCCCTTTCCCTCTCTTCTCTCGCCCGCTCCTTTTCATATCCCTCTTCCAGGCCCTGCTCGTCTCTCTCTACTATTTCCATTCGCTGTCTCGGTGCTTAGACGGCCTCTCTTATCCAATCCTCCCCCCCCTCCCCGAAACTTCGACTAGACACCATGGCCTCGCCTCACCCCCTTTCTGCCGCCACCATGTTCTCATTGAAGGATTGGGTCGCAGTCGGTCCGTCTCTCCGCCCTCTCCCATCCCCCTTTTCCTCTGTCCCCCCTCCCCCTCCCCTCCCATCTCTCGCTAACTCGCGGGAAACAGTGACGGGCGGAGGAACTGGCATCGGACTGAGTAAGATCGATCGATTCGCTGGCCAGGCCCGACCCCTAATTTGCTACCGTACCAGTGATCGCCCAGACGCTGGCTGCCAATGGGGCCAAGGTCTACATCACCGGACGACGCGCCGACGTCTTGGAGAGGAGTGCCCGTATCCACGGCACCCCCGAGAAGCTCGGTCCTCTGGGGGGTAGCATCGTGCCTATCGCCATGGACGTGACGTCCAAGGACAGCATCAAGAGCGTCGTTGCCGAGATCGGGCAGAAAGAGCAATATGTCAATCTGTGAGCCCTGCTTCCCGTTGGGGTATTCAGCGGTTGTTGCCGCAATGGCTTGATGGCGTTTCCGTCCTAACCGTCCCGTTGGCTCGTCAATAACGCCGGCATCTACGGCTCGCGTCCGAACGCGCGCCCGGAGAACGGACCGGAAGCGTTTGGGGAAGCGATGTTTGCCGAAGGCGACAGCAATATCTGGCAGAAAGGTTCGAGACCCGATTTCACCCACACCCCCTCTCGCAGGCGAGGGTGCGCCACTGACGGCATCCTGCAGTCTTCGATACCAACTGCACGTCGTGCTACCTCACGACGGCAGCGTTTCTGCCCCTCCTCGCGAAGGCCGCGTCCGGTCCGACCGGGAAGGTGGGCAGTGTGATCATCAACAGCTCCGTCTCCGCGTCGCTGCGAATGTCAGTGCTGCATACACCACCGAGTTGATATGTCATTTGATAGTCCCCCCCCTTCCCCCCTGTCCCCAGACCTCTTATCGTCCTCTATTCCCTGTCCGACGGTGGAACGGTGGAGGAGGGTTACTTACATGCTACTCTATCCTGCAGGTCGCAGAATTGCCAATTCTCTTACAATGTGAGTTCCCGTCGCTCCGTTGGCTAAAGTGCCACCTCGCTGCCGCCGCTAACGCCCATTTCGAAAATACGCACAGGTCAGCAAAGCCGCCGTATCACACCTCACACGTCAGTTGGCATACGAGTTTAGCCACGAGAAGATCAGTATTCGCGTAAACGGACTGGGTCTCGGTGAGTTCTTGCCGACAACCTCCCGGCCAATCCGCTCCACCTTTGGTCCACGAGCCATTATTATAATGTTTCAGGACCATTTCTTCACGCAGTTCGCTATCGCAAAAAAAAAAAAAAAAGAAAAGCACTAACACGGTCGGGGGTCGTAGGGTATTTTCCCTCCGAGATGACGACGGGAACTTCCAATGAGCAAAACGAGAGCATAGATCTAGCCCCGCGGTTCGCCGAACTCATGAGCGGCATGGACTTGCAGTCCGTCAAGCGCATGGGCACGCCCGAGGAGGTCGCGACGGCAAGTTTTTTTCTTATTATTAATCGTTTTCGCACCTCTTCTCGCCGTCTCTTTCCTTCCTTCGAAGCCAGAGCGGAGATAGATTCGCCATCCCTGCCTATTGAGTACTGAGACCCATCAACTGACCCTGTCGAATGATTTCTAGATCGTGCTTACACTCGCCGTCAACGATTACATGTGGGGCACCATCACGATCGTGGACGGCGGCCTCTCGCTGAGGGCTGCCGGGGACCTGTGAAGCTGCATCGTAGCATACTGGCCTGCCCATTGTTGAAGAGGCCGACATATAATAGAGGAAACTCCCGGGACATGAAGGTTAATAGAATCGAGGTGTGACAATACCCTCGCTCGATCTGCCTTTTCTTTCTGGTTTCCGGTTCGTTTTCTTCCCCTCGAACCGTCGAGTCAGTTTCACCAAAGACTGAGTGTGTGCCGTGGAATTGACCGCGCCGCATCACCACTCCCTTGCGAGATTTACAGTATAAGATTCGCATTTCATGGCAGTGGAACGACAGAGCACCCATCATGCCAGGCGACATCCACAGTCCCTTTCAAGTTTCGATAATGTTCTAAATTAAGTACCGTCGTGAAGTTCTGACGTCATACCGTGCCATGACTTTCCCCTCCCCGATTTCCCAAAGAGTAGGTAAGTACCTGGGTAGGTAGTTGTACCTATATGTGCGTCTCGTAGTGCTATAGCGCTGCGGCGATCCTGGTGAGAATTGGTATTGGTATTTACCGGCATCCGCAACAACGCGTTCTTGTTGCTCTACCACGTATGCATACCCCTTTCTCTCTCCCTCGTCTCTATTGCGCTACAGACAAGACATACACATGCAGTATATACAGGAGAAAATCAATGGCAAAAAAAAGAAATAACAGGAAACGCATCTGGTGGTCAAAGCTGGCTGAGAGCATTCTGTCGTCCGCGTTTCGGCCTAGTAAGCTGGCTGGTATTGCTCAATATACCTAGATATAGGTATGCATGCGCTACGCCATCGAGAATAGCGATGACGTGATGGGCTGCGAGACGAAGAGGTCCTGCTGGGAGCAACCCCTCTCGTAATTCCTTCCCCCTCCTCACCGGCCGTTGACCGCCTTGGCGTGGTCGTACACGAGGGAGCGGGCCTCCTCGTCGTCGAGGTAGATGGTGAAGCCGTCGTCGTGGTTGCGGCCGTACGAGTAGCCGGAGAAGCCGAACTGCCAGTAGAGGCCGGGGACGCGCTCTTCGCGGCCGACCTGCTGCCAGCGGCCGACGACGTCGGCGCGGGTGACGTTGGCGCCACCGCCCTCGCCGGGGGCCGGGGCGGGGACGCCGTTCTGGTCGCGGGCGGCGGGGGTCATCCAGCCGTACTCCTCGTGGACGACGGGCTTGCGCGCGGCGCGGGCGGCGGCGGCGTGGTCGCGGACCCAGGCCTCGACCCAGGAGCGGCCGGGGCGGCGCCACCAGTCGGGATAGGTGTGGAAGGTGCCGAAGTCGACGGCGGGGAGCGCGAGCGCGGCGTCGAAGTCGCCGCCGTCGCGGCCGCCGTAGAACGAGTCGGTCGGGTCGCCGCGGTCGAACGCGCCCTCGCCCCCCCACGTCACCAGGTGGTCCGGGTCTAGCGCCTTGACGAACCGCGCCATCTCGTCCACCCAGGCCGTCAGCAGCGCCGGCGAGCAGTCCGGCCCCGCCGGCAGGTTGCGCACCGCGTCCGCGCCGCACCGCGGCTCGTTCGCCAGCTCCCACGCCAGGATCGCCGGCGACGCCCGGTACCGCGACACGAACTGCGACACGTACGACTTGAAGGCGTCCTTGATCGCCGGGACGCGGTAGAACTGCGAGGGTGAGCGGAGAGGGAGGTTAGCGTGGCTGGCTTGCGGGGGGAGTGGGGAGAAGGAGAAGAAGGGAGGGAAAGGGGAAGGGAAAAAAAAAACAGAGAAAACTCACGTCGTCGTGGTACCTCCCGCCGAGATTAACAGTGTACACATCCATGCCGCCGTAGTCGGCCCAGTTGTTAGTGAGGGCGACGAGGAGCTTGACGCCGGTGCGCTCGGCGGCGCGGACGACCTTGTCGAAGGGGGCGAGGTCGACGACGGCGCGGCCGCCGGGGAACCAGCGCTGGAACACGGCCCGGGTCGTGCCCGCGCCCTCGCCGCCGTACGCCGGCAGCCCGCCGGGGTCCGTCGTCGCGTTGCGCTCGTTGAACCCCCACGTGCGCATCACCTTGAGCCCCGCCGCCGCCGCCGCCGCGAGCCCCAGCTCCACGTCGGTCTCGTTCTTAAGGCCGTGTGTGTGGTCAGCGGAGGGAGGAGGAGAGGGGCAGGGGGGGGGCATACCTCGCTGAACGGCAGGTAGTACGCGTTGCTCCCCGCAAAGTAGAACTCCGCCCCGTCCAGCTCGAACTTGCCCTCCCGCACGCTGACAAAACCCGCCGGCGCCCCGAGTACGCTGGCCGGCGCGGCCAGCGCGAGAGCTCCCAGCCAGCGCACGAGGCCGCGCAGCGGGAGGACCATGGTGTCTCGCTTGGGCAGAGGGTAGTTCAGCTAGTTAGTTAGTCAGTCGAGTCGAGTCGAGTCGAGTCGAGTGGCGGATCGCTGCCCACTAGGTACCTACGTGCGCGCGCGCACGGTGGTATTTAAATATCTGCCTGCCAGCCGGCCAAGCATCGCTCCGGCCGTCCGGTCCGGCCCCCTCGCACGCTTCCCGATTCGGCCGCCGGAGAGCGTCGACCCGCGGTTACCCCGCGCGGGCCAGCTTGGCCTGCGCCCTGCGATGGGCCGCATCGGCTCACCTTCGTCGCGCGCTGGCGTCGAGGAGAGAGGGCCCGCGCGAGGGCGGCCGCTGCGGGCTCGGCGCTCTCGTCGCGGGAGGGATGTGCGCTTCGGATTTCCTCATGCCCTTGGCGCGGAAGTGGGTTGTAAAAAATTGGGGACTGGGCGATATTACAGCGTTGTGGTGCTATTAAAGGGTGGTTAAGAGACCGCCTAGTTCTGGATCATACACATCGATATGCGCATATGGTACAAGAAATATTAGAGTGGTTGTCTTCTCGTGAGTAGCTGTCCTCGCAGGAGTAAAGTATTAAAGGATTTGAAGTGGTTGATGTCTTCATAGAAGTTTAGTACGACGAAAAAAAAAAGCGGATGCCTACCTCCCGCCTGCCCGATCTCCTATATATTGTAGCTTTCTTTACGGGGCGGTATCTAAAGCATAGACTTGCTTGCATCGATCATGCAGCAATCCTCAGAAAAATATAAGTTTCCAATATTATCCCAAACACGATCTAGCGCATCACGAACCCTACGTGCTGAGTTGGTTCAAAAGACTGAGAAGCCCTAGAGAGTTCTTAGGTGCGCTGAGTTCCTAAGTAAGTTTCACAAGCACAATGATCCGTCCTCTCAGGCCACTCCTCACTTCTCTGAGTTCCGCCAAACGTACCCCCTCAACTAAGGACCTAAAATCTAGTTCGCGGGGGGATAGAGTTGCTCATGTTTTACGAATGGTGTTAACGGCGGTGGAACTAGAACTAAGACGACGCGGCAACGAGGGGTACCTATAGCGCAGCCAGGCAGGGATAGTATAACAACGAGTGGTTTCGGAAGCCCTTTCATACTCGGCACCGGTAGACTCGGCCCCACCCGCGCCGAGGCGGGAAGCGGTTCGGGGGTGCGAGTAGATGAAGATGTCAGGTTCGGCGCCTGAAGGTACAATCTATAGACTACACCGTTGGTAGCATGTCTAGGTAGGTATATGTGTACTCGGTAGTAAGGAGGTACCTAGGTAATGCAAAGCGCTGATAAGCCAGATACGGAGATAAGCTGACCCAGCTTCTTCTGGTGGCTGCCAAGATTTCGCGCACATAGTGAGATTTCCCATTTAATTGCCTGGGATACCTCCAAATGTAACGCGTCATATGTACCTACATTTATGCATATATATACACATATGCATATATCATGTGCACTCTGCACGTCAGGTACAAGATTCAAGTACCCCGCGTCTCTCTCAATTAGGAGGGAATATGCGTACCTTCCCATGTACCTATGTATTTCCAAGCTCAGCACGGTCCACAATCACCGCTAAAGTGGATCACCGACTTTTCCACCCTTCTTTTTTTTTCCTCCCACCTCCAGGCTCCAGGTTCCGTGCTCCCACCTTGGTACGGCCCACGAGTCGAGCCCACACCCTGCCAACCTGAACATCTGTCCTCGATCCGCATGCATCATGGACGATTCGTCGTTGAAGGTTAGTCTGCCTAACAATCCAGCCTGCCTGAGGGTCCCCGGGATGCGTAGCCTGGTCGCGTAGTGGTCGAGACGAATAACTAATGGGCACCGAAATGCAGGAGCGGCTGCTCAACTCGCAGAAGGCCTTCGACGGCCTCCTCTCTCTGATACCGGCGAATATGTATTACGGCGAGGACACCACTGTAAGCGTCCCTCCGTAAACCGTCATGTCACGGATGTGTCATCAAGCGCTCATTCCTCCGCGACGGTCCCCAGGATCAATGGAAACGGAAGAAGCAGACAAAAGCCGAGGCCATTGCTGCTAGGCGCAACAAGCTCGATCCGGACAGTGCGCTGAACCGGAGCGTGAGGGAAGTCATGGACGAGCAAGCACAGAAAAAGCGAAAGCGCGACCAGATGCAAGACGACGACGACAGTGGCTGGTCCGATGTCGAGGGCGTCGAGCTCGAGAAGCCCGGCGAGGGCTTGAAAAAGAAGACGCCCAACGACACCAAGAAGAAGCCCAAGAATTCAGACACGGAACCGCCCGAAGTCAGCGACAAGGAGCGACGGAAGGAAGAAAAGAAGGCTGCGCGGAAGGAGCGCAAGGCTGAGCGCCAACGACTCCGCGAGGAGGAGGCAGCCTTCCAAAGACAAACCATCAAGGGCGTCAACAAGATCAAATTAAAGCCCAGGGAAACAAAGGCTGGCCCGACACCAAATGGTAATGTCACATCAGCCACCACCGATACAAGGCATGAGGACCTGATAGATCACGAGATGTCGGAGAGCACAGGTCAGGCCGAGGAGGCAGGCGACGAGGAGGAGGAAGAGGAGGAAGAGCAGGAGGAGGGCGAATCTGTATTCATGGAAGATCTAGACGCCACTAATCTCGCTGATGAACCTCGCAAGGGTCCCGCCCTTTCGCCTTCCTCGGAGCCCCAATCGCCCCTTTTCGATACCCACGGCACGCCAGCCGATTCCACTGGTCAGCCACCCAGCACTACAACCTCTATATCATCTACCGGACCGCCACAAGACAAACCAAAGCACATAAAGATTCCCACCGACACTGCTGCCCTCCGAGCGCGCCTCGCGGCAAGGATACAGGCGCTCCGGGATGCTCGAAAAGCCAGTATCGACGGAAAACCCGTCCGTACGCGCCAGGAGCTAATCGAAACCCGGCGGCAGAAGCAGGCGGAACGAAAAGCCCACAAGAAGGAATTGAGGCGACAAGCGAAAGCAGAGGCGGATCGAGCACGAGAGGAGGCTCTGGCCTCCGCTCGCAACTCCCCAGGCGGCATAATGAGCCCCGCTGTCGGTCGAGATGCGAACAACAATTTCTCCTTCAGCCGCGTCGGCTTCGGAGACGGTACCCAGTTATCACACGACCTCTCGCATGTCCTCAATAGAGACAAGAAGAAGGGCCCGTCGGACCCCAAGACGGCCCTCCAGAAGTTAGAGAATCAGAAGCAACGGCTGCAGAGCATGGACGAAGACAAGCGAAAGGACGTCGAAGACAAGGAACTATGGCTCACTGCCAGGAGACGTGCCGAGGGCGAGAAAATAAGAGACGACGAGGCGATGCTCAAGAAGGCCGTCAAGCGCAAGGAGAGCGCTAAGAAGAAGAGCGAAAAGGCGTGGGCCGCAAGGAAAGAAGGTGTCGCCAAGTCCATGAAGGACCGCCAGACGAAGCGCGAGGAGAACATCAGGAAGCGGCGCGAGGACAAGCTTACGGGCAAGGCCGGCAAGAAGAAGGGGGACAAGAAGAGCAGCAAGGGCCGAGCAGGGTTTGAGGGTTCATTTATTGGTGGCGGGAAGAGAAGATGAGCTGCTGTCGCGCAGCCTCCAGGAACCGGCCTAGCGTACGAGTTACCTAACTATTCGGCCTCTTACGTTGGCTGGCCCCATGCGTATGAGGACTTCATCTTAGGAAGCTGTGATAGTGGTATGGGCCCAATAGGACGTAGTGTTCCCCGTCGTAGCTTGTCTCGAGGGCCGCAGAGCTCGTGGCCTCACACTAAGTCGCCTGGAGATCCCATGCGCGTAGTCACTACCAAAGTGGTAGCACGAACGCAAGAAACATAGGGACCTACTTGCGGAGCATTACAGGTAGCCAGTACGCGATACTACTATGTAAGCCTATGGGCATTGTTCTCTGTTCCATCCCAATCTCGTCCTTAGGCATTCCTTCTTGAAAAAAAATCGATTTAGGTGTAGAATAGCTCCTGTCTAGTATATACTACTCTGGCGAGAGAAGCTTAGACTTGGCCCTTTACTTGAAACGGTATACGTTGAGTTGACAGTAAAATACAATCGTCTCAGCTTGATGGGAGGCCATAAATCAGAGGGAATCCATGAGCCGACCTGGAGTAACCGGCGAGTAGTACGTGGGTTTATCTCCTAGGATCCAAGTATGTGCACAGATATCCCCTCCTTCGTGCCGTACCACCACGGTAGTATGTTAACGCCTGAGGAGACACGAGATTATCCTAGTCGACTTGTTTATCCCTTAACTCTTGTTGGGACATCCGCCGAGAGCCCTAAGTGTGCCACTCGGCGAGCTAGATCTGAGCGTGGCGAGTCACTAGTAGAGAAACGCCTCATCACCGCCCGCCTAGCCCGCACTATCTACTTCCCCGTGTGTCACGTACCAGTCTGTCGGTAAAGCGGCCGAAGCATCCATCGGAGTGGAATACTTGGAAGGCGAAGGGAGAAAATTATTCACCAACGAACGGCAGCATGGGATTCCGTAGTTTGTCTGACGTGACTTTCGAAGACTTCGTCACGAATCCACTCTGTCATCATCTATACCAGATCTGGGAGCGATTTGCTAGGATGCCTCATGCTAAAGAGCTCCCCGGGGGTCTCGTACCGCTACGCCCGAGGGGCCGGCGAGCAGGCTCGACCCCTGTCCGGATCGCGATCCCATACGATCGACTGCGACAGCTGCTGGGTTCTACGCTGTCCGTATTCGACTGCCCGTTTACCGACAGACTGGTACCGGACGTGCCGCGGCGGCTTCCGGTTGGCTTGCGCCCAGCCCAAAATCGCGCTCCGCGTCGCGGGTTTCCCAGGTCGTCCCAGGTCGTCGGCAGGAACTAGATGGATACGGGAGGGGGGCGCTGGATCGCGCGCTAGCCCCCCTGCCCCGAAGGGCGTCGTCTTCGTACGATGCACACCACACGATAGCCGCGTGCTGGAAATTACAGCGACGCATCGTCCTTCTCCAGGTCGCCCTCTCGGCACATAGCCCTGACAGGCTAGGGGAGGGGGGGGGGCATCCGGCGAGCCGCGAGGAGGCCGTGCGGCGAGGAAGAGAGACAGGGAGGGAGATCTGGAAGCCCCGAGGCGCTGGTTGCTAGCCTCAGCTTCCGCGAGCCGTGTCCCCCCCCCCCCCCCGTCGTACATAAATGGACAATGGGCATTGGTAGACCAGGCGGTCGGGTCCGAGAAGCAAGGGGGGGCGACGACGCGCACGGCCGAGCAGCCTCGTAGCTCGGGCGTACGCAGCTCGAGTGAGGAGACTAACTCCGCGGACATCGTGGCGCCGTCTAAGGAAAACCGCGTGACAGACGCCGACTGAAGGCGTCGCGGAAGCCGGACGAATCGCCCACGTTGGCGAGATAACAGCAAGCAGGTCTCGGGATACCCTCGCGGCCCCTCCCGTTTATTTGGCGTCGAGCGAAAAATTCGCAGCAGCTTAGAGGAAGCCCACGGACTCGCTTCTTAGCTTCGAATGTGTTGATGTCGCCTTGTATGCGTAATAACAAACCTGCTACCTGCTTGACCTCGTCACCGCTCGACAGCCGCTCAATCTTCTTCTAGCGGCTTGCGGCCAGCGCTCGGAGCTCGAACATTAGGCTGGGCTCGACCCCGAACGGACGCGATGGAGGAGGATTCTCGGTTCGATCGCGAGCTGGCCCCTCTGCAAGGGCTCGCGCTAGTGGTATTCGCCTCGTCCGCAGTGTTTGGCACGATATCCATCGTGGTGGTGTGTTTGAGGGTCTATGTCCGATGGCATGAAGGGTCCATCTGGTGGGACGACGGGCTGATGTTCGGGTCTATGGTGAGAGGCACTTCCTTCAGCATGCGGGCTCGGCCCGCGTAGTAGTCAAGAACACTTTCTGACGGCGGAGTGGAAAAGCTCCTATATGTTGCCGACGTGGGCATCGCTTGCGCAAGCACCTTCTACGGCGTCGGAACGAGGGACGAGCACACCCATGAGCTATTACGGTTGGAGGGAAACAAGCTGCTGATGATGTGGACCATCCTCTACTCAGCCTGCCTCGCCTCAGTCAAAAGTTCTATTTGCATGACCCTGTTGCGGCTCTCTAGGACGATGCGGACCCTGCGTCTCGCCATCTACGTCTTGATGGGGCTGAGTATCGCGACATTCGTCGCCGTCTTCATATGCAGCCTGACCCTTTGCCGGCCCATCGAGGCTTCTTGGGACATACGCATGCTCAGGAACGGTACCGGAACCTGCGCGCCCCCGATATCCGTCCAGGGCATCGTCTACACGACCGCGGCCACGGCTCTGATAACGGACGCGGCCTGCGCCGCTATCCCCGCCATCATCCTGTGGAAAATTCAGATCGACCTTCGGACGAAGATACTGGCTAGTGTCCTCCTTTCGTTTGGCTCTTGGTGCGTCGGCCTCACCCGTCGCTCTCTATACTCATTCCTTCCCTTTCCCGAAGTCCCTACTCACGCGCAGTTACTTTCAGCGCCTCAATATGCACAGTAATCCGTACGCCGTACACTCGGTACTACGCACAGATCGAGGACCACCTCTGTAAGTCGCGCCGGGAGCGAACGCAACCAACCCCAACAGCCCTGCAGCTGCGCAGGCGAAGCGCGAGGGGAAACAGCTACTGACGGCATACATACACACACACGACGACGACGACAGACTGGACCGCGCACGTCATGATGTGGTCCAACATCGAGACGGCGGTCGGGCTCATCGCGGGCTCGCTGCCGGTGCTGCAGCGGCTGATCATGCAGCGGCGGGCGGCGGCCGCGGGAGCCACGGACGAGGACGGCGCGGCGGCCAGCGGCCCGGCCCCCGGCGGCGGCGGCGAGAGCAACGGCCGCGACGGCCTCGTCACCTTCGGCAGCCTGCCCTCCGGCAACCCGGGCGCGGGCGGCCGGGGCGCCGAGCGCGCCCGCCGCCACCAGCCGCGGCTGCCGACGGCGAGCAGCGAGGCGCTGCGCGCCAGCGTGTGGAGCGCGGCGTCGGCGCGCGCGAGCCGCGGCTGCGAGGGGTGGGAGGAGGACGACGACGACGAGAGCGAGGAGCGGGAGGAGGCGGAGGAGCAGGGGGGAGAGGGCTTCGGGGCCGCGAGCGGCGCCGATCACACGTACGAGGTTGAGCTCTCGGAGGGCGCGGTGCGGTGGTATGGCGAGGCGGGAGTGTAAGAACGGGTGGGAGCGGGGGGGGGATAAAAGGGCAAGCGAGGAACAAGAAGGGGGCTGTATAGACTAAGGGCTCGGTCGAGCTAAAGATTACGTGGATACGCGGACGGATGGCTAGGGACGAGGGGTAGGCGATAGGGGCTGACGCCAGCAGAGACAAAGGATGGTGGGATATACCTAATAGTTGTTATAAGTGGAGGGGATGAGGCGGGCTTAAATGTATAATATATAAATATACGGATATCCCTAGAGAAGTAGAAGCTCCTAATAGCTGCTCTCTTTTCCCCTTTCCTCCTCTTTCTCTGTCTTCTTGGCCACTGTCGCCAAGAACAACAACACCATCATATACACTTGTTGCACACGCCGTGTCCTGCCCCTACTGCCTCGGTTCTGGCTTTTAACTAGGCCGCTCTATTATTATATATATCTAACACAGTTCGCTCCGCCTGTGAATACGAACACCAAATATTCTTCCGCAGGACAAGTAGTACGGCTCGATTCTCGTCTCGGTTCTGATCTCTCCCTCCCCGGGGACTTTTCCTTTTTAGCTCTCCACGGTGGTGTCTACCGTGCCGACCCTCTCGTAGTCGCCGAGCGTGGTGGCGTCGTCGGGGTCGCCGCGCCAGCGGTACTCGACGATCTCGACGTCGTCGCCGGTGCCCTGGAGGCAGTAGACGCGGCGGGCGCGGTTGGCGACGATGGTGTTGCGGGGGGCGCAGTCGGCGAGGGCGGCGACCGCGGCGGCGGCGCTGGTCCAGGCGTCGGTCTGGCGGCGGTAGGAGGTGAGGCGGACGCCGCCGGCGGCCGCGTCGTCGGCGGCGACGTCCGGGTCGACCGTCAGCACCTGGAAGCCGTACTGCTCGCGGAAGCCGCCGGTCTCGTTGTAGCCGGTGGAGAAGGCGGCGATGCCGGCGCGCGGGCCGAGCCGGCGCCCCAGCGAGAAACCGACGTAGCGCCCGTCGCCGTTGACGATGAGCGACAGCGCGCCCGACGCCGCCCGGTAGAAGATGTCCATGCTGCGGTGGCCCGAGGTCGTGAGGGCGGCCGTGTGCGCGAGCGCGAGCGACGAGTTCGCGCCCGGCGCCGCCAGCCCCGCGTCGATGTTGGCCGTCTTGCCGACCCAGTCCGTCGTCGCGTTCTCGTACACGGCCTCGCGCAGGCCGCTGTCCGTCTGCCAGTACACGTACGTGTACTGGTTGCAGAGGTCGCACTGCTTCCCGTACGAGATGAGCGACGACCCGGCCTGCGACACGAACACGTTGGCCGCCCCCGTGTCGACCCAGTTCGCCGTCGGCATCGCCATCGCCGTCTGAAAGCCGGGGTTGCGCGGGTACATGAGCGCCTTGATCGTCGAGAGGCCGCCGCTGTCGGGGAGCTGCCAGTATATGTGGACGTCTCGCGACTAGAGTTTTTTGTCAGCCAAGGGTTAGCTAGCCACGATCATCACTCTCCTGCGCTGTCGCGGATTGTATATTCTGCTCCGGCAAGGGCAGGGGCTCTGCGTACCGAAGTATCGTATCTGAAGACGTCGAGGGACAGCGCCGTCCCCCTCCTAACGTCGTTAAAGCTTAGATTGTTCGTGTTGCCGTCGACGACCGGTGACACGATCCACCTCCCCTCCGAAGAATTCCACGATGATATATAGATGCCGCGGTTGTTCAGCTGGAAAGCTACCAGATAGTTCTCGTTTCCTAGCCCGTCTGTGAAGTTGGCCGTCGCGATCCGCGTATCCGGGAACAGCGCGAGGGGGTCCTCTTCCGCCGCTCCACTCTCGTTGCTCCCATTCCCGCTGCCGATACTCGAGCCCGAGTCCTTATTCTGATTGACCACCACGCCGGCCGTTACGCCTACGACGATGCCCACGATCAGTACTATAGCCGCGGCGAGCAGACCCCAGAAAACCTTCCGCCTCACGCCACATATCCTCGGTTCCTCTGGCGGTAGAATGGCATCGCCTTCCGCAAGCGCGACCGCTTCGGGAGGCGTGCGGTCTATCTCGACCTTTGCGGCGGCAAGGGCGGCACCGCCGCCGACAACTTCGGGATAGCTATAGTCCGGGTTCGCATACTGGTTGACCTCGGGTAGGTCGGAGGCGCGCGTCGACTCGGCGTACTGGGCCTCGTTGCGTGCCTGGGCCTCGGTGTTAACCTCGAGCGTGCTGTACTCGTACCGGTCCGTTGACGAATTCATAATGGCTGCCACTCATTCGTCCCGACAGACGCGATCATCGCTGTCTGCGGCAAGAGTCCGACGAGAAGGCTGATAATCGGGGTTAAACTGGATGAAAATGACTGATTGGGAAGAAGAGGGGGCGAACGGAGGGAAGAAGGATTGCAAAAGGGAAGATCGGTTGGTGAAACTGGCGAGCAACGAAAAGTGGTCGGGTCTACCGGCCCTTGCCTGGCGTGTCTTGCGAATTGGAAACCAGATCGACTGTCATCGGCCCCTGTCTCATCACCGAAACAGGCAGAAATCCGCATGGGAGCTACCGTGGAAGGGCTAGCGGGCTCGGCCTCTGCTGGGCTGTGCTGGGCAATGCTTGAACGCCAAGGGAGCCACACTGCCAGCATCCGCACGCTTATTAGCCAGGACGGCGACGAAGGATTCGCGAATCAGAGACCTTGGCCTTATTACTGAGCACAATCCGCAAGGACTCGTCCACAGCGTCCAGCGATGCTGCACGGCATAGCACCGGCAATTGCTATTATCGTTGGCGGGTAAGAGGTACTAGGCACTGCACGCAGCCTCAACGCCGACAGGCATAGCGAGACGAAACAGCTGAGACCCGATCACTTTAGCGTAGGGCTATGTCGTTGTGGCGGCTAGGGAGAGCGCCAGCACGGGGGCGGCAAGCCATGTGGGCCTACAGCTTGTCGATGCCGGCGCGGCTATTAACTAGACGCACTCGACGCCGTCTACGTCTGCGTGTATGTGCGTGCTAAGGCGAGAGCTAGTCGGCGCGCGCGCGTAGCATAGTACAGGTCGCCTAGGCCAGCCCCATACAAGAGACGGGGCCGGTAATAATACCCCATGTTTAGCGGGAACCGAGAGCCAGGGCCGAACGACACAAAGACGAGTCTTGTCCACACCAATTGGTAATTGGTGATCCGGGGGCTGTTTAGGCAATATGGATGCTTATATGGATATCCTACAGATGCTACATATATGTAACGTGTTACTATCTGTAAGTAGATCGCTGCAGCAACACGAGAAATAGAAATCCTCCTTACTCATTACTCCTGACGGACCGGTAGGTTGTTAACGAACAAAGTCGCGATAGTGGATTGGTAGCGCGTAATTGCATCGTGCAAGTAGGCAAATTATATGGAAATTGGGGTTATTCCTCTACTTGGGCACTCCTCTCACACCGAGTCTTTGATTAAATGCACCTACCTACCTAAACACGGCAGAGGCTGATGGCGTCCTGATTACACAGGTAAGTAGAGCCCTTTTTTTCGCCTCCTCCCCTTTCCCGGCGATATCCAACCCCGGAATCGTTAAGCAGGCAGACCTTTCTTTACGGTATATCCCTCCTTCGCCAAACACGGAGCCGCTAGGGCCGAGGACGGCAGACGGTTCCGACCCGCGCTCGATCACGAAACCTCGACCTTGATCTCGACGCTGTCGGCCGTCTCCTTTGTGACCGTGACCGTGACGCCCCAGTCCGCGAGCGTGTAGGAGCGCGTGCCGCGGAGGCTCAGCGGCGCGTCGTTGAGCGCGTCGCCGGCGCAGCCGGAGCCGGGCGTCGCGTCGAGCACGCGGACGGGGCCGGTCGCCGGTCGCCGCCGCCGTCGACACCGTGTACAGCAGCACGCCGGCGGCGCAGGCGGCCGCGTCGAGGCCGCTCGCGGCGCGCAGCTCGGCGACGAGCGCGTTGGCGCCGTCGCGCCGCACCACGACGGCCTTGGGCCCGCCGGCGCGCGCGAGCGGCGTCAGCGCGTGCGTCGTGCTGCCCGGCGCCGCCGCCACGCAGTCGACCTGGTCGTCCGCCAGCCACCCCAGCCGCCACTTGTCCCACGCGAAGTAGTCCGGCCCCGGCCCGCCGATCAGCCCCCATCAGGTCCCAGCCGCCGACGTGCAGCCCCGCCGCGCCGCTCGCCGGGTAGTAGTCCGCCAGGCACATCGCGTGCCCCGTCTCGTGGTTCAGCACGAGCGCGCCCCACGCCTCGTACGCGTCCAGCCCGAACGTGACCGCCTTGCGCGCGACGTGCGCGCCCCCGCGCGCCGCCACGCTGCCCATGAAGGTCGGCGAGAAGGAGAGGGCGCGCGCCCGCGCCGTCGGCGCGACGTAGAGCACGTCGGTCGGCGGGACGGCGCCGCGGCGCGCGTCGAGCGCGTCCTGGATGTACCTGTAGTGGGTGTCGGCGGCGAGGCCGCGCTCCCAGCCGTACGACGTGGACGCGGCCGGCATGCGGTGGAAGCGCGAGACGTCGGCCGTCACGTCGAGCGCCAGCGCGCCGTACGACGACTGGGCGTACCACTCGGCCGCCGCGGGGAGGAAGAAGTCGCGCAGGCTCTGCGGCGTCTCGCCGCCCGCGCCCGTCGCCGGCGCGTCCGGGAAGTCGACGAACAGCATGAAGGCGCGAAGCGTCCCCGCGCTCGGCGCGCAGTCCGAAGCCCGCGCTCAGGTACACGTCGCGGTTCGCCGCCAGCTCGCAGGCCGACACGTCGGCCCGGCTGCTGGCCGGCAGGGTTCGCGCCGCCTCGGTCTGCGCCGCTGACGTCGAGGCCGATGCCGCGCTCGCAAGGCACGCTAGCAGCACCCCGGCTGCGACGTATAAGGGCAGCAGGAGCGGCATCATGTGGTTCTACTTCGGGCTTCCTAAACAATCAGGAGAGATCTTGCGGTTGGTATATTTCTAGAGATTCTATTAAAACGAGATTTACATCGCGGAAAGTGCCGAGTATATATATATATGTATGTATGTAGGGGAGGGAGATGGAGATAGAGAAGCGAGCCCAGTCAGTTGCCTGAGCCGTGACCATACTGTCGCTTGGGCTTGTCAGCTTCCTAGACGAGAGAGCTACCTACGAGACCTGTCCAAAGTGGTTGCTTTACCCCGACTTTTCGGACATGCCTTATCTTATAGAGAGATGGCAACCGTCGAAATCGCCCAATGATACCGAATAGATAGGGGGGCAAGCGGGCGCTGGTTTCCACTGCGTACTCGGCTATCATTTAACTGACCCTGGATGGCAGAAGCGAATCGGCTAATGTTGCATGCCAGTATCACTAGTGACCCGCGCGCTAACTGAAGAAATAATAAGGTTGCATGTTTATTATTTTGTTTTCGTAGGCTTCTCGATGCCGCTAAGGGGAGAGGGAGCATGAAACTACGCCGATGCCCTTCGGCAGAGCTACGACGACTCGAGGCCTTGCCATCAGCCGTTTTAGATCGCCTATCGGTCCATAATACTAGAATAGGTATACCACCATTCTCCCTTCCAATTCATACAGGCCTATTCTCGTCCCGGTCCGGCACTCCAGGGTGTCAATACATACCTTCCTGTGATTCGAATCCCGTATCACAGTAGGCTCGTAGTGCCATTGCCTGAGGACGCTTGCAATCCATGTCTAATTCTCTATACATAAACTCGTCTCGGATCTCTTAGCATTCGAGGTGTTACTTCACGATACCGCCTTCCCGCTCTTATCTAGTCCCTACGGTAACTTAACAGGAGACTTGACAACGCGTAGAAGGAAATGTTTACATATGACTTCTTGCACAACGCACTTAAACGACGCGGAAACGGCAAGAAATTTATGCTTATTCACTGATCATCAATGTCTTTAGAGCAAGCCCTCCCGATAGATGTGAAATAGTTTCCGGCAGGTCGTAGATCAACTTGGCTGGGGCTGCCACCGGGGGGGGGGGGCGGTGCCTACAAGGTAAAGTAAGCCTACATGGTCCTGGGTACTCTGTTGTGACGAGTGAATGGGGTGGGAAGCGGATGGGGCAAGAATTCTTGATGACTCGTAATTACTGACTGTCTAGGCCGCTATCGGAATATCAGGGAAACCAACTCTACCTGGTCTCCTCCTTTTTCTTTTAGCTACTCCGAGAGCAGAAAAGAAAATCGAAATCTTCCTTCGGTGGAGGTGACTACAGTCAAAGTGAGCCGCAACCCACGCCGTCAACTCACAGGTGCCACATAGTCACCTCTGTCTGAAGTAATATAGTCCTATAGGTAGTTAGAGATGGCCAAGCTGATGCCGGACTGGAACGGTGTGCCGGAGGGGTTGAATAATGTTCGCGATTGTGTAGAGCCACGTTGCTACGACCTACTATGCGACCAGCCACATGTCTGCTGCTACCTTTTTAACTTATGCCGTCTATATACGCATAATATCTACCTCCCTCACTCCGGACCTGGGGGATGAACAATGGTGTCAGCAACTAGCGTGTGGATGCGGCGGAAAGGAGGTTGCACCAGGGCCGTTCTCTTCTGTCAGTGGCACATTTTTCAAGTCGTTGTGTTGGTTGCGAAGGGTTTTAAGACGTGTTCATCTTCTCCCCTTACTTCTCTCTTTCGTTGAGTCGCTGAGCTAATTTGCAATTGGCGAGGCTGGTAGACGTTTGGATACGCATTCGAGAATTTCTAGGGGGGGGCGACGGGGGGGATCTATGCGGAACTAAGGGTCAAGGAGTCTTTCTTCTTTTGCTGTACCATGAGAGAGCCCCCTCTTATCCTAAGCAGTCAGTTGCGCACTTCGTTATACTAGCTAGTACCTCGTACGCTACCTCTCTAGCAACCCAAATGTTTACGTAGGATATAGTGTTTGATGGGAGTCGAGTTTGTGTCTGTCTCGCTTTTCGTTGCTCATTCCCCTGAGTGAGTTTCGTTCTTGATAGACATTAGGGGTTTATGTATCATAATTCATGACGTCGTCGGTTGATTTTATATGTATTAGTATTATGTAACCGCGAGAATGCTTCCTTCTCTGGGCTAAAATGTACGGTGGGATATATATACAAGGGTATACCGCTGCGTTGACTATGGACTCAGAGGCCATAACCCTCCTCTTCTCCACTCAACCCCAAGACTTCGCCGAAGGGAGACATGTGGAAGGGCAGCGGCATTACAGTGATGCGCGTCTAGCGAGGCGACGAATACGCGGCCGAGCTAGTAGCTCGGTTCCCAGGAGTGTAGGGGAATTGATAGTATGCCCACTGGACGCTCCTCCCGTATAGCAAGGGATGAAACCCATCACGAACAGAACGGGACTTCTAGCAATGCATAATCCGGTATACGTGGAAGCCAACAGGATTTATGTAATAGGGCATCATGCGTATGCGAGGCCTAATCGAATACGTCAGCCTGGTCTCGTCTTGCGGGAGGCTGATAATTCTCTTTCAATAGATGAGGTTTTCGGTCCGCTAGATCCATTATGAGCTGGCCGAAAAGACCGTTCGCCCAAGTAAACCTGTCGCGGGGGTTCAGTATAGGAATCCGGGAACGATGGGCCTGGAGCGTTATACTCACCACTGCCGGGTCCACCGGCTAGCATCGAAGCTATCCACGCTTTCGTGGATGAGCCCAAATCCGTCGGTGCTGCTCAGCACCTCCTTAACTGCAGTTGTGATCTCCGCGTCATCATCCGAGGTCATGGCACGAACTACAGAAACAGTTAATTATCATATTCAGAGACATGCACAGAGAAGAAGCACATACTAATGGCAGCCATGGGCCAAGCCGCACCGGGCCGGATATGTGGGCTACCGACAGCATTGATGACGGGCCCAGAGCACCACCAAGGGTTGCTTCTGCTGAGAACAAAGGCCCGCGTGTTCTGATAGATCGGGTCGTCCTTGTCCAGGTATCCGAGAAAAGGCGCCGAGAGAAGGGACGGGACGTTGGCATCATCCATCAGATTCTGACCTCCAAAACCGTCGACTTCGTAGGCAAATATTTGCTGGCCGTTCGGAGCCTTGACGATGCCCCATTGGCTGATGGCTTCCCTGATTTCGGCTGCCATCCTCTTCATCCTCCGAGATAGGCCTTTCGGCGCATTGGGGAGCCTTTCCATGATGCCGGAGGTGGATTCCAGGTATCTCGACAGCATCATGTTCGCAGGGATTTGAAAGTCGAACAGGGCGGAGTCGTCGCTAGGGCGGAACGGGGATCGTACCATGCCGGTGTCGTTGACCGGGCTACCCATGCCGTTGTTCCCCAGAGTGCCGGATGCGGACATTGTCTGCGATTGGAAAGTGTATGCGGGACGCAGCCATTTCCCGTCGGCATCATATGTAGGTTTCCTCATCGCCTCCGAGGCGGAGAGGATAGACTGAACCGCTGCTATCCACTGGAATTTCCCGAAGAAGTCTAGGTCGCCAGTCGCGTTGTAGTAATCGTGGGAGAGCTGCAGGAACCCTCCGAAGTCGTCGAGCTCGAAGTTGCAGGTGAAGACCAGATTGCGGTCATACGGCGGCGTGACATCGTACAAGGCCCCGTTGATGTCCGGTTTCATGCCGGATTCGGGCGGCGGATGAAAGGCATTGCAGTAGGGAGAGATGATGAGGTATCGAGCCTGGAGGTTGATGACACCACGGAACACCGAGGCTATGTCGTCGGCCTTGTCTTTCAGCACCGTCTTGTAGGGCGCTATCTGGTTCGACGAGTCGCGAATCCACATGGCATTGATATCGCCCGTTATGACAAAAGCAAGCTCCTCCTCGGGGTCGTTTTCGGAGACGCCACGCCATTTGATAGCCGTGTCGAGGGTGTTGGGGAACGTGTTCTCGAAGAGGCGGGATAGGTCAGGGTCGCTGATGGTTTCCTTCACCCGCGTTATGGCATCCTCGACCGGACTCGACTTGAATGTGCGGCATTCTGGAGAGGGCCGTTGGTAGGCAAGCTTGTAGGCACCGGTCGAGAGGGGCGGGTTCCGCCTCTGGGAGTGGGACGAATAGCCGGGACAGCTCTGGTCAGCTACGGCGCGAGCCACCAGGGTCAGCAGCAGCGTCACATCTCGAGACCGCATTGTTCATATATCGCGCGACGGATTATTCGTGTACCAGCTACAAGAGCGAGCGGCAGCATACGGTGGGAGTTAGTCACCGAAAGGCCATCCTACCATCCATCGCGAAGTGGCCATGGTTGTGCTTATGAACAAGCGAGCAAGGGCTGGGTAGGGCCGGACCTGCATGGGATGGGTCGTGCAGCGTTGATTCGACACGCGAATGCGGGTTTACTGAAACGGCCAAGACGAGATAGTCCTGGGGATCGCGCCCCAGAGACCCGAGATGCCTGCTTGTCCATCTTTTGCGGGACGCCCCCTGCCCCTTGAATATGAAGAGAACGGATCAGCCTAAAGAGCACCAAGGAGCACAGGCAGCCAATGAGAGGCGGGTGGTAGGTAGCAACCCATCCCATGGTACGGGCGCGAAGGTGTGACGTGTGCAATTGGGGTTTCTTCGAGCACTCGGTATTGTCTTGTCAGCTTGTGCGTGTTGCTGGCTCGTCGCTGTGTCCGTCTGGAACATCGAGAATCCGTGGGGATGAGGCCTTACGGGTATTGAGATAGTAGGAGGAATGTGCGAGTGTGTCCAAGAGGGGACTTAGGCAGGGGTAGGAGGTTAGGTGAGGTCCGCTCTCTACACATACGAGCGCATTACATAATCGGATCGAGGCGACAGCGGCCGTGAGGTTGGGTACCTGAGGTACATGCAGATACATTTCCTGTAGGGCAGTTGGCCTACGCAGTCTCCGCCTGTTATAACTGCTATAACAGCCTTGCCAGGGAGGTTGGCTTCTGCGCAGCGCCAACGGGCCACCATAGGCAGGTACTTAGTGTACTTCCTGGAGTGGGATCGGAGAACTCGGGGTGACGTCGATCGGCGTTCATGGGCCGCTCCACCGACGCTTATCGCCCTTGTCGTGGCCTATGGAGAATCGGTATGCAGGCGAGAATAGTGGGGACCAGCTGGTCGCTGAGCGACTTTCTTCCCAGCTTGTACCGCGAGGCCATCCGAAGCTCCGGGTTACCACCACCACTTTTTTCGCCTCTTACCACCTCCTCCTCCGCCTCGAGCATTTCCCTCCTTCTTGCTCTTTACCTCCTCGCGGCCGTGCGTATCCTCAATCCTCACTGCTACTCCGATGTCTTGAGCCCGCCCGCAACCCCGTGTCAGACCAGCCATACCTTTGCCTGTCGTCTGCGTCCTGCCTGGGGTTGATGACGATAAACAACACAAAGCCCGCCAACCCACTCCGAGTGCATTCGTGATCAGCTCCGAGCCGCCGCCATGCCTCTCATCGACGCCCGCGACCTCCTGGCTTTCCCAGGCGGCGACAACTCGTCCGACACCGTCATCGAGGGCATACACTTCAACCTGACGACGCTCAACTTCTGGAATTACACCTACTACACCAATGGCACTCTGTCCAATGGGTCGTGGTGCTTCCTCGTGGACCCTCCCTACACACCCACCGTCGTCCTCGCCAACGGCACATTCCTCAATAGTACCTGGTGCTACCTGGCCACCGAGCCGATTGGCGACCGCGCGCGTGCTGGTGTCGGCTTTGCTGTGGCTTTCGCCCTGTGCCTCATCCTGGTGTTGGCCAACCTCAAGAAACATGGCGAGCTGATTCTGCCGATCGAGAAGAGGTTTTATCCCATTGGGCGGAGGTGGCAGTGGTACTGGGCCATTTTCGTTTGCGCCGCCGCCCTCATCGGCCTCTTCACCGGCATTGACGTCGACCGCTACCGCGTCGTCGAGCTTCCCCTCGTCCTCAACGTATTCTTCTGGTTCCTCATGCAGATGGGCACCACCGCCTTGATCTGGGAGGCCGTGCGGCATTGGGGCAGTTGGATGGAGCGCCAGTTCATCGACCCCAATCCCTTCGTGCTGCAAGAAAAAGATAAGAGGGGCATGTTTGAATTATGGCTGCCGCTCTTCTTTTACTTCTGGTTGTGGTTGGTAGGTGGAATATTTTTTCGCGACAGAGAGCATGTTCGCTGACGGATCCCTCTTATAGAATTTCTTCCTCATAGTCCCGCGGAACTGGGGCGAGATCGAGCTCCAGCGATCCCCCGACCAGGCTATAGAGCATGCCATCCCAACTGCCACCGACGGACGTTTCAAGGCTGCTACTTTCTGCCTCCTCATTTGTTGGCTCACTACCCTCGTCTCTCTCTGGCATTCCATCCGACATTACGAACCCCGCAACCGTGGGTTTTTCAACCGTGCCATAGGCTTTCTAGGGTATATGCCGTTTCGCTTCACGTTGCTGCTTCCTCTCGGATTGGCCGTCGTCGCGTACCAGGGTCTGGCTGCGTGGGAATTCCACTTATCGCCCCTCAACGTGAAGACGAACTTGGTCGCCATGTACGTTGGGGGATATACCCCGAGCCTCCTAATTCTCATAATTCAGTGTATCGCCGGATTCATGAGACCGAACGAGGATCGTGAGCTTATGCGCCAACGTCGGTTACGCGGCCAAGCTATCGACCAGGAGCTGGGTATCGTCAGAAAGCCGGCTTGGTGGCGGCGCGTAAATGGCGACCTCCCAGCGGGTAGTATGCGGGATCGCATCATGCGGAACGTGCGAGAAGTCGGTGGTGGGCGACCAACCGCGAGACATGTTGAAAGACTAGCGGAACAGAGAGCCGCGGGTGCCGAATCCGAGGCCCCGACTCGAGTCAATGCAGTTGAGATGAACGAATTTCACCGCAATAGCACCGCTAGTAGCGTCCCTGCGTCAAACAACCCCCCACCTCCGTACTCTCCTTACGGGGGTAAATCGGAGCAACGGAGAAGCGAGCGCACGGTGCAGATGGTAGCCGGCCTACTCTTCCCGAGCGAAAACTCGGGTCTCTCTACCGAGAGGGGCAGAGGCTTGGAAGGATCAAATAACGACCAACCTCGACGGCCGGGTACTAGTGAGAGAAGTTCCAGCACGGCCAGCGGCGTGTCTACCAGTGGCGCGCCGCAGCAGATTCGGAGCATGCTGGATGTCTAATCCACCGGTGTACGACATAGTACGGACGTCGGGGGATATGGCACGAGTGGCATTGATTTACGGCCAGCCGACTGTACAATGCAGTCGTTGCTTGGGATCCATGATGACTGAATGCGGCGTTGGGACTAAGAAACGGTCATGGCTATTAGGGGTGGCCCCGGACAGGTACACGAATTATGGGTATGTAGGCAGGCATTCCATGCGTGGGGAAGGTAGGCCTAAAAGCCACAACTCAAGCTAGCATACCTCCGTCACGGGAAGGGATCTAGCAGAAATAATGTAAAATAGAAAGGCCGTGATTTAGCTATGTCTCGTCGCGTAGATCAGGTACGGCGATTCCATTCTGATTCGTAATCCAGTTTTGACCCGGAGCAGCGCGTAGCCGCGTGCGAGTTAGGCCGCATCGTTCGTGGGGAGGTAACGCGCGCGTTGGTCATGGGCTTGGGTCTGGCATCGTTCGCAGCCCTGCCCCCAGAGACGAATGACACGGCGGTGGCGACGGCCCACATTGGGATCGAGGGACCCGTGGAGTCGGGGCCTGTCACATCATTACGGCCGAATCGGGCTGCCCCGTCCAGGAAAATGGGGAAGCGCTCGTCTACAACGACGAGTCTCCCTCATCCAGGCGATTGGCTGAGCTCGAATGCGAGATTCTGGTTATTCTTCGCCATTGAGGACTTAGGCGCGGGTATATACCCTCCCCACCGCTTGGGGAACAGCTGGTCGGCAGCCGACGTGGGGAGTCCCTCTGGAGACCTCCGCCTCCGACAGCCTACGTAAGCCTTGGCGCAATAGCCGGCGCATTTCAAGCCACGACAGGATGCCAGGCGTAAGGGTTCAGGCGAACCTAAATGCCAGGCGCTTTAACATGTCCAGGTACGTGTGTGTTTTTATATCCTAGGCAGTCGGGTCCAACTACTTGCGGTGTGAAATTGGACTTGGCCCTTAACAGCAGTAGACAGGACCATGCTGCTTATGAATCTTGAAGAGTTATCGCGCTGATGTAGATGTTAGATGGGCGAATCGAATTTGTACGTGGTCAAGACCCGTTGGCTAGCATAGTGACGACGATAATTTGGTGTTGTATTCTACCACCCCCCATCCTCCCAACACACACAAACAGTGGGCGCCTGTAGCTCTCTGTTACTTACTTATATAAACGGGCATCGATCCGATTTCCCGTCTTCAACCAACGGCGTCTCAACACTCCTGTATGGGGACTAGACAGATGTATCATCACATAGTAGCCCTGGTAGCTATGAAGACGAGGATTGATAAAGAGTCGCCGAAGGTAGGTAACCTTTGTATGGATGGATGTGGGTCATTTCGCAACCTCTCTTCCGATTGGCCCTGAACTCATTCAATTTTCCCTTTTCGGTAATCGCATATTTCCGGAGAACACATTGAGAACTGCGGGGTGCAAGGCGTTACTGGGGCCGTTGTTGAAGGCATCGTAGACGCTCGCTCATTGATGGCAATCCCTCATGTCTGGGTTGCAGGTGGTAGGTCTATGCGCTATCGTTGGCCTTACCTAAGGTGAGAAGTACCATAGTTCGAGGCCGCTTATCGGAGCCCTTCACTTGATAGACGAGTCAATAACTCTGATAGCATTTCAGGACATATCTCCACTACATTGTAACCTGGGAAGATATGAAGTGGTAATGACAAAGAGCGCATCCTTACAGTGTGCTTTATAGTTATGAACCTATTCTAGGGTGGTTGCTATATTGAAGCTTCCCATTGCTTCCCTTCTTGCATACATATGTTTCAAGGGCCACTCGTAGCTCGGTTGACGGGGCTGTCTCGGCCAGGGATGGACCGGTATCATGTGGGCGCTCCAAGTCCACCAAGGATTGTAAAGTGTCAGCTTATGACCCTCCCGGACAAGAGTTACCGTCGTGCTGGGGAAAAGGAGAATGCCGACGAGAGCATCCAGCAAGCTGCGTACTAAATATGGCTGTCATGTTGAGCAGGGGACTTTGTTGTGATGGAACACAATTGATCCGTTACTACTAATTTCTGTGATGCCGAATTTGACCACCCGCTGGTCTCTGCCTTTGGTTATGTTGGTATCAGGATGCAGCGAGCGCTGTGGTCAAGCTCGCATATTGATTCAAGCCTTGAGCCGGAGGCCATTTCTCGCGGGCACTTTCCGGCTTGGCAGCATGGGAAGAGAACTCCGGATCTGAACAAACTCAACCTATACCAATAGTCGTATCTCACGGAGCATGTTAATGTTCTATGCTCATAGTCGACCTCAAGAAAGGAGCTTTCTTAAAAGCGATCACCTCGCATTTATCGAAATCTGCTGGAATCTACCCCAGATAGTAAATCGGGTGGTCGATATACATGCTAAGCCAAACGACCATAGAACAAACCCTCCGCAGTCCCAACGGCCAAAACGCAAGTCCGCCCTAGACTGTTAAACCGTTCTTTGACCACTGATGGGCCCAGGTTCAATTGAGACCACGTATGTATTGGCAGAAGGAATTATATTTTCCTGCTCGGCCCTGGCTCAACATCATTGGAGGGAGGTCGGGCCGTAAATTGATGTGCTCCTACATGCCGCTCGAGGATGCTCTGAAGGCCCGGAGTGGACGATAGGTGGGAAAGGGAAGCCGCATGGGATGTGTAGAGGGGCCGCAGACGCAACCGTTCAATTCGCCGTTTTAATAACTCGAGTACTCGACTTCGCTTTCAACATTGCCGCGTGGCGCCGAGCGTGGCATTTCGCGTCCTGCCGGTGAAGCGGATTGTATAGCATATTGCATTCTTTGCATTCCGTAAAAGCTTTCTCCTCAGCGGAAAGACTTAGGGTCGTCTGAATTCGAACCGGTTTGGTGCCCTTCCCAGTGTTCCGCCCACGCTTGCCAGCATCCGATCGGGTCTTCCGTTTCGCTGGTATCCGGCTGAGATTATCTGGACTGGGTAGTACTGGAGTGCCTGTTTGTATTATCGGCGGAACAGGCTCGTCTTCTGTTGGATCCGATCGCCCATTTCCCCCCTCTCCCTCATCCTCGACCTCTGCTTGAGGATCCTCCGACGCGCTACATGTTACTATTCGCGTGGTAAGTCTTCGCCGTGTTTTCCGCCGGACACCGAGAGCGGGCGGGGACGACGGGGGCGTAGTCTTCGGCTCGACAGCATCAGACGAGAGCTCCGAATTTAAGGTGCTGCTTGGCGCAGAAGGAATGACCTTGAAGTAACTAGTGATTGTCCCTTTCTTTATCGGCAGTAGAGGGGGCAGGTCGGGGGGAGAAAGCTCGGGAATCTTGACGTCGCTGATGGGTTCTGGTATGGCCTCTTGGGTCGACAAAATTGGGCTTGAAGCTCCAATGCGTTGTCGTTTTGGAGCTGGCTCGGGGGAATCAGCTGGCGGAGCACGCTTGCTGTAAGTTCGGAGTGGCCGCCTAAGACAATTAGTTTGGCCACCAAATTGAAGAGCCGATGAGAAGTAGCTCACGGCAGGAGAGTTTTTACAGAGGCTCCATAGCTTCTGTGAGACGAGCTCGAGTAATAGGACGTTATCAAACTTACTTTTGTTCTATCCGAGAAGCCGTATTCGACGGCTCCATAGTGGTTTGGTGACTTGCGAATCCCGCTTCCAATACCGCTAGACCGGCATAGTAGTGACGTTGGAAGGATGGTCGTTGGGAATAAAGCTGTCATAAGGGTTTTGCGAGGTCAATGAAATCCCAAGGACAAGAATATCAATCAATGTTTGGTGCCGCCAAGCTTCCGGGTGATAGGGAGAAAGACGCGTCGATAGAGACGCGTCGCGGAAAGACGTGTATCGGGAGCAAGTGGGGTACGCTAGTGAGGTAGAAAGTTACGCAGGTGAGATCCGCCAATTGACAGGTGCAGACACCTCCTTACAGGCAATAACGGCAAAAACAAAAACAAAACTATGAGTGCCAGCACCTCGACAGGTGCCACCGGCTGGCAACAGCTGCCAATATAAGAGCACAGGGGAAAAGCGGCAGCGGCACTCAATCGGATCCTACATTTCTACCATGTGGCTGTGTCTGTGCCTGTGCCTGTCCCAAGAGTAGTACACCAAAAAGGGGGATTGTCCGGTTAGGTCGGATTACAGGCAAGTTTTGCTATTGGGCGATACGTGATTCTTTGCCTCGGCTGTCACCTCATGTCTTTGAATCTCCGGCGAAGATTGGAGTCGGGGTCGGAACTGCCTATAGAGACATCCAATAGATCTTTCTCACTTTTGTTGCCGATATCGTCTTCCCCGACCACCCAGGTCTGGACGACCTGCTTGACTTCTCTGATATTTTTCCGACTCTTTTCGCCTTCTGCCGCTCGCCATGTAAAGGCGGAGTAGACGGCGACCTCGGCAATCGCAACAACAAGGCTGCCGCCTAAGCTGAGAAAGAGACGAGCCGGGACACTCCACCACCTCGCTGCTATCCAGAGCGCGGCGCCGCAGCCAAATATGCTGACCAGAAAGTTGATGATCAGTGTTATTTGCCTCTGGATATCCCCATTTTCGATATCCTCGCCCAAATCCGACGGGTTGGAGGGCCGATTCACTTCGGCAAACGAAGCGGCCAGGGGAGCCAAGGGGAACCGCTGGGCGAATGACTCTCTCGGGGGAGCTTTCTGAAGCATGCGCTCGTACGACCTCTGCTCTTGTTCGCGACGTAACCGGGCCATCAGCGCCTTATACTCGTGGGTCTGTGAACACGTCGATCAGCAAATCGGAATAGGCTTAGAGAGGGCCACGAGACGGACGAACCGGCTCTGGTTTCGGAGGCGGGGGAGGTATATAGATGGTCGCGCCACGCAAGAGATCCTCCAATCTGGTCCCGTGTCCCTCACTTCTTGAGCGCTTCCATATATCGATGATCTGTCCGTGAGCTATGGGGTTTCCAACGGCCGGGCCCCTCAGCGACGGGTCCTGGTTGCCCGTCGAGGAATTGGCGTCGTCCCTCTCAGTAGCATCGTCGTTGCTTGCTCCAGAAAATTTTTCTAATGCCTCAACTATGGAGGCAGTCATCGTAAGGAGTACCATGTCCGGCTATGAGATTGACCATGGCGTTGGTAGTTATTGTTGTGCTGGGCAATGCAAAGAGCTGGGTTGGCGCGTAGGCACCTTTAATGAAATGGATATCCTACGTAAGCTGCTAGGTGAACTTGCCTCAGGAGCTAGGTACCTAGTACCGTTCCATACCTGAAGCGGGATCCAAGAGAAGTACCTACGCCTATCAGCAGCCACAAAATGGGCTCTCTTTATGCTGACTCAAGCCACATCTGCGCCCTTCCACGCTTTGGTGGTGCTCATTATTCCTTGCCCCGCCACAGGATGTACCTACCTCGGTACTTAGCCTATGGGCTTTCACAAGTGGACTTACCCTCGCCCATCGACCCATGCCAATGAAACCCGCCGGTCAGCATCGTGGGCGCCGAATTTTTGTATACAGCCTCCACATGTTGCCAGCGTCTTTGAGAACCTGACTCGAGGTGCCGGCAACCTGCCATAACCACCCAAACCCTCGACCCCGAGCTTCCGTACTGCCAATGCTGCGGCTACCTGCTCCGTGACTCCCCTAGACCAATCGGGCCCTTGGAATCTCCCTCCCAGGACCGGCACTCCGGACGCAATGCAGCTTCGAGTGGGGGCCTCGAGGTTCCCCAGAACGCGCGCAATAGCCGGTCGATCTTCGGTTCTCTCTCTGTGCTCGGATTCCCGTTGGCTAGCGACATCCCCGGGCACAAGGATACGCACACCCAGGGCCCAGTACCACAGCAGTCCCAGACGACCTTCAGCATGGGCGGCGGCGGTCTCGGTGGCCTCGAATATGGTCTCGAACGCGGTCTCACGAGCGACGAAATCTGAGCTGCCCATCGACCCACTGCGGATCGTTGCAAAGGAGATGAAGCACTTGACGGGCAACATTCGACAGCTCCTCGGTTCGGGCCACCCTTCCCTAGACCGAGTCGCAAAGTACTACACCCAGTCCGAGGGGAAGCATGTGCGGCCGTTGATCGTCCTGCTCATGTCGAGAGCGACGTCACTCTGTCCCAAGGCCCCGGAATCTGCGCCTGCACAGACAATCCAGACGATCGATTCCTCGATATCCCCACTCAGCGTCCTTTCCGATGCCAATCCCTCGTCGGCCCATCCAAGTTTCTCCTCAGAACCAGAGTCCACCGAGAGCGACGTTCTCCCCTCGCAGCGCCGGCTGGCCGAGATCACCGAGCTGATCCACACCGCCTCGCTTCTCCACGACGATGTTATAGACCATTCCGTGTCGCGGCGGGGGTCGCCGTCCGCGAATTTCGAGTTTGGCAATAAGATGGCAGTCTTGGCCGGGGACTTTCTATTAGGAAGGGCATCTGTCGCCCTAGCGCGGCTACGCAATGCCGAAGTGGTCGAACTGTTAGCCACGGTTATCGCTAACCTGGTCGAGGGCGAATTTATGCAGCTAAAAAATACCGCACGCGACGAGCGAAATCCGAAATGGTCCGAGGACATATTCACGTATTATCTACAAAAAACATACCTTAAGACGGCAAGCTTGATCTCCAAATCATGTCGGGCGGCTGCGCTGCTCGGTCGGACGGACGCTGCCACGGTCGAGGCTGCTTATTCTTACGGTAGGAATTTAGGCCTGGCATTCCAATTAGTAGATGATATGCTTGATTACACCGTGTCAGCGAAGGATTTAGGAAAGCCTTCCGGGGCAGACTTAACATTAGGTCTCGCGACTGCGCCCTTGTTGTTTGCGTGGAAGACGACGCCGGAATTGGGGACGCTGGTGGGAAGGAAATTCGGAGGAGAGGGGGACGTAGCCAGGGTGAGATTCGTCGAGTCAGGATCGAGCAACGAGGATGGCTCATAAACTGACACGATGATAGGCCCGCGAATTAGTGTATCAAAGCGATGGAATTGAGCAAACGAGAGTACTGGCGGAAGACTACTCACACCGAGCCATCGCAGCTCTCGACACATTTCCGGATAGCGAGGCAAAGAGCGGCCTTGTGGAGATGGCGACGAACACATTAAGACGAAGGAAGTAATACCATTTAGACCTATATTTCCACTCGCAGCACACGGGCAGGAGGTTTCATACGCTACATGCCACCTTGCCGCGATGTGGCCTGTGTGGCACACCGCAGAGGACCAGCCTTGGTGTATCAATTACCTATGTACAATTACGGGCAGCACATTAGACAAAACCACCAAACAACTCAGCATCGGGAAATAGAAACTGATTTAGGGGCGACAGGGAGGAGGCTTCCAGCCATCGCATCCTCATTATACTACTCCATAGGTTACTACTATCGTAACAACGGGATGTCATCCGTCCCGTCACCCAGTATGTGATTAGCTCCTGTCAACGCAGCACGACTCATCAAGCAAGGCTTTCCGTGCTGCTTCGCGCCAATCCGCGTTCTCAGTGATAGTTCTGGCAGTATAGAGACAAAAGCAGGTTCTATGCAGGATAGGGCTTGTCAGATTCACTCAGTAGGTGGTATACCTTTTGCGGTATAGGGCGCCAAGAGACATGGGGATAAATTGGTACCCTCAACCTTCCAAGAACTTCTTATTTTTAAGGAGGTCATACTAGCCTAATTATCCCCTGTAGCGTAGCAGTCCGCTACCGCTGCCACTGCCACTGCCACTACATCTTATCACAACGCTCTACGAAAACATATAAAGGTTCTTTACTTACGAAAAAGAATCAGTTAGATGTGCTTTCGTACGGTAGTTAGAAATACCTACATTTAAAAGAGATCAAGCTTAGTATGAATCGTAGATTTTGCTTAATCCACTTATAGGATTAGGCTAGTACGATCTTCTTAAAAATAAGAAGTTCTTCGAAGGTCGAGAGTAAGTTAGGTTACCGCTTCACGAGCCACCCCTTCGCGAGCCGGGTATTTTATATAGGTTTATATATAAACGATTTATCCCTATAAAAAACCGGGAAAAAATCGGAAAAATCAGAAATTTACTTACGTAATTAATTAGCTTGATTGAATCAATATATGAATTTTTCGAATTTTTCGCTTAGTAATATAAGAAACTATTTACGATTTAAGGTTTTTTGAAACTGCACTAATAGTTTGCCATATAACTTATTAGTAAATCTATTAACTATGCTCTATATCGGCCTTTTGACCTATTTTTTTCACGGTAATAAAGTGGGTCTATTACCTAATCCTTTATACTATAGATAGAATAATGGTTAAGATTATGTAAACTTTTTTCTTTTTATTTTTCTGATTTTTATTAAATTAAATAAGTTTTAAAAACGTTGATTTTTAGTGTTCTTTTTTAAAACCTCTTTGTATGGAAAAATAGGATAGTCGGAAAGGTAGAATTCTTACTATGAAAATAGGTACGATTTAAGAAAGTTTTAACCTATTTAAAAACGTAGTTTTTTTAAAATAATATATTAAATTATTGGTAGGTACGTACGTATAGTATAAAGCAAAGTAAATAATAATAGTAAGAAATAATAGGAGTAAGACGATATATATTATAATGTCTAAGGAAGAAAGGTTCCTTCCTTAAGGTAGCCTATGGAAAACTATCTACTTATAGGCGTAGGTATATATATATATATACTATGGACTAGCATATATTAATCAACCATTACTTACTTTATTTTCTTTCGCGATAATATATCGTAAATCATTCCCTCTTAACCTATCCTTTTAGTTTAATAATAAGTTTATTCTTATTAACCAAAGTTCTCATAGCCTTATTAAGGGATACCTTAGTTATGACATCCGCCGGGTTATAATTACCTTAAATCCATTTAATATTATTAATCTCCTTATTCTTATATAACTATCTAAGTACTATTAAATTAATTATTAGTCTCTTTTCGTTAGTACTACCTATCTATACTAAGTACTAATATAGCGAGTAGGAATCCGTATAAAGTACGAGGGAAGCCCTTAGAAGTAACAGCCGCCCTAGGATTATATTAATAATGCGATAAATAACGTAATCGATATTAAAACCTTAGACTATCCCGTAGATCTCGCTTACTAAGACGCTTCGGGTTATCCGTTTATATTTAGTAAACGATTAATGGATAATGTTACCGTTAATTTTTAGCTCGTTATCTTAATCGGTAGCCGTTTTATTACCTAAGATAATAACGAAGCTTATTTACGAGCTTATATTATAGTGGTGCGGTAAGACATGCCCTCTTAATGCATTACGTGATACGCTACGATAGGCCTTATGCCTATATAGAGTAACTATAGCTCCCGTAAGTACGGGACATGCCATGCTTATTATCGAATTTATTACCTAGCTAGATTACTATCTTTATTATTTTTATCTTAATTAAAGATTCGTTTTTATTATTAGATTCGTCGTTTTCCGATTAGTATATTTATTTTAATTATAGGCGCTTAAGTTACTTCGTCGTACCGCTATAACCGAATAAGTAACTTTTACGTTTTACCCCTTTTCTTTCCTTACCTCTTATACCTTCGGGCTAGCGACTACTATATCTCTACGACTAAGGGATATAGCTAAGATACGATAACTACATTAAATTCCTTGCCTTTCGATTAATATAGCGATACTAATTTCATTTATCTTAGACTATCATACGTACTATAGTCTTCGATAGAATATACTTTCGAGTAAACATATCCGGGTTTTTAATATCGCGTACGCTTTACTCCTCTTTAGTAGCGACTACCCTATAACATTTTCGATCCCTTAACCTTTAGTTTATAGAGTTTTTATTACGTTATTAGGATTTAGAGGATACCGATCGCCGTCGGCGCCGCTATTTAACCCGCGAAATAGTCCGCGTTTTACGTTAAATAAAGTATCCCGCCTTATAATTATTTATTTATTATAAGAAGGTACGTATAAGCCCGGGAATCTTTATTACGATACTATAGCCGCTAAGATATTACCTAGCCCTTAATACTTATAACGTTAATAAGCTATCGATACTACGATATAATACGACGATTAAACCGCGTTTATACCGATTAGGATATCCCTCGTATCGTTATTTACCTACCTATACGAAGGAACCCGTAAGCCTAGGAAACTATCGTCGTAATACTACCGCTACTAGGGATAGTACTTAGTCCTCGATACTAACCGCTCCCTCGAACCGCTAGTAATATAGTATATCTTACGCGAATAAATAGCGCTTTTAACGATTAAGGCAGCCCCTTTATAATTACCTACCTATTATATAGAGGACGTACGAACGCTTTAATATAAATTACGATAACCTATACGACCCGCTACTCCCTTATTAATACTAAGAGCGGATAAAGGCTAATAGTAATTATACCTTAACCGACCTTACGATAGCTTCTTTTTTCCTCTAAACCTATTAATCGATATAAATTAAATATATAAATACTAATAACTTATTATACTAAAGGTATTTTAGGATACCTAGGCGTAACGACTTAACGATATAGTATACGATATAATATAAATATTTATATTAATAGCATAGATAGGAATTAATAAACTAATAGCTATTAGTAACCGATAGTTTTAAAGAAAACTAGAAATTAATATTAATAAGACTACGTAGATATAAAGGATTAAGGAAACGGAACTAAAGTCGAGCTAATAAGTATATCTATATATAGGCTAGCCTTATATTATTAATTAATAGTTAATATAGCGAGAAGTATTAATATAGGCGTAAAACGGCGCTTAGCGGTAATACCGCTAATATTATTAAATAGCCTCCGTTAAATCGAAACCGGCTTATAACTATAACCGGTATCGTATCTAACGCGATCCTTTATTCGGGATTTATTCTTTATACGTATTACCTTAACGAAGGTTATACGTTAAGAATTCTAAACCTTAATGGAAGGAATTATCGTCGACTTATTTATAATAGTTAAATTATTAATCTAGGGAATACGTATCGTACTTTAGTTAGGCATTAGCCGACTAAAAAAGCTCGTATAATACCCGGACCTTATCGATCGGGATAGTATAATAAATAATAATATACCTATACTAAAGGAAAAGTATTAGGATATAGATAATAACTATTATACCTTTATCCCTATGTTAGATAATAAGATCCCTACTACTTTCCTTTTTACTTTATACCTCGTACCGATAAACTAAACGGAATCCGTAGCTAGGAAACGGAGTAGATCGCCGTTAGGACCCGAAGTAATAAAGATTAAACCACTAATAAAGACCTTAAGAATCGATACTAGCTTTCCGCTCCTATATCCGCCCGAAAAGGAGGAAGACGACGATAAAACTCCTACTTAGCTACCCCTTACCCGTAGCTTTATACTTATTCCGTTAATCCCTATAGTATTATTTTAAAATAGTAATAACGGGGCCTCTAGTAGCTAAAATATACCGGTAGCTACCCCGATTATCGTAATACTAGTCATTAGGTTCCCTAACCCTACCGATTACCTTAGGCTTAAGTTTAACGAATATAACGTAACTTAATAACTAGAAAGGGTAGATCGATTATTTAACCGCTACCGTATAAGCGACGACGATAAGATTAAGGAGATCGGCGAATAAATTACGACTAAGATTATTAGGAAGCGTATTAACGACGTTATAAAGGATTAAACGATCTAAAGAGTTATCGTTATAGCCCTAAAGTACCGTTTTAGGATTACCGATAAACTAAGCTAAGCTAACGTTAAACGTAAACTCGTATAGCTAAAACGAAGTAACGTAATTAACGATCCTAAGGCGATTTTTACGTATTTTATAAACTATAAATGTCACGGTTTTAAGAGCTGTTCGCTAGGTAAAAGCCGTATGTTAATGAACTAAAGCTAAACGAGGAGAAAAAGGAGAAAAAGGTACGCCGTATAGGCCGTACCTACGATAGCTAGCCTTATCCTCCGTAAGTACTAAGGGCCTAATTACGTATTATGCCCTAGTACTAGCTAGGGCCTTACTATAGGCATAACTTATTACATAAGGTCCCCTCCCGGAAAAAAAAAGTACGCCTTACCGTCCTTTTCTTTAGCGTCTAGCCCTAATAACCTAACCCGTTTTCTCCGCGCCTTAGGATACGTACCGTATCCTTAGGTACTACCTCCGTTCCCCGGGATACGCTAATTACTTCCCGGGTTACTACCTCCGCCTCTTAAGGTACTAATATACCCCTAGGCCTCCTTCCTTTCCTCCCCGGCGATTATACTATACCCC